AAACCCTAGCCTGAAACCATGTTTGAGGCCTTATAGAGAGCCAAGGAGGTCGAATTTTCAAGTTAGGACTTCATAGGCGTGATCAGCACATCAAAATCGCCCAAGATCACCCTTAAAACCGGGGTCCATTTTTGGACACCCCAACCCCAAAACACTAGGTGTAAAACACTAGGTGTAAACCCTAAATATAGGTGTAAACACTAGGTGTACACCCTAAACCCTGAACCCTGTGAAAGCTCTATATGAGTGGGTCCCATTGGAGGCCATTGCACTAAATCATAGGCTCCCCTTTGGAGGAGCTAGGGGCTTTACAAGACTAGAAGGGAAATGATCACTATCTTTAAGGTGTGATAGTTCCAAAACGGCATTGTACTTTTTGGGTGAGACATGCATCAAATGAAAGCCCTATATGTATATGTCCCATTGCAAGTCTTTCCACTATGCCATAGGCCCCCCTTTTGAGGAGCTAGAGCCAACCCTATGCAAACCCTAGCCTGAAACCATGTTTAAGGCCTTATAGAGAACCAAAGAGGTCGAATTTTCAAGTTTGGACTTAATAGGCAAAATCAACACATTGAAATTGCCCAAGATCACCCTTAAAACCGGGGTCCATTTTTGGACACCCCAACCCCAAAACACTAGGTGTAAACCCTAAATATATAACTTACAATAGATTGTGTGACACCTGTGAGGGCTGCTGTCCTGTCAGGACATGTAAAGAGTGCAAATGAGGATCCTGGCACCCCCTGCACTGCCCTGTAACCTGACAGGCACCTGCTGGCCACGTGAATTAACACCGGCATCGATCTATGTAGTCCGACAGCAAGCGCACTGTCACGTAGAAATATGGCCCGACCACAACCCTTTGCATAGTGCGTTATTTGACTCGCAAGTCGATCTAACGTCAAATCGCGAGCATCGGTTAACCGTGACGCTTACATGTGTGGGCCTCATTGCATGCCTCTCCACCATAGCATAGGCCCCATCCCAAGGAGCTAGAGCCTCAAAAGGTGAGACAGGGGAAATATGGATTCCATAAAAGGAGTGCTAACTCAAGATTGGCTTGTAAACTTTTGGTGGGACATGCATCAAATGAAAGTTCCACATGTGTGGGCCCCATTGCATGCCTCTCCACCATACCATAGGCCCCATCCCAAAGAGCTAGAGCCTCAAAAGGTGAGACAGGGGATATATGGATTCCATAAAAGGAGTGCTAACTCAAAATTGGCTTGTAAACTTTTGGTGGGACATGCATCAAATGAAAGTTCCACATGTGTGGGCCCCATTGCATGCCTCTCCACCATACCATAGGCCCCATCCCAAAGAGCTAGAGCCTCAAAAGGTGAGACAGGGGATATATGGATTCCATAAAAGGAGTGCTAACTCAAAATTGGCTTGTAAACTTTTGGTGGAACATGCATCAAATGAAAGCCTTACATGTGTGGGCCTCATTGCATGCCTCTCCACCATATCATAGGCCCCATCCCAAGGAGCTAGAGCCTCAAAAGGTGAGACAAGGGAAATATGGATTCCATAAAAGGAGTGCTAAGTCAAAATTGGCTTCCAAACTTTTGGTGGGACATGCATCAAATGAAAGCCCTACATGTGTGGGCCCCATTGCATGCCTCTCCACCATACCATAGGCCCCATCCCAAAGAGCTAGAGCCTCAAAAGGTGAGACAGGGGAAATATGGATTCCATAAAAGGAGTGCTAACTCAAAATTGGCTTGTAAACTTTTGGTGGGACATGCATCAAATGAAAGCCCCACATGTGTGGGCCCCTTTGCATGCCTCTCCACCATACCATAGGCCCCATCCCAAGAAGCTAGAGCCAACCCTATGCAAACCCTAGCCTGAAACCATGTTTGAGGCCTTATAGAGAGCCAAGGAGGTCGAATTTTCAAGTTAGGACTTCATAGGCGTGATCAGCACATCAAAATTGCCCAAGATCACCCTTAAAACCGGGGTCCATTTTTGGACACCCCAACCCCAAAACACTAGGTGTAAACCCTAAACCCTAAACCCTAAGCCACTGTCCATCCACATTCACAACTCCAAGCGCAATAGCATCACCTGCAATAGGGAGCCAAGCTATGATTCAACTGAATCGGGTGCATGGCACCTACAGGCATCAGTATCACTTGTGCAGAAACTATAAAGTTTATGTAGGAAGTCTGACTCTCTTTGAAGGTCAGTGAATCTCACCTGCAGCGTCCTGTTGCACCTCATCATTGCCCACTGAGCCGTTGAAGCGTCGCATTGCAGCAAGGATTGCCTGCTGGGCGAGCGGGTCAAACCCAAGACTGCCCACCTTTGCGGTCAGGCGCTTCAAGAGCAAATCATTGGCTGGCTGGGCTGCATGCTCCATGATGGCTTTGAAAACCTCTGCTAAATCTGCAGGCTCCATCTCACGAGGCCGCTTGTATACAACATCAGCAGGGAACCACGGCGCAATTCTCACCACGCTGTCATGGTCTGGCAGGCTGTTGTAAGGCAGCTTCCCTTTTCTGCCCTTGATGGCCACATCCAAGAATTCCTCCAACACTTTGATTTGCACTAACTTCTCCAATTGCTCAAACGTCCGATCTTTGAAGCGCTGGGCCTGCTCTGCCAATCGCACCTACACAGTGATGGGTCAGAAGGAGTTTCCGATAGCAGTGCATGAGAGCCATACTTTCACATCATAATTAACCGAGTTAGAGCATTTCACACCTGCATCTTCGCCTGAACTTGGAAGGCGGGCAACACCTCCTCTATGTTCAGCCAGTTGGGGCCCGCAAGCCCTGCCAGCCCCTTGTAGGCTCTGCTCTTTATATCATTACTGGTGTTCACAGTGATCAGCATGAAATCTAAGCCGCAGGTCCTGCAAATCAATTCAAATTCAGCAAAGGCTGTCAGCTGTGGGCTGAGGAACATAATAAGATGTCCTGCAGGCAGAGGCAGGTACCTGTGTATGTGGACGAGCTTATCCATCACAATTTTTACCCCGTTTTTCTCTTCTTCATTCCTCCTTTTCTTGGAGGTGATGATACCCTGCAGCGATATCTCCTCATTTGTCCGGCGTTTGCGTTTAGTTGGATTTGCGGATGGGTTGGCATCAGGTCCATCGCCATTATCCGTCTCAGGAATGGCTTCAGTAATCTCTTCATTCTGCTCAGTACTACTAAGACCAGCAGGTTCGCTTGAGCCAGCCGTGGCACCCTCCATAGACACCTACACCTATTGGGCTTGAAGTGATGACAACTCCTCGGGGGTAAACGACAGTACAAAGTGTTTACAGAACAGTTATAATATCTCCATAGGACTCCCTAGGGCCTGTACAGCTTGCATAGGCTCAGAAAATATGAGTTTGAGATGTAAGAAAATAAGGTGCACGGTGCTCTCATCTACATGCTATTTAATACATTCCCTCTCTTTATCTTGGTAGGTTTTAGGGGGGTTTTCTAGCTCCATTATTAGGGTTGTATTGAGAGGGTACTCTGGCTCCGGAGCACCATGCCCGCCGCTATCTATTAAGAACTCCATTGTCTGGCAGTGTTCCTAAGAACCCACGTCCGGATCTCTTGGTACTAGGCATTAGGAAGTCTATATCCTTCTTCCTTCCTTCCTTCCTCCTCCCATGAAGGAGGAGGAGAAGGAGGAAATTTAGGAGGCAGCGGCAGCTCCCCAGCAGCTGCCCCTGGTTATATATGTTTATCACTCTGCTCTCAAATGTAGGACGGATACTACTCATAGACATCCAATACAGCGGAAATTGGCATCGAACGGTAAGACCTGTATCAGCTGAGGTGTTGTGTGCACGAACGCTTCCGAGATGTCGAACGCCAAAGCAACTTTCCACGAGCCTGTGGCTCCCACGACACGATACCAGCAGGAGATTAAGGAAGGTGCAGCGAAACCTATAAGCTACAAAACGGAGTCACGCGCAGGAGAGTGGCAGGTTGAGAAAGATGGTACGAGCAACGTTGCTGACCAGATGGAAAAAGGAGACGAAGCAGGATTGAAGGACAGAATTGCCAGAGAGGCGGAGGATGAAGACTACGTACCCAGCAATAACTCATAAAAGGTGATGAGCAAACCTGAACCTCCTTCGGTCAAACAGAGGAGCGTGCCTTCGCTGATGTGCCCGGCATACTTTGCAACTCATTGCTGTCGGTGTCAGCGTAGAGAGCGTAAAGACGTCCTGAGCTCCATGGTGTCAACAACTATCCGCACGTTTTGTGTGTTCATGCAGGTTAGCAAAGCACATATAACGCTGGAGCACATTCTTCCATGGCAGGGTGTGTCGTGGTGTGTCTGATTCGCTTTTACCTGTCTCAGCATTTTTCGACATTTCTACTACTGGACGTGTGTGTATGGAAATTTTGCTTTTAACCAATTCTGTAGAGGAGGACATCTATTCTTGCAACCGAGGTGTGTGAAAACAATGCAATATACTTATGGCGGCCAAACATGTCGTCAGCTGTGTGTTTGGCAGAAGATATGCGAAATGCTTGATCTCTGTTATCAAGTGTGGTGCGTTCTCAGGACCTGCCCGTCCAACAATGCCACCCTGTGTACATATCAGCGATGGTTTGCTAGGCCAGATTATTTACGCCACCCTTGCCAGCTCTTACAGCAGCCTTTGAGTGCCCGTTGCTTGTGTTCATTCGTGCTTGCGTTTATTTTGAAGCTCAGGATGGGTGGTCACAGTCTGCCTAATGTCTCGGGCCGCTGGGCCCGGGTTCCCCGGCCCCAGCAACGTGCACGCATTGTACCCAGCAAGTTTTTGGGGATGAGCGCCACCTCGTGTTTGAGTGCCCTGCCTTGCAATCTATTCAGGACACGTATGCTGGTCTGTTTTGTGCAGACTTTGTGACTATGCAGCAATTCATTTGGCAGTTGAACATTGTAGGTGTTGCACATTTTATGATGGATTGTTTTGATTATTTGGATGCTGCCAGTCCAACCAATCAGCCCTAGGTTGCTGAAGTGATGTGTGTAATCTTCATTCCTTCACCTTGTCTTTCAGTGCCCTTCCTTGCAATTTCTGCGTGATTGATACCCTGGATTGTTTGGTGCGGCCATCGTGACCATGCAGCACTTCAAGTGGCAGTTGGACATTGTCAATGTCACATGGTTGCACTTTTTGTGATGAATTGTTCTAATTATTTGAATGCCGCCAGTTCATCCAATCAGCCCTAGGCGGCTGCAGTGATGTAATTCCTTCCTCCCTTTTCACCAAAGTTCTTGCATCATTTTGTTGCCTGCTGGGAGTGAAGTTCATTGGAGAAGGGATAAGGGCCCACGAGCGTCAATAGATTATGAAGAGTAGACATTTGGGATTCCAGCTGTATGTCTTATATTACAGCGCAATCTCAATGGCCCTCTAGCTGCTCAACATGTCCTATTTGGAAGCACGGGCATTAAATGGAAAGGGAGTCTCCCTTTCTCATGAAGGTCTGCAAGATCTCTTCCATGTTCCATGTGCATGCTTACGTCCATATATTTGGTAGCTATTGACTAGGGATCGTAGACTTTACACTTTACACTGCTCCATCTCATTTCCATGATTCTACAACCTATTGGTCCTGTGTAAGCTCCAATGGCCAGATGGCTGCATAATTGGCACTCATGGATGGTTCTTGTCCTTTGACAAACATCTAATTCTGGCTTCCTCACCTATGGCGTGCTCTATCTGCATCCTGTTCTACGTCCTCAGTTGGAAAGCTGTCAGTGGGGAAGCTCTTCTCAAAGCTAGCCATGGCAGCATATGCAATGGTCTCGAGGATTATCAGAAACACTGCCAGCATGATTATACACAGCAAGGCTGGCCAGCGCTGCTTATTTGTTCCTTCAGCTTGTGTGCAGATGTTGTACATGAGCATGGTCAGTATGCTCAATCGAAACATCCAATGGAAGCTGGCCATGGTCACTACGTCTACCATTGTGACCCAAATCCTGGGAGACAACGTATCGTGTTCACGAGCACACAGAGCTATTTTGCGCTTATCCGAGAGCTTCTGGAATCTCTCAACATGCTGCAATGCCTTGGTGTACAGCGTGACCCGCACAAATCCCAGGAGAGCATGTAGGCTTGCCATGGCGCTGAGCGCTGTGGCGCTGACCGTGACAAGCTGCCAGCGAAGACCGTTGGTATTGATGCTACCCGGAGCTGCAAACAGAGCTGAGAACCCTGCTGTGACCAGAACAGCCGAAGTGAATGCGCTTCCATTTGCGAATGACAGTAGAACCTTCAGCTCATTAGGCTCGTACTCAACCCAGGGCTTCCACTTGTTAAAGCCAGTGTGGGCAAGTCTCGGTCCTCCAAGGATCCACAGTAAGACCCAGTTGACACGTCGCAACGAGGAAGGTAGGGACATCCGATGCCTTGCCTGGAATGGTGCACAGCTATTAGGCTCTTGGGTGCTGTGCGCTAGATGGCAGCTGTGGCAAGTTAAAAGAGATCTTGATGGTGGTGCGACCTGCCTGTGAACGTGTACAGACCAGTTAGCGCTTTTACACTCGTCCTTGTTGAGCTGCGTGCTGGCCGAGCGTGTTCGATCACGGCTTGGGCTAGATGTCTGACCACATGTTGAGCATTTCAATTCGTACTTTGCATTAGAAGTTCTAGCAGCCTCCCATTTACTGTGAGATCACTAACAGATGCACCCTGTGGCTCCTGAAAAGTCACGCAGATGAGGTGCGCGACTGTCTCTTCATCATGGTGAGGACATGAGCGGGGATGGATGTGCTGAAAGCTTGATGGTGAAGAGACTCAACTTCTGCATAGCTGCCAGGAAAAATATCTCTGCTGAGTATTAGCTTATCGGCACGTGCCATTGGGGCTATCTCAGCCTCAGGCTTTAGGGCTTAATGATTGTGTCGAGACCAAGGCGTGTGGATGGGGGACGGGTCGTTAAGAATACAAATGAAATTGACTTGCTGAGGACCTGTGTCTCGTCGGGAACGTCTCTTACCACTCCTCCATATGCGCAAGGAAAAGGCACTTCATTTGATGCGTTTCGGTGCCATACCACTGGTGGTCTTGGGAGGGCTTGGCGCAGAGGTTGTCAGAGCTGTGATACCAAAGATTGGGAAGCTGTGGAAATACGTCGTGCCGAAACCGGAATTACTCTTGCCGACTCCCCCAGGCTATGAACAGCTGCAAAGAGGAGCGAAGCAGGGAAATGATGGGTTACAGGACCTCGAAATCGGGCCGATTCTGGGTTATGGGTCCTACGGGCAAGTCTTTGACGGTGCTGATTTTTTTTCTTTTGGGAAAAGAGCTGCGGTACTGTTGTCATCGGCATGTGACGACTGAATTGTTTGGCTGAAGAAGCATGCTCGCAGCACGATGGCGTGGAGCGCGCGTTGCGGTTAAAGTCCTGACACACGATATTCATGGCCACAAGAGCAATCTTATGGTGGCTCGAGAAGCAGTCGTGAGCGCTGCAGCTTTGCATCCCAACGTGGTAAGTACATATGTGTGATTCAGTGTTATGAAGGAACGAAGGCCCCACAAAAATGCAAACATCTTGCGATGCTGTGATTTGTGACAGCGTGGGTTATACAAGCCACGCACCGTTCGAAGTTGTGCTCTGTGTAGGTCAAAGTATACCTTGTCAGGACACGCAGAGTTGAAGCAGAGGAGACGGGAGTGTTAGAGACATTCATCATCATGGAGTTCTGCGACCAGAAGACCCTGGAATCTAAACTGAAGGTTGCTTGGGGGCTCCTGCTAAAGAATCCCGAGGCAGGCATGCATTGGATACTATCTTGTCTCCTGGAGATAGCCATGGCAATGGAATACCTCCATTCACTTGGCCTGGTGCACGGTGATCTGAAGGCCAACAACGTGCTCCTCCAGTCCACAAGATCAAATGCCCGAGGCTTCACGTGCAAGGTGGCAGACTTGGGTTGTTGCCGCCTTCTGTCGACTGCGAGGTCAATGCGTAAAGAGGTCTGTACTGGGACTTACGGTGCACCTCGGTATGCATCCCCGGAGCTGTTGAGGGATGGGAGTTTGACTCAGGTGAGTGATGGTGTATCATTCACGTATGCCCCCCATAAACTGTAAATTTGAGAACTTCAAGATGAATTGAGTTGCTTCCCTGCTGTAGATAGAAATTCTCAAAGCTTGTAAGGCGATGGCCCATATTCCTTTGAATATCAATTGTGATATATTGCGCAATTACATCGCTTCCATTAGAAACTGAACAGACAAATTGTGTTGCAGGCAAGCGATGTGTACTCCTTTGCAGTCCTGGCGTGGCACTTAGTAAGCTCAGAAAGTGACTTCTTTGATGTCGACGTGATGGTGTTGTATTATCGGGTTGTTGCGCTAGATGCGCGACCAATTTTTCCTGGAGGTGTTCCGGATTATTTTAGAGGCCTAGTGGAGGCTTGCTGGCATCCAAAGCCATCCAATCGTCTGAAATTTGCGCTGATCAGGTCCAAGATAAACAGCTTTCTGGCATGACGGCTGTTGGCAATCTCCCCTGTCAAGCCTGTTAAATAGTGTAGTAAGCCATGGCCATTTCCGGTAAATCCGGCATTGTGGCCACCCATGAGACACCCACATCGTCGCAAAAGTGATGTTGATCTCTGCAAGGTTGATTGTAGTCAGTACCAGATCAGGATGGGATTGCCACAGTCCCTCGCTGGGACACCAGCAACCAGAGAATATGTTTCTGTGGAGGCAGCTGCTGACGCTCTGAGAGAGGTAAGTGCGTGGTATGCCCTCAGATGTTGTATGCCCTCAGATACCAGTATTGTTTTATGAAACCAGTGGATAACAGGGGCGTGTTGCTGCGCAGGTAATGCGTGAGAACAGGATACTGAGATCTGATGGTTCCATCTATGCGTCTCCACCCTCTGGCTGCTCAGCTGCACTGACGGCCTCACTGCCATCTGCAACGCTCATGGCTGACCGCAATCCGCCAAAGCCACTCCCGACTGCACCTTGCATGAGTGTATCGCCCCGTTAGCCATGGAGGCGTTTTGAGATCTCACACGCTGTCAATGTGGATGCTGCACATGCCTGGGCCTGGGTAGTCACGGAGTGGCTGCATTTGTTGACGGATACGGGATTGCACAGCAAGGACGACATGGGATAATGGTGCCAACGGCTGCATGCCAGCAAGAGTTTTTTTTCATGCGCTTCATGATGACAATGTGCATTTTTCTACCCAGGAAGTTTTTACATCGATCAGCTGTGCATGTTCCACAGATTGCATTACATCTAGGACGATTGTAACATCCTCTGTCACATAAGCAGTTGACAGGGCCACTATATATCAATACCATAAAATAACCAGACAGATATGTACCCATCCTGTCTACAGTCCTCCAAATTGATTAATAGTTCGGAATAGTGAAACGCAGAGTTCTTGTGCAACAGAAGTCATGCCTTGCCATAAATGCCAGCAAGAAATATGCGTGGTGCATCAAATAAATATGCGTGAAGACAAGGCTGCAGCTGCGATGTCTCAGCAGGAGATATTGTCAAAAAGGGAATGGCATCTTATTCAGTGCAGCATACTTGTGGTGATGTGAAGACCTGAAAGTCCAAGACCTGCATGTCGATGATCGCTGCAGAGAGCAGCGTCACAGTCTTTAAAATATAAACCCTACCAAGATCTGCTGCTTGCAATGTTCCATAGATCAGTGTATCCTGAAGGGACACTGAAACCTGTACGTCACGGCACCTGATGCCAAACACAGACTGGAACTCTGACAGGGCATGTGGCCTACGGCGGTGCTGTGAATGGGGAGTCATGACATTTGCAGCACAGCTCTGTACGTTGCATTTGTTGTCTGCTGCGCTGGCCCTTTTCAATGCTGCCAGCCGCCTACTTGCCGCCGAAACTACACTCTTTCCTGTCCTCTGAAGCCTGTCCTCTGAGCCTATGTCATGCACTGTTGCCTTGACTGCCTTGTTTTCAGCATTTGTTCTATGGAGTCTCCGGTCCTTTTGCTGGGCTGGGCTCCTTGGCCGCAGCTTCACCCATCGCAGCGCCCGCCTCTGGCTGCACTGCTGGCGGTAAAGTATGCCCAGTTGGCTGACTGCTCGAGTGCCCTAGGGAGGTCTGCGCAGGGACAAACAAAGGCTCAGCCGCCATGCTCAAGCCACAAACTGGGATCGGTTTCATAGAACATGCAAGTAGAGTCGCCGGTGCAGATCCCACCTCTCCAGCTGCAACTTTCGATCGGCTTTGGTCTGTCTGGCAACATTCTGAACAACTCTTCTTTCTCAGCCAGGTTTGCACCAGCCCCATGCAAAGGAGAAAATGCACCTAAACGAAGGTGCTCATGGAAGGCGCAAAAGATGGCAGAGCCCCTCCGCAGCGGCAGCAGTGCAGGTATACACATCACACCTCTTTCTTTCAGCTTCCAATCAAATTGATCATTGCAAAGAGCCGGCCCTTATCAGCGCACGTCATTGGCTGTGGAGTCAGGCCTGGTACTCAGAGCAGACCCCTTTGCTTGTACAGAGGAGGGCCTGAAAGATTAGCGTCTGAGAACAATCCTTCGTACATACGCGCACAAGGCTACTGATGACACATTGAAAGAAAGGAGGGCAGAGCAGAGGCAAATAAAATCCACACCTGCTCCGTGGTGGCGGCTGCGGGGATCCCCGGCAGCTGGGGGCGGTGTACAGCCGGTTCTTCGACGGAGCGCGCCCAGAATATGGGGACGGGTGCCCACGTGGCCTGCCGCAGCCCGTGGCCCTTGAACGCCTCCGCCAGCTCGCGCGGGCTTGCTTTGCGCCGCACCTAAACACAAGTTTACATCTTCAGCAGTCTGAATGGGGGAGCTTCCCACTGTTGCCCCTTCAGCACAAGCAGGATGAATGGCTGAAGCACAACAAACTAGCCGTGGCTGAGACCTGCAACTGCTCAGTTCACACCAGCTACAATTGCCTAGTTTGCACTTGCTGCACGTGCTACATACAAGAATATGACCTACCAATTCAAACAAGACAACCGATACAGAAAACAAAGAGGCCCACGAAGCGCGCTACAACAAAAATACAAAACCCTGGCGAGAGTCTAGGTGTTCACAGGGAAGCTTGAGTGTCAGCACCAGAATTATCAGTATCGAAACACCCACCCTGGGCTGCGAGCACTCCGGCATGCCGTCGTTGGTGGCCGAGCGCGGCATCAGCGGCCCCGTCTCGGCAGGCACCAGCTGCTGCGTCGGCAGCGAGGGCCGGCGCAACGGCGCGCGCTGCGCCCTGACGGCAACGGCTGCCGCGGCGGCGGCCGATTCGCCGGCGGCCGCCTTGCGGCGCGCCAGGAATGCCGACATTGCGCGTGAGCGCGGGCTGGTGTCCTCCTCCTCTGTGGATACGTCCTCTGTCCCTGCCGCTGCTACGTCGGCCTGCGCAAAAAGAGAGCCAAGATATTTGGAATACTGCATATTACCCCAACCTTTACAAATGCGTTCAGCAGAATATTGAGACAACAAAGAATACATGCTGCACATCAGCACGACCATGCCTCTTGTTTTGGCCTGTGAGAGTCAACGGAGGCTCGGCAGTCTTTCAACCAATGAGCAATGGACAATGAGATTTTCAAACCATCAGCAGAGGACTCACCATGTTGGCGTCGCTCGGCACGATGGCGCTTGCGTCAGGCTTGGCGGGGCTCAGTAATCCGGCCCCGGGGGCGGCGGCGGCCTTGCGCTTTCCGCTGCGCTTGGCGCCAGAGCGACCGCCGATGGACGTCATCGGAGCCGCCAGCGGCTGCAGGTCCCTTGCTCCTGCCAGGAAGCTAAATTCTGCCGGCGTCGGCCCCGGCGCGGCGGCTCCGCCGGCCGGCAGGTCCTGATAACTTCCAAACCCTGACGCTCTTGTGGCTGCGGCAGTGATGGGCCTGGCGAGCTGCGTGAAGCTGGGCTCTGCGCTGACGCCACCTCCCAACTCTGAACCCCGATCATCACCCGCTGCCCCAGAATGCATGGTTTCTAATGGGGATGCTAGTAAAGAACTGCTGCCGCCCTGCTCCGTCGCAGCTGTGCCAGCATCTGCTGGGAAGATACCTCCGCCAGCTTCTGCGGAGCGTGAAGGCCCCCCATCTCCAGGGGACAGCCCCGCAAAGCAGACCTTTGCCGTGTCGCCACCGGTGGCACCGTCAGAACTGCCGCCGCCAGCCTGAGAGGATGTCTCAGGCCCAGATTGCTGCTGCTGCTGAGCGCTTGCCGGCTGCCTCCAATCAGTGCCGCCTGCGCCACTGACCTCTGCCCCTTGCGGCGCGTCTGTTCCTCGCGACCCATCAGGCTGGCCGCCTGAAGCAGCCGTCCCTGATCCTCGAACAGGAGAGCCATCAGTAGCGGCAGACGCTTCTTGCAAGGCTGCTAGCCGGGCCTGCTGGTTGCCGCTAGCACCTGTTGAAGAGGCACCGGCAGCAGTCGCCGCTGCTGCGCCTGCAGCCGCTGCCGCCGCGGCAGCCGGCACGGCGGCTCGCGCCCCCGACCCGGCGTCGGCACTGTGGAGAGTTCCCTCCAGGATCGGCTGCATGACGGCGGTGCCTCCACCAAGAATGCCGGCCATGTCCCAGGGCACCCCGCCCTGCCCCTCTCTCACCGGACTGCCCCCCAGGACCCGCTCCCTGCACAAATGGACCATGACCAACTGAGTCATGTGAATAGGACTAAACGTCTTCTGGGTGTCTTGCACCTAAGCAGTAGAAACTGCTGTAAGGAGCAATTCCATCAAGGTGGCCCTACGCTGCTAATGAATTAGAAAATCCTGACTTGTTGCAGGTTCAATTCCTGATGACAACAGCCAAAAAGCTTGGAAAAGGTCACCTGAGGGCGGCGCGGTAGGCCTGCACGTCCACGGAGGACGAGGAGCTTGGCCAGCCGCCGGAGGAGGAAGAGGGCCAGCCGCCCTCGCTGGTACCCTCGGTGCTCTCGCTGTTGCGGCGGCTGTTGCCGCTGCTGCCGCTGGCCGTCTTTGTGCTCCCGGTCGCGCGTTGTTTCCCCGGCTCGCCTTGATCCGGCGTCAGCGGGACATCCGCCCTGGCCCCTGCGCAGGGCCACACATGTCGCATCAGAGCTTGCTGTGCAGATCCCAGAAAGGCCAGATTCCATAAGACAGAGAGGTTGAGACGATCGGAATACTAGGCCTTCAACAGGTGCCAGGTGCCCCAGCTGGAGAGATCACGCATCCACAACGCATGCATGTGTTATGTTTATTTGCTGGTATGCCTTTACAAAATCAGACCAACACAAATACAAGGCTTTTGTATTTTGTCCTTCGCACAACCTGAGGGCATCTGGACAAGCGCAAGTGCCAACATTTAGGACACCACTTGAAGCTGCAAGGCAGATGGGTCATTTGGAGGCTTTGAGAAACGGCGGAGTCAGTAAACAATGTGAAACTGCTGGACAGCGCACCTGGAGAGATGGCCGGGCGCGGTGTGTCCACTGATCTAGGGGAAGATTCGTTAGATCCGCTCCTGGGTGCCCCCTTGCCAATGGTGACCGCACCCACACCCTCCTCAGCGTGCCGACCTCCCTGGTCGGCTGCGCCCGCCTGCTCCGCTGCCCGCACCTCCTGCGAGTCACCCTCTGCAGCGCCGTCGCCACCTCGGCTCCACCCGAGCCACCCCAGCCAGCTGCCCGACCGGTTGGAGACCGGCTCTGAATCTTCGTCCGCATCTCCATCTGCTGTGCCGGCTGTCTCCCTTCCTGTGCCATTGCCGGCCTCACCCGCGGAGCCAGTGCGGGCTGCCGGCATTTCAGCCGGCCCCAAAACGTTGTCGGCTCCTGACGACGCGGCCGCGTCCCGGCCGCCACCGGCCGCGCTGGCCTCGGCGCCTGCTGCGGCCAAAACAGGCTCCAGCCCAGGCTCCCCTGCTCCTGGGGCGATCCCTGCACCGCCAGCTGCCTGCACCCCCGCTGGTGCGCCCGATGTTGCAGCGCTGACAGGGCCGCCAACCGACGGCGCGCCGCCGGGCACAGAAGCCGCACCGGAAGCTGCGTCGGGGCTGCCGTAGAACTCCGAGTTGACGCGATATGTCCGCGGCGTCTGGGGCTCTGCCGCCAGCTTCGGCAGCTGTGCCGAAGCTGCATCTGCGCTGCCTCCACCTGAAAGATATCCGCCTGCAGATGGATTTCCCTCCATTGCCCCATTCTGCTCGGCCTGTCTGTGCGTCAGGCGGGCCGCCGCACGCTCCTTCATCTTCTGCTTCTGGATGACAGCCCCGTTCGCGAGCGCATAGGCAGCGGCTATCCGCACCTGCACAAATGCACAGATGCGTATTTTCAGAATGCAATATACCGTGGATGGGATGCAACTCAAAAGGTACACATTCAGTTATAAACGCACCTGTACATGCACATCTAAAATTTTCTGGGTTCCTGTATGATGCCTCATCAAAGTAGAGGTCTAGTACCTGTGGAGAGATATTGCCGCCAGCGCGCTGCGCTGCGAGGAAGCTGGATATGGCTTCGCCCGGAGACTGGTTCTGCGGCCGCTGCAGCAGCCCAGGCGCGCCTGGACGTGGCACAAATAATATCTCAGCATTGCAAAAGATTGAGCTCACCTGAAAAGTCAAAAGCCGGCATGTTCTCATGAGACAGACACCATCCAAGATTTTGATCTCTAGATGCCTTGCTCTCATGTACTGCTTGCCAACATGCCGAGGGTATTGACACTTCAGGAATTTCCTTCTGGCAAATGCAATTTCATCTTTGATGCCTCTCCTTCAAATAACAGGAAGACTCACCAGTGAAGCCGGTCGCCACACCCAGATCGTGCTGGCCGCCAGCCGCGTCTGCTGCTGCGTTGCCTCCGCGGCTTTCACCACCACTCAAGGCCCCTTCGTCCCTGCTAGCTGCCACACCATCAACGATCCGCTCCGAAGCTTCACGATTTGCTTCTTTACCTTGAAGCTCTGCTGTGGCTGCTGTCGCACCGGCTGCGGCGGCCGCCGCGCCCGCAGTCGTCACTGCCGCTTGTGTCCCAATGCCCGCATTGGCACCATCAAGGCCCGCGCTGTTGCCTGCATGAGAAACTCCTTAACATTCATCAGCTTTTTGCAACATGATATTTGCAAGAGAGGACATACAGATGCTGCCTGAAAAAGCTCGTGGCAAGCCTGCATTCAACAACGGGGCGAGTACCCAAATGCACAGGGTTCAGGAACCAGAACATGCACAAAGGGCCTGTGCATATCCCGCCAAGCACTCAAAAGAAGCTCACCATCAGCGAAGCGGCTGGGCTTCTTCGGGCTGTAGCCGGCGTCGCTCAACGATGGCGCAGCCGGCAGACCGCCGTTGTCAAGCGGCGGCTGAGTGCCAGGATCGCCCAGACGCCAGAAGCCAGGGAAGGAGCCCTGCTTCTCCCCCACTGACGTATCCTCCCAGCTGCCCTCACTCGCCGGCCACGCCTCTTCTACACAACGCATTTGCAGGATCCTTCAGAACGATAACTTACTATTTCCCTTGGTACTATAAAATCACTCTCAAGGCTCTGGGAAAAGCAGTCCTCGATGCCCTCTCATATGCAGGTCAATCAAATTGCTGCGCAACATGCATGCAGCTTACAAGTGATCCTGCATCACAGCAAGGTTACAACATTATTGCATGCAACCGACTGCCTACCACAGCAAATTTGCCACCATCATATTTTATGAGCCTTCTTGTCATTTCAGACCGAAGTTGTTATTCCCAGAGCGGGCAGACTCACCGGGGTTGTGGGAGGCCCGCAGGAAGGCCGCAGCGCTGACGAGGCCGTTGGGCTGCGCATTTTCCTTCTCAAAGGCGGCCGCAGCGCTTGAGGCAGCACCCTTGCGCGTAACGTCCTCCACGCGCCATCCGTCTTGCCCGGCAGCGTTGCGCGACGTAGACGGCATTCCCTCCGCCGTGGTGGACAACGTAACCTGCCCAGCGGGCGAGGCAACCTGCCCAAAAGGCGCCCGCTGCTGCGCAGTGCCAGCAATCCCGCCGCCGCTGCCGCCGCCGCCGCCGTCTGCGTTGTCCGAGTCATCGTCCCCGTTACGGCTGGCGTCGGCGGCTGAAGAGCCGTCGGGTCGCGAGGCTGCAGGTTGCGCACCGACCGAGTCGCGCCGGGGGCCCAGCATGCTCGGAGGCAGGCCCGCCAGCGAGGCGTCCAGGTCACCGCTGGGCCTGTACACAGGACCATTCCTCAACATCTTCCGAGGTACTCTTGATGCTGTCGCCAATTTCCTCCATTTTTACCCAGGAACAGGAGTACCTCGATCTCAGCCATACTTCATTGCAGCTCTGAAATGCCAGCGGTGCAATCTGCAAGTCAGAGGACTGCATGAAGCCGGGCGGAGGCATTGGAACTTGCACTCAGCAAGCCTAGAAGAAGAAAATTTACCACACTATGAGTAAAAAAGCACACCTGGCGGTGGACATAGCGGTCTTCCAGGACTCGGCGCTGCTCAGGGATCTCGGCGAGTTGCTTCCCGGCAGCCCCACGGTCCCGATCTCGCCAGCCTCCATCGCATCGGCCTCATTGCGCGCTGACGATGACAGCCGTCCCATCTGCAGCGAGCCGGCGTGCGCAGCCGCGGACCTCTCAAAGGCCGACTGCGGCGGCGCGAGCACCGAGTTCCTGTCCATCACAAGACACACACCTCCTCAGTGTGCTGCAAACTTCTGATAATCATGCCACACAGTGCCAGGCATTGAGAAAAGGGGCCATACCAACCTCTGCAGCCGGCAACCAAAATGCAAGTTTGAGATTTGTAACTCAAAATATGGTAATGGTAAAATTTGCAACGATGAGCCGCCCACAGCACGTGATGCCAATGGACTTCCTGACTTATCCACCAGCGATCAACTAGTTTTGAGGTCCACATAAAAAGGTGGCAGAGCTGCAGCCCTTACCTGGCCACGACATCCCGGCGTACTGCAGAAGTGTCAGGCATGGCGTCGGTTGACGGGTGCACACTGAGGCGCCGCAGCGAGGCGGTCTGGCTTTCGCGCACATCGTTCAGCGTCAGCCCCGCAGGCTCCAAAATTCCGCGCACAAATTCGTCACCCTCCAACAGCGCCATCACCCCCGCCAGGCCCCCCTGCAGCGGACATTGCGTCATTCACCCCCTGGGACATTGGATTGGACATTTCACATGGATAATAAATTCATTTCAATGTCTTCAATGCCCCCTCGCATGTATTGTCCATGCTTTGCACCAACATCGCACTGACCAACTCAACAGAACACAACGCAGCACAGCGTCTCATGAGAGCTTCCTCAGAGGCAACCGTTAGAAGACGGCTGCTGTCAGTTGAATCTGTTGCCCAGCAGTCTCAGAACAATACTCTTAAAAAACATTAATCGGCGTAAAAAGTTCTTGAAAACTCACCTGCAGGCGCTTCTTGCGGTTCATTTGGGCGCGGCAAATGGCGGCCAGCGCGTCCCGGTATGCCAGCAGGTAATGCTGCAACAAAAGAAAACACTCCATCAGGTTTCGTTTTGGAAGTCAGGTGCGATTCTTGCAAGCAATTTTTCAGCCTCCTCTGACAGCCTTCCTCAGCTGCCACTCGTTGATAGCTCTCCACAGCACAGGGCTGCATCTGAGACAGAGAGCTCCCTTGCCCACTGTTACAGGCAGAGCCCATTGTCACCAGTGAAGGCCATTGTTACACGTTGTCACAACTCAAGCCCATTGCTCTAGGCAGAGCCCATTGCTACAAGGAAAGCCCACTGTTACAAGCAAAGCCTATTATTGCAAGTGAAGCACTTTGTTACTGGTGAAGCAGCAGGGGAGTGGGTGCGCACATGGTAGACAGAGGAGCCCACGGGTGTCTGCTGGATGGACATCTCGGCGAAGGAGGGCCGCACGAGCATGTCTCCGCGCACATTGATCAGCACTCGCTGCCCGGGCCGCTTGTAGAGCACCCAGAACTTGGCATTGCGCGCCACCGCGTCCTATGACAACACATCTCTCTCTGAATATTGCCACCATGCTTGATGGTGCTACATTTGGTGGGATGCCATCTGCTTCTGCAGCCAGCTGACGAAGAGCTGTTTCCAGGTGGCATGCAACACATCTGCCCTCTGCACAAACACATTTCCTCGCTATATGGAGCCAGTCCCACCAGGAGCTGTAGCAAATCTTTCAGCCTCTGTGAGGTGCTCTCAAGCCCACATACCACGCGTTTGAGTGATCTCGTTTCAATTTCCATTTTGATGTGAGGCATTGGGATATTTTATGTGGGCATGTCGGTCGTGGATGATGGACCAGGTCTCCACACTTATGACCCAATAATGGAAACAAACCCTGGATTCCTCCCTATCTGTGGTTTTAAATTTGAAATTGAGGGTGTGTGCATGCCTGGTCGTTGATGATGGACCAGGTGTCGGGCACGACGCGGCAGTAGTCATGCGCGAACGCGTGGTTGCCGGTGCGGGGGGATCCGAACGTGTAACAGATGACTCGCGTCACGCGATTAGGTAATCGCTCGAGGGAACGCGCGATGTCATACGCCGCCAGGTTTGCCAGCGCGCCGCCCAGCGAGTGGCCCGTCAGATACACCTGTGCCGGGGTGAACTTTTGAGTGAAGACAATTTAGCCATCTTATCCTATGCTGCATGTGGTTGTGTATGGGGGCTGACCACGACAGATGTGCAACACCGAGCCTTCTGGACCTCTGGCATATTTTCCATGGGATTAAAAATCCCTTCAAAACGACCTTGAATCAGCCAAGATACAGACATGGCACGCTGTTTTGGCAGGAGGGCCATGCCTTTGCTTATGAGATATGCTTTCTTTGAAAGAGCAATGCTGCTGATATTGAAAGGAGAGAACATTGATTCGCACCAAATGCATGCGCGTAGAAAGCACCCATTGCTGGGAAATCCAAGCCAAGCATGCCCTGACGAGAAACCGCAGCACCGACGCATATTACTGAGCAGGCATTATCTTTGCTCACTACCGGGGGCAAAGTCACCTTGGTGCAGGCCCATTCGTGGGAGGTGACGATGTCGAGCACGCGCGCGATGATGCGCTGGTCCAATCCGTTGGCCGCCCACGACTTCAGAAATCCCTGGTGCACCGCCGGGCGGCCCCTGCAGAACGGGCTGCCGCGCCGGGGCGGGTGCGGCACCTGCCACGCCTGCGCATGCACGTCAAGTATTAGTAATTTTGTCAGTAATTTCAGTAATTTTAGTAGAGCGTCTCGACGGATGGATATGATATGTACCTACAGGATATCACCTGCCGCGACTGCGCATGCATATGCCAGACAGAGGCAGAGGCAGACCCGCCACACTGGCTAAAGCAGCCTACACTGTGTTTTGACGCCACGCCCAACATGGAGGCAATGGAGGCATTGATTAAATTATTACTGGAGGCTATGCAAGGTTGCCTCACACTGAGGCTGCCAACTGCAAACTGGTCCATCCAGGAACGGCACGAGAGCACATCGCATGCGACATCTTTTCTCTGCATGCTGACGAGACTTGAGTTACCATCTGATCCCTTGCATTGGTAACGGGACGCACGCCAGTTGCAATGCTGGATGCTGCATGGAGTGATACTTGACGCACACATGCCATTAGCAATGCCGGGTAACTGTGGCTGCACCTGCAGATCTGCAACCACGTTCTTGAGGGAATTTGTGCCGCGAAAAACGATGACAATGCGACCAGGCCCCCAGCCCAGCAGCGCCATTGTGTCATGCCGCCGCTCCCACATCACCTGCACGCGAATTGATATTTAATTCCGCTTGCTTTTAAATATCCCTCAGCAGACTTGAGTCTGCAATCCCGTATATACTTCTCATGTCTACCTTCGCCAATTATGCCTTGCGTCACGTGCATCTCAGGGGCAAAGCAACAGTCACTCCTCAAAATTTGGCATTCCTGATGACAAGGATATGCTAAATTCACATATGTGCCGCAACACTGCCACACTTGATGGTAGGAGATATCTCTACATATGAGTGCGCATGCGAAGAGTGCAGCAGTACCTCCATGTGCTCCAGGCCATAGAGGCCCATGGCGGCATCCAACGAAAAATCTTCGGCCTTCACCGACGGCGTGCGCCCGCGCCGACCGTGCGAAGCACCCTCGCTCGACCCAGAAGTTGAGTTCGACCCCGAGCTCCCCTGCAACCCCACACAAATGCGTCATACCTTCCGTCTCCTACCACAAATGGCCGTAAATGTCCATGTACTGCTCTATGTGGCATGAGACGCAGTGATATCTTCTTCATCACACTCGGTTCAATCGGGACGAGGTCAAGTGAAGGGGTGCTTGCGGGTTTTTCCATTGCCGACATCGCTGTCTTCCTGGGCTGTGATCTTCAGAGGGAGGCCCATCTCACGAATGCTGTGAAGACACTGTCTGTGCAACTTTAGAAATGACTCTTAAACCTGGCTTATGCAGACATCTTGACTCACCCTTGCAAACCGCCCGTGTGAGCTGCCATCCACCTGCTCCTCCCCGGCGTGCACCGACTCCTCCCCAACGCCATCCCCGGTGCCGCCATCGGCGCGCGCGGCCGCGGCAGCCATCGCCAGATTATTCGCGGTCGGCTTCACGATGCGCGAGTTGCTGCTATTGCCATGGCGCAGCTTGCTCAGCGAAGCCGTGAGCTTCCGCCGCATCACGCCGATGTGCGTAATCTCGTCCCGCGGCTTGCCCGCCGTCGCCGACTGCACGCCGTCCAGCTGCACACACCCAATTCCATGAGCCAATGTCATGAGTACGGTGTTTACAAAGGTTTTTATTTTGTACTTCACGTGCACTGTTTCGGGTGACTAATAGTGTCAAAAGATGTCCTTCCAAGCACACAGCCCCACCAAAACAGGCTTTTTCAACTTGAGCAGAAATACTGCGCTGAGAGCAGAGCATGCGGGCAAAGGAGCATCCGAGAGTCGGTACTCTTTGTGGAAGCTGCAAAACACCATCATCTCGCACCAAGAGAGTAGCAAAACAATTGTGCAAGAGGGGGATGGGGTGCGGACCTTGTCGTAGAAGTAGATGATGTGGGAGAAGTAGTAGAGTTTGATGGCGGTCTCGAAGCAGAACATGGGCTCACGGTCGACCTCCTCGCGCACGATGCTGGTGAGGCGCAGGTTGCTGCTGCGCTCCTTGAGCCGCCGCAGCTTCTCCGCCTCCGTCCACGCAAATTCTTGCAGCCACACCTGCGGCCAGGGTAGCGCTTAGTCAATCAGCATGCAGGAGTTATAGAAGGCACTGCCGTTCTCTTTTGAGTCCATGGCATGGTCCTGCTCCCTGTCCCCTTGCATGCAATGCTCTTGTTGCATTGGAGATTCATCACAAATGCCTTGACTGAATGTGATATTTCGATATTCATAGGAAGCGTCAGACTCAGTTAAGGCTTCTACAACAAATCTCCACCGTGAAAAGGTGCTGCACCAATCATGTGGGCAAAAAGTGCAAAGTAACAGCCCCTGTTTCCTCTTCAGAAGCGTCAAGGACCTACATCAGACCAAAATGCAGATACATTCAGAGCGTATTCCTGTAAAGAGTACTCCAAGTAATGCCCACACCAGAATGACTCCAGCTGGTGCTCCACCTAAACTATAAAGCATGAGGCTAGTCCCTGCCTTTTGGAACTAGCCTGGTCCCAGTACGCTCTAAGGCTACTGGGAATAGCCTAAAGGCCTCCAATCAAAGAAATAAATCCAAAGCCCTTAGAAGGCGCTTAAAAGCGCTTAAAGAAGTCTAAACAGCAGTGGCTGAGGAGGGAACGCGCACCTGCAGGACCTGGTCCTGGGCGTCAGGGTCCTTGGGCATGAACATGTAGAGCATGACGATGATTAGTGATGTCATGACAAACTGCATGGGCAGCAGGCCCAGCGCGGCCGCCACGTAGGACAGGCAGCTGCCCAGCTTGACGTAATAATAGATGACTACGCAGGCCACGAAGAATGCCATGCCAGCCACGCGCGTGCGCACTATCAGCCGCACCGACAGATTTGCCATCCGGAAATCCCTGCGCGTGGCACCAATCTGTTCAACTCATGTGGCTTGGACCCTTCCAGCAAAAAATGAAAGCAACAACTTCGTGCACTGTTGAGTCACAGCACAGCACAACTTATGTATCTTTCACATACCGAGCGCACAAATTGCTGGGGCCCACACACTGTAAACATCCCAGGGCGTGGCCTCCTCAGAGTCACGGACAGCCTTGCATCAAAGTGTGCCAGATTGAGTGCGGACTAGGTGGCTGTCACACAACACCACCCTCAGGTAGAAGGCACGCTGTACACTGAAATGGCGGGCCCTCCTGAGCTTGGTCTTTCTTGCTGCCTCAAGCGCAATCCATCTGAATTCGAATTATAATTCAAGTTCGAGTTTAAATCTAGACGGAACGCGCCCGCAGTTGGTGGAAAGTGCAGCACAGGTGGAAGTAAAATAGCCATCCTTCTAAATTCAAGTTCAAATTCAAAGAAGAGGGAACGCGCCTGTAGTTGCGCGCTCGCAGCTGGTGAAAGGCACGGCCGAGGTAGAAGAAGAACAGCGCGAAGTAGGCCAGAAAGACAGCCGACTCCAGGCTGATCAGCACCACAGTCAGGTTGTCATGCCTGCAGTCGTATGTCCAGCTGCGGCAATCCCCCTCTGTCCCCGGCGGCATGTACGGCGGTGTAATGTGCTTCCTGCATGCATGCACAGATGCATGAAGAATTTCGGGTTATCACGACTTAAAAAGTATTACCATGTGGCCCGGCAACCCTGACAGGTGGTAGCGGTATATCTGCGTATTTGCTTCTTCCATGCACGCCTGCAAATGTCCTTTATATGTGCCTTTAGAACAACTCATTTATCATGTGCTTCGGCAACCTAGCACAGTAGGCAGCAGATTGCACTTGTGTTGCTCCTGACTTCAAAGTACTTCAAAGAAATGCCCCCTCATAAACTTGCAACATACGGTACCTATGCATACGATGTCTGCAAGGTCCCAATTTCATACTTAATGCGCTATGCAACAGCGAGGCAAGCAATTGTACAAGGAAAGTGCCGATTGACAAGGTCAGGAGACAAGAGAACGCACCTGTTGAGCACGAGGTGCACGGAGGTGGCCTTGAGTGCTTCTGCGCCCGCCCACAGAATGAGCTTGGGTGTGTGCACTGCCCAGGGGGCGTCGAGCAGGGTAGCATCGGCGCGGTCACCCTTGGGGTTGCCCTCCCTGTCCAGCCACAGGTTCAGGTTGTGCACGCGCACCTGCAGCAATATTTTGAACGCATTAGTTCCCACAATTCAAACATAGTGTACGCACTCTAGCCTCGAGAGAAGCCTGATTGCATAAAAGATGAAATTGTTGGATCAAGGGTACCCCAGAAGTGACCTTAACAAGACACAGGAGTCCAACAGCATTGCGCACAGCACTGCTTGCATGTTGAATCTGAAGTAGACACAGCAGGACATCAACATGTTTTTTGGAAAGTTGCAGGGTGCAGTATCCAAGGGTAGCATTGGCACTGCACCACTGACAGCAGGAAGAAGGCACTGCTTGCATGGTGGACGTAATGCAGCAGGCAGGTCCAGGAGACAGTGTATCACTGATTCCAAATAAGTATTCAGTGCCAAGGGTAGCAAATGGGCACCGCAGCACAGTCAGCAGGAGGAGGACACTGCTTGCATGAGTATTGCAATGCGGCAGGCAAATCCGACAGAATGTGGCACTGCCTTTTCCAGAGAAGGACGCAATATAAGATGAATTTTGAAGGCAGTGAGGCAGCGCACCAGGGACAGCAGGAAGAGGGTGTTCCAGCAGGTCCAGCTGGCAAAGGCTGACCAGAGCACGATGTCATCGCGCCAGCCACATGGGCGCACGAGCACGTACACGTTGGCAATTATGAAGAATGACAAATTCAGCAGCTGCGAGATGGCCTCCACCAATAGCACCACTGTGCTCTTGAAGCGCCGCCGTGACCACAACCGCCGAAGCCTGCACATACACAGCAGCGGAGCTCTCAGAGAGAAATATAGGAGAAGTATTAGATGTGGCCTGTTGGGATATTCTCGTGTCGTGAGACGGAAGACACGCATGCAGGATGTAAGTCATTGAAATGCATCATCTCCTCTGTTGCTCTCCATCAAATGTTGTGGCAAAGAAGCGGAGAGAGACAGGCAAAACAGCACAATTGAATGCCTCGTCTGATCCGTCTCAAAAGAGGATCATTCAAACAATTGTGGGGTCCGGATAAAGAGATGGTGGGCTGAAGGTCCTTCAAAAATGGGTGTCGCTGACACGCTGTAAATCTGGGAATCCCAGAAGCTGCACTGCACCTCATTATTTCTCACCGTGCATGCATGCCCATATCCATGCGCACACGACTGTACAGGGTGCGCGCAAACGCACTTGCCCTGGAGGCATTGCTGAGAGGTATTTGAGAGGTATCTTAGATGTATCTAAGAGGTACTCAAAGGGGAAAAGGGCGTGCCTGTTGGCGCGGTGGATGTGGTGTAGGTAGATGGCGAAGAACTCCAGCAGCACGAGCCACAGGATGATGCCGGTGCATGCATTGACCAGCACCAGAGTGTTGTCTGCGATGAAGTAGTTGTCCTTCTTGAACAGCTTGGCCAACAGCACAAGAATCAGCGCTGCTAGGCCCACCAGCTCCGCGCAGTGAATGAAGGCTATTGTCCACTTGAGGTCTATTTCGCACAGGTACTCGATTCGCATCACCACCGAGCCTGTGGGATCAAAGTGCCCGCTGGACGACCCTGCAAGGAAAACAATGCATAGTGTCAGTTTCCTGCTGATGCTCAGAGATCAGCCATTTGTCGGCTGTCAATTTCCTGCTGCTGCTCAGAAGTCAGCCATTTCTTGACTGTCATGCCTACTACTGTTGACCCTCATATCTGATTCGTGTCTGCTTTAGATCACTGAGGTAAGTCTAAATAGCGCACTTGCATGACGGCTGGCACATGAATGTGCATGCATGCCTGACAACAAGCCCACGTGGTTAGCTCATAGGCATGCTTCTGTCCACCCTGTACACGATGCAGAATGAGGTTCCCATGAAAACACATGAAAATACAAGCCTGGAGAAAACGAGAGAACACCTGAGGAGGAAGACATGCTTGGCGCACTGGGAAAGCCTTTCTCCTCGTCCCCCTTGCCATAGTTCTGCCGCAGAGTCTTCTCCATAGCCTCAGCTTCCAGGCCCGCGTCCTTTATGAGTCCCCCCTGTGGCGGCTGGGCGGTGGCCACAGCTGCGGGCGGGGGAGCCGCAGAGTCCCCCCGCTGCGACGGCCGCTGCGGCATCAGCGGCGCCGGCGCCTTCAGCGCGATCGATAGCGCCTGAGCAGCAGTACCAGCACATCAGCTAATGCTTGACAATCTCATAAAGCAAGACATTTGAAGGGATAAGAGCAGAGGATTGCCAGAGGGTATTTTCAGCTTCACACACAGAAGCATTGCAGCACTGCACTTTGATTGGCATGGCTCAAATCTACAAAGTCCTGGTGCCTTGTCACCTGGGCATTGCGCACCTGCCAGCACCATACCTCGACCAGGAAAACAATAAGGATGTAAAGTGAATGGCAGTGTCGCTAGCATTGAAAAGGGATGTCCTGGAAAAGTGGCACACCTCTGCAGACATGGCGCCCGGCTGCTGGGTGAGCGTGCCGCCGGGGGCGTTGCCTCCGCTAGGCCGGGGGGGCACCGCCACCGACACCACCGGCGGTCGCAGTTCCCCCTCCGCCTTGCGCTTTGTCGAGAGCCTCCCTGCTGCATCCCCAGCAGGAAAATCCGCCGCTCCTGGCCGCCTCGGCCGCGCTGCAAGCACAAGCACATCGATGTGAATCAACGGTCTTGATTTTATCATGCAAGAGCTCAACAGCACGAAGCGGCCCTGCAGCCTCTGCCGAGTGCAGAAGACACAGAAGGAAACAGCAAAATTTGCAATCCTTTGTAGATTAACCTTTAGTGAGGAGATGACAACGCAGCAGCTTGATTTCCGGCAAATGATTTGGATACCCCTAACCATATGCTTGAAGTCAACAGCACTTCAGCCCTTAGAGGGGCTGAGAAAGTGCAAGACAGGTAGACTCACTGCGAGGCACAGGATCCTCGGGTGAGGCCTGCTGCGGCCGAGCAGGGGTGCGCTGCACTGGCGTGCTCAGCTCTACCCTCTCTGGGCTGCCCGCCTGCCCAAATCCTGGCCTACTGGCGCCAGTATTATCCCGGATCTGTGCTGCAGCGCTGCTGCTTAGGCCCTGCTCCTCTGCAGGCATCTCTGGGAGTGCGCTGCCCACAGCAGAGTCCTCAGGGAGGCTTCCTGCTGGTAGCTTGCCCCGTGGCATCTGTGCGCGAATTTGGGCCCCTGCAAAGCCAAGCTTATTGTTGATCTGTTTGATTCCTTGTGGCTATGCTGACGCATCTTCTCTACTGGTGTGCGCATGCAAAATTCCTCCAATACATCTGGGCGCCATTAGTAAGCTGCCAACATCGCTCTGGATCCTAGGTGGTCAGACGAATGCATGTATAGATGTGAAGAGGAGCTGTGTACGCACCAGAGGTAGCAGGCACGCTTTGGGAACGAGCTCGTGAGCCATCCAAGCTGGGATCTGGTGGCGTGGTCACACGAATCAATGATGTGCTTCTAGTGGGTGCTTGAGACCTGGGTCCGCCCCAGAACATGCCACTAAGCATCCATCACCTGCACCCACTTGCCCGTCAAGCTCTCAGTCCAGGATCGTCCAGGATTGGATCAGCCTGATACGGCGTAGGCCAATGAGACATCCACTTTCAGAGCAGATCTTACATTGTCCCAATTAATGAACAAGCCCGCAGCGTTCGTTTGCTGCTACAGACAGATGTCCAGATGTCAAGGGCTTCCCATCATAACAACGAATTGGTCACTGCTGTGGTTAAAAGTCTTTGTTTGATTCTGTCAAAGTAGACGGCACTGATCAAATAGTCAATCTCACATAAGCTGAGATGGGTGACGCCTGCGATGTTGTACACTAGCACGGAAGACTCCTGCACCCATCAAAGCAACATAATTTACACGATCACCATGTCCAGGGCCTTCATTATTCGAATAAATAAGAAGAGACGTGCTAATCGAGACTTTTCATTAGTACCTTTCTGTAACTTGGCAAGATGACCGCCGATGCACGAAGGGTCCCACGTCTCCACGGCACACGTCGGAAGCGTGATGCAATCTAAATGATCTGTGTACACAAGACCCAACTAATTTGGTCTGAGACGACGCGGGATCAGTCACTAGTCATCGCACAGCGACGCTCTCTGTGTGAAGCTCGAGCGCACTCGGGGAGCGGCGTACCTCCATCGTTGGCCCTCCTGTCGTTTGGCCAGCCCAAAAGCAATCATTTGGAATAACCATCCAATCTGCAGGCAAAGTGTCTTTTGAGGCGAGGCAAATTCCGACGGAAACCGCTGGCATTAATATAGAGACAGTCGTGTTGCAAATCTAACCGTTGTAACTCGAACAGGGATTTTAGAGGGCCACTGGCTGGCCACACAGCCCAGACTGGCATCGCTGTCGCCTGTAACATGACAAAGTAGCCATTTTTAAATCTAGCTATCTGACGACAATGAACCAATCGTGCACGATGTCGTCTTCGTTTCAAATTGCATCAACTCTCTGCTACCTTGGATCAAGCGCTGGACGCCCCTTGCAGAAGGTGAGAATGAGACAAAAAGAAATTCTCTGTCGAATTTGCATAATTGTCCCAATGTCTTTGGCTTTTGCCGAGCCAATGGCAGTTACCTCCTGATTCCACAGAGTATGCCACAAGATGCACGATGTCCTGTGAGCATTTGCTTATAGAAGCCCGCAAGTAAGCCTTTGATGCGTTGCTGTATTCTTAAAGAATCATCATTACAGCTGCATCGCACAAATGGGGCTCCTGCTAGTTTGGAGGTGTGGAACAGCACTCATAATCAAACATAAGACTGACCACCGACCAGGGAAGGTGTCACCAACACGGCCCCTGCAGCACATGCTCCTTATTCTCGTAATTATCAAAGATTTTCAAGGTACCATTCTGACCAGGTGGCGATTGTTTGCAGGTCAGCCAACTGGCGCCTGTGCGAACTGGCAGCAGGGTCCCAAGACGGAGCAGCTTGCGCATAGCAGCGTCATACCGCGAAACTGGGCAGCCCTTTGACGTCACAGCCGCTGCCAGAGCAAAGGTCGGCAGCTACTGTCCGCACCCCCAATTGTCAGTGGGGAGCATGAAGAGTCAAACGCTCTCAGCAGCACTCCGTGCTAGCTCAATTGCGCCACCTTCCCAGGATACTGCATGCCCCACAATGTTACACAGTAATGTCTTGATTGAGCAACAGATTGGTGGTCTTTTTAGCTCATCAAGACATCCAGCAAGACCAGAAATGTGTGGGCGGCAGGAAACAAGAAAAACTCTACAATGAACGTTTGAGCACTGCCTGAGTCTCAACGCTGCCTGTGGATATGTACAGGTGGGGGCGGGCCCTGCCGGCAATGGCAAGGCGCCTGCTGGTGGGCTGGCAGACTTTGCGCGGAAGCTGCGCGCTGCGTGGCAGATATTCTTCCCGCCGCCGGTCAAGGACATCAGCCCCAAGGAGGAGGGCAAGAACCGCCTGCGCATGATCCTGGTCGCCGACAGGTGCGCGCACATGCCGCATTGCTGCTGTTGTGCACCTGGTGTGTGCCGGTCATGTGCGCGAAGAAAAAACACATGAAGAATGAATGCACGACAGGGACCCTTGTGGGGGACAACTAAGCATCTGATTACAGCCAACAGGCGGTAGGCATGAATACAAAACATCGCAGGCTGTTGGCATTCAGAGGGCTTGATCGTTTACAGACTGCAGGGTAGAGCTGCTGCCTGGCTTGCAGAGATTGGGCATGCCGAACTGCATTGGAAGTGGGTGCCATGAGTCTTGCAGCTTTAGGAAGTTGCACTGTGCACTAAGATCCACTATTGGTGAAAGGTTACTATAAGGTCATGAATGGTCATTCACTTTGGCAAATATGGTCTCACCGGAGGTACTTGCTAGCTGGAGTCCTGCAAAAAGTAACATTCTTGGGACTGCATGAGGATTTGACCATCACTCATGTGCCGCTTCAATGGTCACACTTTGCGAATCACCCTACCACATCTGCAGCAACGGCTTTTGACTAAAATAGAATTCAAACTGAATCACTTGAAGCTGGCAAGTCAAACATGATCTCGGCAATGTTGCGCATGGCAAATTCGCCTCCAAAGCGTCTGGGTACTGATGTATTTAGAGGGTCTAACGCCAGGTCTTGACGTGTTGCGCACAGGTGCGGCATGAACCCGGCGAGCCTGCACGACATGAAGCACAGCATTGTGCGCGCTGTGCAGGACTACGTCGACATCGAGGCCGAGGAACTCATCGAGGTGTGGTGCCATTGCAGGATGTTGCAACTTTTATGCACAGAGTTTCTTTGCTGTACTCTGGGTCTCCAAGTGCAAGCATAAGAAGAGGGCCTCATCTGATTGTTGGGCTCTCAAGTGTGTGTCCTAGAACCTTGCTTATGACAGGTGGTAATGGGATAGAGGCCAGCAAGGTCAATGTGCACATGCCACACGTGTCCACACACAGCAGGAGATTGCAAGCTATCAAACTTTACTGGTGCAAAATTCACAGGTATTCACATGGACCCTCAAGCCTCAGGCCTCTTACACACCCCTGGGCGCAGGTGAACATCTCCACGGATGTTGACCTGGGCACGATCTACTCGGTGGCGCTGCCTATAAAGCGCGTGAAGCCGGTGGCGCGCGTCCCCATGGAGGATGACGTGGATGTGGACGGCATCACTCTGCGCTGGGATTCCGACGACCCCGAGTCAGACCCGTCCTCCGAATTTCCCTTCGGCTGCTGAGGGGAGCACGCGATATCAGATTTTTGCAAGACCCCCCCTGGGCTGCTGAGGGGCGCGCAGTATCGAGAATTTCTAAATTCCCCTCAGCCGCTAGGGGGTTGCGCAATGTTGGTTGTAGAAATGCCCCCTTGGCCTCGGGGGAGGCGCGCTTGCCAAAATCTGTTTTCCCAATTGGCTGCTGAGGGGAGCGCGACAGCGGGTCTTCTGTATTCCCCTTTTGGCTGCTGAGGGGCGCGCGGTATCAGGTTACTTTAGTCCCCTTTGGCTGCTGGGAGGCTTGCGGTTACGGGTCTTGTAGGTTGCCCGCTTGGCTGCTAAGGGGGAGCGCTATTGGGTTTTCAGATTCCCCCCTGGCTGCTAGGGGGCGCGCGAGATCAGATGTTTATGTCATTCGCTGGAGGCTATGATGCCAGGCTGACCCTATGCATTACTGAGGGGATGACATCAGGGGTGTGGTTGCCATGGCAAGGAGCACTGTGGAATCGGAAGTAACGTGTGACAGATGTATCACGGGAGAAAGGACTGCTGCACTGTTGACAGTGCACAGACCGTGAGCCTGGAAGATCAATGCAGCAGGGTGTGCTCGCAGCTGATACCAGAGATTTGATTAATTCGGATTCACAGTACTGGCCTTGCCGCCACAATGAACTGGCTTGAAACAGCAGAAGAGGAGAGTGGTGTCTGGACTCCAAAGGGCCCTCCTTTGATTGGACGCAATGCATCAGTGTTGCGAGGACAGATGCCTGCTTGTTGCTTTGCTGGCAATTGTGGCGGTCAGTTGTTTGTGATGGGCACCGGATGACTTTGACATCATGCAAACAAGCAATTTGCGCAGCAGGGACAATCCAACATGAGGGAAGAAAGCAACAGGAACTTGTGGTGACAGAGTTTGGGACTTGAAGTGCGTGAATGGTACTCTTATTTGCAATCAATGCTTGTTGTCAATTTAATGAACTTGCAACTTCGTGTTACTGAGATCAAAATTCTGATGTCACAATTTCCTGTAAAAATCACATTGCTGGAGGTATTGTAACCTGCAGCGTGGGTTTGCACATTGCCCTCGAGCTCTGTGCACTTCTCCAAGCTGGCAGTATTACCAACCCTACCATGCATTGTCCTTGTAAGCATGCATGTGCAATGAAGCTGCTGCAGCAATGTGGGGGAATCAATGCTTGGAAACCCGTGCACCATATCAGTTCATGTTGCACATGCTTTGGCTTCATGCTCAATGACTGTGCACTTGAGAATTTGAATGGACAAGTTGACTATATAGTCGTGTAAAGGTCAGTCGCTTACATTCTGGGGCATACTCGCAAAAATGGCAGCGTCTGTGTCAATCAACTGGACTATTGTTCTTCAATCCAGTGTTTGGATGCACTCTGGAAATGCGAATGTTTAGGGTTTAGGGTTTACCCTAAGCTCCCATAGGAAGGTGTCCTGGGTGTGCTCCCTTCAAGTCCATACACGTTGCAATTGCATGACAGCGTTTTCATATGATCTTCCCGCCCGCTCCAAGTCAATTGCCCCCATTGCCGCGGCCGGAGCTCCGGGTCCGCGGCTCACGCGCGGCTTGAAGGCGCCCGTTCCCATCGCTGCAGGGTTAGGTTTTGCATTAGCTACCACACCTGCTGCGGCAACAGCCCGGGACGCGACCGCCAACAGTGCGGCCGGAGCAGGTGGCATCTCAAAGCGTGGCACTGCTAGCTCCGCCGCCTCTTGTCCTCCGGGCGGCATTGGCATTGTCAGCGTTAGCTGCCGTCGCGACTGCTCCGACCTGCCTCGTCTCCTCCGCCTCCGTTGCCTCCTTTGCCGCTCTGGCCTCGTTTGCCTGGGCACAGGCGTGCTCGGGGGGAGGCACGGTAGAACTTGGTGGTGTCCTCTCGAGGCCGGGCAGGTTCGTGGTCGGTGTCATCGAGAAGACAATCTGCCCTGTAGCGCCCTTGTCGCGGGCCTGGTGCACTTACAACCCCGTCAGAGGTAAGCCATTTCATTACAAGTGAGGTGGAATGCATCTGGTCAGCACTGCTGCATGGCATGTCTGGCGATTCTGCGAGGCAGGCACTGGGAAGTCCCGTCAGATTTCAGAGAGTGGCAGGTTGTCTGCAAATTTGTTTTCAGACAGTTTGGCTTCAACTTACCATGCAGTGTGTCTTCCCCACCCCTTCCGCCTTGTCAGCAGTCAGCCTTGGCCCGGTCAACGCGCGCCGCAGCTTAAGGTATAGCGAATGTGTGTCTTCCATGCCGTCCCACACTGTCCGTTTGATCAAGTCGAGCACGAGACTGATTGCTCCGTTGGCGATTATGAGGTCCCCGACAGCTTGCCTGGGTGCGCTTCCTGTCTTCAGCTGACGTCAGGTACTCGAACACTTCTGGGTGCTTGTCTTTGGCGATCTTCAGCCGTTCGTCTCTTGCATCACCTGGAATCGAGGTCATACCACCTCATGCAGCGGACAAATAGGCATGAATGTGGATGCTATCCACTTGGGCAGCGCCTACGCAGCGCGTAAGCTGTAATCGAAGACAACCTAAGCAATTCGGGGTCACGCACGAGGAATATTCTTGATGGCGTTCTTCCATGGAGTTCTCGAGTTCCTGACACCTGCCTCCACAAGCATCCCCTGCACCGGAGAGGAGCCGACCCAGGGCCCCCGCCAGCGTCCCGCAACACCGGCATGCACACAGCGCACCCCCCGGGCGGCACCACTGCCACAACATGCCACGGGTTCTGCAGCATCATCGATTCACACTGTCTCTCCAGAATTCAAACCTGAGAATTGGGCTGACAGAGGGCTGTGACGGTTGGGCATGCAGGCCGCATGCCTGTAGCCTGAAAAGCCACGTCATGGGCGCAACGTGGCACAGCGCAGCGTAGTGCACACTTCGACACGCTGACGAGCCCGGCTAGGCGGTGCCCTCAGCCTGAAAAGCCACGTCATGGGCGCAACGTGGCACAGCGCAGTGCAGCACACGCTTTGGCGCGCTCATGCGCGTGGCCAGGTGGCGCGGCCATTTGACACCGAGCACGTTGGAAGATCACAGGGCTTAAAGTGCTGAACATGAAGGGTCTCTGGCGTTCTGGGACACCACCGAAGACCACACACGACTGCATGCATCCAGAACGCTTACCTCCCCCGGCGACACCTAGCTGCGGAAAGGCGACACGACGTACTGGAAGGCCTTAGCGCCGCCCTGCCCAGGTCTTCTGACGGGCACCGCCGGCTGTACGAGCGGCGCGGGTTGTGCACGGGCGCCAGAGAGCCGCGCATGACCGCCGCCCAGCTGCAATGCCACTCAAGATCAGCCTTGTGGGCGACTGCGTCAATGCCGGGCCTTGAGATGTTACTATAAAAGTCGTGGGCAACCTTCAGGGTCCCATGACACTGTTCTGCGCAATTTTTGCCCCAACTGCTATTGCAACAAACTATAAAACGCCAGGAAAGAATCCTCAGCATCAATGTGAGCTGTCACGGTAACAGCGGCATCGGGATTTGTAAATTGCATGCATCAACCGAACGTTGAGATGTGCGCAGCAGTTGCGACCAAGCCCAGTCATCACTGGCTAACGATGCCCAAAGCATCCAGCCAGAGACCCAGATCAACCAGCTATCACAGCGGCTAGCAGGAACAGAGGCGAGGCAGAGCCGGTGGCAGAGCAAGAGAACATTGATGGTGATTGGACAGGTGTACTACAAACATTAAGTGCGACCTTGTCCAGGATACAGAGATGTGGGTTTGGATAAGTCTGCAGCTCGCCATCTATCCTGGATCTCAAAAACCCATTAGCTTGTGCCGCACCTGGGAGGACGGGCCAGACGCGTCCACGCGCAGCGCACCCACTGCAGCCAAGCCCAGGGCACCGTTGCCGGCATCCCCTACGCCTCCGGCAGCTGCAGCAGCTGCCGTCGCGGCAGCGCCCGCTTACACCTCCTGCTCTGCAGCCAAGTCTGCCGCTGCTGCCTGCATGCCAGACGGGTTGCCTCATAATAAGTTTCGAGATGGCGTGCCGAAATGGCCGCGCACGACTGCAGTGCAGACAACTTGTTGAACGTTGAACGTTGAACGCACGGCGCAGCAGAGATGCAACCAGTGTCCTTACACATCGTAACGCAAACACGGAAATGCATCACCTTCTCTGCTGCCGCCGCCGCCTTTGCCGCCAGCTCACGCTCCATCTCCTCTGTGCCCCTGGTCGTGAGGACTCTCAGGTCCTTTGTCACAACACATTGCTCATTGCTCGAGGTATGCCCACGACGGGTTTGCCCACAGTGCGTCAGACAGACGGGGGAAGACGACCGGATCCTCTCCCCGCTTCCATGGATATGAGCGCCAGTAGCCAAAGCACCTGCGTCGCAGTGCCAGGCAGCCGGTCGTTCTCTGCGAGCATTGAGGTGCCTCGCTGTCACTTTCATGTGCATTGCACCGCAACGGCGTTGCATCCTCCCGGGACCCTGCCCTGCCGTACACCCAAAAGGGCCATTCATGTACAGTCGGCAGGCGCAGGAGGGAGAAGAGCAGATCACTGGACATCACACACAACGGCAGATCTCTCACCGCATCAAGCCTTCGGCCCATCTGTAGCCGCTCGTCTTTCCAACTCGTTTGCCCCTCCACAGCACTCCATTCCGGAATCGGGGATCCCCGCCGTGGCGAGGTACGAGCCGGCCTCTTCCATCATGTCGGCGAGGTACGGATGTTCCGGTCTCGCCTCGTCGATCAGTCTTTTGAACTCCGACTGGAAGACCAGGTCCCGCTCGTTTTTCCTTACGGGCTGGCCCGCTGCATGCACAAACCCCGCGGCACTGAGTATCAACCACCCGGACCGGCGACATCGTGATCTCATAAAGCACATTGATGTTGGCAAGAAGTTGCACACATGCACGGATGCTGCACGCAGTCGCACAAGGCACATGGCCTCTTACGATGGTCATCACCTGATTTGTCGCTGCATGGACACCAGTTCAGTCATCGATAGTGGGCCGTTGGATTCTTTGGTCAGTGGGCGCATTGATGCTCAACTGGCAGGATGCTGTGCAAACCAAGTGGGCTCGTGGACTGGATCTCATCCCTGCGACAGGATTGGGCTTGACATATTCAGTCGCGCTGTATAAAGTAAAGCGGGCAACTGGATAATCAGGCCGGAGATATAATATGAGACAGGCCGACTGTCTGCAGGGTGATCGATTACGTTTGCGGGGTGCAAGACGCCAGTCGGAAGCGACGAGCACGGCATGCTTGATGGCCTCACGGAGGCGGCCAGAAGCGACCTCGCTCCCCGTCCAGCCCTTTTTACTGCACGGACAACAACTCCCACTTAGCACAGTGCTCGACTGATCAACAGACCCCCTGCGCGAACCGCGGTGTGCATGTAAAATAGGGCCTCTACGTGGGGCTGGCAATCTGACCGCAATATTTCTTTAGAAAAGCCACCGTCCAAGGAAGATGATGCTGTCGCACGTTGGGGTCAAGCCGGTAGGTTGCAGTAAGTGCACAAATAAGCACCTAGGAAGGCATTCGGGCACTCACTCGTATCCAGTGCCGTAGGGCGTGTCGAGGATGAAGAGGTCATTCGGGTTGGTGGGGCTGATCAACACGCACTCGCCGGCGGCCTTGGCCGCCCTCGCCGCGGGCGGCATGTGACCCCCCGAGAATCGGTTGCTGCGCCAATCGACGGTCGTCAAAGCCGACACCTCCCGGTACTGCCGTGCCTCTTCGGCCTTGTCCACCCAGGGGTCTAGAAGGGGGTGCTTCGCCATTTGCTCCAGCAGCCAGGGGTCCGCCTCATATTCTGTCGGGAACAACTGCGCATGCACACGAGGATGCTGACCGAAATAGAATGGGGAGAGGCCTGTGTGCACAGACGGGGCGGGTCAGCACTGCTGCCTCTCTGGGGCGGCATATGACAATGCAGTTTGACCCTGTAGCCCCAGAGACCAGACTGCAACGCTTGAGGCAGTTTGGGTGAGATGAGACAAGACGCGACGCCTTCATGTCGATGGGAGGTGGTCAAAAGAGCGACCGAGGAGGGACTCACCCATCCTGGAAGTTCCCAAGGTCGTGCACCTGCTGGGATGCGTGTGGGGTCGCCCATGTACTACAGGATGACCCTGCTGTCATCAGATAATAAAAGGTGTTTATGTAGGACCGAAATCTCATGTTTCAGGACTGCTACGTCTCAGGTCGGTCACTCCGTTAGTCAATCAGGTTTTATATCAATGCCAGCCGCCTGGGGCCCGTCCCCGATGCCCGACCATGAGCGTCAGAGTCATCGCATATCAGAATATCCAACCTTCAGTAAATAAGCTTGACAACCCTAAGGAGATCCTCCTGCAAGGGTGTACTTGTGCGATTGTATGCCATACAGGACAATCCAAGGTTAGTACTACTAGTAATATGTTTACAAGCCAACACACTTTCCATCTGAGGCATCTTCAGAAGAATTTCCTGGTGCGTGCCCTTGATTGAGTTGATCGACTTGTTAAAATTCAACATCGCAGTTAAAGCCTCCCGCGAGCTTGCTGAGACGCACAGAGGTGAGCAGCACCATACAATGTCCATCCTTGAAGAGGGGAGAGCGGCATACGACATCAGAGGCGTACGATCGCTTGGTGTCACAAACTTGAGACTGAGCAGCCAGCTAATCCTCGTCCCCGCACTTCATCAGTCACTGGGCGGGCTGAAGTCATCGCTGCATGGACACCATTTGACATCTCTGTTGAGCGTACCTAGTCCCTGCCTTTGAGCTGACGCATGTCTTCAGCATATAAATATGCACGCGCTTCATTACAGGCACGTCTGAATCTCGCTGACTGAACGCACAGCCTCCTGAAGGGTTCGCCATGCCTGCACAGGCTACCGATGCTTTCAACAAGGAGGATCTGGAGTGCGGTCGCGCGCTGGAGGGATTCCCTACGACCGCGGAGGCGTTTCCCGAGACCAACCCGATAAGCCTCGACTGTGGCCAGATGCAGCTGCACCAAGTGTCTGGCCTCATTCGCAAGGCGGTGCGGGATGAGTTTGATGATCCGGTGCACTCGATATTGTTTTGCGCTGCAACAGCCGCACCGGATTCAGCGCCGGTCATCTTCGAAGAGGTGATTCTGCCCGCGCGTGGGAGCTGTTTGCTCGCAACTTCACCGCATGGGAGCCTTCTCTACTCTGAACAGATGCATTTTGGATTTGAAGATTCTCGCCTGCGCCGATCTCTGGACGCGAACAATGCTTGACTGGGGGGTGTCCTCGTAGGTCAGCGATGAGTTTGGTGACAATCTTATTCCCTATTCCGGAGAGGAAGGGACAGAGATCTTCAACAACCCTGATCCTGGGAGGGATTCCCTCCCGGGTACGTACACAATTTAAACGGGGTTGATTGGTGTCATAATCCTTTTCTGTCGACGCCCAGTCGGGAAGCTGACTGACTGCATACGCGTGTTAAAGGTCGAACCCGCCCAACCCGCGCCGCTCGTACAGCCGGCGGTGCTTGTCAGAAGACCTGCAAGGCGGCGTTAAGGCCTTCAAGTACGTCGAGCTCACCTTTCCGTTGGCGACAGCGAGGTAGGCGTTCTGGATGCGTGCAGTTGTGTGTGGTCTTTAGTGGTGTCCCAGAACGCGAGAGACCCTTCATGTTCAGCGCTTAAAGTCCTGATTTTCCCACGTGCTCAGTGTCAGATGGCCGCGCCACCTCCACAAGCCGCTGCGCGCACGGCGGGGGGGTTGGGGGGCCCAGCCCCCCAAGTGAGCGGTACAGTTCCGGCCAGCCCTGCCTGGCTGCTTGGACTGAGCGCACGGCGGGGGGTTGGGGGGGCGCAGCCCCCCAACTGGGCCATTCACTGTTCATGTATGCCTTCCATGTGCGTAATCTGCGACGCGTAACGGGGCTTCTGGACTCGGGGGGCGAACTTTGGCTTTTCTGGTTTTAAGCCGCTGTGCGCACAGCACGGGTTTGGGGGGCGCACCCCCCCAATTGAGCCTTATAGTTCTTTTTAAGCCTCTAGAGATCTCTGGCCGCTTATCTTAGTATGCTGCGCGCCCTCGGGGGGCTTGAGCCCCCCTGATGATGCTTCCACTCATCGTGCAAGCTTTGCATGCACATCCCCTATTTGTTTTGCCATGCCCACAGCTTATGAAGGGACGAATCAGAGCCGCTCAAAGCGGCTTTGTTTGCATGCAGTCTCCGGAGACTCTCATGCCCTTCATTGATCGCCATAAGCTTCACGTAGCCTAAGTATACAACTTGTGACTATTACATGCACCCAAAAGCCCTCCTCGAGAGGTTCTGATTGAAATCTAGAGGGAACTGGCTGATTCCTGGCTGGCTGCCTGCTGTTGCATGATTACATATATTGCCAAATCGTGCAAATCTTTATCGAGCGGCAAGAGATCCGAACCGGGTCGAAAGCCGCTCATGTATCCCGTCGGCGTCAGTGGTCTAGTGGTAGAATACGTCCCTGGTAGGGACCCTGCCACCGCGGCTCCACCTTGCGTGTCAACTGCCCCAGGCAAGCTGGGCTGAGAAAGATTCTCTTGCCGCCTGCCCACCCGACTGCTCGAGATTGACAGGATTTCCATCAACTTTGCCGGATGGGATCAGCAGAGAGAGAGAGAGAGAGAGAAGGATAGAGAGAAGGATAGAGAGACTTGCAACCAGCCATGGGAAGGCAGGTCGCACGGGTCACCTGCCTGACCCAAACTCAGTCGTGTCATCGAATGCAGTGTTATTGTTTGATCAGATGCCCCGGTCCCTTCCGTGTTGCACAGCACGCAAAAGCCTGAAATCTACCAATTGGGATGGCGGGCAGCGCATCTTCTGTGGTGCGCCCGCCCCGGGTCGCCTCGCGCAAAAGCCGAAATCTACTTGATGAGAGGGGTGCGTTGCGTCCACGACTCAGCACCTCCGAGCTGCAGCACGCAGAAGCCCGAAAGCTACCTGATGGTGGCAGTTATGACCATGGTGGGGCACGCAAAAGCATGAATCTACTTATAGAGCCGCGGCACGCAAAAGCACAAAGCTAGTCATGAAGTGGGATCACGCAAAAGCAAGAATTCTACTTTCTGCAGCACGCAAAAGCCCGAAAGCTACCTGATGATGGAGATCATCACCATGGTGGGGCACGCAAAAGCCTGAAAGCTACCTGATGGAGCCGCGGCACGCAAAAGCATAAATCTACTTATGGAATGGACGTCACGCAAAAGCCAGAAAGCTACTTGATGGGGCTGCAGCTCGCAAAAGCATAAATCTACCACTATAAGGGTGTACAGTATATATAGAATCCAGCAGCTTCAGGGCTCGATCCACCCCGAACCAGGGTCCGATTCCTCCTGCCTGCGACCACGGACAGATCAGCTTGCGAAGTCATGTCGGCGCGGCGCCTGGGATATCCTCACTCTTTGATTACATCGAGATTGCACACAAACGGTTCCTGCCACCATCTCTGCCGCACGACACTGCCCTGAGATCTGCGTCCCCATCGAGATCGTCAGCAGCAGCTCCAATTGTCCCTTCCCCACCCTCCACAAAACTGTCCTCCTCTTCAAAAGTCTCGATCCAATTTTTCAAATTCGATTTTCTCAAAATCCTCCAAATTCCTGATCGCGCATGGCGACAGCTAAAACCATGCAGGCAAACAAGACTTCTGACTCTGGTCCATATGTGTGTTGCTGCCTCTACAAGCCTTGTGCAGCAGAGCCCAGCAAGTGGCAGAAGTGTACAGACCTCAGCCCAGATGCGATCAGCTGCAGCTTTCAGGGATATGACTGCGTGGATATGACAGAACAGCATTTGGCGGCCGGACAGAGCCCAAGCAGACAGTCCATCACACGGGGCAGTCTGTTTCCTGCAATTGCAACAACCACATGGTCTTCCTTGCTCTTGGGGCAAGCTGTATGCGCTGGCAGTGGTCCAAGCTCGTCGCAGAGCATGAAGGAGTGCTGCCTGCGCTGGAGCTCGTTGTTGCGAGGTACCCTCCTGAACGGGTATGCATCTGCTGCTGGAGACTGCACCTTCTCTGTCTCAACACACATACCCGCCGCCGGTATTCCTGCGCATCCAGATAAAATTGCTGGGGTCAGGACTGGTTTTGCAGGGGCCAGAGTGCATCTGAGTGGATACCTCTGCAGTGTGTGGCAACCTCTCGAAGAAGATCTGCTCAACCGCCAATACTATGCTCGAGGACTCAAGACATCTCATGCGCAGATACATGGGCACACTCACACCCGGGCATCCTGTGAACCGTGAGTCTCAGCTCCCTGGGGGTGCCACAGGTCTGCAGGCTTTGTGTGTGCGGCGCAAGAGCCTGACCGTATCTTTGTGCTTTTCAGAGGACTTCATGGCAGCTCTGAGCTGCATGAACCTGACGTAGCAGCTCACAGGGATGCTCTGCTTGGAGGATGAAAAGGCCAGGCGGCAATTGATGCCTTACCTGTTACATGCTTCAGAGACAGGCGTGCTGAGCCCATTTCCTGGACGCCTGTCATCGCTTGCATGCGCGCCTCCCTGAGCCTGCACGACAATTACACCGTCCTCGAGCTGGCGTTGTGCTTCTCTAGCCCAGACCGAGCATGAGCTCAACAAGCTCGTGAACCAATTATGGGTGGACCACGCGGGGGGTGAATCTACTAACAGACAAAACATTCAATGTCCATGAGCCTGCTCTGAAGCTGGCCAGCAGGGGTGATGTGTCAGGCGAGCTCTGCGGCTCTTAAAAAATCGAGGCCCAGACAAGTAATGCAGGACAGGCCGCATGCATGCATGCATGCTCTTGTCGCAGGCTCCCCCCGCACTAAATCACGTGTGGTGAATTTCCTGATCCATTGCCAGTCTCACAGATGTATTTCCAGGCCGCCGATGGGACCCGCAAGGCTGTGAGAGGTCCGGGCAAGTTGGAGGGCTACCACCCGCATCTGCACAAACTGCTTCCAGGGGCAGGGTACTCGCCTGACAAGGGTGCCGGCCTCATCATGCTCCTCTGTGGTAGTTGGCCCCCGGGGAGGGCCGGTGACAATGGCGTCGGGCCTGCATGCGGCCACGCACAGCCCCGGGTCGCCAGCAGGCTGCACGCGGCAGCCGATTCGGAATGGCGGTACAAGCTGTCACAGTGCCTGCATGTACCAGACAGCAGTGAAGAGCAATTTGGCTTCGACTACAAGCAACCTATGGTCTTTTTGAAAACCGCCAGGATAGTGGAGGAGGAGCTATTGCCCGACGCTGACACAGATGAGGAAGAAGAGGATGCTGCCATGGCAGCGCACACGCTCGCAACACACTTCACAGGAAGAGCTGCTGGTTCATTGGTTGTGGGTCTCTGCTATTTAAAAAAGGCATCCACCCCCAGTCACATCTGCATGTGGGGCAAAAAGGCTAACCCCATTTCCCTGATATCAAAAGCAACAAACAAGAGCTCTTTGACTCTTGCTCGCAGAGTGATCTCCATTACTCCGCGCTGTTGTCGCTTGACATTGAGGCGAGGTGTTACCATGACAAGATCTTTGAGCAGATCAGGTACCCAAAACCCCTGGTGGCCTGTCACATGCAGATGCATTCTCACTGTGCCTGCCCATCTCTTCACCCTCAACCCAACAATGAGTGTGGGCCCACTTGCTCGGTCCCGGCGTGTCCGGCCTCCTCTCTGCATCCGGTGGCGGTAGCAGCAGCGGCAGCGACAGCGGCAGCTGCGGCGGCTCTCGAGCTGTTGATGGAGCACACCGTGGCGGCAGCCCCCAGACTCACGCGTCTCCTGCAGCACCGCAACCGTCAGCCGGGCCAGAGGAGTACAGCGAGGACGTGACCTGGAGGTGGGTCTGCAATGAGAAACTCAATACGGATGGCAGGGCCTGCCACGTCTGCGAGCAGGCCATCAGGCGGTGCGCTCAGGTCATTCCATGAATGTCACATCTTGCCGATTGGCTATTCGTTCTGTTCTCAATCTCCTCCACCTCACACAGCCAAATGTGGATTGCAGGCCGAAAGAGCACGTCTGGAGACCGTGCACCTGCGTGGATAAACAGCAGAAGAAGGGGGCAATGTGCTGCAGATGACTTGCAGGGATTGGGTGTATGCTTGCTGCTGGTAAACGTGCAGAGTCATCCTGATCAGAGTAAGAGCAACGCCTACCAAGCTTGGTGCAGAATGCAGTGTGTGGCATGCAGCACTGGCAGTGTTGAGCTGCGCTCCTTACCGAGTTTGCTCCCGCTTCTGCACTTGCGCCCGGGGGCCGCAGAGTAGTGCCGCATCGATCTCCACCGACGGCGCGGTGCACCACTCCAGGAGCACCTTTTTCCATCTGCCTGGCAGATGGTGCTGCTGCTTGATGAACCTGCAGATTCAAAATGATGCTTGCCATCGCCGCCCGTGTCAATCCAAATTAAAATCCAATTCACACGAGGTCATTGCGAGGTTTGATCAGAACGCACCCGGCACCTGCCCAGGCAGGTTCTCTGCCTTGCCTTCCTCTTTTGGTTCACGTAGACGCAGAGCGCCAGTGACAAGCTGCTGCATGCTGCGGGGTTTCTTGGGACTCTGTTATTTATAGAGGGTATTCCTTGCGGGTTGGACTACTCTTCGAATACTACTGGCCGCTGTTCTGGTGGCACCTCCCAGGATCGATTCTATTGGGGTACCAGGATCAGCTTCCGCATGGCCGTCAATCATTGTGAGTATGTTATATGGAATAAAAAGAACAAGCATTGATGAATGCAAGTCCCGAGACAGACATGCACAGGGATGTGCTGGCAGCCTTTGTTCATCTTAAGTTTCGGTGCCTGTATAGGCACTCAACCCACACAAGAGGACAAATATGAGCATGGGACAGTGGGTACTGGATATATTCTTAGATTGTGACCACCTGCCAGCACACAGATGTTCTTGCAGTGTGATTCTGGGGTGGGCCAGCTAGCTTTCCCTGCCAAAGCATGGTTTCGCTCCGGGTACCAAAAAAGTCAGCTGGCTGACTTTTTTCTGGGACGGCCGGGATGCATGACAGTTTGGTGTGAGATTGTCTCCGTGCATTCGTTCTTCCCAAGCTTGCATGTAGCACATCATGGGTGCACCAAAAGAGGTCAGCCGGCTTTCCTTGGCGAGCTCCGGGCACCACAACAGTAAGCTAATCGGCACACAAGAACAACAACAACCTCACACTCAAAAGGCACCGGGCGGGTATGCAATCTCCGCATGCAGGCAGATGTAAAATTGGAGCAGACACTTGCAAGCCTCATCACCCAAACTCATCACCACTGCTTTCATCCTCTGCTTCACTGCGCCCTGCCCTCTTCCTCTCACTCTTCCGTCTCTTGTCCTGCTGCCTCCTAGGGCTCATTGGGGTGACCACCAGCAGATCCCTCAAGTTCTTTCTAACGCTCTTGATGTCCCTCTTGCACACCCCTACTGCAATGAACCGCTTGGTGTACAGGGCGTCCAGGGCAGAGTTCACTGCATACACGAGATCCCTCGCTCTGCAGAACTCCTCATATGACACCCTAGACCTGGGCATGCTGATGGCGTGATCAACGCAAGCCTGGTAGAGCAGCCAGAGTCCCCGGCTGAAGTCCGGGTAACCGTTCGCGGTCTCTGTGGTGTAGTTGGCGGTCGTGCGCTCCAGACCGGCCGCCAGCTCTTCGTGAGACTCCTCATGGCTGACGTTCACACTGACTGTGGGCGCTAGGTTCAGGACGGCGTGGGGGTGCCCTGGTTTGATTTTGCACATCTCCCCTGCGCAATGCAGGTGTCATCAATCGCATCCTGGTCATTTTTCACACGACAACTTTACCGGGTGTCCCCTTCCATGGAATTTCTGTGGGGGAAGGGGTGAAAACCCACCGGCGTGGAGGACAGCGACGCTGCCCCCTGCTTCTACGGCAGCATCCACCATCTGTGGGAACTGGTCCTGCTCGATCTTCCAGTCGCCCCACGCAGCCGCCCATGCACTGCCGCTCTGGGTGTTGGGCGCGGTGACCAGCACCTTCGCTCCCATGGTCACCGCGATCACTGACGCAACTCCCAGCGGCCTGTCAGTGTGCACGCTGGTGCCGCTCCCTCTCGCTCCAGCCAAAGTGTCCGCCGCCCACAATGCTGGTCAGCACACAAGGGTAACCTTCAGAAGTTCGGACGGGAATAAACTTAGATGCGGTGACTGTCGGGCGGGGATCAATCCCAGACTGTGACATGTCTCACGGGCGACCCACCTGGCGTTCCTAAGCACTTGCCCCCCGAGCGCTGCAGGTTGTACAGCTCAGATCCTTCCTCTCCGGTGAATGGCAGCAGGTTGGCGCCATACTTTGCGCTGACCTGCCCCGCGCACTAGCCCCTTCAGATCGAGGCACTCTCATGGGCTTGAAGAGCACGGATGCATTATGACTGACTGGCTGAGACACGCTAGACAAGACACCCAAAATGCTGCATCTCATGGCAGCGGCAGTCAGACCTGATGGCTGGACATCTTGAGAGGAACGCTGTTTTGCATTGCATCGGCCACTTACTTTAAAGCTCCCCTGCCGAGACGGGTGAAGATACAAGCAGCACGACGATGCATGCAGTGAGTGATGGGCATACAAGGGGGGGGGGGGGAGGGGGGGGGGGGGGCTCACCTCTTCAAATAGTAGCTTGCCAGCCCCCGGGACAGTGCCGGCCAAGCAGGCGTTCTCCATGTACCCTGGAGAGCTGCAGGTGTCATTGAGGACACGCTTGCAGTGGTCTCCCAGGGGCATCACCTTCACGCCGCCCTTCACCCCGTGCGGGCCACCCTTTTCTGGGCTGACCTCGTAGGTCCTCACAAGCGTGCGGCTCTCCCTGATTTCTGTATTGAACGCCTTGCTTGCCTGCCAGCAATGGGCACCTCAGGTTCAGTATTTTCAACACTCTATTTCGAGGTAGGCATACTTGTTTGTTGGTAGAGAGAAAATCAAATACGAACATGGGTATCAGCTGTACACAAAAGTGGCACTGTGAAGGGTCTGTGTCTGCAGGTGTGCAATCAAGGGTCCCTGGAGGCACCTCTTTTCCGAAGGATCGGATGTCGGCGTTGTGGCTCTCCGGTTTCATCGAGTTATATCTATATCTCGGCCGCTGCTGTGGCCAATCTGCCACCTTGGCTGTTGCTGATGTGCAGGCTGCCTGGTCATCAAGGCGGGAGCGCCCCCTTTTCCGATTGTCTGGAATGAATGTAGACATCATGACTGTATCGATAAACAGATCTGAACGAGCAGGTCCAGCGAAGCAATCAGGCTGTGATGAGCAGTTTGTAAATTTGTCTGGGCTGTACTCTTGTATGAGTCATCGATCACTAATTGCAAACGAAAAATTGAAAAAAAAAATTGCGTCGGCCGGTAATCGAAACCGGGTCTCCTCCGTGGCAGGGAGGTATTCTACCACTAGACCACCGACGCTGTGACTTGTTGCAAGAGATTCTTTTCTGTGTCATATATACGTACTTCTGTCTGCATGTTCTTGTAATCACGTGTCCATTTACGTGAGGCCCTGGAGGGCTTTCTTGAGAAGACTGGCGAATCCAGTCAGTCAGTCGGTTACATCTATTCCAGCCACCTCAGGCTGATCAGATGTCTGACTCTGATCGTCAGAGTCAGCGCCCAGCATCACATCCAAACATTCTGACACAAATGTGGTAACCCCAATCAAGTCAGCCTGCCAGAAGAACTGCAACATAGTAGGACACTGAAATAGTGAAGAATACTTGTCCCTAATAGGTTGCAGGTGTGGGCACTCAAACACTAAATGTTTCTCATCCCCTAGACTGCCGGGTCCACACAATGTACAGGCACGGTCAGCTCGGGGAATCCTGGCCCAAGAGCCAGTGTCCCTGGGCAAGCCATGACAACCCATCCTGAAACGCAGCATCTGTGTGACACACCGAGCAGGCAATGGCAAGGACAAATAAGATTTCCTAGCAGAGCCAACAGGGCGAGCAAACCACGCATGATAAGTGCAAAGGCGAGAATTATGAGACAGGCAGGTCCTAGGGCAGAAATCAAGGTCTGCCCAAACAGAGGCAGCACGAGCATCAAGCAACTGGGTAAATCGTGGCACATCAACATGGGTCATATCTGTGACACTAACAACTAATTCGTAGCCAATGTCACGCACACCTCGAAAGATTGACCAGGCCCAGTTCTTGACATTCCTAGTCACAGCAGCCTGGCAGGCATCAAGGGCAATTCTCTTATACACATTTTGCACTGGAAGAGAAGCTAAATCATTCCAGAATCGAATAGCACGAAGCCACCACTGGGTCTGAAAAGGCAGGACATCAAGCTCCTTCAATAAGATGGCCGTGGCAACAGTAGACCTAACTCCAGAAATCTGCCTCAAGATCTGCAGGTGTGACCGCACTAAAGCATCCCGAGCATGAGCAGCAGTAGCACTAAGACGATATGGTCCCCACACCTCAGAAGCATACAAAGCTGTGGGTGGTACACAGGCATTGTACAACTTTAAGAGCAACCAGACTGAGGACGCACAGTGCAGCTGCCCAAACTGGCGTTGTAGCAGAGCCCAAGCACCCCATATTTTCCTGTGCAATTGAGAATAGGTCACATGCATGCCTTGCTGAGCCTGGAAGAGCAGTCCCAAATATTTCATCTGTGCAACCCACTCGAGAGGCTGGCCAGCGCACATCCATTGGTATGGGCCAGGCCAAATCTGAGAGAACACTAGAACTTTGGTCTTGTCAGTACTTATCTGCATACCGGTGGCAGCACAGAAATCTGCAGTGGCATCAACAAGCTCCTGCAAACCCTCAGGTGAATCAGCGAGCAAGACAAAATCGTCTGCGTAACCCAGGTCAGGGATCCTCCGCCCATCGCTGAGCAGAGGGCCCCTGCCAGGGCACCGAGCTAGCAAATACCTATGCAACCCATCTGCAAACAAGCCAAATAAGGTGGGGCTGAGAGGACAGCCCTGCTTCAATCCTGTCTGTGACGGCACATTTTGTCCAACCCGGCCCCGAACATTGACAGATAATGTGGAGTTCTCATACAAGGACTGCAGAGCAATCATCATGCGGCCATGAACACCCAGCCTTTCCAACACTTGCCACAACAAACACCTCTGCACTTTGTCATAAGCGCCCTTCAGATCAAGAAAGCAACAGTACAGCGGCCTGCCATTTGCATGTGAATCATCAATCATGGTCTGCAAGGCAAAAAGCTGGTGCACTGTAGAAAGACCTGGACGAAAGCCCGTTTGGGTGTCAGCCCTGAGATTATTACTTTCAGCATATTTCTGCAGCCTAGCATTTAGGACACTTGCATACAAGCGCATCAATGGGTCTGTGACAGTGATTGGCCGGTAATTACCGGTGTCAAAAGGATCCCCTTTCTTGAACACAGGTGTAACAAGCCCAACATTGAGAAAATTTGGAACACTGCCCGCCCGAAAGATAGAGTTCAGCACCTTGGTCAGGGAAGACGCCAACAAGTGTGGGGAGGGCGGCTCCCCATGATGGCGCTGCGGTTGCTGCGCGTATCTAAGAAACTCTGAGGGGATCCCTGCCTTGCCCGAGGCCCGGCCATTATGGAGATTTTTGAGTCCACAAAGAACCTCCTGTAAACTAAGTGGTGCATTCAGCCCGTCAGCATTCTCCAAAGGGTGTTGTGGGTAAGCATCAACAGGCAAGTGACAATCAGCGGCGTCACAAGAACTGCATAGAGTTGCCATGAAAGCATCCCAGTGCTGCACTTGCTGTAATCCAACTGGCAATTCAGAGCGCGCTGCCCGGAGTGATTTCCAGAATTGGCGGGGATGCTTCTGCTGGTCGTCCAACAAGTGCTGCAGCCGGTCCAATTGGTAAGCCCGTTTCTTGGCGCGCACCAAGCTGTGGTATCTCCGCTCCAGTTGTTTGCGAGCGGCGCCATCAGTAGTCCACGGTAAGCGTCTGAGCTGGCGCTTCAATGTGGCACACTCAGCATCAAAGAAAGGCTGCGAGCCGCCGCCCCGGGCTGCGCCGGAGCGGCGGCCCGCAACATTGATCGGCAACCCACTCGCATCTGCAGCTGTGGTAAGCACCCTCTGAAAGGCCTGCACAGCTGCACTAACATTGTCTTGCACGGCAACATCATCAACAACTCGCAACAGGTCTACACAATCGTCTGTCTGTAGAGCCGCACAATAGTCCGCACGACAATCAGGCAACCAACGCCTCCTCCAAAGAGGCACCCCAACACACTGAGCATCTGCAGATGAAGTGTTCACAGGTAGGGATAATGTCACTTCCAAAGGACTATGGTCAGACTCACGTCTAGCTGTGTTTAGACAGACACTTTGCACATTAGACATCATGTCTGGTGAAGCAATAATGTGGTCAACCCGAGACTGCCTGTCAACAGCAGTGGCCCTATAAGAGTATGGTGCATGTTCATCACCTGGAAGCCGACCTGTACACAGCAGGGTGCCCGTTTCTGAGCATAATCTGACAAGGTGTTTCCCATGCACGTTGACAGTTTCGTCCGTGCAGCCCCGCTGCCGTGTACAGGTCGACTCCTCAAGGTGCCCCACTCTCGCATTAAAATCCCCAGCAAGTAGGACATCCCCTTCCACTCTTGCTGCTGCAACACGAGCAGTCAGCTCAGAAAATCGTGCATCAAGATCAACAATTCGTAGGTTACTAGACCCAGCAGGAGGAACATAAACAACACCCAGAAGCAATGATCTACGAGAATTTTTAAAACATAAGCGAACCCAAAGAGAGGTTGCGTCCGATCCATAGTCCTGTACGTGGTACGTGTGCTGCTTTCTGACTGCAACAAGAAGACCTTCACCCCCACGCCCTTCCTGTGATGCCGGGCAATACGCGATAGAATAATTAGAAAATAGTTTGTCAGGAATTTGTGTGGCACGTGTTTCGGAAAGCAGGACGACATCAAAGTTACGCAGGTATTGCGCAGAATCCCATAAGGCAAGTTTGCTGGCTTGCAGACCATTTATATTCCAGACCAAGATTCGAAGCTTGAGGTGGCTGGAAACTTCCTATGGCCTCGCAACTTGCGCGTAGGAAGGCCCAGCGGTGTCCATGGGTGTTGGGCCTGAGGCGGCAGGTGCCTGCGGCGCGGGAGGTCCTGGTGGTGCCCGATCCTCCACGACACGCCCTTCCTTGTAGCAGAACAGGCGCTCATCGCGCCAGAAAGGCCGCATGTTCTGAACCTTGAGCTGCTGGAACCGATCGCGCTTCTGAATGCGAATCTCACGCTGCTGGGGCGTCAAGTCGCTGTCCAGATAGATTTTGCGGCTGCGCAGCGCCTTGCTGTGCTTCAGTGCAGCATGCTTGGACGGGACACTGGTGAACTTCACCAGAACAGCCCTGGGTCGCACCTCAGGTGCCCCCTCCCTGGGGCGACCCAGGCGCCTTGCCTCTGTGATGGCAATAGGCGTCTCCCCATTTGGAGTTGGGAAGAGCTGGGACACAGCCTGAAGAACAGACTGGTCGTTGGATTCCTCAGGAAGCCCCTTGATAATGAGATGGGAAGCACGGGATTCCCGGTCCCGGCTCTCAACTGCCCCCCTCAGCTGAGCCATCTCATTCAGGGCCCTGTCCAACTGTCCCGTCAGCCGCTGCACATCAGCCCTGTGGCTGGCCTGCATCTGATCCATGGCTCTCTTATGCTTATCCTCGATCTGACTCACAAGAACTCTGAAGCGCTCATCTTGTGCTGCCAGCTCAAACCGAAGGATGCCCTGAAAGTCGTCAGGGCGATCTTCAGCAACACGGGGAGGGCTTCCACTGGGAGCCCTCACACGCTTGCCTGCAACAGTGCTCTGGGTGTGCGATCGTGTACCAGTCATCGTGACTGAATGCACCACGTCCCATGTGGTGCATTCAGTCACGATTATATGAATGTGTGCTGGAAACAGACAGTGCCATTTAAATCAGCAGTGCCGACTCTCGGAGCGGTGGCATGAACGCCCTGCTCTGGTCTTGGAGGTTTAGAGTGGAGGCAAGCTGTGGCATTAATTGCATTTATTGCACTTCGCATAGAACGGTTGCGTAAAGACCAGCCGCTTACATTCTGGGGCATCCTCGCAGGAACAGCAGTGTCTGCGTCAGTCAACTGGACCATTGTTCCTCAATCCAGGGTTGGGGCGGGTGCTCTCTGGAAATGTAAGGAAGGATGTGTAGCCAGGCTTCCCTCTGCGACAACTACTGCTTCTGCAAAGCCCACGACCGTGGTTTCATGCGGTCTTCCCGGCCGCTCCAAGTCAATTGCCCCCATTGCCGCGGCCGGAGCTCCGGTTCCGCAGCCTCACGCACGGCTTGTAGGCGCCCGTTCCCATCGCTGCAGGGGTAGGCTCTGCAACAGCTGCCACTCCCGCTGAGGCAGCAGCCCGGGGCGCGACCGTCGTCTGTGCGGCCGGGGCGGGTCGCGTCTCAGAGCGCGGCGCCGCCAGCTCCGCCGCCCCGCTGCCTGTCCCACGGGCGGCGTCGGCGCTGTCAGCGTTGGATGCCTTCGCGACCGATCTGACCTGCCCTGTCTCCTCTGCCTCCTCTGGCTCCCCCGCCGCTCTGGCCTCACCTGCTGCATTCGCCGCGGCCCCTGGTGTGGCCCTGTTCCGGCCCAGGATGGCGTGCTCGACGTCATGCAGGCTGGGACCTGGCCCTGTCTCCTCTGCCTCCTCTGCCGCCCTGCCCTCATCCGCTGCCTGTGCCGCGGCCTCTTTTGCGGCCTTGTTCTGCCTCTGCATTGCGCGCTTGGCGCCCTGCATGTTGAGGTTCGGCCGCCGGAGCTGCACTGTCGTGGCATCGACCACAGCCCTGCCTCCCTCATCCCAGTCAAAGCCGTCGCGACCGGCATCTGGCGTGGCTGCGGCCGCGGGGCAGCCGTGGCCGCCCAGCACAATGGCACCCAGGCCGCGCTGCACCTGGCCCATGTTGATCCACTTCATCACCTCCCGGATCGAAGAGCGCTTCCGGCCGAGGCGCATCGCCTGATACAGCACGCATGGGAGGGCGATGAGGTGCGTGCGACACACACAAACAGACCCGTGACTGCAAGCGCTGCACGTCACGGGAGGCCTGCTACAATGCGCACGGACGCGCCAGCACTCCCAGCACGACGGTCGGGAGGGGAACTTCCATGGGGAATCGTATGTACAAACACCGTGTGGGACTTCTGCAAGAGAAAAATGTGAAAAGTGCACGTCAGAAATGGGAGGCGCAGACTCACATGCCAGACCGTGGGCAGTCTGCACCACTGGGCCATCTCGCCCAGCGCATCCAGGGAGATGCTGCGCTCGCGGTTCGACCACCGGTGGGCGTCCGCCTTCACGCCAGCGCTCACCAGCCGCCGTCTGTCCGTCAATTTGCGCCAATACAGGGACGGCCAGCGCGCGCTGGCGGACTTGTTGGAGGTGGAGTCCACGATGAGGTTGTTCCTCGGGTGGAACTGCGCGGCGATCCCCAGGAGGGTTGGAGGGTAGGAACTGCAAGGCAGCATCACAGCGCAGTCAACACCGTCAGCAGCCACAGCAGGACTATGCGCCACAGGTCGTACGGGCACTACGATGAGCACGCATGCACCTTGATGGTCCTGACCCTTCCAGTTGTTGAAATTTCCCAGAGCACACCCAGCATAGAATTCCAGCCGTTTGATGCACCAGATTCTAGACACGTTACAGCCATCTCTGCATTTTGCGCTGCGCCGGCCACCAAGCCGCCTGTGGGATTCTTCTTTGTGTGCAGTCTGGAGAGGGCAGCCCCAATGGGCTCAGTGCAGATGAGCTTGATATTCCAACTCTGCTGGCAGCCCAAAGAGGCTTGAGGCATCACAGGAGCAGGTCAACCTACAAACAATAGACTTTTTTTGGATTTGATCTTGTTGGCAAAATTTGTGTTTTATTAATTCGATTATATGATAATTTATCATAGGACAATGAAATTACTAGAGATCTGACACGAGTGCTCTTGTCTTCAGACTGTTGCCAGGAGGGAGGGCCTACACGTTGCCCCAGATCAGCAGCTCAGAATGACCAGCCCTCTGCACTTGAAGAATTTCAGGGATGAAGTGTCGCCAATGCAAGTGCTGTTGCAGCTGCAGCACTGACAGGGGCAGCAAACACCATGCAGCAGTTGAGCACTGCCAGCAATGCAGCCATCACAGCAGCAGCCAGGCAGCACAGAAGGCTGAAGTTGGCAGAGCAAAGGCAGATGTCTCAGGGCAGCCTGGCAGTGCAAGTTCAGGTGCCTGCCACCAACAGAAGGGGAGGCAAAAACACCAAAAAGCACTGTTGTGCTTGTGGGTTGCATAAATCTCTTGAGACAGGCCACACAGCCACAGGATGCCCAACCCATTTTGCGCATCAAATGCAAAGAGCTCTGGCAAACAGCAGACAAGTCTTGCAGCTGCCAGCAATAGAGCCAGTGGCAGACCCCAGCAGCACTTGAAGGATATGAGGCAGTCAACATGCAAGCTTAGGGTTTGTTTCAGGGTTTAGTTTGTGCTAGAAACTTGAACCAGAAGTAGTAGAACACACTGTATCCCAATGCACCTTTGTAACAGGCATTTTTCTGGGCTTAAATATTTTATACCTATTTTATTTTAATTCTTTTCTCAAAAACAGGGCTCTTGTGGTCAGTTTTGGGGTGGGGCAGCGGGCCCGAAGGGCCTGACGGGGCCCTGGAGCTTTTGCAAATGGCCATGTTGGAGGTGGTGGCCACCCCCTCCCATGGCCCCGAACCCGGCCAAGCGCCTGCCGGGGACAAGAGCCGTGCTACGAGGGTCAGCAACCGCAATAAGGATTAGGGACTCGCCTTGAGGACTGGACATGCGAATCGTCGATTTGTGGGGGCTTGCCGGGCCGGTCCTGCTGCGGAAGGTCGCCCAGCTCGTCAACTTCGTCATACAGGGGTCCTCCCGGGCCGTGCAGCTCGTCCTCAAAGTCCTCTTCTTCCAACACGTCGCCACCCTCGTCGCCCGCCCCCTCGTCCCTCCGCTATGCAGGCCTGGCACCCGGTCAGGATGGCGCCATGATGGCTCCTCGCGCTCGTGCGTGTCTTCTCCTCCGGCCCCGCCAGGGTCCTGCATGCGTGCACCGAGCGTGCTCGTCATCTAGCAACTGCGCTGGCGCAAGCGAGTGGAAAGAGAGATAGATGTCAGAGTCAGGCGTGAGAATAGATGCAGCCCAAACAGATGTAGGAGGGGCAGCGGGAAGTCAGGTCCTGCGGGAGGTTCCCGCCGGATGATGCATGAGTTCAGGGCCTGGTCACCTGCCCTGGGATGTTCATGTCGAGCCTGCGCCTCACATCCTTGACAGCGCGGCAGGGCACGGTCATCTTGCGGGGCGGCTGGTCTATCGGGGATGCCGTCTGGCCCCGCGCGCGCTTACCCTGCACAGTGCACGCCCTTGCCATTGATCCGTGCCGACAGGCCTCCCGTGACATTCGCCGAGAGCAGGGCGCGTCAGCATATCTTGGGTGCATGGAACCTGGCCCTCGGGGCCCGTACGTAGAGCGCAGAGAAGGTCTCCCTCTCCAGGCCACGCTGTAGTGACTGGACCACCTAAGCTAATCGGTAGATCATCGCTAAGTATTATACATTGCTGTAATAATGTGGGGGGTGCATCGCCCTCACGCATGCTGCACCTCCAGTCTCATACCCAGAACGCCTGCTAGCGCTCCATGAACATGGTGATCACAAGCGCACGAGCCCGGCGCATGCTGGGTGTCACAAAAAGGGTAGAGAGGGTCTTGGACGCGGCCTACAAGAGCAGCTGCCCGACCATCACTGGGCACAGCCCGACAAATGAACTGCGCAGGCATACCCATTGCGCCCTGCCGCACCCTTTACCTTGTCGATGACGGCCTCTTGGGCGCCCCCCTGGTCACCCTCCTGGAGAGCACGTTCCTGGAGGTGCGCATCCTCGGCATCCAGGAGGGGCACGCCCTCTGTCGCCTGCTCGGAACACCGCCACCCATCTATTAGTCAGGATGGTAACGCGTTATCGCGGCATCGATGCGCAAGGGAATGCGGCGAAGGCAGGCAGCTTGTAGCCGATTACGTGTACTCTAAGGGCTTGAGGATTGCCTGGTCGTTGTCCGGCACCGCCACGGACGCCGACGCGATCCCAGCCGGCGGCTGCTCCGGCTGCCGCGCGGAGGGAGCATGCGCGGGCTCCGCCTGGGCACTGACGTGCTCCGGAGGAGGCGCGGCGGTCCCTGGTGGCGTCGTACTGCGGCCGGGCAGGTTCTTGGCCGGTGTCATCGAGAGCAGAACCTCCTCTGTGGCGCCCTTGCCGCGGGCCTGATGCATTGACAACACCGTTTGGGGCGAGCCATTTCATCACAACCGGGGTGGAACGCATCTGGTAAGCATGTCTGGCGGTTCCGCGAGGCATGCACTTGGAAGTCCCGTCGCATTTTAGGGTGTGGCAGGTCATCTGCAATCTTGTGTTTCAATACAGCTTGGCTCTGACTCACCTTGGTCCTCCCCACCCCTTCCGCCTCTGCACCAGTCAGCCTTGACCCGGCCAATGCGCGCCGCAGCTCGAGGTACAGCGGGTGCGTTTCCTCGTTGCCGCCCCCGGGCAGACGCATCCTTTTGAGCACGTTGAGCACGAGACTGATCGCTGCGTTGGCGGTAATGATCTCCCCGATGGATTGGCCGTCTGCGCTTCCTGTATCCCGGGACAGGAACTGGTGCACCTCTGGGTGCTTGTCTTTGATGATCTTCAGCCGTTCGTCGCCTGCATCACCAGGAATTCAGGTCAGACCACCTCGTGCAGAGGACAAATAGGCACGAATGAGGATGCTGTCCATCCGGGCAGCGCCCACACAGCGCGTAACCTGTGACCGATGACAGCATGAGTAATCCGGGGTCACGCACCAGAAACGTTCTTGAGGGCGTTCCTCCATGGAGATCTCGAGTTCTTGGCACCCGCCTGCTCGAGCATCCAGAGCACCTGGGAGGCGCTGACCCAGGCCCCCCCGCCAGCGTCCCGCAGCACCGCCATGCGCACGGCGCACTCCCCGGACGGCGCCACCGCCACGACATGCCACGGGTCCTGCAGCATCGTCGATTCACCCTGTCCCTCCAGGATTCAAATCCGAGAAACGCCTCTCTACATGTCAGACCGGGCGGCTGCGGCGGTCGGGCATGCGGGCCGCATGCCTGCCGGCCCGAGAAGCCGCACCACGGGCGCAACATGACACAGCGCAGCGTAGGGCACACTTCGACGCGCTCGTGTGCCCGGCCAGGTGGCGCGGCCATTTGACACCGGGCACGCTGGAAGATCGCAGGGCATGAAGTGATGTTGTAGGGTCTCTGGCGCTCTGGGACACCACTGAAGGCCACACATGCATGCATGCGTCCAGAAGGCTCACCTCGCCCGGCGACAGCTGCGGAAGGGCGAGCTCGACGCGCTGGAAGGGCGCGGCGCCGGCCCGCCCAGGTCTTCTGATGGGCACCGCCGGCTGTGAGAGCGGCGGGGGTTCTGCAGGGGCACCAGAGGGCCGCGCGTGATCGCCGCCCGGCTGCAATGCCACTCAAGATCAGCTTTGTGGGCGTATGCATCAATGCCGGGCCCTGAGGTGTTACCATACCAGTCCCGGGCAACTTTTGGGTTTCCCATGACACTGTTCCGCGCAGTTTTTGCCCCAACTGCTATTACAACAAACTGTAAAACGCCAGGAATGACCCTCGGCATCGATGTGAGCTGTCACGGAAACAGCAGCATCAAGATTTGCAAAGTGCATGCATCAGCCGGACATTGGGATGTGCGCAGCAATTGCGGCCAGGCCCAGTCATCACTGGCAAACGGGGCCCAAATAATCCAGTCGGAGCAACCAGCTATCGCGGGGTCCAGCATGACCAGAGGCGGGGCACTGCCGGTGGCAGAACAAGAGGACAAAACGGTGATTGGACGCAGACCTACTTCGAACGTGAGGGGGACCTTGTCCAGGACACAGAGCTGTGAGTTCTGGGCCTGGACACTGCCTGCGGCTCACCACCCATCCTGGATCTCAGAAATCCATTGGCCTGCGCCGCACCTGGGAGGACGGGCCGGATGCGTCCACGCGCAGCGCACCCATCGCAGCCGCGCCCAGGGCACCGTTGCCGGCGTCCCCTTCGCCCCCGGCAGCTGCGGCAGCCGCCGGCGCGGCAGCTCCCGCTTCCACCTCCTGTTTCGCAGCCGGGTCTGCCGCTGCTGCCTGCATGCCAGGCGGGTTGCCCCATAAACAGTTTCAAGATGGCGCGTCAAAGTGGCCGCTAACGACCGCAGTGCGTCACGGCGCAGCGGGGACGCGACCAGTGTCCTTGCACATCGTATCGCAAGCGCGGAAATGCGTCACCTTCTCCGCCGCCGCCGCCTTCGCCTCCGCCGCCAGTTCGCGCGCCATCTCATCGGTGCCCCTGGTCGTGAGGACTCTCAGGTCCGCCGTCACGATTCCTCGCTCGTCCACGACGTCGTGCCAGAACCGATGCTCGACGTACCCCCACGACGGGTTTGCCCAGAGGGCGTCTGTCAGACGGGGGAAGAAGACCGGGGGCTCTCCCCGCTTCCATGGATACGAGCGCGAGTAGCCCCAGCACCTGCGTAGCAGTGCCAGGCAGCAGGTCATTCCGTGCGAGAACTGAGATGCCTCGCTGCCACTTTAATGTGCACTGCACCGCAACGGCGTTGCATCCTGCCCCTGCCCTGCCGTGCACCCGAAAGGGCCGCTCGCATACAGACGGCAGGCGCAGGAGGGAGAAAAAGCAGACCATTTCATATCATGCACAACGGCGGATCACTCACCGCATCAGGCATTGGACCCATCTGTACCCGCTCGTCTCCCCCGCCCGTTTGCCCCTCCACAGCACCCCATTCTCTGCCGTGGCGAGGTAGGCGCCGGCCTCCTCCATCGCGTCGGCGATCTCCGGATGCTCCGGCCTCGCCTCGTCAATCATGCGCTTCAGATGGAATTGGAAGGCCAGGTCCCGCTCGTTCTTGTTTGCGGGCTGGCCCGCTGCATGCACAAACCCATCGGCAATTAGTGTCAATTGCCCGGGCCGGCGACAACGTGGTCTCATGGCACGCACTGACGTTGGCAAGAAGGCACAGAGTGGTGCACACGGATGCTGCACGCAGTCGCTCAAGGCACATGGCCTCATACGATGGTCATCACCTGGTTTGTCGCTGCATGGACACCAGTCCAGTCATCGATAGTGGGCCGTTGGATTCCTTGATCAGTGGGCGCATTTGATGCTCAACTGGCAGGATGCTGTGCAGACCAAGTGGGCTCGTGGGCTGGATCTCATCCCTGCGACAGGATTGGGCTTGACATGTTCAGTCGCGCTGGGTAAAGTAATGCGGGCAACTGGGTAATCAGGCCGGAGATATAACATGAGGCAGGCCGACTGTCTGCAGGGGGATCGATTACGTTTGCGCGGTGCAGGACGCCAGTCGGAAGCGACGAGCACGGCAGTCTTGATGGCCTCACAGAGGCGGCTAGCAACGACCTCGCTCCCCGTCCAGCCCTTCTTACTGCACGGAAAGCAACTCCCACTCAGCACAGTGCTCGACTAATCAACAGATCCCCTGCACGAACCGCGGTGTGCATGTGAAATAGGGCCTCTACGTGGGGCTGGGAATCTGACCGCAATTTTTACGGAAAAAAAGGGCCACCGTGCAAGGAAGATGATGCTGTCGCACATTGTGGTCAGGCCGGTAGGTTGCAGAAAAATCACAAATAAGCACCCAGGAAGGCATTCGGACACTTGCTCGTGTCCAGTGCCGTAGGGCGTGTCGAGGATGCGGATGTCCTTAGGGTTGGAGGGGTTGACAAACACGCGCTCGCCGGCGGCCCTGGCCGCCCTCGCCGCGGGCGGCATGTGACCCCCCGAGAATCGGTTGCTGCGCCAATCGACTGTCGCCAAAGCCAACACCTCCCGGTACTGCCGTGCCTCTTCGGCCTTGTCCAGCCAGGGGTCTGGGAGGGGGTGCTTCGCCATTTGCTCCAGTAGCCAGCGGTCCGCCTCATCCTCTGTCGGGAACAACTGCGCATGCACACGAGGATGCTGACCGAAATAGAATGGGAGAGGCCTGTGTGCACAGACGGGGCGGATCAGCATTGCTGCCTCTCCGGGGCGGCATATGACAGCGCAGTTTTACCCTTTAGCCCCAGAGACCAGTTTGTGGCGCTTGAGGCAGTTTGGATGAGATGAGACCATACGTGACGCCTTCATGTCGATGGGAGGTGGTCTAAAGAGCGACCAAGGAGGGACTCACCCAATTTGGAATTGTCAGAGGAGGTGCAACTGCTGGGATGCCTGTGGGGTCGCCCATGTGTTACAGGACGACCCTGCTGTCGTCAGATATTCAAATGTGTTATGTAGGATCGAAATTTCCTATTTCAAGACTGCTATGTATCGGATCAGTCAATCAGGCAGTCAGTCAGTCAACTTTATAGCAATGCCAGCCGCCTGGGGCCGATCTGATGCCCGACTCTGAGCGTCAGAGTCAGCGCACAGCAGAATATTCAACCCTTCAGAAGTAATCTTGGCAACACTAATGAGATGCTCCTGCCAGGGTATCTTTGTGCGACTGTGTGCCATACAGGACAATAAGGTTAGTAACTACTAGTAATCTGTCTACAAGCCAACACAACTTTCCATTCGACGCATCTTCAGAAGAATTTCCTGGTGCGTGCCCTTGATCGAGTTGGGTGAGCAGGGTGAGATCGTCCCTGTGCATTAATGAATCTTAAGTAGCATGCATGAATGCATGTGAAGGAAGAGAATAAAGCAGCACTTGCACCCCTGACAAGGGCGTCTTCTTGGCTTACAAACGTAACCGAGTCACTGATTGGCAGCGACTCGGCAGCCACTCGCTGTGCCTGCTCCAGAAATCACAGCCCAGGTTGACCTATGTGCGGGGGAGAGTATGCATTCCCGAAAGGCTTCGGGTGCCCTTATTTTGCTGGAATGGCGAGACGCACTCCGGGCAGATTCCCCAAGAATGTTTGTGCAGGTCACAAGCAAGGCATCATTATTTGTACCTGAGAGCCCCTACTCAGTGGGGCCCGACACCCAGGCCCCTCGACACCGACCGGCTCGTCCGCACAGACACCATGCACAGGCACCCACCGCCATAGCCAGTGTGTGAACGCAGTGGAGGGTCTGGAGCCTTCCAAATGCGCTGAGCTCATCATAAAATGGCATGTCGCCAGGCCGGCCGCTTACAGCAAGAGGCATCGCATCACAGTAATATGTCCTGGGGGGGCCGCGCTCGCCATCAGCTCACTGCACTTTGCGGACGGCTCCGCTTGCACTCAGCTTCGCGCATGATACTGCCCGCAATGCGCGCGCGCTAACAGACTGCTCCGTCAAGGCGTTCGGCGTATTTCCCCAGCATCCTTGCTGTCTCTGCCCACCCGGCCGCTTTGCTCATCCGCGAGCACTTGATCGCGCATTCTGCCACGCCTGCCTGCCAGGAGCATGATCGGATTGACGGTCAGGCGTCGAAAATCAGCAAGAACGTGCACGCAGACAGAAAATCTGAAACAGGCGGGCAACTGGCGGCGCGGATTCAGGGAGTAGCAAATCTAAGGGGCCTCGGCCTGCCGCGCACCTTGAGCAGCTCCAGGTCGCCTCGCATCACGCCTGGGGAGACAGCGAACATGCGTTCAGCCACTCCGGAACGATTCAGTCGCATGCATCGACAATGTCAGCCTGGGCAAACGGGTCAGGCTACTGCTGTTATGTGGCCAGGCACAGTCACACACATTGGCCAAGTACACGCTAGCAATTTGCCACACCGTATACTACAGTGCCCAACAGAGCAGAACATCCCGGTGTCGCACATTGTGGGTGAAACCGTGCCAAAAGGTTGAGTTGATCATGTTCCCAAGATGTGCAGTACAATGCATTGTCGCCTAGCCTTTTTCCTTCCAGCGGACAGGTCATACAGGAGCAGCCAACGTCGGATTCATGCAATCCAGTCAAGCATTCGGGCGCACCATGCTCCGAGAAGATGCCCGGAGTGTTCCCCCACACCCGTTCGACCTGGTAATACCCCCCGGGCTCGAGCAGGAGATGCCTCAGCACGAGCCCCATGATGAAGCGGGTGTGGAGGTCCACGGTGCGCGGGTCGGGCACCAGGCCGCAGATGGCCTGCTCGATGTCCCTGCAACGTCATGAACTGGGAATGTCATGCCAGTGCGGCCCTGATCCGGTCATGCTCGCACGTGCGCACGCGCTGCGGCACTTTCATGCGATTGCCAGGCCCCTATCGGCGTCCCAATGCTAAAGCCGACATGTGACTCTGCACCAAACGGCAGGGATAGCGTTTGCGATGAAACTCACCGGCGCGTGACGCCCAGTCTGGTGGCAGTAGCCGCATCAGCCTTGCTGAGGGCCCCGAATCTAGACCCCCATTCGGTCCAGCTGTGGACGGAGAACGCGTGGCCGGCGACGACCCAGTCTGACCGCGGGAATGTGAAGAAGCGGCATAGGGTGGTCAGGTTGTACAGGCAGTTTGCCGTCACGTGCAGGCGCTCAAACTGCTCCAGCTCCTGCATGCAGCACAGCTTCATGAACCAGGGGAGGGCAATAGGAATCACCGCCTACAATTAATTATTAGCGGAGATATTGCTGACACGTCCAGGCACATCCGGAAGGCCCGCCGCATGCGCAATGCTGTACATGAAGAACCCTCAGCGCCTGCAAGGGATTGAGGAGGAGCTGATGAAGAGCAACAATCATCAGCAGGCCTACGGGCTTTCAGCAGCAGCAGTGAGCACTCAGCCTGCCTTGGGAAGGAGCGGGCAAAGCTCCTCGAGCCAGCCAGCCAGCCAGCCAGCAGATCGCTGTCTGCAGCGGGCATCATGCCACTGCAGCCAAGCGCCGCTGTAATTCAACCGTGGCACGGTGCCGCAGCTGTTTGGCAGGGCAGCCAATAGGCAGCAAGGAAGAGGAGGCAAGAAGCACACACAAAATCGCCGACCAAGAGGCAGAATCTGGGCCAGCGTCAACAGCCGGCAGCTGGGGCCAAATTCCAGGAGGCAAGAACGTACCGAAAAATGTTTAAAAAAGGGGCAGGCAAAAATTTGACATAAGAAGGGCGGCTGCCCTACACATTGCACGAGGTGCAAGGGGAGGAAGGATGCTGGGTCTGCATATAAGAAGTGGTGCCAGCCATGCGAGGCCAAAGGGCAGCTGAGCAGGTCGGATCAGCCTGGACAGTGAGCTCAGCATGGTGACTCAGCAGATTACTGACAGTCAGTCATTCGACAAGATCTCTGCAGCCTTGTTCCACATTTCTGTCGATTGCTCTTCCAAAACGTGAAATTTTAACATCCTTGTCAGGTGGCTCTGATAGTGTAAAAGCTGTTTCTGGGACAGCATTTTCTGCCGTGACCTGGGGCAGTGCTGCACATCAGGTTGTGCCGCACGCTCGCAAACTTCTGCCCTGAACCCGGCCGTACTTGTAGGGCAGGTTTGACTGCAGTCGGGGCAGCAGGGTCAGCGGTTTGGTGCGCACCATGTAGAGGGTCACTGCCAACTCCACGGGGAGCCCGGATGCTTTGACCGCCATTCCCAGCGGGGTGAACCTTGACAGGAGCCCGTCTCGTGGCCCTGAAAGGGACGTGGCGAGGAGGTCTCCCAGGATCTTAGAAGTATGCACGTCGCCGACCTTGCGAACCAGGTCATCCAAAGGCGTCCCCTACACTTCAAACGAGGGTGTAAGGCGCTCATGCTAGTCGAGCGCACAGAGGCGTGCCGACTGCACGTCACAGGGGACAGCACCCCCGGCGTTGTATGGAATGTGTACAGACAAACGCGGGTCGGGCGATGCCGGCCTACCTCCGAGTATGCCAGCGTAGCTTCCATCAGTCGCCGGAACTCTCCATCGCGATATGGGCTCCCGGCCTCTGATGTGTGCGCCAGAATCAGCCGCCCGAGGAGCGCAACCGATGCGCCATGCGCGTGGTGCTCCGGGGTCTCTCCGGCTGGGAGTCCCCGCGCGGCATCGGCGGTGGGCATCAGCCAGCTGCCGATGACGCATGGATCGGTCCCCAGCAGCGCCGCGGCCGCAGTAACATCGGCCCCCTCCAGGTCGGCGGCGATATACACAGCTCCCTGCTGGCCGGCGTCCGCGCGACGCACGCACCCCTGGATCATGTAGTGCTGCGTGGGAGTGAGCTTCTTGACTCCCTGCGCACAACCGGGAGCGACTTTAGGCGCATCCGGGCGGCCGGCAGCCGAGGCGCGCACGCCGAGGGGCTGACATGCGGGGAAATGACAACATGCCGCGGAGCCAGGCCCCACCTGCGTCAGGGACCTGAGCACGACACGGTCGAAGAGCAGGCCAGGGAAGTCTCCAGCGAGAGTCGTCGCGCAGACCACCCTGAATGCGCCAGAGCTGACCCCCGCCTCCACCAGCCGACGCTCCCCCACGATGAAGCCAGCATGGAGCAGGGCGATGCCGCGGCGCCAGCACTCCTCCACCGTCTCGTCGTGGACCTTGAGGGCGCGCAGCTCCTCCACCAGGCGGCCCCGTTCCCTGAGATGCGCCTGCGACACAGCAGAATGCTCAAAGGAGACCGATGCCGACCAGCGCGGCGGCTCCCGGCGCACCACCCCTCCCGGGAGGCAAGGGCCTGCCCAGGAAATAAAAATGTTGCTTTCGCCCGCCAGCGTGGCGCGCCCTAGAGTTTAATCAGCTAGCCAGAACGCCAAGACCGAATCTGTGCAGCATGCTCAACTGCAGCAAAAAAAAAAAAAAGAGAATAAGAAGAGATCGCCGTACGGCACACAACGGGCGCGGCTCGATGCATGGTAAAGGCGCAGAATAATGGGGTTTACCACGACGGCAATTTTGTCAGTCTACCCGCTGCGCCCAGCTGCGCTACAAATGCCGCGACCCAGAGGCGGTCGCCGTATGGCACGGGCGCGTCTCAGAGACGCCCGGCAGTACCCAGCAAATATCCGGGTAGACGACACATGACCTATTAGAGGCCGTGACACCATCTGGGATGGCATAAATGTGCACACTTGTCACCCGCCTTGAATGTTGGCTTGTTGGCTGCACCTGGAGGCCATGTTGGAGTGCGCATCAGTGCGTAGAGAGACGGGCCAGGGCCGCACCGCGGTGGCTGGGATCGCGAGTTCTTCCAGGAGGGTCGTGGCCAGTTGCCAGCAGCGCCGTCTGGACCCGCAGTACAGGAGGACGCTGCCCCCGGAGGAAACCGGTTCGGCGACGAGGCGGCGCCACGCGGCTGTCTCTGGGTGCCCAGCAAGCTCGATGACCCGCGTGCGCTGAACCCCACCTGCGCTGGGACCCACCTGGACAGTTGCAGCCGCAAGAGCGTCAAATCGCATGTGGCCGCCTGCCGTGACAATGTGAGAGATCCGCGACCAGCAGGCGCGGCAATGTAACAGGTCATGGAGGGTTCGATTGTGGGCAGGCAGCATTGGACGTGCGCGGCTGAGTAGGGTCACCTCGGCAGTCACGTCCTTCCTCCCAGACACCACGTAACCCCGGACTGGCGCTGGCGCAAGGCGATCAGGCGGCGTCTCGCAGCCCAGCCATTGCGAAAGTTTGTCGAGGCCTGTCACGCAGGCACACACCGTCTGCATTGGTACATGGCAGCCGAAGGGGGACACATGCAAACATAAGAAGCCTTTGTTTGTGGGCCCACCGGTGGAGTGCGCGGACAGGCCCAGTATCTGCACTCTGTGCCCGTCATCGGACAGCATCAGCGAGGTGAGCAGGATCTCCAGCTCAGGCCGGGTGCGCGAGTCTGTCATCATGAGGAGGTCGCTGATCACGACGCTGCTCAACACGCCTGCGCAGGATGCGCGCCGGGCCTCACGGGTCACTCTTGGGTGGGCCAGGTTGCCAGACATCGTGAGAGGCAGCCAGAGCAAGGGGAGAGGTCCAGAATGAGGGCTGATACGCACCCAGCCGGCCGTCCGCGATCAAGCTGTCAAGCACGGCGCCCGCGTGCCTCACAGAACATACCGCCAGCGATTCGCCGCTGCAGACACCGAGGGGCACGGTTCAGCATTGCTGCGCACGCAGACTATACACACATCAGGCCGGTCCGGGTCGACGCACAGGTAAGAGGTGGCAGCAGTACTCGTCCAGACTCAGCAGGTTACTAAGGGTTCGTCAAATGCGGGAGCCTCGTTGTTCTCTGGCAGCAATGCTGCTCCCTCATATGAGCTGGAACCATGCGATGATTCGCGCCCTCCCACAAAATTGGCAGTCTTTCTGATATGCCTCCCCGGTTGCACACAACACGCCGGGCTACACCCCCGCCGGTCACTGTGCTGAGACCCCCGCACCCCCCCCCCCCCCCCCCCCGCCCACAGCTGTAATGAAGCAGGATGTTCAGAGGGCGGCAAAACTCACCCCGGCTGGAACGGGGTGTCGATGTCTGCCTCCCCAATGTAGCCCTTGCAGCGGTGCCCTGCCCGCTGCAGGGCTGCTGCCATGCCCCCTGTCATCTGCCGTACGTTCTGTGTGAAGGCCACGACCGCAAGGACCGTTCTTCCCACCTGGGCAGACAGATCCCACCGCTGACCCAGCCGGCGATGGCGGGAGAAACCACTGACCTTGTGGGGGGTCTGAGAAGGAATGTCTGGCAAGAAACAGAAGGCAGATGCGTGGGGCCTGCGCGCAATCTCAGACCCGACACATTCCCCCCACGCCATCGACAGTACCCGGGTAGAGCCATGCAGGGGCACTCACCGCAAGCGCCTGCATTATGAAGTTTCTGGCCAGCTCGGCCCTCTCAGAGGCGACCGCCACGCAGCACATCACACCGCGGCCGTCCCAGGCAAGCTCCAATGCCGGCCGCTGCCAGTGGGGGCAGTCCTCAAACTTGAATGACGGGGCGACCTGGAAGCATGCGTGATAAAGCTGTCAGGCTGGGACAACGTCAGCGCACAAGCAAAGCATACAATCAAGTGGTGAGGGGCTGCACATGCATGACAAGGTCATGTGTCACACAGCATTCGGGAAAGCGATATCCAGAGGGCATGCATGTGTGCATTCCACGAATTTAGACGGGCTGCAGAACCAACCTCGGGCTCACGCGGTCCGTGGCCGCGAGGAAAAAGCAGGCCTGAGTGTGCGACAGGAATCCCAGGCGCCTGCTGGGAGGATTCCCGGTCAGGCGGCTGCATCCCGCGCCCGTCGCCGCGCAGTCTGTCACATGGCACGCCATCTGACGGCGTGTCAGCACCGATCGACCTGAAGAGCCGCGTGGGCGCCGCCAGAGATGGCGGCGTCGCGAGCTCGGTGCGGAGGTGCGTGCCAGCGGACATCCCTGACGGAGGCACGCCGGCATGGGGAGCGGTGGCACTCATGCGCGGCTCCATGTCACGCAGGATTTCAATGATGGCTTCGTCGTCATCCGCCTGCGCGACACATGCAGGAGGGTCAGCGATGTTTCTCCTGCATCTGCAAGGGCAGGGCCCACGCAGAGTCCCACAAGGATTTGACAGGACAAAGGGGATCTGCATGCGAAGAAGCACAGTGGCCGAGGCGATGCGCACATTGTTATCGCCGTCCGGCCATGTGTAGAGCCTCTGCGGCGTGTCTGGAATCATATCCGGAGTCGCATGCAGGGCAGACCCACGGCCGCCGGAGGAAGAGTTTCGTCCAGCGCCCCGAGGCCCGGGCGGCGCCATGCTGGTGCCAGGGCCAGCTGCAAGGGGGCCGGATGCGCTCGCGGCTGCAGAGGGCGGCACAGCTTGCACACGTTGCCCGGCAGCAGAGGCACTGGCAGCTGCTGGCGGCAGCCCTGCGGCTGCGAGTGTGGGGACCTGGCTGCCAGGGGATGGCGTGCCCGACGCACTGGCGGGCGCGCTGCCGGCCCCCGCTGACCTCTGGAGCGGGAATGCATCGTAGACGCCGCGCCAGACGAGGGAGAATGACGTGCTCCCACCCGAGCGGCCGGTGCCCGCTGCGGCGGCCGATGGGGCAGACCGGTAAGGCGCCCCGTGCTGCAGCCTGCAAGCAGCATGTGACAAGTGAAGCAGCGCCAGACTCTAGAAAATCTTTGGGGAACAACAGAAACAGTCGGCATGCGTTCGTAGCTACTCTGGCAGGGTAATATGCGTGAGGGCACACGCCACATTGAAGTGGTGTGAAGCCTGTATGCTGGAACGGGTGTCAATGAAGCATCATGATCCATGTACGAGAAAACCAGGGCATCTCGATTTAATTAAAGCAAAGAAATGGACGACGTGAAACAGAACATCAGAATGCTGTGCATGGAGAACAGACTCACCTTTCCTCTGAGGCTGAAAAGTGGTAGTTGGAGGGGCGAGTGAGATCGCCTTGGACGGTGTTTGCATGGGGGGAATCACATCCCCTTGCATCTGTGTACTGCCGTGATCCGGATGCATCCTTGCGCCGCGACGTCTTCTTCTGTATTTCCTTTCTGACAGACAACCCGTTGCCATGGGGGTTGCCTGCCGACCCACCGGCCACCATTACGAGCTACAACAGCAAACTAAGGTCGGCAGATCACTTCAAATAAAGACGAGGCAACAGGCCATCAGCATTGAATGAGATATAGAGGCATATATATCAGCATGGAAGCTGCTTCTCTACAGGTTATCTTTTTAGAGTCTGCCCACAACAAGCATGTCTTGATCTGGCAATGACGAGTCCCGAAAGGGATGTCCGAGATTAACGACGCCTTTTCATTGATTTCTCGTTGAATGGCAATACCAAAGAAAGCTATTTACACTGCTGACGCACTCGACGTTTCTCCCCGGCCAAAGACACCAGAACTCAGGTCCTCCGGAGGGCATGGGCGTCATCAGAGAAAGACTTTATCTGGTCTGGGTCGATTGCAGCTCGTCGAAACACGCAAAGAAGATCAGAGTCATCTATCATATCGTATACCGACACTGTACGACACGGTGGACTGCCGTCCCGGTGGGTTTTGCGCGGTCATCCTCTATGATTGTCTCTTGCGATGAAGGGAGACTGCGTTCGCCGGCGAATGTGAAACTATTAATTGCAGAGCATCTACACGGTTGAATTGGTACCATGATGATAAGCACTGCTCACTTACAAGCCCGTCCAATGCATTTGCAGTTGTAGAGTTTCTAAATAATTCCATGGACTGGCCAGCACTAGGAGTACATACAACTCTATGCATAAGCAGAGGATCAACGTAGCTGAACTTTAGTCCACCCGTGACAAATCTCTATGGCTGCTGGCTGCTGAGGCTGCTGCTGCGCCTGCAGGACTTTTTACTACTCTGTGTAGGAGTCATGCTTCGCCGGGGCGCGCCTCTCTCGACCTGATCGCCGCGAGGATTCCGATCCGGTGCGCGGCTTGCTAATAGCTGCTTTTGCCATCAGCACCCGTGGCACTTGACCCTGTGCCCGGCTCTGCTGCGCTCCCCTTACATCTTGCGAGGCACTTGCCTGTGATGTGGCAGCTGCAACTGCCATGTTGCTTGCCTGCCGCGTCTCCGCCTCTGCACCAGCTGCGATCTCAGCTAACATCTTGGTCCTGGGCTTTCTTGCAGGCGGCAAAAAGGGGCGGGGCATGCGCTGATGCGTGCGGCGCTGGCGGCGGCCGCCGCCTCTTCCCCTTCTCCAGGACATCCGGGCGACGCGCCAGACTGTTGTCGCGCATGTCCGCTTCCGGGTTAGGTAAGGTCATGGCATCAGCGACTGCATGCTCCAGTGCCTTCGGAGGGAATTTAAGGGAACTCCTTCTGCGTAGCATGTAGCACATGCTGCCGTGCCCAGCCGACAGCATGACCTGTGAGGCCTTGGATTTCGTGCCGGACGGCCGCGAGTGCCTCATCCAGCTGACTCTCTGTGGCGTGACCATCAGCGGCTGTCTGTTTCAGGGAGGCGGCTGCGACCCCAACTGCGTCCGGCGGGGCTGCGCAAAGCCCCTCAGCGCTTGCTCCTGCCGCAGAGTCCAATGCCCCGCAGCTTGCGGCTGCCCCGTCATCAGATGGTGCGTGAGCCTCGTGCTGTTTGTGCTGTTCACCATCAGCTGCGGCGCCTGCCTCATCCTCTGACTCATGAGCCTTTTCGGCTGCTTCTTCTGCCTCTACAGCTGCGACTGTCTCAGCTGTGGCCATCTGCTCGTAGAAGACACTGAACCCCCCGAATGCGCTGCCCATGTAGGTGCCCAGCACGCCCGACAGCTGCCCGTCGGTGCCCCTCCTCACCGTCAGCACCTTCACCTTATGCCAGCACATCCTCCCAAGCGTCCCAGCGATGCAGTCACAGGTGGGCACCTCACGGCCTGCAGCTGCGCCTGTGACGCTGTAACTCTAACCTGTGTCGTCCTGCTTCAAATGGACAGTGTGAAATTTAGGCTTGAATGTACCTTGAGGCTGCTATGGTCGCCCTCAATGTGTGAGGCTGTGTTGATGGCGCACCCCACCCGAGCCCGAAAGATCTGCATGATACGCTTTGCATGCAGCAGCGAAACGGTTCAAGAGTGGTAAAGGGCAAATTTGGCAGCAACGATTAAGTGGGACGCATTTTTGCTACACGCTCAATTGAAGAAAGTACATGTCCAATTCTGCATGGGATCTTTATGGTGAACCGGTTGAGGGAGTGCAGACCCTCACATAGTTTGCCCCCACCCCCACTGGCTGCGAAAGTGCGACAAAGGCTTCCTCCGCAGCAAACTTATTGCAGAAAGCCTCATATTGAGCCTGTGCCAAGGCTTTGACGTCAGAATCCCCTGCAGCTGGCACTTCCCTTTCTGCTTTGGCACCTCGCTGACAGCTGGTGCCCCAGCATCAAGCTGATGGCTGCTCTTGTGCGATCTGCTCTTCTGCTTGATCAATTGACCTCCTCACGCACACCTGCGTGTTTTTTTTTTTTTGGTGGCGGGCTTGCTCACAAAGGGATGCACGACCCCTTCAACGCTCCCCCTGCTCCCCTCACTCTGGCTGCTGCCATCACTCTGCTCCGTGGCGCGCTTGCTCTTGCGATGCTTCTTCTTGGCAGCATCCTCTAGCCGGGACGTCAGGCGGCCCATTCTGTTGCCCGCAGGAGCGTGGAGATTGCACTGGGATCCAGCAGCGTGCAGCCCAATGCTGGCTCCAGCCATCGCCTGCTCGACCTGGTGCTTTGCTCTGCGTGCGGCCACCAGCAGAAAACCCCACAGCTCGCTATGAGGCGTATTGCATGGATGGGGCGGTCCGTGACGAGCACAAGATAGACAGATATGTGAGGCCCACACCGAGTACACTGCATGCGTGTTTGATTTGGACGATGCTGAGGTGTGGCAGTACTGTGAGAGTGCAGCATCGATCCTCACATGACAAATGAACTGATTACATGTACATGTAAAGCATTCAGACACCGAGGTCCATCATCTGCTTGCGCCGCTTGATCATATTCTCCTTCAGGCGCGCGTGCGCTGCCCTTGCATTAACAACCAACTCATGGATATCATTCAAGCAATGCGGCAGCATCCTATGCTCAATGCGATCTAGCATGTCCTCGATGTGCCGCAGCAACAACCAAATGTATCTGATGTCAGTGAACAGCCGCGTGCCCTGCTGCAACAGGCCGGGTCTTATCAGCTCGGCCGTCTCTGTCTTCTCCTTGTCGGTCGCATCAGAATCAAACCACACCCAGCAGCTTGTGCGTCAGCACGTTCAGCTCCGCCATCCGCCGGGCCTCCCTGAGAGCGAGCTTTGAGCACCCCGATGCCCTCGCCTCTGATGCTGGCTCCCACATCAGCTCCACCCATTCGGGCAGCACTGGCGATTCAGCACCAGCGTAGAGATGTACACCACCGTGTCTGGCTGTGCCGCCTGCAGCAGCCGCCTGAAGCGCCTGAAGATCTCGCTGGCCCTGAAGTCTCCGCGGATGTCGTGGCCGAACAGGAGGGCTGTCAACACCCTGTCCACCAGCTCCGACAGCTCCTGCCTGACTGCCCGGTACGCTGCGGCATGCTCCCCCTTTGCTGCCGCGAGGGAGTAGGCATGCCGCAGCCCCGCTGGCTTTCCTGACACTGACTCCAGCATCTTCATTGCGATGAGCTCGCTGGCCTCCTCCGCTGTTCCGTGCCACATGCACAACGTGTCATGCATGTCGATGTTTCCCGTTGCCAGCACCTCAGCAATATCTCTCTGCAGCCTGCTCATCATCGCTGGCACTGCATGCAGCTCTGGGTGCTCCGCCCTGTGCTGCTCATAGTTTGCCTGGTCCTGCAGCTGCGCCTGCAGTGCGCTGACCTCCTCATACTCCAGCGGCAATGCGCTGTTGCTGTCAGATGTGACAGGGCCGTCTGAGCGCTGGCTGGCTGCTCCCGAGCGCTGGCTGGCTCCGTCTGACCGCTGGCTAGCTCCAGTATCGTGCCTGCTGGGCAACATTATTAGCCTGAGTTACCAGTTCAAGGTTGCTGCGCCTCTTATCAGGCTAGTTGTTGTTCTTGTGGTGCACTACCAGTCCAGCCTGTGCAACGGCCTGGTCCTGTCTACCCTCGCATAAGCATGGCCTTGTGTGTCAGCAATGGCAGGGAATGTCCTTTGACATACTTATCAAAGTCAGCTCGGTCCAGCCTGACCACCGTGGTCAGGGTGGTCATTGCATGCATTGCATGCATTGCATGGTCATTGCATTGCCATCAGCATTGTCATCAGCATGTCACCATGTGACATGCTTCTTGCCTTTGCTGGACACCGTCACATCCACCGTTTATCCTAAAGGATGAAGGACATACCTGGCAGCATAGATGCAGCCCGTGCGTGCCCTGAGCTGATAGCGCATATTGGGCGTCCAACAGTCCGACGAAGATCCGCAGTTGTCGATCTGTCTTGTAATGCTGAAGAGCACACAGCAGGGTCCTGATGAGCTTTTAAAAGATCAAGCAACGAACAACTCTGTGATCCTGGTTCAAGGCTTGCATCTGCAGTGCTCATTTGCCTTGACTGCGAAGCGACGTCGTTACAAGAAGGGTATGGAGAGAGAGGGGAATTACATCATCGATGTGTCAGGGTAAACAATCCAAAATCCTAAATCCTAAAAGGCTGCATGACAGGGTAGCATTGACAAGCTATGGGCAGGGGCATTATATCACTTCAAATCTGTCACTCTGCACTGCAGCACTAACTCCTCATAATGCTTCACACGATGAATCCCTTTGCCTCACATGCTGGGCACCAGAAGCACCGCAACAGTCAGTCAATCAGTCAGTCAGTCAGTCAGTCGGTTACATCTATTCCAGCCACCTCAGGCTGATCAGATGTCTGACTCTGATCGTCAGAGTCAGCGCCCAGCATCACATCCAAACATTCTGACACAAATTTGGTAACCCCAATCAAGTCAGCCTGCCAGAAGAACTGCAACATAGTAGGACACTGAAAGAGTGAAGAATACTTGGCCCTAATAGGTTGCAGGTGTGGGCACTCGAACACTAAATGTTTCTCATCCCCTAGACTGCCGGGTCCGCACAATGTACAGGCACGGTCAGCTCGGGGAATCCTGGCCCAAGAGCCAGTGTCCCTGGGCAAGCCATGACAACCCATCCTGAAACGCAGCATCTGTGTGACACACCGAGCAGGCAATGGCAAGGACAAACACATGCAGAATCTTTTTAGCAGGTATGGCTTGCGCTGATGACAGGTCGACACTCAAAAGGGGATACAACAACACTGCCGAACTGAACTTTGTCTACCACAGGAAATGTTCAAGCACTGAGCCTGTCCGCTGGTTTATGTCTAGAAGCACTCAACCCCAGCCTGAGGGCCTCAGGAGAGCTGTGGGTTGCCGGTGGCTCAGAGCACGCTGCAGCTTCAGAGTGGGGGACCAATGGCTCGGAAGGCTTTGCTCTGCTTGAGAAGCGCTGGAAGATACCACTGGGGCTGCTGCACGACGGATGGTTGTCCCGCATCAGCAGGCAACTGTCCCGCAGCGGGCTCCACCTCTGCAGGAAACACTCACATGTCAGGTCCGAACAGATCATTTCCAGAAAAGCTGGCTCCAGGCCGGTAACGGCATCAACCTGTCAAATTTAGAAACTCGGCCATGATGAATGTCTTACCAACTGGGTGTGCATGGGGCAGCTGCTGCGAGTGCAGCTTGCAACGTGTCTCTAAGCACAACAGTATTCCTGAGAGTACAGGAAATGATGCAAGGTGCATAGGGGGCTTGGCGTCTTCTCTCAATATGCAATCACCCTTGGCAGCAGCAGCCTCCAGAAATTTCTGGATCTGGTCTACCCGTTCCTGGCTGGGGATGAGCCCAGAAATAGTCGGACCGATTGTCCTTGGCAAAATACCGACATGCAGGGGAGCACCGTGCCTCAGTGCGTGCAACAGCTGCTCAGAGCACTTATCTGCAGCTATCATCCAACATTGCAGAGGAAACTCAGGGCGGCGACAACGCGCAGGAAACCTGCTTGCTTTCACATGCACGGACCTGCCAATCAGCTCTACAGACTAAGGCTTACATGGCTGAGCACCGCTAGGGGTGATCCGGAGAGCAGACGGTAAAAAGTTGGCTTGCATGACACAGCAATCCTCAACGGGCATGACCACAGGTCAACCGGCGGTCCGGGCCACCGAGGGAGTGGTCCGGACCAGCAAAGTCCCCTGACAAAGGAGCGCAGAGCATACCTTGCATGGGAGCAGCTGGCCGGGTTGTCGGGTTGGAGATGTCAAGCGTCGAGCGCTGCAGGTCGGCCAGGGCCCCAGGGAGACCTACAAGCCAAAGGATTAGTCGGACCGGTTGTCTTTTGCAAAATATACACCGTGCCTCAGTGCGTGCAACAGCAGCCGCTCTGAGCAGCTGTTGCATCTCTCATCCCAACATTGCAGAGGGAACTCAGGGCGGCGACAACGCGCAGGAAACCTGCTGGCTTTCACGTGCACGGATCTGCCAATCAGCTCTACAAAACCGCAGTGACTCTGTCAGGTGCTCGACAGACTTGTCAGGCTTAGGCACGACAAGAGACTTTGTTGCTGCATGCGCCACAGGTCAACCGGTCCTCCATGAATGCCAGGGGCGGGAGCAGGAAGTATGCACCTGGTGGGAGGGGTGCCTCGATCGCAGCAGGCCTCTCACGGTCTCGGGCAAGGCCACAAGAGCTGGAGTCCCTGCACGGTGTTTGTATGCTTGGCCTTAGGGTGACACAACACAGACGATATTTTCATGGAAGCAGAACAAGACTGCAGTATAGATGCCCCATCCGAGGCTCTCCATGGAGCAGATGGACATCATATTGATGGCAGCTTCCTGCTCAAGGCTGTTTACAAGGGGTCCCAGCCAGCATGATCTCGATCCTGTTGAAGAGTGATCGGAATACAAACTCAAAGTCCTCAAATGGAATGCAGAAATAACAATCTTGTGAGATTCAGAAGGAGTGATTGAGCAGCCTGAGCAAACCTGATCTCTGTCTCATCGACGGATTCGCCTCATGGCGTGGCCTCCCACTCGTGCGCTCGATGAGACTCCTCTGGCAGGAGCAGATGCGATCATCCTGCCATTTTTTGCAGGTAGCAGGAAAAGATACCCGAGAGGAGAGCCATGGCAATGGTACACTGCAGTATGAGGGGGGGGGGGGCCCGGGGCAGGCTGCGCCGGCGCCTCAAGTGTCCCTCCTCATGAGAGAAATTTTGATACGGCATCGATCATGCTAGGACAATGTCTTCTTCCATGACTGGTGAGAGGTAACAACGCTGGGTGAGTCCACGTAAAGTTTGGGGATCTGTTGCCAGTGATGTGCTCCAATCCGCTTGGAGTCACTCAGGCTGATGCAATTGTATTGGCAGTTGGGGCAAGGGGGCCCTCACTCCCCAATATTGCTATTGGCAGTTGAGGCACTGGCCTAGCCACAAATCTGAGTGCACTGCAGCACCATGAAGGGCCCGGGGAGTTGTCCAGAGACAGTTGGCATACATTATTTCTGATGTGTTGGGCAGCAAGCAGACACACCTGAACCGCCAATGTACATTGGTTGCTCCTGCTTGCTCCCCAGTTCACCGCCAACCTCAGCCAGAATTCAAGGCACTGCGCATGATGCCTAGCACAAAGCAAACCCTGCTGTAGCGCTATGCATATGGGCAGGACTGCAGGAGAAAGAAGGGCACATCTGCTTGTAATCGCATGCTGGAAATGGTACAGAAGAACAAAGACGCACCATGCGAGGAGGCCCTTGGTTCCCAGGCTGTACGAGTCACTTGTTTTTCATGCAGCATGCATGTTGCAGCAATTTGCATTTGAGAAATGTTGGGTAGACACGCAGGGCTGCATGCAGGTTGCGCAAGTTGCTGTCTATATCATCACTGTTGAACAGCTTTGCAAATGTCCAGACAGAGTACACACGGCAGCACCTGCACCCTTTGTGCTGCTTGGCAGAACATGGCATCTTGGGAAGCATTCAATTTAATACAAAGGCTGTTCATGCGACACTGGCCAGACCAGGCCCGACAAGATATTTGCATGGCACCAATCCTCAACAAATCGAGAAAGAGTCAGGTGATGTCATGCGCATGCACACTGCAAGCTTGGAAAATTTTTGTCAAATTCAAAGAGTTGGTCCCAGGAGCTCACACAAGCTTATTCAGCAAGCGAGCACCTACAGGACGTATATATCCCCTTCATATCTGAAAACAACAATCCTCTCTGTTGTCCTGTACTGTACGCTCTCAGCAGCCCCGGCTTCTTTCTCGTGGGGGTTTCATGTATAGCAGGAAGACTTATCCGCTCAGCAAAGAGGTAACCGCGCTCGTTATGCTGGCGGGGAAGTCCTGTAGAGGGGCCGCCGCTGCGGCGATGGTGGCAAGTGGGCCATCCACAGAGCCTCCAGCAGCCTTCTCCAGGCTGATCAGCGCATCCAATGCCTGTGGCAGCTTGCTCATCTTATCAGTGTATTTCCAGCCAACAATCATGCTCTGCCTTATTCAGTACTCAGATGAAGCCCTCCTCCTCAGAGCATGCCAGTGGCAGAGAGCTGCGCAATGCCCATGCACGAGGAAGCCTCTCCAATGCAAGGCAAGCCTTCCCTCAGCGATGTTCTCAGCTGCACAAGCCCTCCATTCCTCGCAGGAGAGCTTTTGAAGGGAACAGTACCTTGAGAGTGAATTTTTGGCCACCGAAGACTTCGTGCTTGGGCAGGCCGAAACGCTTGACCAGGCCGCACTCCTTGCCAGCAAGGGTCCCTTCTGAGAAGTCCAACAGCGTGCACGAATCTGCAACCAGGCAGGAAAGTCATATAAACACCAGCACGGACTCATCTGAAAGCATGCAAAGATGCGCACGGACAGCCAAGCGACTGCCACTGCTAGGGTGGAGATGTGCAGGATCTTCAAGCGTCTCTCCTGAAACGCTGCAGACACGCAAAGTGTTGGGTGCAGGTGGAGATATTTCTGCCCATATTCTCTCTCTCAGTTTTCAAGTTGGCTGTGGTGCCCTGTGCTTGAGCCAGGCTTGTTTTTTCCACCTCCCTGCCATGCATGCTGCTCTGGTATGTTCTAAATATAGGCAGCTACTTACCGAAGGCCAGGCTGGAGAGGAATTGTTGAGAGGTTGCTGCAACGCACCTAGCCCTGAGGACTGGAACAACCGTGTAATAAGAAAAAAAGCCAGGGGATAACAAGTGGTGTATCAGAGCCTCCCCACCTGGATTCTTGGTGAGGGTGAGGTAGGCAGGGGTGCACGACATGATGTTGGTGTCATCATCCACCACGCAGTCCCAGGGCACGAGAGTCAGCTGCATGCTCTTGCCCGTGCAGGAAGGAGGGTTCTGCATTTCACAGTCACACTCTCATCAGCCCGCTGCACTAATCCTTTGGGCTGCTGGCTTCTGCTGTATCGTGGATCTGCTGCAATTCCAGGCATCTATTGACATAAGTCCGAGGGCTCAAAACTCAATTCAGGAATGCAGACGGTGCTTCTGCGGCTGTCAAAGAAACTTGACTAATGACAATGAAAAGAAAGAGCACCTTTTTGGGCAGCTCCACTGTGTCTGCTGCGCAGGATTCGTCAAATATGTCTTTTCCAGATTTTAGCGCCTGCACCGGCACAATCAGGATGTCCCTTGCTGCAGAATTTGGCCAGATTTAGCCAAATTCCAGTTTCAAGTTGCCAGCATTGCAGCATTGCCAATTCTAATGCAGAATGCAGACACATCAGAAGTTTTTGATATGAAGATGGACAGTGACAGACTGCCTACCAAACCAGTGAGCCTCAGGTGGCTCCCAACTGGACTCTAAAATGTAACAGTATTAATAATTACTTGCCACCATGCGTGCCCGGTCAATTAGTGTCCGACAAGTCAAAGCGCTACACTCAGCTAGCTGCAGCAGACAGCACACGCAATTACTCGCCTCACATGATTCCTCCTAACCAGCCAGGTCAGAAATTTCAGGCAGCGCACCTGCAGGTAATCTTGAGCGTTGGCGAGTGGAGAAGCCAGCAGCTGGAGCTCCTGCAGGTATGACTGTGTGTCATTGATTGCGGCTGACACCGACAAGCCGCCCATTGTGGTCAGGTCTGCACAGCGACGATCACAACTGCAGCCCAACAGATCATAAAGTCCAGCCTCTGGATGAAGACTCAGAGTACAGTTTTCAGGTTGCATTTCAAAGCTTTCTTTACCAGTAAGAAACACAGCACCGGGGGATTTCACGCATGCACAGATAGACAACAAAATGCAACGTGTCTGGACAAGGAAGGATAGCAAGAAACGCACTGAAGTTGTCTGCGAAGGAGGCGGCAAATGACAGCGCCTGCTGGGCGGTGGTCTGCGCATCAGGCACACTTCGCACTCAAATCACTGCAAAAATTCGACATGGCTTAATTGTCGTTTTGTCCAGAGTTCATGTGATGGTGTCTAAATTGAATCCTCGGATCATGCGCATGACAAACCTTTTCACCATTATAATACAGGCATGCATGCACGAATTTTCTGTGCGCAGCAAGCTTCGGGGCCAGCAAAAGAAGGGGCGCACCGTATAATTGTACGAAAATGTGATATCTGCGGCACACACATGAACATCCTCAGGGGTGGTCATGAAGCAGATCTGGGGCTTCCATATACAGCACATTATTTTTCCTGATAGAGTCTAAAGCCTCTTGTCACAGGAAACCACAGGAAAATAAACAAAGGGAAGAGGTACTTACTCAGGATCTGTTCAGGTCCAGGAGCCGGGGCAAACATTGGCGCAGGTGCCGGCGCCATCTTGGGAGCCAGGAAGTTTTCCAGTCCGGGCGTGTAGATGAGCCCGGCATAAGGGCCATCCAGTGACGGCGCACCCGTGGCGGCTTCAGCTGTCTGAGGCAGAAGCCCTGAGCTGGCCTCTGCCGGCGGGAACTCTGAGCCCTGCTTGGCTTCGTCTGCTTCCTTCTCAGCTACAACGCACATAATGTTGCGAGTGAGAGCAATGACGTCGTATGTCATTCTGTTGCTTGCTTCTTAGTGTCACGGTTGACACCGAGGACCCATGGCTTTGCCATGTCACTGCTATGACAAAGGGTCCTCCAGAGTGGAGCAATTATTCTGAGTACCGAGCGTGATACTCAGGTTGCCTAAGAGCTAGCTTGCCATGTTCCATCATGTGCATTGCGGGCATTACATTTTACAAGCATCTTCATAGAGCACAGCTTTATGCATGCATGTACAAAAAGCCCTGTCTCACCTTCATTTGCTGGTGTGACAGGAGGAGGGCTGCGCGCCAGTGCCGGGAACACTGTGCCCAGCAGCTGGGTGACGCCTGACTGTGTCGTCCCCGCTGCAGGCAGCTGAAGGGCGCTCTGCAGAACTTGTGTGAAGCCGGGCAGAGGTGCACCCACTGCAGGCAATTGAGCTGCGCCCTGCAGGACCTGCCCAAGGCTGGGCAGAGGTGTGCCCACTACGGGCAGCTGCAGTGCCACGTCGGGCAGTGGTGCGCCGAGAGGCGGCAGTTGGAGCGCGCTCTGAATTGCCTGGCCGGCCTGTGAGATCACATTCTGGCCCTCTCCCTGACCTGCAGCCAGCACATGGAAGACTCCTCAATAACACGAAACACTGTGCACTCTGAATTTGCTGCGCCCATCACAATGGCATTCAAAATGTTAAAGCCCGGACTTTACATACAACAGGTTGCAGCCTCGTGAGAAGGATATGTCAATGCTTCAATTTTAAATTGGCCCTCTCCAGTCAATCTGTTGACGATCATGCATATTACTGTGCATTGAGAAAATTAATAATATGTTGGTAACAGGTGTGGATGCAATCCGCACAGACCTGTGAGGAAACTCCCAAGCAGCTGAGGCACATTGGCGTTCAGCGCGCTGCTCAGCGCCTGGTTCCCACTCGACTGCAGGCTGTTGATGCCTGGAATCTGCCCAATCACCTGCTGTGCTGTGCTCAGCAACTGCCCAGTCTGACTGGTGCTCAGATCACCACTCACCACACCAGACACAACACTGTTCAACGCAGAGGCGGCGTCTGAGACCAATGTGTTTGGGTTCTGTCCGCTGAGCAGCTGGCTCACTCCAGATATAAGCTGGCTGCCAAGGCCTGCTGGCTGTGTCAGGCTAGATGCCATGCTAGAAAGGTCCACCTGAGAGAAGAGAGACAGGTGTCCGATTCGTAGAGTTTAGGACTCGACATTTTCCTCTTGTTGACAATTGTAAGTACCTTATGAAGGGGTATGTAGAATATTGAAGCTTTAGAGGATTCACGGACAGGGTTAAATGCTCGCCTGCAACAGCTTCCGGCCTTTGACATGCTCCTTCCCTTGTTCATCTATCTGAATACCTGCATTTAGCAAACAACGGTGTTTTTTTACCACAGTATAAGGAAGGCACCTCTGGCAGACGGACAAATTCATCAAACGTGCGGAATGCCGAGGGTGGTCCGATGCTGAACTGCTAGCCCATCTCATCTTGCCTTTACGACGTATCTTGTGATCTATATTGTGACAAAATGCTGCCTGAATAACTTGTACTGACCTCCAAATACCAAAGCTGTGCAGCAGAAACAAACGATAGCCGCTCGCAATGCCTGCGAAGGCCCCATCCCACGACGCCTCCAACGCGCACTATTCTCCTTCACGGTGAATAATTGGGAAGCCACATCTAAACGAAGGTGACAGAATAAAGCTTGATGTTGAGTTTCTGCGCTATCAACTCGAAAAGCTTGAGAACGAGATTTTACATTGGGAGAGACGAACCAGCCGGCTTCCACGCTCCGGGAAGCCGAGGCAGAGCTGAGGCCCCCTACCCTGCAAGTCTGCGGATCGGGCACTTCTGGTGCTCCAAAAGCAAAGGCTTGATTCTTCTCTTGCGTTCTTTTATGCGCAGGCAGGACAGTGGCAGTGGTATGTGTGAACGATAGTTTTAGTGTTGGGTCTTGTAAATAGAGGGGGTATGCCAGAGATGACACACATGCATGTGTATTACAAGCACCTGATGTGGCCATGTTATGCTTTCAAAAATGCACTATCAAGCAAATTGGCAATTCGCCCACACAGTTCTCGTATCTCAATTTTGCTGATACCACTTGTGTGCCTCTCCTGCCTTCTTCAGACAGAGCAACTCTAACAAGCCTAGCTATCATATTTGATCTCCAAAATGACACTTAATTGCTTCAGCAAGGTCACAAGTCAGCATGCAACCCTCTGCACAAAATCCACCTTGCAAACCTCTTGTCTCTCCTCCGACAGTCTGTATACCAAAGATCAAAATTGCGAGGGAATTTTCGATATGTTACTCTCCCTTCACAGACTGCAGTCTGCGCATGCAGGCAATCGTCAGGCAACCATGCTTTGGTGTCTCAGCCAGACACAGTAGCTGCACTGCTTGTGTCTGCCGCCAAAGCAGTCCCATTTGTCGAGCTTGAAATGATGCCAGTCTCCTGCAGCTTGCTGAGAATGTCTGAAACCTGCGCACGCGGCACTTAACGGGTTAGCAAGGCAGTAAAGGGATGCCCCTCAGAAGTTTCGGTTTCAGGGTGTTTGTGCTGTACCAGCGCTTGCTACTCTGTGAGCCTCTTAGGATTCATGCATGGGCCAAAGGTACTGCCTATCAGATTTTCAGTCAACGGGGAATATTGGGGCGCACTTTGTACGTGATTTGTGGTGTGCCGAGCTCTTTGGAATCTGCGGATCCAAATTGCTTGATCACGCCGCACTCCCTCCCAGTGAAGCTGCCCTCAAATATTTTCAGCACCGAGCATGTGTCTGTTGCAAGTAAAAACAGAGAAGGATGTCAGTACAGCAAGCCTACACGATGCAGAGCAACTCACACGAAATCAATGCGAAGGAAACGATGGTTTAGACAGGATGATTTCCACAAAAGAGGTTCCAGAACTTTAATACTAAGTGTACACTCACCTGGAGTTGTGATGAGCGCCAAATATGCAGGTGTGCATGTGAGGATGGCGGTGTCATCATTCAGCGCACAGCTCCAGGGCACAAGGGCAAGCTGATAGCTCTCTCCCACACAGAATGGCCCTTCCTGCCAAAACAACCGCACAAAGCAAGATTTCAAGGATATCAGCATGCAAGTCACTGGCAGCATTTGGGTATCGCAAAGTGAACAGCAGGCAAACTTGCTTAGATGGGCTAATGCAGGGGGTAGTCCGCACCAGCTTTGGAAGCTCCAGCTTCTCGGCTGTGCACGTGTCGTCGAGCGCGGCATGCAGAGATGCAGCCGCCTGAATGGATACGAGCGCCTTCACAAGCACACTCATATCAATGGCAGCTCTCGCCTAAAGCTAGAAACAGAGGTCCCCTTTTAGCTCTTGTGTTCACCCTTTGCATAACAGAGCCACTTGCAGGGAATAGTCTGACCCAAATATAACAGGCAGATTCATTAGTAATTGGTGAGCATACCTTCCTGGGGTCATTCGCGGCACTGTCAAGGGACATAATTTGCTGCAGCTCTTGCATAAGCAGCTCCACGTCTGCAAACGCCTGTGCAAGAGGCACGCCTGACAAAGAGTCCAAGCCTGCATGCATCAGCAGCCCTTTCAGAATCTCCCAATATGAACAGTTTCTGGAATTTTTGAGACTGGTGGCTCTGTTCAATGGGGCAACAGGCTTACTAACACAAGAGGAACGTACTTACTATAGTTCTGTCCTAAACACGGTGCTCTGAAAACATTGGACTTGCGGGATATTGTCGTAAGGATGCTGCAACATGATGCCCAAGAAGCGAGAAGGCTTACCAAGACTTGCAGAGAGATTAGTTGCTTGCGACAGAACGGTAGTGACAAGTCTCTGGACGGGTGTCTGTGCAGACATGCAAATTCCCCTTCAGGCAGCTGTCTCAGAAAAGGTGCGCCCCTTTGCATTGCTGTCGCGCATGCGCTATATGCCGGACTTCAACACTCAATTCCAAGAATTCACCAATCAATGCCGGGCGATGGCATGCATCTGCAATATTCCCAGTGCAACTCGTGCACACTGGAAGTCTTCATACGGTTTGAAGGGGGGCACACCTGCGGAGTAAGCTGCGCTTCGGCGGTAATCAAGGGTGAAGACAGCAGGCGAAGATCACCCAAGACCTGTTGAGCTTGGTCAACTGCTGTCGTCACAGGCATCACAGGCTCATTGCTGCTGCCTGCATGTCCATTCACAAAGCAGGCGTCAAAGCATGCTGATGGGACGGCAGATCCAGCAACAAAATCTCAGCTAAAGATTGCTTTGCCGATGCAAAGGACACACGTCATGTCTGGTCTGGCATGCTGCCGAATTCTGCCAGGCTAGGGCCGTATCTTTGTATCTGGAGGCCTTGGAAGGTCTGAGATATTTTCAGAATTTGATGGCTTAACGATTGGTAGTATGAAGCCAAGCAACTCACCAGTGTTTGCGCCAAAGAGAGCACCGCCTGATAGCGCAGCTGTAACAGCCCCCTGCATGCTTCCCTGTATTGAGCCAGATAACACAATTGCTGCCAACCCGCCACATAGACACAAGGAGAAGCACCAAGAAAAAAAATAGGTTCTGCTTTGTACGCGTAAATTTTGAAAAGGTGTGATCTCTGTTGCCAGCTGGGCACAACCAAAGCGAGATAAGCATGCACACCGTGCCGTTGAAGCCCAACGTCAAATCTGCACAGGCACAATGGGAAGGCTCAGGGCACTGAGCTTTCCAAACTTTGTGAAACATGGTTCACACCATATGGTTTGTTGCTCAAAACCAGCAGTGAACAACGATCAAGCATATGAGATTTGATCACAGTCGTGGCAAAGCGCACTCTGGAAGATGGCCGTGAAGGGGTTAATCGACATCGATGGCGCTGCAGCTGGCGGCTGCAGCACCACCACAGGCTCGATCTGCACTGCTGCAGGCGCAAGCGTGCCGGACTCCGCATTTGACTCGGGCTTGAGCCCGGAGTCGTTATAGGCCAGTGCCGCAGGCGTAGAAACTACCGGATATCCAGCGGCTGTAGGTGGCAGGGCTGCACTCGGCGCAGCGGCGCCCAGGGGTAGGAACGCCTCCAACAGAGCTATAGTGTTGAAGGGCACGGCGGCTGACGGCGTTCCTGGGCTTCCGGAGAGACCCGGCAGCAGCTGTGAGAAGAAGCCCTGCAGCGGGTCTGAAGCTGTCGGCGGCGCCGCTGATGCCAAGGACGGGCCGACGGCAGGCGACTGCGGGGTAGTAAGCCCAGGCAGCAGCCCCAAGAAGATGGACGAAAGCTGCGCGGCGACTGCCGCCTCTGCCGCCGCCGATGCCGGGGCCGGCGCGGGTGCCGGTGTTGGCGCTGTGACCGCGCCGCTCTGAATGAGCGAGGCGATGAGCGCGGCCAGCATATCCGGCGAGGGTGCTGGTGCGGCCGGCTGCGGGCCCGGGGACAATATGGGTGACTCCGTGGGGACAGCGCTCGTGAGCGGCTGCGAAGAGCTGAGCGGCGGCTGCGCTACTGCCAAAGTCGGCGGCACACCTGATTCCCTTGGCACAGACATCACAGCCGGCGGCAGGGCTGCCTCCATTGGGGCCCGCGCAAGCGTAGGCGGCTCCAGAGGCGTGCTGCTGGGCGCTAGCAAGGCTGACTCATTCGGGGCCTGCGCAAGGGGTGGCGGCTGAAGAGGCGCGCTGCTTGGCGGTAGCAGTGCTGCTTCGCTCGGAACCTGCGCGGGGCTGGGTGCCTCAACCGGCGCTGAAGTAGGCACTGCCACTGAACTGACGGGTGCAATCAGCGGGCTTGCTGACTGCGGAGCTGCCGCAGGCGCCATGGCTGGGGCAAAGCTGGGCCCTGGAGCAGCAGCAGTGCCTTCCGGCATGCCATATGCTGCCGACACTACTGCTGCAGCCGGTGACATGCTGGGTAGGTTCCCTGGGAAGACCGCCGGGGTGGCCGACGGCTGCGGCGCCGGGGTGAGAGCGAGACCGGGGAAGCTCGGCAGGCTAATTGCTGGCAGGGGGGAGCCTGACTCTGCCTGCGGCGCAGGAGCCATGGCGGGGAGCTCTCTGGGTACAACCGAGGGTGCGGGCGCGGCAGCCTCCACAGCTGCAGCAGGCGCGAGTGGCACTCCGCCGGCAAGCGCTGTCAGCATTGCGGCTGCCGTCATGCCTGGCTCGAACACCGGCGGCTGCGCGGGGAAGCTGCGCGGCGGCTGCTCGCTGACTTCCACAGCTGGGCCGGGTGCTTGGCTGGTGCCTGGAAAGCTGGGCAGCTCGATCTGCTGAGGCAGCGGGAGTGGCGCCAGTGCAACCTCTGCACGTGGCAGTGTCGCGCCGGCAACAGGTGCCAGCGCCTGATCTGGTATAAGCGGCCTGACCGGCAGGATTGGCAGCTGTGGGATCGGCGCCAACGCTGCCGCTGCGGCAGGGGCCGCCGCTTGCTGGAAGGCCGTCAGTGTCAGCGCATCAAACGGCGCTGGCAGGGTCAGCAGATTTGATGCAGGAATCACGATTGGCGCCTGTGCGGCCTCTATGGCCGGCAGTGTTGCCTGGGCGGCTGGGGCTAGCGCCTGGTCGGAGACAGGCAGCCGCAGCGGCCCAACTGTGGGCAGTGGGATTGGCGCGGCCGCAGTCAAGTCAACTGGCGGAGCTGCCTCAGCGGTTGGAACAGGGGCCTGCTTTTCGGCCGGCAGCTCAAACGCCACTGGAATGGCGCCTAGGAGAGATGCAGCCGGCCTGGGGGCAAGCGCGCTGCTCGGCAGCTGTTGCGCAATTTGTGGTGCTGCGGCGGGCAGCGCTGGTGCCTCAGCGGCTCCAGATGGCTCCAGGGCTGGAGCTGGCATGGGCGCCGTGCCTGCAGGCAAAGGATGCACAGCTAAATTAGGTCCTATCTGACACGGCACTCCTTTCATGCTTGCTGTCATGCTTGCTCTGCCCTAGCCATGTAGACATGCAAATCAGGGCTTCCTCCAAAGGGCAGCATTCCTTCACAACACGACAAACAACGCTTTAATTGCACCTGCGAGAGGGTGTACATGATGGTGGATTTGCTGAGGCTCACCCGGGCTGATGGCGTCTGCATTGTTGAGCAGAGAGTAGGCAGTGTTGATGAATTGAATCAGGCTTGAGGAGGTGGAAGTGCCGCTGTCCCGGCTTGAGGCCGCCTGTTGCAGCGCAGTCCCAAGTGCTTGTGTGTCCTGAGTGGACAACCCCCCGCCACCTCCTGGAAAGCAGAGGCTGCAAATCTCAGGGACCACTGCCTACGTCTCAACAGCAACGAGTGTCGCTCACACTACACACTTTAGTATAGGTGATACATGGATAGCATGTAAATGAGCAGTCCCGAATCCAGTAAAGATGTTGGCTGCTGTTTCGTGCCCGTGCCTGCAGTGGCGGGGTCAGCCTGCAAAGAACAGAGAACGATGTGTTTTCAAACTATTTCGATGCAAGCTGACATATGTTATTAGGTCTCAGGACATCATGCGATTTGGGTGGTCCAGCAGACAGTGGCATGCGTGACGGAGAGCCACGCACCTGTAGCAATTTACGAATGCTTTCACCTTCGTGCACATTGGAAGCGGTATTGGACCCTGAAAAAGCAATCGAGGCTGTCAGATTTGGACTACGTGACTCCGAATTTTTTTTTGCTTTGTGCGGAATGCCGAGGAAGATCACAATAAGTTGAGACACGCCAGTACTTGTCGCTGAAGCCTCATGAGATCGTTTAGAATTGGAAGAAAGTACCTCCAAGAACGAGTAGTACCCAACACAAGCTGATGGCCACACGGAAAGCAAGTGATGGCCCCATTCACACCCCCCGCTTCTACCCGACTTATCAAGACTTCCTGCAAGATGAGCCCTTTCCGAAACGATGAGATTTCCCCATATTTACAACTATTAAAACGCCCTTTAGCCCAGAGTCATGAAAATCATTTCTGTCGATATCGACATCACCTTTGGATTTCATGATTCTCACAGCTTCCGATGAGATGGAAGCTAGCAGAGGGTGGGGTTTGACTGGGTCTCAAAATATTTTAATAAGAGAAATATAGCTGCACTAGATAAATCTTCTGCACAGCACCTCATAGTCAAATAGCATCGTCTTCGGTTGCATATCCTCAGGAAGTTGCACTGTGCACTAAGATTCACTTTTGGTGATCGGTTACCATAAGGTCATGAATGGTCATTCACTTTGGCAAATATGGTCTCACCGGAGGTACTTGCTAGCTGGAGTCATGCAAAAGTAACATTCTTCAGACTGCATGAGCAATTGACCATCACTCATGTGCCACTTTCAATGGTCACACTTTATTTAATCACCCTACCACATCTGCACCGTGGTGACCAACGGCTTTCGACTTGAATATATTCAAACTGAATCACTTGAAGCTGGCGAGTCAAACATGATCTCGGCCATGTAGCGCGTGGCGAACTCGCCTCCAAAGGCAGCCTCCAGCACACGGCGCGTCTTGCCATTCTCCAGTTGTTTGGCACAGTACCGCTCATGTGCAACCCGGATATCTGCCAGCCGCTGCTCCTTCTGCCTGCACGAACATTGTCCCAGCTCTCCTCAGAATTCAGCAACATGCATGCCGACCAGCTTGCATATTTTAGAGGACCCTCTGATGTACCCGCAACAAAGCACTCATGCTGGCTTCCGCTGCAACTGCCATTGCCGAAATGGAATGGCTGCAGAAAGAAAGCTGCTCACAGTATGGGGTGCCAGACAAAAGGTGACAGGTGTACAAGTTTTGGGAGGCTGCTTATCTCCTTTTTTTCGCTTCAAGATTACGTTAACATCTCAATGCAACATCTTACCCTTTTTTTTTTTTTTCGCAGCGCGTGCGTGTGGGGCACTTCCCTTGGTTGGATATGTTTGATGCATTGTCATGTTGTTGAGAATTTGTTGTCTGAGACCATCACCCTGCCAGCATTGAGGGTAATAATCACATGTCCAGCCGGCGCACCTGTACTGAGTGACTGGGTATGCGCGCTGGGAGAGCATGAGGTGCGTCTGGTGCAGCGCGATGCAGTATTGGATGAAGCGCGACAGCTCGTCCGGGTTCTCCGGCCGCACGATCACACACATGTCCGAGAAGATGGCCTGCCCCCACTCCGGCACTGTCCGGTTGTTCTGCAGCCCATACTTCTCCTGCAGCAGCCTGCGCGCATGCATGCAAACAGTACTTCAACACTCAGCACAAAATGGCCCCAAAGCAGACCGGGGCAATATGCAGCTGCTCAGAAAGCTTATCTGCTTGATAGATGTTTGATGAGCGCAGACACTGCAAGCAAGCGATACAATATTATGTCAGGGACAAGGGGGAGAGTCAAAGACAGGCAGGTAATGGTGTGCATGAGAAGGGAGCAGCGCGCACTCTGCGGCTTGGACGTATACTGGCGGCAGCGAGCGGTCCATGGAGGCTGGGCAGGGGTCGGCGATGGCCAGGCTGACGCGGCCGCCCTCACTGCCGACCATGTCAAAGGAGAGGATCGGCAGATCATAGTCCAGGTGCGGGTATAGCACGCAGTGCAGCACCTGCCATGCACCACAGCATGTCAGCCTGCAATCAAAAGATTTGCAAGGATCCAAGCTCTTGTTAGGTCTTCAACTGATGTCCTCGCAAGAGCAGCACCGGATTTCAGGAGAGCAGGCAAAGAAAGGGTTTCTAATACGGTAGATTGGACAATAAGTATTCAGAGAGTTCCAGGCCAGAATAGGCACCTGCAGGCCGTCCTGGCGGTGTGCGAGTTCCAGGTGCAACTTGCGGAAGGCTTTTGTTGCATACGCCCTGTTCTCTATCAGCAGCCGTGGGTAGCCCTGCGCGCCCTTCTCAGGGTCGGGCAGATCCATGTATGACCAGACTCCCACGCTCTTGTCCTTGTCCATTGAGTCGCAAAATTTCAGGTCCTGCGAGCACATCAGCACTTTAGGCAAGCATTTTTTTTGCAGCTCTGATTGGGAATGTGGCTAAAAACTGCTGGCCTCAACAGGCTCTTGCACCACAGTGCTCAGGAGGAGATCCAGGGATGCTGGGACAAACCAGCAGCATTTCACCCGTTTTCTAATGTAACCGTCACAGCATTGAATAAGCCCTGCAGAGGTGCCAAGGGGTATATTAAAATGCAGGAAACACCTCGGGCAGCGGGTAGAGACAGAGCTCTCGAGAGAAATATTGGCGCCAGGCACCCTCAATCTGCGCAGCAAGTGCTTCAAAGGGGCCGCCCACACGCCCGCGCAACCGCCATGTCCCCAGTCCAAGCTCCTGGATCGCCTCCTGACTTGATCGCACCTGGGAAGGAGAAAGAACCAGGCGTCAGGACCGAGTCCTGTGCTTTAGGCTGCAAGGTCCATTGCAAATGCATATACCAAATATGCATTTGCAAGCGTCTTTGAATCCAAGATCTGTGAGGAACCCAAATTTTTGGCATAAGAATTTAACTAGGTTAAGATTGACACCTGCTTCTTCGCAGGCCATCTGGTGCCAGTACTATCTACAAGGGGATCCTGATCGCTAGTGCTGGCTTCTGAAGCCGCAGTTACATGCAACATGGAGCTTTGTGCGCGGCTGTGCGTGTGTCCTGCGTTGAAGACGGAACAAGGATGATCACATGGTGTGTTCATACATAGTCCTTGAAAATCGTCCGGCTTGTGCGGTGCAACTAGTGTATCCATCTCTGCAAGGGATAAACATGTGACAGGTCGCTGCTTCCAAATCCCCAGGCACTGACCTTCCCTGCTGGCACACAGCGCGGCATGTTGCTTTGGGCTGAGCTCTGCTCTGAGCAGCGTCCTCTGAAAAGGTCTCGGAGCCAGATCAGATCTCTGAGCCAGATTGCACCCACTGCTATGCCTGCAGGCACACGTGAATTTTATCTCAGAAAAGACGATTTGGATGACTCGGGAATGCACAAGACAACAGGCACTGAAAATGGCACAAGCTAGATGCCCAGTACAAGTGCAGGTCTTAAGAGAATACAAATGATTTCGATCAGGACTCATAAGTCCCAAGCCGATGCAAAGAATAGAAATTTAAGAAGTACTCGTGGCGCTCACCTCAAAGCCGTTTGTAGAGTTGTCTGCATAGCTGCTGGCATCGCAACAAGAAAATATGATTTGCGCCTCCAACCTTGAACACTCCTTCTAGAGATATAAGTGATTACGGGTAATGCTTAGATGCCGTTTTGAGACGTCGAAAAGCTTTACAGAGCCAGCAGATATAGATATGCACAACGACGAAGCTCTAAAAATTGAAAAGGATTGACTTGAAGTGACGTCAAGAGTGAAACTCTGCAGTTCATTGACAGTACATTCTTTTTGATCTTGTTTCAATCCTCATTTGCTGTTTATGCACATCCTAATGTTCTGATCAGGTCGGGGGTTCCAAAAAGTCCCTGTTCTAATCCCCCTAAAATAGAACTGAAAGACCTCGCTCCGACACTTCTGAAAAAATCGCATCCAGAGCCTCGCAAGAATCAGAACGTCAAGGAAGGAGATGCAAAGTATCTTATATATGTTGGATGAGCAAGCAATCTTGTCGCCTATGCTTATATCCCTGTGCTATGTTTCGGCGGCATTGTAGATCTGGCGAGCGTTCCGTAAAGGCGCAGATTTCTCTTGCTGAAAAGTCCGGAGGGTCGCTCAGAAATTCATAAGATACAGGTAGATACGATCGGTGAGGCCCTGGCGACGGATCTGGCCTGGCAGGAACTAGCAGGCGTGGACCATCTTGCTAAATATATGCAACACTCCTGCTTAGCAATCTTCACAGAAAATTCACACTGAGAGTCAAAGGTATTTAATAAGTGAAAAATAAACTCGTGCACGGGCAAGTGGAACGCCAACACTGTAGAAGTATTGAGGCTAGGGGCACGACAATCTAGTCAGTCTTGCAGCAGTACCACGTGGGATGCAATTTGCGTTCCATGTGAGGGGTGAAGACAGTCTGCACACGCTACAGCGATGCTTTCTTTTGCTTCTGGTTCTCACGAATCGAGCAGATTCTGACAAGGGACCTCAAAAGAACACGCGTGCACGACTGCAGCTCACACCTGACGTTTAATTGTTCTGTGTACAGATGTTCTTGCGGGACGCGTTGATCCGGGCGGCAGCTGTGTTTTTGGCCATCTGCGCCATCCTGGCAGTGTCTTGCATGCTGCCAGTGTTCCAGGAGCTGTCCTCGCCTGAGAACCAGGACATGGCGTTTGAGGGCAGCGTGAGGGACTTCAATGTTGACCGGGGGATGTATGTCAGCTGCCAGCCCTCAGAGCAGGGGTGCCTGCAGCAGGAGAACCATATCCTTCGCCAGAAGGTGTACTCCTTGAGGAAGCAGCTGGGCCGGCTGTCATGCGCGGTGGACGGTGTAGGCCCCACAGGTGAGTCAATTACTTAATCATAAACTTCTTTGACCTCTGCTTGCCCCGCACCTTGCAGAAAGCCTCTTGCAAGCAGCCTCTTTTCAGAGAGCAGCACTGGCACTGGTATCGAGCAGCCCTAGCATTGTGCGTTACCTGTTAATGCAGATACATAAGGACAGGGAGGACAAGTGTCACGTCACAAGACTCCTACTGTCTCATACTCTCTACCTGTGGGGTGCAGGTGGTATTTGTCTGGATGCTGATGGCACGCACAAGGGGAGGGATATTGGGTCATTTGATGCTGTGCTGGCACGCAACCTCGCGGGCTTTTTTGGACCAAGGAGTGTTCTTGACCTAGGCTGCGGTCTTGGAGAGTATGGGAGAGCTTTACAGGAGCACGTGCGCGGCCCTACTGACATACTCACACAATATGTTGCATGTATTGGCGCACTCATCATAATGTATTGGAATGAATCTCTATCCTCCAATTGTGCTGAACAGGGTATTGCCTGGGAGGGCTTTGATGGGGCGGAGAACATAGAGGAGATCACGGACCACTTTGTGCGATGGGCGGATTTGACAGTGCCGCAGTGGTTAGGGCACAAGCACGACTGGGTGATGAGCCTACAGGTGGATTATCTCTCAGGACTCTGCTCCTCACCGAGATCATCGCAGAGCAGCAATGATTTGTATTGTCTTAATGTCACGTTTAGTTGTTGGCCAGGCTTAGAGGTAAAATCACCTGACAAAATGATGCCAGCAACAAAACAAAAAACCACCCCTGTCAAAGCTTGAGTGTTTGCTGCCTTCTCTGGTCAGGTGGGCGATAGCATACCGGCCAAGTATGAGCAGGTGTACTTGGATAATCTAATCAGGCATGCACGCCATGGCATTGTGCTGACGTGGACAGCACCCCAGTCAGATGGCGAGACCTCCGGCCACGGTAATGCAAAATCCGCAGCTGAAGTCATCCAGGCGATGGTGCAGCGCGGATTTGTGCATGACCGCGCCTTGGGGGCCAGACTATCGGAAGGAGCGCAGGCAGACACGCCACAACCAATGGTGTTTTGGAACAAGAATGCTCAGCACAGCTCATAAATTTTTCTTATTATTATTTCAAGCTTTTCCTGCCAGAGGCAAGGTGCATCTTTTGACAAGCTGCATGTATCACAAGCATTGCCTTTGCCCCAGGCATGCGTAAAGGCTGCCAAAATCATACCCCTTGATGGATTCGCCAGATCCAAGCAAGACCCAATCAACCGTGGGCACGGTGCTCAGTATTTGCGCCAGCCGGGGCCAGCTCATAAAGCTCATAAGTAGAGAGCTCATAAATATAATGCTCGTAATATATGTGACTGTTACGAAGATGAAGACTTGTTCTTCCTCTGCACATGCATGGGCCTTGCAGAATACAGCAGCTGTAGAAATCCAGATCAATACTGACAGAAATGCAAATCACGGTGCCCCAAGAAAAGAGAATGTGCCTTTGCGATGGCGTCTAGGTATTGCAGTGCGCATGCGCACAAAGTGTGCTGGCGCAGGCGCGGCGCCGCACAATGTTAACGGCACCACAATGGACAGATCTCTTGCCAACATAATGCCCAGCACAGCCCAATATCATACATGATGTGCTGATCGGATAAGCAATACTGCAGAGCAGGTGTGCCCATGCCCTCATTAGAACACTGCTGAGCACACCATGCTGTGCAACTTCACGGACCTAGAAGTGTCAAATGCTTTGACAGATGTGATGATCTAGACAGCATGCATGTGAAAATGCGCATTAGAACAAAGTGTAACTTGTAAGTTGCGCAACTTACCTGCCTGATCAGGTACTCATGAGGTACAAGTATATAAGCATATGCTATGGTATGTGATTATCTTGTCTTGAAGCGATATAGCTGAGCAATGGTGCACCCCTGCAAAATCTGGAGGTTGTGCATTCTAAGCCCCGCGAAAAACTTTGGAAGTCCCAATCGGCTGGTAATCCTGAGCGTTTCTTATGTTATTGGAGCCTTCAAAGTGATGCCGAGTCAGCTCACCCTTTTTTCGTCTTTTGGGAGCTCTGCTTGCATCTGCCGTGTCGTCTGGCGGTCAATTCTGCCATCATTGTTGGGAAGTTGCAAGTCACTGACTTCATCAGTAGCATTCAGCAAGGAAACCTATCTGGAGGCAAGCCTACCACTTTCCTGCGATGAGGGTTGCAGGACAGGGCTGAGCTTGCCTAGCCATGTAGTGGTGCTGGGCATGCTGGAAGCCTAGCGACTCTCGCAATCGGAGGCGTCGAAACTAATGTGTGCTTACTTTGTGCCCACCCGCTTCGTATGGAAGTTTGGGGGCCAAGTGGTGAGTGGCAGATTCCTGGCTTGTGGCCCAATAAAAAATCAGTATCGCAGATGCCCAGGAAGATCTTCAGATTGGGCTGGAATATCCTTGCAACATGCACAAGTCAATTGCACAGGGTAGCACGAACCTCTTCAGGGATGCATCGACTGGAGCAGTCAATCAGTAATTTGGGCACTATTATTTCAAATATTCGATATAGCGCTGCTGCTTGAATCCAGACATGCAACTCCAGTAATTACAGGGTGTCAGCTGAATTGTGGGCTTTTTGTAGCTGAATTCAGTGCTTCAGATCTGGTCGAAGATAGGCTTCCAAGGGATCTGAGACTGTCAGGGTCTGTTGTCAAAAATGAGTCACTGAATGTCGATATCGATGCAGTGCCGTAGCAAGCTCTGACATAAGATGGCTTGCCACAGGTGCATCTGTGCGGCTCCTTCACGCGCTGGGTGGAGACTGTTCCCATGGCTCCAGTGGATGGGCAACCTGGCTTGTTCTCCGTAGTTGTTCACTTACCTCCAGGGTGAGAACGGGAGACCTTCTCTTTAAAGTTGATTCAGCTATGCTTTGTGCCTCCTGCAGTCCTCCAATTAAAAAAATATTGTCCTTATCCTCAGGGTTCTGTGTGGTTGGTTGCGCAGGTACCACCAGTACAAATTCATAGTGGATGGGGAATGGCGGCATGATGAGCTGCAGGCCTACATGCCAGACCCCCTAGGCAATGTGAACAACTGGCTCTTTGTGCGCAAACCTGAACCGCCAGGCGCGCAGCAGCCGCAGCTGCCGATGCCAGGGTGAGAGTACCTACATTCCTTACCCTTCATTCCATCTCTGGTCTGGGTGGGGTTCCTCTTTTGAGAACCCAACTGGGATATCTGGAGTAATTTCCTGACGTATTGCAAGTCTGTGTTTCTGGTGGTACAGCACAGCACAAGTTGCTTACAAAGTGGCTGTTTGTTTGGGCAGGATGCCAGAGCAGCATATGGCCCACCCGGCAGAGCAGCAGATGGCACAGGCACAGAATGCGAACGCGTTGCAGCCGCCAGCGCAACACATGATGCAGCAGCAGATGGATCCCCAACCGCAGCCAGCAGCCGGGCCCAGCGCGCCATTCTCTAGGGAGCCTGAGCCGATGGCAAGCGCTCAGATAGCGCCATCGCTGTCCACCGACATGGACTTGGACATCAGCAATGCGGAGTCATCCGCTGAGTCCGTCATTGCCTTACAGGCAAGCGCATCTATGCGCAAGAGCGCACTAGCTGTCAGTTAGGCTGGACATCTGAACACCATAAAATTTATCCAGTCCACTTTGTCATTAGTTGTCCAGTCCGCAATGCCAGATGAAGGCTTTTCGCATTAACCGCCGCAGGCACTGCTGATCTGTCAAGGCTGGTGACTGTGCAGGCGGATGAACCGGAGTTCACACGCAACAAAGTGCGCGCGTTCTTAAGTGGGCACACCTGCTACGAGCTCATCCCTGAGTCTGGCAAGGTGGTTGTCCTAGATGTTGGGCTGCCCATCCGCCAGGCGTTCCATGCGCTGCGTGAGCAGGTTCTCTCTAACCCCTATTCTTCGTTTGCCCAGGCATGGTATAGCCCCCCTGTTTTGTGAAGGATGTTATCTGCCTGCCAGTAGATTAAGCCATATAAACTAGTTGCTGCGCTAATCTTCTTACATGCATTGTGGCTTATGCGAAGGGTGTAATAAGGGTGTCCTGTGCAGGGGGTGGCCAGCGCGCCGTTGTGGGATGAGGAATCGGGGAGCATCATTGGCATGATATCCGCCTCCGACTTCATCCACATCCTCAGGCGGTTGCGCAACAGGTGCTTACATTTCCACTGCTGCTAATCGCTCTCCCTCAGCACACAGTCACTGCGCACTAGGCTTAGAAGGCCGGTGCAGTCCTTTCTTGCATCCATATATGGCTAGTATCTCCTTCACATGTCTTGTTTGGCTCTTGTTAGGATGTAAGTGGGAGACTTTCATGGTGCAGTGTGACGAGCGGTGGCAATCCAATGAGTGAGGCAGAGATGGATCTGCACACGATCGGGGGCCTGCGCGAGGAGGCGGCTGCCGAGGGACGGCCGCTCAAGCAGCTGGTCAGCCTGCGCCCGGAGGACCCTTTGACCACCGCCATCCGCAAGCTCTTCAACAACCGCTGCTCCATGGCCCCCGTGCTCACCGGTCCCTCCACTGGTACGCCTTGTTTTCAACACCTTTTCTCATCTGTTCGGATTGCACCTCCTTGCTGCTGTCTCCATGAGTTTGACCCGATCATTCTTGAAGGTCGTGAAACCTGTTGCAGAACCTGGAATTGATTTGTGACAGAAAACAGACCTAGCATTCATCTGCCAATGCTGATGTAATGCTTTTGATTTCTTCAAAGTGACGAGACACTGATGCCGCGCGCAGGTGAGCGGCCTCCCAATTTAACACCGCCAGGGACACCGCCGCTGCACTCGCCAAAGTCGCGGGAGCCCAGCGACAACGAGGTCTGCTCGCTGCTGCACATCGCGACCATCAGCGGCGTGCTGGCAGCGCTGATGCGCCACTTCCGCGCGTCGTTCGCTTCGCTGCCCCTTCTGGGCCAGGCCATCGGCTCGCTGCCCCTGGGCACCTGGTCGCCCGAATCCTCCCTCGTGCGTCGCGAGCTCAACGGCGGCCAGCAGGTGACTCACCCCTGCCTTCTCTGCTCCTTTACGATTGTGAGCATGATCTTGTCCTGGAAGCATTATGCATTAAAGACCCTAGGTTAGCACATAATTCTGAAGTGCAGGCTGACGGATCTCCACCGATGCTGTTTGGGCATGTGCAACACATGCTGCCTGTTGCACGGCCGCACTATCCTGGCTGGCTTGCGTGCAACGTTCTGCCGCTCCAATACTACCTTTATTTAGCTGTTGAGGAAATGTTGGTGCATGTCCTGCTGCAGGGCGAAGAGAGGCGGGACCGCAGGAAGGTGCGGCCGCTGCACACGGTGCAGCCGGGGACGCCGCTCACGACGGCGCTGGGAATGCTGCTGGAGGCTGGCGTGTCCGTGCTGCCCGTTGTGGACGGGGTAATGCTTTTGTAGTCCCTGTTTGGCGGCTCACATTACATCACATCACAACACCCCGTTTTGCATATTCACCTTGTTCCCTGACCAGGGTGGACATGCGCCTCAGCAAAAACCACCACATCCATATTATTGGCCAATTTTGTCATGGCTTTGCAACAGAGGCATTCTACGTGCTGAGGCGCCTGCTGCTGCACGCAGAGTGGAGTGCTCATAGACATGTACGCACGGAGCGACATAACGCAGCTGGCCAAAGGGAACGCCTACAACCGGCTGCAGTGGGAGGAGGTCACCGTCGGCCAGGCCTTGGCCCTTGCGCAGATCGCCAACCCACCTTGGCCCAATTCGCAGCCCGGCGCGCAGGTGCATTTCTTGGGGACTTGCGCCTGAGACCTTGTGCCCGTTACCTTTACCACAATGCAGATGCTCTGGATGCCCTTTCCAACAAACCGTGTAACACGACTGTCATCCAAGAGGCGCACGCATCCCAGGAAATGGGAAGGTGCCAAAAATAGGAGGGCAGATGTGCCGAAAAGCCGGGATGAAGTTGCCCATTTTTGTGCCTGGTCCTTCATTGGACACAATAAGCCATGGGCATAGCGAACGGCGCATGGAAAGGTGCAGGGGAATTGAGAGTTGTGGCATAGAGTCGAAGCATCCCCCATGTTGGTGCTATGCGTAGGGGCAGGCGCAGGGGCCAGAGAGCAGCGCAGCGAGCCAGAGGCAGCAGAGAGTATTTGTCTGCACCGCCCACGACACGCTCAGGTGCACACACTTTTGGTCTTGTCCTGCAGCCACTGCAAAGTCCTCTCTTGTGCACAGCACTTGATTTTATTAGGATCAGCACGGCCCCTTATTACAGAAAGAAGTAGACATCAAAGCAGAGCGAGCGCCAGAAGATAGGAGAAAGGGCTACCTTTTGGTAAATTTTGTGATGTAGGGCCCACTTGCATCTCATGTGTGTGTTGATGCCTAGTTGGTGCCTGCTTGCGCATCGGCTTTGCTCCGCATTTAGTTAAGTTCTATAGCCATACAAGCTGTGTTACCCCATATTCTGTGGCACATGCAGATCTGTGGTGGAGCAACTCTCGGCTTCAGGCATGCGGCGGCTGTTTGTCGTGGAGCCAGAGACCAGCAGAGTGGAAGGCATTGTGAGCCTGTCTGACGTTGCAGCATATCTTTTTGATGTGTTCTAGTTATGTGCCCATAAGGGTCCAGAGAACAACTTGCTCTCTGTCGAATAAGTCTCATTGATGATTTTTAAAAGCAGTCTGACCGCTTTTGATTATCTTGGGATCCCAGCAGGATAGTATGTTCCATCTGTCTGCTCAGCAGCGGACGGTGAAGCGCAAGGGTTGAATACTGTCCACGAGACAAATTTCTCGGAGGTCCCCAGGGTCCATCACATCTACCACACAATGAGTGTGTAAGAGAAGATGCGTGGGATCTATGTGCACTTTTGGCTGTTGAGACAGACAGGCTGCATGCAGACACCTGAACACCAAATCTAATGAATTTTCGAAAGGGGCAGAACATGATTCTTTGCTGGAGATAAACTGATAAGATAAGACTGTTGTCTCAGGCATTGGATGATCAGCCTGGAGATCTTGACCGAGTCAAATTGACTCTCTCAAAGAAACTTGTGAGCTGAGCTTGTGTGTATGCATGCACCTGCACTGGCCAGTGTTGGCCACGTGCCCGTGGGCACTAAGATAAAGAAAGCTGCTCGCTGTGCACATGTACTTTCGTGGAAAGGACATCTGCAACCCTAAACCCTACATATAGGACATCTGCAACCGAGCAGGCAGTGCCTGAAGCGGCTGCCAGGCACGCTCTTCGCTCTTCACTCAGTTACTGTTCCTCGACGTTGAGGGCTGGCGGGCAGCCCTGTTGGGTCGCGGCGACTGCCCATCAAGTTCCATGTGGGCACTCGTCATCTTCATCAAGCTCCGTGAACAAATGAAACCAAACTTCAATTAGTATTGATGTTCACAGAGCTATAGGACATCGGCGAGAAGGGGTGCTGAACTAGCACCACAGCAGAAGCGTGAAGTTATGGTAGCTGAAGGTGGAGTTCCAAGCGTATCAGGGCAAGAGCAGGTAATGCAGCAGTTCCTTCTAAGTGATCTATCGAGTGTAAGTTTATGGTTGATCACAAGACGTTGTCCACTTTATGCCCTTTACAGTTCGGCTCTGTGCACCCCTGCAATCCTAACTGCGCTGTCTCTCTGTTGCAGCTCGTTACTCCTTGGGATGTGAAGGGAGGATCTGATGGAAAGATCGATTATGCCAAGCTTTCACGAGATGTAAGACTCCCCGATTGTGTCCACGATCCATGGGTGTACAGACAGTTGATGTCCAGATGCCTGACTGCGCTCCCTTGCTATGTTCTAAAATTTTGTGTGAGTTTGCAAGCTTCAATAAAAATGATTCTCACCTGTCGCAGTTTGGTTGCTCTCAACTGACTCAAGACCTAGTGGCTAGGATCGAGCAGCTGACAGGGAAGCCTGCCCATCCCTTTCTGAAAAGAGGATTCTTCTATGCCCACCGCGATCTGAAAGATGTCCTGGATGCTTATGAGAAGGGGGAGCCTTTCTACTTGTACACTGGTCGGGTGCGCCTCTTGTTGCCCGTGGCCTTTACTTCCCTCACTTGCAGGCTTTCAAGATGTCCTGGTGTAGCATTGTAAAGGTCACTGTGATCATGTTCATGATTCACTGATGTGGCAGGGGCCATCCTCTGAGTCGCTGCATTTGGGCCATCTAGTGCCCTTCATTTTCACCAAGTGGCTCCAGGACGCTTTCCAAGTCCCGCTCGTGATTCAGATCACTGACGATGAGAAGACACTGTTCAGGTGACACTCTGCATTGCCATAGTTGCATTACACCCTTCTGGAACATAGCCCTGTGTGAATCTTGCAGCCCTGTGCGTAGGTAAATTGACTGGGCTTATGCAGGTCTCTGGAACTGGAGGAGGCATACAGGTTGGGAAAGGAGAACATCAAGGACATCATTGCCTGTGGATTCGATCCAGACAAGACCTTCATCTTCTCAGACTTTGATTACGTGAAGGGCGAGTTCTACCGCAATGTCATCCGGATCCAGAGGTGCGCCCTTGCTCTCTGATCCACTGACAGCTCTGATTACAGGCTAAGACCAGCAATCTTGATGGACTGTGATGTGGATGACAGGATTTGTAATGCAGGTGGGAGGTATGAAGTGTTGCGTTGCATGTGCAGGTCGGTGACCATGAATTCCATCCGCAGCCTCATGGGCATGACGCAGGAGGACAACATTGGCAAGATTGCCTTCCCGGCAGTCCAGGCTGCACCCTGCTTCCCGACATCGTTCCCCCACATCTTTGGCACCCAAAAGAACATCCGGTGCCTCATCCCCTGTGCTATTGACCAGGTGAGAGGGGTTCCAGCTTCTGCGTGGACCATGCAGGCATTGATTTTATGATCAGCATGCACTGGAAAGCGCTTTACCCTGACGAGTGTCGTGCGCAGGATCCTTATTTCCGGATGACCAGGGACGTTGCTCCCAAGCTGGGCTACTTCAAGCCAGCACTCATAGAGTCATGCTTCTTCCCTGCCCTGCAGGTGAGCATGCAATTTCTGTGGCATTTTTGGACACACCATCCAGTAAGAGGCTGGATCTGGCCTGCACGGCTGAGTTGTTATTGCGCTGCTGCTTGTTGTAGGGCGAGACAGGCAAGATGTCCGCGAGTGATCCGACTAGCGCCATTTTTGTTACCGACACAGCCAAGCAGATCAAGACAAAGATCAACAAACATGCATTCTCTGGCGGCTGCGCAACCCAGGATGAGCACCGGGAGAAGGGTGAGGCATCTGCATCCTTTTGTCGACAAATTCTGACCAGAAGCTTACCTTGAGTCACTGCCTGCACCTTGGCCAGTTGTGCTGACGCCTGGTGCATACTTGTTGTGGTGACGAATGATTCACGCTATGAAGGTGCCAACCTTGATGTGGATGTGTCCTGGAAGTACCTGAACTTCTTCTTGGAGGATGACGCGCGGCTGGCAGAGATTGGACAGCTGTATGGATCAGGGCAGATGCTTACGGGGGAGATAAAAGCTGAGCTTATTCAGGTGCTCGCTCGTGTTCCAGCTCCAATTTAGTATGCAAAGCTGCCTCAATGTATGCCTGGCGCTCAGCTGCATTCCGGCTAGTCTTGCACATGCTGAGATCGGCCAATGCATGTACTCTCCAGGTGCTGCAGACGATTGTGAAGGAGCACCAGGAGCGGAGGGCAGCCATCACCGATGAGGTGGTGCAGTCTTTCACTGGGGAGAGGCCCATGACTGGCCTGTTGGAGAAGCTGTTCCCAAAAATGCAAATCCAGGCTGAGGCCAAGGCAAAGAAGTAGAGCAGACAGGGGTGCAGGAACAGGGCTGATCTGACCATGACTCGCATGGCCCTTGTATGGCATTATCCAGAGGTGTGTCTTGCAGTAATCTGCAAGCAATCATGTCCCAGAAGCTGGCAAACGTTGCATAGCACCATGATGGTGCCCGGCACAGAACAGAATTTGCAAGAATTCTGAATTCGAAAGCCTGGCAAGACCTTGTACTGCTTGGATCTCTAAACATGATTGAGGCCCCTCGGAGGAAGCACAACTGTTAGAAATTGAGCGGACAAATCTTAAATTGTAAGAAAAGAAAAAAATTCCACCAAGGAAATGTGAACCAAGAGCAGAGCGTATATGCCTTCATAATGGATGATGTCCACGCCTCCACATTAATCGATGGACGCACGAGCGCTGCCAAAAAATCAGCTGGATCCCAACGATTTGTCCTCCCATTCGACCTGCGACGTCAACATAAGTTTGCATTGTGAGTCTTCACCCGAAAAAAGCGTCGAGGGAGAAGCTGTTGCTGTCACTGCTAGTGTTGCTGTCCACAATGCAAGTGCTGGATTGTTACTTGTATGACTTCTGAAGTTGTCGAAGGAGACTGTTCTGGCCGCCAAACATTGTGTACAGAAGCTGTTCATTGATTCTGGTGCAAGATTCTTTTCTCAGTGAAAGGGCCGTGAATGGCAGTACTTGGTCTTCAACAGCAGACTCGTGTCCCTTTTCTGAAAACGTGCTGGACAAAAAGGCCAGCCAAACCAGCATCAGAAGCAAGCTTATGCACAGCGCGCCACGAAAGAAGGCGTGGCTGCAGATCTGTTCGGTTCCCAAGTTGGGTACGTGGTTAGACACCGGTGCCTCAATCTGCTGAGAACATGAGTACCTATTGAATCACGCCGAGTCATCTCGAAATTTACCATACGGATTGACTCAGACGTGGGTAACTGTCCAGGGTGTCAGGCCTTGTTCTTGCAAATTGTCTTCATCTGACTCACTTGGGAGTGTGGATGAGGACTTCATCAAAGAGCTTGAGAACGTGCCAGTCGTCTTGAGCACTCAGGATGAGATGGAAGTAAGGACTGTGGTGAAAGGCCTGAAGGTGTGGACCAGCTCAGATTCTGACACTGCATACTCGTGAGGCTTAGAGGACTGCCATACCTTTCTTTCACAAGGGTGTGCTGTGCCTCACAGGAGAGGATGCCAAACGTCAGGGAGTGGCTCAGACCTATTGTACTGGTGAGCTGAATGGAAGCACTCTTTTGTTTGCCTAGTGTCATCTGACCGCTTTGTGGTTTCTCCTGACCTGCATGCAACCGCTGACAGGCCATCATTTGATAGCAACTGAGCTCACAAACCGGCAGTACAGGCTACTCTTGTGAAGAAGAGTCACATATGCTTATCAAAAGTATGGAAGCGCTGTCTGATCGCCTCCTCCTGGGGACTTGCAGGCCAAGACATCAGAGTCAGAGGAGCGCTTTGAGCTGGTGTTTCTCTTCCTTGGCCTTGCTGTGGCCTTCGGCTTGGGCATTTATGCCACCTTGGGCGCTGACAAAGCAGCTGAATATTTTGCCGGGTACCTTCTGGAGCAGAGCCTGTCCATCGACAACCTCTTTGTCTTCGTCCTCATCTTTGATTACTTCAAGACCGACTCTGCCGGCCAGGACAAGGCAAGCCCCCGACTTATTCCTTTGAAGTGTACCATGCTGGGATTCAGCACTCCTTGCATTTCTAAGCACAAGACAGTGATTTCAGCTGCTTTGCTGGCCCCATTGCCTGGGCGTTTAAACGCACGACCCCATGTGAAGCCTACCTCCTCCTCTGCCGTTTGAAGCTCTTCGATGCGTCCTGGTTGATCGTTGCCGCCATGTGCAGGTGCTCACATACGGCATCTGGTCTGCTGCAGTGCTGCGCTTGATCGTGATTGCACTGGGCACGGAGCTGGTGGACAACTTCCAGGTGGTCAACCTGGCCTTTGCAGCATTCCTGATATGGAACGCCTGGAGCATGGTGGCAGGCAAGGAAGTTGAGGATGATGACTTGTCCGACAAATGGATCGTGAAAACCTGCAGGTGAGCGGCGCGCAGAGTAGTTTTACTGTTTCCCTCATGTTGCCTGAAGCTGAATATTACTTGTTGTGTGTCACACATCTTTTTCACCGCCTAAGACACTGTTGTGCCCTTCTGCAGACGGTTCATTCCGGTGTCAGAGTCCTACGACGGTGAAAATTTTTTCACGGTGAGGGATGGGGTGCGCATGGCCACCCCCCTGCTGCTTGCGCTGGCGGTTGTGGAGCTGAGCGATGTCGCCTTTGCTGTGGACTCCATTCCAGCGGTGCGCTGCGTTCTTGGGCCTCTTAACATGCGGCTGGGTTAGCTTCTTAGAGAGCACTGTACATCAATATGTATTGTATTGTACACAACATCATCATCCACTGTTTGAAGGGGGTAGTCTCGCTGACGACACCACGTGGGTGCTAAAATCCTGCATATGGGAATGCATGATGGTGGGACTCATCGGATGTACAAAGCCAAATCCTGAAACCTGTCCAAACTGCGCAGGTGTTTGGGGTGACGCATGACCCGTTCATTGTTTGGACTTCAAACATGGCGGCCATCCTGAGTCTGCGAGCGCTGTACAGCTTTGTGGCGACAGTCCTTTCTAAGCTGCGCTTTTTGGACAAGAGCGTTGCAGCAGCACTCGCCTGGATTGGCATCAAGATGATCTTGGACTTTGCCGGTGTCCATGTCAGCACGGGAGCCAGTCTCGGTGTTGTTGCCACCTCGCTTGGTGCTGGTGTGGCTGCCAGCCTGTGGTATCCTGGGCCTGACACGGCCGAGGATGAGAGTGATCTACTCTGATGCTGCAGCTTTCTTGCCTCTTGCACCATACAGAATTCCTTCGAATTCATTCTTGCCATTTGCGGTGTGATTTGTGGACCATAATAAATTGTCTGCATCATGCACTGCACTGCTGACGGGTTGCTGGGTGCAATGTTCAAAGGATGCTGTTGCACACCTGCAGACCTATGAGGCTCTGGGGCCGAGATTGTGGGCACCAATACCACAAGACTGTTCCTGCCTCAGTATTCTGATTTCATGCCGGACCCTGAGCATTGAAGATTGCTTCAAAGACTCTGAATGTCAAGATACAATATGTGTAGGATCTTTGGTGGCTTTTGCAGGATATTGGTATTTGTTAGGCAGCATTTGTGGTCCCCAGTGTCTAAGTGAAGTATATGATGTCGGGAACACCCCCACCGTTCGTAGTAGTGGCATGTAACAGTCAGGCCTCAGCTCTGATTATACAGGCATGCATATCCTGGATCAGCTGTCCAGTTACGTGTCTTAACAAAAGTGCTATCCAGTCCTTGTAATCGCGGCATTTGCTTGGCTGAACAATGTGTAAGGTTGACAGGTCCGCCAGGCAGCAGCCCAGAACGACTTGTGAGCAGCAATGCCACAAACATGTTGCAGATGATGGATGATAGCTCAGTACCTCCACGATCCCAAGGTTAGCTGTAGCAGGAGAGGAGGATCCTCCATGGCTTTTCAATCACCCCTGTACAATCCCTCTGTTGCGTGAAAGGGTGTAATGGAGTGCGACTTACGATTTAAATCACTTCAGCAGTGCTGCTTGGAGTTTGCAGACAGTGGCACAGCACATGCTAAGCATTGCCAGACAACTTCTTATAAAAGATCTCACAGATGAAAATCCCTCCTGGATTTTACATCAAGATATTTTCATTACATAGAGTTGAATGATGTCCTCAGACAACTCACAGCAGACTAGTGGACATTGCTATTTGATGCTTTGCGATTGCTATGAGGTGCATTGCGACAGGTACTGCTCTGCTTGTTTCTGAAGCAGTGACGTGGCCCTTCAATCAATGACGGACTCTCTAAACACTAAGAGGAGCATCTCATTCACAAGAACGCAACTGAGCTTGTTGAGAAAAAATGACACGTGGGAAAGAGAAACCCTAGCATCGCACGGACAGAACGAAGGCAATCAAATTGGGAAACAATTGTTACATTCCCATCTCGAACAAAAAGAAATTGATGTTCTGCAGGGTGGTCACCTGTATATGTTAGTTTGTGTCCTGAGCTAGATGCATTGCTCTGCTGCAGTGACCTCTGAATTGTAGATCCCATCTAGGCGCGCTCTGCAGAGGCTTAATCTCATTGAGACTGCACTAAAATTGGAATATATAGAAGCCTCGCAATTCGATGTTGAGGGCTTGCAGACGCCTGTTAGGGGCCTCCAAGTTCCCCCTGGCCTCAACGTCTCATGTCTCAGCCAGCATGCCACACCTCCTAATCGTAGCCAGTCCAGAACTGCTCCCATACGAGGTTCTTAGACATCCAGGGGCATCCTGCAGTCTCATTTCGCTGTCCCAGGCAAGTACGCTAAGCTCAGCGCCCATATCTGGTAGCTCCTGTAGGACAGGGATGCTTTTCATACGCTGACTCTGCTCATGTGCTAGTGAATGCCCATTGCCAGTTTTGTTGCCAGTTTCTTTACACAACTGTTTTCTTGCACAGTTTTCGGCCTCATCACAGCTGCTGTGTACTTCTGGGGATCCTGCACGAGAGCCAGGATCCCAGTCTGCAGTTTACAAAGTGGACATCGTCACTGGCACCGTGAGGGGAGCAGGAACGCATGTAAGCGCACTATATTATTGTTGCCCCTTCAATGATTCAGACTGAGCAGTTATCATTTAGACACATGCCCTTCCTCTGGCACAACAATCAGTGAAACATACAGCAGATAGCAAAATCTTGGTTCTGGAGCTCTGTTAGGATTAGCTTCACCTGCCATAGAACAAGCCCTTTGTGTCGATGCAGGCCTCTGCAGTAGTCCAGCTGGTTGGGGCTGACGGAGAGTCTGCTGAATTTGTACTAGGTACGCGGTAGTCACATACTCCCGACAATGCTGTGCAGCTCATGGCAGGCAGAATAGCATGCAGACCAAGTAGCCTTGTTTTGATGTATTCCCCGGGGAGCAATTATTGCATCTCAGCGAAGTTGACTTGCACAATTTTCTTCTTGTGTTCCACCAGGAAACGACCAGGATGAATATGGGTTTGAGCGTGGCAGCCGGAAGATCTATGAGCTGGACATCGGAAGCGAGCTGGGCACCTTGCAGCGCGTGCATGTACAACAGGCACGTTTCCCTGAAAGCTCTTGGGCAGACACCTGATGAGCATGAGCCTCCTTGAACCCATCATATTTGTGAGACCCCTTCACAGGGCATTTAGACATGTACTGAGGGCAAGCTCACCAATGCACAGGTGCCGGCAAGTGTGGCAGAGCTCGGCAGCGACTGGTACCTGGACCGCATAGAGGTGACAGGGCCTGAGGGCGTCTGCTGGCGCTTTCCCTGTGACGCCTGGTTTGGTCGCACTGAAGGCGACGACTACACAGGTGCCGACTGCTGCTCAAGCTTGGCTCTGCACCTTGTGGATAATTTGCTGAAGCACTTGCGTGTGTGATGTTAACTATCCGTCTGTCAAGCCAGGAGTTGTCTAGAAGTGATGAAAACAGCGAGCCGTGTAAAGCATGCGGTTTGAAGCAGGTTATGTTCTGTTGCCGGGATACATCTTGGAGGCTTGCTCTGAAATCTCCAGCATCCATGGAAGGCGTTATTTGCTGCACCCATATGTTGTGTGAGTGCGTGCCGGCTGTTCAGGCGTAATGGAGCGGACGCTGACAGCGAGCGAGGTGCGGCCGATACAGACGCCCAAGCCGCTGGCCGTGTCGCTGGCGGTTTCGGCGTCGGCCGTGGCGCTGCCGCACCCGGAGAAGGTTGGCGCTGGGCACCCTAAGGCCGTCAACCGCAAGGCCGAGGGCTGGGGTGGCGAAGACGCCTACTTCTGCACAGCCGCAGAGTAAGCCAGTTTAGGGTTAGGGCTTAGGGTGCTTTGCGGCCATACTCTGTTTTCATGTGATCTGATGGCTAGTGTGCATGCGGGCCAATTTTGCAGCCATGCAGGACATTTGAAGTGCTACAATCATGAGCAGGACTATCATTGATGCTTGAGGACGGGCCAATGCAGTGTCTAAGGAACATTGGCATATGAGGCCTGCCATGTTGCGGCGCAGGGACGGGACATTTGCCCTCGGCGTGGCGGATGGGGTGTACATGTGGAAAGAGCAGGGCATCGATTCTGGGCTGTTCTCGCGCTCGCTGATGACATATGCCAGGCAGGCTGTCATAGAAGGCGAACGCGACCCGGTGAAGGGTGAGTAATTCTGCCTGCATATGTTGAATTCTGCCTGCATATGTTGAATGCTGCACTGGGAGAAGCAGGCAGTGAGCCTGAGTTCTCTGTGTAATCTTTCCTTATGGGAAGTGTCACATAGCAGGCAGCAGTCAATTGAAATAGTCTACCAGGGATGCTTGTGCGCTTTGTTTCCTCACTGTTGCGGATGCATCTGCTGTCTTGTGACGCTGCTTCTTTCTTGAATGCAGTCCTGAGGAAGGCTGATGACGGAAACGAGCGTGACGGACTGAAGGGCAGCAGCACCGCCTGTGTGGTGCTCATTGACACGGTGCAGGTAGGACATTTTCAAGCATGTTACAAGTAAAGAGTTTGGTGAAGGTGGCTGTCTAAAGTAGTCTTCAAAGTGCCGATGCGAAGCACTCTATTCAGAGATCTGCTGTGGCTTGTGCAGATTGCCTCCAACTCTTGCATGTGTGCTCAGGGCCAGCTCAAAAGCGCCAATGTGGGCGACTCGGGCTTCCTCGTCATCGGGCGAGCGCAGTTTGGCGATCAGCTGGCCATGAAATATCACAGCCCCCAGCAGGAGCACAGCTTCGGCTGTCCCTACCAGCTTGGCCACTATGACGGCGCCGACTCGCCTGAGGATGCCATGCTTATGACAGTGCCGGTGTGTACCTCATTGCCCATCCTGATTTTATGCAATTTGTCTGTTTTTGACCAGCTGTCATCCTTCGCTTTTTGGAGCGCTCAGCTTGGGTTCTTGCACACCTTGCACGAGGTTGTTGGTGGTGTCATTACAGTTTCTTCTTTTCAGGGCCAGTTTCAGAGAAGCATTGGGGGGGCTCACTTTGGCAGGGCATTGTGGCATCACCAGATCAATAATCTCCAAAATATTCTGCTATCTTGTATATCCTTGGGGGCCATGGGCTGTCTGACGGGGACACTGTTGGTGTGACAGGTGGCAGCAGGCGACGTGGTTGTGCTGGGCTCGGATGGCCTCTGGGACAACCTGTCGGATGAGCAGGTGCTGGAGGAGGTGCGTGCCAGCCTGGCCGCGTGTGAGGGCGCCTCTGCGACCGCACATCGGCTGGCGGCTGCTGCTTTCCGTCACTCCCTCGATCGCCACAGCCAGACACCCTACTCACTTGGCGCCTCCGAGGCTTTTGACATGGTTTATTCAGGTGCTAGCCTAAACAATCGCCGTGTGATGTGCGTTTGCGCTGAGTACAAACTCCATTGTGTCTATAATTCAGGTTGAACATTAGTCCACTAGAATGAGGTTTGCTGTTCTCTCTGCAGGTGGCAAAATGGACGACATCACTGTGGTCACTGCGCTTTTGAAATGATATCCTTGAACGGTGCAGTCGGAAGTCAAATGCAGCCCTGCAATACCACTCCTTCTTAGTTTGCAGCAAATGCTGGGCAAATGTAATGGTTGTCCTTTGTTGCCTATCAGCCTGGACAGCATGATGTGTCGTGTACTTGTGCCATTGGCAGACAAATATGTTCTAATGACTGATTGATGTGATGAACTCTCCAATTTTGCCGCTAGTGACTTTGTTGAGAGTGACACAGTTCGGCGGTAATCTTATGAATTGTATACGGTTGTTTATTCCTATTTTGGCTGTTTCGAATAAAAAATTGACTTTGCATTGCGATATATGCAAATCGATTTTTACTCGCGGGTGGTCTTCCGTCAGCAACTCTTGCTTGACATGCCGGCATCATGCTGGCGGCTGGCCCTTCTTTGCCTGTCATACGTCAATATCCTTCCACTATGGGGACCTTTCTCAGAGAATATTCGATGCAATATAAGAGCTAAGAATTTTCTGAGTATTTTCCGAGACCTTCCTCAGTCTAACTCGTTCTGAGAAATTTTTGAGTCATGCAAGAATCTCAAAAAATAAAAGGCTACTTACGGAAATCGAACCGGCGAACCCTCGCTGCCGGAGAGAACACTACACATTCAAGACTACACCCACTATGACACTTCCTTGTATTAAGACGATCGAAACACTCGGACCACCTGGATTCTTACGGGTTGAAGACTTGTAGAGGAGCTCTCGCCCCAATACTACAATTCGAGAGACGCGATTATAGTCCTGGCAAGGCTTAATTGTCATTTTTCAGCGAATGGAAGCCCTGACATTGTTTTGACAGGCGGCGTGCTCGAACATCCCACAGCGAGTCTCCCTGCCTATGATTACATTGCAGTTCACCTCCACTGATTGTCATAGACTGCACAAGCCTGGTTCTCAAGGTGAATTTCGCACAGGCGTCGGCCTGGAGCCTCCAGGCCGTTGTCTCGGAGACAACAGAGGATAGCTTATCAGACTCCAGGTAATTCCTTGTTCTCCACCACCATCCTCAGGAACTGATTCAATAAGCCTCCGTGAAGGTCCGATAGGTGTCCGATAGTTGCTGTCGCCGTCTGCTCTCCTATTAAGATCGTGCAATCCTTGTGCACAGCTCTCAGATCGTGTACGTGTCTTTTTTCACAGCAAGCAGCTGATGGCGTTATGCCGTACATGTTTGTTTGTTCAGTCCCGGAAACGTCTGTTCTGCCCTTGTATTGATCTTCTCTTCATCGTCCAGTCTACATTTTTGCCTGTGAGTATTGCCTTCAAAGCCTTGTTTTGCAGCATGACATGTTCAAGCTAAGGTAAAGAGCCTCAGCCTCTATGTTCTCATCAGTATCGATGATGAATGTGTGTTTCCTTTCCATTGTCGGTTTCACAAAATTTTCCTTCTTTCGCAAGATGTTCCCAATTGACGCCGTGGCAAGGAGCTCTGCTCAAAATGTATACACAGGTGCTGCGCTCCTGATCGTTTGCCGCACACTATTGCCCTGTCTTGAAATAATCCAGTGCAATAACTTCATCTTTGCCGAGTTCAAGGGAGGCGAGTCGATTTGATCATAATAAGAGAGGGCAAGCAAGCTGCGCTGACCGATTTGAAATTGTCAGCAGATTGCGAAGTGTGCCAAAGGATGTACTGGAATGCTCTGCAGATGGCTCAGCAGCAGCTAGACAGGCTCTGGGAGGAGCTGCAGCGGGTGGAGCAGAAGCTTGAGGAGCAGGAGGCGAAGATAGAAGCGGCCACGAAGGCCAAGGAGTTGCCTGAGCTCATCGTCCTCATCGAGAAGAAGAGGGATCGGCTTGTCGAGGAGGAGAAGGACCTGCGGCAGCAGCTGAGCGCCCTGCAGGCCCAGCTGGCCGGCGTAGCAGGTGAGGTCCTTCCTCCTTCACATTGCCCCATGACAACTGGCACTATGTCCAGCTTCCAGGTCTGCTTTAAGCGCTGCCAAATGCATTAGGTCAGACCTGGAGTCAGTTGACCGCGCTGCGCTCATGGCCTGTGGCATCTGCGTCACACATGTTGATGCGGCAGCCTCAGGCTGAACAATTGCTCACAACTGCTCAGTTTCAGCCGTAAAACCCACGGTTTGAGTCGTGCAGCGCGTACACCATTCTGCCTTCTGCCCTTCATAGCATCAGGTGCGCAGATTGTGCCCAACGTGCACTTTCTGGACATGAGGGTTCCTGCAGTTTAGTGCCTTTGGACTGTCTTCTCACTAGCAGCTGCGAGTGACTTTTGGCCGCGCCTTTTCTTATAGCTTTCTTATAAAAGGCTGACCAACGGCAGTTCGCTTGGACTCTTGTGTCTGGTTGGGTATGGAAGTCTGCAGAGTATTGATTTTTGGGTGTACTCAAGCAACATTTGAGGCCAACTTGCACTGACCAAGTTTGGTCAGTGCAAGTGCAGTTGATGCTGCTAATCTTGTCCCTAGTCAGCCACTGTGCCGCTTTTGCGCTGTGTGAATGCTGCCTCTGCATTAAAGGTTGCGGGAGCTAAGTTCTTGTTGTGTCAAGCCTGCCGATTCGCTGGCGCTGCGGCATTCTAGTGGGTCTTTAGTACAGCCTGCTGCAGCCTAGCTACAAGCGGTGCTGCAGCCCAATTGAGGTCAGTCAGCACAGCATATGATTGACAAAAGAGAATGCAGCCGGCAGTAGGCTATCGTGCCAACTAATTAAGTAGCTTGGCCTGATAATGCATTTTGCTTCGCATACGGGAGCTAGGATCGGCGTGTGTTCAGCTTTACACACCAGAGCTCACCATGCACACGGGAAGACTTGGGCATCTGCTACTGCGCAGGCGGCAGGTCGTGGTTCCTCTCACCGGCCAACCGGAGACTGGCGAAAGCCAGTGTGTTCTACCTTTTGGATGACAACAACACCGGGGTGGGTGTGGGCGTTTTCTTCAGCGAGACGCGCGCAGTCACAGCCGATCACAACCTCCTCGACCGGCACAGTATTGGGTCTGGCGTCGAGGCAATCATCCCAGGTGACTAACTGCAAGATCCAGGAGTGATGTCAAAGAACTCTGCAGGCCACTGGGATAATCACATCAACCTGCTGCCATTGGCCTGTGCAGCGCGCTGCTCATAGATGCCGCTTACTGCTCACTGCATGTCTGCAGCGCACCGGGAGCAGCTGCGTCTGACTGTGCGGGCTCGCTTTCCCGACGACGACTTTGCCATCTTGGAGGCCGCCAGGTCCCACGCCTTCATCCCTCCCTTTGAAGAACCCCCCCAGGTTGTTGAGGAGGAGGAGGTGGAGGGCGAGGACGTGGTCTTGACCGGCTACCGCATAGGCCTTGAAGGAAATGCGCCACATTTCAGCCGTCGCTTGGGGTTCACCAAGGCATCTTCTATCGCGTTCAGTGCGCATCGTCGGCACCTGTTCTACCAGTGCCCAACATATGCAATGGACTCTGGAGCTGCGCTTCTCCTCAAGGACGGTCGCCTCATTGGCATCCACCAAGAGGCGGTGAATGCTTTGCGGGAGAGGCTTGCCCGCGAGAAAACCATCAAAGGTCGCTTGACGGCAGCGGAGGAGTCTATCGATCAGATTGTCTCTGGCGGCCTGGCTCAGGGTGGCTGTGCGCTCCTGTCACATGTGTTCATCAACGCATGAATGTGCGAGTTGTACTGCTACCAGGAAACCAGTATAGCTAGTCGACGTGATGCAGACAACACAAGAATGGTAATGTAGAAAGAGCCAGCTCTTTGGATAATAATAATAATAATAATATTCTGTATGAGTGGCGAACCCAGAGCCCAGAGGGCCATAGGGCATACACAGGTCCGTCTGCAGCCGGAACCCGGGGCCGATATGCACAGGCTTGCAGCCTTGTCAACTCGCAAATGCACCCTTGCAGCCTACAGGTCTACACCCCCTTCTTACACGAATGCTGAGGGGCCATCCCTAGCAAACCGCTCGAAACTTCGGGACGGATTTCGACAGCGACGATGCGGGTGTCTCAGGAGCGGCCGCATCGCCGAATGTACCCGAAAATCGATCCGAAAAAAGTCCCAGTGTTTTTCCTGGGGATCGAACCTGAGACCGTGGCGTAGATATCGTTTCATCTACCCCTTAGCTGTCGCAGGTCGGGATAGGAAAATTGCGGCCTATCTTTGATGATGCCATGTGCAATGCTGATCCAGAGAAATATTTACAATCCTGTGTTTCACAGAGCGAACACGCAAACTATACAAAGGTTGCAAGGAGTGTGCCATCCAATTGTTGTAAGAGCTCACTGTTGAGAAAAACGGTAATGACAGCAAAAATGCAAGTAGCACATCACGCTCAAGAGCCATAGCATTATTGCTTCCTAAGCAACATTGCTGTATGTGGTTGCCAAGATTATCATCCAAATCAAGCAAGCCGAGTCGTTCCTGTGTCAGCGCTGCACCACTGCCCCTCATGTCGACACCACCCGTTACTACTCCCACACATGAGTAATATATGCACAAAGCCGCAGTGCCCTGACTTGCTGTGCATCCATGAGGAGCAAAATGCACGCACACAGAAATGCCTCCGGAGCTAGAGCAAGCCTACACTGGACGACCATTTCTTAAGTATACAGAATACCCATCCTCCAAGCCACATGCTGCAGACAAGCAGCGCCAAGGATGCTTGCCTTGGCGCTCGCCGCACTCCCCAAAATGCTACAAGCAGGGGGGAATACTCGGAGACCACTATCGCGCCCCCTATTCCCCTCACAAAGACAAGGGTCTGGAGAGGGCAAGATATCTATTGTGCGACGCATTCCCCTCGAAAGGACAAGGGTCCGGAGAGGGTCAGTGGGGCGAAGGGCTGGTGCCGAGCGCGCGAGAGAGTGCGCTGGGGTGTTTCTCCTTGATTGACCCGGAAGTGACTGATGAGACGGGGCTGCTCCCGAGCGCCTGTGACAGGCCCCCACCGGGAATATCCAGCGGCCGCGACTCCTTTATCGGGTCCAGCACCTCTGCAGGAGCACACATTCTGTCAGAACGACCAGGCCTGGGAAGCAAGCTGGACATGAGGATCCCTGAGAGCCAAGCTCTAGAATGGCACACTGCACGCTGCCCATGCGGTGCAGCCGCACAAGCATGGGCATAGAAAGGTCAGTCTGTAACTGACAGAAAAGTTCTTGCCTGGCAAAACCGTCCCAAAGTGTTGCATGCCAAACAAGTCTCAGAAATTGTGATGCGCTCGCACCGGCGATGGAGCCGCGCATGGCGGCGCCGGCCTCGATGAAGCCTGTGCGGCGCAGGATGGCGTTGCGCTGCAGCAGCCGGTCGCGCTTCAGCGACGTGCTCGGAGACATGCCCCCGATCGACACCCCGTGTATGCTCGCCATCCGCGTCTCCTGAGAATAGGGAGTGAAATTGTTTTGTGTTGAGCTTTAGACTCAAAGTGTCCTTATCTGGGCAAGCGCACTCCCAGTCTAGACAAGGCGGTGCTACAATTGCGCCAGACGGCACAAGAACCCTCAAAACTCTAGGCCTTCGCACATGCAGCCAGAAACATGCCTGCTTGGGCCTCAGGCAAGCAAAAGACGTGGGTTCTCTTCCACCCTTTGCCATGAAAGCAAGCACATCATGGCCTGCTTGGTGGGAGCAAATGAAAGGTTGCAGGCCGGTGTGCAACACCCTCAGAGCCAGCCTGTCAAGGGCAGTGTACAGCATCTCCTCCTTGGTAAGGATGCCTTCTCACTTGCACACCCTCTTTCTTCAGATGTCGATGGGTTAGCATGGTGTGCAACAAAGTAGTAATCGGTGCAAGGCCACAATAGACGCGCACCCGCTGCGATCCTATGAGGTGGGGTGGGACGAACGTATGGATGCGGTCATGTGCGTCCTCCGGATCTATTGCCCCGAATCGAGTGCCCAGTGCAGGGATGTTGATGGGCATTGATGTCCCCTGCAGCAGCACAAGGTTTGTCATTTCCATCTTTTTGCATTCATTTGCTGCATCAACACAGCGGCTGGCAGTGTGGTGTAGATGTGGTGGGGTTGGGTTTCCAACCCAAACCGGCTAAATCCTTCCGCCCTGCTAAAGATTCAGAGTGAATCTCAAGAGCTCCCCACCATTTGAGGCGGGGTAATTTGGCAAATTCCTGTGCCCTGCCTTGGCAAGAGATTTGATCCAACGGCCAACCGGAATAGGGGGCATGTTTTTGACAGGTTCACATGGCACTGGCGGTGGCGCTTTTGCTGATCACCCTTCATTTGCACATGTGTTAGGCACGCTATTGGTCCTCTTTCACAAACCCCTCTCAGCCCCTCACATCACACCTATTGTATAAACCATCGCTGCTGAGAGCCACATGCATATTATAAAGCAACTCCCTGACGATGGCCTGTTGCAATTGAAACGACAAGCAGCCCTCTTCTGCAAGATCAATATAGGAGAGCGTGGTGAAAGTGGCCAGAAAACACACAGGAAGAGATATAGAAACATTGCTGCGAGGTTAATGTGAGCCAGGGCAGCCTCATCTACCTTCTGCAGTGGCAAAACAAGCGGAAGGCATTTGGCGCTCAACCAACGCAGGGCCGCGCAATACACTTGCCAGAACGTGTTGTGGAAACAAGAACAAGCATCAAGATGGAAGTGGGCCAGGGGAGCGCACCAGTTTTGCTATGGACTCTTTGTTGTCCGCGTCGGTGACGGTAGAGGATTGACGCGCCAGCATCGGCTGCGGCCGGGCGGCGGCCGCAGATGTCATCATGACGGCCGCGCTGGCCGAAAGAAAGGAGTCCGGATCGCTCCCCTGCTGTCAGAAAATGATAAATCGTCAGAGCACAAACATGGAACGAAGCTTCGGAACGTGATGGTAGCGACAGGGGTTGCAACCCCCGGGAAGGCAGCCTGGCGATTGCTCACCTTACATTACCTCAATTGGGTGAGCTCCTAGACTCACTGACAGGTAGGCACTGACCCTGTTATGCAGGTGTAAACAGAGAATTGCCTCCCAATCATGAGGCGGGCCAATCTAAGGCCATTTCAATGGTCCTGTGCGACTTTTAAAACGACCTCTGGGGGTGCCTCAGGCCAAACGCCGGTGCAGTTTTGTCGCACCTGCCCCGTGAAGCTGCCTCGCTGCTTCATCTTCTGCGCCAGCTGCTCATCGTAGTCGCTGTCACTGCTGGAGTCGCTGCTGCCGTGATGGGCATCTGCCGAGTCCTCGGCGCTTCCTGCACATCTCCGCAAGTAATTATTATAGAGATGTTGTACTTTTATAGCCCCTATTGTTGGTCACATGCTAGGTGGAGGGCCGGCCAGCCTGCTTTCCTATTGTGTAGGAAGGCCCTCTGGCGCCATCAGTGCTTCCAAGGCGGCTATCTTGACTGATGATCCCATACTCTGCTTAGGTCGTGAAGTATGGCAATAAAACAAAAAGCCTGTTGACTCGCAGCAACACACCAAATGCACGTCTTTGAAGCAGGTCACTCGTGTGCTAAAGTGCATGCAGCACAGTGGTACACGCACCTTCGCCTGTGTCTGGTCCGGGACGTGGTCCATCATCGTTCCACAGCTCATGCTCTTCCATCTCCTGCAGCACACAGAGTGAAGGGCCTGAGGCCACAAGTGGCAGAGCCAACCATGCAACGCCACAAAAACAGCAAAAGGATGCCCGAAGTCTTCTGCCCCATGAGGAAACACAATGGCAACAATGCGATGCAATCGGGCAGAGTCATCATGTTGACAGCGTGAGGAGTGAAGATCACACTGCGAGGCTCGAACAAACGGGTCCAAGAGAGAAGAGTGTTGAAGGATCGTGACTATGCTGAGGATTTCCAAAGGGGCGCTCAATATTGTCAATATGCATTATAAATGATGTCAACAACTCATGCACGTTTTGTTTATTTTGACAGTCCATAGAGACAGAACTTACCATCAGTGGGGTTTTCGCACTATCTTCCAGAAGATAAGCTTTGCGCTAAGCGCAAGCAAGGCGCCCTTGCCCCGCCGGGGAACAGCTTCTTTCCCTCCTCCTTCTAAGTCAGAAGTGATTGACGGCCACACAAGTCGAGATGGACGCTGACACTCGGGGCGCCAAAAGCACGAGAGCCGCAGGTGGCAAGCCTGTTCCAGAAGCCGTTCACTCAAGGAATGCTACCTCGGCAATGTCGGTCGCAAATACACCGTCTTGTCGCCTCTGCTACGCAGCCCCAGGCAGCCCCTGAGCTGCAAGAAGAACCTACTTCCAGAGCCAGGAATTGAGTACGGCACGAACACGCCCGATGCGAGCAGCCCACGGATGCCCAGCTCGCGATGTTCGTCAAAAGAATTTCCAAACTCTTTGCAAAAGCTCGCTCGCTGCGGCTGATTTGTCTCAACGCGGACCGGGAGCTGCATGTGGATGCGCCGCAGATTGGTCATCGATTAGTCACAACACATGAATCTTGTTCGGAGTTTGCGCAAGTCCGGATTATTATTATTATTATTATTAATGATGCTCATTCAATCCGATGTAGGTCTGCTGATAGCCTTTCTCGCCTATTCACATCCGATCCTCACAAGTAAAAGGTTGAAATGCGCAATCAACACCAGTCCATCATGCCTCAGCCTCACTTGCACGGAGCAAGCCCTGCAGCGTCTGCCCGTCCTATCATATCAAAAGTGAACCATTGGTGCACACTTGTGAGCACCATGGGGCTCAAGGAATAGTTTTACACTAAGCAGCCAACCTCGTTCCCACGAGCGATGCACACTTTCTTTCCAGCACCAACTGGGGTGGAAATTGCTGCCTACTACTGCCCTCCTTATCCCAAGCAGTACCATCCACAAATTATGCGACACTCACGCATGTTCGTCACTCGCATAAACTGCAGCCTCTAAAAGGCAACGACATACACTTCACCAATTTTTGTCCTGCACACGGGGCAGAGGCGGTTGCTGCTCATGATCATCTCCGCGCAGCCCTTGCATGTCACCTGTTAAGCACCGCACACAAGAACCGCTCACGAAACCCGTCAGGCATGACTATCAATCTCTGTCAGTAAAATCCAGTGCATATGGCCGTGCTCAAGGGTAGCCTTGCGCTGTACAACGCACAGCTGTCAATGTGGGAGGCGGGAAGAGATCTCACATGGTGACCGCAGGGAGCAAAGACCATGGTCTTCTCGTTTTCCAGGCACACACAGCACTCTCTCTCTTTCGCGACATCGTCAAGGAAGTCACCCGATGCCACCGGCACAGGCGCCTGCACAGCCACCCAATGGCAATGCCATTCAGCACACCATCAATCAAGGCCCCCTAAATAGCATCCAGTGAGGTTGTCTCGGGGCTTCCATGGGCGCGCAAAGAGAGTGTGCGGGCAGACAAGCTATTGCTAGAGGACCGGTATTTGGAAAGAAACTTCCATGAACGTGATGTTGCATCTTATCGGCAGCGCAAGGGACAATAACTCTCATTGCGAGCCAAGTGTACCAACCATCCTCTGATTTACATAGAAGGGCACAAGGGTGATGCAGGGAGCTAAAAAACAAACCTGCCGTGTGGGCGCTGCGGGAGCTTTGGTGGGCGCCGGCAGCGGCGGCTGCGCGGCGTACTGCTGTCTTGGGGCGGCCGGGCCGGCCGGGGATAAAGCCGGGTTGTATGGCGGGGGCGCCCGGTACGGCTGCTGCGGCGCGGCCGCCGCTGGCCGCAGGCCCGCGAGGCCGGGGCTCGGCGGCCCCGGGCCCGGGGCGGCCGGCCGCGGCGCGCCAAACAGCGCCTGCACAGAGCTCGGAAACGCGTTCGCCACCGGCTGCGGCATCTGCGGCGCCTCATTCCTCGCCATCTGCAGTCAATTGCATGCATAATGTTTAGATCGCAAGGCAGCCCTTCCTCCTCAATCTAGCACTCACTCTACGCTCCAGCTGCTGAGATTGGGCTCCGAACAGGCAACGCCTTGACTTCAACCTCCCAAACATGGCCATTTCTGTGCCGAGCAAGACTTCAGAAACCCACAACAAGCCGCTGCTTGCCGACTGCTCTAGAAGGAGCCAGGAAATGGTATGGTAGGACAGGACCAAGCAAAGGGAGGGGTGTACGCGCACCGGATTGTACACAGGCCGCGGCGGCGCCGGCGACAGCGGTGGCGCTGGCCGCCTCGGGGGAGCGGAAGCGGCAGCCGGGGGCGCCGGGGCCGGGGCAGTGGGTGTCCACAGCTGATCATGCTTCGCCACGGCTCTCTCCACCTGCTTCTGCACCTGCACAAAGGCGGCCACCGGCCAAAGAGCTAAGCCACAATCTCCTGGAAGACCAGGTGAACGGCTCTTTGACGAACAACTGTAGCAAGATCAGGCCAAGAAGAAAAGGCGACTTGAGGAAGGAGAGACCTGTAACCTAAGGCGTTTTGATGACCTCCAAGTGGGGGAATATACTGTACAATACAATATATAATACGAAACATACAAGGCGGAGATGCTCTGAGGCAGTCCTGGCTCGGTTGATGGGGCACTCAATCACTTCTGAGTGCCACTTCCTGAGTTCTGAAAGACAAGGAACGGGTATAAACTTGCATGAAAGTTTGCGATATCATGAAAGGGGAGCCTGTGAGGAGTAGTGTAACACCTTGATGACGTTCTTGTTGGATCCAGGCTGGTTGTCGAGCCAGTCAGTAGCCCTCTGTATAGCATTCCCCAGCTCGCCTCCATCGCTGGATGCCATGGCTTGCTCCAGAATGACTGATATCTGCAAACAGCAGCCAATAACACATCAGCCAAATGCTAAGGCATATTACCTAAATAATTTTTTATTCAAAGAATGGCCAAATCTCATGTCCCCTGCCAGCATGTCCAGGATTTTCAAACAATTGGACGTGAATTTTCTGGCAAAGAGCATCTAATCACACATCAGCCAGATGCTGAGGCATGTTGGAGAGGTGTGTTCAGATCAGACTAATGACAAATTCCAGCAATGTCCCCAGCTGGCATGTCAAAAGCATTCACCCTGCTTCAGCCAGATACTAAGGTTCGTTTCCCAGGGATCATCAGATCACAGTGAGGACAACTTCGGGCAACATTCCCTGCCAGCATGTCTAGCATTGGAAGTCATCTGCTTCAACCCCCAAAAGGACAGTTTGTTTTTACAAGAGCATCTGACAGCTGTGCAAGGGTGCGTGCAGAATAGATCCTCAGAGTCTCACCTCTTTAAGGGTGGGGCGGGCAGGTTTGGACGGCGCGGCCTCCTTGGCCGGCTGGAGTGCTGGCCGCTGTTGTATGCCTCCAAATGCCAGCGCCTCCTGCACACCCACCACTGGAGCCTTGCCCCTGTCTGCACAGCAGCAAACCAAGCAGGCCCGTCAGTCTCAGCTGCCCTCAAAAAGGACTGGTGTGAACGTGACCTCTTGCACAGGACGATTAGCGCAGGATGCAGAGCCTGCCTTTGCAATTGTTCCTTGCCCGCATGCTGCACTCTCTGCGGCTGCCAATGGCATTTTTTTCATCGAGACTTCCTGCTTGACTGAGCGAGGAGTACATGGGTGGACATCAAAAGGATATGCAAGCACAAAGTGCAAATATAGATTTGCAGCTTGACCTTCTAGGCTGGACCATTACCTGCCGCTTGCTGTCCAGCCTTGGCTTTGCCTTTGGCCTTGCCTGCGCCCAGACACACAATCACATAAAAAACAAGGACTGAACCTTCTCACAGCCCATTTCAACCAGGCACACCATCACAGACACATTTCTTCTATTAGACCCATGCAGTTTGTCTGAATTCCTGCACACAGGTGCAGCAGACAATGCGCCCAATCCACACATCCTTCCCGCCTACAGAACGTGGCTGTTAAAAGTTGCTAATTATGGCTATTTGCATACGAGAAGGTTGGAAGGTCGTCATAGAAACGCTGCTGCACCGCACCTATCGTCATAGATCAGAAGGTCATGTGACAATAATGGCTGATGGGCAGGTGCGCACCCTTGGGAAGCTGATCGGCAGCTGCCGCTGCGCCGCCCAGCTTCAGGTCGGCTAGCGCCATCAGGTCCTCAATGCCCTCCTCTTGCTCCTCGCGCGGCGCTGACGACTCCGCCTTCTCAGCCCTCGCCTTCTCCTCCTCCTGTGGACACAGACAAATACATCCCCGGTGATGACAGACACCACAGGTAGCGCAAAGGCGTGAGGTCATTTTAACCAAAATTTTCCAATGACCTGACAAGTGCGCCTCTCCTGCTCTCTTTGAACCTTGCTACTCTTCGCGACCCTGCGCTGTCAAGGTTCATACATCCTGGTGATGCCTGGTAAGCAGCAGTTGGCGCTCTGAAAGAAGTGATCTGATTGAACCCGGAAATTAGCATTTTTGAATTTTGGGATCTCAATCGAGCCATCTCCCTGCAGAGCGTCAGCTGAAAGGCCGGCTTCAACCAGCATAAGGACCAACTCCACCCGTGGCTCGACTCGATGCAAAGATACAGAACGACTTCAAGCCAATGCATGAGCCCACAAGCAATAAATGCTTGTCGGGACAGGCCCTGCATTCCTGCTTGGTGTTCAAAGCTCAACTTCAAAGAGTACATCAAGTAGCGCACCTCTGCTGCCAGCTTGGCGGCTTCGGCCGCCTGCGCCGCTGCCTGTGCAGCTTCCTCTTCCTCATCAATGTACTGCGGCACAAAGGGCTCTGCCACCTTTTTCTTCTTGGCCTTTTTCTCCTTCTTCTTGGCAGCCTCCTTTTTCTTTTTAGCCGCCAGCTTCTCCTCCTCCTCCATAAGCTCCCTAGCATTCCTCTCTGCACCAGATTGTACCGTCCAAACTCAGGCGCCCACTTAGCCGCTCTGTCCCCACACTTGGCACACGCTTGGAAATACTATATATATGGAAACAGCACTATGCATTGGCACAATGGCTTTCCGCATGCAACCTGGTTCTCTCGCTAAATGTTGACATTGAATGCTTCAGGATGCATGTCTTCCCATCACAGGCGGGGACCCCTGGGTGGCAGGAGGGGAAGCAAATACCGATCGCCATGCTCGTTTCTGGCAAGGGGTAATATGTATGGCAGCCTTCATTACTGTCAGCCTGTCTGCAGACACACCTTGGCTCTTTGGTCAGGAACACCGTGAGACCAAGTGGCAATAGTAATAGTTTGCTCACCTGCGGCCTCGGCTCTCAGGCGAGCTTGCTCCTGCTGCAGGGTCTCGGCTGCCTGCGCTGCTGTGGCTGTCTCATTCTTCTTCCGCAATTTCTCTTCCAGGCGCTTGCGCTGCTCATCCTGCACCACACGTTTTCATTAAATTCGACTTGAATCAGAGCAAGTTTCTCCTCACGTCTGAGGACGTGCCCTGCCTTCAATGGCAAAGAAAGCAACCAGTTTCTGCTGGCTGCATGGAGGATTGGATGGAAACTTCAGGTGCATCCCACAGAGTACCAAGGGGCTCTTTAATCGTCACATGCCTAACGTGAATGATGTAAAGTCTTGTGAAATGAAGGGGATCTCAAGGGATCTCCCCCTGAAAGGCAGGACCGCTGAGAGTGATGTAAGACCAGGGCTCATATAGATCTTGTTTGGTGAAAGGATAGAAAACCTGGAAGCCCAATCAACCGGCATCTTCACTGCTTTCAAATGATTGACCAGACCGCAGCAAGATCTCTGCTATGCTGCTGCTGTCTTCTTAATTCATGGCACAACCATACCCCATTCTTTTAAGACACAATCGGCCCAAAAAAAAGTCGACCCCGCACTAGTCGAGGTGAACAAGCAGATAGGACTGCCTACAGGGATCAAAATTACGTAACCTATTACAGATCAGGTTAGCTGCTATGCATTAAGCTGGGTTGCACCACCCAGAATGATCTTCAGAGGCCTAAAAACAGCCGGCCCCGCACCATCCGAGGTAAATAACAGAGGGGACTGCCTACCGGAATCAAAATCAGGTAGACTGCTACAGATCAGCTTATTAGCTGCAATGCATACCTTTTGAGGTGCTCGGCCCGATCCTGTTGGGTAGGCCGCCGGCGCACCCCACTTGGGCTGGTAGGTGTTTGTAGTCGCATCCACCTCATCGCTGTCATCCCCTGCGAGCGGCGCAACCCCCTCAGCATTACACCAAACCCCAACAGCCACACATGAATTGACAGTAGGTTGTACTACTGATGCCCTTTCTGCTGCACGTGTTCTAAGCAGGCTATCACTCACAGATAAACCACCCCCAGGGCTTGCTGCTTGCACAGAGTATCTGAACGCAAGGAGGACCTTCTAGAACACAACTAGGCAACAGACGCGCAGTGCATCTGGTGTATTTCATCATGACAGTTCAGTTGTCGGAGGCTTGCAGTGAATGTTTCCATGACTCGCTAGCAGGAACCCAGGAGATCCAAATGGAGGGGATGGCCTTCTCATGTCATGGGTACCTCCGGGGAGAAGATTGCCCCCAGCCTCCTTTTCAGAAACCCATCTCCCGGCACCCCCTCAAAGCACTGTAGACTCCTATAACTTGAGAGATACCAGGGGTTGCTGAGTGGTAGTTGTCGTGCAAATTAGTCTGTACCAAAGTTGATAGTTGATAAGTCATAGTTGACATATGGTGAGCCCACCTGAGTCATTATTCGAGGCTGCGGCGAGGCCGGGCATGTCGGAGGTGGCGTCAGGCTCGGGCTCAGGAGGATTGTATTCATCAAGGTTGTTGGGCATAAGGCCTGGCAGGCCCTCATCGTCATCCTTGGCTGCTGCCTTGGCCTTTGCCTGCCTTGGTGGGGGTGTGGCAGAGGCCATACCTGCACCCACAGAATTGCCACATCAGCGATTGTTTATTCAGATCCTGCGCAAAGCTGCACCCACATGCATGCCACATCAGCGGCTGTGACTTCAAATCCTGCGCACAGCTGCATCCACAGAAATGCCACATCAGCCGCTGTTGAGTGCAAAGCTTCCTGCAGCGCCTGCACAATTTTTTGATTGCCTGCAAGTTCCAGGTTGAGGACTACATCCACATGCGGCACATCATCCAGGGGGCCTTCTGAGTCCCTTATCCCCGCTCTTCACTGAAACAGATTGCAAAAATACACGACAAAAGGTTTGCAGCGCAAACCAGCTGCCGTATGATGCATGTCTGGGACCAACACTGCAATTGCTCGCGCACCAGAGCTCTGAACGAACCAGCATTCTAGGACTGTGTGCTGGCTGGAATGATAGGGGTCGATTTGCGCACTTGTTGGTAAAAGTGTCGGCCCTGTCTCACGGCACAGGGCTTTGGTTGCTCGAAATTAGCGCCTATCACTAGCCTACCAGGACAATGAGATCTCATATACAAAGACATCAGCAAGTGAGAAAGATTGAAGCAGTGCAGGCGGCCGCCAGGGAGAGCTGCCTTGCTGGATGTCGTGACATCAAGAGCACAGAGAAGAACGATGGAGAGATAACTGGTTGGGCAGTTACTGGCTGTATGAGGCATACCAGAAGGTGCAGCAGCGGCTGCTTTGGCAGCCTTGGGCTTTGTTGCGGGCTTGGCGGGTTCAGGTGCTTTTGGGGCCTCTGAAGCTGCCGGTGCCTTCCCCCTGTCCTTCGCTTTGGCTGCCTCTGCCCTGTCGTCCTTCTTGGCTGGGGCCTTTGCGGCCGGTCTTGCCGCTGCTGCTGCATGCAGAAAAACATGTAGAGTTACGGAAGGTTAGAACACGGATCCAACCCAGTCCACACTGTTTCCAGACGAACTTAGAAGGGGGACAGGGAACGCCTGAGAGCGATGAGAGATCCCATGCTACAGCTCACTCGATTAATCCAGCTACATGTCCTGCCACATACACCAAGCAAGAGACCCGTTGCAACATATGTTTGCTGACAAAATACACCGATCCCCGTGAAGCCGTAAGGAGCATCTCAAGTCTTGCCTTCAGAAAGCAAGGACTGTCCCTATCCAGAAGTCCAAAATCTTTTCCAGAGCCTCGAAGCTGTCAATCAGTGAGTACGGCACAAGGTACAGAGCAGAGCTGTAGCAGTCACATGCAGACAGAATTTTCATTGAGGGCGCACGAGCTGGAGCCGGCTGGGCCTGTGCGGCGGCGGCGGCAGGGGCCGCAAAGTTTTCGGGGCGGCTGTAGCGCATGCGGGGGACCTCTTCCTCGGTATCAGTCAGGCCGGGAGGCCCGTCAGCGTCACTGTCATCGTCCTCGTCTACAACGCCGTTTCCGTTCGGCTTCTTGCCCCCGCCGCCGCGCCCACCTGCAGCCCTCGCCGTGGCGCCGTTTGGCCGGGGAGTTGAGCCCCCTACAGCAAGCAGTCCTTCATGACAACTTTCTGGCATCCTTTCATAAAACACCGTAAGACGTTTCTGTTGTACACTTGACAAACGTGATGGGGTGCAATGAGCTGAAGACAAAGGCAACAACCGGTGGCACAGAAGGTGATCAAGGCAAGCACCTCCTCCTGCAGGTGTATTGCCATCAGAATCTTTGTCGCTTACATCCTCCACTCCTGAGGACTTCTTGTTGGCACCACCGCCACCTGAACAGGCACAAGATACATCCTTTATCATCTGACACCAGCACCAGCATCATACTCCTGCTCCACATGTCATGTCAGCAGCACCAGCATCAAGCCTTCCATGCAGCATTCTGGAAAGCTCATCAACAGCAACGAATATTCAGAATTGGCCCCTCTGTCAAAGTGCCCCACCGAAGCACTGACTACATCCAAGGAAGCTGCGGGCATGATATGACACTGCTGCAAAGCAGGGGAACCTGCCAATCCTGGACGCACCGTTGGCGGCCTTGGCAGGCGCGCCCGCGGCCAGGAAACCCTTCGCAATCCCCTTGGGCTTGGGGGCAGCTGCGAGGGCTGCCGGGGCCGGCGCACCCGCTGCGGCCGGCACGGCGGCGGGGTTTTTATCGACAATAGATGGGAGCTTGTCATCGGTGATCAGGTCTGGCATGTCTGACGCGTCCTCTGAGTCACCATTTGAGTAATGCTGTTCGTCATCTTCGTCATCAGCTTCATCTCCTGGGTGGACCCCTTTTGAATGGCGGGCTCCACAGTAACACGGCGGCCCTTCTTCGTCAGAATCCTCGTCCTTGATGGTCTCAAACTTGGAGTAATCTACGGGTTTGTGGCTGACTGGACCTGAAGCGCCCACCCCTGCAGCCTTGGCAGCGGCCTCAAGTGCCGCTCCTATTTGTGGAAAGGTACGAGCAATCACACCATGCGGGTCGTGTTTGGCCAGTCCTGCTAAGCCCCCCGGGATGATGGCAACTCCACCTGTTGGGTTTGTTTTGGATGCTGGGATAACAACCCGATCAGCCTTTCCACCCTTGGACTTCCTGGCCATGACGCCTTTGCTACTGCAGGGCATGCGACATGTCACCAACTGTCAGGTGTAATGTGATCAATCAAGCTAAGCTAGCGACAGCGTGGGTGGTAAGGGTTCTTTGCTGGACAGGTGCAGGAATGTGTAGACCCAGCACAGTGACAACAATTTGCTGATCGAAGGATGGACACAACAACATCTTAAGATTCTTCGTGTTGGCAGCAGACCAAGGTTGTAATCAAGAAGGCGCCGGCCGAGTGCTCACCTGAGACCTGAATCCCAGTCTGTCTACTCAGCTCGATGTGCACAAAGCCCTTTTAGCTGCTCGTGGAAATTTCCGGGTCAAGCCACTTTCCTTGTTGAGTACAACGATGCCCTGACAATCTGCGTGTTCAGGATTATTTGGCAAATCGAAGCGACGATTGGGTCAGCAGACCCTTGACGATAAGTCTGCCCAAAAAGGATGGCAGGCCAGAGGAAAATGAAGATTAAACAATATTTCCAAATGCAGGCGGTTCAGTAACACGGATCACGCAACCGTATTACATAGGACAAACAATGCGATGGCTCACGAGATCAGAGTGGGCGGCACGCTTCAACGCTCAGCTGCGAAGCACGCAGATGATAAGGGATAATGCCTACATGCACATGTGAAGCGGACAAAGATCCACTCCTTGCAGAATTGGGAAGACGCCCTGGGATTGCTGTGGATTGGTAAGCATGGTCCATCTGACATGGGCGGGCAATGGGCAGGCTACATGACCAAGTGTTGGGCACACTTGAATATGACCTGTCGCGTTGCATGGGAGCGGTTGAACTGGACAAGAGGTATATACGTGGCGACATGTGCCCTGTAGACAACGACTGGTGGCCGCTCAGCATTCACTCACGTGAAAGTCCTTGTCCCGACAAGGCAATTGGTGTTGCTTCCACCCTAACAGGCCTGTTAGGGGCAGAAGTAGCCGGTTCAAATCCGACAGTGGCCTTTAATCTTTTTTCCATCTCACGTTTCTCCTCAGTGAGGCTATCAGAGGCTCTTATCAAGACTCGAAGCACGGCCTCGACACCATGTATGCATGGTTGACTGGGGAGTTTTTAGTGTTTTCGCTGTGATCCGAGTCGCGGATCATTGCTTTCGAGATCAATATTCTCAGAACTGCTTGAAGCAAGTTGCTAACGCGCACACTGTGGCAGGCCACTGGCGCATGTCCCGGGCACTTGGCTATGTAGACGTGGTAACAAGTTTGCATTAAATAATCTGTGTTATCATAGTGTGCCACCTTCACCCACCTCTTAAATATATATTGCAATCACACGACTCATGCATTTGGGCCATCAGGGCCGCGCAACCCTCCATCTCAACATCTTCTCTGCAAGGAGCGGCACAACGTTGGTGTCTGCGTAAGGGTAACTGCCAGGCACCTGCCAGGACTCTCTCAAGAGCTTTATTCTGTCGCTATTCCGCGGCAGCCCATAGAAGTCAGCCCCATGAAAGCTGGAGAATCCTTCCAAGTTCTCCAGCTTCCCGGCATCCTCAAAGAGCTGCGCATAGAGCTGCAAAGCTATCGGCGCGCTGAAGATGCCCGCACAACCACAAGATGCTTCCTGCAGCATACAAAGGAAGGCGTCAGTTCTGGTCACAGCATGCGCGTGCACTGCACTATATCCCCAGGTACTGGGCAAAGATGTACATGCGCCCAAAGGAATAATGGACTTTTCACCTTTGTTTCCCTCGCATGTGGGGCGCTGTCAGTCCCCAGGAAGAACTTGGGGTTGCCGTTCGTCGCTGCAGTGAACACCGCCTGCCTGTGTTTCTCCCGCTTCAACACCGGCAGGCAGTATGCGTGTGGCTGCAGGCCACCCTGCAATTACCCCCAAATCACTCAGATCTGGCAGTCATGCGCATGCATGCCGCTAGCGACAAGCCTGTCAATGAGACATGCTGCAGATCAGACATCGTCGAGCAGGCTTGCGCACTCATGTGCATGCAAGCGGCATGCAGCAAGTCTGTTGAGAGCCACACTGTGAGCTTTTGCAAGCAATCTATAAGCTCATATTTTCATGCCGACATTCGCATGCGTGCAGCATGCAACAAGCCCGTCAATAAGGCGCATCGCAGAACAAATTTTGCTGCACAAGCTTGTGCCCACCTGAAAGAGAGCGTTGCGGTTGAAGAGCATGTGCTGCGGGGTGATCGACGCTGCGATATTTGCCGGAGCAGATTCCACAAATTCGACTGCCTGCTGGGTTGTGATGTGCTCCAGGACCACCTTCAGGTTGGGAAGCTGCTCAAGCAGGGGACGCAGAACTGTCTCAATGAAGACCATCTCGCGGTCAAAGACATCCACCTCAGGGCTCGTCACCTCCCCGTGCACAAGGAGCAGCATGCCAGCCTGCCAGCCAAGAACACCCCCTTTAGAAACTACCTTTCTACCTTTGCTCATCTACCCACTCAAGAGGGAACCTGCGCTTCAAGCGATGGGCGCTGTATGCAGAATCAAGCCAAAGCTGGTGGATCAGATGGATACCTCTGCCATGGCATTGAGCGTGGGTAAGCAGCGAGCTACATCTGTGACACCGCTGTCAGAGTTGGTTGTGGCCCCAGCAGGGTAGAGCTTGAAAGCCACAATGCCGGCCTCCTTGGCAGCCTGCACCTCCTCTGGCGCAGTCTTGTCTGTCAGGTACAGCGTCATCAGCGGCTCAAAGTCTGAGTGCTTTGGCAGGGCCTCCATGATGCTGCGTTTGTACTCCAATGCCTGCGATTTTGTAGCAAAAGCTTTTCATCAAAGCGTTGCTTTAGGAGTTATGTGATGGGGCAAAGGAAAATGCAGGCATTGCAGGCGGACCTGTGCTGTCCTGACAACTGGCTGCTTCAGGTTGGGCATGATGATGGCCCGTTTGAAGACATCTGCGGACAGCGGTGCCACCGATCGCAGGCCAGCACCATCACGGACGTGAAGGTGGAAATCGTCTGGTCGTGTGATCGAAATACTGCTTGCTGTTGCAGACATGAGGCTCCTCGCAATCTGCTCCCTAGACCTTCCAACACAGGCGATCCTCTCAAATCGTGCATAATTATTTAAGGATAAAAATCAATACTATGAGCTTAGTATGTGGGTGGATACCTTGAGATCGTGGACGCTAAATGGGCAATCATGCATGACTGCTTTAAAACATCCTTGAGGGCTGACTTTCTTGATCACGCGCACTTCTGTATGATCCAACAACTTTGGATTCTGATGGGCGCAGTTGCGAAGGACCCCGATCTGCTCTGTTCACATGAGTCGTCAAAACAGAAGTACATGACTGACACGTAGGATCAGACCACGTGCGAACTTGCCTTCCCCATGCTTTCGTTCATTGGATCGCTCTGATGCAGAAGTAAATGTTGATGTTCACATCGAGACCTCCTAAATCTGAAACAGTGCATTTATGCTGATGTCAACACCATGATTGGTAAAGTGGCAGGCATGCGTCATGCAAGGATCTATGATCATATGACCAGTGATGATCACAATCACAATCATACGATATCCTAGGATCAGGCCTGATCGGGTCAGTGTCAGCAACCAATCCCCGCAGCTACGCTAAGTTGAGGAGGTTTGGTAGACATGTCATGTGAGGAGCTTAAGTGGCAAGGTGGGATGAAACAATTACAAACGCCGCAGCGACAAGCAATAATGGGGAGGAGATGAAATAGGGAAAGATGTGCAAATAAGACGCAAGTGCAACGTAATATAGTATCATCGGCCTAAACACTCTCGAGCTCCCTTCACAGAGTCATTAGATGCTCAGCAATCTCCTGCTTTGGCGGGTCTGGCACTGAAAGAATCCACAAGCTGCAAGTCCGGGAAATCAGCAGTGTGGCCAGTACGTTACTCACCAGTAGCAATGGCACTTGCGCAAGCATGCTACATACTCTTCTTTGAGCCTCATAATTTCCCTGCACCCTCACGGAAATTTAAATGCTGTTGCTGTACCTGCAAATCTAACAGCACTGCTGCCTGATCCTGCAGCTCCCAGCCAAGCCAACCCACAAGAGCCTCGTCACCTTCTCTATTAGGCGAGGTCTTTATGATAGGGTCCTATCATGTGATCATCACTATCACTATCTGAACCAGTGGGTGTTCAAATCAGCGAGTAGCAGCCTGCTGCCGTTTTCGGCAGTCCCTCAGACTTACTGCCACTGCAGACTTTAAATAGCTGCGCATGCGCAGGGACATTGTCTGCTGCTGAACCCAGAACACTAGGAACCAGGAACAGCCTCAAATGGCTGCCATTTGCACGCGGAAATCATTGTCGCACCTAAAGGTGGTTGGGTAACTCATCCCATGGCACCAGGTGAGGCCAGGGACATAGCAGCACTAGCGCGTATCCGCCAGCGCCCAACGCACCACCAGATTAGGCAGTGTGTAATCAGCACCCATGCCCCCATAGGTCTACCAGATGAGGCAGTTGCCTGATCACTCCGCGCGCCAAACATTAGTCACCAGCACCGCAGCTCCCGCCAAGTCAGGCGGTTGCCTAGTTTGTGCGTGCGCCAATGTAGGTGGCCAGCCCCAGGAGAGGCGCCACCTTGGCCGGGTCGTAGCAGGACAGCTGCTCCTTCGCGTCAGCGATCAGCTGCTGGGCAACTTCCTTGGAGCGCTCAATGCCCAGCAGGGAGGGGTATGTGGTCTTGTCTGAAAGCAGGTCCTTGCCGGCTGTCTTGCCCAGCACCTCGCTGCTCTGCGTGATGTCCAGAATGTCGTCCACCACCTGTGATGATCATGACAGGCGCTTCAGCGTAGCACAATTTGTGCCCCAGCATGCAGGAAACCAAAGAGCGGCATTCCCACCCAGGAAGGGCACACTGGTTGTCACAGCAATTTCCAGCCTTGCACTCTACTTCATTCCCTGTTTGATCTCGAGAGTGTGTGCCACAGACGTATGTACATGCCACACAGAATCCTCGGCAGCCATCTCGCTGAGCCATGCTGCTATTGCTAGGCTGCCATCTCTGCTCTGTTGCGCGCTTGCAGTACTGGGCAAGCACCACACATGAAGTGCGAAGAACAGAGACTATCTAACAAGATAATGTGCTTATGACGGCGTTGCCATGTAGTGCCGGCGCACCTGGAAGGCAAGGCCTATGCAGCGCGCGTACTTGCGCAGGCGCTCGACGTCCGGCTCGCCAGCGCCGCCCACGAGCGCGCCGCAGACCACGGACGCCTCGAGCAGTGCCGCCGTCTTGTGCTCGTGAATGTACTGCAGCGTCTCCAGGCCAACCTGCAGGCATTTGCACACCCAGTCACAGTGTGCTCAGGGGTTGAACCCCAAAGTATCTGTTGAACTGGGCAGCAGAGACGATCGGCCACGCACTTGAGGTGCTGATGGGATCGATACAATTGAGCGGCAGAGACAACCAAGCGGGTAAATTAAGGCAGAGAGCACCGACCAGCGCTCACAGAGACTGTTTAAGACTGCAGGAGCCCGCATGAGGTTGCTCTGCAGATGCATCAATGTAACAAAAACCACAAGTAATCAAAAGGTGGGGTAGATATAGGCGATAAGTACGGGACAGGCTTGTTCTTTATGCGAGTAATACCTGCTCAGCCATTCCCTCGCTCTTGATGTCCACAATCTGTCCCGCCACCAACCCCTCTGCACCAGTTGCCTTGCCAACCTCGCACACCACCTGCACACATGGCAACACAAAATGCCATCAGTCAACTTCTGAGTTACAGAACCTTCACCATGCTAAGGCACGCAACTTTGGTTCACCAAAGCAGTTCACTATTGGATGTACAAGCGGTGAATGAGCCATTGCAAGGGGGAGCTGCAAACATGTGGATGATGGATGCATGTGGATTGGGTATTGGTACAGGTGACTCACCCTGACTATCCTCTCGGGAGCCACCCCCCGAGTCTCTCTACAGATGTACTCAAACGCCAAACACAAGAGCGCGTCACCGGCCAGTATCGCCACGTCCTCACCGTAAACCTGGACATTTGCAAAGATGGGGTTCTGTGAGATTATATTCGCAACCCTTGCGTTTGGATTAATTCTACATGGACCCCCAGAAGAATATGGCCGTCCGCCCAGCAGCATGGAAAGAGGCATCTGTCAAAACGATCTCCCACCTGCACATTGAAAGCCCAGGCCATCGCAAAGTCGGGATACGCCACAGCAAACAACAGACACATCGCACTGCAACAAGCTTGTGCTCTGTGGACCGGCCGCAGTGGCCAAAGCAACCACAGAGCCAGGCCGTGCGCCTCAAGCAACATACACATAGCTGTGCACCGACCTTGTGCTTTCTGGGATGCCAAAGCATTTGCACAGCCACGGTACTCCAAGAGACAGACACATTGTGCTGGAGTCACCAAACAGCTGGTGGGCTCGCCACAGCGCCCAAAGCATGCACAAGCCAGGCTGTGCATTCCAGCTACTGGTACTGCAGCTGCAGACATTTGGCACGGCAGTCAGATACAGGGGGGTGCAGTCACCTTATGGTTGGTGGGCTTGCCCCGGCGGAAGTCGTCGTTGTCCATGGAGGGGAGGTCGTCGTGGATGAGAGACATCGTATGCAGCATCTCCATTGCGCACGCCGTGGGCATCGCCTGTGTGCATACATTATATAATATTTTGACAATATTACAGTGATCGTAGTGATAATTGCGGACCTGCACAGCTGCAATACTCCTTACGGTGGCCCGCTTACGTTTGTGTCTGTGTTCCTGTCCTATCACCCCACTTGGCCCCAACCCTCACTGCGGCCATCTCCACCTCATTGCACAGCGAGAAGTGGGCAACAACATCCACAGGTATGGCTAAAGTGGCTATTGTGTACAGGGCAGAATGCTGACCTGCGCGATGTTCCCTCCCACTGCTTCGCAGGCCGCGAGGCACAGGCACGGCCGCACGCGCTTGCCGCCCGCCAGCAGCGAGTATCTGCGCAACATCCACCCCTGAGCCTCAGGGGATCTAACATACTTCTGTATGCAGCCCTCAGCGACCTCCTCCTGGCCAGTGTCGAACAGACACCGGTCCCGAGAGAGGTGCCCTCATTTTCCTGCTCCCTGACAGGAATGTGAAGAGCCTCCATGAACTAAAAGCTTTGCACACATAACGTTCCAAAAGCCCTTTGCACACTCATACACGGACTAAATGTGCTCGAATATACTAGAATATGTCACTGCCCGGGAGAGACACGAAAATTGCATTGATAACTTGACCTGCTGCCCGCAGTCTAGACCGCGTAACTCTTCGTGTAGCGAGAGTCACCTCATGGACTCGTTTATGATCTCTGGGTACTGCAGCGGCACAGACTTGTCCAGGGCCTCATTTACAAGCGTCGCCCGTTCCTTCATGTATGCTGCAAAGTTAAAGGCTTCCTCCACAGCTGCTGGCTTCTCGGCAACTGCCACCTCCACTGAGTTGCGCACCTGCCAGGAAGCAGCATTTATGGGTCAGTGAGCGTTCCTTGAAATCATGATGCCAACAAATACTGCTCAAACCTTTTGATAGCAGGCTCAGAGCTGTTGACTAGCTTCCACCAGCCTTCAGCTTTTCACTGTAGCCTTAACAGCAAGTCTGATGATCAAGAATCTGGCGGAAGCAGCCAAACAGCTATTCACTGTAGCCTTAATAGCAAGTCTGATGATCAAGAATCCGATGAATGCAACCAAAACTCCAGCTTTTACTAGTAGCAGGTTACCTGAAGCAGGCGCCTGGGCGCGCATCTTCTCGGCACGCAATGCCGTGGGCTGAAGGAGGGAGTGAGAGCACTGCAAACACCCTGGGGTTTAGCCCTGCGCAGCCAGTGAAGACGCTCATGTTAGGAACTTGCACTTCAGGTGCCTCTGTTGAGATGTCAGATGGGGCACAAATATATCGATCCAATCAGTAGATTCACTTGTAATTCATAATCTTAAAACATGCACATCGATACGGTATTGATGCAAGCATGACCTGGAGAGCTTATGCTTCAGAAGGGCGCCAGTTCGTAATTGCCTAGTATGTTTCGAAGTTTGTTGAAGGGTATACCTGCTGTGCGAGGGTGCAGACGGAAGCATTGCACACGCAGAAGGCGCGCTGACCATGCTGCGCATCCTTCCACTCTTTGACAGACTCCAAGCTGCCTTATAACAAAATGGGATGTTTCCCAAAACTTCCTTCACGACCAGCTGCAGATTACTTAACTGTCAAGCCTCACTCCAGTCCTCGCGAATACTGTAGAGTTTTGTTCTTTCTCGGATCGAGCTCCAATGCACCAAGGTTGCCTGTCGTCTGCTCGGTCTTATCGGAAGAAGATTGCCATGGCGCTGAGCGCTGTTGCCAATTTAGACGCCGACCGAGCTGGCCTCAAGAGTGGATAGCCGAGCACCTAGCAAGTCCCGAGACTCTACCATACCGATTGCATCTAGTCTTGTATTCACTTTCGAACTCAACGCTAGAACAATGGCCCCCATCCTCATGTCGAAGCCCTGCGCTGCGCCCGTCAGGGTCGCCCTGCGTACACAGGCCCGTTCAATGGCGGCACCTCTCGTCGCCCGCATCAACAGGCAGACCCGTGGGGCTCGCTGCGTCACACGTGCTGCAGTTGACACCACACAGGTGGGTCACAGAACCCCCCAACAACATCGGCAGTCGGTGCACAGCAGAAAGTGATGCACACTCAGCAGCTGGGACATCCAGCGGTTTGCCAGACGCAGCTTACATTTCAAGGAATCATTTTGGGGTGAAACCATTCCTTTGTGTGGCTCATATCGAGGGATGCCACAGAACAGGGAAATCGAGGCTGCTAAGGACAAACTGATCTGACAATCGATTGGGGCAGGGCCTCTTGAACCAGCCTTTTGCAAATGAAATTCCTTTTTTTGTAGTGTCCTTATTAATCCATAGAGCAGTGAGAATGATCGGGAAATTTTCTTGTGGGCGTCATTTGTTAGGTTTAGGTTGACAGGCTGGTGCAAGGAGGCACTAACATCTTCATCCTCCTGAGATATAGCACTTGGGGACAGCAGAAGCAGCATCTGACTCTTGAGAACGGATGTTATATTTCATTTGCTTTCACGTTTCCCCCACAGAGATCTGCATGCCAAAGATGCAACCTTTGCTTGGCTGGATTGCTGCCCAAGGTTTGAAGAACCCTCAGGCCTGGTCCCATCAGCCCTGTATGATTGAGTGTTCATGTACTACTGGTGCACACCTGCAGGTGTTGGAGGATGTGCGTGCCATCATCTCAGAGCAGCTGGGCACTGACATCAAGGAGGTCAAGTCGGACTCAAAGTTCGTGGACTTGGGAGCTGACTCGCTCGACACTGTGGAGATCATGATGGCTCTGGAGGAGAAGTTTAACATCCAGCTGGACGAGGAGGGCGCAGAGAAGATCAGCACTGTCCAGGTGCATTTCTTTTTGGGCCCTAAATGAACCAGCCTTGGCACAGCATAGATTGAACGTGTGCTAGTGCTTGCAACATACGTGTGCAATTTTTCATCCAGGCATAGTAGTATTGCATCAGGACGGGGGACCAGTCAGAGAGGCGTATGAAAGAAGCAGTAAATTTTGAGAGGAAAGCAGGGATGCCTGACTGTTGAGACGGTGTTGTTGCATTCTAAAGCAAGTGCAGATGTCTTCTTGTCTTTGCATTCTAATGCAGATGTCTTCTTGTCAGTATACCTTTTGAACGTCCCAGGACATCCAATGTCAGCTGCAAGTTGTTGGATAGCAGACGCTGAGTGGTGTCTCCTTTGTGGGCGCAGGAGGCAGCAGACCTGATCGCCACCCAGATTGAGAGCGCATGAGAGGAGTGACAGCAATCACCGCAGGGGCCAGAGTTGCCAATTGCAGCTCTCCATCTGCTGAGTGCCCGTGCTAATATTAGCTGAGCGTTATGTCCACATGTACAAATGAACTGCTGAGCCACGAAGATGCCTGGATAGGTGTGGGGAGACTGCCAACGAAAGCAGCGCATTTTGTTGTAGCTTTTTCCGTTGACTTTGCTAGACGCGACTGTAAGCATGTCACTGTCTCGATTTGTAAATGACCTACTACCATGTGCCCAAATGCATTCACTTGGCGATATTTGCAATTGCAATGCAGCAACCAGCAAAATACTGCGACTCGCGAAGGCTGTCCACAATCATGCATGCATGTGACACACCTTGAGACAGTCACAAATTGTGCCACGTGCCACGCACACACTGAGAGTCAGAGATGAGCATGATCTCAATTAGTGCAACCAGTTGGACAGTGCTCAGATCCTGTGGATGCTGCTCTTGGTAACCACAATGTCTGTTTCATGAACGAGATAGCTCAAGGTGTTCCGTACAAGGCTGAAGAGCAGGCATTATCGACGCTGTCTTGAATGCACAGGCTTCAAAGCGATGCTCACCCATGTTTTATAGGCCTTGTGATATGCATCTGGCACCATGTCTGGAAGCAGAAGAATAAATAGAACAATAAACTTCTGATCCATGTGAAAGCACTGTCTTTATCAATCAGATCAGAATTAGAGAAAAACCTTCGCAAGCGCCTGGATCCAGCCTCACAGAACCGGTTCGATGGCGTTCCTGAATAGAACGGCGACCATCATCATGATTAAAGCAATGAAGTTGGTATTCGCTCAATGCATGTTGCAGCGTGTCAGATAAGACTTGTCTGAGAGCATCGAGCTGTTTTCTGAGGGATCGAGCAGGCATTTGTTGGGCTGAAGGTAGGGACGAACACGAGCAAGAAGTTGGCTTCTTCCAACATCGTCTTGACCTCTGAAAGCATCAATGCGCAATCTTGGAAGGAAAGGGGAGTTGGGATGGTAAAAATTCGTTGACAGCGATGGCATGATTGCCGCAACCAATTCTGAAGACTGTCCTCGCGTAAGGGTTGAGCAAAGGCTGCCTGCCTTTCTCATGACCGTGATCAACGAACGCTGACTTTTTTTAATATTTTGGCACAGGTATTTTCACATACTGCGATGATGAATCGTGGAGCACTTGATGGTGGCTGAGATTGCTCTGACAGATCCTATCGTCCAGTATCGAGGAAATTGAGCAGACCTTATAGCTGCTCACCCAGATAGCCTGCTTCCGTAGATTTTAATTTACCTTCAGCTGTGAGAGGGCACTGGAAGGGCATCATCTATCGTTCAGAGGGCAGAGTCCCTATATACTCGGCTACTTTCTTTGGTACCTCTCCCAGTCAGCAGGGGGGGAAGACAGAGCCTTTGCCGCAGTGCTTTGGCTGGAGTGCCAGAGTCATCTTCAGCAAGCTTAAGATGCCACCAGATGGAGCTGATCCAGTGACGCGTGACTTGTCCAAGATCTTCTGCGAAAGAGCATCCTTCGAGCTAAAGGAGGAGGACGTCGTGGCCTACAGGAACCATATCAAGCTGCAGGCAGCCAATGTGGCTGCAAAGACGCAGGAAGAGGAGGAATACCGAGTCTGGAAGGTAGCTTCCTGCTTCCTGCAACCATACTTAGGGCCATGCATCAGACCTCTGGCCATTCCTTCCGCCTGGCTTAGCTTTTGGCATCACCCCCCCTTCTCTCACATGCATGCTGGGGGGCACTCAGGGCATACGGTCTGCATGTGGGAACACGTCAGATTCATGTCGTATAAGGGAACCGGTAAACAATAAATTCCTTCATTGAGGACCTATGGTGATGCGCGCAGGCAAAGTACCCCTGCCTCCTGGATGCGTTCCCAGACTTTGCGGCGCAGGCGACTGCAAAACGGGTGGCAGTGTTCCTGGACTACGATGGCACGCTCACGCCCATCGTGAAGAACCCGGACCGAGCCTTCATGTCTGATCAGGTGCGCCACTGAAGCTTGGCTTGCTGCTCACGGCTGCTGTCTGAGTTGACAGTGATGAGAACGCCCCCCGAAGAGGAGGGCTGCACTTTGCAGTGGCGAGTCACATCCCATATGCCTGCTTCTAGACGAGGGTCTCTTCCATACGAAGACGCGCTTCGTATCTTGTTCAGCAGCATGCTTAGAATCTTATCCAGCAGAACAGGGCGAAGCTTATTTTGTAGTATAAGTTTAATTGGTGAGGCAGGCTTGTTCATGAAGGGCAGAACGCGCGTGCCAGTAGCATGCAGAATCTGAAATTACCTTCTGGGATGCGAGCAGATGCGCGATGCGGTGCGCAATGTGGCGCGGCTGTTTCCGACGGCGATCATCAGCGGCCGGGGCCGCGAGAAGGTGGAGGACTTCGTGCGCCTCAAGGAGCTCTACTACGCTGGCAGCCACGGCATGGACATCATCGGGCCCAGGGTACACACCTGTCACACTCTGGGGTGCTCAACATGTTCACGGTAGTAAAGCCGACTGAGTCACACCGTCGACGCCCCTGTGCTTGCCTGGCCTGTGCATTGACAAGAATTTCTTGGGATGGTATCACATGTGTGAAGCGTAGAAGCTGGTAGAGTATTATCCATCAGTGCCCCTGTGCTTGCCTTGCCTGGGCACTTGCTGGGATTTGTCCGGGAGGGACTCTTGTGAAGTGCAATAGAGGTGAGGATGAGAGACTAGCAGTATTGGCGTGGGAGTGCGGTGTATTGCAAAGCGATTTGCCAATGCTCAAGATGAATACTTTACTGCGCAGAATGACGGTGATGAGGACGGCAGCAAGCTTGCCTTTCAGCCAGCTGCGCGCTTCGGCCCCGTCATGGACCAAGTGCATGATGACCTGGTGGCCAGGTGAGGAACACATGCTACCCTCTTGTTCATGCATCAGCAGACTTTTTCCCTGATGAATCTTATACAAGCTGCCAGGCACGAGGCAGCTTGTCACTTCAGACACATGGACACATGTCCGCTCCTTGCTATCCATCGGACATTTGCGCATGCCATGGTGCCTGCTTTGATCAGATTTGCATGACAGTGCTGCAACGCTGCAAGGGGGCCCCATTGCGCGCATAATAAGGAATATTCCAAAAGGTCCTGGATGATACGTATTCAAGTCGAGGCTGTGAGCTCTGAAAGCGCTGCCGAGTGCGGGTTGGTAAGCAGCTGCATGCATGCGCGTGCGCAGGGTGGCGGGCATAGCGGGGGCGACGGTGGAGCACAACAAGTTCTGCGTGAGCGTGCACTTCCGCAACTGCGAGGCGGACAGCTACGGCGCGGTGCTGGGCGCCGTGGAGACCACCCTGCGCGGCCACGACGAGCTGCACGCCACGCGCGGCCGCAAGGTCTTCGAAATCCGGCCGCAGGCGCGCTCCCCTTCACCCTATTTTGTCCGTAATCTTGCAATAACAGTGTCACTTCCTGACCACACGCTGCTAAAGGACTTGTTTAAGCTCATATTGCAGTGGCCCACATCCCTGAATTGATACCAGGAGGGATGGTATGGTGAGCCAGAGTGCAGGCCGCAAGTAGATTGTAAGGGCGTGAATGCCATGATTGCATGACAGCGCACTTCCAGTGGACTCGTCTCCTTCAGAAGCATGCTCAAAGCATGCAGAGCATCTAGGGGGCTTTGCAGACCTTGAGACTCAGCGTGTGACCTGGCCGGGTTGAGGCATGTGCGGCAGCGTGTCTCACACTGTCAGACGTTGTGCAGCAGTAAAAAAGACTCCATCTGAGTGTGTCCGCCTGGCGCAGGTGGATTGGGACAAGGGGCACGCCCTGCTGCACCTGCTTGCGGCAATGGGCTTGGATGTGGACGAAGATGTTCTGCCAATCTACATCGGCGACGACCGAACGGACGAGGATGCGTTCCGAGCGCTGCGCTTGCGCGCCAAGGGCGGCCTCGGCATCCTCGTCTCCTCCAAGGTCAGTCTCTGTTTCATGAAGAAACACCTCTCCTTTAGACGTGCAGCATATTTCTGTTGTCAGCGTGGCGTGGAATTCTCAGGGGGCAGTGTTTTCTCTTGACTGCCAAAAGCAGCCGTTCCTCGCCAGAAGTATCCTGTGGGATTGCTCAGAAGAGTCTGGTGCATGCACACGCATGCTGACATGCATCCTACTGAGGAGCAGAGCAGCCATTCGGAGGCAAGTTTGTGCAAGTTGAATGTATGGATGCATTTCTAATGATATCCATTGTTGTGCAGGCGAAGCCGACGGAGGCGGTGTACACGCTGCGGGATCCGACGGAGGTGCAGATGTTCCTGTCAAGGATCATCGCCTGGGGCCACACGCCCGCCAATGCGTGGCACCGCAAGCAGTCCTGCACCGGTTGGGCGCTGGACCCCTCCCTGGAGACCTATCGCTCCAACGGTTACCTCACCCCCTCTGACGGCGGCGACACGTTGCGCAGCGGTGCGCTTCCCCGCCCTGCAAACCCAGCAGTCCTCAGATCTTTCCCACAAAATAGGGGTACATGTTCTCGGTGAGAGAGAAAGAAGTATTTTAACGAAGCCAGCCGAAAGGCTGATGAGATTGCAGTGTGCGCCTGCTGCTTGTAGGAGGCAAGGCAGGCACATGCTTGTGGGATGTTGTCTGGACTCCATTGCACATTGCATCGTCTTTTCCAAAGGTTTGGGAATAGGGCGGCGTGTGGTGCGAGCAAAGATGAAAAGTCACCTTATTGGGACTTGGGTATGTGTGCAGAGGTGGAAAGCAGGGCGGCATCCGCAGCCACTGTCCCGGACTTCCAGAGGGCGTCGTCCGACGGCGCGCGCAGCGCATTCGGGCTGAAGATCTCCCGGGGCAACTCTGGCAGCATGGGCGCGGTGCGTTGCTCCTCGGCTTATTTGCCCTGGCCTTCAATTTGCAATTGCAGTTGATCGTTTGAATGGGTGTTGGCGGAGACCATTCACTCCAACCAGGATTTAGATTGACTTGGATCTATGCCTACTTCATTGCAGATGACTGTACTTATCCTTCCTCTTCTCTGGGCCACATTTCCTGCCTCCGCGGCTTGATGTACTGAAGTATACAGTGGTCATGCACCTGTACTGACGGTACAATCAGAAGGATTCAGGGGCTGTCGATTGTTTTGTCAATCACCTAGAAGTCATGCCGTTACCAAGCACCAGAGGAATAACAAGTGTTTCAGGGGTATTCAAGGGTTCAATCAGCTAGAATTAGGTTAAGGTTACATGTTTTGGCGCTTCTGCAGAAGTCACCAATGATGCGCGCCGGCCGGCCACCGCTGGCGCCGTCAACGTCGTCGAGCGCCGCCTCCGGCAGCCTTCTGGAAGGCCTCAACCGGCCCAGCCCCAGCCGCAGCCCAGAGGTGCGCCCCTATTGTTCCCCATTTCCCCTTTCAAGGGGAATAAAATGTCCTTATTTCCTTATACCGTGTCTGATCCAGCGGACACAAAGGTACCAGCTGGAGCACTAGGTGGGGGAACGGAATACCCAGCACTGAAATCAGGGATGCCTGAAAACTGTCGTGGATTCCTGGTCTACTTGATTGGAGGGAAAAGATCTAGCCGATCCCTCCAATTGTACCACATTGCAGTGAATTCACTATATATCGCGTTTTCTTGAATAATCACATTTCCCTCTTCAGTGTGTTTGGATGTGATGATGCGAATTGGGTACCTTGTGCTGATCATGTTCTGGGTTGTGGATGCACAGGCTGGGCACAGCGGTCAAGCGAACGGCGGCCCTGCTATCCCTTCAGTGTCAGTGGACCTCGCTCAGCTCTCAATGGGCAGCAACAGTGATGATCAAGTGAGAATTTAATCACCCATTTCACGTCCTGCAGAACACCTGCTCCCTGCCTGTTTCTTGTCACTCCCCATTGCAAGCATTTGGAATTCATATGCCTGCTAGGAATGGACTTGCAAATTGTGTGTCCATGTCGGTCCTGTCTCACCGTGCGTATCTGAGCTCCCCTGTATCCACGTGGCATTTTGTTGATCTCTCTCATCCTGTTGTGGAGGGTGAAACTGTCTATGTTTGGCCCCAACAAGCGTAAGTAATCAGCACTGTGCCCACAGTAGATTCGGTGTTGCTTGGAGTCCAACAAGGGTAGGCTTTTGGCAGCTTTTGCCTTGCAGCTTGTCTGCAGACGCAACCTGCCCGTGGCAGGAATGCTGTAATGGGAATAAAACTACTAAGATAACATTACTACTATCCTGCAGGTTGTTTCAGCGCTGACAGCAGCGGTGGCGAGGAGCGGCATGACGGAGAGCGACTGTCCAGAACCGGCAAAGTTCCACCTCATGAACGGGCTGTCGCCATTCTCCATCCTATCTGGCCACCCAAATGTGCGCCCAAAGCCCCCATCTGCCTCCTCTGAACCCCAAAGTTCTGTCGATTGTTGAGCATGCAACCATCCTTTGCCAAATGCCCCTGACACTGGAACAAGCAAGGGTGACACCCAGAAAGAGGAAGGGTACCTCCCGGCCTTCTATTCTCAGCTGTGAGGTGCATTTGAGATTGGTTCTGCATCTGTCCAGTGGAGCCGCATGCACCCAAAATTAGAATACTTACAATGTCGCTAGATGGTGCCCTGTGCCACTGGGTTGCAGGCTTCATCCCTGGGGTTATAAAAAGAAATCGATTGCCAACACTGCTGAATTGTCTACCGCACAAGCTGTGGCCCTGAAGCAGCGGCAACATAGAGTAGCTATTCCACTTCTGCAATGCTCACACTGTGGTCTTCAGACCAAGGTACCCATGGGGCTGGTGACTAGGTCTGACAGGAATTGCGACACCTACAGCATGCATTTCGCTGAGCATGAGTAATGCGACAAATTCGGTGAGGCATGGCATGCGGCCTTCAGATACAGTCTAGCGATAGGGTTGCACCTCTCCATCCCACTCTAGGAGCCTTTCACGGTGAAAGACAAATTACCATGGCTCGTGCAATGTTCACGGCAATTTCTGGTACCAACTTCAGCAGAAACTTCTGATTCACACTGATGTACATTGAAGTATCCCCTGTCCTACGATGCAACTGCCAGTTGTGCGAAGAGTTGTTCGTCTTGGCGAGAAAGTAGGGCAAACAGTCCAAAGATGAGGTAAGGCAGCCACACAACTGAGCCAAATACTTGTATGGGGTTCTGTTTTGCATGCTTTAAGACTTTCAAAATGTTTTGCGCACAGATGCTGGCGGCGTTTGGGCTGCCCGGGGAGGAGGGCGCGGGCACGGCGGAGGGCAGCAGCACACTCAGCGGCGCCTATTCAAGCGGCGGTGACTCCATGCACTTCAACGCCTCCGGCACCCTCGTCTCCGACAGCGAGTCCGGCAAGGCCGCCTGACAGCTGGCGCTTGGTCTTGGCGCCTGATCTTGCAACTGTGAGTGCTGCCTGATGTGGCCCCTACAGTGCCGCCTGATCTGGCGATTGTTGAGCAGTACCAAATGCGGCAAGAAAGCCGCCTGACCTGGCAATGGCAAAAATTCTGATGAGGCAACAGCGAGGCCGGCTGCTCGGGTTGCTCTTGTCGAGCTTGGGAAGGCAGCAGGTGACTCATTGGCTGATTGGCGGCAAAGGTCGGTGTGGAGGAGATCAAGGGCAGGCCGTACCTGGCCTTTCGTACGGCTAAGGAATGGAGAGTACCCCATTGTGTCTAAACCGCCACGGGCACGGGTTGGTCAACGTCTTCTGGAAGCGAGCGTGCCGTCTGGCATGAATGCAGTGTGGAGGTTGACGCTGCAGCAGCCAGCAGAGAGTCAACACAGACGTTGACGCAAGGACTGAGGACAGCTCCGTTGAATCCACAGCAACCTGTACAGCTTTTGCTGCTGTCAGGTGCGGGATCATAGGAAGCGCGGCTGAGAGTGTTTGGACAATTGTGTGCACTGCTGCATGCAAGCTGTATTGTGGAGGAACTGATGACCACTTGTCACAGTGCGGGGCCATTATCAGTACAGGCGTCTGCACTTGGTGGATCGGGCATTTCTCCCAAGGCTGCCACTTGAGTTACAAATTGCAGTGACACTAGGTCAGGGGCTTTGTGGGGTGCCCGGATGCACTGTAGCATCTGGGGGCACATGTTAGCACATGCCACACACACAACCCAGAAACTAGCTTACTTTGAGAGTAAGAGCCTTCGACAGGAACCAGGATTCTTTGCCAATGCCGCGTGAAGGTTTGATGTGAAGGACAGGAGAGGTAGGTGTCACCTACTGACACCGCATTATTTGCCGCTCCAGATTTATTATGCCGTGCTCTGTTTGTACATCCGCATGAAGATGTCAATCTCCAGCCTTGGGATTTTTTTGGGGCAATCTTCCGAGCGTGTGTGGTGTTGATGTGCTATTGGCTGGAGCCGGCAGGCTTGAATATAAGTGGGCTGAATATCGGCTGTCGGAAAAAGTTGTGCACTTGGTGCACGTGCTGTCTGGAGAAAACAAAGGATACATCTGCTTCTCGGCCGCTGCAATAAAACATCCTTCCTAGTCAAGGCGGTGTGTGAATGTGGTGGCGTGCAGAACTGCAGTGCTATGTACTTTATTGTCCCGGGCGATATCGCGATTGGGGAGGAAGAAGGGGCGAGAGACTTTGGGATGCTGTTTGCTGTTTGTAGTCCCAAAGTGCCATTCTACCTCTGCTATGCTTGTATACACTTGAATGCATAGAGCACCCTTTTTATATTGGAGCGGCCTCCTATGCTTGTGTACATCTGTATGCATTAGAGCACCATCTTGGTTGTGGAGTGGCCTGCTATGCTTGTATGCATCTGTATGCGCTAGAGCACCATTCTGATTTGGAGTGAGTACATAAGATTAAGGGCGTCTTATCATGTGTGGACCCCTGTGTACATGTTTCATAAGGGTGTTCCGATCACCAGCTGGATTGGCGCCAATGACCCCAAATACTATTTAAAGCTTGCAAGCCGTGGTGAACCGGCCGCATGCTTCTGCGCGGAGGCAGTCTCTCATTGCACGGTCTTAAACAGTCAGATTGATATCGGGCTTGAGCCTGAGGTGCCTGGTGTGACTTAGGATGTACATGAAAAGGACGGGTTCTTTTAGGTGTGCACAGTTGCGTTTTGTGGGAACTTCTTTAGGATTAGGCTGATTTCATATGTGTGGGCTGCATTGCTCTTCACTTTTCTGGGCTCTGTGGCTTGTTACTGTCGGTACGAATAATACAATGACGAGGTCTTTGTGTCATTGCAACCAGTCCTGCGAATATGTTCCAGGCCTTCTGAAGGTCTTGGGAGAACTTTTGTCTTGTAAATGCACTCTTTGCTAGTGGCACTGATGTCATTCTGGGCTCATCAATACAATACAATTGATACAATACTGTGTCCTTGACCCTGAAGGTCAATGTCCCTGGGATCCAGGCATGCACACACTCTGCTAAGGCCGGCTGCAAGCAATGGGTTAACCATTATTGTTATCATGTCATACATTCATCGGAAGTAGCTCAGCACAGGCTTTGACCCAATGCTGCAAACCTGCAGATCCACTATCGGCCCCCGCCAAAACCAGTGAATCCCATTGCCATGGCCATGTCTGGGTCCGCTCCATACTCCTCTTCCTCTTCTTGTGCACCTTTCTGCAACAGAAAAACCAAGCAGCCTCTCTTGTCAGCCAAGGTGCATTTCAAAGTGCACATTGCCCACAGCTTAGGGAAGGGGCAAACACCAAGGCAGCGCCAGCGCCAGAAGATAGGAGAACGGGCGGCCTCAGAAGTGCACGTCATGTGAAAAGAATACTATGATCCCCCGATCCACTGAATGACAAAACAACAGTGAACACCTGTAAGCGAATCGATCCCTCAACGGCCAGATAAAAACCTCAGCTTTTGCACACTTCATTGGTAAGATGCCTCATTCGAAACATTGGTAGTGCTCTGATGGACACATCATTTCGGAGTCCAGTCGTATATAAAAAAGAGACGAGCACTTGATGTGGGCGCCTCACCCTCTTTTCCCTCTTGCGCTCCCTCCGGTGTTCTCTGAGGCGTTCCTCCTCTTCCTGCTGCTCCAGCACCCTCCTGTCAAAGCCTGCGGCAAATTGCAAGCAGTAGTATGTGTCAAAAATTCCTAAAATCCCCTCCACAACAGTTCCTGGTGAGCTTCCCAAGTCACAAGTTCATACGTTTTAAGTGGTGCCTGCTTCTTCGGCCCATCTGCGGAGTTTCTTGACAAGGTGACAGGCCTTCATCTTTGTAGAAAGTAAAACGTGACTTGTGCGGGTGCTCGTACACAGAGTTTCTGACAGACTGTCATTTCCCAAGCATCCTGAATCCCAGCACCCAAGAACAAGGAAACAAGCTCACCATCTGGCACGAAGTCGATCTGCTCTGACTCGTACTTCTTCTCCTTGTGCTGGGACAATCGGTCCCTGACCTGTGACAACACACCGGCCCCGTCAGCTGTCTGACACTTTGAAACGCAAGTCAGGAGCGTGGAAAGCACATACTTGCATTCTGCAGCATGCATGCACATGTGCAGCATGCGCAGATCAAATTTGCCACCCATCTGCCACCGCCCCCATAACTCAGCACATGTTTACACCATGCGCTGAGTTAACACCATCAAGAAATATGCCTTTGCAGAAGCTCGAGAATATTTTGGGTGAGCTTGAAGATCACAGGTGGCTGCTTGAGGGTCAAGTGCGCACACCTGCTCTGCAGTGGAGCGTTCCACTCGCATGGTCATTCCCAGCGCTCGGTTGTGGTATTTCCCATTGATGTGGTCCAGATAGGATGCCGAGTCCCTCAGGATGCAATCGCACACGCTGCAGTAGTAGCCAGCCTGCGGCAATACAGTCACAACTTCTGCACAAATTGTCCGAGATCTTGTGTTCCAATCACATGTAGACTCTCCGCATGTCTCTCGGAGAGATGTAAGACCCAACATTCTGTCAGATGTGCAGATCAGGACATCGTGAGACGATGCGATGACATGAAATGGCCACTAGTAGGAAGTTGTGTTAAGTACGGCCAGCAGACCAAAATTATCAGGTCCCTGACCGACCTGCAAAGACCCAGAAGCATACACGTAAACTCCAGGGGGACAATGAAGATCTGAGAAGCACACCTGCTGGTTGAGGGGTGTTGTGTTGGTGATGACTTGGGATTTGCCCAGCCGAGAGGTAAGATCCAGTGAGAAGTCGCGCTGCTTCAGTTGTGCACGCTCCACAATGATGCCCTGATGTAGAGGATCCCTCTCTGCGCACGTCCCACGACACAGCAGGCATCAATCACCGCACACACTGCTTCCCTCTGGCCTTAAGTATGTGCCCGAAGAAGTTGGATACTTGCACTGACCCTCTTTGCCTGCAAGAGATGCCCACATTGATGCTGGAAATGGAGCCAAGGCACTGCAAAGGACCGTACAGGGAGAGAGGTCAGCCCACCTAGCCTCTTCCTGCGCTTGGCATCCAGAGCGCTCTCTTCTTCATCCTGCTCTGCCTGCGCGCGATGTTTTGGGTGTCGCTCAGCATCGTGGTGCAATACCACGCCGCTCTGCTTGAGGTGCTTTCAGACAAGTTTTCACGGTTGCAAATGCACGAAGGGGCACAGGAAAGTAGGAACATTTGGTGCTCAGGGCATCCTAGCCTACCTTGTCTCTCGCTTCCGCTTTTTCGGTGTACTCATCCTTGTCCCAAGTCCTTCGGAATGTGTTGTCTACCCCGCTGGCCTTGCCTTTCTTCTCCTTTTCTCGCCTTTCCCTTCTGTTGCCTCCTTCCTTTTTCACCAGAGCCCTCTCGTCTCCTGCCATTCTTAGCGACTCAAAACATTTTTTGACGTCCACACTAAAGACAGGAATATAGTGAAGTACAAGACAGCTCAACGTGGACTTGCACTCGATCGATTCTATGAAAAGAACGAGCTCGAATATACAAGCTGGCCGTCGCACACAGTGGAGATCTGCACTAAGATGAAGACCTCAAATACTTATCACACTTTCTTTTCTTGCCTAAAAAATCTGGTCTGGTAACAAGTGCTTGAGAGTTGCTCCAGCCCTCCCAAATCCCCGATATATCTCCCTCGACATCTCTAACAAATGCCCGTTGCCCTGTCGACAAAAAAGTCCCCATTCTGACGTGCATAGCCCTGCGATTGACTTGGAAGCATGGAATAAGTCAGTGGGACACGATGACGGAAGAGAAAATCGATCCAGCTCCCCCAGCTACGGAGGAGGAGCCCGCCAGCGCTGCTGTGCCAGATGCTCCTGGCACAGGCTCAAGAAAGCGCAAGCAGGTCGAGTTCTTCGTTCCTACGGACGTCAAGAAGACAGAAAAGCTGGTGATAAAGGAGGTAAGCATTGCCGGGAGTCCCTAGGCGGACCTCTCAGTGACTCATCACCTAACATCATGATGTACCTTTTCTGCTGTTGCAGTGTCTTTTGCTCCACGACAGAGTCATATTCCGGATTACTGGTGCTGTGTTGGTTGCATTTTGTTTCCTGAGCTGCCTTTACAGCACACGACGAGAATCTGACCGCATCTGACACTTGGCGGATTCTTGATGCTAGCGGATGTTTTTCTGCAGGGCAAAGGAACCAAGCTGGGAGACATTCCAAACGGTAAGGCTTCACTTTTTCACTTCATTGGCGTGCAATCCACTTCTCTGTTAGCCTTATTTAATCCGGCCATTTCTTCTGACCTGTTTGCTGCCATCGCAGTGGCCTTCCATTTTACAAAGGTCACTGGGAGGGATGAGCTCTTGGAAGAGCTGCACTTTCTGCTCTTCAAACGCAAGGGAACGGTAAGACGCACCGTCTTTACATAATATATAATGCACTCAGGCTTCTTCATAATGGATCTGGGGCTGTTGCCCATTTCCACTTCGTTGTAGCTGGATAGAGGGGTGCACACGCTTCCCTCTTGGGCTTTGTGATTGGCTTATGACGTGAGCAAGTCCTTGTGTGCTGTTTCAGGCGAACATGAGGAAGAAGGGGATCCTGGGCTTCTCAGGATTCGTCTACGAGGGCAGCGCAGATGTGATCTCTCTTGTCCCTGATCCGGTGCACTGACAACCTGCTTTGTGTACCCCTCCAGGAAATCGTCTCTTTCATGCTTGACCAGAGACATGCAAGGGTGTGCTACGGGTGTGCACTGGCTCACACAAGGCAAATGGGGAATGGGGAATGATAGTAGTGATGCATGCGCAGGAGGGGCGAGCCAAGTTGGCAGAGAAGCTGGGCAGGTGGAAGCTGGAGGACATCCACCGCACAATGGACTTCATGGACCTGGCCAGGGGCAGCGGCAGCAAGGTTCACACCCCGGCATTACATAATTTCCTTGATGCATCACAAGCCCTATGTGCCCTGCTCGCACCCTGCTCGCAACCCTTGGTATCTGCCCTTCATGGCACAAATGATGTACACCCACCTGCACTGACCCCTCTGTAGTAAGCCATAGCTGCATTCACCACGTTACACAGACATGCACTCAATGCCAAAATGTTCCCCACCCGCACACTTTAGTATCTGTGCTTGAACCCTGTGCAGGAAGTCAAGGTCAATGCACTGCTGGACTTCCTCGAGGAGCCCAAGCCGCTGAAGGATCAGGACCTGGCCGAAAAGGCATGTGCAAACCCGTCACCGCCTCCTGCTTGTTACATCAGTGTTTCTAAATTCTTTGGCTGCTTTGTAGGCGCTCGTTTGGGTGCATTGCGCTCATCGATGTGCTGTATCAGCCTCGTTCTGCGCAGCAGGATGTACTGCATCCGTGGGCTTGAGAAGCAGGCTCCAAAGCGCATGATGCTGGCTGTGTGACTGGAGCCTCACACGCCTACATCTGCCCCTTGGTCTCCAGAGCGCATGCATGTTGTCTTCCTTGCAGGCTGCGAAGGCAAAGGAAAAAGCCAAGGCCAAGAAGGAGAAGGAGACAGCAAAGAAGGAAAAGGCTGCCCCAGTAAAGGAGCCTGCGAAGAAGAAGGCCAAGAAGGAGACGCCAGCCAAGAAGGAGAAGCCTGCTGCCAAGAAGGACGACAGCGCTGCCAAGAAGAAAGCCACTGCCGCCCCCAAAAAGGTAGCATCCTGGCCTTTACTTCAGCCCCTTGTGGGGTGCTCAAAGCCGAGGTCTTGGTCGACAAACCATTGGATGACAACTGGTCTTGAGATAGGAGGAATGTTAATGGCCCAGCAGACCGTAATACGCGGCATGTTAACGAGCGGTACCGTGTGACATGGTTCCCTCTTGTCGACCTCTGATCACGTCAGAGCATGCCTCATTCAAGGACATGAGTCAGAGGCCGCACACTTATCGATGAAGAGAGCATTACCTTTGGACAAGTATACATATCATATAAGATGCTCGTTCGTACCTCATGGCATGACCCCCACACTCCCGTGCTCCAGATTGCAATCACAGGCATCTGTCTCATGCGTGCATGTCTCGTGGCTGCAGAAGGCCAAGGCGGCGGCTGCCGAGGAGCCGGAGGAAGCTGAGGAGGATGACAGCGAGGATGAGCTGCCTCTGGCGGTTGTGGCCGGCACGCCGAGTGACGAGGAGCTGCGTGAAGCTACCATGGCCATCCTCAAGACGGTGCAGCTGGAGGACTTCACCATGAAGGACCTGCTTCGCCGCCTCGGTGCGCAGCCCCCTGCTGGTCCCGGTCTCAGGGGTTGAAATTGTGAATTCTGTAGCAAGCCACAGCTCTCGGCCCCATGACAGACCTGATCCATGCCGACCTTTGCCGTTTCAGTGTTTACATGCACGTTTCTGTGTCATTTCTGATTGAACACATTTGCATGACGCATGTGACTGAAATACCAAGCTTGATGACTGTGTTGGCCAAAGCAAGGCGTGACAGGATTATGAGGCTGGTCTCTTCTATCGTAGGAATCCCAAGAACAGTGCCCCAAAGAGTCAGATAAAGGCGTTTGGTGCATCAGCCAACAGAAGGCGCGGCCGGATTGTGAGGCTTCTCTCTGTGCTTTAGCTGTGTTCTAGAAACTTGCCAGCAGGTGACTGATAGCGTATTATGGTGTGTGCTCGCGCAGCGGACAAGTATGGGATGCCGTTCCAGAAGCGCAAGGAGTTCCTGAGGGAGGTCATCAACACCTTTGTGGCCGAGAACAAGGCGACGGCGGCTGACGGCGATGAGGAGGAGCCTGAACAGGACGCGGAGCCAGAGGAAGCTGCAGGCGCCGAGGAAGTATGCCCCTAGACAGGTCATTTAAATTTGCAGAGGACCCTTCTCACCGCCGGAACTCTGTGAATATGCCCATGCACCTCTGCTTTGTGGTGAAGTAAGGATTATGATTTGCTCAGAGAAGATGCCTGCTTGATGCTTACTGCGTGTGGGGCACAGTCTGCAGGCAGCCTTTGGGGTGTTAGTGTAGATCAGGAGCGGAGGCCAGGCGTGCTCAACATTTATAAAGTAGATAGCACTGCAATTCGCCGTGCTCAGGGCTTGCAATGTTGTGCAGGACGCTGCGGAGCCGATAGAGCAGGATGCGGGGGCCGAGGAGCCTGCAGAAGGCGCACAGGAAGCTAACCAGGAGCCGCCGGCGGAGGCTGAAGAGAAGCCGGCCGAGGAGGCGGTGGCAGCTGAGGCCGCTGATGCTGAACCTGCCACTGGTGACTGCCACAGCTTGAAAACATACATTTGCTTGCATTTGATCAACTGCAGATCACAGCCACAGTGATGCTATGTGTTTTGTGGTGTGTACGGCAGAAGCTGCTCCTATGCGCGGATACAGCAGGATGCTTTTCTTATAAACGCTTTTCTTCTTATAATAACAACACGCTTTTCCTGCCATGAGGCAAGGTGCCTCTGCAGGCAAGCTCCTGGCAGTGCAAGGCTACCATGATCCTACCCCTTGTTGGCCACGCCAGATCCAAGCAAGACCCCGGATATACAATAGGACAGGAATGGTAATGTGGGGCTGTGTGCAGGAGGTGATGCGACTGCCCCGGCTGCTGAGCCGGCAGAATAGGAGCTCCCTTCTGCAGAGTGTGGAAGGAGCACAAAGATGCCAGTTGAGAACAATGGCTTTCAAAATTTGACTAGCAAGAGACCTTTAATTGGTACCAGTGGTCAGCCATGAGCCAACCAGCAGAAAAGAGAGAAACCAGGTTACTGCCAGCCGAGTCTCAGCGTATCAGGGGTGAGGATGAGAATGGGCGTGTGTGAGCATGGATTGGAGTTACAGTGGCAAGCGAGGCTGGCCATCGTTCCACACTTGATGATACCGTAGTACGGACTCTGCAAGACAGGCACGTTCAGGTGCTGAAGCGAGCGGTGCAATTTTGACAGAACTCTAGCTTACATTTACATTCTTGATCAGCACTTGCATACGTCGTCACCATCTTTGCATGCATGATATTCCTAAAGCTTTGATGACATGGCCGCGCCTTGCATGCACAATGATTCCACACTTCAACAAGTAGGCAGGGTGCATTGGAACAATGGTCATGGGTCTCAAATTGATGGTCTGTTCGTCTGCCTGTTTGCTTTCTTAAGGTCCACATGAAAAGCAACTGCCGTTCTGTGTAAAGGAGCTCCATTCACAAGTGCTTGAAGCTGTTGTCAGTGACAAGTTGTCACTCGACAAACCATTGCCGCTTTGGCTTCTTTCCCTTCTTCTGCTTGACATGAAAAAGCCCATGGATGGCGCTGTTGCCCTTCCTGATCTTGACACCTTTCTTCTTGACTCCCAACTTGCTCTTCGACCTGCACACATAATAAAGGATTACAAAAGGGACCAGGGACTGGCCAGCTTGATGCTCATGCAAACCTCATTATAGTAAGCTTGTCCTGTGGAAAGATGCAAAACACTGCCCTCAATCCAGCGATGGTCGTGTCATGCTTTACGCAGCATTATTATGTTGCCCCCTGAGCCAGCGCATCTGACCTCCTTCCGCAGCCTCTGGCCAATGTATGTCTGAGAAACGCACCTCTTGTCGCTGTCCTCAATGTCCATCTTCTCCAGCCCTCCAGCTGCTTCTGCTGCCCTTCCACTTGCAGCTCTGCCCTCATCAGCCTCCATGGCTGCCGGCTCAGTCAGAGCCCTCTGGGCGGCCTCCTGCACCATGTAATTGCACAAGGTTTCATATGACGTGTTTTGGTACTGTAGTTGCCTGTCTTCTCACTCGCACCGCCAATAGCAACTGCGAAATATCTGCTTTCAGAAGGATCACAGTAAGAGCAATGCTTCGGCCTTTTGAAAGCGTTCTTTATCCTGACTTCCTTCAGCCACATCTGGAGCGCAATGGAGGCTGGCAAGCTCGCACCTCTGCCTTGGACACAGCAGCTTCTTCCAACGACTTCTGGATGAGCCCGAATCTCTTCTGCTCAGCTGCTTTGTACACCTCACTATTTTCCACTTTCTCCCTGTGGGTGTCAAAGCAGCAGCCGCGTTCAGCTCAGCTGAAGTCAAGCAATTTGGTGACACGGGGCCAAAACCTGATTGTCACTATTCGACACATTTACAAACAGTTCTTGCTGCCATGCTACTGATCCTTCAGATTGCGCACAAGTGTGTTTCTTACCGCCGCAGCCTCCTCAGAGCTTTGCCCTTGTTCGACCGTGCGCCTCTCGCCATATCTAGATCGCTCAAGTGCTTTCTCACAATTATATCAGACGCACGAAAGGTAGTTATGAAAGATCCAAAGACCTCGCCTTGCAATATTCGTTCCGGAGATCCTCAGATGTGCTTACTGGCTTTCAACAGGGAAGCAGGAGAAGCACGACACTGCGCTACTGCACGAACGCCAGAATATCGATCTATAACCTTTTAATCTTCAATGGAACTTTACCTTAGCCATGCAATTGGTGCCAGCGTCTTCCTTTTCGGAGTCCACGTGCAAAACGACGTCAGCACTTCTGCTCGAAAGCTTTCTTATTTCGTCGCAGGCCAACAAGAAACGTGATGATCCCTCATCGAACTAGAATCTTTCATCGCAACTACAGTGGGAAATTATTATGTTAATGCAAAGTATTTCATGACTTTTCCTTCCATTTTGCCTTGTACATCGAGACGCTTTCACCCACTCGCAAGAGCAGGACACAGTATAAGGGCCTGAATAAAACTTTAAGACGCAATCTTAAGACATAGAATTGCTGTCCAAAGGCACGCAGTGCGCGAGGAACCGGTGTACTTGCCTGGTTCAGGTGGAGTACATGAGAGTTGCCTGATATTGGCCTCGATGACATGAGTCTCTCCAGCTGGTTCAAAGAAGGTGGACCACAAGCTGGCCGGTCCTCGCTGCTCAGTAACGAAGCCAGAAGAGAACGGGATGAGGAGGAAGATGAAGAGAGCGTCACGACCATCATGTCAGGCCGTTCTGGCAATGCTTACCGTAGACCTAGGCTGGTATGCTGCTAACAGTCTACCCTTGCCAATGTCGTTCCCTTACTCTCATTATGTTTCAGAAGACCTGGCCATGGCTAGCCTCCCTCCCTTCCCTTCCCGTGCAAACCAAGGATTGAGTGGATCACTCCATCACAGGATGATGCTTTCAAGCTGGACGCTCAGCTGGATGGACTGACAATAGAGCAGAGCATGTCTCCCAACGGCACAGCAATGGCCCAGCAGCGGCAGGACGATGCAGAGCAGCTAACAGTCAATGTGCCAAACCTGCTGGACCGCCCTGTGCCTGCCAAGCCCAACCCCATGGCACGCTTTGTAGAGTCAAGTGCGCTCCCTGCCAGCCCACGATTTTTCTAACATCCCTGCACTGGCGCTGAGATCAACATGCATGCGTGTCAATGTGCTTGGGGGCTGCTTTAGGCTGAATGGCGCTGATTGTGCTCAGCGCCCTTAATTGTGCATGATGCTGCCGGACCTACTGCCGAGCGTGCAACCATGCATGCATGCACGCAACTAAACTGAAGCCTACAATGCTGGGCGCTGTGCAATATAGTGGCAGTGCTCCTGAGAAGACCAAAATTTGATCCAGCAACCTGAATTAGGGAGACCCACTAGCGGGATCCCCTTCATTAGAGTGTAACTTCCATGACACGGAGGAAGATGAGGGCGCAAGAGTAAAGCGTTACTCGCAGGTGACTCAGGCACGTCCAGCGCACTGACACCTGGCAGCTCGCTGATGCGCCATCCGGACAGGGGGACCGGCTTCTACTTCCAGAAGAGGGAACGCTACGGACGCGCCAGCCTGGTGGAGACTGGCAGGTGCGCATCATAAGCAGTGGCATTTATGCAGGTGCAGCCAAGATCAAGCTCTCACAGCCCTCTGGACAGGTTTATGAAATTCATCATCAGTCCAAAGAGCAGGGCTTTGAATAATTAAAAATAAGAAAGCCAAGCATGTCAAGCATGTGAGTGGAGCTTGTCGAAAAATACACCTTTCATATCTTTGCTTGTGTAGTAATCGTCAGAATAAGTTCTGGGGTGGCAGGCATGCTGGACGGTCACGGGTGACATATTATGGCTTCAGTGGCCACACGCTAGGCTACCATGCATGGAAGAGAGGTTGGCACCTGCTTCTTCCCTCCCCGTCTCATCCCGCGCAACCACCCTAAGCTGTGCTGTGCAATCTAGACACCAGACCAGATCTGACTGTATTGTCTAGACAGGGGATTGCTCAATTTCTACACAAACAGATGTACCTAAGCATGAGAGGATCCGAAGGGCTTGTGACGCACATCTCTCCAGGCTTGAGGGTGTTTTGTGAATGTGCTGCTAAGCATTCGTTTTTGCTGATCAGAGTATATTGCGTCCTGCAGATTTTTTTACATCGGGGATCAATCTGCGCTTGCCGGTGGCCATCGGACTTATGGTGGCACTGTACATGTTGTCTTACTTCTTCTGGGGCATCATCTGGCTCTTTGTATACTGGTGCGCATGCCAACCCATCTCTTAGCTATTGCTGCAAGCTTACTCATTGATCTTCGCAGTGTACTTTACTGAGGCCAGTTGCGTTCGGACGGCAGTAGCAATTTCTTGTCAGGAAGGAAGGTCAATCTGATACAGGAGTCCAACTCATTGAGTCGTTTTGTGCACGCAGGCATGACAAATCATGTGTAGCCGGCTTTGAGAAGCGCTATCACGGCATTGTGAGCGCCTTCATGTTCGCCACAGAGACCCAGCAGACCATAGGTGAGTGCCTTCCAAACTGCCAATGCCTGTTGTAATCCAGGAAGGCCCAGAAATATGTTGTGAGACATGTGGTGGGACCATGAGGACAGCATGGCAGAATATGCATCGTGCCTTGTTTGGCTGAAGTAGACAAGCAAAGATAGGGCATCCTCAGCTGGGGTTGGCTGCGGAAATCTTGGTTCCTGCCCTTGATCACTGCCTGCTCACAGTTAGGAAATACTCCATCCCCAAGTTTCTGCCCTTGCCCAATTCCCCGTAAAATTTACAGGGTACGGGGCGCGGCGGCCGCGGGACTGCTGGATAAGCGCGTGGCTGGTGGCGATGGAGGTGATCTGGGGCCAGCTGCTCGACGCAATCACCCTCGGGATCATCTTCGCTCGCATCGCGCACCCCAAGAACCGTGCTCGGACGGTCTTCATCTCGGACTGCGCCGCCATCGCGCGCCGCGACGGCGCCCTCAAGTTCATGTTCCGCGTCGCCGACGTTCGCTCCACACAGGCGCGCGGCATTCCCTCTCCTCTTGGAACGCAACAGTTTTCCTGCAGAGTCTGCAATGCAGGCCCCTGTTTGCAAGCGGCACAACGTCTTGCATGTGGATGTTGGAGCCTTGCCACTGGCCTGCATATTCTGGCAATCATCTTGAAATGATCTAGTCACCATGATCCTCAGCAGAGAGCATCACTGCCATTGCCAAAGACAGGCTTGGGGCCTTCTCTGCCACAGTTGGCATCCCTCATTTTGTCTACTGGCTGCCAGACCCTCACACACTGCGCAACCCACATGAGGAGGAGCAACGACAGCCATACCTAGGAACCCGCACACGCATGAGAAAAGCAAGGTGCAATGCTTAGGCCAGTCACGCGTGCATCACTTACGCAGTCCAGGTGGTGTCGCCGCGCGTGAGGGCTCCATCTCTCTGCCTCGCTCGCTGTGTAGTGAATCGGCTCTGGATGTTCCAAGAACATCGCCTTTGGTGACAGCTTCTGGCTCGTATAAAGGCACGCCAAGCAACAACCTCCGGCATCGCACACTGTTTGACGGTTCAAAATTGCGGTGGCCAGGTGGTGTCGCCTCGCGTGAGGGCGTTCCTGTACACGTGGGGCGGCGGCCGCACGACAGCGGAGGGGGAGCACATTCCCTTCAGGGCTGATCCGCTGCGGCTGCTGTACGAGGATCACCTGTCGCTCGTGCTGCCTCTCACGTTGGAGCATGAGATCGACGAGCGCTCGCCGCTCTACGGACACACCTATGACTCCCTCACGGTGCGCACGCCGTATTTTCCTAGGCCTAGGGGAAAACTGTGCAGCCTGCCCTGTATTCGGGTCTGCCTTTGTATTTCACACATCTCTGGAATGCGTGCTGACTTTAATGCCCCATTTTAGAGGTCACCTGAGTACTCTTGAGCAGAGAAGTACAATGTGCAAAAGAACATGTGCATGCCCGTGCATGCAAGTGAGCGCGCATTGTGCCTCATCCTGCGCTGGTAAGATCATGAGAGCCTGCTGTATCTGGACTGTCTTTGGACTGTTGTTGTGGACAGAGTCACCTGGTAAGGGCGTTCATTGGTCTGTAGCTGGTAGCTATTGGAATGTGACACTGTCAGAACGATAGGCAAACCAAATCATGCTTGGGCAGAAGGTCCCAGTGGTGCCACACCGAGCCCAGGGCATCTGAATTTTTCCTTCTGGCTGGAGAGTCCTGGGAGGTTTGGATCGAACTTGCACGACTTTGTCAGCTGGAGGAGGCACCTCAGATGCAGAGTGGCTGGCATTGGCACCACTGCCTCCTTGTCTCTCCCTTGCACGTCTCCAGCCGCAGTGTCAACATCGCCTCGTGGAAGCATCTAAACGATGATTCATTTCTGCAGGAGGGAAATCCCCGATGGTGATGAGGCCCGACAGGTCAGACTGAAAGGCACATTTGCGTGGAACCTCTCCCCGCATGCATGCAAAGCAACATGACATAATATGACTAATGCAGAGAAAATACATGACTAAGGCAATGTAAGTGCTGACGCAGGCGCTAGATGCGGAGGTGGTGGTGCTCTTCGAGGGAGTGACAGAGACGGGAGCGCTGTTTGGGGGCAAGCGCAGCTACCTGCCCACGGAGATCCACTGGGGCTATGTCTTCGCGGAGATCACCCACCAGTCCAAGAGCGCCAGCACTCGCCACGCTGTCGACCTGTCCAGGTCAGCACGCGTGCCATCCTCGGTGCCGTGGCCGATGTGTCTGCACAGACCTTGCATAGAAGCAATGCTCTGGAAGGGTGTGACTGCTGCATGCTCTGATCTTGAAATAAGACGGTGGCAGGGACCCTCAGCAGGGCTGATGGCACGGCCCGCTGTCCACGTCCAGCATGTTCATGTATAGCGGCAAGTGGAACATCTCTCCAATTAGGCCACCCCGTAGCCGTTATATGTTCAGCTAGGGAGTCTTGAGCACTTGTAACATGGAGCATTTACTGGCAATGCCAGATGTCATGCAGGAGCTCGCATCATGTAAGAGAACCTCTGTGCTGCGTTGAAGCAGCCTCTTCACGTGCATTTTTTTGCAGCAGCATCGGCCCAGCGTGCTTCAACGTGGAGCCAAGGATCTAGGCTTGAAGGCAGCAGACTGTATGGCCCCCGTCGCGGCAAGGAGGATTTTTGATATGATTAAATTGAGTTCTGCATGCATGCAGGTTCCACGAGGTGGAGCCTCAGAAGGATCTGGAGCAGATGCTGCCGCAGCAGATCATCAGCCAGCACCTGCTGAAGAAGAATCACCGCGTCATCCCCTTCCCGGCTCTGTCCGAGAAGACCCTCGTGCTGTCCGAGGTGGCCGTCGTGGGCACGAAGGACACTCCCGATGGCCAGCTCAGCCTCATGGTCAGGTGAGCAGCACATTCCACTTTGGCACAGTATGTGGAACTGTAGTAATCTTGGAAGTGTGAAAGGAGGGTGGCACACTTACAACCAAAGCAATTTCAGTCCTTGGGGAATCTGTTACTGGTGCCCGTCGTGCTCGCGAGCTTTTGCATCAAGAGCTGAGCTGGGAGTATGATGCTGCATGCAAATGACCGCACCAAGGCGTGCCATATTTTGTTCATTAGTATGAGATCAGGGAAAGAGCCAACTGGTGCACCCAATCATCATCACTGCAGGCCTCAGATCCATCCATCAATTTTTTGTTATCTTCCGACAATGAGTTTTGAATTGTTGTGAGTGGTGTGTGGTCAGGATCGGTGATGTGTACCCAGACAACATGGTACAGCTGGCGGTGCGCATGTACCTCTACCGCTGGAATGACCGGTTGCAGGAGGACGCCACCACCACAGCCCCTTACGAGGTGAGTTTTTTCCTGATACTGTAGTATGCTTGGAGAGGCCCACACAACACAACTGCCCTGGTTGCTTGCCAGGTAGTAAGGGCGTGGATGTTGGTCTGCGATCCCCTGTGGTCGCCTTTGCGAGACCTGTCTCAGGGAATCTGCGTCAGCCGCCAGGTCACAGCTTCACATGCTCTTGCACTTCTACCGGCATGAGCCTTCTCCATGGGCCAGGACAGGTGCAGCAAATCTTGATTTGAATTTTATCGCATGCATGCATGCGTGCAGGTGCATCAGCTGGAGGTGACACCGGCGCGGCTGCTGCTGCGGCTGCCGATGACGGTGCGCCACATCATCACTGAGTCATCCCCGCTGTCCAACTGGCGCAGCGGCCAGGCCGGCATAGCCGCGGACGCCAGCTCAGAGATCATTGTTGTGGTTAGTCACCGCCCCTGTCAATATCCTCTGAACATTCCGGCCAGCCCCTGTGCCTCCAACGCAATTGCCTACCGTCTGTGCATGGAGAATGCTTGGCCTTCTTCAGTGCGTGCCAAGGCTGCCATGGGACCTTGGTGCTCAATGTCCGCTCACTTGCATGGTCTCCACAGAGAATGAGCAGTGTTTCTGGAATGCTGTTGGCTCCATTTATGTCTGCACACAAACAGTGCTTGGCCCCCTTCAACCCATGCCAAGGCTGCACTGGCACGTAGATGCTCAGTAAACATCCCGCTCATTCGTCTCCACAGAAAGTGAGCAATTTTTCTGAACTGCATTGCTTGTGCATATTCAGGTGGATAGCGTGAAGTATGACACCAGCAAAGTGATCATGGCCAAGAGGATCTACGTCGTTCACTCCCACATCAAATATGGCTACCGGTGAGCAAAGCCTTCCCTTTTTTCTCCTGCCAGCACTGAACGACAGCAGGATCAAAATTTACTTCATGGAATATGTCCAGTCATGTGCCTTACTCTGAGGTTTGTTGAAAATTGCGGCGCAACCAATTTCATGAGGTTTGGCCCAGTAAATAGATGCTTGTCTGGGGCCTGTCTATCAAAATCTATTTGGTAGCCATGCTTCATCATTGCACGAGAGCCAACAAGAGCTCTTGTTCGCTGCACAGCAAAAAAAAAAAGTTTGACCAAAATTATGGTGCCGCCCACCAGGTTCGAACCGATGGTGTCACGGGTGGGCGGCCGCGCGCCGCGCATCACCTGGAGCTCCTTCCACGACGTCGCGCCGGCGCCGCCGAATCTGCCGCGTGTGCGCTCGTCCCGATCGCTGCAGCACGACGGTGCGGGGTGTTTCTATTCTCCTTGCCTCTGTGTCTTATCACATGCTTTTTTAGCCAGAGGCAAGGTGCGTCTGTGGACATGCTGCAGGTAAAGTCTACAACCCTTGATGGACTCGCCAGATCCCAAGCGAGGCTCTAGCAAATTGCGGGCACGGTGCTCAGTACAATATCAGCACCCGCCGAGGCGTCTATGTATGCATGTATTGTACAAATCTAAAGAGAGAAAGCCATGCTCGGCCATCAAGCTGCCCTGCGCATCGTCCCTGCATCCCTGGAAGCTTGCAGGTGGCTCTTCTAGCTGGGTGAAAGGCTACCATAGTCGTCTTTGTCCTGTCAAAAAGGGAGACCTGCGAAGTTCTGCCAACCTGCAGTGCATTTTTGTGGAGTTGTGAAGCGTGCCCTGCCAGATGGCACATTCACCAAGGACTTATTTCCGATAAACCTCTGGGTGTTTCTGTGAACAGCTTCAAGAGGAGAGAGCCTGCTACGGGCGCAGTCGGAGCGGCCACCCTCAACTGCGCAAGCTTTGCCTCGCAGAGCCTCAGGAGGTCCCTTTGAAGGCCTCTTCCCAGCCACATGAACCCACGCTGTAATGTGTAAATAGAAAGCTAGACTTAGCGTAGCAAACACAGACAATGAGCTTGTGGGGTGCAACGGTGATCAGCAGTTTGGCTAGTGCTCTACCTGTTGTAGGGGATAGCTTGAGCGAGACAGATGCGCGTTGGAAAGCAAGTGAGGTTGCAGAAAGGTTCACCGGTTTTGGGAGGATGGTGGGGTGCTGACGCGTTGTGAAGAACGGATGCAGTCCCCCAACTTGATGAGAGCTTGGGCAACCAGCTTCCCTGGAGGGAGTTTTGCAATTGACACGAGAGCATGAAGTTGCATGACAGAGCGCCCGTGTGAATATGTTCATAAGTATGCAAAAGGATTTCAAGTCCCTACTTGAACTTTGGCTTCTCGTATCTTTATTTATGCGTCAAATGCCGCATGCCTTGCCATGCATGCAAGTTTGCAATGCTGTGCATGTTCATCAAAACAGCTGCGATGTAACTTGCCAATTGGACCACTTTTGCAGCAATGTCCGGAAAAGGGTTAATGCAGTTCTTTATATCATCTCACATCTTCAAGAGCGAGATATGTAGTACATATTATGTACTGCACCACAGGCACCATTTCGCCATGATCACACCATGACAGCATCCAGACTCAATGTCCAAAAAGCAAAAATATATTAAAGAAGTGCATTGCAATATCAATTCATTTTTGGTCAATATCTCAAATGTGCTTAGTCAGTGCATACAATGAAATCATCACAATGCAATACCGATATCTTGTTTGGCCAAAATTTATAGCAAACCATGACACGATGCATATGCCATGCGCCGTACGGCAGTCAGACCAGAGTCAACTGAGTACGGAACACAGCATATGCACAGGTCAAAAGAACACCCAAATTTGATATGTATCCCAGAAAAAGGTCATCATGTCATGTGCACAGCACAGAGCTCCCACCATGTTTTTGACAGGGCAAAGCCCAAGGCGATCATAGCTTGGTGTGCTGAATTGAATTAACTCAAAACGTAATTTTTCTGCGCTGCAGCTAAGCATTATGCCAGCAGCGCCTCAACGAGCTGCAGGGTCGAGTATATCATCGACCCTGCAACTTGTTGAGTCTGTGCCCCACGAAAAGTGTCCATGCCCCACAAATAGAACTTATGGGCATGGAGCTGTATTGTGCCTTCACCGTAGAGTGGGCTTGCTGGCTCTCAGTGGGCGTGCTCTGCATGGGCCGCTCACTTTGACTCAATGTGCTGCCCGGAAATACAGTCTGCGTGCTGGAGAGCACATTGAGTTCAAGTGATGCCGGGTGATGCTTTGAGCCTCTCGGCCCTACATCGTCAAATTGTGACCGTGACATGCTCTTGCAGGCTGCTGGCAGGTTCAGAGACCAGCTCATGCCATGACATCTGCATAGTCATGTGTCACAACTGTGGTTTTTCGAGCCAAAGGTTGGGGTCAGGCAGGATCAAAGACCAGCTCATGCCGTGGCAACAGTCACAATTGTGGTCGTCTGGAGCCGAAGGTTGGGGTCAGTTCTGGAGTGTCTGGGATGCGCGGCTGCCCCGGTCATGGAAAGAGAAGTTGGGTTTCTTCGCCTCAAATATGGTACTCTTTGTCACATCGGGTATGGATCCTGAACCCTGCGTAGCACGAGTGACTCCTATGTTGCATCTGCTTCTTTCAATTAGAAACAGATACCTGTGCAAATGCTTGAAGCAATCATGCACACAGATTTCTCGTCCCCAGTGTTCTTGATCACAAATACATGTGGACTGGATAGATACATCTCAATTTTCCAAGGAGAACAAGATGCAAGATGCCATCAGCAGCCCTGAACATCATGCAACGCAGCTCTCTAGCGAGAAAACTGACCGATTCTTAGGAGGGGTTGTTTTGACGGCTGTGTTGAAATTGGCGTCCCAAGAAAAGATGCTGGTGACCTCTTCTGGCAGCTTTATCTCTGGGGTCTCCAGCAATTCTCTTGAGGCATTGTTGTCAATCTCATCCTGCAACATCACCCTGTTTTGAGGTTTTCTTTCTGGATCTGCTGACCATACATGCATCCCCAGCGACGCCAATCATGATAAAATATAACCAAGCCAGCGCCAATCCTGTCAACTTTTGTGAGGTTGAGACAGGCCCGGTAATTTCCTTGGAAGTTCACCTGTGTGTCATCTGCATGTTCCTTCAGCTTTCTGCCCTTGCCCACTTTGAAGCCCCACTTCAAAGGGAACGGATCATGGCTGGCATGCACGGAACCCGCTACAACTTCCTGCGCGCACATGGCAAAACTACAGTTAGTACTCTTAGTACACGCTTCTTCTAACCCTCAGGGCTAGGTGCGTTGCAGCAACCTCTCAATAATTCCTCTCCAGCCTCCTCTGTCTCGGCACTTTCTTCACCAATGGCATGTCAATCCAACGGGGCCCAGGTCATCCCTAACGCAAACACTTTCGGGCCCTGCAATTCCCATTTTGCATGGCTCCTGCAGTATTACGATTGTCAATTTCATATCAGAGCACGCTCCGTACGCTGCGCTGAATACACGTAAGACCAACAAGATTTCTCTGAGTGAGTTCCGGGTGGTAGCAGAGCACATGCCGACCAGCTTTGCACCATCTTCTCAGTCAGTTGCTGAGATTGGATGAGGTGCGAAGGGACCACTGGAAGCAGCGGCTGTCTTGGCATCAGCGGGATCTCAAGAGTGGAACATCGTGATATTACAAGAGTCCCTCACCTTCTCCACACTCCCAGTGGGGTTGAAGTCCAGGGTGGATGTAAGAGTGGCATCCCAGGAGAGGGTGTTTGAGAGCTCGACAGGAAAGCTCAGCTTTGTTGTGGTCGTGTCTGAAAGTTGCCGCCTTGTTTGCTTTCCCTGCACACCACGCTCTCTATTTCGTATCATGGGAAGATGACCAGAATTTGATGCACAGTCTTTCCACTCATCGGCAACCTGTGGTGAATGGGCGCTAGCACATGACCTCACCAGTCTGCACTTTAGCAGATTGTGAAATGTCTGAACCAGTTCAGCTAATCACTTTGCCGGCACCTCAGATTCAGATCATGAGACACCTTGTGTCGCATGTGCCTTTCTGGGATAGACTGCAAAGTGTCAAGCCCGCTCCATGTATTTGATATGCAGTGTACCCATGCGCGCCATACCTCTTGCATCGTGCTGGGCTCCTTCAGAGGTCTGCGCTTGCTCAGGGCAGATCCAAACAGCTTGGGAACTTCAGGGATAGAAGGCTGGATCTGCAAGCCACGAGACATGATCAGCAAAGTCAAGCGCTGCAGCTTTGCTCTCAAAATGACCATTGCTGGATACTATTGTGCAGCAACATGTGAGATTTGCCTTGATAGCGGCTTGTCATGAGAATCTTGCTCAAGGTCCAGGCACAGATCACCCTCTTACAAGGGAGCAAAAGATTGCAAACAGTGCACAGGCATATCACTTGTTTGGGAGGACAGATGCATGCAGAAGATCTACTCGCAGTAAGCCACAACGAGACAGATCTTGTCGTGCAGAGATTCTTGCTTGGCCGGACCTTGTCAAAGGAAGGGTCTGTCGAGAGCGTGGAGGACCATGATGCATCCCAGGAGAGATCATTTGAAACCTCCAGTGGGAACGAGAGCTTCACTGTCTCCAATGACTGCCGGCGGGCCACATGCCCCTACAAAAGTGAAAGGAGCACTCATCAAGCAGTGCTTGGGCAAGGATTATGAACAGAGCCTCGACCGTCAGACAAAAGACAAGCATGCAGCTGAGGCTGGGTTGGTTGGACCTTCTTGGACAATGTGGAGGTCTGGTCTGCATCCCATGATAGGTGGCTGGACACCTCCAGTGGAAATGAGAGTTTTGCTGTCTCCACTGACGTCCGCCGGCCAGCATGGCCCTGCATGTCAGAAGCAGTTAGCAACATTACAATATTCAGTGTCCTGACCCTGTGATAAAATCCTACAGAACTCAGAAGGATGTTGAGACAGCTGTTTTCCCAGCCTCACCTGCTTGCCAGAAGGGTAGCACAGCGACGATGGCAGAAGAATAAGCCCCAAGATTGCCCAAGCTGACACCATATGCTGCCCCTAAAGCGAGCAAAACACCTTGTTCAGTACCAGGCATGCTGAGGGACCTGCATATCACTTACTTTTCCATGTGGTAGGCCCTCGGTAGAGACTAGGATGGAGCGACTAGCCAATAGGAGCATTTTGCTCTGAAAGCATATTGTTTCACAACGAAACTCTGCTATTACAAAATTTCCCAGAATAAAACGAGTAAAGAAACCTTGAATGTGCCTTCACGCCTTTCTCTGCCAAGTTTCAGTAGTTCAGGGGTAGAAGCTGTACGGCAAGCCATCTCTACTTGAGGGTGTCTTTAGGATCTTCCCAGAGCCATGAAACATTAATTAGTGCAAAGCAAACTTCAACTAAGGAGATTTCATGAAGCACAAGGCCTGCCCAGCTTCCTAGCATGGATTTTAGTGACTGAACTCCTCTGTTCCTGCTAAAAATGCACACTGACAGGAGTTCCGACACCCCTCTGGCGCACTGGACTGTTTTTTGTAGGATATCAACAACGTCACTGCTCATGTACTAGGAATTTTCGTCTGCAGTGCATATTTGTGTGCCGCATAGCTTTAGTCCTCTGGCACTGAAGCGTGACGTTGGCAGCAGACAGAACAGCAAGCATTAAATCAACAATCTATTTAGGGAAAGCACCTTACTGGAGGTCAATATGACCAGTCAAACCAGACACAACATGAAATGCTCACCTCAAAATGACCCCCTCCTGCTCTCTGTCGCGGTGCGTTCCACATGTGCACCGCAAGGGCCGGAGTACAATGCCAGACCTTTTCAACACATACACTGAACCAGGAACATACCTACTAGGTCTTTTTTAAAAGTTTGCACTCGTCGCAAGTTGTACCAGGCAGTGGTGCTGTCGGTGTCCTGCAACCGGCATTTCAATTGGAACCTGCTGCGTTGCCTGAATAGGCGACAGACCACAGGCAAATATGAAAGCCTGCCAGAATGAACTTGAATATAGCCGTTGCCTCACACTACCTCTGAATTATACCCACACTGTGATGCAGTACCAAGATACTAGGTCTGCCTTGCTAAGGATCTCAGCCACATGTCACAACTATATCCATTTATAAACAGCGCTCTTTAACAATGCTGCAAATGTACATGCACATTTGCAGCAATGGTACCGCAGTCACCACAGTACGGTACCGGCCGGGCTTCAGAAAATTTGGATCTGGTCCAAAGTTGCCCCTGAACAAATGTGGCTCACGTGCATGGTGGTTCACTACAGTAGCTGATATACTAACTTGGCCCCCACAGTGCAACCCATAAACGTAGCAAATCTCTTGCTGCAATGGATCGTGGTTACATACTGTATTTCACCGTGCAGACATGGGCATCAGGACACAACCATGTAAGTGCGTGTTCTTACGGCAGCAGACACTAGCTGTGGCACTGCAATCCGTAGAGCATCAAAAAAGATCTGCACTGTCTGCAGGTCTAAAGACCAATGGTGCAGTGCAAACTGCTCGTCAACTTCAGCGCTGGTCACTTCTTCTGTAATCTGTCTGCAGGTCTAAAGACCAATGGTGCAGTGCAAACTGCTCGTCAACTTCAGCGCTGGTCACTTCTTCTGTAATGTCTCAAGCTCTGGCCAAGCTTTGCCGAAGCTCTCAAGTCTTCGGGCGCCGGTGCCTCAATCTTCCCCGGAGGACTTCTCATGCAGCAGTACGTACTCCCGGCTGCTGTTGCCAAACTTCAGCAGATCCTGTATGCCACATCAGCCAAAGCGCCTGGGTCCAGTGCAAACGATGCAGCTGAAGATTCTAATGCTAAGGAGGCCTGTGAGGCCTGCCCCTGTGAGGCCTCCTTCTCTACAAGGCAGGAGGCAGAAATACACAACAAGAAATTGAGGCTCAAGACCGTGCGGCTGTACAGTTCAGACTGAGCTCGAGAAAACAGAGAGTCGAGAAAAAGATTATGTTGAAGGATTTTTGACATATGGCCTGTTGACGCGTCGCTAAAAAGAAGAGTAATTGCAAGCAGGGCAAGCAGGGCGATGAGCACTCTGCAATCAAGGCAACATGCACGGCGCTCCGCTAATGAACTCACTCAAGGGCCACAAGCTCAACACGCACGATACCACCCCCCGGAATCACACACGGTCTGTGTCAGCCCTCACCATGTAGCATCCGTTGGGAGAATTGCCCAGTAAGGGGTTGGGGCTCACCTTTTCATATAGCTCGTAGTAGCGCTGGGTTTCTAGGCGCTCCCCATTGAGGAAGCAGCCGTTGGTGGAGCCCAGGTCCATTAGGTAGGGGCGCACATCCGCTGACATCATGCCGTCGGGGCCTTCCTTCTCAGTATACCTGGAGCCAAAGGTTATAAATCAGTTTCCACGACTAGTTCCAAGTAGTTTACAGAGAAACCCGTTGGATCAAGAACAACCCAATTCTGCCAGGTTGGCTTCAGACAGTCTTTACGCCGCAGATCACATAGAAATAGGACAATCGGACTCTAAAACAGTGTGCCAGCTCAGGCTCTCGCATCCTGTCGTTCAAATCAGTAAATTTCTACACGGCGAGGCAGCCATTTCTTGCATCTCCTCGCTGTGGCACTCGCTCTGCCTTGATGTCTGCATTCCCATTCTCTCAAAATTGCACTCTCCCAAGCGAGGCTGTGTCATCAGGGAAATCAGTTGCTGTCATACAGTGTCAACCCTTGGTGGACTATGCTTGGGAAAGTATAGCATATTCGCAGTCGAGAGATGTCCTTGTCACTTTGCACCTTGCTTGTATTCTCTGTGTTTAACTCTGAGACAGTGGTGACCAGTATATGGAAAGTGAAAGGATGGGCATAACAAAAATCGAGGGGCTCGAACAGTCAAGAATTGGCTTATTGGCCAGCTCGAAGGTGCCAGCTCCTTCCAGCTTGCTTTACCCACTGGTGACACTCTCTCAGCTGGATTTTAGTCTCTGCAGACACAAACACATCCAATTCTCCCGTGGGCAGGATCTAATCCAGGCTTCACCTGTACTGCAGCACGGCGTGCTGCTTGCTGCAGGAGGGGTGGTCTGTGGGCACGTCCGCCACGCGGCGTTCCCGTCCAAACAGGTAGCATGACTGCCGGTGAATATACAGCGGCTCCCCGAACGGCTCCCCTGCATAATTCTGACCCTTTAGAGTATTGACCCTCCTTGGTCCGCCCTTCAGCTTAGCTGAATCAGCTAGCCTTGAGGGAGCAACAATGCAGAGCTTCCGTGAGATGTCAATTAGAGTTTAGAGACCTGTTGGGAGCCACCTGAGGCTCATTGATCTTCGATGCAGTTCAATCATCTGCAACTGGTTCCCTATCAAATGCTGCTTTGCGTGCAGGGTGCCTCAAGCTCCAGCAGCACGCGCAGCACGCTTGAGACGACTGCAGACCAAAGCTGAGAGGCATGTGCACACGGAAACGCAGTCACGGCAGGCCACAAGCGCACGCACCGTTCTTGAAGGTGTACAGCCGCCAGCGTAGGCTGGGCTTGCGCGCTTCAGGGGGCTCGTTGTGCAGCATGACAACTCCCCGGACGGTGTTGCTCTCCTCCGCCAGTTTGCCGGACAGCCCAAAGTTCGGCTCCACCTCGACTGCCTCCTTCTGGGGCTCGTCTGGCGGCAGCGCCTGCTCCCGGCTCTGCTGGTTCCAGTCGCGGTCTGCAATGGCAATGTCCTCAGTCAGCCGCAACGTGCACTGGGCAGGGAGTGTTGGGACAGACTGTTCTGCTGAGCACTCTTCTTCAGGAAGCAAGAGGTGGTACGCGGCATGGAAGAGCTCGCATCACAGCGCAAGAGACAGCAGACATGTTCGTTTTGGTAGTTCATACATTCCAAAGTCCACTTGGCACCTGCCGGTTGACACCGTTTTAGACAGGCATAAGGACTGCATTGAACAGAATGCATCATGCAGCGCTGAGGACAGGGTCTCCGAAATCAAGTATTAAATTGAAGAGTTGTTGACAGGGTGAGAGGTGTCACCTTCGCGCCTCGGCGGCGGCTGCGGCGGCGGTCCCGGCAGCGACCGATCGGCGTCGCTCCCCTCCCATCGATTTTCGCGCCCCCGCGGCGGCTTCCCATCGGCTTCCTTCCCACCGTCCTGCGGCTTCTCGTCGGATTTGCTCGGAGGTGGCGGCTTCTCGTCAAAGCGGCTGCGGCCGTCACGCGGCCGCTCTGGCTCCCGTCCATGCCTGCAATAAGGACCAATGAACTGTTGCAAACACCTTCCAATTCACCCCTTTATGCAGCTCAGGTCAGTTGTTTGGTTCTCCTTTCTGTAGTAGGCCAGTCCTTGACAAAAGACAAGCTGACATTCCTGCTTGTTCTTGGGTTTGGCCCGCGCATCAACAGCGCTGCTATTCAAAGATTGCCCCGATAACAGACCTCATTGCAGTCTGCCCTTTTAGGCCCCATGAGCACTTGGCGCTAAACCAAAGTGCCTGCAATAAATGTTGGAGAGCATGCCCGCTGCATGGCAGAACACTAGGGGCCACAAGACTCGGCCCACACCTGCCGCGCTCAGCCTCGCCGTTCTGGCGATGCCTGGGTTCCTCCCCCCGTCTGGGCGGTGGGGAGCGGTCCCCCCGACGGCGGCGATCCGGCGAGTGGGGTTCCCTCCTTCTGCCCGGCGAGCCTGCCCTCCGCCGCGGTGGGCTGCCCTCTCGCTCCCGCCTGGCATGACAAGAGGACGAGTAACTTTCAGCAGGGCCATTTGAGCACCTAAAGCCATTTGAGACTCTCTTTCTTCTGCATGCACCTCCCTTGCTGGAGATAAAGCCAGGTATATCACTGCATGGTGTTGAAGAGATACAAATATTCCGAACTGCAGGCAATAAATGGCACGAAGGTCGGATGTCGGCTGGCTGACTAGCGCTGGGAATCTCAGTATGAGGAGGCTCACCGTGGCGGGCTGATTCTCCTGCGTTTCACAGGCTCAGGGCTTCTGCTTCTGCTGCGGTGTCTCCTGCTCGGCACAGCATCCTTCTGTGGCCTCTGCTTGGGACTGACTTGTTGCCTGCAGCCGCAATCACTGGGTTACAATCAGAAAAATGAGCCAGGTCCTCCACGCGGATCAGGTCCCAATCTTGGACACGTCCATTTTCTAACGTCAACAACGGGTTTCAAGAAAGGTGCATTGCCTTTGAGGGGGTGGTGATCTCTGGGGAGCTGGGCTTCTACTCTGGGATGACGACGAGGAAGATGATGAGCTCCCAGACGTACTTCCGCTATCGCTTGAAGAAGAGCTCGAGGATGACTCTCTGCAAGCACAATACAAATCAGCAGCGATATCAGTATCAAAGCAAGACACGAGGCACAGCATCGAGTGGATTACAAGTTGCCTGGCCAGCTAGCTCATGACAAACACACAAAACCTTGTTCCCTTGTTCCTAATGTCTTATGACTCACCCCTTCTTTGCCATTAAATTGTCGGTGTACTAACCCACCTCACCGTTTGACAGGTGTTTCTTAGCTCGTGCATCTTCCCAATGTGTGTTTCCCTCTCAGAGTTGCATCGCGATTTGTTTATGCCTCTTGCACAAGTAAATGCTCGGCTAAGCAGACGCTGCTTTCTTATTGCAAAGTTCTTTCATGGAGGATGGCCAATGCACCTTGCAGGACGTTGGCAGGGCATAAACATAATCTGGAGTGGCTTCATTTTAGCTGAACGCGCTGTGAAAAAAAGGATGGGTCCATGAAATCTGGTGTCACGTCCGCAATAGCTACTTTATTTCATCAAATAAACCGTTAAGTAAAGTAGCTGACATGGTGTCGGCGTAAAAGAGTTGGAGATCGGCAGGAAGCTGTTGGGCCACAGGGTAAAAGGCACTTTATTATACCATTTGTGAACTGGTGACCTGGGCGCATAAGCAGCACATTGAAGAACGGGGTATCATGTGAAAGCATCAGAGCTCGCGCGATCATGTGAAGCAGCCTGCGTGCGCTCAACTGTCGTGAAGAAGATGTCAAGGACACATAGCACTGGGGCAGCTGCCACTCACGCAGAAAACCAGTAACATGCAGAGAGTGAAAGTATACCGCCTCAACAACGACGGCCTTTGGGATGATAAGGGGACGGGGCACGTTTCAGTGGAGTACCTGGAGGTGGGCATTTAGAGCGCTCTGTGAAAAGCAGTTGGAAGTATGTTCATCGAGGGGCTGTGTGGAATATCATATGAAGCCCGTCATCAACCATAGCAGCTCCTGTTTTGTTTGATGGTCTGCAACATTTTGTTCTGTTATCGCTCAGAGGATCAGCAGCCAGGCTGACAGGGATGTTGGGCAGCGTTCCAGTTCTTGTCTTTTTGCTTTTATTTCTTTCTGCTTGTCTGTATCCTTAGTGTCGTATGCAGTCACAGCTTGCCAGCCATGCTCATAAAATGAAGAGCTTCGAAAGCATCTTGGATTACTCACTTTCACACCTGGCATTCTTCACCTGAGGGCCCCATCTTCGTGCCTGGTGTGCAGCAATCCGATTCCGTCGGACTTGTGGTCATATCGGAAGAGGACACGCACAGGACGCTCCTCATACACAGGATAGTGTGTGAAGACATCTACTTTCGACAGGGCGGTGAGAGCTCCTCTCGCTATGGCTGACAATCCTCATCTGGCAGAATGCTTGAGCAGCACCTGGATAAGCAACTTCAAGGCTAAGGCAGCATCTTTGCATGGCATGGCTTGCTGCAGCAGCTGTCTGGCTATGGCATCTGGAGCGTGAAGGCTTCAGTGACAATTTTTTGGATCTAGTGTCACTGTTCCAGCTGGGTTGACATGAGGGATCCAGTGCCAAGTAAGTATTCTCAAGGGAGACTGCGCACTGACTCACTGTTTGCTCTGATTGCAGAGGACACGATCATCACTTGGTCTGACCCAGAGATTGGAACTGACATTGCCCTCAGTTTCCAGGAGTCTGTGGGATGCAGCTTCATCTGGTGCGCTCTCAAAGCGCTCGGAGACTGCACCGAATTTGCATGTGCAAGTACATAAATATGCTACTGTGGTTCTTGGGTGCATGGAGGCTGAACAGCGCCTAAAATGTCTGCGCCTTCTGCTCTGCAGGGACCAAATACAGCAGGCTCAGCTGCAGATGCAACGGCAGCGGCACCAATGTGAATCTCTCTGATGCACTCAAAGAAGCTCCTCTCAAAAAATCTGTATAAGCAGCTGCTTGCATCGGGATTTAGCTCATGTATGAAGGATTCACTGCGGGTGTATGTGTGAACAGCAGCTGGCACTGCTGAGGCTGGATCAGCGGGTTCACTTTGCTGCCTGCATTTATTGGACTGGGAGATCTGTCGCAAGAAACAGGCAAAGCGTCTCAGCCATAATATGCTCCGTTCATATATTGATGCAAAATAGTAATTGTGTTCTTTTGGGTGCTGCAGCGGAGTTTGGCATGCCCGATGGCACTGGCAGACGAGGCATTGTGGATGAGTTTGAGCAGGCATCCGTGGCCGGAGAGGGTGCGGCTCTCTTTTGCCTCTGCACAAGTCATGAGCAGTACCTGTTGCAGGAACAAAGGCATCCCGAGGAATGCTTGCTTTTGTTTGATTGAAGTCACAATCTTGTCAGACCCGGCGGTCTTCCAGTAAGGTGCTCCGTGTGTGGTCATGTGTTGAGGGGCTCTGTGTGGCGTGTCTGCAGGGGACTTCCCGGAGGGGCCCAATGCCGGGCCTGTGGAGCTGCCGGCAGCTGAGATGGGCAGCCTGCCAGATCTGGCCAAGGTGCGTCTGATTGGGATTAGCAAATTGAGCAGCCATAGCCGATGTCGAAAGCTATCTTTTGACTGGGTAGATCGTGATGGGAAATCTCACACCTGCCAAGTCTTCACTTGCATGCAAGGTTCAGCAGAAGGTGTGGGAGACAGCAGAGGGTGTTGTGCTGAGAGCATTTGCTAAATTTAGCCAACCGCTTCAAGTCAATATTTCTGAATAATACGGAGCTCTCTTGCCATTGCAATATTGCAACGATCATGAAGAGGCGCGGCCAGACCGCCCTGGCAGGAGCTATGAGAGCACTTTTGCGAGGCTGACGGATCATGTCCGGTGCAGATCCTGTCAGAGCTGTCGCCCTTCCAGAGGGACCGCGCAGCCGCGCAGGTGTTGCGGCCGGGGTATATACGAAAACTGCTGGAGATCTTCAGGGTACACATCTTCCTGTCAAGCCCACATGCACTGGTTGTCTCAGAAACCAAAATCCAGCATCCTCCTTGCAACGCCTCCTCTTTGATGTATTGACAGAACCCCAAAAGCCCATCCATGCCTTGTGTACCTCTATACGTGCCGTGTCGAAGTGCTGTCCGTTTTGTACAATCAAAGCTTTCATACACAGGCTGGGTGTGAGCACACCCGTGTGATAGTCTGAGATTTTCTTGGACTGCACTGAATAAGAGCATGCCTTCCTTTTTGCAGCTCGAGACAGCCTTTTAGCAGATAGTATAACTAACGGTATAACAGCTCTTTAAATTTTTCGTGTTGTTGGGTGCAGCAATGTGAAGATTTGGAGGACGAGGAGTCGCTGCGGCACATGTACTTCATCGTGCGGGGGGCCATCATGCTTAACGACGCCGCCCTGCTGGAGGCGTTCCTGTCCGAGGAAAATGTCATGGATACGGTGCGGCCTGGAAACCATGTCCTTCTTATGCCCAGTAAATTCTTTGTAAGTGAGATTTGCATGTAATTTAGGCAATATATCCCTCATGGCTCCCCAAGCTGGTGTCAGGACCCAGGAGGGATGGCAGATTCATACACTGCCTCCCATTGGGTTCTGGCTTCACAGGGCTGCCATCATGTTGCATTAGGAGCTCTTGGCTGACAGCAAACATCACTTTCTCAGCCTCCTGACGCAATGCTTTGTCAGCTTCATTGAAGCCTGATGGGGGGTGGAACATACTTTGCACTTCCTGACCATCTTCTATGCTGCCCTCTTTTCTCGAGGCCACCAGCTGTGGCAGGCTCCGGCCGCCACCCGGTTTACCTTTTACTCGGTTGCATTTCTCACCGCCTATTTAGGCAATCAGCTGGCGGGGCCGGTACAAATACTGAGCACCGTGCCCACAGTTGATCCGGTCTTGCTTGATCTGGGGAGTCCAAAAGGGGTAGGATTGTGGCAGCGTTTTACGCAGCTCGTCATGCAGGACGCGCCTTGCCTCTTGGCAGGAAAAGCGTGTAATATCAATGTTAATTAAGGCAACCCACCTCTTTGATTTCAAATTTTTTCATACCTTGATTGCCTGATCAGGTGGGGGCGCTGGAGTATGATCCGGAGCTGCCGGAGCAGCAGAGGCACCGCGCCTTCCTGCGCGACAAAGTGGTGTTCAAGGAGGTCGTGCCAATCGCAGACCCGGGCCTGCGAGCCAAAATCCACCAGACCTACCGCCTCGCGTACCTCAAAGACGTGGTGCTGCCGCGGGTGCTGGACGATGCCACGTTCGCCACCTTCTCCTCGCTCATCCTCTTCAACAATGTCGAGGTGAGGGTCTTCTTCACTGTGCACATCGCATGTCTAACTCCCTGGATTGTTGCTACCTTGCGCGCATTGTTCATCTTCTCGCCTAGACTGGACTTGGCAACTCCCCAGAATAATGCGACGCCAGTGTCTGCATGTCAGTCTGCCAGAGTATGGCCAAATGAGCACTGCTTTACCACAGATGGCGTCCTTGACCGCACACAGCAGTCTGACATGCAGATCTACCTGATAGCTTTTGGGGGTCTTGTAAATTCTTCAGCATTGACGATGGCCAAAGACTCAGCGCAGTAGGGAACAGCGGCGCTGCAGATGTTGCTGCTCCATGTGTATCAGTGGTTGTGTTGCTCGTGGGTGCCGCATACTGAGGATGAGTCACTGCGTACAGGTGGTTATGGCGCTGCAGAACGACGCGCGTTTCCTGCCGGACCTGTTTGAGCGGCTCAAGGCGACGGGGCCGGGGGACGAGGGGTGGCAGGATCAGGTGGCGTTCCTGCAAGAGCTGACTGGACTGGCCAAGCACCTGCAACAGGGCCACCGCCAGCAGCTGCTTTCCAAGCTCGCCAGCATGGGGCTCTTCGAGGCACGCCCCCTGTTAAATTCCCCTGTCCTCTGCAATCCTCTGGCCTTTCGAAGCAGCGCAAGCCAGACAAAGATGTGACATGCTGAAGGGCTACCCACGAAGACTATGCTTTCCAGACGTCTAATTTGGGCACCGTATTACAGCAAGCATAGCAGGTATGTGCAAGGGGCAAGGCAAGCATGGCTTGGGCAATGGGGCCCCGTAGTCAATTGACTACAAAGAGAGAGGACGTGACCAGCAAAACGATGATCTGCACAGGAGCAGGACACCGTTCTATTGCCTTATCTGTACTCATCTGTTCTGCTGTTTTGGGGGTCACAGGGGCTTCCCTTTGTGACACCAGCTAGTCTGCAGCTGCTTGTTTCGTTAAGCTCTGCTTTTATCCATTTCGCGCGCCACGTCTCTCGTGAAATGTTTCTTCTTACTCTTGCAGGCAATGTCCAGGGCTAACGCTTGCTCGCCCCGCTGGGCAAGTGATCTTCTGTGCGACTGTCTGTGATAAGCAAGCATGCCTCTGAAATTTGTGTCATGCGTATGCTCAGGTGATGATGAGGGTGCTGAAAGACGGCTCAGATGAGTTGAGACAGCGCGCCACAGATGTGCTACTCAGCGCGGTGCAGCACGATGCGACCCCCTTTAGGGACTTCTTCACAAAGCAGCCTGAAACAGACCAGTTCCAGCTGCTTCTAAGGTGACTGACTCCCCGGCCTCGCAACACTCATGCTGTTAATCAGACATTGGAAGCGGCAGCGCATTTGATGTCTTTCATATAGTATCAGAATGCTCACAAAGTGCCTGCATGCCTGATTAACAAATAGCACTGTCCAAGGCTCTGCAGTGCTCTTTGCTTGTTGCATTTGAGCCTGCACACTTGTCATTTTGTGGTGACAGGTTGTGTCTGTTGGATTTTGCAGGCCCTTGTTAAGTGGCGGTGACGTGGGCCTCCAAGAGAGCGTGCTGGAGATCTTGAGAGCGCTGCTGGACCCCTCCACCATGACTCTCAAGGTGGGCTGCAGCAATTGTTGGGGGACCGTGCTTCTTCTCAAGATTAATCCAAGCCAGGCAAAAGCACAATTCATAGTGTCAGATTCTGCTTGGGGGCTTGAACATTGGCCTGACGGAGTTGCATGTCAATTGCACACCTGAGCATGTGTGCGCACGGCAGAAGGTTCCTTCATGCCAAGAGTTAAAGCCCACATGTAGTACCAGAATGACTCTGCCGCCTGAGGCGCTCGCATCCTATTGCTGATCATGCAGTCAAATAGCTTTCTATGCCCAACATCAACTCAATCTGAGGCCACTTCTATCTTTTTCGAGAAGCAGGCTGAGGAGCTCGGCGTTCTTCAAGCAAGGTGATGAAAGCCTCGTGTTGCGCGTGCAGGCAGAGAGCAACCACTTCCTGGAGCTGTTCTACGACAAGTACATAGCCCAGCTCATAGCCGTGCTGTCGGACGCGTGCGAGCCGGGCCGGCAGCAGTCGGACGCGCCCGGCGCCGCCCCCTCGGCCCTCGCGCTCATCGTGGACCTGCTCTGCTTCTGCGTACAACAGCACTCCTACCGCATAAAGTGCGCCCGCAGTCTACCGCTGTCCTCAAGTCTAATCATCAGTGATCTGAATTCTAGCAAAATTGCTGCACTGGAGTTGCTGAGAAAACACTGTCATTGAGAGCCTTGAATCAATCAGTGTGCTTCTTTGCCACCCATTTCCTTTGCTCTAAGGCGCCAAGCGCTGCCGGTTGCGAATTGCTGCAAGCTAGTTTGTGTCACCAAAAACATGCAATAATACTGAAATATGACCAGTACACATGCGTGTGGAGGCAATGCGAACAGCTTGTGGCAAATTGTGCTGATGTGGGTGCATATAGATGAGATAAGGCTAGCGTGATTTTCTGCCTACTCCTCATTGTCTGCAGATGCAGTGTCTGCTGTTTGCAGCATTGCCTAGGCAGCGCTGTTTGCTTGGATCCATTATGAAAGTCCACACTCACATTTTTGCAGGTACTATGTGCTGCGCAACAACGTTGTGGAGAAGGTCCTCAAGTTACTAAACCGGCGTGAGAAGTGGCTGGTGGTGGCGGCCGTGCGGTTCCTGCGAACCTGCATCGGCCTCAAAGACGACTTCTACAACCGCTACCTGGTGCGCTGCTTGTTTTCATCGCAAAGCCTCCGGAATTGGCAGAAAGATCTGTGGGGAAGCTTTCAGCAGCAGTGGGCACTCTGGGGCCTGGAAGTCACACTGGCCTGTGCAGTGGGACACCAGCTGCAATTGGCCCCCAGGGGCACTCATTCAAGCCCCTATAGAAGTTGCACTTGGCCCCCAGGGGCACTCATTCAAGCCCCTATAGAAGTTGGTAAGAAGTGTCCTGCAAAGGCATGCCGGTTTCCAATGCAGATGTGCTCTGTAGACGAGCCCTGCAAAGTGGTCGGGAGGAGAGTAGACCTATTGTTTTACAGTTCCAATGGTGCTGCGTTTCTGGTGTATCTTACCATCCCGCATTTTAGTAGTATCTAACGGCAGGTGCGCGCATGTGCCGCGCAGGTGCGCAACAACCTGTTCGAGCCGGTTTTGGCCACGTTTTTGGCGAATGGCGAGCGCTACAATCTGCTCAACAGCGCGGTGCTGGAGATGGTGGAGTACGTGCGCAAAGAGAACATCAAGCCGCTGATCAGTCACCTGGTGGAGCAGTTTGGGGGGCGCCTGGCCGGCTGCGACTACGTGGACACCTTCCGCAACCTCAAGCTCAAATACGAGCAGAACCAGGTGCGCGCGCATGCATGCATGCAAGGACAGGGGTTACTAATACCCCATTTGTATTTCTTCACACATCCGGGGCAGGGTCTGCAGTGGGGTCCATCCCGAAATGTATGTGAAGCCCAAAAACGAGCAGAATCAGGTGTGCGCATCGGACAGGGGTTTTGAAAACCTCTTTTTAGAGATGTTGGCTGGGGTTGATTAGGTAGATGGCTTACACGTGGCAGGGAGTGGAGTCAAGTCCTTCCCAAGTTGTATGTCAAGCTCTAAAACAACCATTGCCAGGTGTGCGCATGCATGCAAAGACTGTTGGGTTTTCCATGTCACAACATGGGTCTCAGGTCCATAGGTGTGAGTACATATGATGGTGTTGGTCCTTTTAAGGGCTGTTGGCATCCCTCATATTCAGCTCTGCAGCTAGTTTTTGGGGGTACCGTGTGCGGTAGTCGTGGCATTCGTGCCGACAGGACTGATGGTGGCCAGAGCATGAGATTGTTTCTTGAAATTAGTGTCGATGAATGACACCAGTCTCATCCTCCCTTTGTTGGGTCCTGTCAGCAGGGAAGCACGTGGAAGACATTGCAAGGCTCCTTAAATTAAGGCATGGCTTGATGTGTCCACCCCTTTTAGCAAGCACTGCATCAGGGGCTCTCGCAAAAGGGCTCTTGTCCAGTGGTACCCTGTCGTACAACAGCTTTCAGGTTCGCTTGGATTGTCCAGAAGAATTGATTTGTCTGCGCCCTTTCTGAGAGATGTCACGCCTGCAGGAGTGGGGGGCGGCTGGCGAGCACGATGCGCTGCCGACGCCATCAACGGTGGCCGCGCAGCACGCTTTGGCTGAGTCGCGCCAGCGAAGAGACGAGCGCTCACTTGACAAGGGTGCGCCCTTTAATCTAGATCCTTCCAGCTCTCTGATTATCCCTTCAGGCACGTGGGCAAACGGGGTTGAAGTCACCTATAGGTTGCATGATCTGCTGTGGGCTCTGCTATCGAGCAGGCATATGCATGGCTTGCATGTATCATCATCCTGCTTGTATCGTCCTTCTGCTGCTGTGTTGTAAGGGAAAAACAGAGGCTGCCTGAGCATGCAGTCTTGGTGGGATTCACAGCACTGCGAATTTTTCCTATTGCTTATGAGCTGGCAGCGAGAGCAGTGAGGACCTCTCACATTTCCATATTTCTGCAAGACCAGTAGGCTTTATGATTGCAGGCACCAGCGTCACGTTATGCCTTGATTGTAGACTGTAGACCATGGCCTGATCCTCTTGGGCTGCTGCAGACGAGGAGGACTACTTCAGCAAGGAGGACGATGACGAGGATGATGGCAGCGGCGGCGCGGCGGCTGGCGTGAGCGGCCGGGTCGCTAATGGCGTCGCGCATCCCATGGGGTCCGTTACGGGCACCTTCTCGCTTCGCTCCCTGGTTGACTACGACGATGACGAGGACGAGGACACTGCCGACGGCGACAAAGGTGCGCGCCTGTTCACTCCCTTGGATGAGAATTTTGGAAGGTTTGTGTTATGCTGTTGTGTACTGGAAGCACATACCAGAAGCATCCTCCTATAAGCCGTCTGTTCCTTTTGTATCCCCTATTTTGTGTTTTAAGGAATTCATTGCCGGTATAGCCAGGGCGATGTGGCTTGGATAGTCAGTATGTCTGCACAAGATTTTTGCTGTGGTGTTTGCCACAAAAAGGCTGCAAAAAGCAGGTTTTGAATGTACATTGCCATGTGCCCCTGCGCTCGAACATTACCCACAGCAAGAGTGCAAGCGCTGAAGCACGATGTGTCGCTCAGCAGGCATGCAGAAGCGGGGGCCCAAGCCGGCGCGACAGCCCGGCTCGCCACTCAAGCGGCCGCGGCTGTCCATAACCCAGAGCGAGGCCGTTCGGCTCTGGCGCTGTTCGCCCAGATGACGGCTGTGCCTAATTGGCGCTGCCGCCCTGGCCTACAACGGCAATCCCCCCCTCGCCAGATCCGCCAAATTTGGCACCCTCTGCGGCTGTTGCAATGGCGCGCAGTCCCCCGGCAAGGCAGCCGGCCTGCCAAAGATGCAGCCAGGGCAATGCTCTAAGCGAGTGCTGCAGGCAGTTCACATGCAGCAATCTCTGCGCGAGGCTTGTGCGCTGCGCTGTGCACTGCCGGATGTATAGATACTTGCTGCAGCTGCTTGCATTTGCAAGTCAGTCAGGCTGCTGAACAGATTGTGTCAGCTCGCTAAGGCAAGAGAGATTTTAGGGGGGTAGGTTGATGCCAGCTGGATGCGCAAAACACCTTGTTTACATGAGTGGCTCTCTCTGCAGAAATGATGAATGTCTGTACATGTCTGTCATCAGAACGGAGTTTGTATGCTTTCTGGCCAAACGATTGTTGCCAGCAGATCTTTCTCATGTCAATACCTCAAATTTGACAGAGTGCAATAAATCAGACTGTTTTTGCACAACCAACGGTGGGGCCTCAGAGGGTTGTGATACGTGACTTTAGGGAAAGGGCGTCCGGAAGATTAGATGGGATTTCTGCCCAGTCAAAGTCATCACAGATCCTGGAGTGATGAGCACCTGACATCAAGAGCGTCTTGTGCGCGCTGGAATGTGTTGTGTACACTGCTGGTGCCTGCTTCTCATGCCTCATGGCAACGTGCAGCAATCAGAGCGAGCATTCAGCCTGTTGCTGCGCGATTGAATTTTGCACCAGCAGCATTAGGGGTGAAGATGTCGAGCAGAAGTTGCATGCAGACCCAACAGCCTGACAACAATGGACCGGGGGTTCCCATGACCAGGATGCATTTTGGTGAGGTTGTTCAAATGTGTAAATTAGCCGACATCCTTGAAACAGGCTGCTTACAAGATCACGCTGGTTTTTCTGAGTATAGCCTGTGAAGAGTCTATCAACCATCTGTTCCACTGTGATCGTGTGAAAGTAGTAAAGACTCGAACACAGAGCACTTATTTTGATCATAAGATGTTGCATACGCCATGTAAACCATCACAGCACGGAATTAAACTGCTCCCTAGTCAAGAGTTTGGCTTGACAGGTTTTGCAAGCTGCTCTCTCAAAGATTTGCTGAATTTGTCGCTAAGGCTGTCATCGTCCCAGTCCCGTTCCCATAGCCCGGCATTCTTGGGATCCTCCTGCTGCTCTGTCCAATCTGTCCACAGTCCACAGAAAATCAGCGATGTGCACGTTGAGGACACTGATGGTGAACTAGAGAAGACCAGATAAACAGCTTCGCTGCTGACCCTCATAGTCAAATTCTTCGAATTCATCGTCCTCCACTGCAAGCTTGCTCTGTTTCGGTGGCTGTGCCATATGGCTGCACTGTATAATTGATTTCAAGGCCAGATGAACTTGTAACAGATGGTAAGGAAAGTCCCGAAGGTTTGTGCTGGTCGATCCCAGCACAATTTCGTCTTTGCTGATTGACGAGCTTGCAGTGGTCAAGGTTATGAATTTGATAGTAGATGTTTGATAGGATCATCTCTCCAGCGAGACACCTGCTGGGAACTGCGCAGCTGACGTCACCCAACTACCCAAGGATGAAGGCCAGTTGAGCATGGAAGAAGCCAGATATTTCGATGTAACAGGCAATGGACATTGATAATTCTGACAGTCCCACACGTATTCAGTCTTTCGATTGTGGTAGCATGGTGATCGACAACGATTGGGCCAATGCCATGCCTTGGTCGGCCACTCTAGCACAGCCAATGGCCGCCTATCATTACTGTGCAGTACTATAAGCATAGATACTAGACATGTCAGCAAGCATGAGGCTAGCTCATACATGTTTGAGGATAAAGGTGTCTCTCCTACCATGCCTGCGTCAGTGGAGGTGCATGTCAACTGCTATGGGGGCCTCCCCTGCTAATGCGGCTCCCACTGCTTCCCTGCAGAGAAGACAGAAAATTTCAGGTCTCCCTGTTGTTTACCATGAGGTAGGAACCTAATGTGCTATTTCATCTTCATGCAGCACTCGTTGCACACTGGTCTCATGCTCAAACAAGCTCCAGCGCCCCACTTCAGTATGACAAGTTGTGCATGCATGCGACTAACGCCAAAAAGGGCGTGAGGTTCCACAGAATGATATAAAAATGCCATGTGCAGGCGTACAGTGCTCCTCAGCTGCCACCTGGCCACCGATTCCCCATGGTGCGCATCTGCTCTGTACCATTTTATGCGGCAGATCACCTTGTGACAATTTTCGCGGTTCTCATGTGCATGTGCATGCAGGGGGTGTTCAGAAGGATCTATGAAACATTACTGGATGATGGGATCATCACAGAAGAGCAGGCATGCCACAACTATCTGGCACCTTTGCAGCAAACATCTGTGTTTTTGTCGACCAACCTTGCACTGTACCTCACCTGACATCCATAAGGAAGCCGGGTCTGCCAACCGCAGGTGCATGTTCCAGACGAGCTTCCCACCCATGAGACGCTGCAATTGGTGAGCCCTGCTGCAACGTGCCCAAACACAGTGCCAGCTTGCACCTATCAGTTCCCATGCATACTCCTGCACTGTGATTTTTGCAGTCCTACGTTATCATTGTATCTAGCAGGAAGCTGAGCAACTAGAGTGGTGCGGACTTAGGGACTTGCTAGGAGAATTCCTGGTCTTCAATCTACATCCATCTGTGAGTTTGCTGTCGATTTGGGCTCCCCAGCCCCTGTATTTGCAGCTTGAATGCTATTTGGGCAGGCCATAACATGATTGGACCAACATTGCCAGGTGCTCCTCTAGATTTGGCAGCCTCATACACTCATGCACGCTGACAGTATCATGTAATGCAAGGCTTTGACAGCGGCAAATGGAGGGCTGACGGCGGTGGCAGGTGCACACTGCAGAATTTGTGGACAGCTTCACTGGAGGAACGTTGGACGAGGCTCGCATGAAGCGGATCGGCTTTGGGGATGTCACGCGGAGCCCTGTGCTCATAGAGAGGACTCTCGCCGAAGTTGCAGGTGCATTTGTGACACAACCCACGCACTGCCTCCCTTGCTCCCTGACTTGCTGTCAATGCGCTCGTCTACACCTTTCTCAGCGTGCCAGATCTGCTTCTATCTCCTGCAATCCACACAGCACCTGCAAGGCACGTGCCAGCCTGTCCCCAACTCCACAATTCCCCACAAACCCCTTGAAGCAGTGAAATCACTAGTACCTCCCCGATCTCCGCCCGCGCCACGCTCGTGCACATGTACCGGGCAGCACACAGAGATAAGAGGACAGGCTGATGCAGCCTCAGTGTCTCAGGTTCTTGCAAGAATCGCATCTGGTTCATGCAGGAATCAAAGGCATTGACGCTGCAGCTGCCCATCCAACTTGTTTCTGCTGTGCGTCTCCCTGTCTGAATCTTGACATGTTTTCTTGTATACAACAATGTGCCAGCTGTTAGTTGTGACCCATGACCCCAGCCGAACAGTGGCGTTTGATAGTTTTGGCATCTTTGAGGGCACGTGTGGCAGTATCATTAGATGTGCGGGATTTTGCAGACGTCGTCGCCAATTACAAATGTTTCGAATTTGAAATTGAATCTCCCGCGCCTGTTCAGGCACGCTGCTGACGGCGCGGCTGGCGCTGCGCCACGGCCTGGCATGCAACACAGCGGGGGGCACGCACCACGCGTTCCCTGACAGCGGCTCGGGCTTCTGCATACTCAACGACCTGGCCGTCACGGCTGCCGTTTTATTGGAGGAAGCTCGCGTCGAGCGCGTGCTCATTCTGGACCTGGACGTGCACCAGGTGAGTAGGGTCCTGTTCCTGACCGGGTTGCTGCAGAGGAGTTCAAACGGTATAACATGCCGGTCATGCGCTTTGAGAATTGTGTTCTGAGTGAAAGAGGACAGGAGTGTCCAAGGTATTGCATGCACGCATGGTTGCAAAAATGCTATCCTGAGGGGTTCAAAAACCACTTTCAGCTGTCTGCTTCCAGTACACAACGTTGTTTCCGAGCTTTGAAACTCTAGGAAGCCTCAAAATGGGAGCTGACCCGTCTGACTTGGGCTCTTGATGAATTTTCTGCCACTGCAAATGCAGGGAGACGGGACGGCACTCATGTTTCAGGATGAGCCACGCGTGTTTACAATGAGCGTGCATGGCGAAAGCAATTTTCCGGCGCGCAAGCAGCGCAGCGACCTGGACGTGCCCCTGCCAGATGGCACTGCTGATGACGAGTACCTCAGGTTAGTCACCGCTGACTCATCCATGACGCCACTTCTACACTGTCGGCAGCATGTGACGCTCTGCATACTACAGTTTGCAAGGTGCTTTTCAAGGGAATGTGGAATATTCTAGGAACACTCTCGAAGCACAATAGCACGGCTGTGCATTCTCTCTGGATTGATTAGCGCAGAAGCAGGTGCCGATATCACGGAGCAGATGCTGCTGTGAAGCTGCTGTGACAGGCATGTGCTGGAACAGAGCATGAGCAGTTGCTTTCAATCAAATCAGCTTTGGGTGGAAGAGCCGGATGCACCTGGCCTTTTCCTGGGTATATGCAGAGGCTCCCAGATCCTTCATGCTTGAACACAAGGGAGTGAGAGGTGTGCCCAATGCTGTGTGCAGGGTGTTGGGGGAGATGCTGCCGCCAGTGCTGAGCTGCTTCCAGCCAGATCTGGTGCTGTACGACGCTGGAGTGGACCCCCACAAGGATGACTCACTCGGCAAACTGGCGCTGACAGACCAGGGGCTGCTGCGCCGCGAGCTGCAGGTGTATTTTGCTCTTCATGATGAAATTACACGTGCCAATCTGCCTGGTGATGCTTTGACGTGCGTAATGGCTTTGCTGCCTTGCCGTGCACCTCTGAAGCCTGTTCCTAGCTACTCACAGCCATGATCGCTGACTTCAGAAGCAGCTACAGCAAGACAGTCTGTATCGATGCGTGCAGCTGTGCTGGCAAAGGGCTCGCCAGCACATTTGCTGTGCTTTGATATCTGGGGATGCATCGCGCAAGAAACAGATTGCTTGTGATGTGGCAGGTGCTGGATACCTGCCTAGCAGCGGACATTCCTGTGGCCGGCTATGTGGGCGGCGGATACAGCCCAGACTTGAATGTCCTTGCGAGGCGGCACACCTTGCTCCACCGAGCGGCATCTGAAATGTGGGATTCTTATGAGCTTGGCAGCAGGGAGTCCATGCCTGAGTAGCATAGCGGGCAGCGCAGAGCAACGGCCGCAGTCGCCGATAGGGATGTAGAATTGAGTCTGGAGGTGGACATCTCCAGGTAAACCTTGGAATAATAAGCGAGCTCAAAACGGTGAAGGCTCTTGACTGGCTTGCAGAAAAGGGGGCGAAGGGAAACCAAACGAAGTGTCAAGAGTTCACAAGGGGCTGATTGATAGGGTGGTGTGCGTGTGTGATAGCAGACGTGACCAGGGGGTCGATTAGGAGAATGGAGATGAAGACTGAAGATGCATGGTCCTGCCCTTATAGCTTCCGGCTTCCGTGCAGCTGGAAGCTGCAAATGCAGCATCAATAGCACACTGTTCGACAGCTGTGGCTGAAATAGTGATGCAAAATTAAGCTCGTAGATATTCATCAAGCAGACATTCCCGCTGTCATACCTGCAACGCCTTTGTGCCGCTCCAACAACCACTTAGGTGACATCCGAACAAGCAAGCCCAAGTTTCGTAGAGCCTGTATTGCTTTGTAAATCCTGCAAAATCTCCTCTCTCTCTTGAATAGGGCTACTGAGCATGTTTATATGCGTCTCACATGCCCAGCCTGATATGCGAAGCCTGCCTAGGGCAGTGAGAGGCTAGCTAGCCGCTGGACGACTCTTGGCAGAGGGCAATTGCATCTGTCATTCATGTCCACTTTAATTGATTCGTCGTAACGCAACTACTAAAGGAGGCAGGGAGCGTTTTCTGGCCCCAACGTCCGTGAGTAAGCCGAACTGTGCGTGGGACGTGAGTCAGCAAGACGCAGGCATATGAGGCAAAATCTAGAGCAGCACTTGAGTGTGATTTTGCCTCAGACCAGATTTTGCTGCGTATCGCAGAAATCTTTCACTGACATCAGTTGTGCATCTGCAGGACAAGCCGAGATGACTGCATCCAGGTCCCATGCGCTGTTCGCCATGTGGGCTGTGGTGATGCTGGCTGCCACCATGCAGGCTTCAGGCATCCGCAACCTGCTGCAGCCGCCGCAGTATAAGCGCCTTGCAACCCAGTTGCCAGACCTCATCTCACAATCACTGCCCCATCAGATAAGGCAGAGGGGCTGTCAAGACGTTGCAGAGTGTCTTTTGTAATTTATGCTGCTGGAAGCAAAATGTTCGTTCGCCTAAAGTGTGTACAATTGTATCTTGGACTTGTTGAGAATGAGCCGATTGATCCAATCACAAAGCCAGCAGCAGCATCTCAAGTTGCAGCACTGAGCAGATGCGTCTCTTGCAAGGGGTGCTTCAATTAGCAAGTTGACACCTGACGCGTCTCGTTGAGGGACAGAAATGCAAAAAGCATGAGAACAATGATTTCATGCTCTTCTGTATGCATGCAGATAATTGCTCGACGCAATACGAATTAGAGTTAGCATCCCACTGCCCCCACGATGGCCAGACCTACCAGGTCCGTTGCAAAGTGTTGCTATAACATCACTTACTTGACACACCCTTATGTCTAATGCAAACAGATGTGTCCTTTGCGAAGTACAGCCCCCATTTCAGCTCTGATTAGATGCTTGCACCCAGGGCATGGAAATCTACTAGTGTACACTCAGGGGGCTCCTTGCTCTGTGTGTGTAATTGAGCTGTCCAGTGCTATGCGATGTCATTACTCGGCGAGCATAGCATTGCATGCTCCCTGCACTTCCTGCGTCTGCAGGGCGTGGACAATCTGATCCCTGCTGTACTTGCTCGTGCAAACTTTGATGTTGTCTCAGGTGTGCGAGGCTGGGTCCGCAATGGGAGGATGCAAGCTTGTCTCTGGTGGCCCCTGGCCCTTTCCTGGCGTCTGCAGGGCCAGTTGTCTTTTCCACTCCACATAGGTGCTGGTGCGTGTCAATCATTCACAAGTTATCGGCTCTCCCATGCTTGAAGCGGTCAAGTGCCAGCGCTGTCCACAGAGGGCATTGCTGAGCCAAAGTATTGAAGCACATTACCTAGCTGCGCCGTGAAGCAAATAGCATGTATGGTTTACACATCTGTGAATGTGATTGCTGATATGCAGATCGTGAATTTGTCAGATAAAAATGTGAGTGCCCTGCTCCATGATTAGTACCATGAGGTGCCGACGATGTTACGGCAAGAAGCAACGCTCTAGAACCGGGGCATCTGAAGTAGTGTGAACCTTCTTTCATATAATATGTAAATAGCTGCAATGTTTATCGAGCCATTGCCCATGTGCGTACCATCTCTAGTTGCCCTGAGGCATCCCTGTGTCTGCAACTCCTTGAAATGAACCTGCCCCACCTAGAGGTAGAACTGGTGTGTGAAGTGCGGTGATTACATATGCATCAGTGCTGTAAGAATATTGAATATAAATACCTGGCCAGAGCACAACCAGATGGTCTGGTCTCTCAAAAGACGGTCAAAGGGCACACTCGCTTGCCCCAATAGCTTGTATAGAGTTGCTCCAGTGGTTTCTTCTAGCGACAGCGCTCTGGTCCTTCTTTGACTGCCCTATTGTCTTGAAAGCAACTTCTGTCAAAGGATTTGCTGCCACAATGCCAAGCGGCTTGCAACAGCTGGCAGGACTGATCTGCTGGACAGGATGACCAGAGGCACAACTTCTGCTTTGCATTCTTCCAGAATGCTGACCACAGCAATGTTATAAATGCGTGCCTCTGGGGTGTCTTGGATGGCTTTTGAGGCTCCTCAGCATCGGCATCGGCCTCAGCCTCAGCCTGCTGGGCCTTGCGCTTGGCTGCCTTGAGGTCGGCCACCCGCACTGCGCCGAACCAATTGCCTGCGCAGACAGCTGCGCAGCAACTGCCTCAATCAGCATGAAGCATCATCCATAGCTTGGTGTAGCCTGCATGGCAATCCCATCTGTAGTGCCCTGCGTGTGTGCTTCCCATACAGACATGGCTCGCATCTGCAGGCATACTGACATCCCTGGCATGCCAGTAACAGACTTCCCTGACGCACGCTTCATCAATTCAGCAAGCACCAGCCTTGCAAGCTGGCTATCAATTGACTAACAGCTGCAGCTGTTGCCAATGAAGCTTGCACCGCCGTGACCCTCTTCTGCTGCAGATCCTCCAATCCTGCCAGCCACTGATGCTTCCACCAGTACTACCACACCAGTATAATGGGCATTTTTGGGGTCCTGTTCAGCGCCGTTTCGAACCTACATGCATTATTCCACCAGTGGCATTATCTGGGCGCCGGAGCAATTCCGGTGGCAGCGGCAGCCGAGCGCGCCATGAGATCGTGGTATGCCCCCGCCCGCTGCTTCCTGTAGGAGCTGTACGGGTCCTCCCCCCCGCCGCCACCGCCACCGCCACCACCGCCGTTGCCACCGCCGCCACCGAGGCTCCCTCGCTGGGGGGACCCCCCGCCACCGCTCCCACCGCCGCTGCCGTAGCCGAGGCCGGCTGCGCGCGGCTCGTCCCGGCCGATCCTTCCGCCTGCAACAGTATAGTATTTACACGATTTGAACCATATGGGGACAGCTTATCAAGGCCATCTGCAGGTCATTCAGTGTCCCCTGTGCTGCCTCAGCAAGGTGACACGCGCAAGGATAGCAAGCTGAGACCCGTTTCAGTCAACCTTAGAACGGAGATACTTGTAAAGTGAGCAGAGAGAATGACTGTTTGCTGCACGTCTTACAGATCCCCCCAATGCAGGGATTCCCCATACAATTTTAGCGGCAATCCGGAAGCAGGTCCAGGGGCATCTCATGCACTCTGGAAACTCCAGAGACTTTGTGCGCTCCTATTCGACCATATTGGTCTGGGGCAAAGATCAGCAAAGATCAGCACCAACAAGAACAGCACCAGGGTAACCCAAACTTCAGATGAGTTTTTTACAAGAAAAACCAGGGCTTGCCTGATCTGGCGAAGCTGCCGTCGTTGAATTCTGGCCCGCTCTTGCGCTGCGATGCGGCAGACGTCTCTGGCTCGAGGCCGTCCCTGATGCGCTGCCGGCGTCGCTCCTCCTCCAGCTGCGCTCTCGTCACCCCCGGCCGATAATCCTGGGGACATGAAGCAGATTAATCAATGAAACCTGCATCACCCCCCGCCAATAATTCTGGGGAGATAAGGCAGGGCACTCAGCAAGGGTTACCGCCCACTGCGCATTCGCTTGTGCTAGCGAGGGATGGCACACTTGCTTGACATCTGCACAGAAATTCTCTTAATGCAGCAATTCATCAGAAAGAGTGATGAACAATTATTGACTGAAGAAGGATGTATCTTGTCAGAGAACATGCCATTGACTGAGGTGATATAATGAAATTTGACAAATCCACGTGCAGAGAATGAGAGGCTACGGAAGGGAATGTCACCTTGAGCTCTGCGTTGAATTTGTCGATGCGCGATGTCAGGTACGCGTCAGGTTCCTGCGCTGGTGGCAGGCCGGCTTGTTCTATGTCCAGGGGGCTGAGGGGGGAATATGGGGGGTCTGTCAGGTTTTTCTCGCGCACAAGGGTTGGAATGAGGCCCGGTGGAAATGACATGGGGTCGTAGGGCTCTTTCTGGGGAGGCACTGCACATCAGAGGGCACAATATCAGTGATGGTTAAAGATCAAGTTTTCATGATAAATCATGGACGCTTTATTTGATTAGCTCAAGATCTCAATACAAAAGCTGGTTGGACCACCACACTATGATGATGATGACCAGCCACCAGGCATGCAGAGCCTGCAGCCTGAAGAATGCCAACAGTGTTTCATTTTTGGAATTTCTAGCCTGTGGCACCATTACAAGGATTGGGCTTGCCTGCTGGAACGGGGGTGGGTGGCACGTTAGGAGGTGGGTACATGAACGCCGCCGGGGGGAGGCCCGCCACCGGTGGGAAGGCCGGACCCCCCGGTGGGGGGAACGCTGCTCCGGGGAACGGCTGCGGAGGCGGCTGCTGCCACCCTGGCGCTCCTGGGACAAGACAGACAACATTGAATATTTCTGAGACTGGCATGTCAATTTCTGTTACATTTTTCCCTCTATCGATGCTTGCAGAGATTGCTACTTTGCATTCATGTTGCCTACCATTTCCCATGCCTTTCCCCAAGGACATGTGAGGCTCAAGACATGCGAGGCTGAGTGAAGGTCAGCTCTGAGGCATGGCGTGCGAAATAGATGACTTGTGACTGACCTGATGCGTTGCCCCATCTGGACGGCCGCTGGTGGGCGTCCGGCGGAGGGAACCCCGGATATGCTGGCGGCGGCATCTGCTGCTGCAGCATGTCCCATGACCCCTGAAGAACGTTTCAATTTTCTTTGAAGATTACCATACACTTATATACGTACATACAGTTCGGTAGATGACAGCCGCCAGGCCCTTTGATGTAAATATTGTGGCTTGTTGGTAGTGTTGAGGCAGCTAGACTGAGACTACAGCATTGCTCACCAGAAGCTTCACTATTGCACCTGAAGATCAAGTAAGGGCACTCCTCTAAACAGAGCAGATCAAGATGGCGTCGTACCGGGGGAGCGCCGCCGTAGGGTGCCCCCGAGAAGGGCGGCTGCTGGGTAGCTTCCGGGAAGGCGGGGGGTCCGCCGCTCGGATGGGCCATCCACGGCTGGCTCTGCTGTGGGTAGGGCTGCTGGAATCCCTGCACCGCAGACCAGCTCAAACCAACTGCCTCAGCTGTCTTGCCTGTACCAGCTGCGCGCTGCACACACCTTATGATGAACACCCGGAACATCCTCACGATGGCAATGGCGCAGCTCCAGCGGCAGGGTCTCAAGCTACAATGCATGCCGACAAGTGTGAGACAAAAAGGAGTAGGAAGCTGCGCGCACCTGCATCGGCGGAGCGGCTGACGGGCCGGAGAGCGTCTTTCTGAGCTCGGCCACGGTTGCCATGCTGTACACCTGGCGCTCGCCCCAGTAGTCCACGATGGATGACAGGCGCTGAATCACCTGCCACAGCACCGCCATGTCACACAGGGTGAATACTCTCTGTCTTTACCCGTAGAGCCGCATAAGTAGAGCGCTCCGCAAGCATCATTACTACCGAGACCAAAACCATACGTCGAACTTCGCTGGGAAGACACGCCACAAGCCACAGGCCTTGGCTTCAAGCGTAAGAAGGGTGAATCACCTCGGGAGCATATCCACCCTTGCTGGCGGCGGCTGACAGCATGAGCGGCAGCACAGGCCTGAAAGCCTGCACGATGGGATCTGCGCTCTCTGGCTTTCCCTCCCCACGCTGGGCCTGCCTGCATGTACAGTCACAAACTCTTCAGGAGCCAGAGTAATGACCATTCCTCCACAACACTTGCCAACCAGGCAGATGACAACCCTTGGATGAGAAGACTACAGGGATTGCAGAACCTTTCCGCTTTGCAGAAGTGCAGACTTCTTAAGAATCTGTGTTTTGAGCATTTGAAGTGCTAGGGAGGTTCATGCGCACCCTTTCAGCAGGACATCATTGGCGAGGTACAGGATATGCAGCTGGCTGTCGTAGGAGGCCGCCTTGGACATGTGATCTGCCATCATGGCAGCCATGCCGGCTGCGTGGGGGGCACACGCCATGAACCAATCCTTGGACGCCCTGATCGAGTCCTGGAAAGAGAAGTTACCCATAAGGAACCAACCAACTGCCTCATGTACATATCGAGAGAAACGCATAGATGGAAAGATGATGACGGCGACGATCAATGTAATAGCACACACGTCTGGCAAAAGCTAATGTCACACTGAACCTACATGAAAGCAATCTTGATTTACAGGAGGACAGTATAGCTGGGATATTCCAGCTGTGTCCCAGCGGTGTTCAAGAATTCCCAAGAACACCCCGCCCCCGAGACTTGTGATCTTTCAAACGGCACTACTTTGTCAGGTTGCATGCAAGAAAGAGCTACATTCAGAGGTGAAGGGAATATTTAATACCTTTGAGCCGTTTAGCGCTGCTAGCACTTGGGAGAAGCCTCCAGCGACCTCGGGTGGAAGGGCTGCTTTGGGTGCCTGCAACTGCTGCGAGGGATTCTGCGCAGCGAAGCCCTGAGGGACAAGAGGCTTATCTGCGAGGTGGAAGACGTCTTCAGCCCTGCTCATCGCATTTGCTGATATCTGCCCTGACAGAGCAAGCTCAACGTGTACGCAGCATGAGCTGGGATTCATACAGTCTTGGGAGTTGGGGAGGCCTACCGACAGGGAGATTGTACAGGGTGCAGTACAAAATCCATCGCCAATAGTCTGAGCCCTCTCCTGCATTGAGGAAAAGGTACTCTACATTTCCTGCCTGCTTCGTTCGCATCAGATCCACGAAGCTCGGGCCGTTCCGCGCAGCAAATTGTGCAAGCTTAATGATACGCTGTGCGAGTGCATCGTCAGAAGGGGGAGCAGCAAAGTTTGGTGGGGGCTCATGAGGGCTGAAAAACGGTGCTTGGCCTGGTTGTTCTGCCATAGTGGACGCGCCGAGATCAATGCCCTGGATGCAGATCTAGCTATTTCACTTCAAAGCTGGATACATCAACCAAACAACGTTTCTATTAACTGCATTCCGATGGTTCACTGAGTCGAAGGAATCGAGGAGGATCGAGGATGCAGTGCCTCTTTTCACTGCTATTTATAGAGATTTCCAACCAAAACCAAGTTTTTTTCCTTCCTCAAATCTTCGCCAGACGCTCGGGAATAAGTTTGCATGTGAATGGTAAGTTGCGCTACCTCACTGCCTCATCCACCCTCGAGGGTGAGCTCATCAACCACCAGGGATCGTGGACAGCCTCTTATAAGACGTGATAAGAATCTGAGCATCAAAGCAATTCTTCGTTGTATAAGAGTTATAACTGTGGATGTACTTAGTGTAGGGCATTTTTGGTACGTGGTGCATTGCACACAGAAAATTTTTCACGATCTTCAAGCTGGTAGACACGTTATTGCAAGGAAGCTGAGCACCTACTGGACTGGATCGTCTATAGTGTCTCAACAACTAAAAACAATCATTTCAATTGAGTGGATCTCGCCTTTATCGTACTCCATCATCAAGACAAAGCATAATTCCTAGTATTATCCCAGCCAGGCTTCTAGTCCAGGACGCCTTACAGTCGTGAGAGGCTCTTGACTCAAAAACATGGACAGGGCACACAGCATTCTGGGCAGTGCCAATTGCCCAAGATATTCTGTACGGCAGCAGCAGCGCTATCCAGCAACACACAGACATTTTGTTGCAAGACATCCGAAGCCTGGTGCATTCTCACATCAAGGTGTGTTCACGTGACTTGCGAATCAGTCAAAGTTTTCAAAATAGACTTCACAGCATAATGTGACAAATAGCTAGTCCAGGATAGTTTAGTCTGGATATCGGCCACCGTGTTCTGATGTGCAGCTTTAGTCTGGATATCGGCCACCGTGTTCTGATGTGCAGCTTAAAAGCTATGCTATCGCATGGCAGATATGGTGCTGGACGTTCCTAACACGCTTTTTTCCTTGCAGGGCCATGCAGCAGGAGGCGTGCAGGTGCCACGAGGGTCACAGCTTCTGCAGCACTTCCTGCAAAGCGACCAGAGGATTCTGAGAGTCCTGTCATGATCGATCTTGAGGCCACTTCGGCAGGTGTGGTGCATAATTGCGCCCTATGGCATCACACTAGCTGCATGGCCTTCTTGCGCCAAAGCGTTCTTCATGCGTCAAACATCACTGCATGCCTCTAGCCCAATGGACGTTGCATGCAGTCTGTATCAGGCTCGTGAATGTTTCTTCAGTTCGACAATGTGGGCGATATTAAATGTATATGGAGCATCAAAGTTGTGCGATCATGCGCTTTATACCTGGTCAGATCGCCTATCTCCTTCAATCCGCTGCTGCGGCTCTTGCTCTCTCGGCCTGGTGCATGTGTGTGTCAAGCTGTTGCTTTGCTCTGAAGGAATTTCCCAGCCAAGGCTGCTGGCTGCAGCAGAGGGCACAACACAGGTCAGAACAAGACGAGCTTGCAAGTGCTCAAGTTATTTTGCCATTACAGCAGCAAAATTTCAAGCTGTGCCCGTCAGCCAATAAGCAAGAGCCTAAAACTTTTCAACCTACACACTTTACAAATTGAGCAAATCTCACGCTATTGCTGCTGGCTGTCGCAGAGGGAACGTCAGGTGACAAGGGGGAGCTGGCAGACAGCGGTGGCAGCAGCCCAAACCCCTTCCAGCGGCTGGCGTTGGTGATTTTGCGGCTGGGACTGCGCTGTCTGCGCCTGCTGCAAGCCACTGCGCGCGGCGTCCTCCAGCTCTTCTCACAAGCAGTCACGCGGCTCAAGAGCGGGTGTGCCCTCGCGCCTCTCATGCACTTCAGTTCAATCCGTGCGTAGCTGTTCAGATGAGAAGGATTTAAGAAGTGGTGCTGCGCGCTCACCGTATCCTCGGCTTGTGGGGTTGATTGAGAGTAGCCTGCTTTCTGCACTTCCCCACATCTGCGCCAGTCATCTGTGTTGCCGCCCGCATGAATGCTCGAGCCAGCTTCGGAAGATCCATTACTCGAGGGCTTGCTGCTGCTTTGGGGCCATGGCGCCTTGGTGGAATGTTCTGTGTCGCTCTCCCTGCGCACAGAGGGCCGGAAGTGGTTTGCTGCAGACTGGATGAGATTGTCATGTGTGCATATTTGCAAGGGGCATGGCATGCCTGCGCAACAGTTGAAAGAGGTTTGGAAATGGCGGTGCAGGTCGTTGCTGTGGGGCGTGGTCTTTGTGCTGGGCATGGCGCTCGTCAGTGGTTTTGCGCAGGTACCCGGAGCGCGCTACTCATCCGCTCCCCAGGAGGTGAGTCATTGTCAGACTCAGCACTGCTCACGTTACTAATAAATCAGAAATGGTGCCTGATATGAATTTGCTGGAATTGTGCAAGGCAGTCCGCAGCGCCTACTGCTGCTTACATGCATGCTTTTCTGGTGGGCTTGTCACGAGCTGCAAGGTGCCTGGCAGCAGCTGGCCAGCCCGATACCGGACCCAAGGGATACCATGTTCGCTCCAAGGTTGAAAGGACATATTTTGAAGACCGAGAGTTCGAGCAAAATGTGTGCTGTGGTGGCTGCACAGGTGGTGTACTCAGAGTTCCTGGACCTGGTGAGGTCGGGCAACGTGAAGCAGGCGCGCATCGATGAGAGCCTGCAGAAGGTGTATTTCAGCGTGCAGCCGCGGCCTGCAGGCGCCACACAAGACGCGGACGCAGTCGCCTCCACCTCAGGTACATGCTGATTCTGGATGGATGTCAATAGAGAGGGACGGCATCTCAGCCATCCATTGCATCACGAAGGCTTGTTATGCTTAAGCAAGTGGTGCAAGGGTCTGCCATTCCCACATGCACTAGCACCAATCTGGGTTCCTCATGCATGCTTCGGCTGGTTGGCAGGAAAGTGTTCTTTGCTTCCTGTAATATCTTATGAAGATGTGAGGGTCTTCGTAAATTGGGCAGCTAGGCGTGGGGCACAACACTCTGCCATGCAACTCACACTGCAAACACAGCCTGCACAGCAGCAGGAATGCAGGTCATGTCTCTTCGACTTGGAATTTCGAATACTAACTCAAGATGGCTGTTTCAGGCGCATCGGCGGAGGCTGCACGGAGGGAACGCGGCGGCGTGGCTCCTCACTTTGTGACAAAGCGCGTGTCCGACCCCAACATGATCCCTGTGCTTGTGGCGGCCGGCGTTGAATTTGGTGCTGTCAAGGCACGCATCTTTTTGTTAGGCTCTGTTACAAGCTGTGTAGCTCCAATTCCAAGAACTAGAACAGCCAGGCAGCAAATCTATTGCCCTTTTACTCTGCTTTGCTTGTGTATGTTTCTGCCCAGTATGTCTCTCATTGACATTGTTCATTTGACACTGACGATCCTGGAGTTACAGCAAGGACTACTGTTGTGAATGTGTTGGATCTACAAATGATATTTTAACATTCACGTTGTGCCAGCACAAGATATCATGGCGCAATGTAAGGGATGTTTTCGGTGTGATGTCCTTCAATACGTTTACAGATGGGTGGGTGTTGAAATATTATTATTATTACACGCTTTTCCTGCTAGAAGCAAGGTGCGTCTGCAGACAAGCTGCAGTAAAGGCTGCCAAAATCCTACCCCTTGATGGACTCGCCAGATCCAAGCAAGACCCAATCAACCGTGGGCACGGTGCGTGGGTGTTGAATGACGTGTGCTAATGGTGCAGGCGTCAATGTCAGGGGCGCTGGGACGGATTGTGGGCACGACACTGGCGCTATGGCTGCCACTGGTGCCATTGTACCTCTTTGTGCGCCACGCGATACAGAGCAGGACGCCCTCTAGGTGGGTCCCTCAGCTCCAAAGAGATAATCACTCTGCATGCTGTGCCCTGCAGAAGGAAAGCTGTGCCCGCATGCTTTCATGAATTGGATGCTTTGCATGCTTCTGGGGATTACAAATGGCCATGCATGTCATGTCTGTGAGCTTGCAGCCTGTTGCATGTGCAGCGAAGTGTTGCATGTGCAGCGGGGTGCTGCACATTGCCCGTAATTATTTCCGATAAAGATGGGATATGATGAAAGATGATTACCGTACTCTTTAATTTCTATTTTTCAAGACACTATTCTACCTGTCCTCAATAATCCAAGAGGCGCTTCTTGCCCAAACTTTGCCACTAAGCCATGGGTCAAATATCTGAACACCGTAACACAGTTCTCAGCGACTCAGCGATTGAGTTTAGCATATTTCAACTCTCATTTGGAGTTTTGAATCCATGCTGGTGCGCTGCAGGGCCAAGAAGGGGACGGGGAGCAAGCTGGCGGCGCCGCCGGTGACATTCAGGGATGTGGCGGGGCTCGACACAGCCAAGGAGGAGCTGCTGGAGGTTGTGGCCTGCCTAAGGGACGCTCGCCGATATGCGCGTCTGAATGCAAAAACCCCCTCGGGCGTGCTGCTTACCGGACCCCCTGGCACCGGCAAGACGCTGCTCGGTGAGTCACAGCCTCTTGCAAGCCTCTCCAGGATGCCCCTCCAAGTGATCTGTGCAAGCATGTCCGACTTTCCTGTCATGAGAAGAGGCATGAGTGATATCAATCAGGCTTGCTGGGGGCTCATCCATGCCGCTTTCCAAGACAGGAGACTCTGGCATGCATGCAATCTTGTTGCAGGTCCAGCCCAGGGACGCTGCCCAATGTGTCGAGTTGGAAAAGGTTGGCAGAGCTTCAGCTTTACGACTTTCTTCAGACCTTTGAAGTGTTTTCTTTTGAAAACTCACCAGCAAGTTTGTCATCTGCATGCTCTGGCTTTCTTTCTCATTTTGCGGGCTGCGGACTGCTGAGGTGAGCCGGGTGTCACTTCCTGCCTGCAGCCAAGGCGGTGGCAGGAGAGGCAGGCGTTCCCTTCTTCGCTGCGTCGGCGTCCGAGTTTGTGGAGCTGTTTGTCGGCCGCGGCGCCGCGCGCATCCGTGACTTATTTGCCGAGGCGCGCAAGAAGGCGCCCTGCGTGGTCTTCATCGACGAGCTGGACGCTGTGGGTGAATCACCGCCCTGCAGCTGTCTCTTATGAACAATGCATGAGTGTTGCTGTTGTGGGACGGACCCAACATGCTGTCATGACCTCTATATTACCGTAGTCACTGCACCTGGAAGGACACCTCTTTCCAGTGGGACTTGATCTATGAATCCTTGCAAGTACGTCCCATTTTGCCCCGGTGATATTTGTTACCTTGCATGCTGACCTGCCTTCAGCTGATGTACCTTGAAACAGTCGGTTAAAAGATTGGTTGGTGTGTGGCTGTGGATGCTTCAATGTAGTCCTCTGCACTAATGCAATGCCAGGGAGCGGCATGCGGGCTCTGAGAAATCATCATGCATGCCGGCAATACAACAGCGTCTGAAGTGAATTTTTCATGCAGGCGGGCGGCGGGGCATGGGGACAAATGAGGAGAGGGACCAGACGCTGAATCAGCTGCTGACGGAGCTGGACGGTTTTGAGGGCCGCCCGGGCGTCCTCCTGCTCGCAGCCACCAACCGCCCGGAGGTGCGCGCGGGCCGCTTGAAATTATGTTTGAAAAGAAATTGAAATAAAACAGCGCAGGTGCTCCTTCTGACGCTGAAGAGCAGATGAGGGAAGGGTTCTTTTGGCTTTGCCACTTTGCCAAGCAATTCCACATGGCAGATCAGTATCTTCTTGGTGGGCATCGGTTTTGTTGTTTTTTGTGCTTGTGCTTGTTCGCCGTTGTCGTCTCACCATCAGACAGCCGCAAAATGATGAGTCTCCAAGATTGGGTGGTTTGCCATGTGCCATTTCTCCACGACTGTGTGCTGCGGCATTCTTGCTGGTGCCGCCCTGAAAACGGTTCCAAGTGTAGGGCTAGCTCCTCCGGCAGTGGCAAGGGACCCAGCATGTGATGCCCATCAGAGGGACCTGCACTTCACTGCGAACTCTCCCAGTCAAGTCATGTATCACTATCTCGCACTTGCTGTAGTCGGCACTGACACCTGTGCGGACTGACGGGGGTCCTGGGTTTGAATAGGTGATTTTTGAATCAAGAGCACATGTTAAGCGGCGCATGTGCGCGCAGGTGCTGGACCCGGCATTGACGCGTCCCGGGCGGCTGTCTCGGCGAGTGGTGGTTCCTCTGCCGGACGAGCGCGGCCGCGCCGACATCCTGGCAGTCCACCTCCGCTCCATCCCCATGGTGCGAATTTGAAACCAAACGCCCGCCACTCGCCGCCGTTTTCTTGACATCAGAGACCTGCACTGGAGGGGGTCTCTTCCTGGTTATACATAACGCAGGGCGGCTCATCACTGCAACAAGATATACATCTGTTGCAGTCATGAGCTGCCCTGCGTTCTCTGCCCATGGTGTGCCTTGCCAGAGCTCCAATTGTTGATCTCCCTGCCACGTCAATGGGTCGAAGCTGCTGCTGGGGCATTGTTTGTTGCCTCAAAGACCACCAGCAGCTTCGACACTGATGCGCATTTTCGCTCTTATATCTGCACACACATACATGCATGTTGCTTTGAACTGAAACCTTTGACGTATTGGCAACAATGTCTATGCCCTCCAGGCGCCGGAGCTGGACCGGGGGAGCGCGTGTCGGGCGCTGGCGAAGATCACTGGCGGCTTCAGCGGCGCTGAGCTGGCAAATGTCATCAACGAGGCCGCGCTGCTCGCCGGCCGCAAGGAAGCCGAGGTGCGCGCCTTTTTGCATGTACTTGCACAGAGGGCCTCTGTTTGTTATAGTTTTGGAAGGTCGAGAGGAGAGCAATGCTGGGCGCTGTTTCTCAATGTGCAGAATTGGCCTCCTGGCTTGAGTTTGTCTACAAAGCTTGCCGCGCACCTCCTCTTGCCTCATGTCCGCAAGAAGCCTCTGCTTCTTCTCATGAGGGGCCTCTAGCCACAGCCATGCATGCATGGAGATGCCCGGCAGGTGGCACACAGCCAAATGAACAAGAAGCGGATGTCCTGCACCTTACACACAAAATTTATACTGGGGTTTAGTAATGAATTTGTCATTTGTGGTGTCGCGCAGGCAGTGAGCATGCGGGAGCTGGTGGAAGCTACGCAGCGGACGCGCTTTGGCGTGAACGGGGGTCAGTCATCCATTCTGTCCGGCCCCCGCAGCTGGGTGCGCCGGCTGAATGACTCGCTTTTGGAGAGCGTCTCGCGCTCGTCTCCCGTGCGTGCCACGCCCATGGGCCAGTCCTGATCAGGCGCTGCGCCGATATGTACTGCCCTTTCTTCCAGGGGTGTGAGAGGGTGGCCCCAACAAGCAAGCCTCAGCCAGTCCTGAACAGGCGCTGCACCAAACTTGTATCTCCCTCTTATGGGGGTGAGTGACAGGGTTGCTCCCCGGACGCAAGCATGCCACACCCATGGGCCAGTCCTGATGAGGCACTTTTCATACTATCAGCACCCTCTGTTCCGGGGGCGTGAAAGTGCTAGCATCACCCTTTTTCGTGGGTGCATGAATGGAACACGCAGGAAGCAAACACGCAGGACCTTTCTGCCAGTCTGGATTAGGCCCTCTCTCAATGTGTTATCACCCTCTCTTGTAGGGGTGTGACAGGGTTGCCCCATGAATCAAGCATGCCAAGCCAATAGGTCACTCGTGCTCATGCAGTCTCCCGCTGCACCAAGCAATAAGGCATCTCTCTTCCCCGGTGGTGTGAGATATATTTAGAGTTGCGGGAGGCGGTGTCTGGAAGCAAGCAGCATGCAAGTCCGATAGGCTGGCCTAATTCGGGGCATCGCAGCCTTTTGGCATTGCTGATTGGATTGTTTAAGGTATGCATGTGTGCCAAATTGACAGCTGCCCTTTGCTGTCATAGAGCGCATGCTCTCAGCTGCAGCTTGGGGTGGCTGGTTGCATAGTTGCACGACACGTCCGCGTCGTAAACTTTCGGACGCTATAATTCAAAATTTAGGCTGCGTTTTTAAAAGCTTGTGACGGTTTGTGACTGCACTGGTCGCCAAACGGCTGAACCCGGCTCGATTTTTTAAATGGACGACCGGAAGGCCTCCGACACGTGCCTCCGACACGCCGTGTCGGCACTTTTTGGTGCCGTGTCGTGCAACTATGGCTGGTTGGCGCAGGAGCCCACTCGAATTCAAACTTAAAGCGGCGAGGCGGCTATTGCTGTTGACAAACGCTGTGATGCAAGGGAGGATGATGCTGCATGAATCTACTTGGGTTGTGAATGACTCTGAAGGAGATGGCTTTGTGCAAGGGTCTGGGAAATCTTTACTTTGTGTGTTCACTGCGCGTGCGAAGGCAATCTTTAGATGAGGTCAGGTTCAAGTTATGCTGCAAGCCTGACAACTTGTCTTTGAATGTATCCATTGGTGTCCCCTTTCATGAAGGATAGCCCCCAGGCCTGAAAATTAGTGTAGTCATCACCAAGTGTATAATTACTGACTTGCAAAATCCTTCTCTGTAAGACGGATGACAGTGTATTCTTGCAATGTAGGGGGAGCGTCCCGGAGCGAGTCACTGACTCACTCTCGAACATGCATATGCGCATTCACTGGGCAGCTGCAGTATCAAAGAGTTTTGCCACCAGCGACCAATTTGGACCAATCTTGCAAGACGAATGCCACCAGCGCCAATCACACTTGTATCAAATGCAGCTCATGAGCAGCTCAATCTGGAATGCTTTGGCGTGAAAGAGAGATCTGCCTTGCATATGTCTTGCATTCTTTTTTAGTATTCAGTAACATGCAGTGGCTTTTGGGCATGGCAACAAAGGCGAATCGGTCCAGTTAGCCAAAACCGGCGATACGCGTTCGGCGAGAAGCTGGGATCTGAGTTGCTCTCTTTGTCCCATAATACCTTCCACCTGTTCCAACAGAATAAGTTTTGAATAACCTCGTCTTGTAAGTGAGAACCCCTGGCATCCCTACGATCCGACACCAGGCCCACATCTTCTTCGTGAGGTATGTTCCGCGAACACCGCATGTGTCACCAATCCAATCCGCTCTGTGAAGCACTTCATCTCGCTGAGTGAATTGAAAGGCACTGGTGCCGCTTGAATGCACAAGTTTTGCTCTAGCTTGCTCAATCAGCAACTTCAGAAGGCATTCCATTGAGAAAGGCCGTACAACAGCTTTGGCGGGATTGCACCACCAGCTGTACTGCTTCACCGTGAAGATGCTCAAGGGCTCAAAATATTTGTCAGAAAGGATGTTACATCAGGATTTGTCATCTTTTCATGACAATTCTTTGGCCAGATCTCAAGTAGCAAGCTTAAACATGCGCCTCCGGAAATTTCCGACATAGGTTTTGTTCTCTTGCAGGTCGCATATCACCCGGAAGTCATGGGTTGCCTGAAGGACATCATCGTCTGCCTCTGCTGCTGTTGCGCAGTAAGCTCCACATTCCTGCTCTCCTGTACTGAAGTGCTTCCAGGTGGCAACGCACGATGTACTGCAGGATCGTACCGTTACTGCCAATAGTGAGAAGCTGACCATTGGATGTGCTTTCTACCAACAGGTGGACGAATGCGCAAAGTGCATTGAGGTGAGATATAAAAGGGCTCACGCCTCTCCAAACTACGTGCATCTTTACCCATGCTTCTGTGACCGAGACCTTGGCTTTCAGTCTGCCTTCATTCGATGCCCTTCGTATTCATGGCTAGTAATTGACGTTATGTTGTGTATTGCAGGACTGTGTGTGTTGCCCTTGCTACCAGTGCTGCGGTGCACCTGCCGATCAAGCAGCAGGGGTGTATTGACCCCCTGTGACAAGTGGCAGCATGCGGTATGTTGCAGCCTGCATGTCTCCACCAAATGCACTTTTTACTGTTCACTATGTGAGACACAGGTGGTAAGCTTTCAGCCTGCCTGATGGAAAACAGGCTGTCTGCTGTAGTTTCAAAATTTGAGGAGTTCTGTTGTGTGATTGCAGGCCAAGTTCCAGTCAGATCCCTGTCATGCTAGTGCGGCATCCCCACAAGAATGGGCACACTCCTCTGAGCGGCCTTTGACTCATCCATTGTGTGCTGTCAGGCCAGTTTTGTCAGTCAGACGTGTCATTTGATCAGATCCAGCCCACATTCGGGCATCTTCTGGCATGCAGCATTGTGCATCCAGCGTCCGCAGGCAAGCAGAATTGTGCTGCCAGCGTTGACCGAGCAACCTTCTCTTTTGGTGAATGAGCATCCAAGTAAACACATTCCAGATGTCCTGAGCACTGCTCAGTTCTGGGCGGGTTTCATTCCATTTAGTTGCGCTGTGAGTCATCCGACGCTGGGCACTAGTCTTGGGTCCCCTATCGGAGTGCAGGAAATAAATGTAACCAATCATATTCCCTCAAAATGAAGAGTGCGGAATGCTTGCTGCAAAAACACATTTTTCACATACGCAAGAGGCCACAGGATCTTCAATGTGGAATGGCTTGCATTGGTCTCTGCAGAGATGCCATGTCTATGGGCAGTCAATCTACTGGTGTGTGATCTGCACAGTATCAGGTACTCGCCAAGATCCGCAATTTGATCAAGTTGTCATCGTGATTGGCAAACACTTGCCCACCCAATTGAGCGGAGACAGCTAGACCTGAGGCTCACTCTTACCCTCAAAAGAAAGACTTGTCAGCAATCACAGGCCTAACAGATTCACCCCTCTGCCTTGCACTTTCGTCTGTGCCATCAGCATGCATGTCGCATGACTGCATTCCCCAATCTGATGTGCACCTCTCCCTCTCGGCAACTTGCCAGGCACAAAGATCAGCGGGAAGGAATTTAACAGACTGATGCAGGTCACGGCTGTGTGCAGCCAAGCGGCAGGCATCACTGAGCGCTAAGGTCCGGAGTGTGCACATTGCGCAGCAGACGGAAGGCCGGCCCGTACTGCAGCCCAGAGGCATGCAACTGCTGGTACAACTGCACGGTATCCCTGCAGGGAAGCCCACCGCAACAGGTTTAAAGTCGGAGGTGTGCAGATTGTTTCGCATCCATTATTTTGACACTGGTAGAAAGAAAATCAAAATGCATCCATGCTCAACGCTAGTGATGATCGGAGAGGCTTAATAGCACAGTGTTTGTTTTTGTGGATGCTGTTCGACGTAGAGTACTTTGAGAACCAAAGGTCCTGAATTCTGACCTAGGAACAGTAGCTGACGCTCTCTGAGCATCAATTGTCCTCTCTGACATTGATTTGCTGGCACGCTCTATCCGCTTCTTTTCTGCCTGCCAGCATTCACCGGACACCGTTTCACCAAACACGAAGAATGCTTGCTGCGACGGCCCAAACACTCCTCACAGCTAGTAGGGATGATAGGAATGGTTCATTTCGTTGAAATGCGATCTGAAGGTTCACGTCTCAAGCCTAGAATTTAAGATGCCGTGGCGCTTCGCACCTGGTAAACGCCTTTGATCAGCTCCTGAAAGGCATGCATGTCGTCCCCCATCACAATTCGCAATGTTTCAGGCTCTTCTTTCAGCGCCTCCATCTTTTCCGGATCAGATTTCAGCGCCTGCCGGAAAGCAGCCGGATCCATGGCTGTACCATCGTCGTTTAGTGCGTAAGGACCGTCGGCCATATTTGCACCTTTAAAATGAACTCTCAGTAATTCACAATAAAAGGACACTCGTCCACTTGAGCACACGCTATCTGGGAGAGTGGTGTTGGTGGAGGAGCGTTACAAGGCGTTAGGGTCAGTAGTCCTATTCCACAACTCAGCAGGGGTTTTGCTGCCGGTGTTGATCTCAGCAGCATCACCTAATCTGGGACCGATGAAAGTGCTATCAATGTGGGCAAGTTTGCAAATGTTTCACGCTGAGGAACATGTTGGGCAACCTAGTAAACTTTTTGGCACACCCTGTCCTCGTTGCCCTTAAGGCCTAAGGCAAGCTCGTAGCTGAGAGTGAGCATGCTCTCAGAATGATGACACATTTGGCCAATGGGAAATGGAGATCAGCGTTCGTAAGGCGCAAGTCATGAGGTTGTCTAGCACTGCTAGTACACTCCCAGAAGACTCCATTATTGCTTCAATATTTTTCCATCTTAGAGGCCATGCTCTTGAGGACATGGACAAACTCAAATAAATAAACATTCTCTGCTCTGCAAATATGTCAATGCAACCAGAAATAGCTAGCAGGCTGAGCTGAGCAGCTGGGGCATATCATGAACTGAAAAGATTGGAAATTTGGGAGGACAAGGATATCTCACAGGGAGTCAAATTGATTTACCGGCTTCACCGCCCATAGTTCGCCAAACAATCACCGGCGCCATTCAGTCTGCATGGGCCCAAACTCCAAGAACGATGCAACAGGTGCCAATATTCCAGCATGGGTGAAAATACTGTCAGTTGAGTTGATGATGTGCAGCAGGGCTTCAGATCTCAGCTGTGTCTTCCATGAACCAACTGACACCTCCCCAAAAGCGCTGCCCCAAGCGTCGTTTTGTTCCTGCACACCAGCACCATCACACACACACACACACATTCAAGCAGCTGAGCCCTAAATCACAGATCCCACGAGGCATACAAAAAAGTATCACCAGTGTCGTGAAGGGGCAAGGCTGGGAAGGCTCAACATGGAGTAACCTCTTTCCTCAAAATCCTAGGGTCTGCCTTCTGAAAGGCACATGCGTGAATTTGCACAAAGGGCTGTTGATCTCACCCCTTTCAGTGTGCACGGTGCCATTGGTGTCCTGCGCGACGCCCGCTACTCCGATTGTCCAGCTGAGGTCCCTGTGAGCGGCAACAGGTTTTGTCGATGACCCCTTTTCCCAGGCAAAATTGGCCAAACTGCCCATTTGCCAGGCTAATCTACATCAAGGGCCCAAAGTGCTCTGACTGCGCTCTGATTTGTCTGTGACATGCATGCAGGAAACGGCCATTGCTAGAGGATGCCAGCAAGGTGTATCTCCCGGGCGCAGCGGCGGCGGCCGCCGTTATAATTTGCCGTAATCATTGTAATGGCCTCAGGTGTGACGCACTCAGCCCCAACGTGCATTGGATGTATATCAGAATGCATGCCAGAAGGAGTTGCTCACCAAGTGTTGTGCCTGCAGGGAAGCGGCAGCGGTCAGGGCAGGGCAGGGCGGCCTGGTACAAGGGGCCGGGCTTGAAGGGGGCCGCCTTCGAGGCCATGCTCTGCAACCCGTGCGATCTCCGCGCGGCGCTGGCAACCTTCGGGCAGCACCCAGAGGCTCACCAGGTAAAAGACCAATACAGGTTTCTACACGACTGCCTCAAGAAATGGAGGGCAGACAACCATGCGATGAACCACAGGCCGCGTCCTGGGTGCAAGCGCAAGGTCAGCGATGAGGATGCCCGCCGCATGGCAGCGATTTTCGCCGCTGGCTTCATACCCATCACCTCTGCGACAGGGGCGCCGAGAGCCTGAACACCAAAAAGCCGGAGCTGAAGGTCGCCTTCTTGATGCTTACCGGCGTCCAGCCCACCAGACGGGACCTGGAAGGCGGTGAGTACACTTTGGTATGCTTCCGAGTATGGGTCAGGAAGCTTCCAATTGAGAAATCGATTACCTCACACGGCTCGTCTGGATTAGTGTAGGGTGAGAAATCTATGTGTACCAGGAGGCTCCAGATGCTTACAAGGAGGCTCCAAATGCCTGCCTGAATAGTACTTACACAAGCGCCTCAATCGATACTATAAAAATAACAATATAATTATGCTCTGAAGTGTCCTGACCTCCGGTGTGTCAGCAGAATCACATTCCACGCTTGCATGGGCGTCCTCAACTGGCCGCCTCCCAAAATTTGAATGCACAAAAGCGGCCCCGGGCCTCGTATGGTTTTTTGCCCCAGATTATGTCCAAGGTCATATGTAATTGCCAGCGGTGGTAATACACATATCTAACAACATCGTGCAGGGGCCCGTCGGCGTCGCTGTCACACTGCCATGCACCCAAACAGGCGCACTCCTTTCAAACGCACTCCAGAAAGATTTCCCGACAAGGTCCCAAAGATGCCTGCCCTTGTCATTTTTGCTGCAGCCAACCCAGTCACTTGGGTGCTCTTATCAAAGCACTGTTCTCCTCTATTCCGGCCAGACTTGGCTGCGCTGCCAGGACAGCTGGACACAGCAACCCCTTGCATGCACCCTCCCACCCCATTTGATCTCTCACATGTCAATCGCCAGTTCGCTGGCGCAAGCCGGCATGGTCCTACAGCTGCTCAGGCCATGCCAGAAAAGACTGTGTGCATGGCATGGGCCGGCTGTTTCTGTCACCTGTGTAAGGGAAGGTCTGCTGCTGCCAGGCTGTGCGAGTGACTTTAATCAAGCTGCCTCCCTCTTGATTTAGAGTCCCCCGAGGGGTGGTGCGCCAAGGATGAGACTGCAGGATGCTTGACTGAAGCTCAACTGCAGCTCAGGTAAGCTGAAGCTCAAGTACGCTCAAGTGAAACTGCAGGCTGCGCAAGGGGTGGCAGCCTATCCTGACAATTTTATCTACCATGTCAAAGACACACCACAGCAGCACGTCTCCATGTGGCTGCTGCATCCTGGTGTCAAGGGATGGCTGCAGCGGCAGAAGTGTGCGCTGCTTATGAGGGCGGCGATGTTTGTTTGGGCTGCAACGCTGCTAAGAGCTCTGCGTCCACCCCATCGAGCTCGCCCTTCTGCCAGTTCCACAAGGCTGGCAGGTCCCGCCCTGCGCACAGCAGCATGTTGCCCCATATGAGTCAATATGTTCCTGTCCTCAGGAGGATTAAAAAAAGAATGCGGGGATAGCTGAGCAATGTAAGCGCCATGGAAGGATGAATTTTACCATCTTGTTGCATTGTACACATTGTACTCGTGCAGGAAGATGTCAAATTGCCATGTTAAGTGCAACTGTCTGTACAATGGTTAGGTGGGGTCTATCGGGGGGGTACAGATACCACTACTGGTCTTTAGTGTATTCCTGATTTATCATGTGTGAAAGGGTGGGCGCACCGTTGGGGAGGGTGGTGGAGGCGTCTCTGAGCTCGTCGAAGAAGGGGTGAGTCAGTGCCTGCAGCGCCGAACACCGCCGCACCGGCGAGTACTGCAGCAGCGTCGACACCTGGGCAGCCCCGCAGAGACAATCTTTTCAATTCACCATCAAAGGATATTCTGCTAATCCATGAGAAATTGGCGCGACATCCAAGGAGAACCCAAAGCATTAAACATGGACAATCAGGCTCCTCTGCATGCTGAGTTTGTCAGTCTGCTGAGGAGCCTGACGGTCAATGTTTAACACTGCATTCTGCAGCAGCAACAGCAGCACAATGCAGCCTACTATGCCACCCATCAGATTCCTCTGAATATGAGGAACGGGCCTCAGCCCAGGGCCGAAATGCCATCTTGATGTTGATGTTCAGCAGAGCTCAGCACATAGAAGCTAAATGAGAGAGCTGCACCATTATACCAGCAGCCAGTGCCACAGGCTTTCTACAGCAAGTCCTGCCAACACCCTCTATATCCCGGATTCCTGCCCGCTCTTGCCAATGTCATTGCGCATGTCCTGACCTGTCACAGGATTGCCTGATCGTGGCCGGAACAGGCTGTCCCTTTGATAAGGGCCTGACCTCTGACAAAACGACTCCATAGAACTCCTCAGACCACCTAAGTAAGAACTGAGCTGGATGCTGAGGTGAAAGGATTACCAGGTCGACGGCGTCGGTGGGCAGGCGCTTGGAGAAGACTTTGGACCAGGGGTGCGCCTTGATCTGGGGGAACTTGAACTCGGTGTAGTTGGGGTTCATCGCATGGATGTCTTCTCGAGAAGGCGTCCCCAGCACCTGCACGCAAGTCTCTTGTTTAACCAGAGCAAAGTAAAGTGAGTCTTCAGCACTGCATATACATTACACCGAGTGGCAGCCCTTTCTCCCTACTTGGCGCTCGCACTGCCTTGTGTGTTCTGTGTCCCCCTTTTTTAAGTAGAGAAGAGAGCCGAGAAGGAATACTGCAGCAGTGCAGCTTCACTGCTGGTGCTGCTCATATATGCCCTCAGTGCAGCAAAGAAAGGCATATCAAGAGCAGTAAGACTGGCGCGGCTGCTAATGCGCGTGTGGTTGCCTCCTTGGAGGGAGCTCTCCATACAATGACTCAGGAAGTCCTGCAGCGTGAGGCTGCCACCCAGTAAGTGAACACAATGGCTGCAACATGAGCCTCTCTCTCTCAGTGATTTCGCTGTTGGAGTTGGAGGAAGACCATGGAGAGGCTCGAATGGCACTGCCCTCTCTACAGATGGCTGCGCATCTTCAGACTTCTGGCCAGGATTCAATGTCCTGACAGACCCTCAAACGATCCAGTTACCCATGCGGACGCGAGGAAGCAGCTAGGTAAATTGAGAAAGGCGCCCCCACCTTGATGATCTCCACGAGTTGGTCCACCCCAGACTCGCCAGGGAACAGCGGCTGCCCTAGCAGCAGCTCTGCCATGACACACCCCACGCTCCACAGGTCGATGGCCGTCGTGTAATCCGTCGCGCCGAATATGAGCTCGGGCGCCCGGTAGTAACGCGAGCAGATGTACGAGATGTTGGGCTCACCCTTCACCAGCACCTGTGCGCACAAGCCCGCAGCACGTCAGCACATGCCATGAGCACGCCAGGCAGCTCTGGTACGGCAAGCGTCTTTCTCCTCTGCGCTGCTCCACAGGCAAAAGGGTGTTGCCTGACACGCCCTGTCGGAAGATGCACTAAATTACTACCTCAGAACACATGCCAGCAACATGTCAGGAGCCTCCTGGAGGGCCCTCCAGGACAGGAGAAGACTCTGGCAACACGCTACAAGGTCTTTCCTTTGAGGCAGGGCACACTGAGGGCTGGTACGCGCCAGGTCAAGCCTCCCAGCTCAGGAATTTGGCGCGCGCATGCCAAGACCAAGCAGCATCAGAAAGAAACACTCCTGGCTGGGCAACACCGGCCTTCCGGACTTGTATCAAAGCGCAGGCTGGGCATGATATTCGGGCATGCTCGCAGGTAGCTGGTACCCGTTGCCTGGCATGACCAGCATGATCTTTTGACACTCGCTTGCAAGCCGATCAGGGCGCAAGGGGTGGACATGCAGCGGCGCCGCACCTTGGCGGACCCAAAGTCGCACAGCTTGAGTTCGTGGGTGTGCGTGTTGACGAGCAGGTTCTGCGGCTTGATGTCGCGGTGGCACACGCCCATCGCGTGGATGTGCGCGAGCGCGCGGCACATCTGGAACACGTACAGCTTGACGAAGAGCGTGGGCATGCGCTGGCCACTCTTGCTGTAGTGCTTGCCGATGCGGAACACCGTCTCCGGCACGTACTCCAGCACCAGGTTCAGGTACACCTGGCCGCGCAAGTTCAAAATGTAAGGTTGACGAGTCTTGCTTCAAAGATAAAGTATGTGCGCCCCTAAGTGAAGCTTTGATAATGGCACACACAGCTGCACCGCTTGGATCTTTTCGTCACCACAGATAGCACATGCATCTTGTCCAGACTGTCTCCAGTTGTAAATTTGAAGGTAAGCATGTGCCCGTGTGCATCCTGATAAAGCAGGGTAGTTGACATCAGCCGAAGCACCCAGTCTGGGGCAGGAGAGTCGGTTGAAGTGTGACCTCTTTGCCCCACATGTGAATACTGAGCCCAAGAGATCTCAATATACGCCGGTTGACTCTCATTAAATGCTCTGCAGCTCTCATAATGCAATGGTACCCAGCGCCCCACCTCGTCCTTCTCGGTGGTGCTGTAGAAGCAGTGCTTGAGGGAGACGACGTTGGGGTGGTTCATCATCTTCATGATCTGCAGCTCCCGGTTCTTGAAGCGCTTATCCTGCAGCACCTTCTTTATAGCCACCTGTGCCCACATGCCAGCAGGTGTCAGTATTCTGCTGCACACATGAAGTGTCAAGCAGTCACAAGAGAAGTCCCTGTGGCCTGTTCCAGGCCAATGTGATGGCCAGATCTTGGACAGCTAGTATATGAAAGTGCGCGACAACTTTTCAATGCAGAGGAAAAAAGAACCCAAAAGACCAGGTGTTGGCCGCCCACTCAATCCACATCTAGCTGGCTGTCACATCCTGGAATATGAAGAATACCTCAGGCTTCAAGAAATAGACAAAAATGATGCATGCAAGGCATGTGAACGCACCGTTTCCCTGGTCTCGAGGCAGGTCGCCTGGAACACGACGCCAAAGGAGCCATTGCCCACCACGCGCTCTGTGGCATAGCTGATGGTCTGCTTGTTGGGCCCGCTGCCCGCCACTGTGCAGATCACATGCCCGCAGGTGTTGGGATCCCCCTCCACTACTCTGCCCTCAAACACCTGGCCACAGCACACACCGAGCGTTTAGATGCTGTTCTGGGTGCTGACTCTGACAAGCAGAGTCAGGCATCGGATCAGCCCCAACTTGGCTGGAAGCGATGTAAGGGCAGTGGCTGACCCGCGTCTGTAAGAAACAAACGAGGCCAAGAAGGACGCCCGCTCAAAGAAGCAATTTGACTTGAGCTATCGAGCTTTCTGTGCTCTGAGACGTGGAAATGTATGCATGCTCAGGTCAAATGCAGCTGGTAGAAGAGTGCTGACGCAAAGAAGCTGACAATGCAGGTATCAGGCACAGGTGGCAGGTCGGGGACAGTATACAAAGATAATACTGGTAGCTTGAGAGTGCCTCAGATCTCACCGGTTCCTTGTGTTCTCTTCTCTCGTCCCGCAGCTTCAGGTCCCTCATGCTCTGCACAAAACAGAGATGATCACCATGAGTTCAACAGTGCGGTCTGCACCATCAAGTCAGGTGACCACCCTGACACGCTGACATGTCTTCTGCTCTGAACAGCACTGCACAGGATGAAACGATTGCAGAATCAAGAAAGCATTGTGTTATTATCCCTTGCACGGCGTAAGAGACACATGTCTGCAATCAATCCTTTCTGAAGCACCAAAGACTCCCCCTCTATGTAAGGGCATGCACCCTCGACCCCCACCTGTGGGAGTGTTTCCAGCGCGTTATTGCTCAAGCCAGATTTTTGCTGAGAAGACGACCCTCCTGAGGGCCCCTGCATGATAACACCCACGTCTAACGCTTTATCAGGGAAGATTCATTGCAGGCAGCAGATAAGGGAAAGTTGAAGTCAGGACACTGGCACTTACCGCACTGGCATTTGCTACCGGTTGTCCTGATCCTACGGTTTGGCGAAAAGAAAATTAGCCAAGTGATTGCCACACATCATTCCACAAGTCAAAGTATCTGTGAAAGACTCTTGGGCGCACCTGATGTTTCACCAAAATTTGCTTTGTAACGCTTCTGACCAGCGTCAGCCTGCATATCAGAGTTTGTCCGTCAGCATCGATGCATGTTCAGGTGCTGTGAAAGCCAGTGACTTTCATAGGCATGCCCACTTGGACCGTGTACCTTGTCGCCTTCGGTGCTCTTCCGACTCAATGAAGCTTTTATCCTGTCCATGTAACCCAAGAAGAGGCCTCAAACAAGACCTCGATCTCCAGTTTTAGCCAGAGGGAACACCCTGCTGCAAGACTCACGCAGGGTAGCTCCACATCTTCCCAAGGCTCACTCCGCCAGAAACATGGGCAGGGACTGCCCCTTCTCTTGCTCTGGCGTCTGGTGGCTACTGTTATGCCTAGCGTGTGCATGCACGTAAAGAACACCGCCTGGCATCAAAAGTGTGACACAGTATCAGGGTGCTCCTTGACTGATGTCACTTTGCGGGAAAAAGCTATCTCGGGACTTTGATTTTGATATATGTGTGTCCTGCTGATCCATGCGGTCCTTCATGCATTTTTCATCCAGGATCGGGAGCTCTCTTGTTTTGGTACATCTTATTTATGTAGATCGGATCGGAAATGGGAGACGATCGCAAGTACCAAATCTAAAGAAACAGACGAAGCCATCTGTACATGCTATCTGACTAAGCAAGTGGATTTGCTGAATTTCGGGACTGCAAGGGGCCTCATGTGAACACGAATTTCCTTGATCAGGCACCAGCATGGGATCGAGAGGCTTATCCCCTGGTATGGTGTCGTGTTACCCCTGAATGAAAGTTGCTGATGTACACCTTGTAAATGTGCTAAAACAATCTCATACAGTCTCCTTGTCTTTCTGCTGTTATGAATGCTGCATGTTTGCTGCAGCCGGGGAGTGGGAAGCGTGCGGCGATCGCTTCTACGAGAAGCACGAGCTCTACACCATGGCATGGTCAGACGTCAAGCTCGATCAGATGAGGTCAGGATTCTGCCTTACAGTCCAATCCCCATACGAAAAATCATCTAGTGCGTTGCTTGGAGGCGTGCAAACGCCAGCTTCCAGGCACCTCCATTACCCAGCGCCTGGACCCTGGAGTGCGCACTGGCTTCTAAGCAACACGCCAGCTGTGCAGCGCACCTCTTTGCTTTCATTTCCTTTCACCAGTGAACATGCAAGGAGTCCAACAGAGCACCGGGCTCTAGTATGCGAATCACTGAGCTGATCCCACCCAAAACGCCCGCCCATGCAACACACCAGCTGTGCAGCGCAGCAGGACAGCAGTGAGGCTTCTTTGATTGGCATTTACATCCCGCGCAGCATGTGCAAGAAGTTCCTTGGAGAGTAGGTTCAGCATGGAGAGCGCCTGCCTTGTAAAGATCTCTGAAATTCCCCCATCGCTGTGCTGTGCGCCAGGGTGGCATGCGCGCGCTATGGCGGCCCCATCGCGATGGTGCGCGACGACAGGAAGCTGGTGGTGGTGTCCGGGGGCATCACAAAGCCGGTGGTCAGGATTTTCACGGCAGCGGGGGAAACGCTGGCGGCGTTTCTGTGGGACCATGGGCGCATAGCTGGCATGGGGTGGACCAACGAGGAGGACCTTCTCATCATTGAGGATGGCGGCGAGGTGCGCATGCAAAAGGTCAAAACATTGTGATGTATGCAGAGCTGACGCCTTGCGCAGCATGCGCTTTATTGACATGTGCCAGATATGGCCTGTTTTGAGCCTGGTAAAGTCAGCTCACAACTGGCGTGTTCTTATTGAGACTATAGAATTCGCTGAAGTCTCATTTTGGGCTGGCTGCCAACGAGCGAGTTCTTCTGTGGGAAACTAGCCAGTATCTAGAGTCTTGACTGAGGACTTGCTGATTGTGAGCAGTCGTGGTCCCTGCCTGCTCTGTGACTGGCACTTCCAAATACCATCACGTGTGCTTCAGATCCTGGCCGTCATTGAAGCGCCGCGGGACATGTGCCTTGACAGGTGCACATGTACAGCATGCACGGGCAGAAGCTGCCGCGCAGCTTCTCGCTGGGCGCTGAGGTGGCGGCCGAGCGCGTTACGGACTGCGTCGTCTACGGGGATGGCCTGGTGGCGCTTACGGGCGCGCACCGGCTCTGGACGGTGTCTAACCTGGAGGAACCCCGGCCTCAGAAGCTTGCGCTGAGCGGACTCACAGAGCCGCCGCACTGCTTTGCAGTGATTGAACCGCGGCACACGCTCAGCGGCTGCGTAGAGGTACACTCCAGCATCAGCCACCAATGAATGCTATCTGGACATGGGCACGGTGACATGTTAACAAGCATTCTTAGGGAGCGAGGAGGCCAGGTCCTGCTACCTGCAGAAAACTGGTTCACACTGAAGGTCCAGGAGCAAGGGTGCCTACTTTCCCTAATCAATTGGCCATGTCCTGGGTCTGTGCGAATCAATTCACATGCCTCTTTATTGCATTCCTGCCGTTCTAATTTGCTTTCAAATGGAGACATGGATCACCAAGAGCGTGCAAAAGCTAAGGACTCGCTTCACACTCACAGGTTTTGGTGGCGGCTGGGGAGTCAGTCATATTGGTGGATGCAGACGCGGCAAACGATGCGGGCCTGCCCAACGGGCCGGTGACCAAGCTGTCAGTCGCGCCCAACGGGCAGTTTGTGGCTGCTTTCACGGGCGAGGGCAAGCTGGTTGTGTGGACTGCTGACTTTGGCAAGTTCCTGTCGGAGTTTGCCACGCAGTCTGACACGCCGCCAGAGCAGGTTGCCTGGTGTGGCACAGACTCTGTCGTCCTCTATTGGGAGGTGGGTGAACTCTCCTTGCGATTTTTTACATCGTCAGGAACAAAAAATCCTCCACAAATATGCCGGAGTGCTCCTCCAATTAGGAGGAATACTTATTGTTTGACTTATTTGGAATAGAGGGCGGCGGGGACTGCTCTAAATCAATCTTGCATCCCTGCTTTTCCGTCAGGTGCTCTCATCCTGACCGTGTCAAGCTGGAACTTACTGTCCAGCGACCTACATGATTAGCTTCGGATTTGGCCCACCCCTCACAGAATTGGTACAGCGTCCAATAAGCAAACGGAACAATCGTGCGAAGCATGCACATCCTAAAAGCATTAGCTGGCAAATAGAATGATCAGTCTTTAAAGAGTATGTGGTCTGTCGGCAGGACATATTGCTGCTGGTTGGGCCCTATGGCGACTGGGTGAAGTACAGTCTGGAGGAGCCCGCTGTGCTGATGACCGAATGCGACGGGGTAAGCTTCCTTTTGCTCCTCTGCCCAAGCAATGATTGGTTGCATGCATGTCTTTGCATGTCATTGCATGCCTGCCTTTGTTCGCACTCATCATCTTGGCACCCTGGATTCCAGGTGTGCAATAACGTATATCCTAGAAGTGGCATGAAGATAGCACCCCTGCAAGAGGGTGTTGCATGGTCTGGGGTCCAGTTTGCGCACGAATAAGCATGAAGGCTAATTATGATGTGGCATGGTGATGCAGGTGAGGCTGGTGAGTGACACCACGCATGAGCTGCTGCGGCGGGTGCCGGACTGCCTCGCGGATGTCTACAGGGTTGGATCTACCGCACCAGGCAAATGCCTTCTTCTTTTGCTTGCCTACCTCTGTCCGCATTTGATGTGAAATGTTGTCCTCTATTCGCTTCTTCGGCCTCTTCTGATTGTCTTCTCTCTTACCATGTAGTGCTCTGCTCATGCACACATATTCATGCTGGCTTATTAGAAACGGAGCAGCTGCATGTCTGTCATCTCTTTCAGAGGTTCTTCCACCCCTGTATTGAGTGACGTGCACTGCACAGTTTGCCAGTAATATTTATATTGTCTGACTCTCATGTGAGGATTGCAGGGTACATGATGATTGTGAGATAAAATAAAGTGCCACGTTCTGCAGGGGCGTTGCTGTACGACGCGCGCGAGCTGTTCGACCAGCAGAACGCCAAGGCGGACGAGGGGCTGCGCTCGATTGTGACATCTCTGCCGGAGGCGGTTGCCACGTGTGTTGACGCTGCACAGGCTGAGCTGGACGAGGGGCGCCAGGTGGCGCTCATGAAGGTGCGCGCATGCAATCCTAATGGCCGTGACAGTACCGGAATTATTCTGACGGTCTAATTGTTGCGGTCTTGATTGGTGGGGGGAGGACTGAGGGTTGCAGGTCACCGAAGAAGTAAATGAAAGGACATGACGCTGCCAAAGTTGCAAGGTGGCGATCGTGAAGGTGCACACTTGCATGCATGCATGCACAAATGTTGTAGGATCCTTGGGTGAAGATGCGGGCAGGCTTAGGTGGATCAGGGTGATCTGGGAAACTGGGAAAACATTACACACATTGCTGTGGGATGCCAGCCAGGGGTACAACGCATGCCAGAACATGGGTGGATGTCGTATGTGGCAATTTCTTTGCATCTTATGTCCTAGCTTGCTATTTTAGTTGGCTAGAAGGCTGTCAGATGTGAGTTGATCCAGAAGCGAATAAGCAAACATGAAAAACGTGCGGGTCTACAATGACGTTACTTTCTTCCAAACGGCCTAACAGATGTCGGCAGGCAGACTTTGAGGACGATTACTGTTCACTTTTCTCGGCAATCCAACTCTGCCCGCTGATATCTCGTCAGGCATATTGGAATATCTTACCGTCAGTGGAGACATTTTGCCGGAGCTGCTGCACCTCCTTAAGCATGCTAGTTTCAGTGCCCCAGAGGGTGGTCAGCAATGAGATCAAAAATGCAGTAAGTACAGCAGGCGCCCAGGAGGATAGGAAGCAAGTGAGGGGCACGAGGATGTTTGTGACTAAAGGCGGATTCGACCAGCACAGAGTTCTATTTTCACCCCTCTCATTCGTCCCGGTGCAGGCGGCATGCTACGGCCGAGCGTTCTGCGCCGCGGAGGCGTTCCCGCGCGACCGCATAGTCACCGTCTGCCGCCAGCTGCGCATCCTCAACGCCCTCCGCGCGCCAAACGTCGGCCTGCCGCTGACGGCCGCGCAGGCCGAGGCGCTCGCGATGCCGGTGGTCGTGTCGCGGCTAATCAACGCGCGCCGGCACCTGCTCGCTCTGCGCATCGCCACTCTGCTCGGCATGGGACCCGAGAAGGTGCGCTGCCCCGTGTCAGTGCATAGGGAGAGAGGTTCTTGACAATTGACTTGTGAAACATCTCGACAAACGTGTAAGAAGCAAACCAGGTTTAGGAATACTACTGTTGGAGGGTTGCCCAAAACCGGATGCTGCTTGGCGCCTCTCTTTTGCCAGGCTCAAGGGCCCGTCGCACTGCTTAAGCAATCGAGCGTTCCAACAAAGACCTGCAGGCCTTTGATCTGCAAAACAGCCCTGTCCGGCAGTCGCCCCTGCAGAGCTTCAAATGGGGCTTAATCTAATAACAAGTCTTTTTTTCAAATCCCCCGGCAGCACTAGAAGTTCTCATTAAAATGACCCCCGGCTTCAACACGCAGGTGCTGGTGCACTGGGCGTGCACCAAGGTGAGCGCGGCAGCGGACGTGCCGGACGCGGCGCTGCGGGACGCCATCGCGGCGCGGCTGGCCGGCTGCCCCGGGGCGCGCTACGCCACCGTGGCCGCCCACGCCCAGGCCGTCGGCCGCAAGGGGCTCGCCGCTCTGCTCCTGGAGCACGAGACCTGCGCCGCCGAACAGGTGCACCATCCTCTTTCCTTGACTCCCACGGGGTGGCAATACCAATAAGGGGCGCAATACGCCACCGTGGCCGCCCACGCGCAGGCCGCCGGCCGCAAAGGGCTCGCCGCGCTCCTGCTCGAGCACGAAACCTGTGCCGTCAAACAGGTGCTGTGGTGTCCTCCTGTCATCCTTATCTGGTTTTTGACACCTTCTCGCTGAAGGTCAGGCGCCCTTTCACGCAAGTGTTGTTGGGGTCGTTGCCAATTGAGCTTGATCATCAGTACTGCGGATAGGAACACATATCTGAAGGGTCATGACAGTCCTGGAACACCTCACTTTAGGCGAGTGCACTCACAAGATGACACAGATCTGTTCTGGTCCTGAAACACCGTCAACTATTGACGCACTGGGTTGTTCATGAAGAGAAAACGGTTGGTGAAGCTGATGCGGGCTTCTGTAATCGAGGCTGCTGCCTCCCTCGAACCCCTACCCAAGGGCGCTTTTCGTTGAAATGCTGGACGCCGCAAGAAGATGTTTTGTCATCATCCCATTACGAGGGGCCACGACAACGAGGGGCCAAAACCAGGCCTACCTGCTCATTGATGGGTCATCTCGAGATTGTTAGATGCCACTTGTGGAGCCATCTCACCCACCCACCTTAGATCTAAGATGGGGGCTTTTGGTTGATGGGTTCTCTGTTGGTCTATTTGTTCTGCATTGCAGAGCAATGCGTCTGCCCTTCACTCCTTACTCCTTACTCCTTACTCCTCACTCCTTACTCCTTACTCCTTACTCCTCGAGCATGCTTGGCCTTCTTCAGCAGTGTGCCATGCCACCCAGACCTGGAATGCCCCACAAAGCTCACCTGACATGTGCCCTCCCTGCGCAGGTGCCGCTGCTGTTAGGCCTGGGAGAGGAGGAGCGGGCGCTCGGAGCAGCGTTAGACAGCGGCGACGCGGACCTGGTGTACCTGGTGCTCTTCCGCATGCAGCGCACTCTGCCGCTGCAGCAGTTCCTGGCCGTCCTAGCTGCACGCCCGGCCGCGCGTTCCCTCTTCAACGCCTACTGCGCGCGCACGGTGCGGCGCTTTTTTCCAATATTTTTTGCTTTGTCGGCGGTGCGCCTGACGTTATACGTTGCTTCTTTCGCACATGCACTTCCTTCTCCTCTTCTTGATTTTGGCCTTCTAACACGGTGCCTTCCGTGATTCAAAAGCAGTCAGGAGGATCCTTTGTCCTTCTTCGACGCCTGCTGCACGCGAAGACGCCAGTGCCAACATTTCACCTCCCTGCACCGGTTGTCTCTTGCTGCAACGAAGAGCTTGAAACAATGTGAGTACTTGTCAGCATTAGCGCACGATCCTGGAGAAGATTAGCGCAAGCCATGCCTGCAGAGATCTTGTGTGTCTTTTCGCCATCTCATTGACAGGATCATGCCAGCCTGCTTTGGATGGCTAGATCCAGATATCGTGGCCCTGTGAGGTTTTTGGACAAGAAAGGCGTGCTTGGATAGATTGGACTGACCACATCTATGCAGCAGCAGCCCGAGAGTTGGAGGGGGTTTTCGTTTTCTAATCTCTTAGGGATGCATTTTTATATACCGATTTGATTTGCTCGCGATTTTGTTCTTTTCTATACTGACAATGCACTTCCCTGCGACAGGAGCCGGAGCTGCTAGAGCAGATAAACATGGCGACGGGCGTCTACGAGGGAGTTGCCGCAATGCGCGTGCGAGAGGCACTGGCCGCCTCGGCCCGGCTCGGCCGCGCGCGCGCCGCGGCGGGCGGTGCCGGCCGGGCGGCCGAACCGGCAGCTGCGGAGGTTGTGCGATTGCTTGACCGCGCTTCTGACCTCTATGCCCAGGTAATTATATACAATCCAGTTTCAAGTAGGTCTTGAGGATTTTTTGTGAATTAGACTGCCCTGCGGGCTGCTGAAGATTGCAATGCCGAGCTTTGCACACCCGCATGCGGCGGCGCCTCCCGGGCGGCCGAGCCGGCAGCTGCCGAGGTCATGCGGCTGCTCGACCGCGCATCTGACCTCTACACCCAGGGGATCACATGCGGTGCCCTTGACACGAGCAGTACATCCACCTCCTTTTTCCCGGTCTGCCTAACACGGCCAATGAGACTCCATTCTGCCCACTTCAAAGTCTGTGTCATGGTGGCCAGTTGCATATGGCAAGAAGTCTGCAACACCCCAAGCAGGGAAGGCTGCACCTATTTTTACTGAGAGGCTGGCGTTTGAAATTACAGGCACCACTTTTTTGCTCGGTGAATATTCATCCAGAGCAGCTGCAGATTCACTAGTATTAAGTGTGCCAAACACACGCAGACGAAGGAGCACGGGTTCCAGTCGCGCGCGGCTGCGGAGTGGGCGCGGCTGCGGCGGGTGCAGGCGGAGCTGGAGGCGGAGACAGGGAACGCCGCGCTGCTGGGCCTGAGCCTCGCAGATACACTCCGGCAGTGCGTGCGCCTCGGCAACCACCGCGCGGCCGCCCGCCTGCGCGCCGACTTCAAAGTCTCCGAACGCCGCTTCTGGTGGCTGAAGGTGAGCGCCGGCCTCCTCTCGCATGCACCCTGCTTTGCAATCTTGTGGGGTGCACCATTCTATACAGTGTCTGTATAGTGTCGTTGCGGCGGGGAATTGGGGTTTTTTCAACTGGTCAGAATGGGCCTGGCCAAGGTTGTAAGCAACATGAGGATGTGTAATACCGCTGTCCCTTGACCTTTAGAGGGGCTCGCTTACACATTGCTGATCCTGTCTCTCGGTCATGGGACTGCGGAATGTGGCGCTTGCATCATACTTGCAAGCTTTGTGGGTGGCTATGCATGCAACGACCAGAGGAAAAAGGAAGTTATTTTCTGCTGAGGCAACCACCATAACTCTGAAATTTATATAAATTTGGGAGAGTTGCTGCTGGCATAGTTGAGAGGGAAGCCTGAGTGTGCAACCAAGGTTTTTCCGTGCTGATGACCAAGAGTGCCTAAGCATCCCTTTGGTCTCTGAATAATAGAGGAACTTAACTGCTCACGATCTGCAGTTGAAGACGCTGGCGGCAGCGAAGGATTGGGAGGGGCTGGAGTCCTTCGCGCGCGAGAAGAAATCGCCCATTGGCATTGAGCCCTTTGTGGCAGCTGCCAAGCAGCATGGCGCGCCCGACGCCACCGTCTCCCGGTCAGTGCTGTTCCCTCCTTCATGGCCTTCTCCGCTGTAACAAGGGGGTTGTTGCGCACCTGCCGCAGAGAATGCGTGGCATGATCGCTCTGTTACTGCTGGGTCTCCGTTGACCCGTCTGTGCCAATGATCAAGTGAATAAGGCAGGCTACAAATCCAAAGCATCTAGTCGGAGAAGCATTCAGTCAGAGAGACCAGGCACCAAGAAGCCAGGTGTTTACCTCCTTGGGATATGATCTTTGCGGAATCTTTATTGGTTCGCTACCCTGTTCAGGCAGCTGCTCCTTCTGTGATCTGTGCCTGGACCTTCAAGATTGTGAGTCACAGTGTACAGAAGCGGCAGTGCTCTGACAAGCATAGCGGAGCAAGTGCAACTAATCAGACGAGCAATTGATTTGCTGTGCAGCAAGCAGCCAGGCTGAGGCCGCTATTATAAATGTTGTTGGGCAGCAGGTTGGCACATGAACAACAGAGCACGATCTGCTTGTAAGCCTGAGCTCAGGCCTGCGTCGTTTCGAGGCATGACTTTTTAGAAAAGATAATGGTTCATGAAATCTTGATTTTCTTGGCATGCGCAGGATAATAGCTCGGCTGCCGGACGGGAAGCGCAAGGCAGAGGAGTACGCAGCGGCAGGGCTTCTACAGGTCAGTCAAACAGCTTGTCACATCACATCGCTTCCAGCCATATCTGAGCCGTACCACTGCCTGCCTCTCATCGTCACTTTCAGCGCCCAGCGTTCCATCCAAGTCCTCGGAAGTCAATTTGGCAGCTCCAGCTGCACTTCAGATTCAAAGCGCCCATTTGAAGCCATTCAGGGGCTCTGCTGTGCAGTAAAAACTACATTCTGAATAAAATTGAAAACTGGGAGCACGTTTCTCTGGTGCAGGAGGCGGCTGAGTGCGCGGCGCGCGTCAGAGACAACGACATGCTGAGCAAGCTGCAGGACATGATCGGCACCGTCAGCCCCCTGGGGGTCGCAGTGAGCCAGCTTAAGGACCGGTTGCAGTCTGGCGGCAGGTGACGGCACATGCCGGCACATGATGCCGTGGACTGGTCAGCACGCCTGAAATTTGCTCATAGTCTTACGGACTGCTGCGAACAGTAGCATTGCATTGCACTAGTCAATCTTCTGTGCAAACCAGGCTCAGGGACTATTGTACATTTTTATCGGCATCTGTGCACTTGATTAGATAAGTATGCCTTGATACCTTCTCAAGAGTCTTTGCCAATGGGTGCATAGTACTACTACGGTACAGCGTGCAATTTGGCATTTCAATCTCTGCACAACTGGTACATTGAGTGACATGCAAGCCATTAGGGTGCGTATCATGCCTCTGGAAGCTAGTATGAAGCCTGCCATCTACTTAGTGTTTGCAGATGCTTGCCGTTTGAGGTCTGCACTCATGACCTTGTTTGAACGGGAACACTCTGATTACAGCTGTAACTGAAACACTTAAAGCTAGTGAAAGATACAGCAGAAGATACAGCAGAAGATACAGCAGGCAAGTTGGGCAATCAGACATCAGAAAATCCCTATCCCAGTATCATCAGTATTGCAAGCTGTCAGTTTTTGGGTGAAATACTTGTGAACGGCAGCGCTCACTCTTCATGTTCTGACAAATGAATTTCATCCGAGCCTTTTCAAAAAGGGGTGGTACTGATGGATGGATGCATCTTGAAACTCTGTGCTCTGCCCCTGACTACCACCCATGCCTCATATGTACATAACACGCTTGCCATAAAACTCTTCAGATGTATCACACATCAGAAGTGTCTGACTCCCATGCAAAATTTTGAATTGTGACAGCAAAGCGCAGGCAGCAGATTGTGTGGGCTCAAGTCAGGAGCCCATAATGATTTTTTCCACCCTTCTTCAGTCTTTCTGAGATCACTTTCCAAACAGGGTGGGCAGCTGGAGAGGACAAGACCCCTTCCACCTGGGCTCTCCACCCCCCATCTATCCGAACATACATTGAGCGCACTCTTCGAGAGCTCGATCAAATGAAGTGTGCCCTAATTGAATGTCCCACTCCTCATGATAGCCGCATCCTCGGTTGCCCTCCGTCCAGTCTGCCGAGCCCATCTGGAGTCCAGCATCTGCCGAGCAGCTTCTTCATAGTCCTCCGCCTCCAACGCCCTCTTGAAATTGACAAAGCCTGCCAAACCCGCTCTGCCAAGGTTGAAGGCCATGTCGATCAACACTGCCTGACGCGCAGTTGTGAGGGAGTCGTAGTTGGACACGAACTGTGCGGCAGTACCGGCCGCTACTCTGTAATCGTCATCGAAGTACTTCTTTGCCTGCTCGTCGGTGACCGTCTGGACATCAGATCCAGGAGGAAGTTTGTGGCCCCAGCCAATGGTCAGGTTGCCGGTGGTGTCCTCGTACACGTCCGAGCGAAAACCCTCATGATCCTTGATCAGGTCTGCTGCATTGTCGATGGCCATTTTAAGCTTGCACCTGTATTCAGAAATTCAGGAAATTTTCACTGCAACACAACGTGCTTCAGAGTTGTCGACAATCGCGTTGGAGGACTGAGCGCACGAGCGCAACGCAACAAGCCTGTCAGTGTCTGGGAGCAGCGAACAATACCTTTCCGAGGAGGCGCTGTCTTCGGCCTTGACTTCAAGCGCAGGAGAAAATAAGCTTCCTGAAGCTGTAAAAGTGTCAAAGAGTCGCAACATTCTCATGTCACCCACCAGCACAGTGGATGACATGATGTTCAACACCTGACTAGGATTGTCGACTCGGTCGAGATCGAAATATAATCTTTACATTTGACTTCATAGACATCGAGCTATATAAGGCAAGACAGCTTTCAAATGATTGCTAGCGTTTAAAAGCAGCCTACTTGCGAGGATACGTCCGAGTTCAGCCAGTCGGATAGATGGCCATCTCTTCGGAAGCCTCGTGTAACCCGGCACGCAAATCCAGCAACTGGTGTGTGCGCGATTCAATAATCGCAGAATTGTATATAATTTGTCGTAATGATCTCAACATTAATATTAGGATTCCTATTTAGCCCGGAACCTCCCTGGATTGCATGGCATTGCTTCCGTGGCTTGCTTGACGCCACCGTCTGCAACGAGGATTACCTTAGATCATCTCTAGGAATTTACAATCGTGTCTATGGTATGGGCAGTCATCTTCTAAAGCTTCCCGAAAGGGAACCAGGTTCACATGAATATCTTGTGCGTTGCAGACGAGATCGAAATCGAGCCGCTGGGCGACCGTAGATATCAAGCGATGGCATCTCCAACAATCTTGAATTACGAAGACAGATCCAGACGTGCAGCTGGCGCGATAGCATGCGCCCGTACCGTTGCACAAGATCAGGTACCGAACGTCGGTGAAACCCTGATGCCAAACGACAAGATCACACTAGATCTGAACGCCAAGTAACCAGCTAGCCGAATTTCTCCTGCGAATGTGTGAAAAGAATTTAAATAATTCAGCCGTCATTATGCGTCAATCAAACTCTGAGCCCATATTCTGCACAGGTGGTAGTCATAAAGAGCGCGAAGAAGTGCCTGGCAATCTTTGGCTCGCCCACAGAGACAGAGCCACGCGTGGGAGTTTTTGCAGCAGATGCAGCTGCTGCGGGCACGGCAGCCACGCAGTTCAAGGTTGACCTGCAGAAAAACGGTGGCTTCTCACTGCAGAGCCTTGCTACAGGCCACTACCTGACAGCAGTCCAAGACGGCCAGCAGATGCGACTGGCTCTCGCCAGCAACAACGCTGTGTCAACCGGGCGCGTGCCAAGCTCGGCCCTGGCGTTCTTTGTGGTGGCCAGGGAGGCTGCGCAGGCAGTCAGGGGCGGCGGTGACATACCCGTAGTCACAGAGACAAGCGCAGATGCTCTCCTGTGGCTAGGGCAGGCTCTGCAGCAGTTGGCCGCAGATGGGCAGCCCGCTTACTCGCCCATGAATGTGTTGGACCTGCTCTTGTTGCCACTGCCGGTCTTGGACCTGGAAAGCAGCGATGGCGCCTCCTCTGCAGACCCCCACACGCCCGTCCGGTTTGCACCCCCAGGTAACGAGCCACTCTGTGTTATATTTGTTTGAAAAGCAAATGAAGAGCTGGCTGCAAAGGGCCCTTTGCCTAGATAAAGGATTGATACCATGTGATGTGCCTCAAGCAGATTTGTCTGTTGTACAGCTTGGCTTACCCTGTAGACCCGCTTCCTCGTTATCCGCTTGATGGGACACGGTGACCTTGCAGGGTCACGCTAGTCCAGACATTTCTTGCTGATGCTGAGGTCTTTGTGTGCAGGACTCCCAAGGGGCATGCCAGCCACTGATGTCAGAGCTGTGTCCAAAGACAGCACCCTCCGCGCTGGTTTCTTCAGCCCCTACCTCTCACAGGTGCCCCCCCTGCATTGTGAAGTGCTGCCTGGAAGAAGCTCTGCAATTTCTTGTCGACTGCAGAATTCAGTCAGTCAGTCAGATTTCATTATTTCCAGCCAATGAAGGGCCGATGCAATGCCTGACTCTCAGTCTCAGTGTCAGCGCCCAGCATGACATTTCAAAGCATCTGAAAGAGTACTAGCGACACCGACCAAATTATGCTGCCAGATGATTTGCCTGCAGCAGGACAATGAAACAGGGAACAGATAACGCAACATGTCTGATGCATTCACAAAGTACCGCAGAAGTGCTGCAATTGGTCCAATGCAGTCGCAAGTCACTGAGGGGCATACCTTGCGCGTTTTCAAACAGGTGTTCCAGGATGACTTCAGAGTTACCGAGGATGTCCAGGACGTTATCACCAACAATCCAATGAACAGCACCTACCGCATCCACCTGCGCACAAATGTGTTGTCAAAACCAGTGGTGAGTCCTTTTCACTGCAGCCGCTTGCTTGATATGCACCACCAGCATGTGTCTACAGATGCTTGGCTGCGTCTTCTCACCTGCTGTCCTCTCAACCTTGTCAAAAGAGCGCTGGTGGGCATCCATGTCTCGCTTATGTTGCACTTTTGCAGCCACAGGTTGTTCATTAGCGGGGGTGTGGCAAAGTGCGAAGGCCTGCATTCCGCGAGTGCTTCAGTCCGTGAGTGCTTTGCAATGTGCTGTGCAGATTGACAGGGTCACATTTGATGTCATCGGACTGGAGTACCGAGTCTCCCTGGCAGATCCACTGGCGCTGCCCCGGCAGGCCATAATTAATGATCTGACCGTGACGCTGAGTGCAGACGCTGTGCATGTCAAATCTGCAGCAGCCGGCGGGGGCCACCAGCTCAACATTGAGGTCATTTTGAACAGCATGGTGCGTTGCTTCCTGGCCTCTTGTTGATCCGCCCAATCTGGAGATATACCAGAAAAAGCACCAGAGACATCATTATTATCCTTTCATCCCCCTATGTTATAAGAATGTATGTGGCAGGTGGACGACTGCTAGCAAATGGCTTCACATGCAGCTGCAAGTCTACCTGGCGGGGTTGTGTAATTGTTCAGTAGTCTGCAGTACTCATCAAGCATGTCCTCTGTAATGCTTAGTGACAGTGACTGCCTGTCTGCAGGCATGCCCCGCCTTGAAGATTGCCTACACCCAGTGGAACCTTGCCAAGACAGGCCCCTCGGGCGTGCGAACTGAGTGGCGCAACCTGGATGGGAATGTGGCTGATGCAAGCACCTTCCTCCTCGAGCCTGCCCAGGTATGGTGGCAGACTTTTCATCGGTGCACTTACACATGGACACGCCATGGCAGAGTGGAATCCATTGTCAGCCTGCTGCAGCCGGGTTATCTTGCACAGAATTTGGTGAGCTTGCAAACTGTCAGCAACTGGTCGTGATGGTCATGAGTAATAGAGGTGATATTGTACTGGTGAAATGAATCATTTCAACCACAATGAAATGCATAGAAGGGCCGATCCACGATTCTGTCAACTAGTTGCATGCACCAGTAGATGTTCTGCAGGGAGCTCGGTTCTGCAGCAGCTGACGCTTATTTATGAGCTGCAGACGCACTCTGAGAAGCTGGAAGATCCCAAGGACGAGCTTGTCGAGGGCCTTCAAACCAGGTTGCCGGGACATGACCAGGTAATCAATTGCCCCAGAGTCAAAAACATATCTGATGTCCTGACACAGTCCATCTTGCATATGAACACCTAGCTTACAACCACGCATGCCATCCTGAATGTGAGGATGCGTTTGAATACTTCTCAAAGTTGGAAAATGTCAAGACAGGGGTGCACAGAGTCTTTTTTTTGAGCGGAAATGGGCTTGACTACACCGGACTTTCAGGTTCTTTTGCATCAGCCCTCAGGAAAAGGCCAGATGGCATCTCGCAGCCACAGCCCTGTCTATCGAATCACTTTGCATGAAAGCCCAGGAGATTTGTTGGTGTGAGCATTCACCTGGGGCCTGCAATGTTGCAGGGCGAGGTTGCGCGACTGGCCGGCAGCGTGAAGGGCCTTTATAACATGAAGTCCGGTGCGCGACCTCTGCAATACCTTGGCGCCACCGGCGACGGGACATCTGTCATCCCACAGGCACCCTTTGCGGCGAATGTGGAGGACGCGAGGGCCATGTGAGTGACGCCGCCTCTTTGCATGCAGACCTGCAGCTGATTCCAATTGCAAGAGCTAAGGAAGAAGAAGACGTTGCGCACCTTTATAGTGAGATTTTCTTTTGTAGCCCAACTCAAACCAATGGCACAGCTGATATCGCCTGAGCCTTCGGGCCTCCTGCCTTCTAGCTGCAACTGACATTTATTGCATATGATCTTGGTCCTTTACATGTGATCCTTGCTTGGATCTGGCAAGTCCGACGAGGGGTAGGATTGTGGCAGCATTTAACTGCAGCTCGTCATGCAGGACGCACCTTGCCTCTTGGCAGAAAAAGCGTGTAATTATAGACAGAATGTGCTATGAGCAGACAGGAAGTCAGGCTCAAAATGTGACTCTGACTGTTATTTTGAATTGAACAGGGTGCCGGGAAAGCTGCCGCCGCGCTCTGCTGGTGCTGACAAAGTGAGGGCAGGCCTGCTAAAGGCAGCTGATGCCGTCAGGCAGAAGGAACTGTCTGCAAGTGATGCCATCGCCAACAATTTTGCAACGGCCGAGGAGCTCATCGTTTCTGGTGCACTGACGCTGGATGAGGTGAGCACCACTCCATGAAATACATCAAAGGATAAGAGCTTGTTTGTGATTTAGCACCCCAGTGAAAGGAGCAGGCCGAGTTTTTTGCTCAGTGGTCTTTGCCAGGGGCTCATTGTGATAGGCAACAGCACTCTTAGTGCATCGGTGCGTCAAAAAGTAAGAACGCCCAAGAATTGTCATTTTTGGTCCATGATAAGGCGCAGAAACTGACACAGAATCTTTCGTTGCTTTGTGGATTTGCTTTCTGTCCTGGTCATCACACTGACGCTGTTCGCTGCAAATGCAGGCGAAAGAGAGCAAGCTGCTGGATCCGGTGGCTGCTATACATGCCGGCCTCATCAGCGCAGCGGACGCTGTGAAGTCGGAGAAAGTAAAGCCGGGATACATCACAGCAAGAGAGGTTGTGGACTTTGGTTTTGTGTTGGCCAAGGATCTCATCCCCGACAGGATCAGTCTCACGCAGGTGAGTGCAAAAGCATGCGTCAGCATTTCTGGATCCATCTGTGCATATGTCTCATGCAAGGCGACATGTCTTTAGTTTCTGGGTATATGGGAACGAGGTACGTCCAGCAGCTCTTGTCGCAGATTTCTCCATGCTCTGCGGTTATGGCACGGTCTTTATCAATGGGATGACAATCCAACGGACTCAAACTCCTTCGTTACACATGATTGCCTTTTCTTTTGTGAAATTTGTCCTGCTCTGCTCTACAATCTTGCAGCACGCAACTCCGAGTAGGCCCGTCAGGAAGCTGGCGATGCTACCAGTGTGCACTGCAGGCGCTCACGGACGGCATCATCTCTCCAATTGCTGCCATCAGGAACAAGAAGTTATCTGCAGCCGAGGCTGTCAGGGAAAGGGGGCTGCTGACATGGGCAGACGCTTACAACGAGGCGCTCCTCTCACAGGACGATCTCAAGAGGCTCAGCGCAGAGGAGGTGGGCCTCCTCTTTCCTGTTTCTGCAGTCATTTGGTGAAAGAGTGTTAAGGCGCCGAGTCAAAGATGAAAGCAAGATGTAGGTCAGGCCGCACAAGGGTAGCGCAAGGATTACACATATTTGGGCTTGTCAGTGGGATCGCAGTTCATGCATGCTCCCATCCACAGGAATGCATTGCTGCAGGCGAGCTTTGCTGCCTCTGCCAGCTGTCAGCGCAGACTGCTGTCTTCACAAACTTGATACAATCTGGACCAAGAGCTCTGCATGTCATGCTACTGCAGGTGCTGCAGGTCCTCAAGCCAGCTGCAGCGGTGAAGCTCGGCTTCATTCCAGCCAGCAGCATCAAACAGAAGGCCAATCTAAATGACGACCAGGCCAAAGACCTGGTGCTCACAGGCGTTGTCCCTGCCGTGGACGGAGTGAGGGCCGAGCTCATCAAGTTGGATGAAGCCTACAGCGCCAAGCTCCTCACCGGCCAGGACTACAAGGTTCTGTTAGGCGAAGCAGCTGCAGCTGGCAGCCAGGGGGCCAACCTTCTGGACGCATCTAACCTGTGAGTCTTCCATCTCTCACGGCGCTATGATTTTAGGTTTAGGGTGTTGATTCTAAGTCCCTCAACCCTAATATGTATACACAATATCTCTCATGGCACTGTGGTGACGTTGATTTGCAGTAGGCACTATGACTTCAGGTGTAGGGTATTTATTCTGACCCCCTCAACCCTAATATATATATATATATATATATATCACTCACGGCACTGTGGTGACGTTGGCTCGCAGTAGTATGCAGCAGATCAGCTGGTCACTGCATGTCCCATTTTCCTGTCACGCAGCTTGGTATTGCGGGATCGACCCGCCAGCACACAATTGGAAATCAACATTCGGCCCGCGCATTGCTGCATGGAGAAAGCATGAGGGATGGCTGATGTGACAGCGATGGTTGTTGCCACGATTGCTGCGGTTGACGGATTTGTGCTCTGGATGCAGGGGCTTCAGTGTTGACTTCCCAATTCCCATCCCAGGGGATGACGACTTCCCAATTCCCATCCCAGGGGATGACGACTTCCCAATTCCCATCCCAGGGGATGGCGAATTCCCAATTCCCATCCCACCAGGGGGCGGCATACCAAACCCATTTCCAGGCGGAATCATCATCACGGTCCCTGGTACCGACATAGAAATACGTATTCCCTATCCGAACGGCGGGGACGTATCAGAGGGATACAAGGACCTCTTCAAAAAGGTGGGGTCCTCTCCCGGACTTAGGCATGTGACAGTCTTCACCTGAGTCCAGGCGCGCAAAAAATGGATATGGCTTTTGGCTGCATGCAAGTCATATTTAAGGATGCTGTAGAGAAGTCTTGTTTATGAAGGATGCTTCCTTGATGGTGGCCTTGCATGATCTGCACAGCAGCAGCAGCAGCAGCGTAAGTCAGAAAGACTGTGATGAACAGGTGGTCGAGGGAGGGAAGTCTGTGAAGGAGGCTCTCAGCGAAGACCCAACCAAGACTGTCGCTGATGCTGTGAAAGCTGGCGTGGCGACAGTGAGCGAAGCCATCAAGAGCGGCTTGACTGACGCCAGGGGCGTAGGGCTCACCTTGGAAGAGGTAATGCTCTAACTCAACAAGATGATATATTGTGCTGAACAGTGGAAATTCGATGGTTAGTCCGCCCAATTTAGAGAAGCACTTGAAAAGAATGGACTCGGTCGTGTTATGGAGTGCCCAAATGTACATCGAGGTGCAAATACAGGGGTTTGGGAGCTAGGAGCAACGGCAAATTTATTGACGAGGATTAGAGACTGGGAATTGTTACAACAAGTACCCACGTGCGGACCCCTCTAGGTTTGGTGACTGCTGCACAAATGCTTGTTGGTCACTCATTTGTGCAGGCTTTTGGGCAAAATCTGCTGACGCCCCTCGCTGCAGTGGGCTTGGATGCGCTGGCTGTCACCAAAGACACATTCACGAAGTGGAGCCTTTCTGCAGAGGCTCTGGTTGATCGCGGGTTCATCTTTGCGGAAGACCTCATTGCGAAGGAAATCACAACGGTGGCGCAGGTAAGCCGCGTCACAGATTGCTCTGGATTGAGCGCTCACTCCTTTCAGGGTGTCTCTTGCCTCCCAGTCATGCCAGTACTGGGCGGACTCAAATTCCAACACAACGTCAAACTCGCAATCAAAGTGCAGACCAAGGCCTGCCTTGCAATTGCCAGTGTTGCACAATGCAGCTTGATGACGCCGTCAAAATCCTCCGGCCAGCTGACGTATTCGTGCATGCAGGCATTTGAAAAGAAACTCATCACGGGCGCTGCCATTGTGGTGAAGGGCCTTGCCAGAGTTGAAGATGCTGTAAAGGACGGGTATCTCAACGCAAAGCATGCAGTCGAGACCAGCTTGGCAACAGCCAAGGCCCTCATCACGGCTGCAGTCCGGAACCCTGAAGACCTCATCCCGGAGCTGAAGAAGGTGCGCTCTCTCCCCTGTTGAGCTCCACCGTTACATGTAGAGCGCAGGTCTGTGAGTTATTTCATTATCTATTACCCCTCTCCAATAACCCACTGCATGGGGTGCAGAACTAGTAACGGCAGGGCATGGGCATTGAGGTGGCTGTGAATAATGCAGAGGTCTAAAAGATTCCTTGATTTGGAGAAATTTCTGCTCTGGGTGCTGCTGCTGTCTGGCCAAACGGAGTGCTGCAATGTTTCTGGTTTGCATGAAGTCTCGAGCAGCAATCTCTTCCCCACGTGGTGACGTTACAAGACATATCAACCCAACTTGCCAGTCCCTCTTGTGCGCCCCTTTGTCGACAATATCCAGGGGACCCTAAACCAAACAATTAGCTTAGTCCCCTCGTGCCAGAGGCAAGGTGCGTGTGCAGGCACGCTGCATGTATTGGCTGCCAAAATCCTGCCCCTTGATGAGCTTGCCGGACCCAAGCAAGTCTAAGAGTATACGAGCAGGCAAAACCAATGTGCCTTGCAGCGCTTGTCAGCCACAATGAATGCCTGTCTGTACACCAACAGATGAACCGCCCGATGCTGCCACAGCATGGATGCAGCCTTGAAGCAGGGACTTTTGGGAAACCTGCAAAGTTTACTGTTCTGCAGTTTCATGGTATACACCTTCGAATGTGTTTTGGTCTTGTGTAGGCGCTCGCTGCTGCCTTGATTGCCACTGGAACTGCTGCAATTGTGGAGGGAATAGTGGATGCAGTTGCTGCTGTCAAGGGCACCATCATCTCAGCGAAGGTTGCCATACAGCATGGCTTGACCACTGCCAAGGAGCTCATCAATGCTAAAGTCTTGGCAGAGACCGGCAAACTGCTTGACTCCCTGAACAAGGTGACCTTTTACAGCCGGAACCTCACTTGATTTTTTTTCCCTTGAGGGGCGCTGCTATGTGCTGTACAAACCAATCTTGTCCGCTTGACACTCTGCCTTACATCTTGCAATTATGAGGCCTGTAGAATTATGGTATGCGCTGTTCCTCAACACGCGGTTCCTGCCAGAGACGATGTGCAAGGCAGTTCTTCATAGGTAGTGGCATGCTGGCCTACTTCGTTCACGATGAGATTCAAGGCGATGTGCATTTCTGTCAGAGGCAGTAGAGCGTGCAGAGACGAGGGCTGCAAGCTTCAAGATATCCAATTAGTACTTGAATGACTAACCTCACAACACCCATGCGCATGCATGCAGGCCATCGAGGACAACCTCATCACCCCCGTAAAGGCTGTCAAGGAGGGCATCATTGGCTTGGGTGACGCCATCCAGGAGCTAGTCATTACCCCTGGAGTGGCGATCGGCGGGCAGCTGGTGGCTGTGGGGGATGCCATCAAGGAGGGCTGGGTGACTGCAGCAGGTATGCGAGTATCTTGGAGAGGCATGCAGCTATGGAACTTGCTGAGAAGTCTGGTGTGCAGGTCCACGGTTGGTCAAGCATGATGCATGCAAGATCAGAACGCCTCTGTCAACTAGCAAAAGCCTGAGCAGATATACCCCTGCAGAGCATGCATACCGTGGCGGAATTCCCAACTGCTACTTATTATCAGGGTTTAGAGACCTTGTGGGAGCGACCTACTTAGCAAGGATCATCAATTGGTTTTGTAGTCAGTCTGTCACCGCTCAACTTCATATCACAACCTTCGCATGTGTCTACATTACGTTAAAAATTTGGCAATCCTAATGCTGTTCTGGTTAGTCAGCGGCAGAAATGCGAGCGGGTTCAAGCACACTCAAGTGTGGTATTTGCTGAGCAGTGTTGTCAACGTTGCAAGTCAATATACCAAGTCCCTTGACAACGTATTGTTAAGACAACCGGCCCTGGCGGGCGGAGGGCGGTACAAATAATGAGCACCGTGCCCACAGTTAATTGTGTCTTGCTTGGATCTGGCCAGTCCAACAAGGGGTAGGATTGTGGCAGCCTTTAAGTGCAGCTTGTCTGCAGGACGCACCTTGCCTTTTGGCAGGAAAAGCGTATAATAAGAATAATAATAATAGTAACCCTGCAGGAGGGGAGCCGCGTGCTGGTCAGTGCCTGATGCGATTCTCACGCGGTGTGTCTGCTGTGCTCCAGAGAAGCTCGGCGATGCTGCGGGGGACATCGGCAGGGGTGTGGCTGGCCTCAGCCAGAAGGTCTGGGACGAAGCCGGGAAGGCGCTGGAGCATGTGAACGCCGTTGTGCTGGTGCCCGGCACAAACTTCCTGAGTGTCGTTGTGGACGGTATCGTGGACGGCGTCAATAAAGCTGTGGTGTTTGTCATACAGCTTGAGACTGACGTTGCACAATTCGCCGCCCTTGTGGTCAAAAAGGTGTGCTCAAGCCATACCACTCCTAAACTCTATAATATGCTTGCCACATCTGTCAACTGTGCCATGACACATGCATGCTGCCAGCCGCAACAGGCAGCCACTTAGCTGGATAGTTTTTTTTTGTCTTGACCGCTTTTTCGGGTGTTTTGCTTCCTCCGCTTGATTGGACACGAATTGGTCATCACGCCTTGGTTGGATCAATCAATGTGGCTTTCTGACAAAGCTGAAATTCTGCAGGTGGAGGGCGCAATCCAAGCCATCATTGAGTTCCTGAAGAATCTCTTTGCCTTCAAGGACTACATCAAGACCTCTGATAAGCTGAAGAGCCTCATCAGGTGAGCACGCCACTGTGTTCTCAGGTCTGAAACAATGATGCATGCATGCGCATCAGTGCTGCAGCACAATCACACAATCCGTTAGTCATCCCTGTGGAGCAAAAGTAAAGCAAGCAAGGTGATACGAGCAGTATACTAGGAACATCTAGTTTTGCATGCATGATAATAAGCACTGGGAGGCTGAATTCTGAAGATGGCTTCTTGAGCTCCAAGGTAGAGGTGAACGTCTTTGGCATGTCTGGATCTGGAGATTCAGCCATTCCTTCCAGCATGCAGCGCACGACCTTGCTATGAACTTCTTCTGGGATTTCGAGACTCGAGAGCATGTACATGTGCGTGCAGGAACTCTCTCGAAGGGCTGGCAAGCAAGCACGGCTACATCGACTCGATAGCTGCGCAAGTGAGGGCCAAGGAACGAGAGGTGGTCAGGAGTGTGGATACTGTGACACAGACTCTGGAGGCTGCGCTGGGCATCACTGTAAGAGTTCTCCAAATCACACTGTTCCTGAGGGCTTGCTTGTGACAACTCATGATTGTGCTCATGGAATACTTTGTAGATTAGGGCTTTGCTGCCGTCCAGAAAATGGAACCTCAGGTTTGCAGCTTGCAGGCACCCGTTCTTGTCCATCTGTTGACTGCTGCGTATATGTAGCTCAGCCGTAGAGCCTTAAGCTGCTGTGTGTTTGCTTACCTGCAGCCGAGCCCACCGGGCAGCCAGGATCATCCCCAGGCAACTATTGCCTTCACGCCCCCCAATGTTGCGGCTGACTGGCTACTCGACAAGCTGGGCAACGTGATCCGCTTCCTGCCGGTGCAAGACTACGTCGACTCTCTAAACCAGGCCTCAGTTGACGCCATGAACAAGGCCTTTGACGCCCTCAAGCCTGTCACAGACATCCTGGACAACATCGTGGCGGCGCTTGGACCCCCCATAGTGAGCGCGCTGCTGACAGGCAACCTGGAGCGCATGATTGCCACAGTCATAGAGCTGGTGAGTTTTACTGTGCTGCTACTCTGCGATTTGTGTATCAATGACAAGACGAGAGATGGACGTGCACAGTTCCAAGTAAGGTGGATTGTTTCAGGTTTCAAAGGGGCATCTGTACCTCTGCTCGCAGCAACCGCCTGGAATCACTGCGCTGCGTTTGCCCAATTTTGTCATCTGTTTTCCTTTAATGGCCATTATTGCCAACCCACTTGGGCTATCTTGCATCGCAAGGTGTAGGGAGAGAACACCTGCATATGGACACCATTGATTGCCTTTTGCAGATCCCCAACAAGCTGAAGACTGCCATCCACAACATGGTCGTGCCCCTGGAGAAGCTGACTGAGACTGTATCCGAGGCATTCAAGATCTTCCAGAAGGCAGTGGGCGAGAAGCTGAGCGCGGACAACCCTCTCTTCATCGTCCTGTGCCCCCTGTAAGTGACCTGCGGTTGTAGGGTGCTCGGTGTAATAATCACCCTTATACATTGTCTTGCTGCCAGGGTGGTCCTACATACCAGGGGCCATTGTTTAGTGACGCCTGTTGCAGCATGCATTTGCAAGGCAATGCCAGCTGGCAGTCCAGTGAGAGGGCAAACACTGGGAGTACGTGTTGTTTGCCTGTTTAGCGCTGATTGTGCTTTGGATTGCTGAAATGTCACCTGATTCATCACAAACCAGCACAGATGTAGCGTCTCAGTAGCGTGCCCTGCTCTGTAGATCATGCTGTGTGCCTCTTCCCGGTGCAAGGACAAGACCTGTGATGCAGGTGGTATGGCGTGGGAAAGATTTTGTCAGTATTTGACCTGGAGGACTATTTGAAGAAGGTTGCTCTTCTGGACATCATGACACTGCCCCTGGCAATTCCCCTCACCATACTGCTGAAGGTGCATTGCTCATTCCTGCTCCTGTGGCTTCCCTGTGCGCCAAAATCTGGAATGGAGTGCTGTTGCGCCAGGATGCAAATGCTGCATGAATGCTGCAGTGTTATCCGCAAATTTGGGCTGAAACTCCGAGCCTGTTTCCAGAACAAGGGCGTCTTTGATGATTTCCTGGACTGCCCTTTGGACTTCCTGGCCACTGATGGCGTGATCAGCGCGCCAGGTGCCGCGCCGGCCATCAATGGGGGAGGACCACGGCAGGTGTGCTATGCAGTTGATGACTCATTTGAAATGCAAATGTGCATTGAGAACACTCTCCTAGGACACAGATTCCCTTGCTCGTGCTCGAGAGGTTCCATGCGCAGTGCCTTTTTGTGTGCAGTGCTGTAATGAGAAGTGCTGGGGCGTCAGTGGAACAGTCTGAGTCGTTGACAACACGCTCAGCTTGCATGTGCTGCAGTGCCCGGCTAAAGGGATCTTGCACACTTGGCAGCATGATCCTTTACCGTCTGCTGATGTATGCCATGATCTGTGTGCAGCCGGCAGCCGCAGACGGGGCAGGTGCCTTTCTGGCGCCGCTCACGGCGGAGCAGCGCAAAGCCATGTCTGTTGCGCGCACGCTGACAGACAGCTTCGGGGGCATCATTCGAACCCTGGCCTACAACGAACCCCAGCAGAAGCTCCTGAACGGCCGCGGCATGACCCTGTGGACGCTCATCGGGATGACGTACAACGTGGTGTCTCTGTCAGCAACTTCCATGATGATCGTTGACCCAAAAAACGCTGGCAGCATCGTTCCGGCTGGCCTGGCGCTGTCCTTTGAGGTGGTGACACGCTGCAGCAAGTCGGACAAGGCACCCAAAGAGCGAGGCATCTCTCTGCTGTCCCTGCTGTGCCTTACCCTCGGCACAGCCGCGACCACGGCCCTCAACACAAGCAACGACGCCGCTCTTGTGAGCGTGAAGGGCGTGGATCAGAGCAACGTAAGGGATTACAGCATTGCAGCATGGAGCTACCTGGCGCTGTCTTTCATGCCAGGCACGGCCAGCCTTCTGTTGGACGATGGCAGCGGGGATGTCTCAAGGCTGCAAATGCTGCTGGTCTGCTTGGCGGGCATCTATGCCGGCCAGGCAGTCGTGGATGCTGCCATAATCGATAAAGGCCCCTGGTGACGTGGCAAGCTTTTGACGGCGCTTTGTGCGGGCAGCAAAATCAGAGTCGGCTTAATATTATATTTGCTTTAAGCGCCTTGATTTGCACGGAGTGCTTGCCTTTGAGCTGGATTTTGCGCCATGTGTTGGCTAACAACATGTGCAAAGAAAAAGATGAAATCAGGTTCACCCTGATAAGTTATAGGGCAGAAATGTTGCCTGTAACTTCACTGCATCAGCAAATGCTTCAGCTTTTTTTGCGACATCCAAGGTTTAAAGCGTAATATCCACACTATAAGTTTATCATTATTTGATTCTCCATTTTGGCCGAGCCGACTTTCATGGCATCCAAAGCCTTGCCAGTGCAGTTTGCATTTAAGTGCCTTGACTTCCCAGAAACATAAAGCAAGGGACTCAAGGCATGACACTTAAATTATCTCAATTGCCGCATGCGCATCACAGCAATTGTCTCTTTCACTCCAAAGTCAGACCGCAGTGTAGCAGCTCATGGCAACATGCATGATGCATGTGCCCTGACATGGTTGCCAATGTGTCAGGCACCATAAAATGGTACTCCCAAGCACAGCAGCAGCAATCTTGCGTGGTGTATCTTGTGCTTCATCGGATCTTGCTGCGATGAGTCATGGAACCAGAAGTCAGTCGAAGCGCCCAGCGCAGGGCAGCCCAGGGCAGTCAGATGAGGAGATGGAGCCGCCCCTCCACGATCTCCTTCTTGCAAAGGTCGAGTCTATGATCCACGGCCTGGAAAGCAAGCTTGACAGTAAGCTGGACGAGAAATTTGGGGCCCTCTTCCCTCAGCTGAAGGCAGAGCTCAAGGCAGAGCTGAAAACCGAGCTGAAGGATGAGGTGGTGGCTGAGCTGAAGGCAGAGCTGCTGCCTCTCCTGCGCGCTGAGCTGGCCAAGGACACGCAGACCAGAGCCGCCTCCAACGATGAAGCAGTGGTGAACAAAGTGCACCATCTGGAGTCTGTGGTGGAGTCTCAGGCCCGCCAAGCCAGGAGTGCCAACCTGATCTGCCATGGTCTGGCAGAGGACAACACAGAGAATGTCTCAGCCCGCGTGGCAGCGCTGTTTGACAGCAACAGCGGCCCCCCTGCTGTTGTCAGCGAAGCTCGCCGCCTCGGTGCCCCCAGCGCCACGCGCACCAAGCCGCGCCCCGTGCTCATCAGCTTCAGCGGCGTGGCAGCCAAGCACGCTGCCCTCAAGCACAGCAAAGCCCTGCGCCAGCGCCAGATTTTCCTGGATCCCGACCTCACCCCGCAGCAGCAGCGCATCCGCGTCAGCATGCGCCCACACTATGTCGCCCTGAAGACAGCCGGCAAGCAGCCCTTCTGGCGCGAGGAGCGCCTCTTCGTCCGGGAGGGCGACCGCGTGCGTGAGCACATGCCTGTGCCTGGGCCTCCCCCGGCTGCCGCGCCGGGCGCCGCTGCCGCCCCGGGTGCTGCCACTGCCGGGCCCTCTCAGGCCGCGCCTTCCTCCCCCGGCCGCGCCGACTCCTACGCCGAAGCAGTGCGCCGCTAGGAAGTCTCCAGCCGCCTATCGCTGCGTATATTGTCCTGGAATGTCAATGGCTTACATGCTAGCAAAATATCCTTGTGGGACACGGCAGCCTATCTTGACCAGTTCGATATTGTACTTCTGACTGAGGCCCGTTGCTTGACCTGGGATGACTCGATCTTGCCTCACCACTCTGTGACTTTCACGGCTGCTAGTGAAGAGGGCAAGGCGGGTGAAGGCATTGTTGTTGCGGTTCGGAAGCACCGTGATTACCACGCACAAGACTGGGTGTCAGACACTGACAGTGCCTTATGGGTGAAAGTGCAGTTTGAGGGGGACTCTACACCGCTGCTGATTGGCTCCAGCTATGTGCCTCCAGCGGGTTCCCGGCAATTGCAGACTGTGGACCTGACCAGTCGATTTACGGGCTTATGTGCAGAAGTTGTTGCCGCTCGTGCTCAGGGCAATGTGATCCTGGCAGGAGACTTCAATGCTCGTGTGTCAAATTTGCCTGACGCTGATGACAGCAATACTCGAGGCTGCACTGATGAAGGTGTCAATGCTCATGGGCTGCGCCTGTTAGATTTTTGCAAGGAAACTGACATGCTCATATGCTCTGGCAGAGTGCTAGGAGACCTTGAAGCAGTGCCTACCTTTAAGGCCAGAACCCATACTCAGGCAACTAGACCTGATCATGTTCTCGTTTCCGCTGATGCGCTCCCCTTGATTTCTCATCTTGTTGTGAACACTGGTAGAAAAGACTCTGATCATCATCCTATTGAGATGACGTTGCAAGTGAATGTGGCTGCCAGTGTTCCCTTACCATGTATTGGGGCGCCATTGTCACGAGTGAAATGGCAGCCCAGTGCTAGGAATGCGTATGCTGCTGCTTTGCGCAATGTTGCCAGTGCAAGTCTTGACGCCTGCACAGGCCATGCTGTGGCTGGGGAACTTGATGCAGCCTTTCAGACCCTGGAGGCGGGGATCCGGGAGGCCGCAGCCGCGAACAGCATGCCGGCCCGCACCGGGCGCCATCAGCGCAAGGCGCGTGCCGACGCGCCCTTCTTCGATTCGGAGTGCCGCCAGCTTAAACGGGACGTCCGCGCCCGCGCGCGGTGCGGGGGCGATCCAGCCGAAGTGCGCGCGCTGGAGCGTGCCTACCACAACACCGTCCGCCACAAACGGCGCGCTCACCGGCTCGCGCAACTGCGCCGCCTGCTTGATGATTTGCACAGTGACCCCCGAGCCTTCTGGAAGCGGCTCAAGTCTCAGCAGTCTGATATACCTGAGCAGCTCAAGCCAGTGCAATTGTGGGCTGGCTATCTCAAGCGGGTTGCAAACTTGCAGTTGCCACTCATTGCTGAGCTGCCCCACTTGTCTTTCCCTGTCCAGCCCAGTGCTCCTGTTGCCCATGTTGATGCTCTCAATGCACCCATCTCTCTTGGGGAGGTGCTTGCTGGGCTCAAAAGTTTACACAATGGTCGTGCCACCGGAGTGCAAGGTTTACCAGCTGAGCTGTTTCGGTATGCAAAAGATGAGCGGGCGCCAGGCATGCCTCCTCCGGAAAATGTCCTGGCGCCTGCTTTGGTGGCTGTGCTGAACTCTGCATTTGTGGCTGGGCAAGTGCCACCCTCTCTGAATGGTAGCCTGATCACCCCTGTGCACAAGAAAGGCAGCAAGCTTGACATGCTCAATTATAGACCCATTGCCGTTACTGAGCCCATCATGCGCTTGTATGCTGGCATATCCTGAGTTTGAGGACCGCTTTGAGGACTGCCTGAGGACCATATCATTAGGGACAAAAATCAACTTGCAACGAGTACCCAAAGCAGCGGGCACCCCAAAGTGCCCAGAATAGGCGCACGTGGTCCAATAATCCCGAATTTCGACGGAAACTTGTGTTTCTGACCAGACGAGGGTCCTTTTCAGTTATACGTCCCGTCAAACCTGATTTTAAAAATTGTAATAAGCTCCTACAACTGTTGATCAGGCCGCCCGATCCTGATTGCAAGCAATTGCGACCCGCACCCGTGTCGATGAGTCCATCCGGAATATGCAAGACGCTGCACGATCGTCGTCACTCGCCTGCGAAGGTGAGTTCGAATCTACTACTAGTCTTAGACACCAAAAACTGCTGTGTTGATTCTCAACGTCTCCTGCAACTCGAGAATTAACGTCTTCAAGTAGTCCGGAACAGATTCCGGAACAGATTGTGCACTGACAGCGAATCCGCCTTGCTTCAGAAACAAATGTAAGGTTGAAACTGTTTGATCTGCAGGCAGCGAGACAAAGGGCGCAGGAAAATGAAGCCTGGCGTTCCGTCAAGAAGTTTGCGCTCGCGATCCTGCACGAGCTACAAGACGGTGGACCTGTTCCCTTGGCTCCGATTCTGCTACAACCATCTTTCTACGAGACGAAAGATCTTTGGATAACGTTACAGTTTCTGGTAAGTTTCTGTCCCCGTCCTGTCTTTTCTTGAATGCTTTTGATGAAGTACTCGATTGCATGTGGTCCCTCCTTGTGTTTGTTACTAACTGCTACTTCTGCAAGTAGAATATCGTTCTGCTACAGGTTTCATGGAACTTTGTGGAATGCTCGCAAGCGCTCACGCCTCATGCGGATTTTAGCAGCCTGACTGTGAAGCTTGGCATGCCTGTGGAGGATTTTGACAAGCATGCAAGACTGACAGACATGAAGAATTTCTGCTGGATGCTTTGGTTTGAAATCAGTGGGGAAACTTTCACACAAGAAGCTTTTGTGCACTTGCTGAAATTTGCTCATTAGAGGGCAGCCAGCTTGCATTGAGTCACAGTGTGCATGTTGCACTGTATAAAGTTGATGACTGAAAATCAGTACAATAGCTATTTCTGCATGCTTTTTAACATATTGACTGATAGAACATGATGATATCATTGATATCAGTAACCTGCACAACACTGAACCAGAATTTGTCACACACGGACTTGATCTCTTAAGCTAATCTTGATCTCTAAGCTGCTCATGCTGGCTTATTCATGTATTGGCTGTTTGTAGACCATTAAGCAACCCCTACATAAAAAAGGCATTCCTCTGTTCCACCATTTTTCGTTCATAAGATTCGGTATGCACATGGAGCACAAAATACTCATCCCCCCTCCTCCTGCGCCTTGCCCTTCTTCTTCCCAAGCGACTTGATGAAGGCAGGCATGGACAGCCCAGCTGCGTTGCGATCATTTTCCAACTGAGTGAGCACGCGCTGCACTGCTGTGGGCCCCGCGCGGGTGGCAGGCATCTGAGCTGCCAACCTCTGCACTTCCAGGGCAGCCTCCTTCCACTCAAAGAAACGCTGCTTCACATTCTTTTGGCTGCGCACCTCCAGCGGCAGGCAGCTAACGGCAGCACTGCCGCTGAGGCTGTCACCATGTTCCCAGAGCTGCCAGAACTGCTGCATGGAGTCCAAGTGCCTCAGCTGCGGAATTGCGCGCTGCAAACGCTGTGCAGGACCTGTGCTCCCACTCTGCAGGCCTGCGGTCGGTGCTACTGCCGCGCGTGCCGCTCCAGGCAGCATTGAGTTGTGCAAGGCTGCTGGTTGGGCTGATGCGCCCGCTGCAGCATGCTGGGGCTGCAACATCATGTCATTGATAGACACCACTGGCAGAACGCCGTATCCAGGCACAAGCACGAACTTGCTGTTCGCCACAATCTCGCTGTGCTCGCGCTGTTCCCTCTGCTCTGGAGTGCCCAGCAGCCTGGCGAATGGCCTGGAGAGGACATTGGACGAGCCCAGCACCGGCCCTGCACGCGCCGCTGGCGGCCTTGCAGGGGGCACCATAGGCGCTGCCCACGGTCTGTCCACATCAGCTTCAGCCGCTGCCGGTGGCGCTGCCGCTGCCACTGCTGCCACATGGGCTGAGGGTGCAGCTTCAATGGGTGCCACTGCCTCAGTCCTTTGTGGACTGCTGTCTGATGAAGCTGATAGCTGCAGCAGGGGTGCTTCATCCCCTGGCTCCCCCAGCTCTGGAAGCAAAGCCTCCTCCATCGCCTCCACCATGTCTGCAACAATCAAAATGAATGCCTTCACGGATCTTCATGTATTTAGAAAATTCCATCGAGAGCAGCAAACTAGAAGAGATTCAACTTTGCGACTTCACTGGGTTTCAGTGCCCAACATTGGACAGGAGCTGGTGCTGCACAGCTGTCAATTCTGCCTGATGAGATTGATCCAGAACGGCAAGTGCTCTTTCAGCTTCAAGCAAGTGTGCACACAATTTATGAGAACACAGGAACTCACCAATGCATTTGATCTCCCGCGGGCTCATCATATCCGCCAGAAAAATCATCCTGCCATCATCTGCTCGCCCAACGCTGGCGTATAGGTAGGCAAAGGAAGACCTGTCCCTGAGAGCAGTTGCACTCGGCGAGGCTAGCAGAAGCTTCATCAACTTCGTGTATTGGCCAATGGTCAGAGTGTCCTCCACTGTATTGTCCTGGGGGTCCACGCCCCCAGATGGACGCATGCCCTTCGCTGCCATGTTGTTTTTGAGAGTATCATAGACTGCCCCATATGTTGTGTCATCCTTCAAGGAGGAAAGCGACACCTGCATGCAAGAAAATTCATTCTGAAGCTCAGGTCTGGCTGTCATATTTCCACAGGCCACATTGCAGCACCCAAAAAGAATGTGCAGTCAACCCACCTTTCTGCGTTTCTCAGCAGGCAGGGCCGCCAGCTCCGCAGCATATCTGCTCTGCAAGGCGCTGTGAGCCCCTTCCAGGACTTTAAGCCTCTGTGAGCCACAACACATCTGCCGTTCTCAGAGGTTTCCTGTGTGGACAAAAGAAAGGCAACTTCACAGAGAGTGCGATAGAGGCAATTGAAATTACCAGCTCGGAGGCCTTCTGTGGCCAGTCCAACCCTGGCCAGTTCTTGCCGACCCAGTGAAGGAAGCGCACTGCCACATCCACACCCGCCCGCACCATGTTGCCATCATAGGGCTGAGCACGCTTCCTGCCCTCCTCATCGTGGAGCAAAAACCACTGCAAAAGCAATGCATTTATTCTGAGATCCATAACCAGTGCAGGCCAGGGCTCCAACAAATTGAATCGAAATGAGATAGTGCTTCACCTCAAATCTCTTGATAATGCTGTCATACTTTTTGATTGTATTCTCCCTGCCAGAAGCTCGCCTCTCCTGGCCAATCTTTTGCAGTTCACTGGCGGACAGCCTGCACTCACAAGCAGCAAAAAACATCACTGCTGCAAGACTTCCAAGTACCAGATGGTTGAACCCGTGATCTGAACACCCTTTCTCTTCCTCCGCGCTTAGAAGACCACCTCACCGTGCAGTGGACTTCTTGGGCTTCTTTTTGGGCCTCTTTGCTGGTCGTATAGCAGCGTCTGGCTGTGACTCTGCCCCTGAATCACTATCATCTGCCAAACCCGACTCTGGATCAGACTCCTGCTCAAGGTCGGATTCGGAGGACGGAGCAGCTGCAGCAGCCACTCTTCGCCTTCTACGAGGGATGGGCTGCTCATCGGAACTGTTCGGTACTTCTGACTGCGCTGTTTGACTCGCTGATTGCTCACCTGAAGCAAGACCAGCAGACCAATCCCAACGAACCGAAATAGTTGATAACTGAAAGCAATGTTTGGAACCTGGTTTAATTGACATATCAGCAAGCAAAATGCGGAGCTCACCAGTTTCGGCAGACACTGTGCCGACTGCATGAGGCACAACATCAGGACTTCTCAAATGGTTTCGGGTTGCCAACGCCTGGCTCCGGAGTAACCTGCCTACCGGTTCTAATCCGCTTGCTGCCCTTCTCAAACTCACGAGAGATTCTAATAAATTATCAGCCTGCATACCGCACAGCACATGATCAGACACCCCATAATCAGGTTCAGCCCTCACGAAACTCCAACCAACGAGCATACTCGATCACACATTCATGCGCTAGCACTAGATTACGCGCTGGCATCCGTGCTAGGGCCCAAGGCGGGGCAGGCGGGGCTTCTGATCTCGCATCACACCTGCGCAGGTTGTCGGGTTCGTTTCGGGGCCATACATGTGCGTCCACGGCTGAAGCTCCAGGAGACAAGCCAAGCATCACCTACTATCACGGTAGCCCGGACAAGACTGGGAAACGGTGCGGGATCATGCCAGAAAGTGGATTTGATTACAGCCACATTCACGGGCACATATAGCGGCTTGAGGACCCTTCCCTAGGAAAACCCTACGGACCCTGAGGACCCACCCGCATATATAGGGGTCCTCAAATAGTAGATATGTAGTGCATATTGAATTCTCGTATTCTGAAGTACACAGAGGGGGCTGGATTGCGTGCAGCCACACAGGCTGGCTTTAGGCCAAAACTGTCTACGGCCCACCAGCTATTCACCTTGCAGCATTTTATCGACCGGCAAAACCATGCTAAGCAGCCCTTGTATTGTTGCTTTCTTGATCTGAAGGGTGCTTATGACAGAGTGAATCGGGTGTTGCTCTGGGAGAGTCTGCGTCGCCTGGGCATTGATGGCCGCCTGCTCTCTGCCATTCAGTCTTTGTATGCCAATTCTACGGTTGCCATTAAGATTGGGAGCAGGAAGGGTCCTAGTTTGCCCTCTGAGACAGGATTGAAGCAGGGTTGCCCCCTTAGCCCAACGCTGTTTGGCTTGTTTGCAGATGGCCTGCACAGGCACTTGCTGCAGAGGTGCCCTGGGGTTGGCCCGCAGTTGCGTCCTGGCAGTTGTGTACCAGATCTAGGCTATGCCGATGACTTTGCTTTGCTCGCCACCACACCTGCTCATTTGCAACGCTTGATTGATGCAGCTGCTGAGTTTTGTGAACAAACGGGAATGGTCATCAGTGTTGACAAAACAAAGATTGTGGTGTTCTCTTCAAGTTTGCCAGGACCTTTTCAATGGCTTTGTGGTGGTGCGCCTTTACATTGGGTTCAGCAGTTTGAGTACCTGGGTGCCCTTTTTGACGGTGCCCAAGGCATTAATCTCACCTTTGGCAAGCTTCACAGGAACATGTGGGGTGCGTGGGCACAGCTCAGGCAGCAATATGGGAAGTTGCATTGCAGCATGTCAGCTGGCCTGTTGTTGCGCCTATATGATGCATGTGTGCCGCCGACTGCCTCCTACGGTTGTGAGGTGTGGGGCCTGCGCAGCCTTCTTGGTGGCGACAGCCGGCGGGGCCGGGCTGCCTTGGCCTCCTCTCACCTGAAAATTCTGAGAGACATTGCTGGCGTCCCCACCTCTGTGCATGGTGCCATCTTGCTTAAGGAGTTGAATCAGCAGACCCTTGATTGTGTGTGGTGGCGGCGCATTATCAAGTTCTGGAACAATTTGGCTGCCTTGCCTGCAAATAATTTTCACAGGCAAGTGGCCCTTGATGATTGTTGGGATGCCATAACCCGTAATGTTAAGAATTGGGCTTGGGCCTTCATGCGGGGCTTGCGCCGGATTGGGTATGAGTTTGTTATTCGGTTTGACACCCTTGTTCCTGTGGAAGTTGATGCTGTGATGCAGCTGCTAGATGCGCAAGCACTGCAGGTTTGGGATGACATTGACATTTGCCCTAGGACCTGCCCGTCCAGCAATGCCACCTTGTGTACATATCACAGATGGTTTGCTAGGCCAGCTTGTGTGCGCCACCCTTGCCAGCTCTTACAGCAGCCTTTGAGAGCCCGTTGCTTGCGTATACTGTTGAAGTTCAGGATGGGTTGTCATAGTCTGCCCAATGTCTCGGGCCGCTGGGCAAGGATTCCCCGGCCCCAGCGTTTGTGCATGCGTTGTGCCCAGCAGGTTATTGGGGATGAGCGCCACCTTGTGTTTGAGTGCCCTGCCTTGCAATCTGTTCGGGACAGATATCCTGGGCTGTTTGGTGCAGCCATTGTGACGATGCAGCAATTCATGTGGCAGTTGGACATTGTTGGTGTTGCACATTTTGTGATGGATTGTTTTGATTATTTGGATGCTGCCAGTTCATCCAATCAGCCCTAGGCGGCTGGAGTGATGTAATCTTCCTTCCTTCCTTCATCGTACTTCATCATCCTTCATATTGAACACACAAGAGCCAAGGTGCACAGAGTTCACAAGGGGTGAATGCCTTGTCTCATGGAGCTCAAAGCTGGCCTAAAGCGTGCTGCCTTCTCCAAGTCTCAATGATTCGCATTCTGATATGCTGTCTTCTGCCGTGATACTCTTGATCTCCACCAACTCGCCATATAAATCCAAAATGCAAGTTATTGCACCGGTCACCGGTCTAATCCCACAGGTGCACTTCGGCGACTTTGAGTAGCACGAGCACAAATACTTGGGGTCGTTAGTGGGCTTACCGTTGTCACATTTCCTTTGAGTATCCGCACAACCCATTCGTGCCACAGCTGGCATCTACCGTGACGCTTACCACCAGCAAGACAATGCACACCAGAGCCCGCATCCCGTTGCACCCTCTTGTTGCGTGGAAGCATTGGAAGTGTTGTCTGCGAACATGCAATAAGGAAAAATGTTGGTAGTAGAAAGAGGGGCTTGGGATCCTTCGTTGCACTCGCAATCGTGGCCTGCGCAGATCCAAGGGCCCAGCCATTCATCGACACGAAGATTTGAGATTTCAGCTGCTCTTCAATCAGGGTAACTAAAGGCATTTGAAGGACAGGGTGCCATGTGGAGATTCAGGAGGCCAGTAAGAAGCTTTTGGCTGGTCATCCTGAGGCAGCTTCCCGGACACAAGCCCCAGATGTTAATTAAAGCTGTTGCTGCGATAAATTTCACTAAATTTTGTAAGATATCTAAGAAGTCTACAAAGATCAAGACTTCTTCACCCTCAGCTAGACATCGCCAGAAATTCAGTGTAACAGACGCGAAGCCCTAAGTTGAAACCGAAAGTAACGCAACCTGCGGCGACCTACAGTATCTGGGAGCTCGCTCAAGTGATGCGACTCACCTTCGGTCGCTGCAATACGCCAGTCGATGTCCTTTTTTTTCAATCGCAACTCTTTAGTCGCTGCAATGTCATTTTACCCGAAAGCGGTTAAGGGGCAGGGCATAAACTGTCTTACTAACCATTCGCTTCGAGATACAGAGACAAAGGGGGTGCGGGAGGCCTGCAATGCAAATTGGGAAGTGATTTTCGCCCCCGAGAAGCTCGTTTTATGCAGCCGTATTCTAAAAACTGGCTCTTTGCGTATGATTTGCTGTTGAGTGAGGAGGATCTTGTTTCATAGTTAAACAGAGCAACCTAGCTACAAGATCTCAGCAAAACTCCTGAAATCTCTAAAAGTGTTAAAGTAATATTAATAGTTTCTAAGCACATTCATGCCCAGATCGAAGGGTGCACGAAGACTATGATGGTTTCCAGCATGCTTTACTAGACACCCAGGAATGTGTATTCAGCCCAGACGCAAATGGCAGCGTGGCAGTCGATTGACTGCAATCACAGGTTCTATTACGCATAGAAGCGACGAATCAAAAGGTTTTAAACCAGTCCCTTCCGGATACCAAGTCTTGCGTTGCCTCTTGCTTTGAGATCTTGTGCAACCAAAACTACTGCAACCGCCACGCCAGGCCCAATCTGCTTCAAGTTGTGTTAATCTTCCGTGAAAGGCAACTAATCTTCGATGATTGTGGCCAGGGCCAGGGGAGTTGAATGCTTTGACTGGCGTGAGAGCGCTTGCCTGCATAAGTATAGTTCTGGGCCACTCGATGTTTGCCCTGGGATTTGCATGGCCGGAACGCCATCTAGAATGGTCTGCATTTGTGCTTCTCATTCCTTTATGTTCCCATTCTTGCAAGTCTTGCATGTCTCCCTTATGCATGCGTCTGGCCGTATTCCAGAATTTCTGCAGAGTGGATGGCCCAAGCTCATGCAAGCCTCACCTATCCGCTACGATTATGTGAGCCCTTTAGCTCTGAGATGAATGTGGTGCATAGCAGAACGCAGCAGAACTGCACAGTCACGGTCAATGATCTCGATGGTCTGAACATGCAGGTATGCAGCGTTGGATGCTCACCCGTGGATGCTGGCGCTAGTGAATCTTTCGGAGCCTGCCATGGATACATTTCTCATTCTGGCAGGCTTCTTTGCAGCTCACACCCTCGGCCCAGCTTTCCAGTCCGGCAAAACCCCTCAACAGGTGAACCATCTCAGTTCTTCCTGGTTCCTGAACAAGAGAACACTCGGGCACTTTGCTTGTGAGACTTGTGTCCTGCTCTGGTGCAGGCGGTAATTTTGCCCACCTCCTGTCTCTCTGTAATGAGTGCAAGAACCTAAAATGGCGCTGATCCTTGGGAAAAATTGCCGCAAAAAGCTACGCGCATGCAAGATCCCGTAGTGTTGCTTGCCTGCACAGATCTGACAAACGGGTCCGTGCGTCAAGCCCAACACAGCAACGCTGTGACACCTTGAAAATATCCTGCAGAGGATCAGCTCTGGACTTTGCGGCCTCAGATGACCTGTACAGACCACTATATCAAAGTGGAAAAATCTGTAATGGTAAAAGACATGCAAAGCAGGGATGGTGGAAGACAGTCATTGCTCGGTCTATGGCTGCAGGCGTGCTGATGAATTTAGTCATCCATCTATTTTTGCTACATGCAGGTTGTCAGGAATTACTTCATGAAGCGGATCCTGCGAATCGTGCCGAGCTACTATGCAATGCTGGTGCTGGTCTATTGCGCGTTCCTGCCCATGCTGTATAGTGACGCCACGTCAGCCGCCCCAGAGGCCCGGCAAGCCATAACCACCCTGTGGTTTAACCCCGGCGACGGCTGCCCGGATAAGCTCTGGGCAAACTTTGCATTTGTGAATAACCAGCTGCTGCGAGCGGGCTGTATGAAGTATGCTTGGAGTCAAGCTGTGCAGGTACGCGCATGCTTGGTGGCTTTTCTTTTCATGCAAATATCTTTCGGGGTTCAGTGAGAGTCGTGTCAAATGACAAAGTCTGTCACAAGGTGACGTGCCATCGCCTTTTGCATCTTGCGCAGTGCTGATGCATACCGTATTCTTGCAGCCCATTGCTGCTGTTGCATAGCCCTGCGGCAATTGAAACCAGCAGAATTCATATTAATGCAACAGCTCCAAGGCTTCTTATGGCACCTAAACGGGACAAAACCGGTCATTTGATGAAAAAGGTCACTTGAACATTAAGGGTGTATGTCTCGGGGTGGCTGCAGGCGCAGTTCTACCTGGGGTTCCCTCTGCTGCTCCGGCTGCTACGGCCAGCAGCGCGCGGCCTGTTCAGGCGCCTGGCGGTGACTGCGGGGTTAGTCATCGCCGCCGTCACCACATACCGCGCGGCTGTCGCGCTGCAGTTTGAACTGCCGGTGCCGGTATTCGGCCCCCTCGACGAACCCCGGATGCTGGAGCTCATGACTCGCACGCTGAGGTGTGCATGCATCTCCATTCCAATCACAAGCCTGTTCCGCATTGCTACTTTTTCTGGAGTCATGCAAAGAAAGCTTTACTGGCAGGGTATTGCTTGCTGGGAATGTAAGTTGATCACTTTTAATGAATGCTGGTCGAAGTCAAAGGCGTATAATGATGCTGGCCCAGTGGCAGTGATGAAAAACGGTTGCCATCAATTGAATTGTTGCTTTCAACAAATCTGCCCTAGGCGGCCGATTAAAAGGCGTCATCTATTGTCTTATTCCTTGTGAAAACTTTTGAATTTTTCCATGGGCTGTGCTCTCATGCAGGCTGTCCTACTACAGCCTGCTGCCCCGGCTGAGCCACCTGTCTTTCGGAGTGCTGGGCGCTTGCTCCCTCCGCAGCAAGGGGTTCAGAGATGCACTGGTAAGTCACTGCGCAGCCTTCCATGATTACGCGCCTAGCCTTGCTGTGCTGCGCAGTCGTGCTTTTTACAGGGATCACAACCTCCCTGTTGTGCGTGTGCACAGCACTTCACGCATAATGAACTCATGACATTGGCAGGACCCTGTCAATGTCATGGTTGAGTCCTCCTGCAGGAGATTAAGGGAAAAGATTTGCTGCCAATTTACATCCCCGAGCATGCTGACAGGTCCAGACGTAACGCCGTATTAGGAGCTGTCACTGGCAAAATGATTTGTGAATGTTTGTGCAGGTGCAACGGCGGCGGCTCGCGAATGCTTTGGCGGCCGCATCAGCGGCGCTTGTCGCCGCCACGCTGTTTGGGAACCGCTTCGGCCCGGCACCGGACGTTAGTCACCCGCTCGCATCCCCTGCCGCGTTAGTCATCGGCGTTGCCGGCATCACCGGGCTGCTGCAGCCGGCCGCGCTGACGTATTTAGTCATCCACCTCGTTTTGAATATTTCAAAAAGGGTTTCGAACTTCTTCTCGTGGCGCGGGTGGCGGCCGGTGGCAGAGGCGTCATATGATGTGTATCTCCTGCATCCGATGGTCATGTTTGGGGTGTGGTCTGTTTTGGCGCCGGGGGATTGGTTTGATATCAAAACCCCCCGGCCGCTGCCCTTTCTGGGGGTGTGCGCAATTGTTGTTGGGGTTTCGTTTGTGTTGGCGCGAGCGCATAGTAGGGCGTGGGGATGGGTGCTGAGGAGGACTCGTTTGCTTGCATAGCTGTAGGCGCAATGACTCATCAGCAGCTGCAATGACTCGTCAGACACTGTAAAATGTATGGTGGTGTTCTGAGACTGTGTTTATTTCTCTGTCTGCCAGACAAGAGAAACATTAAAAAGCAACCATGGAGGCAGGCCGTCATGACAATTTTGAACTGCTCTTTTAGTCAATAACATGGTGATTACTTATAAGGTATACCGCACCTGACATTAGCAATTTTACAGTGATCTGCGACCGCACTTTCTACCAATCCTGAATGTGCAGCTTCAGTGTTTGCCAGCCAATTGACCCTGATAATGAAATGATCAGATGCCTGCCATGTAGCACATTTTCATATGGAGATGCTGTATCTTGCATGTATAATGATTACCTCAAAGGGAGGGTTACCTCAGAACACCTCATATTATTGCTGCATCAAATAGACAATCAATCCGCCTGAGATCTTCATTTTCACAACCCCTTATTCTTATTACACGCCTTTCCAATCCATGAGGATCAGGTGCGTCGCAGCAGCGTTTCTATGACTGCCTTCCAACTCTCTCTATCTTGGGCTTTCCTCCACCAGGTCAGAGATAAACCAAGAGAAGCCAGGTCCTGTCTGACATAATCATCTGACAACCCCTTGCAAGCCCCAAAGTACCCAGAAGTATCGCACAGTCTTTTATTTCGACCACATCTGCCAGCATTCATTGCGCAGCTGCATCAGATCAGATCTAGTCATCTGGTGAAGTACAAAGAATGCCCCATTCATGCGCATTGGAGTGCTTGTCAAAGCCTGCATCAGTGCTAGTATGACTAACAACACTGGCAGGCATGCAACCTCTGAAGAGCCCTTGACCAGATCAAGGGTACTGTTTTAAGTGTGCAGCTTGCCTCCCTAGAAGGCGCCACCGTAGGAGCCGTAAGCCGGGGGGCTGCTGCTGTAAGCGGGGGGCGAGTACGTCGGGGGGGCCGCAAAGACAGGGCTAGGGGCATAAGCCGGGGCGGGGGTTGGCGCGTATTTAGGCGGGCCAAAATAGGCGGAGGGGGCCGGCACCGGCGTTGGACCCTCTGCCGGCTGCACCGCCGGTGCGTACGTCTGTGCATGCAAAAAGTTTAGATGGCGGCAGCTTTCGCATGCAAGCAACTTTTGCCCAGCAGTGCAGGAGATATCTTGGATTTGTGCAGTGGTCACTACTTAATTTGACCTCACAGAAGCACCTGCCCTCTGAGCAGGCTCTGCTGACAGCGGCCATCGCACAGCATGCACCAAACTCTTATAGCAATTCATCTGTGCATCTCACTTCTTGCATCTGCAGTGGCCATCAGAGCAAACGCAACTGTGCAGTCCGACATTTGCAGCTGAGCTTGCCATCAAACGCAGCAGAGGGCTCACTGTATGCTTCCGTAACACACCTGATATTATTGTTACTCTTACCGTCTAGTTATGACAGGGTCGGTACACCCAAAGCCAAAGGCCATAGATGCACCATTGACACGAGAGTGAACCTGTTGCGTTACGGTACCTGGAGGAAGGTGGATCCGTAGGCCGGAGCAGCATGGGGCGCAGTTGCAGGCGAGTAGGGTTGCAGTGGCAGCGTTAGTGTCTGCGGCGCCGGTGCCTGTTCAGGCGCAGCCGCCGGTGCCAAAACAGGAGTCTTGGCCGGTGCCAAGACTGGCGCGGCAGCTGGAGCGGCCAGATCAGGTGCGGCGGCCGGGCCGTAAATTTCAATGGCGCCGACGATCGCTTGGTCCTTGATGGATGTCCACTGCAGCAGGATCGTCCCCTCGGGGCTCGCTGTCACATTGAAGACGGCCTGCGCTGCTGACAGCGGCCCACCTGCAAGATCACACAAGCACAACACTTTTGTAAGGCGTCCATTTGCAGCACATGAAACAAAAAAACTTTCTAACCAGCCTTTCAGTGGCGCTTTTCTGTGGCAGCAGCGGGCATGTGGGCGCTGTTCCACAAGCTAAGGAGCAATGTGAATTATGGCGGCCATTCTGCTGATGCATATTGAGAGTGAAGACAAAGCAGACACTATGTGGAATTTTAAGGGGGAGTGAAAGCAGTAAAGCGAGGCAACTAAAGGTGACATCACCTGCAGCCGCGATGACGTCATAGGCTTTGAGCGCCGGTGCGCCATTGGCGGTGACTGAGAAGATGCGCTGACGTGGCTTGCCCCAGTACAGGTCAGCAGCATGCAGCACAACAGTGTACGTCTTGTTTGCCTGCATGCAATGGCTATCGTCAGTTTTTTTTTATTTTTTTTTGCTCTTGCATTTTCGGACTCGCATGATATCTGCCTCACAACTTAGTCATATTGGCTGTCTGCATGAGTACCGATCATTGGCCGAAAAAATCGTGAAATTCTGAAACTCTGCAGCGCTAGCTGAAAATCTGTGTCTACCGCTCAAGTGCAGGTGAGTGTAGTCTTTTCTAGATCCTGTCCGTCAATACCAAGAAAGTTGCGTTAGCAGCAAATCAGGCGTGTCTGTGCATTTCAGCCTTTCCTCGCAAGCGCTTTCGAGTCTAGCAGGTCAAGCTGTCACCTCAGGGTCCGCTTCATTGCATGTTCTTAGCAGAAAGACAGACCATAGTTTGGTGTTCCTCTAGGGCATCAGTAGTTCCTAAAGGGCAATAGTAGGGGGGCGTGCCTCCAGGCCATCTTTTGCCGAGAAGCTGTAGGAGAAGCTTCCTCCCACGCGGTTGGTTGCATACAGCTTCCCACTGCCGTCAGACGCGTTGGCAATCACAGCGTTGAACACCTCAATGCCCCCGCCTGAACATCAAGTGGAGCCCAGTATATTTAGTGCTTGGCAAGCAACATAAACTATGGTCTGAACCAGGGTCACCGCATGCGGGAATGCGAATAATGCGGGATATAATAGAATGCGTGTATTTTACTGCATTTTATTTTTGGGCATAGAATGCAGATAAAATGCGAGGTCCACAAATACGCCTTTCTTCCCCTTTGGGAGACCAGTGAGGATGGGTCCCACCCAGCAAGGCTATGATTCCCTGCAAACATCTTGAGAATACCCAAAAAGGGGCTATTCCTGGAGTTGCCTGGTTAAACCAGCATTTTGCCTGGCTGTACCCAAGTTTTGCCTGACAAAACCAAGGCAAAACTGTTTCTAACGCATTTTACCGCATTTTACCCGCATTTAATTTTTTCCAATAATGCATGCATTTTACCGCATTTTATTTGTGGTATCACCGCATGCGGTGACTCTGGTCTGAACTCAGTTGCCTGCCTTTCACTTGATCTGGAGAGATATCAGGGCCCTTAAATGTAGAGGCACTGCTGTTTTACACCCATTCTCGGCAAATCATAATCCTTTCTGAGTACTGTGCTGTAAGGTCATCTGGGTTGCAGCAGAGCTGCAGTGCACAAAAAGGAGATCGAAGAACATTACCTTGGTAGGAGCGATCTGCTTCCCACACTGTTCCAGTGCTGTCGGTGTAGTTGCGCTTCAGGGCGCCAGTGTCCAGCCTCACCAGGGCGGGTCCTGCGCATCATAATTTGAACTTGAATTCGAATTTCCCGAAAGATTATCTGACTTGCTGCCTCCTGCTCTGAGACCCGGGTGCACTCTCTCAGCAAGCAAGGTGCTCATGCAGATCAGGTTTCATCAGATTTGACCAATCTCAAAGATTGTGCATGCTCCGGCTTGCATGCAAATGCATTGCATGGAGCAAGCATCAGGCAGGCTTACACCTACTAGGCCAGCACTTGGCTTTGTGTCATTCTGCAGAAAGGACAACCGATACAGCCAGTTTTCATGTGGAAAACAAGCAGCTGGATCTGTAGGTCTCCTGAGCCTCACTCAGTCTCTATAGCTCTGGCGGCATCGCATGCGAAAGTGCGAGCTGGATTACTCACCGTACGGATCAGCGCTGAATTAAGTGTCGTTGTGTAGGAAGGGCTACCTCTAGAACCAAGTTACATCCAAGAACAGGCAAACCACTTGCCCTACAGATTGACTTACATAGTCACTTCCCTTGGTTTGTGCCATAATGCAGGAAGGACTGCCTATGTGGCCAGCTCCATGCATAGAGCAAGCAATGACGGTGTTTAAGCTGCATGCAGGTGAGCAAGCTGGATTACTTACAGTACAGGTCAGCACCTGGACTCTGTGTCATTGTGCAAGAAGGACTGCCAATACTTCCAGCTTGCTTGCGTGCAACGCATTTTTGTTTTTGCTGATTACATAACCTACTATCTAGGGGGACATCCATGCAAAAGAGCGATATGATCACTTGCTGTACAACTCAGCACTTGACTCCCTCTGGTTTTGCAAGAAGGTATACCTCTGACCTCATGAGCTAACTTGCATGCAAAAAGAGGCTTCTCCACTCATCGTACAGTTCAGCACCGCGGTCTATGTCATCCTGCAGGATGATAAAGAAGCAAGAGGAGAACTAATCATACAGATCAGCGCTGGACTCTGTGTCATCGTGCAGGGAGGATTTCGTCTTGCATGCGTGCAACAAGTAAACATTTCGCAAATTACCTAGCCACACTATCTAGGGGGACATGGCATGCAGCTGAGCAAGCTGGATGACTCACCGTACAGGTCAGGAATGGATTGGGTGTCATTCTGCAGGAAGGACTGCAGCTTGAAGGTGGGTGCCAGAGGGCCGGCCACGCTGATGCCGGCCAGCGATGCCTGATCCTTGACCGAGTCGAACTGCAGCACCAGCTGCCCAAATGGGCCCAGCTTCACCGGGAGAGTGATGTTTGCCGCCGACTCCCTGCCGCCTGCATGCAGCATCGTTTTCCATTTTGCGTTCACGTAACTCGTTTGCACCATTGTATTCTATTCTTGTGCAGTCCCAACACCTGCACAAACATCATGCAGTGCAAATAGTATGACACGAAAGCTGCTCTCAAGGGTGCTTGTTGCTACTGCACATCGCTTGGGGCACAAAGGAAGTGAAGCCTAAGTCTCCAACCTCACTTATTCAAATGCGTGACTGCCTTCACACTTGCCCTGCAGCAATGTCAGGCACCCTTGCAAAGCATGACTGCATGCAACATCGGCACACACTTGACACCACTGCAAACCTTTGCAAGGATTGCATTATTATGACATGCTTTTTCTGCCAGAGGCAAGGTGCGTCCTGCAGACAAGCTGCAGACAAGGCTGCTAAACTCCCACCCCTTGTTGGGCTCGCCAGATGAAAGGAAAACCCAATCAACCATAGGCATGGTGCTCAGCATTTACACCGCCCCCGCCAGCCGGGGCCAAGTTTATGAAGGGAAAGTTGCCAGACACCATTGCAACTTATGACAGGCATGCAACATCTGCACATACCAGAGGCAGCATGCAAATTTCCACAAGGATACGCACGAAGATAAAACCAGAGGCGCACCGGCGGCTTTAAAGATGTCAAAGTTGGACAGGCGGGTCTTATTGTTGGTAGAGATGTTGAAGAGCCGCTCCCCAGGGCGGGACCAGTACAGCTCAGCGAAGAAGAGGGTCACGTTGTAGGTCTCGTTGGGCATCAGACGGTTGATTGGACCGAATGAGTACAGGAAAGAGGGTCCGACGCGATTGGTTGCGTACATCGGGTCGACGCCCCCTGTGGCGTTGGCCATGACGTCGCGCGTTCCCTCCGTGCTGCCACCTGTGCGTACATGCAGGAATTTAAACTTATCAGCATTATCACATTTCGGCAAATCCAATGCCAACCGCCCTACATGCAGGGCGTCTGTAGCGACATATACGGGGCCAAAAGAAGCCTGCAGCCCAGTATCGATTTGCATCTCGAGGACCAAGATGCAAGAACAAAATTGAAGCATGTCATGCTCTGGTCTCATCACTGGCATTTCAGTGTTGCACATGCTAGGAGAGGCTTGATAGACACGCGCTGCAGGAAGCAGGCTGCTGCGACTGATGAGATGTGGCTCATGGTCTGTTACACAGGTGCCCAGACAGATTGTGGATATCCTGCACGGTAGAATGGGTAACGGAGGACCTTCGAAGGGGTTGGAAAGCATCCATGCAGTGCACGACTCTATTGGACAAAAGAAGTCCTGCTTCAGTCAGCAAAATTGGGGTAATGGACAGTTTCTTGATTCATGCTTTGCAGCAGTATGAAGGGGAATGGGGCTCATTGCCAGTCACTGAACTGATGGGATTCCCGCCTTCATGTAAATTCAGCAAACATCGCAAGCTGATTGCAGAGGCACGAATGCTTTGCTTACTTATTGCCATTGCAAGCCTGAACGATGTGAGACAAGATCTTACCGATGAAATTGAAATCTGCTGCCCAGAAGCCGCCCTCAGAGTCTGTGAAGGCGCTGAAGAGATTCCCAGCATCAACCTGGAGAGCAATCCCTGCAAACAACGCCGGACGAGTCGAATTGTGTAATTGAAGCAGATCTATAATATTTTTATCGGAGGAAAGATGAGCACAAGAACAAATATGCTCAGGAATGTTTCCATCCAGCCGAAGCTCCATGTGCAGCCGTTTCACACAGCCTCTTCGAATTGCATGGAGGTGGGTGAATTATGGAAAGCATTGGACAATTTTTCAAGTGATGTATTTGTACATATATACCTATTTCTGGTGGTGGCGCCGCGACGGTCACGGCCTTCAGCGTTCTGGTTGGTGTTGATGATGCCGGTCTGAGCGTTGCGCTATAGCAAATCAAGACCAGGAAGTAGCGAATTATGGACCTCACCGATCTGATGCTTCCAAAGCTATCCATATTTGCTGAATTGTCGAACGTCAGCGAGACGTAACGTGGGGACGCTCTGACAGAGACGAAGTGACTGTTCAGTCGGCAAGTTAGCGCCTACAACAAGAGGCCAGCAAAGCCGCTGTGCAAAGTTGTGATCAATCTTGATGTAATTATATGTTCCTCGCTTACTACATGAAACCCATAGGCCTACCAGCGTACTTATTGGAACGGCTTAAACTTTTTCTTCCTCCTCATTTCGGAAGTCAACGCCTACGCTTTCGAAAGATTGTTCTGACAGAGGTGGAGCCAAGTATTGCCAAGATTGAAATGAAGAGCAGCAAATATGACGAAGGTGCACCGCTGCTGAAGTCGGTACAATCACCAGAATATCTCGCTTCTGGTTTTTGATCAATACGATTGGCATGGGTAGCACCAAAGCGTGGCGGGCAAGGCAGTCCACATCATGAAGAGGGGACCCAGCTGCCTCAATGAAGAGATATGCAGGATCCTCGGGTGAGTATCTATTGCAACGTTCTGTAATTCTATATGGGATCATGATAAATATGTATAGATCGCGTTGCACAGACCCAGCCCCCTTGCAGCGAAGCAAATGTATGTATCAAGATGCTCTTGAAATACATAGGCAATCCTGAGAACCTTCGGGTTGGATCGCTTAAGACTGCTGCGTTCTCATATCTCTCCCAGATATTGGGAAGTTTCAAGCAAGGCATCGTGCTTACTCGCATGTTGCTGCTCAGCAATGGGCCAACCTGTCAGGGGCGAACAAATCTGTAAAATCATCACCAATGCCTGAGCATGGTGCCCCTCACAAATGGGAATTTCACAGTTATAAACTGTGTCGCAAACCGTCCCAGGACTCGCAAAAGGCGCTGGATGCGATTCTCTGCTGGTTGTGACTTGCGCTCTTTGCTTGCAGGTCCTTGCTTCTGTTGGTGGCAGTGGGCCTGACGGCGAGCTCCTGGCTGATGTTGGCGTTTCTTCAAACGGAGTGCAATCACCCGGAGTGCTTCCAGCCGGTTTCAGAGGAGCCCCCCCTGACCATCTTTGTGTCCATCGCCAGCTACAGAGACCCTGAGTGCAAAACCACCATGCAGGTATGTGACAATGCTCCTACTGAGACCATCATGTTGATCCGCATGCTGAGATTAGCACACAGCAGTGAAGTGCTCTGGCCAACCATGCAGCTATTGAGGCTTAGAAGCAGCGCCATACAGTGCCAAACAGCTACCAGAAAGGCAGCAGTCTTTGATACAAATCTGCAAGCCTGGGGCAGATTTGGGTATATGTGGCAGAGGACCAGCAAGGAATCTTCCGGTGTAATGGTGTCTGGTGGCTTGCTGACATCAGCGCTGATGTCACCGCAGGAGATGTTCGCCAAGGCGGCCAACCCGCACCGTGTGTTTGCCGGCTCGGTGCAGCAGATCTACGAGTTCCACGAAGCCTGCTGGCACACAGGTACAGTCCCACACAAGCCAGGCTCTATCCATGCCGCCTGCATCCTCTTCCATGCCCGACAGGCTCCAACAGATACTACTACTAGCATGTTTGCTGGCTGCTACAGGAAATTAAGGCACCTCTGCATACTCAGAAAAGGTTTTGGCTTATACTGACTAGAATAGTTCGTTTCGAGACCCTTGCTCATCTGCAAACCAGGATGCAGAAGTTTGAAGGCTTTCAGCAGGGTGGTCACTCATTTGTGTGAGTCACTGGACCGCAAGATGCCAGCTTGACCTGCTAAACATGAAACCACCCGGCCAGAAAGGCAGGCATGCGAGCACAGGCCTAGCTCAGTATCACATTTGGTCCCCAAATAATCATTATTAAATTGATCATCAGTGCTGCAGGACACAAGAACTCAACCACACAAACAATTAGGCATAAGAATGAGTCTTCCCAATGCTCAGGGCTGCCGTGGGGGGACCACGTACGGAGCATTACGGTCCCGTTTGCGGACGCGAAGGGGCCGACGAATGCGCGGCACATGGCGGCCAGCCTGTACCGGGGGGAGGACTACTTCATGCAGATCGACTCCCACACCACCTTCATCCAGGTGACTCATCCTCTGCCGATCATGCTTTCAGAACATCACATGGATCTAAAGGGTTTGTTGCCTATCCACAAGTCTCCAAAAATTTGCTGCCCCTCTTGCAATGCACGTGCTTGATGCAGTCCCTGGGCTCTTCAATGCAAATTAGAAATAGAAATCGGACAAGGGGGGTTCCGTGAGCTGGATGGATCTCTCTGCTTGGGTGCACGACATTGACGAACGAGTTGTATACGCTCGCCCAAAAGGTAAGGTAAGGTTGTGTAGGTAAGTCGATCAAGAGGGGTCGCAGCAGAGCGCCATAAAGGGGCCAGGTCTTAAGTTGAAGAGAAGGCTCGAGGGGTTTGGTCCCTGACTGAGAGTGATGCCAAGTAGGACCAGATGCATTTTCCTGATGCCCATGCATGACTTTATCTGAAATGCATAAAAATACCAAACGCATGGTTCCTCATCAGGCGCAGCGCCTGTCAAATACACTCTGCCACCTTGCCTGTCAGACATGCAACATTGGAGGTCTATATCCTCTTTATTCACCTACTGATCTGGCAAGTCCATCAGGGGGTTTGTTCTACGGCAGCCTTTACATGCAGCTTGTGTGCAGACGCACCTTGCCTCTGGCAAGAAAAGGGTGCAATAATTATAATGATTATTAGTCAGCTGGTGCATGCATGCGCAGGACTGGGACAATGCAATTATAGCGATGCTGGATCGATGCCCCTCGGACAAGTGCTTCATATCGCACTACCCACCCGCGCACAACGACACTGACTCCGTCCAGGTAACCCCACAGAGCATTAGAATTAGAAAGGAAAAATGTATACAGCTTTAGAATATAGGGGCCTCGATGGTGATGAATCGATACCTCCGGACCCCGGCATCCAGATGAGCCCCATATCTGCAGCCTGTCAATGACATGATGTCATCAAAAAGGGGGTGCGAAAGACAATCCTGGCTCGGTATGGAGAATGGACTTTCAAGGGGAATGAAATGGTGGATTCATGGTTTAAGTGAGCAATATAACCTTACTTGGCCCCGGCTGACAAGGGCCGACATAAATACTGAGCACCGTGCCCACGGTTGATTGGGTCTTGCATGGATCTGGTGAGTCCAACAAGGGGTAGGATTATGACAGCCTTTAAAATGCAGCTTGTCTGCCGGACGCACCTTGCCTCTTGGCATGAAAAGCGTGTTATTTTAAAAAATGATAATAACAACCTCACATGGGACATGACTGTGAGGTTAATGTGTGGGGTGCAGGTGCCGATTCTGTGCAAGAGCCACTTCGATGAGGGCGCAAAGATGCCCAGCTTCGAGGCCATGTCATTTGACTTCAAGGTGGAAACCCTCCGCTCCCCTGCTTTCACCCCCTGACCCGAGCACCCCTCAGGACTCCTCACAAATAGATGATCTGATCTCCTGAGCGCCCCGCATCCCATGTAGGGGGCCTGATTGTTTCGGGCCTTGTGTCAGCCTCTTTGCTCTGCTCTAAATGCTTGAAAGGCAGGTGGTTATTCTTAATCTCAACTGCGCCTGATGCCTCCAATGCAAGCAAGGAGGCATAGTGCACTTGCACTGCGCATGCAGTCAATTTTACTCCCACATAGCAGATCCCTGGTAGTGCACTGACAATCTTTGACACTTAACATTGTGCCATGGCCGACTGGCGAGGGGCGGTACAAACGGTGCCCATGGTTTTTGGGTCTTGCATGGGTCTGGCAAGTCCATCAAGGGGTGAGATGCGTGCCAGCCTCTACCCGTTGCTCGTCTGCATACGCACTGCTGCAACAAAGCATGTCATTCTCCCTAAGCTTGCAATGCACAGCCCTTTATTGGCTAAAAACACATTTTCATGCTCTTGAGAGGTCCACTTTCAGGCACCTTGCCTCTGGCAGCGAAGCATGTAATTATTAGAATATTGACCCATTATGCCATGCGTGCAGCTCGGGGAGTTTGCGGATTCGCCATTCGTGGGCGCGGGCTTCCAGCTGAGCAGCGCGGACGTTCTGCTGGACGTTCCCTTCGACCCCAAGCTGGACATGATGTTTGTGGGCGAGGAAATATTGTACTCTGCCCGCCTCTGGACCAAAGGCTGGGACCTCTTTGCACCTGACCTCAACATCGTCAAACACCACTACAACAGGTTTTGGAACGCCCTCTGAGACCGTGGAATCTTACTGTTTTCAAAAATGGAGTTCGAAACAAAAATTTGTGATACTCTGTTTGTGGCTGAGGCCACCGCAGCCGCTGCATGCATGCGCATGACAGATTTGTCTTTGTTGCCGGCTGTGGCACATGTCTCTTTGCTTCAGACCTCAGCATCGTCAAGCACCACTACAAAAGGTGCGGGGACGGCCACAGTGCTGCCAAATACAAGGGTTTAGTTCCCTTTCACATCTGATGTTCTGCCCGGAATTCCCCTGCAGAAGGACAGTAAAAAAGGGTGCGGAAGTGAAGGTCGCAAAGGGCACCCCAAACATTGCATGCATGCATAAGACGTGTTAAGAAGGATGGTTGTAAGGCTCACGAGAGGTGTTTCACAAACCTTGCACTCCGAGACTTGGTTCTCCTATATTGAAGCCGCGCCAACAGTGTGAGAGGTTTACCAATGTATGCTACAGGGAAATTGTGCAATTCTCTGTAATAGGCAGTGTCATGAAATGGAGTGGCCTGTGTGAGCAGGGTGGAGACGCCAAACATCTACCGGGACAGGACGGAGGAGTGGTACTACCCTCAGCAGGAGAGCAACAAGCGCGCGCGGTATATGCTGGGCATGAACGAGACTGCGCCCGAGGGGGAAACTGAGTCTTCCCTCAAATATTATGGCATGGGAGATGTCAGGTGAGCACAAACCTCGCTCCTTCTCTCTCTCCCCTGATAGATTAACAAGTTGCTTACATGTGGCAAAAGACTGCACCTCGAGAGATTGGCTACCTTTGGTTGCCCTGAGGCCAAAAGTGACCTTCTGGTCTTATCTTGTAGTGGATAGATTGCAAATGCAGCAGGATGCTTTATCCTGATAACTGCGTGCACTTCTTGCAATATTTGTAAGATGCAAAGCACTCCGTATCAGTGGGGACGAGGTACCCGAGAATAAAGCCTGACCAATGACTAATGGATCAATGGAGCGGTTCAGTAGAATGAAAGCTGAAGGATTTATTTTTCCTTGTGGTGCTGCAGGAGCTTGGATGCGTACTGGGAGTACGCGCAGATCGATGTGAAGGAGCGGGTGGCGAACAGCGCGGAGAAGTTCTGCAAGAAACATGTGAAGAAGCGCGAGCCGGACCCAGAAGAGAGGCCCAAGCAGGCAGCGAAGCAGCCGCCTCAAAAGAAGGAAAGCCGATCGCTGCGATCGATGCTGAGCGCTCACATCTTTAGGCATAGGAGGAGATAGCTGTGACATGGGTATTATCATCGTTACTGGCCAGGGCGGCTGTTGATTTTTGTACTGGGTTGTATGGAGTATTGGCTCTCAGATTCAGCCAGAGGACTCTGTCGAAAGACAAGTGTCTTTTTACACGTGTTCATTTGAGATATAATTCCCCTCTCCCCTTGATCTGAACCTTCGGGGCAGAACAGGGGCTGTTGAGACTCTCAACTTGAGAGCAACCTGGCTTGGCAGGGTGAAGTGTGAATAAAACAGAGCGGTGTATACCTTTTCATTTGCAGCAGTTGACATTGTCACGGCTTGAGGTCCCCACGTTGGAGGGAAGCATTTTCTTGGGGACTTTGCTGCGCATCTCCCATTGCTCTTTGCCAGCAATGTTTAGGCTGGCACACAAGCCTGTTGCTGCACTGCTGACAGGACAATTGAAGTTGTGCCTCTATAGAACGGCAGCCAGAACATTGACACTGCTGGCACCTGTATGAAGACCGGCACTGGTGCCAGGCCTTGTCATATTGCAAAGATAAAGTATGAAATAAGTCAGCCACAATCATCAAGGGAGACGAGGCGAGGCACATTCAAGGCATGTCACCGTGCTATGATGGCCATCAGAAATGTTGATGCAATGTAATGATCTGTCTTAAACACATGAGGGCCGCAACTGCCGCCTATTTACAACATTTCCATTGTACAGAGGCACCGCTGCAACCAGTCGCTGATGGCTCTGGGAAAAATAATCCCAGCTGCAGCAGTAAAAATAAAGCTCTTGCATGCCCTCTTCCAAACTCCACAAAGGCAATGTGTCTTTGTCAAGCAGAATCATACATTGCACCAACTGAGTGGCATGTCTTAGGTTAAATCTATAAAACATTCTTACGCTTGAGCCGACGGCATCACTGACGTCCTGTACCTTCACTGGAAGCTTCCAGATTAGTCATGTCTCATAACCTGTTGTGGACATCCATGATTTGCGGCCAAAGGGCCAAGAGGAGCTATTCAGCATGTGCGATTGGAGTAGCAGAGACACAAACCTTCCCCCTTCCCCTTTCCTGTATAGATGATACAACGGTGCAATATAAAAAAAAATAAAACCTGGACACATTAAATCACGTGTCCTCCACAAGCCAGGCCCAAGATGGCCACTGCCAGTACTAGTGCATTATATCATCCGCAGCCCTTGAACACATCATATGATCCTCCATTCAGTTCTGGTTTGGACCCCTCCTATTGCTTATCAACATCGCCGCAGTGGTGGTTCATCAACAGGTCCTGTGAGTCATGCTTGGCCGCAGACAGCACCAGTGCATGAACGCAACAGCCTCGCATGCAACAGCTGGAGGTGTCGGAGCTGTCACTGTTGAAGTTCATCTGTTTGAGGCATGTCGGAGATTGGTGAGGTAATGAGGCGGTCCCCCCCGTGCACGGCCATTGAAACCGTGAAGACCTGATGCATTGAATGGCTGCAGTGATCTCCAGCACCTTCCCACAAAGATTCTGTACGGAAACGAGTCTTTGTAGAAATCAAAGAACACCAGTATCGCGCAGACATAGCACAAGAAGGACTATCCAGCGAGCACTCACCATGTCTGTGCAGGTAGGTCATCTAGAAGGCCAGCTGCTCAGCCTCTCCAAGAGATCAAATTATTGCCTTGATGCTCACTGCAAGACTCCATAGCACTTCAATAGATTTATGAGGTTGTCTCGTGTGTCCTGGTTCTCTTTCTTGGTTGGGTGCTTGCCTCACCCTATATTGACTTTGGGATGTGCTCTTGCAGGAGTACATCGACAAGCACGGTGCGATGGGTTCAGTGCCTCCTTGCGTTGTTTTCAGTTCTTGTCTATTTACTAATGCTTGTCCTGGATGCTCACCTCGAAATCTGTTGGCCGGTTCACTGCAGATTTGAGCAAGAAGGTGGAGGATGTCATCAACGCGACTGTCAAGTCGAAGCCTGATGAGCCAATTTCCTTCATGGTGATATTTTTTTATTCTGTATAGTACCGGGTGCTGCTGCATAATGTCAAGCAAGTAGCTTTGGAGGTTTGTAATGTCCTTACAGCGAGGTGCCCTAACGTTACCTGTTGTACACCCTCCTTGTTGCCCAATCGTGAGCTGTACACTCTCAGCAACCTTTCTTGAAACTGTACAGGCCGAGACCCTGCGGAAGCTCGCTCCTGCAGAGATCACCAAGGTGATCGGCCGCCAGATCATCGACTCTCGTGGCAATCCCACTGTTGAGGCCGACGTCCACACGTACAAGGGCTGGTACCGCGCAGCCGTTCCCTCAGGCGCTTCCACTGGTATCTACGAGGCCGTGGAGCTTCGTGATGCCGACAAGGGAACGTAAGCTGAAACTGTCCACGTGACACATCGGACTCTTGGAAAGACTTGCTACCTTGTCCCTCCTTTTATATACGCAACATGTGCTAGGATTTGCGTGTACAACTTTTCACAGGGTATGGAGTCATGTATTAACATGGAGACTAAAAAAGGCTCAAGTAATTCCCCTTCTTGCAGGTACCTGGGCAAGGGAGTTCTCAAGGCTGTTGAGAACGTCAACAAGATCATTGGCCCTGCCCTGAAGGCAAGCACCTATGTCTCTCTAGCGTTTCCTATGGCTCTCCGTGGTCCTTACAATCTCATGACAAGCAGGGCACAATGCCGAAGGCTCCCATCAGATGCAATAAGTCTGTTGCATGCTTGCCTCATGCAATTGCCAATGCTCAATAGAAGGCTGCCGTGAAGCCAGAGACACCTGGCATGCATGCATGCATGCATGCTCATCCCACCGCACACCAGAGCAATAGTGTCCTGTTGCATTTTCCTCGATGGTGCAGTGAGATTTATATGCGCATTGCAGGGAATGAACCCGGTGGATCAGACGGCGATCGACAACAAGATGATGGAGCTTGATGGCACTGACAACAAGGCCAAGCTGGGCGCCAACGCAATCCTGGCCGTCTCTCTGGCCGTTGCCAAGGTGCAAGCCCCTTCCCTGTGGCTACACTGCGGCAAGAGCGTAGCGAGCGTGGAGTCTGTGACTAAAGCATCTCCATTCTCAAAGTCAGAGACTCCATCGCCTCTATGCTGAAGCCACAGAACCGTGCAAACCCACACCCATGAGATCACCGTGTCAGTTGTTGTGCTGTGCACTATCCTGAGGCGTTTGCCAGCAGCAGCGCATCATTTCTTGAGGACATGCAAATATTTAGACGCTAAGTGATTTTTTTGCAAAGTTTTCCTGGGCGGGGAGCTGGAGCATGGAGAGCTCTTGAGCTGCCAGTCCCTTCAGTGATGCATGCCAGACATGGGCCAGAGCTCCTGTCGCAGTCAATGGGCGAGCTAAGAACAACTGTGAACAGCTTTCCTGCCATCATGGGGCAAGACATAACAACTTACAGATGCTTTCCCTTCCTTACCTTCATGTACGAGTTTTCTGAGCCCGTTGCATGACTTGGCTGATGACTAATTGCAGGCGGGCGCGGCAGAGAAGGGCGTTCCCCTGTACCAGCACCTGGCTGACCTGGCGGGCAACAAGAAGCTGGTGCTGCCAGTCCCCTCCTTCAACATCATCAACGGAGGCTCCCACGCCGGCAACGCACTCGCCATGCAGGTGACTCACCCTTCTGCGACTGCAGGTGACTCACCCTTCTGCGACAAGATTCATGCAACATCATGAGAGTGGTGCGGGGCCAGTGGTCAGCCACCTTTCTAACCCCCATTCAAGGGGCAGTTCACAGTGACAAGCTTCATTCAACGTGGATGGCGCGGAGCCAGTAATGAGCCACCCTTCTCGCTCCCAGGAAACTCCATGGCCGCTTCTGCTGCGCATTAGAATTCATGCAGAGTTATTTGGGGGCCTGGCCTGCTATCCTTGTACCAGGTGCCCAGTCCGAAAGAGACACAGAGGTCACATGTCTTGTGGCAAGAGCGCAGCATGTGCATGTCTGACATTCTACTGGGCTGCATTGCCACTCCCGCTCACCTGCATTGCTCGGACTGCCTCCCAGAGCAATCACCAACTCAGAATATCGGATGATAGCGGCCGAAGACAATATGCATCTACACAATCTGTGTGGCTAAGATCTGACCGATGTGCTTGCTGTGCGTGCTGCAGGAGTTCATGATCCTGCCGACTGGAGTGAAGACCTTCAGCGAGGCACTGCAGGCCGGTGCTGAGGTGTACCACAATCTCAAGAGCATCATCAAGAAGAAGTACGGCCAGGTGCGCAGCTCTTCTCTCCCTGCGTATCCGCAAACCTGCATGAGTTCATTCCTTCTCGAGCGTGGTGGCTTAGCGGGCTTGCTACTGTCTGACAGTGTCTGCTGCTGTTCGCAAAGGCGCTTTCAGCTGGGGATTGGGATGTTTAGTGTCGGGTTAGGGTGAGCAACATGATGGGGGCTAACACAAGCACTTCTGGCTCTCCGGTCTTATTTGAGTGAAGGAGTTCTGTGTGGAATGCAGGACGCCTGCAATGTTGGAGATGAGGGCGGCTTCGCTCCCAACATTGGCTCCAATGAGGAGGGCCTCAACCTGGTCAACCAGGCCATTGAGGTGAATACCTATCATTGACTATCAATTACTAAGATTGACTAAGTGATTGCATGGCTACTTCCGTGGTGTGCAGCAGTGATGCTTTCCCTGCTGTCATTCCATGCATTTGAGGCTTGCACATCCCTGTCTTTCATGTCATTTGGCGTCTTCCTAGGCCATTTAAATTATATTCCAGAGACATTGATTCAGAGGAAGGGCTGGTAGAGGCGGAAGGGCTGGTAGAGGCGGGGTGGCCGCTAAAACTGTGATCATAAAAAAATGTTGCATGCATGCAGGCCGCTGGATACACTGGCAAGGTGAAGATTGGCATGGACGTGGCTGCCTCGGAGTTCCTGACTAAGGACAACAAGTACGACCTGGACTTCAAGACCAAGGACAACGACGGCAGCCAGGTGCTCACCGGGTGAGTCAGCGGCCAGTCATCTAAGATCTTAAATCGGGCATTGCTCCCGTGTCAAATGGGATGAGACTCCTCTTTGCCAGAACACTAAACCATGCCACGTTCATCTAGGGGTTGCCACAGCCTTGTCATATTACATGCTGGCTGCTGTTGTGTCATGTCGACACAAATTGTCCTTGTCTGCTTTCAAAGATTTGTATGAGCTATACCAAGGCGCCATGCTTGGGGCTGTTTGCATTTCCATGCCTTTCTGGCACTGCAGTGTCAGTCTTTAGAGCGGTGATGTGTCCTCAATGTGCGAGGTCACTGCCCTCAAATTGTTATTAATTAGTTATTACACACTTTTCCTGCCAAGAGGCAAGGTGCGTCCTGCAGACAAGCTGCAGTTAAAGGCTGCCACAATCCTACCCTTTTTGGACTCGCCAGATCCAAGCAAGACCCAATAAACCGTGGGCACGGTGCTCAGTATTTGTACCGCCCCCCAAATACCGGCAGCAATTGCCCCTTAAATTGCGAGACGGCGCGGTGAACTGGCTTGGCTTTGCTGCAGGGACGAGCTGAAGAACCTGTACACGAAGTTCACGCAGGACTTCCCCATCGTGACCATCGAGGACCCCTTCGACCAGGACGACTGGGACCACACCGCTGCCTTCACCGCAGAGGGCGTCTGCCAGGTGCTGTTCCCTCCCTCTGCCACCCACCCGCGCTCCACTAAGCAACCTTTTTGGATGTCAACGACCCTTCCGTTTCAGGCGGATTTGGTTCAGGATTTAGGTGAAGGCAATGTCTCTGTCCCTCAAGGAGCTGCTGCCGACCTCGAGTCATTGTCAGCGCTCGCCCGAAAGACGCTGTTGAGTCAAGCTTTTGCCTCCACATAGTGCTTGAGCATTCACAGCCTTTCATCTCATTGCAGGGCTGGGAACGCTCTCTTTACTGTTGTGTTGAGGCAGAAGCAAAAGCAACCACTTCACCAAAAGAGCCCTTAAAGTCTGCCTCATGTCCTTGCAAAGCTCTCATCCTGATGTTTAAAGCGCAGGATTTGCACATATGTGACTAGGCGTGATGATGGGCTGCTCCTGGAGATGGAGTGCCAGGTCAGCGGTCCCCCTAATGTGCCACTTGCTACATTCTCACTCTGTACGTGACATGTGCCTGCATGATGCGCGCAGGTGGTAGGCGATGACCTGCTGGTGACTAATCCCTCACGCGTAAAGACCGCCATCGAGAAGAAGGCCTGCAATGCCCTGCTGCTCAAGGCGAGTCACCCCTTACTCATGTTCTCGCCATCTGCTCTATCTCCTCCCTGTACTGCAGCTACTGCACGCCTTGTGGGCAAGGGAAACTGTGGGTACCAGTGCTCAATTGTTGTCAGCAAGCTGCCTCAAGAGCGAATTACTGACCAAAGCAATGGCAGCATCGCGTTTTATGCCAATCGGACATGTGCTTTCGCAATGACATTGCTCCTGCTTGCAGCACTGGCGTGACTCCTTGCAGTGTCACAGTGGAAGCATTCTGTTGTAGGACCAGCTTTCTGACCAGGCTTGTCCTTGCGCGCAGGTGAACCAGATCGGCACGGTGACAGAATCGATCATGGCAGTGAAGATGGCCAAGGAGGCCGGCTGGGGAGTCATGGCGTCCCACCGCTCTGGAGAGACCGAGGACTCCTTCATTGCAGACCTCTCTGTCGGCCTCGCCACCGGCCAGATCAAGACCGGCGCTCCCTGCAGGTAATACTCATGTCACCTCCTTTAGTAATTTTCAGAAATCTGGACAAATGCTGCCCAAATGCTCCTAGCCTTGCAACGCTGGAAAAGCGTGCAACAGTAGCAAACAAGGTTTGAACGTATGACTGCTGTGAAATGCTTTATAGTGAATCGCCCAGGTGAATGTAAGTTGGTGGGATCATTGTGATGAGGGTGATGCCTCCCAGAATATCACCCTTTGCGCAATCATCCGACACATCTGCCTGCTGACAGGCGGGGTCTGCGACTGTCACGTGCAGGGCCTTCATCTACGTACAAATTTATAATGTGATCACAACTTTCGAATCATGGTTGCATGTAGCCTGACAGAAGCAAGGCTGGGTGTTCTTTATTGTTGAGATGGTCCTGGCTGACTAACTAGTGATCACACCCTGCCCACAATTGATTGGGTCTTGCTTGGATCTGGCGAGTCCAGCGAGGGTAGAAGTGTGGCAGCCTTTATTTGCAGCTTGTCTGTAGGACGCACCTTGCCTCTTGGCAGGAGTAGCGTGGAACATTACAAAGATATCTCCACACATTGCGCTGCATGTCAGAAGTCCCCACTGAGTGACTGTTCTGGCTGCAGGTCGGAGCGGTTGGCCAAGTACAACCAGCTGCTGAGGATTGAGGAGGAGTTGGGAGAGAACGCCGTGTACGCCGGTGACAACTGGCGCCACATTGGCTGGTAGAGTTGCTGATGTCAGCATGCATGTGCCAACACATCAGCTGGTGGGCTGTTGGAGCCTTGCTGATATTAGCACTCATGCGCCACCAGTATGATTTACTTCCATTTCACAGGATCCGGAAAACCTTTCATATGTGACGTCTGCGACTTTAAGAGAACTGGGGGTGATACAAAGCTTCCTCAGCAGACTGTGCGCCCGTGCACTGAGAGTGTGTCTGAGAGAGGGACCAAATTAAGACATGTTCAAGACTGGGCCACGATTAGCAAAAGCTTCATATATCGCAAAAGATGAAGTCTTGTAACGATAAAGAGCTAATCTAGAAGATTTCAGTCAGCATACCATTTTCACTAAAACTATCGTCAGCAGTCGACTGATCTTCCTCGAGCAACTGTACATATGTTTACAAACCTACTGCAGCTTCACGCAACTGTCTGCTCAGTCCCTCTGGTCAACATCCTGATTCCACATCGCCAGCAATAGGTCCTTGTTGAGGCACACTCATTGCACCACCTTTTGGACATCTTCGGGAGTGATCTCGCCAGGTAGATTCCTGCTTTTCAAGCCAGCCAGCAAAATCATTCAACTGATGAACAAGACACACTTTCCATGCAAACAGCGCATCCGAAAGTGCTATTGAAGGGTGTCATATACAAAACCAGAGCAGGGCGTCTGCAGCCATTTCACACATGCTGCTTCCAGAGATTGACAAGCTTGTACAGTGTCTGCCAAGAGTTTGGCTCGTCACAGATGAGGCAACTTGGGATGTCATGATGGGAACGCAGATGCACCGCAGGCGCATGTCTTTTCATATGTTCCAGACACCCTGATGCGCAAGGTACTTCCCTCAGGGAAAGCTTCATCACAGCTGAAGCAAAATGTATCGGCAAGCCGGTGAATTTTGTAGGCCGCCAGCTCATCTCCCACAGCTGGTTCTCAGTCAGGTCGGACGTGTAAAGGTGGCGGTCTTTGCTCAGATTGGGATGATCCATGATCCTTTGACATACTAGGGATCGATACACATGCGAGCAAATTTGGTGTCAACAGTATCGTCATCGGGAGCAGTTGTGATCAGCAAAGCGCTTGCATCACCTGAACTGCTGATCAAAGGTGTGGTTGGAAAGCGGAATGAGAGGGGGTGGACACATGGGGGACAAGCGTGTCGGACGTGTATTTGCTGACATGCTAGACACGCTGACTGGGATTGCGGATGATCACACAGTCGAGGCAACCCTGAGGCTCTGAAGGGCTTCTATTCATACCCTATAATCAATTAAGATATGATAGGTTTCAGGGGTCACACATTATACGTCCACAATACACCGTACGAATCCGTAGATTACGGATACTAGCCACGTAGAGAGTTACGACCGCCTTAGCTGGACTGGTAAAAGTCATTTTGGAGCCTCCGTGCTATTGAGAGCAGTCTTAGCAGTGGAGTCGAAAGAAGCGCACCTTGTTGACACCTTGTGAAGAGATCGCTATCCTGCAAAGTCGGTGTGCGCTCAGGCACGAAGGATCCTTGCTGGGCCCTTCTAGCAGCAGCTGCCATATAAGTATGGAGCAAGGCCCATTTGCGCCCGTTTACAGTAGTTCTCTTGTGCCAGCGGCGCAAGTCAGCCCTCCTGCTCAGAGAGAGTGAGGCTGGGCAGGGACGAAATCTTCGACTGTTCTGCACTCACATTGCTTTTGTAGACCATCACTGTCTCAGAGCCCATATTCTCCAGCCGTCTCTTCTTGACATCAGTGCAGCCCACGCCCTCAAGACAGTCGAAGATTTTGTCCCTGCCCAGCCTCACTCTCTCTGAGCAGGAGGGCTGACTTGCGCCGCAAATGGGCCTTGCTCCATACTTATATGGCAACTGCTGCTAGAAGGGCCCATCAAGGATCCTTCGTCCTTGTGCGCGCACCGACTTTGCAGGATAGCAATCCCTTTACCAGGTGTCAACAAGGTGCGCTTTCTTTCGACTCCACTGCTAACGCTGCTCTCAATAGCCACATGAGTGACAGGTGTGCAAATGTTCCAAGGATTTAGCATTATTTGTCAACTTCTATGACGGGTGCATTCCTGTGCAAGTAAGGGCTCGCATCACTCATGTGACATTGAGCTGCCACGGCGTTTGACAAAGGCTGGCAGTCAATGCTAGAGATGAGGACATGTCGTTGGGTGCTGATGGCATCAAGCTTGTCCTTAAGGCTCAGCTTTTTGCTTCCAGACATTGCTGTGTTGAGCTTGTGCAATGTGTGTCATGGTAAAGGATTTCCTTTTCTAGGCTCTGTTGGCACTGCGTGTGCGATAGAGCTCAACATCACCCCTCGTTGGCAGAGCCGAGTGTGGTGCAGGTTTAGGATGGATGAACTGCATGGGAAGAGGGCCCATCAGACATGTCCTTCCAATGAGGCCTTTTACTGACTCTGCTTGCTTTGTACGGGAACAGGAATTGATAGGTGACAAGAATCCAATTAGCCCTCTCAGTTCAAGTGATGAAAACATTCAAATGAGAACTCGTTAATGACAAGTGTTGCGAGCCATGAAAGATTTTGAACGGCCATGTGGCCAAGGGAAGTAATACTTCCAGTTGTAACACTTCGAGTTCGGCTTCTGTTGATTTCATCTATTTCCCCCACACCACTCACATGTGTGATAAGTTGGCTTCTCAACTCAATTTGCAGCTGTGTGCAGTTATTAATTTGGTTGTGGCGACTTCACCTGAGACAGATGCACGCACAAACCGCTGGCAGCTTTAAACTTGTAGTACCACTAGATGACGTCATATAGTAAGCAGTGTTTGAACCAGGGGACTTTAAATCGTTGATTTAGAGTCTCCTGGTTTGAGCTGATTGCTGGTAATTGCAATACATAATTTTGCATGGGGCATGATATACAGCAATCTGCAACGAAGTTTTGCTGTTCCAACAAGAAATACAATCATGCGTGGCACCGCTCAGCATTGTATTTGATACATGCCAACAAACTGTACAATCTGTTATTCATAGAGAAAGTTCTATTCCTTTCAAGTTTGCATTGCTAGGTACAGGCAGCAGAATCAGCTGACCAAGCACCACTCATGACCTGTTTACAGCTAGTAAATCTTTGCAGCCCCGGCTGGCGGGGGGCGGTATGAATACTGAGCACCGTGCCCACGATTGATTGGGTATTGCTTGGATTTGGCGAGTCCAACAAGTGGTAGGATTGTGGCAGCCTTGAAGTACAGCTTGTCTGCAGGACGTACCTTTTGGCAGGAAAAGCGTGTGATAATAAGAATAATAATAATAACAATCTTTGTAGACACTTAATTATGAACCTGGCTCATTCTTGTGTGCACCCCCGCATTGTTCTCCTAACGGCTCTCAAGGACACCTGCTCTAATTACTGGAAAAATTGATGCATTATCGCATATATGTCCTTCCTCGAATGTTCGTGCAAGTCTTTGGTCGTGACATGGCCGTGTGAGGCTCTGAGCAGAAAAGCAGGTCCACAGCAGAAAAGTAGATTGCAGCAGACACCCATGCCCACATAGCAATAGAGAGTAAGACTTCGCAGCGGTCAGCTGGTGACCTTCAGCACAGCTGCAGCGGCTGTGGAGCCCAGAGTGGAGTGACAGTGCCTCGCCCACTTATTCCAGGGAGTATTCTCATCCGCAGGATCTCCCCCTTTCACCAGCTCTGCTGCCTCTGCTGCCGGCGCGCCTCTTGCGGCGTTCCTGTCCTTGGCCTCATTCTCCTTGCCATTGCCCTGGTGCAACAGGTCTGCTATCAGAGGACACTTCTTCACATAGTGCGCAATGTGACAAATTTGGTACCTTGCGTTGCCAGATTCATGCAACTCACCCCCACGTATACCCGGGCTGACTGCCCGGTCCTTGAGTTTCTGCTAGCTGAATTCGTTATTGGTAGGCTACACATTTGTGGACGAACTCTGGCGAGCACCTCTGCATTCTTGGGCACACTCAGGACTGGCGCACCTCCGGTGCAGCGCCTGCCCCGGCGGCCGCAGCGTCGGTGGAAAATTCAAACGCGTCGCGCAAAAGTGCAATGAGTCGTTTCGCGGCGTCGCGCGCCTCGGGTGTGTTGTCGCACACGAGCTTGCCAGCCGCCTGAAGCAGCGCGGCGCGATCGTGGCCTGCCCACTGCTCCGGCGTCATCTTAGCCGCCGACGCCGCCAGTGACACCGCCACCTTGCCGCGCACCTGCATGAGTGACGAGAAATTACTAATACTGTAGTACTCATTCTAAACCTGCAATCGATAAGAATTTATGGCCAAAAAGGGTGGATACTTAAGACCCTATCTCTCAAAATACAAAACGCCTATGATAATATTGAGACCAGATTCGGAGAGCTTCCGACAAGCCCAATCCAATGGAGCACGACCCTGATGTTGTTGAAGTCAGGAAGACCCCTAAAATTTGCTCTGAAAATTTTCCAGCAGCGCCTGGGGTGAGGGTTTGAGAACGAGTCCTACAGTATTACGTGCGATCCTTCATAATGGCGCATCCAGAGCCCAGAGGGCCACACATATATGCAGACATGTCCGTTTGGATCTCTCAGACCTGTCTGCAGCCAGAACCCAGGCAAAGGCTTGCCCCTCACCGGCGTATGTACAAGTATTTCAATGAGGGGAAATCTGTAGAGAAGAACTGAATTAAGAGCAGCCCTACATGTGCGGCAGTTGCAGGCAGAGCTGCCTTCTTCAGATTGCTACAGGTCCTCCTATGTTCTTGGCACCAATCACTTTATTGCATAGCACTTGTTTCTGCGTTGGCAGCATATCAAGAGGACTGAAGCTCGCATGCCTGCAAGACGGAGTTATCACCGAGGAGGGACTGCTGTCCACACCCCTAGTACAATGCGATGTTGACGAGCGTCGTTTTCAGCTCCCTGCCGCAAGCAACAGCTCTGCAGCTTTCCCGCATGCTGTTGAGGGGGATGCTCACCTTAGGGTTCTTGTGAGCAGCGTAGGGTAGGATCCGCAGCAGCAGCTTGGCCGGGTCCATGCAGTCAGCCATCGTCTGCAGCGCGCGAGTCACCTCCTCGATGACAAACCGTTTGTCATTGGAGCCCGCCTGCATGCATGCAAAGGAGATATACTTGATTACATTTCATTTTCAGGTTTGGTGACTCGACCTTTGCTTAGGGATGAAATACTCCCCGAAGCCTGGGTGGGACGTCCTTGTAAAGTCAAGAGGAACTTCAACAGTGGCAATTCATGGAAAATGATGTTTTGCACATGACCCAAGAGGACTGTGCACGGTGCGTTTTGAAGCCTTTGGAAGAATTCTGCTCTTGATGACTGTGTCTGCAAATTGAACCAGGCAGAGATTAATATGCCTCAGGAAGAGCTGGGAGTGTGTGGATATATGCACCTTCAGAAGCAGCTGTGATAGCAGGCTCTTGAGGGGCTGCGCTGCGCCGCCCATATCCAGAAGAGGCAGCAGCTCTGTGCCGAAGGTCTGACAGAGATCGCTGACTGCCATGATGGCCGCCTGCGCAACAGGGCATGTTCCTTTCAGTCAGCGCAACGATTTCACAAGCCCCTTTTGAGAAATTTGCATGATTGGCGCCTGATGCAATGCTGTACATAAGCGAAGATCAGTCGAGCAGCATTGTGTTGGAATGGAATATTTCAGAGCTGTGTTGGCGTCTGCAGTGATGGTGTGGGTGCAGGCAATAGAGAGCTCGTGAGAGTGCGTTTAATGGCGTTGGTGAATTTCTCAACCAGAGCCAGATGGTATTGAGAAGAGCACACCTTACTGAGGGAACTGCGCAGGTTCTTCACGCTCTTCAGCACCAGCGGGATCACCTGTGGCCTGCAGGAACACAAAGCACATCTTTCAGGCATGTGCTGCGCAATCACCTAAGCATGATGTGTAGACATTCAGAACATTCTCATATTATTCATTTTATCATCTTTATCGATGCAGAAACAGGAAGGTAGTGGTCAGCAGTTGCCATTATGCTGAGAACAGACATGCATGCTCAACAGACATGCGTAATAGCGCTGCCTTCTAGGATGTGAGATGACATGCTGCATGATCAACTGCGGTCTCAAACAATTTAAGCGGGAGAAGTGGATGTGCTCACAAGAGAGGTCTGCACTCCTCAGGATGGAACACTGCCAAGCGTCTCAGCTGCATCTGCCCCCTACACGCCACTGCCCAGTCCGAAGATTGCAGATCCTGCATTGCTGCCTGTACAGCGACCACCCATGATTGTCATCACTAGCAATTTGTAGCTGCACTGTGCCTGTACAATACTGTACGATGCAGCAGATGTCATCGCACATTCTTAACATGCACTTTCATTTCTCTTCACTACCATATGTCTGAGGTTGGCAGGTACTGGCATCACACCTTTGCATCTGTCTCAACGTTGTCGAGAGGCGTCAAAAGCTCCGTTGGTATATTATCGACGTCCACGGTTGGCACAGGCTCCTGTCCTGTGGGGAGTCTAAGTTCCGCAGGTTCTGCTTCCTGTGAGCAAACACTTTAAATGCTTCAAAGGATGTCCTGTTAGAGACTTGCACCGTGCAACGCATAATAATCAATTAATCCGCTGTAACAGGCATAAATTCCTGGCCTGAAATGCAAAATTTTGATGTGATATCCCAGGGCAATCTTCGAGACCCACTGTGTTGAATGATCCCTCTCATCTTTTCCCATAAAAAACACTTCTCTGCAGATTGATTTCGCAAAATATATAATAGAGCCACATGCACGAGCTAAGGCAAGATTTTCTTCGTTTTCCTGTATGCAGAAGGACACAGAAGGCTTCTTTCCCGTGCCACGGCCCACCTGCCCCTGCGCTTTGCTGTACAGTCGCGCCCTTGCAGCCTTTGCAGCTGCAACTTCCCGAGCACTGGGCTGCTTTTCTTCCATGGGCTGCACGGCTGCTTCCTTTTGACCTTGAAGACGGCTGGCCCGCGCCTGCTTCACCTGCTTGGTCTCCTCACCAGCCTTGGCTGTTCTCTTCATTAAAGTCTCCTCCTTCCGTCCCTTCTTCCGTGGCGAGCCAACCGTGACGGAGATGGAGATCGAGCCGTGGCCTATGTCGAAGTCAGCTCTCCTCTCTGTTTCCATCCGGCTTGCATTGCTGGTGTCCATTCGCACCTGTTTGCTCTGCTTGAAAATTCTTCTGGGTGCCACGCTGGCACAGCTTACGGGCCGAGCTATAATGGCATGCAGCAATTGATGGACGGAATTATTATTAGCTTCACACTCATCTGTTGATGAAGGTACAAGTATAGTGATGAACAAGCGACTGACTTGTGATTGGATACCAGGACCTGGAAAGAACTGAGGTCCATCGCTGTTTGATGGACTTGATGTTAATATTTGTGCAGAGCGCCCAGCGCCGATATTTACCCAGCTGACAAGATCGTAGGATGTTCTTGCCGATTTAGTTGATCAGAAAGGCATGGCAGCAGTACAGCATGAGGGATTGCACCAGAATGCGGGTGAGCTGGCCGTGGTCCCAGATCACCATGCTGGTGCTAAGCCTGAGGCTGAGACGGGCGGCAAAGCGCTACGAGCCGGCATTCAAGCGTAAGGAGACAGTTTTGGGATATCCAATTTCCGTACAGAGCAGGTTACTGCGAGCTTTGAGTGTTCAGATCCCAAAGTCTGGCCTGAAGTACCTGTTGAATGCCCTACTCCAGGCGCACAGTGGACTACACTGGACCGTACTTGAGGCTGCTGCAAGAGCGCCCGAAGCGGCCCAACAGATATGGCATCAACCTGCTGCAGCCCACTGCTGCTGGTGCTCTCAGGGTGACTTGCTATTCAGCAAATTCACGTCCTTGCCACAAGAAGACGAGTGTGAATCTGCTTTCCTATGCTGACAGCTGTGCTAGTGTACCAATAGTATCTCGACTGTGCAGATCCTGCCCCCCATGGGCTACATCGACCAGCCTGCAAACAGCTTTGCCACCAAGTTCGTGCACATGAGCTGGAACAAGGTACAAATTCCGGCTGATTCGCTTCCTTCATAATTGTGCCGCCTTCCTTTCGCAGTGCGCTGTGAGCTCTTTAGCGTGCAGAATCCAGTATCAGATTCTTTTGTGCTGGGCATGCATGCGCGAGGCAGTACCTATGGAAATAATTGCTTAATGCTGAAGGGTGTGCGTGTGTGGGTTTAGGTGCGTGCCAGCTTCAATGCAGTTACGTGGAACCAGGAGGGCAGGCGCTGCATCACAGGCACGCAGGTCGGCGAGTTCACCCAATGGGAGGGGCGAACCTTTGCCTTTGAACACATCATTCAGGTGCACCCTTCTGCATGAAAGTCGGAAATTGAGTAGAGCAGGAAAGGGTCAGAGTAGAGGGATTGGCAATTGATACCCCGTTGACAATCGAACCGGAGGATCTCCTCTCCTCTGCAGAAGAGCTTGATCAGTGCGTGTCCCGGCGTTGCTGGGTGATGGATGCAGATAGATTTAGCACTGACAGGTTCTTGTGACAAGCAAGGTGGAGCTGGCATATTGACACCACTGTGCAGCCAGCACAATCACATTGTGTGTCGCCATTTCATTGCTTATGTGGATTTTCTGCATGCATGGCAGGCGCATGAAGCTCCCATCAGGACGGCCCGGTTCCTGCACAATGGCGAGTACATGCTGAGCAGCGACGACGCCGGCATTGTCAAATACTGGAAGCGGCATCTCGACTCTGTGAAGGTGAGAATAATCTGTTCTAGTACCATGACCGTGCATATGCTGCTCGCGTATCAGAAGGGAAAACGGACAACGGAGAACGGAAAACGGAAAACGGTGTGCCTGACCTGCCGCGTGCATGTGAAGCAGCACATGCAGCAATGCTTGTCAATCTGACTGATCATGCAGGATGCTGCAATAGCTTGTGATGTCATGTGGACCTCTCTACACCACCTTGGTTCTAATTTGAGGCAATGTCTGCTTCTATTAAAAACCCGGCTGTTCTGGTCTGACAGGCGCTTCAGGCGCACAATGAGTCCATCAGGGGCATCTGCATCGCCCCCTCCGACCTCAAATTTGCCACCGCCTCTGATGACTCCACCGTCAAGGCGTGCACCCTCCCATTTTCGCTCCACTCTCTTTCCTGCAAACTGCTGCATGTACATTGTCACTCTCAGAGGCGCTTCCTGCCCTCAACCTTTCAGACTTTGCTGCACACAACCACACGGAAGAAGCCGGCTTGTGAGAAAAAGGAATGGTCTATTAATGACGTTATTGCCTGCCTGTCAGCTTTGGGGTGTCTTACATCTGGGCCTCACTATCGTGGGAGGAAAGGCTGAAACGACTGTCGCATGCCTGATGGCTGTGGGTCACCGCACATGTGGGAAGAAAATGAAAAAATAAAGTTGCCTGCATGACGGCCTGTGGTGTGAAATGGCACCTCAAGGATGGATAGAAAAGATTTTCCCTGTGATTGTCGCCTGCCTCTTGTCTCTGGTGTCTTGCAGGCCTGGCACTTCAGCACAAATGGAGAGATGTGTTCTGAGTCTCGCCTACCTGCTGGCTGTGGCGTGTCAAAACGAACAAACAAGGAATGTTCTGAGATTATCGCCTGCCTGACAGCTGTCACATTTGGCAGATCTGGGACTTCAAGACGGCGCAGTTGGAGGCGACGTTGAGAGGCCACGGCGGGGACGTGAAGGCGTGCGACTGGCATCCGTCAAAGGGCGTTGTCGCGTCGGCCTCCAAGGACAACGTGATCAAGCTGTGGGACCCCCGCGGCGGCAAAGATGCCCTCGCCACGCTGCAGGGCCACAATGCAACCATCATGCAGGCACGCAATATTCATATAATTGCACACAGTGGCAAGCTTGTGAGCTCCCATGCTGTCATGAGCGCAGCGCTACAACGCCATGAAATGGAGACGCGCCCTTTTTCAGGCTACGATTGCAGGGTGTGGCCGCCAAGATGCGATGGCGGAGCTGTGACACTTTTACATGAAGAGCAAACTATGTGGCTATTGTTTGGTAGCCACATGGAAAGCAGCTGCAGGGACGTCTAATTCTTGTCATTCGCGCCTTCGCACGCAAGGCCCAACCAACCCTGAGAATTGGCACCCTTTGTGAGAAAAATCTTGTACGGAGAGTAGCACCTGTAGGCACCGCACAGCACGCAGGCTTGTGAGCTGCCATACATTCATGAGGGCAGAGCCACAACGCCAGCATATTGCAGGAACGCCCTTCTGTAAATGCTAGCGGTCACCTGCAGCAGCTCCTGAAGGGAATTGTCAATCACAGGGACTTTATTGATCCTCTGGCAGCTGCAGGGCCAATGCCTGTGTCACCCGTGCATGATCTCAGGTCTTGGCAGTTTCATTCCTTTTGGCATGATGCTTGTTTCAATTGCAGCGGTTGCACGGAAGGATGAGCATGTCCTGGAGTGGGATGTATTGTGAAGAAGCTGGTGCTGAAGCTAGTGAGACGTGTCGCAGGTGCACTGGAACATGAACGGGAACTGGCTGCTATCAGCGTCTCGCGACTCGCTCTGCAAGGTGAGGCATCTCCAAGCAGCTGGAATTTTTCCCCTGAATGCTTAAATTTGCTGCATTATAAAATATTGCAGATATCTTTATAAATGATCAGCTGTGAGAACAGATATGTCGATGGCTGGATTGTCCATGATATAGAGGCATTCTGCCAGCTGTGTGTCCCGCCTGCCGACTGTGCCATTCAATCAGCGGCTTTACAGCTCTCGGACTTGCACAATGTTACCCTCAGACTCTTGAGTGCATTACAACAACGGCGGTTAAAGGGTGTGACGCTCTCTCTTTCTGCTCAACACAGGTGTACGATGCGCGCATGCTGCGCGAGCTGGCGACCTTCCGCGGCCACGTCAAGGACGTCACGTCCGCAGCGTGGCACCCAATCCACGAGGACCTCTTTGTGTCCGGCAGCTATGATGGCAGCCTCTGCTACTGGCTCGTCTCCCACCCCAACGAGCCCCAGGCAAGCTGCATTGCGCTCTCATCCACTTTGCTGTCTTGGAACCATTTTAGGCGGTCCCTAAGAACACTTCCACATGACGTATCCTGTGGAAACTTTAGAGCTATCTTGCAAAGTGCCACCCCCAGACTCTTCCGGGATGTTGTCTGGCTTTTTCCTCACGCTCGTCGCCACATGCATTTTCTGTGCGAATCAATATCAGCTGGATCATGTGGTGACAGGTCGGCCTTTTTTAAAAATTTATAGTTTGTAATGAGAAAGTCACCACGTTGCTCCAAGCGAAGGTGCAGCGTGGTGAGCAGGTCTTGGATTTTCCAAGACAAGACTCCAAGTTTTGAGAGTGAACTGGAACTACGGTACATTTCTTTTGTTCCAGGCTGAGGTGAGGGGCGCGCACGAGGCGTCGGTGCTAAGCATGGCTTGGCACCCGGCGGGGCACCTGCTGGCCACGGGCGGCGCCGACACGATGACTAAGTTCTGGTGCCGCGCTCGCCCCGGAGACCCCTGGACCGATCGCGCGCGCGCCGAGCAGGAGCAGGGCGCTACCACTGAGAGCGGTGCGGAGCAGATTGTTGAATGGATTGTCCTATGAAATGCACAACAGCAAATCTTTGAGCTGCTGGGAACCTCTAGGGGTGATATCCTGTTCAGTGGCTAGTTTAGAGACATGATGCTCAAAGGAGTGTGTGAAGCTGATGAAAGTAGGATTTTGAATCCATAAAGAATGAAACACCAGAGGAGAGCTTGGGATGATGAGCGTGTGGATGTGTTACTCTATACAGGGGATGTACGGGCCGGGTCAGGGGGCGCATCGCTGGGCGCGCCGATGTCAGGCGGCATCCCGGGCATCCCCGGCATCGGTGACGCCGGCCCGCTGCCGCCACCGCCGGCGCCGCCGTTTGCCGACCCGCTGGCGGGGCCGCGCGGCGGCTTCCCCGGGCCGTCCGGCGCGCTGCTTCCGCCGCCGGCGCCCCCCGGCTTCCCAGCCGGCTGGCGACCGCCGCCCCCGCCCCGAGGGGCGATGCCGCCGGGCCGGCACCCGGGAGGCCCGCGGCCGCAGTGGCGGGGGGGTGGGCCCCCCCGCGGTGGCGGCGGTGGCCGCTCGGGGGGGTTCCGGCCGCGCGCTCCTGCGCCCAACCGCGGCGGCGGGAGTGGCTCGCGCATCATGCGGCCGCAGCAGGCCGGCGGCGCGGCGCAGCCCGGCGCGGGGCCAGCACAGAGAGCCGGTGAGAGGCGTGCTCCAAGCTGCAAATAGTTTTCTTGGCTGCAGCCTTTTTTGTTATAATTCATTTTTAATGATCATTTATATTTTATCTGACCGTCTTGCAGCTTGAGCTTTGCAGACCAAAATTTAAATTCTAATGCAGATGCAATGTTGCAGATCTAGAGCATGAACTTGCCATCAAGGTATTGCCTTGTGTGTTTTTTCTGATTTGCTGCAAAGCAAAAAACACTCCACCCACGAGTGTGCTGTGTGCGCTCGATGCAGGAGGCCCTGCCCTTCCAGGCCCTCCCGAGCAGTTTCCAAGAAGACCGCCGCAGCAGGGGAGATGACAACGGTCTTTGTTATTGTCATTTTTTGCCTTGGCCATAGTTGAAAGACTGGCCAGGCTTTCACAGTAGTGTGACTCTAAAAATGAACACAACCACGTGAACAGAAAACTTTGAATGCTTCTTGTTCGAAACTTGGCGAAACGATGAGCGTATTTTTGCTGGTGTGAGGGACAATCCTGGGATACCGTAGTGGGCTCCACTGAAGAATCAGACATAAGGATGTGCAAAAGGCAGTGCAGTGGGTGCGTCTAAGGAAGGCTGCACTGGTGAATGTGTAGTACCAAAATACATGGCAGTTTGAAGCCATTGTTAAGGTGTGAGATTCGCATGCTACAGGCTCGTAGCACTATAAATTACAGATATTACAAGGCTGAGCGTGATAAATGTAGTTCGCTTTCTTCACCGACTTTTTTCATCATGCTACCAGAATCTAGAAAGCTTCAAATAATTTTTATCGGCGCCAGCTGGGCGTGTAAGTCAGCTCCACCAACCATGATCAGAGTTCGAATTCAATGGCCTCTTGATTCAACTTGACACCTTGACGATGAGAACATTTGTTGCATTTGCTCTGATGCTTCTGCAATCAGACAGAGACAAGGGGTCCAATAGCAGCGTCCCATCTGTGCCCTCAAGCCCCTGCAAGCAATATATAGCAGCCTTGTCAAGCCCCCTCAATCCAATTTCACGTGCCAAAAGTAGCTCCCAATCTTGGACTTGGTAGCGATATCATTAGCTTTGACAGGGTAAATGTCTTACAGTGCACCATGCCATGACGTAAAGGGCTAGATATGATTTGCTTGCGACTTGAGGACTTTCTGGCAAGATCAAAGACATGCAGACACACCATGTTTAAGGGCAGGCCATGCTCCTTGTGCAGAAGGGCCTTCAGATATTGCACTGTGTAGCCAAGTCTTGCCTGTCAATCAGCACAATGCCTCAGCATATGCAACGTCTACCATGTAAAAGATGAGATTTCTAATTGTTATACTTATGGTATACAACTTCCGTTCTGGCTAATGATTGGATTAAGTCGCATACCGCAATCTCGGTCTCCGATCCATCGGGCAGCCTGATTAAAAGCTGCAGAAATGCAGGAATACATCAAGCACGTAGGTATCTATCAGCTCTGTATGACTGGGTTAATAGCAGGAAGCCATCGTGAGATATAGTTTCAGTTTCAGGACTGCAACCGCTTTACGACAGATGGGATACTAATTCGCGCTTGCCTGAATTTCTGTTCCAAACTCAGCTTCCTCTTGGGTTTTCCTGCTGCGTTCAAGAGTCACATCTTGCGCTAATTGCAGGCCTGCCACTGCCATCATCCTCAGCCTTGCAGGCCCTACAGAAAACGAGCAAAGACCATTTTGTAACTTTGCAATCTACAATCGGAGATCTTGAAGCTGAAAGGCGCCGTGATGGATGAATGGATGCATTTCCCTGGGGGAGAAGATGATCAGATGCCATGCATTACTCATCTATTACTGATATCAAGCAAGATCAGCATCCTTTCCCCAAGTGAAGAAACGTCCAGGAAGTGTTTGCTCTGTAAGTTCTTATCAGTATCCATGCTACTGGGTGAAATTATATGCGCGCAGTTTGGAGCGTCGTTTGCTGACCTCTATATACCTTGCCGCCTTTGCATGTCGAGCTAGCGCATCGAGTCCTCCTTGTGCTTAACATTGCAAGGCAGTTTGCTATAGTGTGGAAGCATCATATCTGAATACTCTAAAAGCAATTGAAGGGCTCAATTGCATCCTGATTGAAGCGTATTTAATAGACAAGTACCGATGGGACACATTTGAGATATATCAAGAGCGATGCAGCAAAGGATTAGCAAAAGATATAGTGGCGATGTGTAATTGGAGTAAATAGCATAGCACAGAAGTCGTGTTGTAGTCATTTGATCGACGTTTGACAGTGTTGTGAGAATGGCATCAGGCAGTAACACAGAAACAGTAAGGAATGATGAGGACGAGACTTCATATTACGCTGTGCTTAACGTGGCACGGGATGCCTCCGAGGAAGAGATCAAGCGGGCGTTCAGGCAGCTGGCACAAGCATATCATCCAGACAAACACACAGATGCCTCCCTGCAGGCGCATGCCTCCGCCAACTTCACGCGACTGCAGGAAGCCTACGAGGTACAGTGCCGTATACATCACCACCTTACAATTCCATTCAGATCACTGTTGCCTCAGCACGGTGTTTGGGAGTGTGTCACTGGCACTGTGAGGGGAAGCTGGCATCCTTTCCAGGCCCACAACCTCAGGCTACATCTTTTTATTGCTAAACATGCCAGTCAAAACGCTTTAATAAGACCTCCTGGTGCATGTGTGTTGGTGCAGGTGCTCGGCAATCCTGACAGGAGGCAGGTGTATGACATCTATGGGAAGGAGGGACTGTCTGCTGGGCTGGAGGTGGGGAGCACGCTCAAGAGCACAGATGAGCTGCGGCAGGAATGGGAGAGCTTCAAAGCAAAGCAGGTGTGCCTCCCTAAGCATCCAGCTTGCATCCCAGGGAAACCCGCTCACTGCACAATGTATTGCCCAATTGCCACACAAAGCCGACTGGGATTGCATGCATTGCATAGGTGCAGCGCATGACTATTACCATCTGCACTTTGCTCCTCTGGAGGCTTGACCTGACCTGAGGCAAATGCAAGGTCCTGAAGTGCATGCGCTTGAAACAAGTTCTCACATGATAGAGAGATCTTTTTGACTACCTTTCTAGCCAAAAATAGCCATATGCCAGGAACAGGGAAAATTGTGATGCCATTGGAGGCACACATTGCATTTGAGACTGGACATTTCGTGAGGTGACTCAATGATGATCTTTGTTGTGTGCTGCGCGCAGAGGCTGGAGATGCAGGTATCGCACAGGGGCTTCTACAGCTTCAAGATTGACGCGACTAGTCTAGTGGACCCCTATGACCGCCACGTCAGCGTCATGCCAGAAGTGTATGAGGTGGCCATGAACAGCCAGATCAGCACGCCGTTGTCAGACACCATGGGAGCCACCCTGGGAGGTGCGACCATCAACCCCTGCCTTTGATAATACAGGGGTACTCCATCTTAGACAGGTTGGATAAAGTGCGGAATTGTATAACGACAGACATCGACACAGGCACAGCTTGACAGGTAATGACGAGGTATAGTGCGTGTTGGAATGTTTCGCATTGCTCAGAAAAGGGACAGGAGATACACTGTCAGATCGCTGCTGTTCAAAGCTTCAAGTGCCTCCAAATTCCTGTGCAGTCCTCACTGAGCGTGTCTACTTAAGTCACTCGTTGCTGCACAGCCCATAAAGGAGAATCAGTCGAGGTGCAAGTCTGCAAAATAAGCGATTGATGTCTACGTCGTTATGAATACTGAACTTGAGGTTAACCACTCAAGAAGCAAATTGTGCTTTAAAATGCGCATGTGTCTGCAGGCCAGATGGCAGTGCAGGGCAATGTGGGCGGCGGCTCCTTTGTGTGCGGCCTAAAGCGAATTCTGACCCCACGCAACTCCATAGAATTGCAGGCAGCCCTGGGTGAGTAAACCTCGACATCGTGTGACCACATGAGCACGTTTCCAACCTGGCCTGCTATCCTGCTCTGCATGCGATGTTGCCTTTCTTGTGCACGTGCCCATTCAGGCCTCAGTCGCCCGCAGATTGCCTGAAGACGCAGCTGCTGACACAGCCTCCTGTGCCAATAGAGATTGGGCCTCTTGTCCATGTCCTATTGTCAACATCGCCCGGCCCTCACCAGCAGTTGTGCTCCTGATTGGGATCCATCTTGCATCTCTTTTGCCAAACAGCCGCCATTTCCTGTCCTAAGAGGGCAGATGCTCAGATCGTGGTCCTGTCGCGCAGGCCTGAAGACATTCCTCTCGCTGCAGAGCACGCGCCAGCTGTCGGAGCACACATCCGCAGGTCTGGGAGTGACCTGGCAGCCGCGCGCAGGCTTGGGGCTGCAGCTGGTCTCCACGCGCGAGCTGAGTGACACTACCTCGGCCGATTTCAACTGGGTCATCGGCCCCGCCGGCGCGGCAGGGGCCGGGCTGGCCGTCTCGCGGCGCGGCGAGAAGTTGACCACCAGCGGACGCATTGAGGTGTGCACCTCGGCAACTCGTATGCTTTGCTTTCGGCCAGGATGGGAAAGACGAAGACATCCTTATGGGCCTCATCAAGGGGGAAAGCAGGCCAACAAGGATCTGCTCTTTTTTCTTATCCTTCAGGTCCTGGCCTTTAGTTTCTTGCAAAACGGTTCAATTTTATAATTATGCTGCAGGAAAGACACTGCGCATGCAGCTGATGGCACGTTGCCAGAATCACAGGGTCCCTTGAGCATGCTGAAACTTCAGCTAGACGCATGATTCCAACATTGCATGTGCATGATTGCAGGTCATTGACTTTTGGAATGGCTGGTAGTCAAAAGCACACAACTTTTGCATGCTGCAAAATCAAGCTTCACACAGCTGAGAATTGAAACGGAGATGCGTGGTTGCAGGTCGGGGCAGTGACGGGGATTCAGGCGCGGTGTGTGTGGAGGGTGAATGAATCGACGAGCGCGCGCGTGGCGCTGAGGGTGGGAACAACGGGGGTGGATCTGGAGGTGGGCGGCACTCAGCGCATCTCCGAATTCAGCACCGCCGGCCTCGCCGTCGCCGTCGGCCTATACGTGAGCGCTCAGTCACTCTTGATAATCTTACTAATGTGGATTTTGGCGCTGTCAAAATTCCCACTTCAGCACCGCCGGCGTCACCGTCACCGTCGGCCTTTATGTCAGTGCTAACACATTCTTACTAATGCTTAGTCACGAGGCTTTCTGTGCAATTGCGGTGCAATTGCGATTTGATCACCGCTGGCCTCGCCGCCGCCGTCGGGTTCTATGTAAGCGCTGACTCACCCATACGTACACCCGTATGGACGAGGGCGTTTTGGTATGGGTAGAATCTTATGTGATGCGTGTGTATGCTCTGCCGAACAATGCTCCAGTTGTGCCACCACCAAGGCCGTCCTATGTGCATACAGCCTGAAGTGCTCAATAACATCTCCGTTTCCGACTGCGTAAAGCTGAGGAGCATGCAGCAGCAGTGCATCAAAGCACTGCTGTAGACTTCTGTGCTGAGATGAGAGTAATTTACTCACTCGTGCCAGCTGCCCTTGGTCTTGCCATCTTTGCCGAGGAATTGCTTTGAGGATTTGCTTTGACATGCAGGGCATTGTGCTCAAGCCGCGCTTTAGCCGGGGAACGCACACGTTCGACTTCCCACTGCTGCTATCGCACGACCCGCGCGCGTGGAAAGTACTTCTGGGCGCTTATGTCCTGCCGCCGCTCACCATATACGTGACTAAGCGCCACATCATCCGCCCGCTGCGCCGCTGGAAAAAGGCCCGGCAGGTGAGCTGGCTGGGCACACTGCTCTATTCCGTTCCGCGCTTTGATTGCCCTCTCAGCTCCTGCGCTTGCCTAGCACGCACCGAAAGGGGTTTTTCAGGCCGGCCTCAGATTTTGGAGACCGCTAATGCACCGGTCTCCAAAATGTGCCCGTGCAACAGCTGGCATTGCCTCCGATCAGTGAGCATGTGACGTACGGGGCATAACCAAGCAACCAAAGTACCACTCGTGTCAGCGAGCCAACCTTTTGCCTTGAACGCATGCATGTCAACTCTCCGTGCCCTGGCACGCATAGAACCTGGCGCAAGCTCTTCAGCATTTCAGCTGTATCTGCAAAACAACACTCTTCAGTACCAGGAGCCCATTGTCTCTGCTGCTGTTGGTGCAGCGAGTGGAGAAGGAGATGGAATTGTTGGAGCAGCAGCGGACAAAGAGGGAAGCGGCGGCCGGCGCCATCAGTGTCATGGAGCCCATCGCCAAGCGCAAGCTGCGCAAAGAGCTGCAGAAGGTACGCGCAGGACATTTACGATTTCTTTAAGATTCAAACTGCACAGAAATGCCATGCGTAGAGTGCCGACCGGAATCTCCTGAGAGCGTTTTGATATTGGATCCCAAGCGCGTAGAACAGCAGTTGCAGAGAGCCTCACTTACATGGGTGACTTTTGATAGTCTTGACAAGGGACTTACGCTGGCATATCTTGATATCCTGGATTTTGCATGATGCTCTATTTTTTTCAAGGGCAAGCCTTGCACCATTTTTTTGGCTCAGAAAATTCCCTCTATCTCACCAGAGTACCCATCTTTGCATCCCTGTCTTTCGTATGGAGTGCCAAGACTTGCAGCAAGTCAAGCTGGCACCTTAGGGTCAATGAATTAATCTTGATGCAGCAACTGAAGGGTGATTGTTGCAGGCGCAGGGGGGTCTTGTGGTGGTGGACGCCAGATACGGAGTGCTGGAGGCCATAGTGAAAGCTGAGGCAGAGCAGAGGGAACGCGGGACCACTGGCGAGGCCGCCACGTCAGCGTCTGACTCGGCCGCCAGCATGGACGAGGCCCCCAGCCCCAGCACAGGTGCATGCAATTAAAAAATTGCAGGGCCTGTGTGTTTGAAGAAAGGTTTTTCCCAAACACTTTATTGGACGCAATTTTTCGCGCGGCAAAAAAATGGCAGCTGGAAACAATGTTGTGAGACATGCGAGACAGCTAAGAGTCTGACATCAATGGAAGAATGAGCTAACGGGGGCACCCATGTCTGTACTGCTTGGATGGACGGCAAGTCACCCATGAAGTCCAGATACTGCAAAGCTCGTGCCCATGGAAACTTACTGTAGGTGGACTGATCTCGAGAACTGGAAAAGGGATCCAAGTCATTTTTTATGTGCAAAAAAAGTATAAGATTTAGCCATTGAATCAAGCTGAGAAGCTGAGCTTGTTCCCCTTGTACTATGCAGAAGTGGCAGAGCCAGCGGGTGAGGAGGATGCGGCAGTGGAGGCGGCTGTAGCGGCGAGGCTATGCGCCGTGCATCGGCCGCCGCCCTGGATCGATGTGACCATCGCGCTGCGGTTCATGGTGGAGGACAGCCGCATAATTCTGCACAAGGTCCAACTCCTGATCTTGTTCCTCCTCATTGGGCCCTTTAGTCTGGGCGTACTTTGGGATCGCTAGCAGTCTTCGGTTATTATTATTATTATTATTATTATTATTATTATTATTATTATTATTATTATTATTATTATTATTATTATTATTATTATTATTAAACGCTTGTCCTGCCAGAAGCAAGGTGCGTCTGTAGACAAGCTGCAGTAAAGGTTGCCAAAATCCTACCCCTTGATGGACTCGCCAGATCCAAGCAAGACCCAATCAATCGTGGGCAGGTATATTATTCTACGGACTTAGAAAATGAAAGCAGTGTCTTAGGTCAGGAGTGTGCAAGGTAATGGCAGTGCTGTATGTCTGCATGCAGAGATCACGATCCACTTGTTCAGAGAATTTAATCTCATTCACGTGTTGATGGAGTCAACAGAGAATGCTGTGAGGAGCATCTTTCTCGTACTCTGCACACCGTGGAAACATATCAGCAGTGACAGTCACTGTCTAAAAGGGCCAGCGCCGCAGCACAGGTCATAGAAAGACCCTTGCACATGTAGTCGCTGTCTAGGGGTGTAGCGCCGCTGCATGGGTTCAGCCAGGCCTATTACAGCGTTGCCAGTCAGTGTCTAAGAGGAGGGATCGCGGCTGCGCAGGTGTCGAAGAGGGGCCTGATGGGCTTCTGCGACCCGGCACCTGACGAGGACAAGCACCTGCGAGTGAGGTTCCTGTGGCATGGCCGCCCCTACATCGCCACCCTCGCTGACAAGGTGCGCGCCTGAACCTCGCTTTTTTTACAGCTGATGACTAAGCTTTTTATGTACAGCCAAATCCTTGAAATATGTGCACGCTGTTTTCACTGAGCCGTACGCAGCAGCGGCCGATCTTGCTGTCAAGGCGCGTACCTGAAATGCACTTCTTTTTGCATCTTTTGACTGTGTTTTCACCCAATGGCAGCACGTTGCTCAAGACAAGTGCATGCCGTCTTTGGTGATATTATCAATGGAGCGCAACCCTCCGAGAAACACTGTGGAGAGGACTTGCACCACTGGGGCATGAGAAGGACCGACTGAAACGCATTTGCTGATCTCGATTTGCAGGAGGAAGGGCAGCTGCCAGCGAGAGGGAAGCTGGTGACTGATACTGCAGAAGCTGCCGCGGTGCTGGCTGCTGCAGCTGCACAGGGCTTGCAGCCCGATCAGGCTGGCGCCTCTTGGCGGGACAATGAGCTGTATGGTGCACCCTAGCTTATGGTAGGGTAGATAGTGGCGGGTGCGGGGGAATGACGAGGAATCCTACAGGAGTTTTAGAGAAGGGACCCTTGTCGTGTTTTCTTTGAAGATTCAACTTGTTCCGTGAAGTCCAACATCCTTAGCTCAAAAGTTAGGTGATGATAGCTCTGCCAACCTTCTAATTTAACGCAAGTATTGCAGGAGCGTGTGCAAGCTTCAGATGTCAGCAAAACTGTGCACAAGCTTGAATAGCTGCCACTCTAAGCGACGAATGAAATGCACTGTAACAAGGAAGACTACGTGAAAGCAGGCTGTTCTCATTGGCATCTGAGTAATAGCTAATTGCTCAAGCGCTCTCAAACATGTTCTATCTGGAATGATCGCTTGTCATTCAGATGTTGCACTGCCAGGTCGGCCACTGCCGAAGCCACACCTTTGAGATTTCTATAGGATTGCATGCTTGCACAGAAGAGACAGGGTACAATGGATATATAATCTTGTCAGTTCGCTGGCACCAGCCTGCTTACTTGGGCGCTTGTCAGCCATTGACTTTGTATTCACTCGTGAGTTCAACATTTTCAAAGTATTTTTGGAAGCACAACAGGGCGCATGCAAACGGTGACTATTGCTGCTCAAGATCCTGCAGTGCTTTGCGCACGCTGCCATCATCATCTTCCACTAGCACACCTCCCTTCCAGCAGCCAATTCGCTCCCCTAGCTCCTTGTTCTTGTTATACTCTGTCTCCACAGCCTCCCTGCACAGACCACCAAATGGATGAAAGAGGGAAGTCAGATCACACAAGAGAATGCGAGGGCCAAGTAGGGAGAAAGGGCTGCCTTGTGCTGATATGTAGTGCGTGCAACATACCAAACACCAGGGCCGACAACTACATTAGACTGCACAGAACGCTGCACAAATGTAAGGTAGAGCAGCCACTCAGTTGCAGATGCTGCCAGCTTCAAACACTTGCAAATATTGTGCTTAGATCAGACATGTAGACTGAAGGGCAAGTGCATGACAACAGCCTCTGCTTGGTTGCAGCATCGCATGCTTGCACAGGAGATTCCAGCCAGTCTTTCCGTGAAACTGACAGCTACCTTGGCCACAGAAGGGTCCATCATGGATGCCAAACAGTGCAATTATCAAGAGTGAGGGCAAATCGTTACCTGTTCCCTTTCCAACCGACATAGCGCGCAAGCGACTGGGATCCCATTAGCCTGGCGGCCTTCACCCTGACAGCCTGCTCGTCCCATCGTGGCAGAAGTTCTGCACAGATCTCCCCCCATTTGCCAACCCCATGCTTCTCGAGACCCTGCTCCACAATGTAATTACTGTAATGTAGCAACATTTGCTGATAAAATGGCATCACATCTGGAATGTTTGACTTGCGGGCAGTTTTGTATGGAAACATCCCTGATGAGAGCCAAGTGCTGACCTGATACAACAAGTCTCGTTCGGCGCTTCCCCACTTCTTGTCATCCACCAGGACGACCTGCATTTACACTTGCTTAATCTTATAAGATTAAATGGAAATCACATTGCTCCTATTAAAACTTGCTTTGCAGGGCGAGATTGATGCTGGACAGCGCACCTTCTTTGGCTTGAAGAAATCTTGGTTAACGCTGCCGTCTTCTGCAATCATACCCGGTGGGCTCAAGATTCTTCGCATGTCTTTCACCCACTGTATGCGGTTCTCTGCCTCTGTTGGGGAGACCTGTTCTCAGACAGAATACACTTAGCTCGCATGTGATAACATCACATTCAGACATCCCACGTGTGCTCCAAAAATTCAGCAAGATTTTGCATCCTTGACAGCCCTTATTAATTTCAGAGAGCGGATTGATGGAGTAGGCACCATCACCATCGCGAAATATGTTTACCTGCTTTTCTCGCCCTTCCTCAAGCACTGCGACCAGAACGTCGGCTGATGCCATTGAAGTATCTCGATGCTGGATCCACCACTTCCTAGGCCGCTACTTGATCAGGCTCAACATATACGTACTGCCGGGAGTTTATGTCGATGCTGATCTGCACCGCTGGCTGTCTGCACGATTGACGCTCGTCGGTGACAAAGGAGACCAGAACCTATTATCGGAGCTGCAACGAGACTCTACTCTGCAAGGAATGAGGAAGGTCTCATGTCAAGAGTGGCATGTGCGCACACGGTGGTTGCATGTGGGCAGTTGCCGTCCTATATATGTCTAGACCTGATCAGGCAACCCCTGCAGGGCGCTCCAAACTCTTTCAGCAACAGCCAACAAACGGACACTCGGGAAGTCTGAGGCGCATTTTTTTTGGCTATGTGGCAATGACATGCAAGCGATCTCGAGCAGTTCTTGTTTTGTTACGATGAGTGCTTTCGAGCAGAAGGGTGCACATCTTGTTCTGTTCCTTCTATAGTCTTTCCAGTTCAGTGCAGCGGCAAGAAAAGCTCTTGCAGGAGATCTTTCAGAACATTGATCCACATTATCTGGTGACTTCTGTCGTGTCTTAGCGTCAGCGTGCGATGGGTCAGTGTATAAGCATCGAAGGGGGAGCAAGTCAGCAGGAGAGATACCAGGTGCTGAACGTGTGGATGCTCCCTGTCCGGCTTGCAGCGTTTCAAAAACAGGTCTAGTCATGTAGAAGACTAGAAGTTCCGTAGTGTCCCTGTTTGCAAAGATTTAGGTGTCTTAGAAGATAAGGGTTGTACCTTGACCTGCACCTAAGAATCGATTACCTGCACAGCGCTAATTCTTTTGGTTTGCTCATAATTCGTAGCCCAAATGGCAACAACCTGCGGGAGTGATGACGCTAGACGGCAACTACAACGGACACCTCGAACGCCTTGCAGCCAACGTAAGCAAAGCTTCCTGTAGCTTACTGTCTATACTTCCTGTTTAATAACCACGTCAATAAAACTCCGGGGCTATCAAACATCGTAGCATGTCTGGATTATGAAGGCAAAGGCACCATGTTGTCGTATATAATGCACCTGAAGCTATGCCATTGTGCTGCATCCAGGGAACTCCAGTGGACTCCGTGGAATCTGATCGCATGCACGATAGGCAGCAGCAGCGCCCAAGGCTTGGCTTTGAAAAGGAGAGCACCACCATCCGTCTTGGCAAATACAAGATCAAATTTGGCAAAGGTGAGCTCCTGGCATGCAAGAGAGGTTGACACAAAAAATCTGAGGAAAGCGACCTCTGACCTTTAGGACAGCATTGCAGATTGCACAAAAATCTTCCTCGCTCGCATATCAGCAGTGTCCTGAAAGCATCCGATTCCAATGGAATGATTCCGTGGCATTAAGACTGACATGGACTCTGAACCGATGTGCCTGCGTGTGCATGCAGATGCGGACGAGGAGGAAATGGAGAGCCCCTACAAAGGTGTGCCTCTCCCTTGTTGTCAGACAAATCTAACACAACAGAGCTTGCCCACCCTGTGCCTCCTTGGCTCATTCAATCTTGCTAGGGCGTTTGTATTGCGTTCAATCTCTATCATCAGGCAGCCCAAGTCGTGCCAGCACCTTGCAGATGTTGGTTCTGAGCCTTCCTTGCCCGCGTATTAAATTTGCTATTATTATTATTGTGCAATTTCCTGCCAAGAGGTGCATCCTGCAGACAAGCCGCAGCCAAAGGCTGCCACAATCCCACCGCTCGCTGGAATCGCCAGATCCAAGCAAGGCCCAATCAACCGTGGGTACGGTGCTCGTGTTTATGTCGGGCCCCGCCAGCCGGGGCCACGTTACTGATTGTATCCCTCATTAGTCATGCAAATGCCTAGCAGATTCGGCGAAGGATCATCCGGTGTTTGGGCAGCAGCGACACAGCGACAAACTGCCGGAGACAGGTCCAGTCAGCTGGACACGCGGGGAGCTTCTGGGTGCAGGCGCCTTTGGCCGAGTGTACCTGGGACTCAACAATGACACCGGCCAGCTCATGGCTGTCAAGCAGGTCAGCTGCTGCTTCGCTTGGCTCTGTTGAAATGTGCGGGCCTCTGCTGCGCTCAATTGCCCTTGGAAAATGAGCAGAAGCAGACAAGCTTTCTCTCTTTATTGGAAGAGGGAGATGCTTGAGGAATCACATAAATGCATGCATTCAGCAGGCATGTGCTGGTCTTGCCTTGTTGTGCAACAGGCTCTTAGCTGCCTTGCTGAAGTGCCTGTGAAGCTGTCTGGTGCAGTATGCACCTGCGGAGACCAGTCTAGTTCAGTGCGAAGGTGGCATGTAACCAGCTCCGTGGTGTCAAAGGGAAATTATGAGCTGCTGACCAGGGAGATCTCGAGGATCAGACAGAGATCAGACACTGCATCAGCGGCAGAGACACATGGCCGCCCGCGTGGCTTTGCCATGTCAGCGGCCATGTCCCTGCAGCGAGTGAATAACATCCATGCAGGGGGGAAGATTTTGGCAGTGGCGGGTCGCTGAAGGCGCAAATCTGCGCGCATGCAGGTGCTGATAAGCAAGGATGAGAACGTGGCTGGGCGCGTGGTGGAGCACGTGCAGTCCCTGGAGGCTGAAGTGAATGTGCTCAAGCATCTGGACCACCCCAACATCGTGCGCTACCTGGTGCGCCTGACATCTCACTTCCCTGCGTTCAAAATCTCTGTTGAATACAAAGCGTGAAGATAATGCTGTTTTCCTGGGGCCCCCAGCCGACATTCCTCCCACTTGAGCAATGACTCTTAGCTCTGGCTAAGAATGCTTGGTTCAATGCAATTGGCTAGAGGAAAAGATGTTAGTCTTGCTTGGTTCATCATGCTTCAAGGGACCATCTTGCGTTGGTAGACTGATCTGTTCTGTTCAATGTGATGCAGCTACTTGTCATCATGCATCCTTGACAGGTCTGTCAGCAGACAGTACGGAGCACTCTCAAACAGGAGAACATATGCATATTTATTGGCGCAAAGTCGCATGCATGAGTATGCGTATTGAAATCCCTTGGTGCTGCAGGGCACAGACAGGGATGACCAGCACCTGAACATCTTCCTGGAGTTTGTACCCGGCGGCTCCATCGCATCCCTGCTGGCCAAGTTTGGTGCGGCCCTCTGCTGCAAAACCACACAGCATTGTGTCCAGGGCAATCCTTACCGTTGAGGCACTTAGTACATCACTGATTCAGAATACAGGCTCATTTGAGTGCGAATCCTGACCTGCAACAAGCACAATGTATGAATTATGGTACAGACGCTTGCATGTGCGGGAGACCCTATTGACAAGGGAGTACATGCCACAGAGTAAATAGGGCATGACTTGCATTGTACGAGTCATAGGCCCCGGCTGGCGAGGGGCGGCTAAAACACCGAGGAATAGCCTATGATTGAATTGGTCTTGCTTGGATTTGGCAAGTCCAACAAAGGGCAAAGGAAATTGTGGCAGCATTTCCTGCAGCTTATCTGCAGATGCAGCTTGTCTTCTTGGCTGAATACCGTGGAACAACAAGGATCATCACTTGGACAGAGTTTGACAAGTGGTATGTGCATTGTGTCAGGATCGTTCAAGGAGAGCGTGATAAGGGTGTACGCGCGCCAGATACTGCTGGGCTTGGAGTACTTGCACCACAACAAGATCATGCACCGGGACATAAAAGGCGCCAACATCCTGGTCGACCACACCGGCCTCGTCAAGGTGGCCGACTTTGGCGCGTCCAAGAAGATCGAAGACCTCGTCACCATGGGTGCGGCGCCCCCTGCTCTATACAGGGTTCCTGGGGGTATTTACCACACAGTCATACACATGTTAGTACACCATTAAAAGCATCAGTATACTGATAGTGGTATTTCTCACGGTATGCGTAGGGGCAGTAATGGCTGTTCTCATTGAGGACCCCTTTGTCATGAGTGACTCACCTGCTCCTGAAAAGCTGTTCTGAAGGAATAAACAGGCTTAGGCGCGATGCATGCCACGTGCCATTCAATGATTTACAGGAGCTCCATTTTTTTGGTTGTGGGCCCAAATTTAGAGAGATTACATGAGCAGCTCGCAGGGCACAAATTGAGACGGGGGCAGCATTGTTCTTCTGGAGCACTTTGACAATTTTTGAACGCTTTGGTTGCCTGCATACTTGACTCCAGCATGTCACCAGTCCGGTATTGCCCTTGTTCAATTGCTAGGGTGCGGCCTGCTAATCTTCACTGGAGGGTTATGGCGCAGGACAATATTGAATGTGTTGCATGCGCAGACTCGGGCTTTAAGTCGATAAAGGGGACGCCGTACTGGATGGCTCCGGAGGTGATCAAGCAGACGGGCCATGGGCGCCAGGCGGACATCTGGTCAGTCGCCTGCACCGTCATTGAGATGGCCACCGGGAAGCCGCCATGGAGCCAGTTCCAGAGCCAGGTACACCTTATCAAAGCCCGACACGCTAATATTTTTTATGTCCTTATTTCTTTGTTTTTCCAGGGTTATAAGCTAGACCCTGAATATCTGATGCCTGCATCAAACTTCTCTAAGGTGTCGCATTCCATGAATATGAGCCGCCTCTGCCCTAGGCATTGCAACGTGGCTTGCGCAGCTGCAAAGGCTGGCAGGAGTTTGCCTGCAGGTGTGTCACGTCAGGCAAGGATGATGTACACTTCTGTGCATTCATTAAGTTCAACCAACCACTAGTCCTTACATGGGCACACAGAGGCAAAGAGGCCATGTGTTAGGTGCATGCGGATTGAAGCAGAAGTGTGATGACTAATTCATCTGTGCGATTGCCAGGTGTCGGCGCTGTTCCACATTGCGTCGTCCAAGGAGCCGCCGGTGATCCCAGAGGTGCTCTCCAAGGAGGGCCGAGACTTCCTGCTGCAGTGCTTCAACAGGCGCGCTCCCTCCCTGCAGCTCTGAAAGTATTCAATAACACTGAAGTCACTGGTTTAAAGTTGTGGAATGCAAAACTTTTACTATTTCAACAGCACTAAATTACGGGCGGAGAGACCCACCCACTGCCCCTGCTGGCACCCCTTGGTTGTGCTCTTTGCTGCAACTGGGGGTGCAAATTGGCAATCCTGTGACAGACCTGCAGTCTTGAGGATGTGAACAGGTAACCAGGCACATGCAAACAAGAACATGCATTTGATCACGTCCAGACATGTATTGACAAAGAGGGTATCCGGCTGTAGGGTGCCCAAGGAGCGGCCGAGCGCGGCGCGGCTGCTGCGCCACCCGTGGCTGGCCGACCTGGCATGCCAAAGCACTGCAGCACCCCTCACCAACATCTCAGTCCACACCGACATGCCACGAGTGCGCACAACTCTCGCTGCCTAACAGGCAGAGAATAAAATGGCAGCACAGAAAAGGGCTTAGAGCATAAGATGACAGCACAGAAAAGGGCAAGTGTCAGAGCTTCACAGTGTCCGGTCCATCAGCTCCTGCAGTGCTAAAGTCCAGTCTTGCAGAGAGCTGGTTCTGTGTTGGGAGGATTATGAAAAAGGCTAAGATAGTGCCGCTCAATTCACATTCCCTCTCTTGATCTTCAATGCCCGATACACTCATATCCTGAAATTGATGCCATTTGGGCTGGCGTTTCAAGAACGCGGCGTGTCATGCTGCATCTGAGGAGGCTGACCTCTCCAACAGTCCATTGAGGACCAAGAAAGGACCAGGGACTACAGCCGCGATTTTTGCTTTGATGGGAGCCATGTGCCAATTGCAACTTGTCGCCATGCAAGCATCCTCTGACATGTATCTCTCACACCCTGTTATTTGTTTATCCCCTCACGAGAACTGCTTGAGCTGATGTGATGCATTTTCATAATGCGCAGGCCCGGGATGACCACCTGCTGAACCTACCCTCGCCCATCCCTGAGGAGCCGGCCTCGCTGGGTGGATCGACAGGGAACGCTCCCGCGCCGCGCCGTGCCCAGAACGGTTCCCCCAGCAAATTGATGCCGGAGCCGCGGCCCTTCACCCCTCGCCCCTATGCCCTCGTGAGCCACCCTCTTTTCCCGCCATTTGCCTTTGTTTCTGGGGTTCTGGCCAATTTTCCTGGTTTCTTTTGATCAAAATATGTTGATTGAAATTTTGGCGCGTGCTAGCATGCACTGTGATCAAGCCGATGTCACTGACGCAGAGAGCACCCACTGGAAACTTCCAAGGACCGCAGAGGGTTGAAACAAACAACCGCCAGCGATGTGTGGGCCGGTTGTGAAAGACACTCGCCAGCTGGCCGAGAAAACAGGGAGCCCCGCACTGCACAGCCGCATCTGTGCACATGCAGTGCTCACAGTAACTACCACAAGAATGTATTAGTGGCGTATCGATATGTGGCGTGAGACTAAGAGCGCTGCCCTGGTTCAGGCGCAGCAGCAGCCGGAGCGGCAGTTGGCGGAGTCAATCGAGTCGGCCGCGGCGGACAGCGGCGGCCACTGGGGCGGCGCGGCCGCGGCGCTGCGCGCGTCGACTTCCTCCCAGAATAGCCCGCAGGCCGGCCGCGCTCTTCAGGTGCGGCCCAGTAGACCAGTCCCGGCAGACACCGCGATTTCACATTTGCAGCGGTCTCAAATTCCTGCATATCTTTGCTTCGTCACCATTGTTGTGCTGGTGGGGGCAGAGGCAAGAGCAGGGCCCGGAGAGGATGTCCACCGGCTCGGCAGGCAGCGCGGCCGGCCGGCCAGCCGCGCGTCAGCCCAGCGTGTCATCACTGCAGCTGGCCGCCGCCGCCGCGAGCCTGACTCACAGCTTCGAGTCTGACTGCTCTGTGGAGGTACGACCCTGTGTACGACCATGCACTTAAGTGGGCAAGTCCATCAGTTAAATAAAACTCACACATGCCTTCAAAACACAGCATTAGGTGTCACCTTGACTAAGACGTGCTCCTGTCTTAGTCATTATCCCTAGCCATCACTGCATGCAGGCCACTGCATGCAGACCAGACATGGAACCACAGCTAGCCACAATCTACAAACTCGACACGCCGCAACAAAGAGAAGCTGCTTTGTGCAAAACCTCACATGTGGTATCATTGCATGCAGAGTGACTACAATCCGGTGGAGGAGCCTTCGTGGCTGGCGGACTCCATAGACCTGGGAGCATACCAGAGGCAGCAGGGGTCTCAGCAGCCAGATGAGGAGCGGCATTCCTTCAACATGATCTCACACGATGAGTCACCCGCTGAGTCAACCGACAACGCGCACCGCCCCACCACAAACATCGCCTCTCACCACAACCCTGACCCTGATCACAACGAGGTGGTTTCCACCTCGCTTGTCAAACAGCTCACCAACTTTTCACCGAGGGCTCTGTTATCTCATGTGCTCAGCCGAGTCATTCCTGTCGTCCTGACTACAATGTAAAGTGTTGCCCAAAGTCTGCAATTATTGTCATTTCGTGGCACCATTCCCCGGCTCGTCGCGCGCAGCAGCAGAGACTTTTGATGGCAATGGACCGGGCTCTAGTCTCCTGGTTGGCAACTTGTGGCATACCAAGTGCACCCTTACCGGTCCTATAATAGGTTATGCACAGTACATGACAGCAAAGTAGAATTCAACTTTATGATTTTGTGTGCGCAGTCGCCGGGCATGCCGAGCCTGCGGATAGAGTACACGCTGTCGGGCGCGGCTGATGAGGACGCGGCGGCAGGCCACAACAGCGCGCATAGCCTGCCCTCCCCTGACTACACACGCGCTGTGAGCCGCGTTGCCTCCTCCCCTTTGCTCTGAAACCCACCACCAGAGAACAGAGCTTCTAACAAGCAGCAACTTTTGCCTGCCTGTACCTTCGTCTTGCATACACAGAGCTCACTTGATTTTGTGATCAGCACAATCGCATCCCTTTCTTGACGGCACGCAATAGACGTTGGGGCTCTTGTGCATGCCGGGGTCCAGAGGTATGCTATTTCCTACTGTTAAAGATACAGGGTCAGGTTCTGACTGCCCTCACTGTGTGTACAGGCAAGGGACAGCGTAGATGTGCTCTCGCTGCGATTCAATCAGCCAGCGGGGGATTACGGCACGCCGCAGCGATTCGGCAGGCGGCCAGATCCGTCGGCAGCCTCCGACACGCGCTGGCCGATACCCTCCGGCACGGTGAGCCAGGCTCCTTTGAATCCCTTCGTTAATTTCTCTGGCCATTAGGGAGCAGATGACATCCTATCTGCAGCTGGAGTGGCAGGCAATGGTATGAATGCAGCCAGGGAGGGCCCTTCTGCCTTGCTGCCTGCTGCTGCAGACATTTATTGCCGAATGCATGATCTGAACTCCTTTCTCACCGCTGCATGCTGGCTGTCACTAGTGCTGCACATCCTGATCTTGCATGCGCAGTTTTTGGCAGCCATCAGAGTCTCCTGCCATCTAGATAACCAGGTTCTGAGTGTGCCCTCTGGTGTGCGCAGGAGAAGAGCAGGGGCAATATGTCTGCAACTAGAATTGTCTCGCTGCATGCATCTTGTGCCAGCCCATGAAGACGAGCTTACGAGGAATATCACATCCAGGGTTCAGGGGTATAGGTTGACCCAATAGTAAAAGCTGGGATGTCTGCGTTTCAGCTCAAATAGAGGTGCGAAAGTGTGGCAGTTCTGTGCTGCTGTGAAGCAGCTGTATCAATTGCATGTGCAGTAGGCGGTGGTTTATAGAAGAGTCACTGACATATTAGTGGACATAGTGCATCAGCAGTATTGCTGTGCGGCTGCCCGATGCTCTGCTCTGGGTTTGAGGCATATGCAAGGTTGCTTGGACTCACTGCTTGGACATGCAGGTAGAAAGATGATGCCAGGCACACAGACAGCAGATGTAAGGAATCAGCAGCAGACCTAATTTCATGCATTGAAGGGCGAGTTTACACGTCATGTGAGCCCCTGTGGCTCCTACCCCTTGATAATTGCAAGCTAGCTCCCTCATGAAGACTGCTGGCATCTGAACAACTTGCCAGCACGTGATGACAGAGCTCTTCTAGAACAATGGACAGCAGCTGGTGATTGTGTGCGTCCGGCACCTCATGATCAAAGTGAACCATTGCGCCACCTTGCTTCTTTTCGGCGTGATCTGGCCGTCCTATCGAGCTTTGGAACCCATCAATAATGTGCCAACCAGCCTTTTTGAAAAGAGGCACTGCCAGCTCATTGAACCTGACAACAGACAGCCAGTTGGAAATGAAAACTTGCTCGTCTCTATAGTCAGGGTGAAACCAATCGACCTGGCTGTTGCCAAACTTGAGCCACGCTGCAGTGGTTGTTCTAAACACCTTCACACCCTGAAATTCTGATGCAGCCACATACTCTATCACCTCCTGAAGCAGGCTCACATAGCTGGTGATGCAGTCAAAATCTGCGCCCAAGCCTGCGTCTTGGCGAAAGGCAATCTGATGGCCGACGTTGCCACAGTATTTGTCAAGGTCATGCAAGCCGCTATTGAAGTGGATCACAGGTGTGCAGGCCCCCTTGTGCTGACACTCAAGCAAGCGATCGATGCTCTGCTTGATATCAGACATGCGTGACATCATGCCATTATTCGTGGCCTGAAAGAGAACATGAAACATGGTGCGCTGGGTTCTCTGTGTGTAGGTCTCTCCTTCCCCCTCAATTCTCTCCCCTAGAATGTCAGCCAGGGACTGCGCTTGTACGCGCGTCACTGAGTCACCTATTGCATAAATGATCACTGCGTGGTCAGCAGGGAGACACTTACTTATGGCCCTGGTGCTCGCTGCAACCATGCACTTGAGGTCTGGCAGCCTGCAGGTGTCTGGAGCCCACGCGAAAGTAGCTGTGGTGAAATTGACCGGGTTAGAGTGTTCTCTGTCTATCGGCACGTCTGCCAAAACCCAAGAGCCAGGTGCATTGCCCAGCTCTGCGCCTGTGCAGGTCCTCTGGGGTGCAGCATGCCGGCTGTTGGGGCCAACTCTGACCTCGAAAGGGGACCCTGGAATGGGCCTGCCTTCGTATGTGGAAGGCTGCTTATAAAAAGCCAGGCTGTTGTTTGTTATGATGGACGAAAACTCCACGACCACGTCAAGCATGTACAGCCCAGCCCTGCAAAGAACTGTCAAAATCAATAATGTGATGGCAAAATGTTTCAGAGCAATAGTGTCGAGTGCTGCGCCTCAAAGGTCGATGGATGACAGGACGATTGAGTGCTCCCCTTCCCCACAAATCAAGAGTGGACAACGCACTTCTGTGGCGTGAAGTTGATTGTGAAGTTGTGGTACGACGTTCTCTCCACCTTCCCCACGATGATAGCCGTTCCGACCAGCCTTGCATAGAACAGTGGGTCGAGGTCAGCCTGCACGCCACACACGTTGTCCAGATTGTCTTTCATAAAGAAAGACCACCACAGGGGGTTCGTTTCTACAGCAAGTCTTTAGGGACTGATTGCTGTACCTGAATGTTGTACTGATCGGGATATCGGCTAGTCTTCTGATGTAGGTCAGCGGCACATTGCTCAATCAATATCATCTGGATTGCAGCGGGATGTCCCAGGCTGAAGTGCATTTCGCTGTCCAATCGGAAACAAGGAGCAAGGGATTGTTGTGGTCGGTTCCATTGCATATCACCTGGAATGTAAGAACCGGCAACGGTGGCTAATTCACTGTAGGATCGCCAATTATTGCTTTTCTGTGCTTGCTCTTCGCTCTCATTATGCAGAGCATTTGACGCAATTCCGGCGACATAAAAATGTGCAATGAGGATACACAAGAGTCCAACAGGGCTCATGGTATTTGTGCCCTACTATTTTCCAAAACTCACCACCTACATGGTCTGGTGGTGGCCAAATAGGCCTATCCTTTCTCTGCTTTGCATGCTGCAATCGGGTCCCCAAAGAGGTCACCTGGTCAAAAGGTCCAATAGGACCTCGAATCTAGTCTCGGATCCCGAGGATCATCGCCGATGATTCTTCGGTATCGCTGGGATTTCAAATTTTATTTAGGGAGGAAAATATTCTCCAAGTCACACAATCCCACAATCCCGCTGTAACATTCCATGCATTTCTTGAATTTCTATTGTTATTATCACACGCTTTTCCTGCCAAGAGGCAAGCTGCGTCCTGCAGACAAGCTGCAGTTAAAGGCTGCCACAATCCTACCCCTGTTGGACTCGCCAGATCCAAGCAAGTCCCATTCAACCGTGTGCACGGTGCTCAGTATTTGTACCGCCCCCCGGGGCCTTAAATTGTGAACCTCCAAATTGGTGGCCTTGTCTCAGCTTTTAAGAATAGACTGACCATGATTGGCTCTAGACCAGGAGGACCTCTAAAAATTTTGCAGGGCATCAGAATGCCCAGAATTACTATGGTGAGATATGATGTGTGAGTATCCATGATCATGATAGGCTGCAGAATAATGTAGGCCCCGCAGATGTGGCTGCAGACGCCCTGCGTGTATGCCATATGGCCTCTGGCTTTGGGTTTGCCGACCGTGTAATTATAATAGTAATAATAAGGTGCATGCATGTGTCACTAAAAAATTGCAATCTCTGCATGCGACACTTTTCTCGCAGATCGATCTGGTACTTGTGTTCTCAATTGGTAGTGGAGAAACTAGAGAGACTTCGGAATCATAAATTTCGCGATTATGCGTGTCCTTCCAAGAAACCACTCAAAAAAGAGACGCCGTCGTCCCGAAATCGACACGCCCAAATCTTGGAGCTGAGCTATTTTTGGAACATTGTGTGCCTCCGATAAGCAGCGCTCCAGGACCCGGCTCGACACAGAAAATTTGCAGACGCCCGCTACTGACCCTTCACACCTTTTAAGATCTCGGCATCATGGTCAGTGTAAGGCCCAGCACCCGGCTGTTTCTGCACAAGCTGCCCCAAGTTACGTATCGGCATATGCATGCACTCCACACCACGGTTGCTGCTAATTCGGTGAGTCAGCGAGACGGTGCAGCAGGCTAGCCTGGTTCTATTTGTTTCCGCCGAGCCTTTCAACTGGTGATCGGCCTGTTCACGTCAATGGAGGGTGGCTCGGAAAGCGTGCGTTGCTGCATTATTGGAGATGATTAAGGGGGCAATTTTGCAGCTGACATGCTGATGAGGGCGTGTGTGAGGCCTAGCAAACCTCTAGTGATTGACACGTGAGCTAATATGCGCCAGATATGAATGCCTGTTTCATCTCTACCTCCTTTGCCCCCAGCCTACAGGCATGTGCATATGGACTGCAAGTGCAGCCAGATCCTTGGCTGCTCCCCGTGAAGTGCGTGCCATCAATAGAGAGTCAGACCTGGCATGATAGTGTTCTGATCAGGCAGCACCTTGCTGACAGAGCTGCCAGATCTGCAGACACCCAGAGTCTCGGCATGTCTGGTAGTGCATGCATATGCGCATTGCCCTCGCCAGCAGTGTTGGGCAAAGTGCATGCCCCCAAATTGCTTTGTGTACTCATCTGCAGTGCTCTGCCTCACATTCTGCAAAATATGCAGCCCTGCTCTGCCCTCCTTCTCCTAGAGTTGTGGTCTCCTCCTCGTGTGGATCAATGCAACTTTCATGTGGTCTGGTTCACGGGCTTTTGTGTGATGTGTGCTGTGCGCAGGCGGCTACAATCCGCGGCACCTTCTCCTACAAGCATCCCAAGGTGCACGATGTGGAGATACGCCCCGGGGTGACGACGCGCATGGAGGGAGTTGACGGGGAGATATCGCGCATCCACTTCATAGACACCCAGACCCAGTCCCCCAAGCCGCCACCTGTCACCGCCGTCTTCAAGAACCTGACATCTGGCACGCAGCAGGCACGCCCCCCCAGCTTATGTGATCATTCCTGCCCAGAAAAACTCCAGTCGGAAAAGAGCGTCATGTGCTTATTGTGGGCAGATAGCATGAAGTTGAGGAACCCGGTCCCTGAATTACCTGCTGCTGAAAAAGTTCTCAATCCTGCCTTGAAGCCTCTTAAGTGTGAAGAATGCCGTTTTGGACCTGACCTCCGGCATGCAGCTGGCGCGGCCCTGCACCACATGTGATCATTGCCTCCCTCCAGTCTAAACAGCGGATTTGCCAACCTGTGGTGATGTTCAAAACATGCAAGGCTATAGGATGGCAGCAGGCTGCAGCAGGCGCGGCCCTGCACCTCATGTGATCAATGCCTGCCCGATGATCATTGCAGCTGTCACCACTCCTTTGTAGCATGTGTTGTGGAGCAAACATTGTGACCGATGGGAATGTTGTGCATGCATGCAGACGCATGTGGAGGGCTCCTTCTACGCGTGCTGGTTTGCTGACTACGTGCTGCAGGTGGACGGCGAAAACGTGAGCGTTCCCTCTATTTTCAAAACCAAACATGAACTACGCTTCCTTGAAAATTTAAAATGTGCACTGCCACTGCCTTCCTGTCGCCATGCGCACACTGCTACTGCCTTTCCTTCTGCCATGCATGCAGCCTCTTCAAGAAAGGAGGGGAAGTAGAAATTCCTGCTTGCAAAATATGCAATGCGCCCTCCAGCATGCCAGGTGGCACAGCAGTGGGCGCGGCCTGCCAACGGATAGAAGAGTGCATGTGCAGCTGAGTTGGGAAGTTGGTCCCGATGACTAATGTGCTGATGTGGCACGCAGGTCATGGAGTTGGCGCACCAGAAGCAGCACACCATCAAGGTGATTCATGATGCCCGCTAACTGGGCATTGCCCCCGTAACTCCTTGAACTCTGTCAGCTGGGAGAGGTGTCAGCCATCTTCATAGCTGCAAGGTTCAGCGGGAACAAAGGTCATGCAAGCGTTAACACATCTATGCACGTGATGTCTGCACGACCCTGGCATGAGCAGGGCAATTCGCCCCCTTTTCAAAGGGGCATCGCATTGTGTGTGGCAATCGAGAAAATTAAATTGGGTGGATCGATTTTGGATAACGAGCTGTCGACCATGCAGTTATAACATAATTATGAGGAGCCCATGAGGACACCTCGCATGCTGCTTGATGTGCTTTAACAGTTCCAGAGTGTCTATCTTTCTCATGTCTATTTACATGCGTAGCGTCGGCATGTGCGCGCAGGCCGGCAAGCCCTACGGCTACACCGAGTCGCCGCCCCCAAGCATGCGCGGCCAGTAGACGCTTAGTCAACCGATAGAGGCTGGGTCAACCGGGAGCAGGCACTGAAGGGCGCAGGCAGCAGGGCAGCAGCAGTACTCTCTGTGCCCGCAGCACCTCAATCAGCAAGCTGGCTGCTGCCACAGCCTCACAGCTGCTTCCAAGCTGCGCAAATGTGAAATCACAGCAGCCTCAGCCTAAGCATTATGCCACTGCATTCACATGTTCGCCTTGCATGCTGGAGGGACCAAGGAGGGCTTCAGACTTTGCATTGTGTCACCATGCCTACATGGCTGATGTTGAACGGACCAAGAAGAGAGGTTAATCGGCAGCATGCGTTGGCATGTGCCTGTTTTGCGAGTGAACTTGAGCTCCAACTGGCTGAGACAATTTTGACCCCTGCATGCACCTGACATTTGCCTGTGGCAGCTATGGGCTGAAAAGGTTTGACCCCTGCATGCTTGTGACATTTGTCTGATTGCGCATACATTTAGGGACTGTGAATGCAGTGACTCATCACTTTTAACAAGTGTTGACCGTTGTGTGCATTATGCAAGAAAGAAGAAGCGTTGTGAAGCTCTGCTGAATGTAATTAGTACAAATTTGCGGGGAAGCAATTACATGCTGTGTCTATGATAGCCCCAGACTGCATGCAGGCACGTGCATCACAACGCAAGAAGATCACATATCACACAACAATTTAACCCACATTTCACAGTATCATTAGTGATAGCTGACTGGACTTGAAAATCCAGAGGGGAAAAGGGCCCCCTAGTGGTTGCCTGGCAGTCTGTATCTGCTCATCAAAAGCACTAGCGGCAGACAAGTATACTTTTGCTGGACAGGAAACTAACGGAGCACACATGTCCCACGTCAGGAGCACAGCACAAACACGGTAGCATGGATGGTGCAAGGCTGCATATGCAGTGCAGCTCTGAGACACACTTTTCTCAATATAAGCAACTGGAGATCAGGCATAGTGTGCTCAGTTTTCGCCCAGGGGCAGCCACAGAATGTCGGCTGCCCCTGCACCATCCATGGCCTTGCAGGCTTCTGTGCTTCTCAAGTACTCAATTCATTTCAGAGCAAACCAGCTAGCTAGAACTCCCTTGGTTTCCCCACATATGTTGCTTGGATAGCACTGCAAGCTGACATGCAGGAAGGACCCAGGTAGTTTCAAAAGCAGACTTGCACCGCCCAATCGTTGCGTGCCAAGCTGGACTCTGATTCTGATTTTCAAATTTCAAACACACCTACTGTGCTGAATCGTCACATACAGCACAGTCACATGCCGACCCCTCAGCTGTTGTTATCATCCAGATCAAAGAAAGAGGAATGCAGGCACCAGAGTACGAATATCACATTTCCGTTGGTGCGCAGACCGTTCAGGGGCGGTACACGACCTCGATGTTGTTGTCGTCCAGATCGATGACAAAGCAGCCGACGCCGTCCGGCGCGTAATGCGCGCGGAAGCCGGGGGCGCCGTTGTCGGTCCCCCCGCTTTCCAGCGCCAGCCTGGCACAATGCATGCACAGCGCGCTCAGCACAGCTCGCTCAAAGGCGCAAACAGCATGACACGGCTTTGCTCGGGCATATATACTGCTCATATTTTAGTCCGGCCAGTACCATGTGACGTCAACGATGTGCGTCCAGGTGATATGGCCTGCCCAAATCAAAATCAAGGAAAGAAACCTGATGCTGGGAGCTCAACGCAACAGCACATCCAGAACAATGCACAAGAGACGTAGAAATGTCTTCAAAAGCAATTCATCCTCCATGCGCGGACCATCTCTAGTTGAGAGAATCGCTGGGACTCAGCATAATCGTGATCGGAGCCAAAGGGGTGATGTTGGCAGATGTCCGAACTTGTCACGTAACAACAACAATCAGCTGTGCAACAGACCGAGCAGCCAGAAATGTGCTGCCCTGCCGGCAAGTGCATTTGTTAGGAAGGATCATGGCTGACTCACTTGTAATACTCCTTCACAGACTCCTCGGACGGCGCCAGGATAGCAAAGTGGGCGCGCGTTGGCTTCTCCTCTGCGCAGAAGGAGAGTTGATCAGACTTTCAGATCTCAGCAACTATGCAGTCCTTCATCTGAAGCATCCTGTGAGTGTGTGCATTGCTCGACGAACACGAGCTTCGTTCCCAGTAGCAGATGTCAAAGCAATCTTGCAGAGCAAATGTGATTGTGCTTGGACAGTGGTATGCCAAACTTCGAAGGCTGCAGTGCATGCATCGTTTGCATCCTTCTAGCAAGACCTGCATTACTGCTGCACGGTAATGCCAAAGTATAGACATTGAAGGCACGACGTCTTGGGAGGATGTGTCTCATGCACCTTGCTTGACGTAGATGTTGCCTGGCTGGCCTGCCACTCCGAAGCCGCCTCCAGTGCCCCAATCCGCGACAGGCTCATAGCCGAGGGGTTTCAGAGCAGTGGTGTAGTACGCCTTGGCCTTGGACCAGTCCTTGACCTTGAGCATGAGGTGATCGATCGGCATGTTGATGTTTTCCTGCACAGCGGAAGATCCAAGCGTTTCAGCCGCAGTCCTCGCTATGCAAAGGGTTGATTTCAGCGTGCATGATTGAAGGGCTCGTTCAGTGGCCCACGTGCTGGGGATACCGCTTGTTGAGGATGGTGAATTCCTGACACAAAAGTGTCATTTAACGATATGTTACCACAGTCAAGCCCATGAATGTACCAGATTCAATGGACCGAGAGACCCTGGTCATCGTGTACATTCCGATGCTGAGGAAAAGACCTAGTACGGCACGGGCACGGCACTATTAATGTTAACAGGCGTTGAGCTGTAGCGCATCGGTCCCTATCATGAAAAATTCGAGCTATGGGAAAGTCGGAAGCGACGAGAATCTACAAGGACACAGCAATTGTGGGGAGCCTGCCTGTCCCGGAAGTGGTGCTTTGTCCAAGACGGTGTCGGAGAGCGATGGAGCACCAAGCCTCGATCGCACAGACCTCCCTGCAGAGCGAGCGTCGATGTCTGCTGGACTTTGTGATGGAGTAGTTGCGCAATTTGGCAGATTACGACGGAATGCTCGATCAGATCCTCTCGTGCGCCCTCGTGTCACGTAATCGACCTGTTATGGCCTGCCATCAATTTCTTGGCTTTTTCAGGGGGTGCAAATATTTGACCCTGCCCAGCCGTAGATTCAAACCGACATCGACAGGCGCAAAAGTTTTCTTCACTGAGCATCGTTTTTGGGAGCAAGTATCTTCTGAGTCTTGTCTGCATCGCATTCCATTTGCGCAACATGACCATTCTCTTGTGAGACTCATTGTGCAGGTTGTGACTTCGAAGAAGATGTCACTTTCTTTACTAGCAGCGCTTGCCTTCTGCATCGCATCGGCGCACGCACAGACGGTAACTCTCCGCTATGCATCCCAATAGTCCACCTGCACGATGTCATGGTGACATGTTCCTCACCATTCAACCCACTGGTATTTTGGCATGTAACTACCAAGGGCCCACCATCATCCCTTCCGATTAAAGGGAACTCTTGCAGCATGGAACTTCTCGGGTGTTCATACCTTCAAGTCAATAATTCGCCGGATCTGCTTGGTATGCGGGCCTGTTTATTCTTGCAGGCCCCTGCCATCAACGGGCCAGCTACTGGCACTTGTGGGCCCGTGCCCATCCGATACGGCACTTCCGGTGCTGGAATGGCGAAAGTTCAGACCTTTGTGGCGCCTGCGCCCCTCTTCATCCCACAGTGCTCTCCAGCAGCAACAGACACCTATGTGTATAGCCTGGGTGTGGGCAGGCAGAGCAACTACATCCTGCCCGGGCCAGGTGCGTCACAGCTTACAATTTGCATTGCGATACGCCAGGTGACGTGGAAACATGTGCACATGACTGGAGCAGCTTCAGCAGGGTCAAACTAGCTGGCGTCGCACCATCACCCCGCACCTGCAGCCCTCGCCACTACTTGTTTGTGATGTTTCAGCAGACAGCAAGGCACACTTTTTTTTGATGTCTACAAAAGCTGCATGAGATTGAAGTTCTCCATTTCATTGCATCATGTCCCTGAGGTCCTTGCCTGTCAGGTTGCTTGCTGCAAGTGTAACAGCCTGCTCGCTGCAATTGTTACAAAGGCCTGGAACGGCTGTGTGCATGCTGCAGCTGTGAGGAGCATCGGCAGTGACTACTCGCCGTCCTTCGGCTACCGGGGCTCACCGGATCTGGACCTGACAGCGGCTGTGCCCAATTCGGGGCCTGCCCCCCTGCCGGTGCCAGCCGGCCTCCTGGACGTGACACTGTCCTACCTGGCAAATAGCAGCGCCAACTTGCAGTGCGGCAACGCCAGCAACACGCTGACATCAGCCTTCCTCATCCAGGTGCGTTTTCATGTTAATCTTGGAGTGACATGCAAGTTTATGTGGGTGGATCTTGGGATGCCGTGCTCTGTTTTGACATCCAGAGCTTTGAAGACGAGGAGTAGGATGGCGTTGCACGGTTGATACAAGCTTTCAGCTGACAGTCTGGCGGAGCTCACACTGCACATCACCTCATGTGCTTTCTCAGTGTGCGTCTCAAGTAACACAGGTGGTCTGTCTCAAGACATCTGCCAATAATCTGCCCATAGCACCTCCCAGGATGGATACTGAAGAGATCCTAAAATACTGACGCATTCTAGAGTCGTCCACTTAGTAATGCACGCACTCAAGTCTTCAGCTGAGATGTGCGGCTGTGCTGCGCCAATTTAGGCGCCCACAGCTACCTTGGTTTCGGGACCCCCGACCAGCACGGCAGGGAACACCGCCTTCAAGCTGTTCATCAACGTAACCTACGCGGCAGCTGCCATCCAGCTTCCCTTCTCCGACCCCGCGGTTGTGCAGACGGGCGCAGTCACCGTGACTAATGCCGCTAATGGCTCGCCCCTGAACGGCGCCACCTCTGTCGCCAGTTCAGGCCCCGGCTTTGTTACCTATTCCTTCGCTCCCTCGCCGCCGCTGCCGACCGGAGGTGACTCACCGTCCAGAATGAGATTGGAATGCTTGCTGTGAATGTTTCCGTTTTCTAGGATCAGATGCATTTTATGATGTTGTGTTAATGCCAGTCACTGCCTTCCAATGCGCAGGTGGGTTTTCCATGCTCTTCGGGGAATGGACTTCACTCTTTTGTTGACTATTTGTAGGAGTGATTTCAGACTTCATATTGTCAGGCGCAAATCGTGATCATTATCTTGACCTTTGACAGATATTCATCCCTGCCCTGGTACTGCCTGGCCCGCAAGCATCCTTCAAGAAAGCAAATGCAGGTAGCAATACATGCAAGCTACTTCATATGAGCAGTTGCTGAGGTTTGCGTTGTTCCTGTGCAGCTTACAGCGTGGGTGCTGCGTACGCCAGCAACTCGGCCTATGTCCTGGGCTCCGCCACATCAGCGCCCTTCGCTTTTGTCATCACCCCTCCGGTGCGCAATCCCAGGGGGACGTATATCTAACAAATTAGGTTGTGATCCTCTGGACCCTGAGGCGCCAGCTTGACCTGGTGCACATGAAAACACCTGGTAGCGAAGGCAGGATGCAATAGGATTTTGAACAGTTAGATACAGAACCCCGTGGAATCCCAACTGCATAAGACAAGCCTCGATGGCATCGGCAATACAATATCAGCAACAGCAAATGAATGGTGAGCAGTGGTGACACAATCTATTCAGTAATTGAAGAGTTTTGCCTGGTAGGTGCTTGACTGCAATGAACGCAGGCTTTTCTGCTCACACTTCCCTGTCTGCGTGGCAGATCTCATGCCTGGGCTTATCTAATAATTAGAATCCCAGAGATAATGATTTGGAAGTGCATTCCAGCGCTTGAGGCAGAGTTCATGGCTCACAGGTGACCTCAACACCGGCGGCCACCACTTCAAAGCCCCCTGCCACCACTTCAAAGACCCCTGCGCCCACCACAAAGACCCCCACCCCCACCACAAAGACCCCTGTCAAGACCCCCACCCCCACACCCACGGTGAAGCCCCCCGCTATGTGCCAAAGGACCCCCCTCTCCCCTGCCATGCAATCTCACATCATTCCCACAGTGCTATCGAGGTCTTGTTCACACACAAGTAGCTACATGCCACAGATAAGCTCAGCAAGAGCAGATTGAATGCCTGATGAGAGCCATTGCAAAATCGGTCTGTGCGCGAATATAATCGAGGAAAGGTTGCCAGCCTGCCCTGTCTGCAGAAGCAAGTTGAAGTGACTGTGTGCCCCTTGGACCAAGCCAGGCATGTCTTTGAATTTTCTGCATCTGAGAGATCGCCCCGCCTAGCAGTCAAGCTGGTGCCTTAAAGGTCCAGCAGTTCACAAATATGGGCGCTGCATTCAGAACCCGGAATGAGTGTGCCGCAACAATATGCTTAGCAGCTGGTTCATGTGGACACCCGGCGTGGCGGCAGGGTGTTCTTTTTGGCAGATCCTGCCAATCGGCAAACAGCCCCTGAGACATCACCGGATTTTTAACAGAGGCACACCACCGGCTGTCTGAATTCAAGCGGCTATGCGCAGGTCAACCCGGCGGTAGCGGCGGCGCAGAAGAGGCTCAACGATGACCTGGCGAAGCTGCCGGGCACCACTGGCATCGCGCGCTTGGTGCTTCTGGCTCAGATCGCCCGGGACCGCGCCGCACTCGCCGCCGCTCAGGCGGCCGCCGGATGATCAATTTTCCATTTTCAAATTAGAAGGTTGTAAATCCATCTGATCGGCATTTACCCTGAGACGGCGCGGCGGCCCGGAGACGGCCGCCGCCAGTTGACACTTTTATTTTTATTCCCCGCCGCTTTGGCGGGAAATAGCGTGGCAGCTGGCGCAGAGTCGCCGTCGGACGGCGCGGCTGCTTGCCGGGAATGCCCCCTGACAGTGCGGGGACTGGGGGGACCCCGGCAGTCTCCAACGGTCCTCCCTGCGGGGGGATTCCTTCCAGCTGCGCCGCTGTCTCAAAGGGCGTTTCCAAGAATATCTGCTGCGGGAGCTTACGATTGCAGAAAATAATGACGTGGGAATTTGAGGCAGCGACAGCTGCTTTTCCTCGTGCTGTGCTGGGTTCCAGTGCAGAGCACCCATTTTCACAGTGTCCTGAGCTTCTGGACTTGAGAGTTCAGGCGGGGCCTGTTGCTTTGAAGCACCTTTTCCTTACCGTTTTCATATTTGATGCAGCAGAATTGCAGCTGCATCACCATGCACCTCGGAAAATGCTGCATGGTATCTTCAATGGCAGCTGTTGATCTGCATCTGGATGCCCACTGATCACAATGGACTGTGGTGTTTATATTGCCAATGCCATGCTTGCAGATGGTAACCTCAAGAGCCAGCAGAGTATGCATGGCTGGCCAGAAATTCATCACCTTTTCCATTTTCTCAATGCACTGCGTATGGATAACGGTTTCAAAGGCTTTCCATGCATATTGTCCTGGGTGCAAGTGCTCCATAATTTTGGGCCTTTATTTTCTGTGCGCAGACTTTTTAGTTGGCCAACCATGGTGTCTTGTACAGGTGGTCGGCGGGGTAATTGTTAGTCAAACTAACTTAGTATAGAAATATACTGGTCCCTCTGTCTTCCATGTCTGGCAAATACCATACCGTATACTTTGTGACAGAGTCACAGGCGGATGGATGTAGGACACTTTGCAACGCGCATGCGATGACATGTTTGATTGCAACTGTGTATTGTGCAGCTCTTGGATCGTGTTGTAATGCATATCATGTGATCGTGTGGTGTTGTTCGATGGGCTTTGATCTCAGTAAGGAAGGTAGAAGTCTTTTAAATAAGTGATCAAATGAGGGACCTTCAGGGAGCTTCTGGCACGACAATACCTCTGATACGGTGTCAATCTTGGTGCAGAAGGAGAACCTTTATGCACACGTGGCATGTACGGTAGAGCTAGAAATCTGTTTTCAGGTCGAAGATATTCACACGTTCGTACGACAGGAACGCCGTTGTGGATCATGACAAAGGAGAAAATCTGGTCGATACGAGAGCGTGAAAAGGGAAGACTTTTGCGATTAAAAAGAGATATTTAGCGACCTGCGTGCCACTTCACCTTGCTGTGTCCTCATCGAGCAAGAGGAAACCCGTCTTAGGTCTGAGTTTGCGTCCCTCGCCTGGGAATGTGAGGAGACCCGACTCGACCGTCTGAACTTACCGAGAGCTGTGTGCAGGGTGAGTGATGCGTTCCACCACATCGTGAGCGCATGGTGGGATCCAGCATATTCTTAGCAGTGCTGTGTGAGAGTAAGTGTCGTTGCGCCACTGGTCTTAGACGGTGACGGTCTGCACGAAACTTCCCGAGGTGAAGAAGATGCGGCTGCTGCTGGCTTCACGGACAGAAATTTCGAGGGATCAGCATGAGAGCAACAACAGTACTGAACAACATTCAACATCAAGGGATCGTTGGCTTCTCTGATGGCGGCTTTTGCGGCTCCCAGATATCTTAGGGTCAGTGCTGATGATGCCAACGTCAGCTGGAAAACGTCACCAGATCAATTTCTGGGAAGAGCTCCAATCCAGGCCGGATGCTTGTGTGCAGGGCTGGACCAACCATTCCTTGTGCTATGGCAGCCGCACACAACCACATCAGCCAATTACAGCACGAGAACCGCGATGGAGTGAAGCCCTGCGTTCAGGAAGGGCGCCACAAGGCAAGTTCAGCCCAGGGTCCCGTATTCCATCTCCAGTGACTCGTAGATGAGCAACGTCTTAGGCACATATTTTAACAAAACCACTATTTTGCGAACCTGCGGGGCAACAGTGTGACCTGACCGGCGTGCAGGTTCACCATGACGATCGGGATCACTGGCTCTCGGACAGATCCTCGGATTTTCTTCCAGTCCCGCGCAAGTCCGACGAGACCTTCGAGCCTCTGGATATGACAACCGTCTCGCTGAGGCACCCTGGGGGTCACCAGCCTGGCCGAATAGTGGAGAGCATCCACTATCTCCTCTGCAACGGCGGCAGCTCCGGCGAGTCAGCTCTGAGACCGTGGTCGTGCGAGCTGCCCAGGCGGCCATACTCCCTGCATTCGGAGTGCACGTCACTGCTACCCATCCCGAGCAGACGGAGCCTGGGCAGCGTTCGCAGTCAGGAACCTCTGCCCCAGCATCCCTGCGGGCAGAGCACACCTTCCTTAGCCCAGCAGGCCAGCAGGCAAAGCTTCGGCTGCATGTCTCTGCCCTGCCCGCCGAGCCCCCCAGATGCGCTGCCTGTGCCACGTCTATCCTGGAGGAACCTCGTTGGCTGTGGCAGTTCCGCGCGTGTATATAGGGGTACGCCCTCTTCACCCCCAAAACTGTTCTATGATCCACTCATTTTCCAGAGCTGTGCAGTGCAGTACAAGCCTCAAACACACCCTGAGATTTGCATTTCTTTGTCATGGGGTGAGAGTTACAGTCTGAAGGTAATCTCTGAGGTCTGTGACTCCAGGCGTGTTCAACGGCAAAGAGGTCGCTGTCAAAGTTCTGGTGAGCGGAGGAAGTGAGGCAACCTTCACAGGGGATCTTTTCGAGTCGCTCGTCTCTGCAAACATGCACCACCCCAACGTGGTAAGCGCTCTTCACAACCCACTGATTCAGACTTGCCCATTCTCAGTGTGCACTTATCCCAATGCCGCATTTGTCATGCAAGTGTAGTCATGCTGCAGACATGAAAGACAATCACACCATGCAAGTGTGTACTTGTCGGGCTGGGGTAGTGAGCATAGCCTGCAGGAAAACTGCGGGGCATTACTAAATGATACTGTGCATCATAGTAATCTCCATTACTGAGTAAACAGTCTGTCCGTCAGAACTTTGTGTTTGTGAGATGAAGTGAGTATTTCTGTGCAGGTGGGAACCTACGAGGTGCTGACAGTGGAGCAGCCATCAGCGCCTCTTGAGGCGTCCCACAGCATCTGCAGACACAGCAGCAGAAGTGACATGGCCAAGGAAAGGCATGCGCCCCTGGGACCGCTTTCCCCCTTGAGGGAAGCTCCCGAGCTGGACAGCCTGATCAGCTTCTATGAGAGGCAGCGAGTCAGCAATCAGTTACCGCAGGAGCCTGTTCTGGCGGCATGCAACCCCCTCTGCCCTGCTGGCACCAGCGCCTTTGCAGCCAATTGCGGCGCGCTTGCAGCCGCCGAGGATAACACGAGCGAGTCTAATGATGGTGAAAGGCATGGCAGCCAACCTGTACTAGGGAACGAGGTGTGCAAACCCGTTTGTCTCATCAGTGTGCCTACAAAACCCCCTCTTCAAGCGTCTGTAGAGCTTTAACCTGGGATCACAAGTGCCATCCCATGCATTCCTGGCTGAATTTGTAGCCGCCCAACAAACCATATCGAGTTCCCGGGGCATCATCCTTTCAAATGGCCGGAATATGAGCATGCACTGTCCAAGCAAGGCGTTCCCTGCTGTTTGCTCTGTCTGAGAGCAAGTGATGACTGTTCGCAGCCGCGAGGCATGCTGGGCCCGGACGGTATTTTCAAGGCCTCTCGCGCGTCATCCACCCCGCTGCCGCTGTCGCCGTTCGACGCGGCCGTCTCCCAGGCTAATATTGAGCCGAGCAGCGGCGGTGACAGCGGCGGCGGCTGCGGCGGCTCCGCGGCCGCACACGCGCTCATCAGCATGCAGCGGCACTCGGCCGACGGCGGGGTGCGGCCAACGGCGGCTCAACCCTTGAATAATACACTGCATCATAGTATCCTCCAATACTGAGTACACATTCTGTCTGTCAGAACTTTGTGTTTGTGAGATGAAGTGAGTATTTCTGTGCAGGTGGGAAACTACGAGGTGCTGACAGTGGAGCAGCCATCAGCGCCTCTTGAGGCGTCCCACAGCATCCACAGACACAGCAGCAGAAGTGACGTGGCGAAGGAAAGGCATGCGCGCCCGGGACCGCTTTCCCCCTTGAGGGAAGCTCCCGAGCTGGACAGCCTGATCAGCTTCTACGAGAGGCAGCGAGTCAGCGATCGGTCACCGCAGGAGCCTGTTCTGGCGGCATGCAAACCCCTCTGCCCTGCTGGCACCAGCGCCTTTGCAGCAGCCAATTGCGGCGCGCTTGCAGCCGCCAAAAACAGGAGCGAGTCTAATGATGGTGACAGGCATGGCAGCCGACCTGTACTAGGGAACGAGGTGTGCAAACCTGTTTGTCTCAACAGTGTGCCTACAAAATCCCCCTTTTGCAAGCGTCTCTAGAGCTTTGACCTGGGATCACATGCCTTCCACTCTGACCTGCCATCCCATGCATTCCTGGCTGATTTGTAGCCGGCCCAACATATCCATATTGAGTTCCCGGGGCATTATCCTTTCAAATGGCCGGAATATGAGCATGCACTGTCCAAGCAAGGCGTTCCCTGCTATTTGCTCTATCTGAGAGCAAGTGATGACTGTTTGCAGCCGCGAGGCATGCTGGGCCCGGACGGTGTTTTCAGGGCCTTGCGCGCGTCATCCACCCCGCTGCCGCTGTCGCCGTTCGACGCGGCCGTCTCCCGGGCCGAGGTTGAGCCGGGCCGCGGCGGCAACAGCGGCAGCGGCTGCGGCGGCTCCGCGGCAGCACACGCGCTGGTCAGCATGCAGCGGCGCTCCTTCGACGGCGCGGCGCGGCCTACGGCGGCCGAGCGCGGCTTCTGCGCGGACGGCCCCGGCAGCGTCGGCGGCTCATCGACCGGTGCGCTTGAAATTTTCCATCCTAGTTTTCAAAGGACCTAGTTCCCTGTGGTCTGGCAAAACAACAACAACACGAGTTCCTATTGCACATGTTGTGTTTTTTACTCCGTGCCAAGACGTCCGGTGACGGCCAGAGCGCGGCCGGCTGCCGATCGTCCGGTGCGCTTGGCCTTTTTCTGTCTTGTGTGCCGATAGCGTGCCAATGCAGGCGTAAGGACAAATTTGCTTGCTGCATCTGTCACCTGGGATGTCTACAGAATGGGAAGGTCAACTTGTTAGCAGGAATTTGACTTAGTGAGGAAAGTTGCCATACTGCCAGAGGGCATGAATGCTGACAGGAACGTCGCTTGGAATGTACAGAACAAGATTTCGGAAGCATCCAGAATAGTCAAGGTTGAGGTCTTTACAACTGTATGCCGGAGGCTGCTGTGCTGGTGCAGGGCCGAGCTCCAGCTGGTCAAGGAGCAGCAGTGCAGGGCCGAGCTCCAGCTGGTCAAGGAGCAGCAGCAGCTGCAGCGGTGGGACTGACGGGGGGTCCCACCTCAGCGCAAGGTCCCCCCTCCCGGACCTCCCGCAGCCGCAGCCGCCGCGGTCGTCGCAGGTCAGTCAGTCTGGCTACTGCAGTGCTCAATTTGAAACCCGCACCTCCGGCGGTGTGGGAATTTGTAAAGCAACTTCTAGGGGTCTTTCGGACTCCAAACTACTCATGCTCCATTGAATTGAGCTTGTCCAAAGCTTTCCGAATCTGGTGTTGAAATTATCATAGGGTATCACATTCAGGAGATAGGGTCTTATTTATCCCACCTTTTTGGCCCAGATTACTTTTTGCGGGTTTTTGAAATATTAATAAAGTACGTCACTGAGTTTTCATGCTTCTGCAGGTACTAATTGTGATGGAGCTGGCAGACCAACGTTCCCTCCATCATGCAATCGCCAAGGGCCGCCTTGCTGATAATATGGTGAGCACCCCATTTTTCAACCTGCGCCTTGTGCGCATGTCCTTATGTTCCTGGGCCTCTGGTTGTCTTCAAGATGTGGTAGAAGCCCGCACATGTCAGGCGGCACTCCCGTCCTTAGAGATACTGTTATGGTTATTGTGAGACGCTATTCCTGCCAGGAGGCAAGGTGCGTTTGCAGACAAGCTGCATGGGAAGGCTGTCATAACTCCTACCTCTTGACAAATTGCCAGATCCATGCGTGACCCTATCAATCGTGGGCACGGTGCTCAGTATATGTACCGCCCCCCGCCAGCCTGTCCTTTCGAAAACGGACACCTAGAATGTGTGTGCGAAGGGGCGCATGGTGCAGTTTGCTCGATAAATTTTCAAGCAGCCGACAACCTGCCATTTGATTTAATTGAATTGCAGGATTACCGAAACATTGCTTTATGGGTGTGTGCGCAGGAGGCTATTCTGCTGTGCGCTATGGATGTGGCGGCGGGCATGGGCTACCTCCATTCCATGGGAGTGATTCACGCAGATCTCAAGCCCGCCAATGTGCTGCTCATGAGCACGCCCGTCACTGCTGAAGACCCCCGCGGCTTCACCTGCAAGGTGGGCTCTCAGGAAGATGTGTCATCCATTGCCTGGTCAATGAGATTGTGGCGCCTGGTGAGAAGAACTTATTGGCTTTGGAGAAGTCGCTGATGTAACAAGCATAGTCTTGTAGGTTCCCAAAAGCATGCCTTTGCCTGTGCGGCAAGACCGGGAGCAAACTGACTCGCAGCATAACAGAGAGGTCATAGATCAACGTCTCGTTCAAGTCTTCACTACTGCTCTGCTGCACTGCCAAAGGGCATTGCTGCTTTGCAGCCAGATCCACCATGAATGTGCATCTGATGAGTCACACCGCAGGTGATCATTACAAGCACGTAGGCACGTGCGCTGATCTGAGTGGGATGATTTTCGCAGATCGCCGATTTTGGGCTGGCGCGCTTGCTGGTGTCAGGCAGCAGCCATGCGGACACCGACAAGCTCGGTGAGAGTAGAAACCTCATGTGCACCAAGGGCAACCCTATGAGACATTAAGATGCAACGCATATCCCAATCCACTTCTTGGGAGTCCAGTCAGCTGCTTGTCCCTTGAACTGTTCGGGAGTTGCAGATGCAGTCACATGCTCTTTGGTTGCAGCACTCACCAGAAAGTCTCCTTCACTCTAATATGTGCCACTTCCCAGCTGTCCACTCAGCTGCTTTGCCTTCAAGCGATTGGGCCTTGCAAATGTAGACACATGCTCTTCACTTGTGCAAGCAGCCCCTGCCAACAAGCTGCCACCGCTAACAGCAGCCAACAGCCCCAATTCTGCTGACGAAGTGCTTACTCAGCATGTGTTGACTCACCGCTCACCTAATGATCCAGGCTCGCTGCCGTACTTGGCCCCGGAGGTGCTGCAGCGGGGCGAGGTGGCCAAACCGGCCGATGTCTACAGCTTCGCTGTGCTGCTCCTGGAATTGTGGTGCGGCCGCGTTGCGTACGCCGGCGAGAACGCGCACGGGGTGAGCCACAACTCTTGATCTACCCCAGATCCACCCTGAATCGATTGTCCGCCTGAGCATCAATGTGCCCCTGCCCCTGCTGCTCTGTGGGCAGTCCCTAGGCCGTTGTAGAAGTTTTCTTCGCTTGCAGACACAAGAAAGGTTTAAATATTGCTGTTCAATGTGTGTGTTTTTGCTTGCTCTTTTTCAATGTGACATCTTTTGAGTGCATGTTCAAGAGCAGTGCCTCCGAAGTCGATGCTGCCGTGAGGGGTCATCAATCCGTCAGGGTTTATGTTGAGGTTTAGGGTTGTACTGACGTGCTGCCGGCACATGCGCGCAGGTGCTGTACAGCGCGTTCTGCGGCCGCCGGCCGCGCGTCCCGGCCGACACGCCGGCCGCGTACCGCGCGCTGCTGCAGTCCTGCTGGGCCGTTGATCCGCAGGCGCGGCCGAGCTTTGAAGCCGCGCACGCTGAGCTGGCGTCCCTGATGGCGGCCGCCAGATCAGGCCATGGTGACGTTTGCCCAAATTAGGCATGTCGTTGAATCGGCATGTGACAATGCGTTAGCTTCTACCCACATCAGGCGATGCGCTGAATAGCGGGCAGAAACGCGTGCCGAAATGCAAGAAAAATAATGCAGCGCGCCAATTCGGCAGGCATAATTGTGCATGCGAGCGTTGTTGCCAAATAAGGTGAAGTGCTATATTTCCAAATGAGGTGGTGCTGATGTGGCAGCGGACATGGGCCAGATCAAGCGGAAGCCGAAATGCAAAAGAAAACAGCGCACCAATCCGGCGGTCGCAAATGTGCAAGCTGGCGCCAGATCAGGCGAGGGGTCCGTCTCAGGCGGCGTGCGCAATTTTTTTGGTCAATCTAACATGGCCTGCCCGAACATGAGCTCACGGCTGATTTCTTTGGCCGGCGACCATGCATGGAGCGCAGCCGCTATTTACAAGACTCTTGAGACAGCTTCGCAGCGCTCTCGCTCTCAGAGCAGCTTGGCACGCTTTGAAATCCGATTCTTGAATTGTAGAGGGCCAGAGGCAGAACAAGAGACACCTCTTTTCACGTGGTGGGCCCCAGTTCAGTCAGCCCAAGTTTATTATCGTTTCAATGCCCATTGTACAGCCAGGTTGGTTTCTCCTTGTGTTCAGTGAGGAAGCCCTCAAACATGCGAGTCTGAGGATCAGTCAGCTATGTTGAGCCCCTGCGGCCAGTCACCCTAATTTCAGATTCTTGCCCCATACTTGGGCTATCAGCCCCGCTTGCCTTTGAAAAGTCAAATGCGGGAATTTATTTGGGTGATTTGCCCTATCTATGGTGTGTGCTTTTACCTGCATGCTGGAATGAATTGAAGACAGTTGCCGCCAAATGCAATCTAGCAATTTGCGCGTAACGTAGCAAACTCAGAGGCTGTACAGCACTTATGTAGGACGGTGGCAATAGGGAGTGTATCCTGCACTTGCGTTTCACCTGCGCAGTATCAAACATTTTTCCCAGGGTGACTTACCTGGTGGTACATATTGATGGCAGAATGGAGTACATAAGAAATCTGAAGTATCAGTGAGCCCGCTGTAACCTGGCAGGCTGGGAGCTAGCTGCTGCAACTGATGTGGCAAGCAAGCATCCATGCTGCCTTGTTTATTGAATGAGGCTATAATGCTGCGTTGGGATATTTGCAGTGATCAGTACAAGAGGCGTGCCCTGTTTCCATGCGATGTATAGGCATGCATATAGGCATGCATGGTTCAAGAGTCAGGCAGCCCTTGTGTCATTGATTGCCTCTCTCCAATGTGGCCTCAGTGTTTACAGGACTAGGATGTAAATAAGTTCTGAAAATCAATAGGGGTAATTGAAGAACACTGTTCTCAACGTTGCTCTTTAATGACCCCTTAATATATGACTTGGCATGTGCTGTGTCTAACGGTCATTAACGGTCAAATTTTGCTAGATTTTTTATTATGGCACCGATTTCCATGACAAGCCAAAGCCAGGTACCAAGGCTTGGTCACAGCCAACCTTATAACCTTCAATTCTTGGACTTGTATGACACACTGAATAACAATCAATTCATGCATGAGGAGACACAGTCCATACTAACCCTAAAGAAATTCCCTTGGCCCCTAAAATCAACTCACCCATGCGATACAATGCAACGGGACAGCTGGACAATCTTTTGCAGCTTCATATGATGCATTCCCAATTCTCAGTCTTTGAGGATGAAAATGCCTGCATTGCACGCAACGTAGTAAACATGTGTCATTGTTTTGTGCACTCTGCGTAGTCTTGATCAGGAGCTCAAGCTCTTGAAGGGGTACGCACCCGGGGCACAATGCTTCCGCTATAAGACAGCATAGGAATGTGAAATAAACCCAGGCAATCAGAAGCACATCAAATGCAAAACCATAGTAACCATCCGTGACTTCATTACTTCATTATCCTTGCCAGATGGCACCAGGGTGTTTCTGGCAATCGAATATACCATCCCTGCGCACTGTACAGGTGCCAGCCACTATCATTGATCAAATTTCTCAGCACAGCACTGCGCTTGGAAACAAACTCCGTCTAAAACCCCTTTTCGCAATTTTGAATCCTCGATTTCGTCCCCTTTCATCGTGTCCTTCAAACATACATCGCCCAGTATTGTGTCATCCCACCCGGCATAGGCTCTCCGCTCCACGTCAGCCCTCGTGGCCCCCAGAAATGATGCTTGGCCTTGGTGATGTTCCCAATTCTCCTTACTTTGCCATGATTTCGAGAAAACAAGCCATGAACTCCACGTCAGACATGCTGGTTGCCTAAGAAGTGGTGCTGAGGTGGCGGCGGGGGGTTATGTTGGCCAAGCAGGAAACTTGAGAAGGCGCAGTCGCAATGGCACCACACGCTGCGGATGCTGCGCAAAGCATAGCGCGCCCCCAGAGCCGCCAAGCACAGCGCCACGAAGATGCAGCCCAGCATGAAGATGGGGAACATGAAGAGCGCCTGCGCAGCAATGGCGATGTCATCACCCTCTCGATTGATTGTTGACGAGGGTTGATTTGGGGCCACTCGCTGTTTCAAGGCTCCAATCAGCCAGGCGGCTAAATTGCCCCCTTGAGCCAACCACAACAAACGCCGCTCTTACTCACTGCTGGAAGCACCATGTCCCAGATTGTGTCATGCATGCCAAAAGCCCATGGATGTTGTGCATCAGCGGCTGCTTGAAGAAGGGTAGTTCATTTGCACTCCCCGCTCTTCAACAAGATGCCACTGCAAGCACAATATGTTGCTGGTGCATGAGAGCGTATAAATATGCAGAAAAACAGCCAAGGAGCAAATGGTGCCTTGCGGTGGAATAATAGCTTCCTCACTCCCGTCCTTGAAGGGTGACAAGCGTAACTCCTGCTCACAAATGTCGGCTCATGCCGGGGGGAAAAGCAATGAAGAAACCTAAAAAATTCAGCCGGGGGGCCGCGCACCATGAAGAATAGCAGGAGGACGCCAAAGTAGGCGAGGAAGAAGGAGACAACGCCAGTGGAGACGAGCGCCGTCATCGGCCAGGACGGCTCCGGAAACACCGCCACCCGCAGCCGCCGCTGCCCGGGCGCCACTGAAGCCAGCAGCAGCGCGTCCGCCACGTTCATGACCCGGTTCATCCTGTCCTGCTCTGTGCGCACACAGCAGAAAGGAAATGGTCAGACTCGCTTGGCTAGTTAGATTTGCGGCAAAATGAAGCCCAACCAAGATCCAGCAAAATGATAGTGGGCCGCCACTTTCATGAAGCGGTTTTCTTGTCCCGTTCTAAGCGCGCACACAACAAAAAGGAAATGCTTAGACTTGCTTGGCTAGTAGATTTGCAGCCGGCAAAATGAAGCCCCACCAAGATCCAGCACAATGATAGTGGGCCGCCACGTTCTTAAAACGGTTATCCTGTCCTGCTCTGCGCGCGCACACAGCAGCAAGGGGAGGATGAGTGATTTTGACTTTGCAGCTGGCACAAAATAGGCCTGCAGACATCCACACCACGTCCGCCATTTCCATTAACGGGTACATCCTGTTCTGCTCTGCACAACACAGAGCAGCAAGGAAGGGTGAGGTTGTGTGGGCTTCACAAATGCGCCAAGCAATGCTCCATAATAGGCCGTGCTGCACGCTGTTGCTTTCCTGAGCTAGCAAGGTGACCAGGAGCGTTGGTGAGACAGGCACCACAGCTCATGCCAAGACATATTGTCTAAAGCTTGAGCACAATCCAATCTTGGCTGCAAAGTCTGAAAGCCCATCATGATCCAACCCTCTGGCTCGGTGCAGGCACTTCATGACAGTGATGACAGTGAGTAACCAGCCAACCAGCTTGGCCCTCTGTGAATGGTTTGCACCATCAGACAAGCACAAAACACACTTGTCCGAGAGGACTGCACCGCTCCCATCTAAGTGTGCTCGGGGCACTGCGGGCATGTGATCTGGACGCGTCAGAGAAGCAAGCCCACACCTGGCAGCCACAATTTTAATTTGCGGTGGCGTGACAGCAGCCGCCAGATGCCGATGGATGTGGCGGGGCAGCCCTCGACAGCAAAGATTGCCAGATCGGGCATCGCCCGGCTGAGCTGGCACAGGCCAGCATTAGTCATCGGGCAGTAACGCACGTCCAGGTCAGCCAGCTTAGTCAGCGGCGCCAGCGCGGCCGCCGCCTCATCATCGATCGCGCACCTGCCGGCACATGGCATGGGTTTCTCAGTCTCTTGCTTGTCTAACATCATTATATTCAGAGTGTCTCAAGCGCCTGAATGCAAAGCAGCCCTGCCGAGGTCTCTGCACACTGAATCATGGCACCAGGAATTACAATTTTTTCAAGGAGCAACAAGAATGATCAGCAGGAGATGGATCCCACCCTAAGTATGCCTAGGCCCGGAATTTTATACAAACAAGAGAACTTGAGATGCTCGACACAGCCTGTGGGATGCAAGCAGACCAATTTGCCCTCGCTGGAAGGCACGTTGATGGGCAGCACATGCATGCATGCAAGAAAGGCGCACCAGGCAAGGCCGAGGCTGGTGAGGGCAGTCAGGCTGCCGAGCTGCTGCACATGCTCGTTGGACAGCTGCGTGCGCTGCAGGCACAGGCTGCGCAGATTTGTGAGCGATGCCAAAAAGTCCACGCCTCCTGTCGGGCCCAGGGGCAGCCCTGCGCACCAGAAAAAAATCCTTCTTTGAATGTTGAACGCTTGATGAGGTGTGCCACACCAGTAGGTTCCTGGGCAACCCCCATGCCAGAGACCCATGAGCTGAAAGTGAGGTTGTCATTGGCTCAAATTTATTGGCAGGATCTGGTGCCTGCATGACTGCAACATTTGCAGAGGCCTGGACCAGTACATGACAAAGCACCGCATTACGTTCTTATGCCGCTGCTGCAGCTTACAGTCAACTGCCGTTTTGGATGACAAACCAACTTGACTTTGAAGGCACTATAAAGAGTAGGGTCAGAAGGGAACCCCACCTGACAGGTCGAGGCAGGTGAGAGCGGTGGCGTCTGCCAGGAAGGCGAGGCCCTCAGCAGTCACCTCAGAGTGGCCCGCCAGATTCAGCGAGCGCAGGTTAGTCAGCGCTGACAGCGCGGCGACGCCCGCGTTAGTAATGTCCTCGTCGCGGCGGTGGCTCGGCGAGCAAAAGTCCAGGTGAGTCAGCCCTGCAGGACATGCTTCAATTTCAATAAGGGGAAGTACCTATGGGACTTGATAGCATTCAAAGTCCACACCATGCGTTGTAGCTGGAGAATGCCCCACAATCATTGGGATTTTGACTGGAGTGCAGGTCCTGGCAGAGCTGAGACTATGCCGACTGGAATGGGACTCAATGCAGGCCACAATCTCTGCAAGACACCGTTGCATGCTCCTTGCATAAGGCTGCAACGACTGCATCCTGAGAAACTTTCCTATGGATTAAGTCCACCGGCTTCAGGACTGCGGATTATAAAACTGGCCGCACCTGTGAGAGACGAGAGGTGGTGTAGGCCGGTGTCAGTCACGCGGAAGGCATCGGGGATGTGCAGCGACTGCAGCTTAGTCAGCGCGCCAGCGCAGCGCAACACGCCATTTGTTACGCCCACCTGACGCACACACCAATGACTCCTGCCTTATAAGGGTGAAAGAAACTACATTGCATGTAGCATACGCTGTGCAAAGCGGCCCTGAGAATTGGACATAGGCAGTTTGGCGCATTTGGTGCTTCTGCGGTGGCAGGCAGCATGCAGTTCAAGAACGGGTTGTGCGATGACAGAGGGGTTAAACAGGATACAAGACACAAAGGGCTGGTGACAGAGCGGTTGAATCACCTTGACGAGTCTGAGCTGGCGCAGGTCCGTCAGCGCGGACAGATTAGTCAGCCCGGGCAGCAGCAGGTGCAGGTGCTCCGTCAGCGACAGCTCCTGTGGAGTTTGAATTCAAATTTTGTTTCAATTTGATGTCAGATCTGATGCTTCTGCAAGCTACACTTAAGAGAAGACACGACCCAAGCGATATCTGCATGAAGCACGGAAGCGCAAGATTGCAGAAGCGGATGGAATGTGCCTCTCAAACAGCCTTAAACAGGGACTCTCAACTGATAGGTCGTTCAAGAGGCCCCCGCCTTATAGCATCTAGTCAGGAACACCGTGAAATAAATGCTTCTAAATGCACTAGTGCGCATGCATTGAAGCTTTTCTACAAGCAAAGAAGGCACCACTGCCACACCTGGAGGCTGCGCAGCTCAGAGAGGCAGTGCATGGGCGGCAGTTTGGCAGTGGCACTGTCGTTGCGCATGCGCAGGGAGGAGAGCTTAGTCAGGCTCTTGAGGAAGGCATCGCCCTCTGCCGGGTATGCGCCCACCACGTTGGCCATCTCCAGCTGGCGCAGCCCCTGCATGCGTATGCGCTTAGTCAGTCATTAGTCCATCTTGTTTGACTCACCCAGAATTCATCTCATGAGGTCTGCTGCCAGTGACATTCCTTTGCTGTGCGCAAGTTGGTTCCCCGGTGCAGCTGATTCGAGTATAACTGTGAGTATCGTTACACCTCTGCCAATCGTGAGGCTTAGGTACGTCAAGCAACACCTGTTGTGCGCTTTCCGATCTTCCAGCTTGTTGCACTGGTCATATGTCGTGACAATCGATACCAAGGTTGATTGCGAAAGAGTAAGCCAATGACAGCAAGCAGAAAAAAGTGAGTTACCTGCAGGGAGGATAATTTTGAGATGAGGGTGCGGCCGTCAAAGGCAACGGCGTTGAACTGCAGGTGCTGCAGCCGGGACAGTCCCCCCAGCAGCACTGCATCCCTCTCCGTGATGAGGAATCTGCGCAGCCGCAGGTCCGTCACCTGCGCACGAAATAAATCATTCTCGCCACTGTGGCCCAGCCGACACCTCACAGGCAGCTTGTGCCTTGAAAGAGCCTGCACGGGGTTGCTTTCCCAACACTGCAGGGACAATTCTCCCGATGAGGTATCTGTAGCTTGCTCCTGCTCTCAGCACCTTCACAGGAGGCTTTCAGGCAAATGATAAAACCTGCTTCTATCATAATCATTTGAAATACCATCACCACTGAGCTGCGACGGAGCAAAGACCTGACATTTTAAATGGAGGTTTACTTCTTAGACAGCCAGCTGTATCCTCGGACAAAATCTGGCAGAGCACTGGACACTGAACTGTCTTGCACTCAACCAGGATGCTTCAATTTAGAGCCCCCTCGAGGGGAGGGCGCACCCGGGGGAAGAAGCAGCGCACGCCCTCGAAGCAGCACAGCTTGGGGCGCGGTGTCAGCTGTGTGAGGCCGCAGCGCACGGCCGTGTGCCATGCTTTGCATGTCAGATGCATCGCGCGCGCCTCCCCCGGCCCGGCCGCCTTCACCACCGCCACTAAGATATCGTGCGGCATGTGCTCCCAGCCGTCCTGCATGCGTGCGCATGTGCCGTCACATGCCTGCGATTGCGTTGCTCCATGCGGAAGTGTGCAGGCATCACGCGTTGTACAATTCTGGGGCTATGGGATGACCAGCACGCTTGACGATGCCATGCAACACAAGGATACAAGGATGGCTGCAGGGATGCTAACGCGCGCATGCTTCATGTGGGCTCTACTGCTGTTCGCGTGGTCAAAAAACTCTTGGGCTTTGAGCTGACCGGCCTGCGTGATGCGACTATGTAACAGAAGGAGGCTAACAGATCGGTGCTAGCTGCATGGGCCTTGACTAAGACTGAGATGGACAGCACCCAGTGGAACAGCCTGGGATGCCCTGCAGCCAGCAGCCACGATGATGCTGCCAGTCATGAATCTCACACTTTTATTTGGTGCTGGAGCGCCACAGGGGCCCACTGGTGTCTCTGATCACCGTGAGTCAAGACTAAATTCTCCGCTGGTTGGGGAAACCCTGACGCCTTTTTGACCAGTGAAAGGACCAGCAGTGACGTGTGATACACTATTGCAGTGTACACACTAGGAATTGAGATCCATACCCTCCCAAGGACAGAGCATGGGAGATAAACCCTAGCAACGCCGTTTTGCTGGTGAGCTCACGACACTGTGAGCTTACAGCCCAGATTGAGTATTTTTGATGACTATGAGGATGAACAAACAGCACACATAGATCGGGATCAGCTAATTTCTCAACGTCTACGTACCACGATGTCGGCGCTAGGTTTGGAGCCGAAGCAGCCCAACAGCCGCATACCCCGCAGGGCTGAGACCTTTGGCACGTCCTGTAGACTCAAATCATCCTTACAGGCTGCCTCAAGTTGCGTTATCGGGGCCGGCGCTTTCCCCTGGTATCGAAAGGTGTTGGCGCCAATACACCTAGGGTCGACCCAGAAAGCCTCTTCACTGACGTCGCTAAAGCCGTTCATGATCCTGTATTTCCAAATTCCGCGCTGTCGCCTAGAGATTCATCGTTGGCCTGCATTCCTTTGAATGTCAAAGAAGGTGAGTGCGTGCGTTTTCATTGCCCAGATCCTTCCAGCAGATTGCGACGACCCAGGCAATGGATTGCGTCCTTGTACGCTCCAAGAGCGATACACTAATGTGGAAGATCTATGCTGCCCAAGTCTTTTAGAAACAAAGGAGGAAAGTCTTTCAGGTCAACACATTTCTTTGCTTCGTTCTTGATCAGCCCCACGTGGGGCCGGTGCGTCATCTCGTCTCGGACCAAAATATCACTCCCGTGACGTATGTGCGTCGAAGCGCCGACCGATCTCCTGATGCAGAATGCTCAGCTTGGCTGCTCAATAGGAACAGATGCATGTGCATGCCGTTGGCCTACAAGCTTCATGTTCAGCTCTTGAGATCATGCATGCAACACGTCTCATGTTGATCAAGGCAGCGTTGTGCTTTCTACTATATATTCCTGCCAGGATCCGGAGAGCCTCACGCATTCATGCATGCATCTGTAGAGTACGGTTGCCCTAGTTTCAGATAGGCAACCCAAATGGAGAGCTCCTAATACAATTACTTGAGCACTGCTGCACGCTGCCGGGAACTCCTGGCAGGAGTTCCTGGCAAAGGAAGCAGGTGAAGCAGTCCTACAACCAGAGCATAAAATAGCCTCCATAAAACCGCATGCGCAGCGGTCGTGTCACCAATATATAACTCCACACCAGGCTTTCACACCAGTGAACAAGACATAACAGCTGTAGCCGAGCCAATGTTGCTGTGCCAAGTGCAACAGGATCCTTAATCGAGTGCATTTGTTTCTATGATAATCTAGACTTTTGAGTCTAGAAAGATCCCAGGACTCCAAAGTCGCAACGATGCCCGCAGTCTAAGGCGCTATTGTACAAGCAGAGTTTCAATTGCAACAACTCTGCTGTAGTTCAACTGAGCGGCAATCCCGCAGTCAAATAGTGACCAACCTCACTTTCGTCTGTTGATGATGATACAGCGGCTCTCCGAACAGCACATGCCAAAATTTCACTTGCTGCATACAAGTGGATTGCACCTGATACACCTCGCCAACAAAACCTCGTTTCTTGCCAACCATGCAAATTTCACCAATCCCATTGCAGCAACATTGGCACAAGAAGACCTCTCCCTGCTTCTTGGGTCATGCCCCAAGGATCCTTGTTTGGCCAGAACATAGGCCGTAATGCACTGCAGAGCAAAGCTGCCCCAGACTGGCAGTTCTCACACATTCCCCAGTGTTTCTCATAGCCTCCGATCCGGCGGCGGCGGCAGCGGCGGCGCAGCCGGCAGAGAAGAAGCATCACAGCTCCAGCCCTCATCCAGGTCCATGAGCAGAGCAGGGCCCCGGCCGGAGGGGGATCGGGCGGCGGCGGCGCCCGGCTGAGCAGCTGAGTTCGGAGCCTGCCCGGCGGGCGATTGCATCGCGCCCCTTGCCGGACGGCTGGAGTGCCTGGGCGGCGATGGCGTCCGGCAGTTGGGGCGCGGCGAGGTCCTCCTCCTGGGAGGGCTGAAAACCTGCGCCAAGATAGGCAGTGTGATTAGAGATCAAGATTACTACATCTCATGCTGCCATGTCATGAGCCAGCGGTGGATGCAAGCTGCCATGAGTCCGGTTGTAGACCAAATGCGTGTCTAGCATGAAAGCACATAGGTGCAAGGGCTGCTTCGGCGCACCTTGGCCGGATTGTACCAGCAATCCGATGACCAATGACCCACTTTCTTGCAGTGGTTGCATGGATCATTTTTGGACCTCTGCACTCTGGTACTTCCAGGCCCCATTGGCGACCTGCAGAACAGGTATGGTCACTACACCATTGCAGGAATGCATCAGAGCTGATGTCTTCAGAGTCTTGGCGTAAAGGTGCGTGTAGGTCGGGGCTTTGGTGCCGCAGATGCTGGGGAGCTGCAGAAAGGAGTCTTGGGAACAGCCCACATGCTCGAGATAGGCACTGCTCTGTTGCCCAGTTCGAACACACACAGCGTCAAGAGCTATTTGCGGCAAGTTTGGCTAGCACGGGAAGCACCTGTGCCGAGTATTGCCACGGCGTGGCGGCGAAGCCCGCAGCAGCCGTCGATGCCCTTCGCTGCGGCTGCGGCTGCGGTCGCGGCTCCGGCCGCGGCTGCGGCGCATCCCCCGGCGCAGCTCGGCCTCGGCCTCCGCCCGGCCGGGGGAGCGGCGGCGGCTGCCGCCGCGGGGCATGGGCACCGGCCGGCGCCGATTGTCACGGTCTGGCCCGAGCCGATTCGGCTCTGCGCTGCGGTCGTCCCACTGCTTGCGGTGGCCGGCCTCCCTCTCCCGGACCCCGCGGCTGTAATCACGTGGCGGTGCCGAGCTGCCTTCGAGGCAGCTCGGGCCCCCAGCGCCGGACTCCGCCGGCGAGGGAGCCATCCCTGTGCGTCGAAAAAGCGCTCTGTCTGCCTCTGCAGCCCGCCGTTCAGTCCCCGCTCCGGTGGAAGCCGGCTCGGCAGCTGCCGGGTTGGCGGGCGGCAGCTTCTCGGCGGCTTCCACGGACAACGTCTCGCGCTCCGATGACGGCGGCTGCCGCGGCCCATCGCTGGCGGCAGCTGACTCCTGGGGCCGAGGCCTTCCCTCTTTGGGCTGCTCTGGCACGGCCTTGGAGGCGCTCGGCTCTTCCCTTACCTGCTGTGACGCACCCTTAGCGGCTGAACTAGGGATGCCAGGCATCATCCTCGAGAGCATGGCCTTTATGTCCCGCATGTCCTGCACCTGTACAGGACAAAAATAGACAATAATTACCAACAACCAGGACTTGAAGCCACGTACACTCACTAAAAAGTGTCAGATGTCAGCTTCATCCTTACAGCTTGGCAGTATTTTTGGGCCAGAATAAGGCTCTGCATCAGCTACCCCTCAGCGAGCCTGACATTGCGAGATAGAATCACATTTAACAACTTGCAATGTGGTTGGAAGGTCCCTCCAGCGAATAAGAAGACTGTGACTAATGCTGGTGTTCGCACCAAGTTCATTGGCAGTGAGGGTGCAGCTCCATCTGCTGGCATTCTTTGGAGAGCGGCCTCGGCAAGAGGCAGCCTTAGATGACTCTCAGAAGTGCCAGTCCTTCCGTCGCCTGGCAACATCAAGACAAGCTATTTCAGGGCTGCTGCTCAGGAAGGAACACATTTGATGTCCGAGCATGTAGAACTCATCACGGCCGAAAAGGTACCCAACAGAGCACAATGACGAGCTCATAACAAGCACATGCATTGCATGTGTGGAAGGACAGACTTGATCCCTGTAGACAGAGCAGAGATGATTCACCTGGTGTCCTCTCTGACTGCGTGACAGCCGCAGGCACAGGAGCACCTTCGGGTGACAGCTCTGGCGGCAGAGAGTCATCGAGGGGAATGAAGTCATCCATGCCGCCATTGGAAGCAGACCGCAGGATGTCCTCTCCCATCAATCTGAATATACTGGGCTCTTGTCCTGATGCTTGACAAGGGTCCCTCCCAGAGCGATGCGGCTGTGTCACGCTGGGCGCAGAAAGAAGCCGCTCTAGTTTGGCGGCAGGTTCCTGTCGTCCTGGTTTCCGCTCGGACGACGGCTGCGTGGAGGCAGCTGCCGGCACGGCGGCCCGTGCCGTGCTGACGTGCGCGGCCGCCACCGGCGCGCTGTTCTGCGACTGCAGCCGCGGCAGCGGGGAGGGCGATTGCCCGATGAGCTTCTCCAATTCGGCGGCATCTTCGGCCCTCTTCTGCGCGGCTTCGTCGCTCTCGGCGACTAGTGCGGCAGCCGGCGCGGCGGGCGGCGGGGCCGCGGATTCACGCATCATTGTCATTAGAGGATCGCGGTCCTCGTGCGGGACGGCTACAGCGGTGGCGGCGGCGGCAGCCGCTGCCTGCGCCAGCCGCGGATCCCGGGACAGGCGCGGCGGCGGGCCGAAACCGACCGGCGGGCCGTTGCTGTTTGGCGCTTCCGGCCGCGGCTGCGGCGCCGGAATCGGCACCGGCACGGCCGCTGCCGCGGCCGCCGCCTGCGGCAGCGGCAATTGCAGGTGCAGGCGCGCGTGCTGTTCGCGCAGGTTGCGGCCCTGCACGGCTGCGCGGTGGTGCTGCGCTGCCAGCACGGCGCTACCGCCGCCAACGCTGCCGGCCTCCAGATCGCGGCAGTGCGTCTCGAGCAAGGCGTTGCGGTGCGCCAGATCCTCAGCCTGAAGCTCGAAGGATTTGCCCACGGCGGACAGGCGCTCAATCTCCGCCTTGGACTTCAGCTGCGTGTCCTTCAGCTGTGCCTTGACGGCCTCCAGAGCCTTCTCCGCTGCTATGGTCTTCCCCTTGTACTTGGCCACTCTCTCTTGCAGCGTTTTCCCTTCTGCCCTGCTTCGCTCCACTTCCTTCTTTAGCGAGTCCACTTCCTGAGCAAGACATAAAATAATTATGAGCCGCACACCTCTGAAGTTGATCTCGCATTGGAGGAAGGCACAATCAACACGCCCAGACCATTGTCAGGCACAAATTTTATGGAGGAAAAGCCTGCCGGCGAGCAACAGAGGTCTCACATGAGCGGACGAGGCAATACTTTTGGGAGCAGACCCATCAACAAAGCATGACAAGCAGACAAAGCATCCTCAGCCCCATCTCACCCACAGATATGTCAACTGGGGTGTCCCTGAGATCTATATGCTGAGTAAAACAGTTTGATCAAGCAAGGCCTTTCATTCCTACCAGGTGCTTTCATACTCAGCAGGGTCAAAGCTGGCACGTTAGGGTGCAGTGGGTGGCATATATAGAAAGGTCAAGAGCACACCCGTCTCGCCTCGCTCAGCTGGGTCTGCAGGCTGCGGTTGGCGTTGTCTGCCGCCTCGCAATCACGGGTCAGGCGTTTCACCTTGAGTTCAAGGTGGCTGCACTTGCGCGAGACTTCGTCCAGCTGCTTCTTCAGCTGCCATGCGTCGTTGCCCTCCAGCTCCTCAATTCGCAGCGCCTGCACATTGGCCATTAAAGCAGACTATAAGAGCATTCCTTAGAAACGCCTCCATACATTGATCAATAGAGCAGACTGTCACGGATTCTTTGCAATGCCTTCACACTGCTCATTAGAAAAAAAGTTCTTGAAACTTCACAGGCACTGCCGCTGCTGTCGCCCTTAGACTCAGATGTTGCCAAAGATCGATGCAAACAGGTGCCTTCCGTAACCTTGAAGGCACGGCTCCTCACAAATTTCACTATGATCTTGACAGCGGCATGACGCCCCTCTATGATCCATGTGACTATTGTTTTTCTGCAGAGTAGGTACTTTAGCAGGTGTTCATTCATTTCACAGACTTCCAGGATGATGGGTTACAGGAAAGAAAGTCTTAAGTCCAGCTCTCTCACCTGGGTGCCAACGCGGTCCTCCCTGTCTTTGGCGGCGGCCTGAGCAACCTCCAACTGATGCCGCAGCCCCTGAGCCGCCTCCTCGGCAGCCGCCTATGGACACGTTTGAACTTGAATTTGCATTTTTAAAATCAGAACAAATTTCAGAATAGAATGCTTGAATCTATAAATTACAACATTGAATTTTGTGCTCTGCTTTTGCAGGGTGCTCGATTAATTGCCCCTTGAGATCTTGAAACAAAACAGCCGCCCTTGCTATCTGCAGGAGAGGAGCATTGCAGCGCACAGTGTCTGTGAGATGAGCTCCTTTGATTGAATGGTCTTGCCAAGATATCAGAAGGACACAGCTGCGTTTTTGACCGCATGTAAGGAGCAATGGGCTTGGTGTTGCACACCATGGCTTTCTTTGCTGAGTTAGCTGCAATATCGTGGTCCACTTTCTCCTTCAGCAGCTTGGCGATCAGGGCATCCTTGTCGGATGAGCCAGCCTCGAGCTCCTTCACTTGTTTCCTGAGAGCCTGCATGCACACCAGGGGAGACACAGTCTCAAAGACAGCAAGTTGCACCCAGCATGGAATTTTCTTTGGGGTGTGTGCCATCCTCTGGACCCCTCTTCTCCTCTAACTCTGCATTCGGCAAAGGCATCAGAAGGGCAGCTGGGCTCTTTTGACAGCTGAACAATGGCTTGCAGGTGGCAGCACTCATGCGCAAACATGCACAAACCGGTCTTTCTTTTTGACACAGAGAAGAAAAATTTTGGGGTCTCTCGAACTAAGCAGATACGGGAGACACTTGCAATTTAAAGACAACGTCGCCATGGCTTACAGGGCAATTGAAAACAGAGTTGAGAAGAAACAAGCTATTGCTGCTTGTTTGTGGAAGGAACAACGCACCACCAGAGACCTGGCCCTCTTCGCCTCGCTCTCCATGAAGCGCCTGAAGGGCTGTACACAAGCCACAAAGGTGTTGTGATGCTGGTCAACAATATAAAAATGGACGCAAGGGGCGGGAAGGGCACAGTCACATTTGGACAGCAACGCAGGATGCAGGAAGGGCGGCAGGCCAAGATCCTCACATCCCCATAGCCAAGCAGCGTTTCTGGATTGATTGTTTTATTATTACAGGTCGGCAAACCCAAAGCCAAAGGCCATAGGGCATACACGCTGTGCCGCAGCCACATCTGCGGGGCCTACAAAAGTCTGCAGCCTAGTGTCCTTACGCATCTGATCGCATCTCAAAGACCAGCCCTCATGCACTCCCTGTATTGGAGACACACCCCTGATATACGATACCCCTGGCCTGCCAGCAACGTAACACCCCTTGGATGACATCGAGGGCATCTTGCAGGACAGCCCAGAGATAGAATACAAAAACAGGGGTGGAGAGAAGGGCAGGCCAGGACGCTCAAATCCCCACAGTCGAGCAGTATCTCCTTGCCAGCGGGGTCGTCCAGGGCGGCGAACATGAAGATGTGGGGCCGCAGCGTTGCAAGACATGTCTGCATTCAAATTTGAAAAAGAGAGGGTGAGGGCAGGCCAGGACGCTCACATCCCCATAGTCAAGCAGCATCTCCTCGCCCGCAGGGACGTCCGCAGCGGCAAAGAAGAAGATGTGGGGCCGCAGAGTGGCACGATCCATAACTTCCACCATCATGCAGGAGCAGGGAACGGCCCCCGGCATGCCTACGTAGTCATTGATGAAGCGCAGCAGGTTGCCTCCCCGCGCGGGGTCCATGACAATTTCCTTGCCGTCCGACCAGAACCCTGTTCAGGCAACGTGTCACCATCAGCATTCGCGCCTAATCAGGGCAGGTGTGCCTGTCGGCATGCGCGCCCATTAAGGCACCTCGGCCACGTCAGCAGACGTGCCTGATCTGGCCATTATGAGTGACCGTCATCACCATATTCGACTGCCATTCGACTTCCATGCCCGAGTTGAAGCATGCAAACAATTGCTACAGGACGCCGAGTGGTGTCTAGGCCTGTTGGACATACTGCATTAGAATGCAGGCTATGAAAGCAGCGCAACTGCCACAGGAGTTTGAAAAGTCGTGCATCGCTTTTCAAAGGAGTGCAAGGCCGCGTTCCGTAAGTGCTGCAGAGTTGAGAGCGTGCGCGCGCACCGGTTACGTGCTTGTCATGGGAGTGGGAGAAGTCCTTGAGCTTGTCAGCCTTGAGGCCTCCAAAGCCGATGGGGCACTCCAATGACTCAACCTCCACAGCCTTCCCCGTCTTCACCACCCCGCAGTATTCCCCCAGTAGCTCATTCTTTTGCAGAGCCTGCACAGAACCACCCACAGCACAATATCAGCATCCTACCCGTTGCATCCGCGTATCCAAGTAATGAACCTCACACCCGTTCAGCACTGCTATTGATCTTGGATTCCAAGAACCCTGCTCAAGGGCACAAGTATTGGAAGAGCAGGCCTCGGAAAGATCACCAGGCATGCATGCCAAAATGCTCAAGAAGTACAAGAATCAGAAGGGCATTGGGAAGGAACCATGCATGCATGCCAAATGGCTCAACACGTGCAAGCATTGACACAGACACCTTTAACATGAATGGAAAGCTTCTAAACAGAAGAGAGCGATGCTGACCCTCTTGGCCCTGACGCCCCTCTCCTCACTGCGAATGTCCATCCACCCGAGAGTCTCTGCCTGCAGCTTCTTGGCAGGGTGGTCGGGGTCTGTGATCACAAACACTTCCAGCCGATCCTGCGAGCCATGAGATTCCTTGGCGCTCAATAGTGAGCCTTGCTAGACTACACAACTCCGCCCCTTGAGCAGCCGCTCTGCCATTAGTAAGGATAGGATTTGCCAAGGTGATAGGACTTGCGAAATGAGGGTGGCAAGCCTTGTGGCCTGCCCTGTGGTGACTTTGAGGACGGAGCACAACAGACAATCACGGAGCAGAAGGAACCTCTTGCGAAAAAAAACACTCTGCTGTTTGATACTCATATGGAGCATATGTGTACCATGCATGCAATGTCAAGCACGCTCAGATTCGCAAGCAGGTGGAAGAATGCAACTCTTACATTCATGTGCTGCCGCCGATTGTCTCTGTCAAGCGCCATGTACTGCCGGATATCCTCCACAGCTTTGGTGCGCGCCTCTTCATCTGCATGCAAAAGAAGGATGACGACGCGCTCAGGAAATTGCCATGCACTCAACAAACAGAACTTGCTAGCAATCACTTTGCACGGCAACGATGCTTGTGAGATTGCATCATCAACCATGAGAATCAACGCTTGACAATGACGGCTCACAAAGACATTGAGGCTTACAAATGGATGTGTTGGCAGGTTTCTAAACACCAAACTCCTGTGTATTGACAGGCTCTATGAAAAGCATTGAATTTTCACCCTCGCAGCATTCACACCCCTGCAGCACCCTTAGAACACCGCAGCAATGAGTGATACAATGAGTGATTTGGGCTCCCATTCAGGTATGTGAATGGGCTCATGCAGCAGCCTTGGGAGTTGTGCAAATGGTTCTGGAAGAGTTTGTTTTCACATCACAATCGATATCATTGTGACAGTTGCACGAACTGTCTCATTTCCTCCTTCTAAACCTTTGCCAAAGCTCCCTCTGTTCCCCTAACCTTTCTGCACCAGAGTTTTGGTACGGGCAGAGAGGAATGTCTCACCAGTGAAATTGTCTAGAGACATGGGGAGAATCTGGATGCTATTGTCAGATGGCGGCTGCGCTGTGTTCCTGGCAGCGTGCATCATGCGCCACACCTCCTTGGAGTATATCTGCTCCACCAACTCGCTGCGCAGGCAAACCAACATCAATGTTTTGAACGGTGAATCATAAGCCTGACCGCTTGCGGGCATTATTGCCTGCAATCTGTCAAAGTCAAAAGGGTGCAGGCAGTAGCAGTCTTGAGCTTCAGGATGCGAACTACTCCACACTCTGCTAGAATTACACGCTACATAGCAGATCCATGAAACAGTGATGGAGAATGATGGTAGGCAAGGCGATGCACTACACAATGCGACAAATCATCGCGTTAAGCATTCCTAGTTGTCAAGCCAAAATTGATACTCCTACTGCTCATACTGGCAGCTGAGTATCAAGGAAAGTGCATGACACCGGGGGTTCAGGTGCGCACTCGTCCGACCCAAGGTCATCTCCCGCAAGAAGCGGTTTGGGCAAGGAAGTCTTCCGTCTGCCCGAGGCAGGCTCAGCCACATGCGCGTTATCCACCCCTGACGGCAGGGACTTCTGCCGCTTGCTGGCCGGCTGCTTCCTGTCGTCCGATTTTCCGCCGCCGCCGCCGCTGCCAATTGTTGACAATGCCGGGTCTGCTGGCGCGGCCGGCGCTGCTCTCTTCTGCCCACTGGACTCCGCCGGCGACGGCTTGCCGGCCCGCTTTCCCCGGCCACCTGGTCAGTAGCGAGTCATCATTTTGATGACTCATCAAAGTGATGTTTCATCTTACAATTCCGCATGTTTCGTTCCCTTCGGGGCATCTTGATGAATATGCCACCCTTAGGACATCCATCGCTTGTGAATGTGGGGGAAAGCCCTGCAGGAACCGTTTTATAAATGAGGTTTGAGAAAGTGGAGGTTTAGTCTGGGCGCTACACTGCGTGTTCCTGAGCATAGGACGTGCCTCTGCCAACTGGGCTGCCGCGGCCGCCGAGGCTGCCAAGGCGGCCGCCGCGCGACGCGCCAACGCCGCCGCCGGTCGAGCGCCGTCTCTTGGCCGGGGTCTCCTCGCCCGACGCCGGGACTGCTTCCGTTGCAGCAGGCGCAGAAGCATTGCTGGGCGAGGCGGCCGGCTGCGCAGCTGCTTCGCTGCCCAGAGATCCGTTGGGCAGCTGCCTGCCGGGCTGCCCAGCAGAAGCCAGTCCAGGAGGCGTTCCCTTTGAGCCCAGCCTGGCCGCGCTTGAATCTGCCGTGCCGGCATCCGCCGCGGCATCCCCGAGGCTCCGAGCAGCCACTCCATTCCCCTGCGCGCATGCTATGCCTCGGTCTATGGGTTGCTATTGCATGCTGAGAATCAAAGAAAAGACGAGTGCCAGGAAGTACTCATCAGAGGGAATTAATCAACGCACCAGGGCCTTGACAGGAGAGACCCGCGGAGAGGTAACAGAAGGAGCTGGCTCTACAACAGGCTGTCTGGTGGACACCTCTGGCGCACCATCCTCCGTTTTGACTGTAGACTCCTGCAAAAACAACACCATGCAGCTGGTGGCTTTAACCTAAGAAGACCGAAAACATGCATTCATCTTCAGAAGAAGCGCTTCACACCCGCTTGTCTATTTCCCAGCTGCACAAAGCTACTTATTGTACCTCACCACAGCAATACTTGCATAACAACCCATTACATCAAGGAAACCCTTGGGGTGCTGTGGTGAAGTGCATGTTGCTGAGGGCGCGCACCGGTCCTCTATTCAGAGACGACTCGCAAGGGCTGCCACCACCGGTGCGCAGGGAGGAACACCCCCGCTGCAGGCCGGGACGCCGATCCGGCAGGCCTCCTCGCAGGCCAGATGGCGTGCTCAAATTCGGCTGCTCCGCCATGGAGGCTGTGGGTGAACCACCCTCCCTCGGCGCCGGCTGCTCCGCAGCTGTGTGCTGCTGATCGGATGGCCCCAGTGCAGCGTCGCCATGCAGCTGAGCCAGATCTGCCTCCCCGTTTGTAATCTTTGACTGCCACAAAAACGCCATGGCCGTTACCAGAGGCGAGATCTGCCGCTTCCTGCCTGCTGCTTCCTGCCTGCCGCTGCCTGCCCCCGCTTGGCCCGGGGACGAATGCGCGTCAGCCGCCGGCTCTGCAGTGCTCATCGAATCCTGTCTGGCCTGTGCGAGGGGGAACGCGCTGCCTGTCGTGGGCTCAGCCGCGGTCGGCGAGAGCCGCCACCGGTCGGACGGCAGCCGCGTGGCAGCTGCCGGCACCGGCCCCGCCGCATTTTCCGCCGGAGCCGAGTGTGCCACGAGGCCGCTGCTGAGCTGCGGAAACTGGGTAGATGAGTGGGGCTTGGCTGCGCTGGCGGTGCCTCCCGATGCGCAGGGCACACCCATCAAATTGTCGCCGGGGAGCGCGCATCTGCCGCTGTGCTCTGCCGGCAGCCCGTCGTGGAGGGCCGCTTGGCTCACACCGACGCTGTCTGGTGGGCCGGCTGCCTGCTGGAACCGGAAAAAGTCCGGCGGTCGCAGTACACTGGCAGCGTCTGCCGCGCCAGAGCCGGCCGCCGATGGTTGCAGGCGCTGCGTCACTTCTTGGTCAATGCTGGCGGTCGCTGCAGGGCATACTGCCGCGGCTGGTGCCGCAGCTGCTGAGTCGGCTGCTGACGGCGGCAAATTCTCAGCCTCCTCCGTGGTGCTCATCGATTTGTTGTCGCTGGCTGTGGAGTCTGCATCGAGCTCCACTACCTCGGTGCTGCTGGGCTCCTCCTGAGCCTCCTCGGACGTGAGGTCTATTTGGATCGCTGCTGTGGTTTCCTCCCGGCATTGCCGTATGGTGACACGTCGCGGAGGAGGAGGAGGACCACAAGCAGTGAAACGAGCCAATTTCATTCTGCGGGCCATGCCCTTCTGCGGCTAGTGTCAGCTAGTTGCGACGTCACCTCATAAGTGAGCCAACTCCATCGGTTCACCTGTCCAGGGAGTGAAAGTATGCTTACAGATCATTTTGGGTGAAGAGGCAAATCAATATCACTGCCCCTTCCATTGAGGGAACATAAACACTTGCTTACCACAGGCAACTTCTGTATGGACCACTCTTAACATTGCTGCCTGTGCTGACAAAAGGGGAGAATAGCTGCTTACGGATGCACAAAGGATGGATTAGATCCATTATCTCCGTACCGCTAGTCAAACACCGCCCAAAGTCCTAGATCGTTGTTAGTATAAGATGATCCCCATCTGGGTGCGTCATCCCATTCTTAGGTTTCCTGCTGGAAAATTCCGTGATATCAATTGAAAAAGATCCATTCTTCCGCCTTGTTAATTGCTTCACCCTGACATGCTCATTGATTCACACGGACCCAGGCAGTCGTGAGACATTCGCTTGAGCTGCAGATACCTTGCACATTTTTCTAAGCTTCTACATGGAGGTAGTTTGAAGCGCAGCAATGTCCAGCCAAATGCAACATCGCCATAGGGATTCCAAGTGAGGTTTTGCCATTCTGATATCAACACTCAAAGGCTCGGGGGTGCCCTGTAAGGATCGTAGTGAAGCAATGAAGGACAGTAGCTTAGAGGATACTGAAGCTTTATAGTGTTGGCACCAAAACGCTCGATTCCATGCCATGCTGGGAATCTGAAGGGGAGATGCGATATCGACCTCGTCTAATCAATCGAGCCGGAAATTTTCCGGCGGAAAAGGAAGTCCAAAAAACTAAAATACATGGTCATGATGCCAAGGTGATGTCCATGAGATGCAGATGCTGGCTGTGATGCACCAAGCAGAATGCTCCGCAGACCGAGATTGAATTAATAAAAAATCAAGCCAGAGCCAGATCATGCATGATCATTATCGACACATGTACATGTACACATGCACAACTTGAGCTTGGAGCCATGGTACCAGGTTGGCATGATGTACCCGATGCCCATCATCAAGTCAATCATCCGCAAGTGCGACACCTTGCCTCAGCAATGCATGATCATGCATTGGACATACAATGCATTGTCGGTCCATGAATATGAGCCTGCAAGGAATACACATTTAAATCTAAAGCTTTTGATAGTGATATCCCCAGACTACTAGTACTTAGGACTCAATCTCTCATGATCATGATGATAATGGTCGAACCATTCGCGTTCTAGATCTAGAATGTCTAACTGATCTTGAGGACCTTTCAATCTCTGCATCCCGCCATGTTCTTCAATATCTTTTGGTACTCGTTTAAGCAAGCATGCACACATTTCCCACGATGCATCCCTCAAGACTATCTGCCATGCACCCTCACCAATGCATCACCACAGGCTCCAAAATTTCAAATACATGCATTGATCTGATTGCACAGCAGTGACATCAGCACAGTGCATTATAACGAGTTGAGAAGTCACAGCACTAACAATGGTGATTGCCGTCAATGCTAAAAGCTTTTCACACGATCAGAAGCCTCTGACAGCTATTTGACACTCTCAAGTGGCATTGGTAAGCCTAGAAAACGAGGCTTTGACATAAATGATGCTAACGCGGATGTGATGGAAGCAATGAATGGAAGCCCATGTGCCCACCCATGGTGCAAAATTGCTAAGAAAACGGCAGACCCACATAAGGGACAGATTTCCGCCAGAGCCACCAGAATGAATGAACGACCCGACTAAAATGTGGTATGCATCTCTGCGCTGGACAGACTGGAGCGCACAGCACGCAGTAAGCAAACAATTGCAATGCATCCCAAAATGCATTGCTCAGCTGAATCCTACATCTGGCCCTCTGTCAGCTGGGTGCCTCAGGATGAGGCATGACTGAAAAGCTGTCAGGAGGCAACCTGATCAAGGTGGCAGTGGGACATGTTGAGAAGCCAGATCAGTATCGGGCAGACAGAAGGCTTGGCAAGGGAGGGGACAGGACTGTACTCTGACATCTGATCCACTCATCTCTGGTCAGACCCCACACGCTGGCTTGAACTGCAGCGCTCTCTTCATGAGATTGCTTCCACAGGAATTCTGGCGTCGCTGCTGGAGGGATTGTTGGCGAGGGACAGACGCGCCAACGCCAGCGCCAGCTCAGCAATCTGCACACAGCCAGGCTTTTAATTGACTGTGAAAGACTCAGTGACATTCTTTAAGCCTCATAACACAGTGTTGTGCACCACAGAAGCCAGCTGTTGCAGTGAGATGAGGCTATGCGATCCCCGCACAAGTTGGCATGCCCCCCATTTTCTCAGCTGCTGCCATCTGACTTCCGGCCAAAGTTGAAGCCAGACTGGTCCATGTGAAGCAAGCAGTGATATGGAGCGAAGACTTTAAGGCAGTCACCTGACGCGTGCGAGGCTGCAGCTCGCCCTCGTGCCGAGCCAAGAACTCCGTGAAGCGCTCAAGAGCGCCGTCGGCCTCGGCCGCCTGCGCGGTGGCTTCGCCGTCCGGGCCAGCCGGCTGCGCGGCGACGGCAACTGTCGGCCGCCGGTGGCGGCGCTCGGCTGGCGGCTGCGGCCCAGCAGCGGCGCTGCGCGCCGCCACGCGGCCGCCCTCCCGCGAGCTGCTGCTGCTGCGCGTTGCCAGCGCCTGCTCAAGCATACACTGCGTGAGTTGCTGCTACCACAAGCCGTGGGCTGCACCACTTGCTTTCCAAGTAGTCTCGCTTGGGCCTGTTGAGTACATCAGAACGAGTCCCTTTCCACGTTCTCAAACCACAGGGAGTTTGCTAAGCGGAAACCTCCACCCTACGGCACAAAGCCAGCATAAGAGACAAGCACTGTTCAGCAGCAGGATACGAGAAGATATTAATTGCACCTGCGCGATGCGCGACGGCTGCGCCCGGCCGGCTCCGGGCCGAGGGGATTCCAGCTGTGGCCGCGCAGCGGGCCCCCCGCTGGTGCGGGGGGACGCGAGGCAGACGGACTGCGAGGGCTGCCCCGTGTAGCGGCTGAGCTCGTCATCCAGCAGCGCGACTCGCGTCAGAATGTCCTCCACCATCGCGCGCGGCTTGGGCACCTGGTTATTGCGCACCTGCCGCAGAGAATGCGTGGCATCATTGCTCTGTTACTGCTGGGTGTCTGTTGACCCGTCTGTGCCAATGATGAAGTGAATAAGGCAGGCTACAGATACAACAGCATCTAGTCGGAGAAGCATCTGGTCGGAGAGAGCAGGCACCAAAAAGCCAGGCCGGCCCGACTTGAGCAGTCTTCAAGCATCCCAGCTTTGCAAGTCATATAATAGATTGCCCCACCGAGAGGTCATCTGAGGCCTTGGGGTCCAGATGATTGCAGTTGACTGTACCTTAAGGTGCGAGCTTGAGTTGATTTACTTAATCAAATGAACAGGCTCTCGAGCAGAGAGGAGAGAGTATGAGAAGCCGCACCGCCTCGAGCATGGAGGCTTCGAGGAAGAGCTCCTCCATGCGCTCGGCCAGGTGGTCCGGCTGCTGGGAGGCCGGCATGCTGTTCCAGCGGCCCAGCAGCGCATCCACCAGCGCCTGCACAAACAACCTCAGCGTCTGTGATGGAGCATAAAGCAGTTCATGTGCTTGGTACAGGTCCGACTTCCTTTCCCTGCCTAGTCCTTGCCTGCTTTGCTTTGGGCGTCCACTTTCAGAGCAAGCGAGTTGGTTGTATGTGACTTCTTTGTTCATGTATATGTAATCAGCTATCCTGCACCTTTGCCAGCGACCAGATGCCCACCCTTGATACTAGGTCAGCTCACGTGTTTCTCCAGCACAGATCTCCCAGGTCAAGTGTTCACTCCTTTGTAGTTTTCCACCAACCCCTGAGCTAACATGGCTAGCAAGGGGTCATGAATATGGTATTTCCCTCAGGCCAAGCATCACAACCAAGTCACAAACTTTTGTACTGGCTGCCTTCCTCTCCAGCAGGAAGCATAAGAGGCCAGCAAGTGCACAATGCAGAGCATCGATAAAGCACCACACAGCCGCAACAATGGTGGACTGTTTGCTTTGCTCTATGCATGCCAAAAATTGCCTGATAGGTTCGATATGCAGCATGGTTAGATAATGTACGGCCTGGAGATGCATGAGCGCACCTCCACTTCGTCCACAGCGCGCAGCAGCAGCCGCTCACGATCGCCCGAGTGCGTGTCGGGTCGAGACCAACCGCCGTTGTGTCGCGGGCTGCGCATGGCCGCTGCTGCCGGCTCCTGCAACGGCGGCTGCTTCTGCGTGCTGGCAGATGCGTCGCTGCTCGGCTCCCCCGCTTCCCCTTCTTGCTGCTCTTCGGCTACGCCTGCAGCCAGAGTCAGTCTCATTGCACGCCCTGAAGGCAGCGGGGCGCAGCCAGAACCACATCATACGAAACCCGGCATGTTCTTGAAGCGATAGTCTTTGCCAGGGTGGTCTGCTCCAGCACCTGAGGAGCTCATCTCCATTGCTAGGTCACCGATTCAACTCTGTCAAATGCACGGGTGGAAGGCGCACCAGAGCTTGCTGCACCGACTGCAGAGCTGCTAAGCATCCTTATAGCAGGAACCAGAATGAGATTGATTGAGTTTGTTTGCTGTTTTACAAAACACGCTTGATCACTAACATGGTTAGAAGGCGCACCAGAGGTTGCTGCACCGGCCCCAGCGCCGCCCTCCGCCTGCGCAGTTCCAGGAGAGAGCGCGAGCAGCGGCAGTGGCAGCCGCAGGCCGGGCGGCGGCTCTGCCATGATGCGCGGCGAATTGGCCTCAGAGTTTGCCAGCGAGTGAGTGGCCGTGTTGGGCGGCGCCACGATCCGCGGCGTGGCCGCCCGGGACGCCGGCGCGGCCGGCGGCAGGTGCGCCTCCTCGGTGAGTGATGATGTGTGCCGTCGGCCCGGCATTCTCAGCCCCGCGCGCGCAGCGGAGGCCCTCTGCAGAGAATGATTTGAAACATTGAAACATCAGACTAGCGTTCAGCAGCTAGATAAAGGTTGACAGCTCTGGCATCACGCTCATGGAACTGTAAAGGGAAAGACACCATGAACGCATGCGCACTTGTGATCCACTAACTTTCAGGGCGCCTGCTTGACCATTGGATAGCAACCTGCTACATGCCATTCAAGGCGGGGATCAAAGAGATGCACTGCGTCCGCAAAAAAGGGAATACAAGGCTAGTGTGAATTGTTGTCGCACCTGTCGAGGGCTGAGCGCCGGGGAGGTCAGGCACGAGCTGGCGGCAGACGCGTCGCCGTAGCCATCCAACGAAGGGGCGAGCAAGCCGCTGTCGACTAAGAAAGTGTCTTGCGCCTCGGCAATGTCTGGGCTGTCCGTCTCGGCGCTGCCAGCTGGGCTGCCCAAACTGCTCGGCCCAGGGAGTGCTGATGTGGCAGCGCCAGACGAGCGCGTTTCACCGGCGGCCGCCTCTGAGTCATCTGTCTGGATCCCCTGCGCTCTCACGCTGGGCTGCCCACTCCCCGGGGCAGCTGAAGCGGCGAGGGCGCGTTCCGGTGGCGACACTGCGGCGTCTTCTGTGTGGGCATCTGAGGCGGGATCCCCCGAGTCCTTAAGTATTGCAATTGGGTCTGCGTGCTCCTGACAAGCCCCTGTGGGGCCGGTGTCTGGTGCGAACAGGTCGGGCTGGCGCTCACTAATGATGCCAAAGCCGGCCAGTAGATCTGCGAAAGGATCTCTTACAGCACTGGGCTGCTCTGCTGGACTGTCAGATGAAGCCTGGAAAACGCTGTCCGGCACAGCGGCAGCGCGCGTCTCAGTGCGGACTGAAGCTTCCGCTGCTGCCGGCGCGGATGCCGCTGCTGTTGCTGCTGCTGCTGGACTAGTTGCTTTCAGGGTGCCTGTCAGTTGCAGCTCAGCCGTCGGCTGCTGCACGCTGGCTGCGTCAGCATCTCCTGCAGCAGCTGGTTGCTCCTGCGATGCAGAGCCTGGCTGCAGAAGTGGCTGAGCAGTAGACGATGAACCCAAGGCAGACCCGCTCGGAGCCTTATTTTGGGCCCACGGCCGGTGCGGTGCCGGCGACGGCGCGTTGAGCGAGCAGCGATGCTCAAACATGGCCGCCAGCGCTCGTACGCCCCCAGAGCCCGTGCGCGTCGGCGGCGCAGAGTCACCCTGAATTGACGGCTGCTGCGGCCCCTCCGAGCTGCTCTTAAGCTTTCCTTCTGTCATCAATTCCTCTCGCGGCCTGCTTCCATCCCTCCCCTGCCCAGGGATGGCCTCGGCAGATGATCTGCTTGCCCCGGCCCTGTCCGGTGATTTAAAATCCCTGCTCTCAGGAGCGCTGGCAGTCCCTTCTGAGCCGAGATCAGGTAAGATCACCCTGGAGCTGCCTTCCCTGAGAGCCGTACTCGGCTCTGCATTTTGCGCAACCGCTGCTTTTACAAGGGGGCCGTCCAAGCCGCCGAGCCCTGGAGGCCGCTCTGACGACCCAGCCGCCGCGCCAACAGCTGCAGTTTCCCTATTAGACGCCGCTTCCTTGCGATCGCCGGGGCGCGGAGTTCGCGCAACCGGCACGGGATCGGAATTGCGCGGGGCCTGCCGCGCGTCCGGGGAGGTGTGCCGGGGGCTGATGCTGGTGGCGCCATTGAGGCGCTTGGCGCTGGCCGGCCGCTCGCGGCGGCTGGGCCTGCTGCCGGGAACGCCGTCATCCGACAGGTCGGACGTCTGTGTTGACATCTCGCGTGTTGCCGGCTGCGCCTCGGCAGACGGACCTGCGAGGCATGCACACCCCCCGTCGGTTCACTGCAATCTTGTTGGTAATCCCCTTGAACTTGATTGGAAACTCGGGGGACAGCATGAAAGCGTTCGGTCCAAAGCTTGTGCCTAACTGGACTGTCCATGACACTTGCTTGTCTCATGCAGATCATAACTAGCGCTCTAACACACTGCCGTTTTGCGCGCTATTGTCCAGCTGCTCAACTTAGACACTGGGATGCTTGTCAGAGACACACACATTTAGGCAATCAGAGCAGTACGCCAGGCAGGGATGAGCAGCACCTTCGTCAGCGGCCTGCCTGGAAGAGGCGCCCTGCAGCCGGCTGCGGCGGCTGTGCCGGTGCGCCAGAACGCTCGCCGCGGACGCCGGGCTCCTGCGCCGCCTTTGGCCGCTGTGTGGCCGCGCCTGCTGCTGCTGCTGCTGCAGCTCCTGCGTAAAGCACAATGAATGTGCGTTAGCGCATTTGTGTGAACGTCTGCATATTTATTAATGTCTACATTCACAATGTGGAGAGACGGCTGCTGCCAAATCAATGGTGGGCGTGATTTTCACAGTCCACCTGGAGACAAAGCTGCTCTTGCTGCTATTAAGAGAAGAAGAGCTCATGCATGGAGATGGATGCATGGCGACTGGTGTGCACGCATCACATTTAGGCGATGAACAGCACAGTTGATATCGCAGTAGCGAGCTCGAGCGCACATTCTGGGGAGCGGTGGCGGCTGCCGTGTGGGGCCGGCCGCCGCCGCCGCGGCCGGCGATGAGGGCGCTGGTGGCTTGCAGCACGGTCACGAGCTGATTCAGCACCAGGCGGTCCAATGACGCGGCGCCAGGTGGCGCCCTGCCAGAGGCCGCCGCCTGATCTGGCGCCACCCCGTCCAGGTCTGCCGGCAGCGTCCCATCCTGAATGCCCTGCAGCAACAAGCGCAAATGATCTGTCTACCAGCCCTGAGAACTGACACCAAGCATGCTTCAATGAATGCGGAAGTGCTCAGTGAGACTTCGTGTGGGGCCTCAAGTCAGCAGCAAAATAGCCTGGTCACGGATCCCCAACCAATATTCCTTGCTCATGCATGCAGGCCCATGCATGCCCTGGCTGGCATTATGCATAGACCAATCTAGAATCTGGACCCGGCTGGCGGGGGGCGGTACAAATACTGAGCACCGTGCCCACGGTTGATTGGGTCTTGCTTGGATCTGGCGAGTCCAACAAGGGGTAGGAATTTGGCAGCCTTTACATGCAGCTTGTCTGCAGACGCACCTTGCCTTCGGTAAGAAAAGCGTGTAATAATAATAATAATAATAATAATAATAATAATAATAAGCTAGGAAGGGATCGATAATGTCAGGCACTTGCGCCTACAGGATTGCCACATAGAACTCCACTGCCAGCATACCTCCAGCAGCTGCAGCAGGACGTCCAGAACGTTGTCGCCGCTCTCGGCCAGCATCTGCTCCGCCATGGGCCGCAGCCGCTGCCCCAAATGGCCCACGCCCCCTGAGCGGCGCGGCTGACCGGGAGGTCCGCCCCCCGCTGCTGCCGGGGGGACCGTCAGCTCACGCCCGTCCATCACCCGGCACACCGGGCAGCGCCACGATCGCTGCCGCCATCGGCAGATACACTCTGCGCAGAAGGGATGTCCTGCAAACATATATTTTAGCATAAATACCAGCTACATTGGGAGATATCCCATCAGCCAGGCTGGTTTCTTGTGTGCCAGTTTGGTCACCCATTGGTGTTATATTCAGGACCCAGGCCGCCTTAGGCGCTGGGTACCTCGATGGACCTCCTGAGAGGGAGCCGAGTCCACTGCAGCAAGGGCATGCATGTCCTTCCTGGGCATGCATGCTGAACGACAGCGTTGCAAGTGCTGCAGCAATCGGCGGATGGTGCTCGTTTTCTGCGCGAGTTCTAATCACTTGGTGTACAGATGATCTAGATGTTCCCGTTGGCATTGTGAATTGCAACTGCATGCAAGTGCTGGTGATGCAGGTGTCATGCTGTGCTTGGGTAGCTCACCGCATAGGAGGGTGAGAGTGCCCCCATTCGTGCCAAGGACGCTGGCACAGATGATGCAGTCATGCTCCACCTTCTCCTCACTTCCCATTCAGGCTCCCTCTGGCTGCAATGCCTTCATCCCTGTGCCACAGGTGTTGAACGAATAAGACTCCTTGAAGCAGGCAGCCTGCTTAGGCAAAAATCGGGTGATGTCACGACGGTCACCACGCATGCATGAAACACCGCTGAAGTGAAAGAAGAGCGTTTGCAGATCTGTTGTCGAGGTCAAACATGGCGGGGCCTTGACGTACCTGCGGCTCCCTCTGCACTCAATCGGCCCGAGTTCAATAGCGTTCACCCTGTTCTGCCAGTCCAGATGCTTGCCTACGTGTCTGCTCAACCCCTTGCACAAGCGATCACCAAGCTGGCCACCCTTTCAGCCAAGGCACACAGTAACGAATGGGTCCGATTTGGGGCGACTTCTGAGCTGAATCGTCTTGGAGATGCTAAGGACTCATATAGCCCCTCATCAAGTGCACCTTGCACGCCCAAGGGATGCAGCTTTGCTTTACAGTTTCAGATGCGTCTCCGAGCAAAGGTGCGGACAGCGAATCGCAACATTGTTGATCGGATTTTAAGCGAGTCCCGCAGGTTTGAATCTAGACAATGATGCCACCTAGCACCTCTGCTGGCAGCCATCTGGACACCCTGCGCGAGTTACACTTTGCAAAATGTCGCGCACTGCAGGTGGAGGTGGGGAGGCCATAAACACGAGAAGGGAGCTTCCTCCAATGCAGAAGTTGCCGGTTGGTCAGACTGTCAGACTAATTCTTGCATGGAGATATCTTCCCTCTTCTCCTTCTCTCTCCTCCTGACACCGAGCTCGAAAGAATGCAGAAAATCTGCTTCATCCCTTACAGACAATCCGTGTTTCCATCAATAGTAGGCCGCGATGGCCACTGCTGCTCGGACATTACGTTTTCAAGATGTCTAGACCAGATCTGTGGACCATGCACAGTCATGACTGCAGCAATCGAGGGTAAAAGCAAAGAGGAATATGAAGCCAACATAAGCCCCTCCCTAATTTCAACTTGATGAGTTGTTGGACAGCCAGGCTAGCCATGAAAACCGCAGATCAAATGGGTTCTCCACCAGCAAGACTCCTCAGATCTAAACCCATTCCGGTACCTCATGCCAACGCACTCCACTGAAGTCAATAACTCACCTGGAAACAGTCTCAACCTGGAAAGACCTGCAGGCCTTGTCCGCTTGGCCAGCAGAAAGCTCTTCAGAAATGCCCACATCATGACCAGCAAAAAACATGTCAGAAAAGCCCTCATCATGCGTCGTGCAATTACTCATAAGGTGCCTGGAAAGTGCAGAACATCACATCCTGCGATTCATTTGTCCTCTTACGTATTACGTGTCCTCTCTGCAGTATCTGTGTGACAATTGTCACGGCAACAAATGCTTTAGGAAGGCAGCAGCCATCTGCGCCCTCCCTCCTCACCAGCAGCTTCCCAGCTGGGAATGAGTTCATCCACTGACATGCAGTGCTTCAACCTTAACCGCTGAGGGCCCTTGATAGCATACATTCTGCCACATGGGAGCAAAAGTTCACTTCGATCAGACTGCCACCCCGGGGTGGCTCCAAACATACTTACGGACGCTCTAGCTTGCACTGAGGGCATCCTTCTGAAAAGCTCTGCCAACCTGTGCCAGACTTTGACTTCTCACCCCCACATTTCCCATCAGAGGCCCTGGGGGATAAAAGAAAATTGTCACACCTCCGTCTCGTTCACTTACTGGCTGCCGAGTATCTCGTGCCAACTTGGGTTGAACCCGGTACCATTAGAACCTGCATCATACACCCCACTAGATGCATGCTCCCCCAACACGCCCTGATTTTCACCCACCCACTAAAGAATTGCCGGCTGCATGCATGCATGCATGCATGCATGCGTGCGCGTGCATGCCGGATTGCTGGTGAATCAGCGCGGTGTGATCATTTGAAGCCCAGGGTGTCAAGGCCCCACACAGCAATGATGGAGAGGGGGTAGAGCGCCAAAACAGGGAACGCCCAGAACGTCCTGAATGTTGTGTGTGTGTATCCCAGCAGGCCCACCAACGCAGTTGCACCTGCCCAAACACAGCAGGCCAGTATTGCAACTTGAAAGAACCCATTCTATAAATACAGTAGTTGCAGAAGGCACTTGCATTCTCGGTGACCCCCTTGCTTCACAAGGCTGGGTTAAGTTGGCCACAAGAGGGCTGCTTACGACAGCGGGCAAGAAACTGGGTCTCCCAAGACATGTGCCATGCATGAGAATATACACACAAGATATGCCTCGGTGGACTCAGCACATTGCTCGGCAAAAACAGCCCCAGCTTCAACAAAGGAAGTCCAGGGTGAATCATGCCTCTAAAAGGTGAATGTGAGGACGGTGCCAGGACTGGCAATGCCTTATTAACAAGAGCTGAGCGGCTCACCCAGCAGATCTTTTGCATTTTTACACCCGGAACACAGCCCCAAGGCTTAATGAGGGGAGGGCAGAAATCCGTTCCTTTTCAGGGGTGCAACTCCGGGTGTCTGGTAACGACTAATGGTGACTCAGGCAGTGGGTGACTCACCGACGGTGACAAGGACCTCGGAGCTGTAGGTCCAGGGCAGTCGCTGGATGTGCATGACCAGCAGGAACAGGCCCAGGCACATCGTGTTGTTCATTGTCACCGCGCCATAAACCTGCGCCAGAGGGAAGCAATGAATTGATTTAGATGATCTCAACAGAAAGGTGACATGATGCTTTGTCTGAGATTTACATGACATTCATGACAAAAAGGCAGGATCCGCTTCTTGACAAGCTCCAGCTGAAGGCATTTGATCAGACATTAATGTAATACTGATTTTAATGTCAAACAACGTCATTTTTAAACGTCAAACAGGCCGCAAGTGCACAAATAGCACATTGTTCAGCAAATTTATGCAACGTACAGGATTTAGGCACAGCATGGCATAGCATGGCATTAGGCACTGCTCTGCCCGCGATTGGCTGTGCCCATGGTGCACAGCCTGTCCAATCATGCAGTCATGCAGGAAAGGGAGAAAAATCATAAATTGGGGGTTGCAGAGGAGAAAGGACAGGGCGTGCCTGGCTGAAGGTGAGTGAGATGTTCTTCTTCTGCTTGCGGCTGGCAAAGATGATGCTGGACACCAGTTCGCTGGCGTTGCTGGCAAAGGGTGTCACGCAGAAGGCCACATAGAAAGCCGGGATTCCCGACGCCTGCAGAACACAGCTTTGCTCTTCAGGATTTACAATCGCGCAGGACTCCTCCATCATGTACTTCACTTGAGCCTGCAGCACAGGAGGTGTGCATGCACACAAGTGATGCCACCTCTTGCGATTTGATGGAGTTGTTGATGTTTGAACTGGTCTTCCACTATACTGAAACCCCTTCAGCTGGGTCCAGCGGCACCCCAGGAAGCACACATAGCCATCCAGATCTTTACCCCTAGAAAAACCTTGTTCCCTTGCACCAGGAATCAAACTCACCCAGCTGAGGGAGTCCTAAAGTCCACCTTGAAGTCTTCAGTCCCCGTCACCCAGCTAGTTTCAGAGGGATAAAAATACCACCTGTCGTTTTACCATCACTCGTCGCCCCCGGGGAAGCCCTATTCTATCCTTAGTTGCTACATAATGAGCAACTTGTAGGGTACACCTCTTGGTGCACTTGCCCCAATGGAAGCTCAAAGCGGATTTTCATGAAGAGTCCCCCACCTTGGAGAAGCCAGACACGGCTTCGACCATGGGGTCCGAGAACAGCGCGCATGCGGCAGTCCCGATCAGCAGTTTCACGGCGGCCTTGGATATGATCGCGCGCGGCGTGGGTGGCTCCTTTGCGCCGTCACCGGCATCCCCATTGTCGTCATCACTGCCGTCCTCGTCAGCGTCCTCGTCAGCAGCCTCTGCCGCCTCCTCGTCTTCTGTGAAATGGTGCCTCCTGCGCGTTCGCAGCATTTCACAGACCATTAGTTGTGGTGCGCACGAAGCCTGACCTTGCTTGATTTCCTGAGATCGGGATGGTGCACTTCTGCTATTCCATGCCTGCAATGACAGACTTATAATGGACTGTGCTTGTGGTTGAACTCCAACTAATGTGCATTCAAGCGGCCCGCAACAGTTTTTTGACATCTTCACGCAGCAAACTGCCGCGGACACGACGGGGGCCAAAAGCACGACACGGGGTGCAATCACATAATGCGTCAGATGGCAACTGACATGCGCAACAGCACGAGCAATTCCAACACGTGACTCACGTGGTGGATGCCACCCCTGGCCATAAGCAGCAGGACACGGGCAACAGTCATCTCCAAGATTTAAACAATCTTGCGCACAGCCCAATAGGAACAAGACTTGAGACAGTGGAGTGAAAAGGGCAGGCGATGCTCACGAGAGGAGGGGATCTAGGTCGATGGAGACCTCAGATCTGCGCGACTCCAAGTGGTCCAGCTTCTTGCCAGACCTTCGCAGCCGCACGTCCTCCTCGTGCTGCTTCTGCTTCTCCGCTATCCACCTGCAAAATTCAGGAAATGGTTTTGGCACAGTCCCAGATGTCTAGGGCACCTTCATTTGACATGCCACACAGGCATACGGCAGCATGCATCTTCTCCTCTAATCTATTCCGATCTGCATATGAATTCCCGTGCCAGAAACCTTCAGCGCGGAATGACAGCATCATGACGCACATGCTCTGCATGCCGGATTTGCACAGGTGATTGCATGCATGTCTTCTGCCACGCTCACTCAAGTACTACACTGAGAGGATCACCTCTTTCATGCATGCCTGACTGGCAGTAGTCAATGCCATGCATGTCTTATACCGAGCTTAATCAAGGATCACAGTCAAAGGACCGAAATATACGGTGTGTCTTGTTGTCGTCAATGGGTGCGCACCTGCTGAGCTGTTTGCGGAACTCTTCATAAGTGATGCAGCCGCTGCGGTCGGCATCGAATTCGCGCATCCAGAAGTCAACCTCCCTCCCCAGTGACGATGACCCGTCCGTGCTGATGCACAGGCCCAGCAGCAGACCCTTCAGCTCATCTGCAGGCGCCAGATATAAAAAGTTTTGCTGCAGGTGTCGTCACTCATGACTTGGGTAAGTGCCATGAATCAAAGCACGCAACCGTCTCTACTGCAAGAAGTCGGGGTCATGCTAAACAAAGATGCTCACTCCCATATACAGGAGTCTTGCTGCAGGTGTCATCACTCATGACGAGGGCACTGCCAGGAATCAAAGCACGCAACCGTCTCTACTGCAAGAAGTCGAGGTCATGCATAACAAAATGCCCACTCCCAAGCGCTAGATGTCAAAGCAAAGCCGGAGGCCTGTGGCCAAGTCTGTGTGAGGCTGCCATTGTAGCATGCATGATCTCAATTATTCCCAAAAGCTGGGAAAAAGGAAGGTGTGGACGCTCACTCTCGTCGATGCTGCCATCTCCATTGCTGTCAAAGGATGTGAAGAGACCCTCCACCACATCATCATTGATACCCCCTGTGCACACAAAATGCAATACTCTCATCATTGTCAGCCATTTCTCAGCAGCCACCAAATGAGAAGGGACACAAACATGTGACTGGCACGCTGGCAATTCCATGCGGAAACATGTAAATACGTTTTCCCGCAACAGGCACTGGGAGTGTAGGTGTGCACAGCCGCACATTGTCCTCTACAGCATCTGCAAAAAAGGTCCACCCCACTTAACAGGCAGCCAGCAAATACCACAATAATGCACTGCGAAGAGCAGATGCGCAGTGGTGTCATTGAGCATGGAGCCAAAGGGCTGCGCATGCTGCGCCAACATTTTTCCCTTTTCTTCTTCGAGATTTTACACCTAAAATACCATCATCACACAGCAATCGCGCTCCTTTGCACTGAATAACACTGAATAAAGAGCTGCCATGAGGGGGCGCGCACCTGCATCATTGAGCATGGAGCCGAAGGGCTGCGCGTGCTGTGCGAGCGCTCGGACGCCCGCGTGGCGCCACTGCCGGTGCCGGGCGCGGTCCATCTTGCGCCGCTGCAGCTCCGGGTACGCCACCTGAGGAGCGCCAGGGGTTGTTAAAGGGTGTCAGAAGTTTCATAAACGACACAGAATTCCGGGTCCAGACTTCAGATATTGGTAAGGGGGGTGCAACTCTGGAGGTTCATGTCTTTCTCTTTATTGATTGATTTCGAAACTTTTAGGATGTGCGGCTGCAGCTCCAGTCTGGATTGGGAGACCCTGGGTGCCTCGGTGGCACAGGCACACCACTTGGGGAACGAGCATGTGTCTGGCTCACAGTCCTCAAACAAGCAATGTGTTGCGCTCTGACTGTTGGTGCATGCCAAAAACCCAACGACATTGCTGGTGAAGGATATCGGCAGAGCTGCGGGCCCCCCAAGTGGAGTGCCGCAAAGCGGTCAAGACTTAATATATTGAGCTTGTCTCCCAGGGCTACCAGAGCCCGCAGTCAGCAGGTGTCCTCAGCTGAAGCAGAAGTGGCCGCAAGTCCCCAGCACTTTCATTATATAGTTTGCGGCAATGAGATATAAGTAGACTGCAATGCCTTTTGAAAAAGACACTGTGGTGGGTGGCCGTGTGACTCAGCACCAACCTGGAAGATGCAGTAAGCACACAGCGTGATGAGGCAGACAATGGAGCCAATCAGGGATGCCATGTAGTCCTCCTTGTTGCCCAGGAAGGCTGGCACCTGCCCCATGCAAATTAGTATGCGCTCAGTCGCTCAATAAAGTGTCCTGATGTAAGCGCTTGGTCACTTAACCCTGTGTTCTGATGGCACGGCTGCAAGTAAAGTCATGCATACAGCACAGCCAGCACACATGCCTCGAGCTAACAAAAGGGCTTGCAGCTGGGGAAACTACCAGAAAGTTTTCTCAGCTGTCTTCCCTTCACTTAGCTCAATTGACATTACTATTGGGCTCCTGGGCCAGCAAGCAATCATGATAACCACATTCTCAACAAGGAAGGTCCGCACCATGGAAAGATCAATACTGATTGCAAAATGGGGAGACAGCATTGCAAGAAAGGTTCACAAGAAAGGTGCAAAGAACCCGCATTCTTAGGCACACACCTGTACAATGGCATACAGCAGCACAGTGGCCACCATGATGACAGCCCCGCTGGAGGTGAATTTGTCCGTGGTCACCCCAGTGCCCATCGCATCGAACTTCCTCGTCAGTTTCTTGTTGATCGCCTTTCCCTGCAGCACGTCAACGCAATGCCTTGATGGTCCAGTGCATTTTAATCAGTAGCTTTGCCAGTTGCATTGCAGGGAACAAGGCAGCAGAATGCAGCAAAGTGCATGCAGCACAGGTTGCTGACAAGGGAGTATTGAGGGGAATAATGCCCCTACCCGCTCATTCAAGTCGCATCTGCCAACTAGCAAAGATCCACCCCATGCAATCGTCAGCAGCATGATGGTGGAGCCTGCCAATGTCCCGACCCCCACACTGACCTGCATGGAAACAGAATGCAGCGCTATGCCTTGTTTCGTGAAGCTGAGAGGTAAAGGCTGACCAAACAAATGCAAGAAGGAAAGGAGCGTGGTGCATGCTGATCATATTGTATTCAGCATGGTGTGCAGAGGAATGTGCCAAGGTAGGGGGATTCTGCAGTGTCACCTGCTCCGCAGCCTCCTCTCTGGTTCCCCCCAGGCCAGATACCACAATGATCAGGGCGTCTGGCAGTGCTCCCAGAATAGGCAGCAGCAACCCTGCACATCAGTGACAACTTCAAGGCGAATGGCATTTCCTCAGGACTGCGATCAGTGAGCATGCAAGTGCTCCTTGCGGAATCCTGGCTTCTTGGAAGAGCACTATTTGAACCTATACAGGGACTGCTCCATGAGCTCCACTAAACTCTGAGGAGGTTGCAGATGGTGTAAACTGATGAATTCAAGTACGTATGTGTCAACAGCAGACCTGACAAGCGGATGGAGACAAGTGAGTAAGCAGCATGGACCCAGATGGAGATGGGAGATACCTCCGATGATTCCTGGATTAAGAACCTCTAGCAGCAGCTCGCTTCCATCCGAAAGAAGATTTGCGCCTTGTAGGAGCATGAATCCGTATGCTAGCATCAGCACGATTGTACCGGGCAGGGTGGTAGAGCTGCACAGATGCAAGAATCTAAAACCACCAACTTTGCTCAGAAGAACACACAAAGAGAGCTTTTTATTTTGGCACACATATAACACATGTGTAGCTCAACATCGTCCCTTAGGAAAGACTGGCAAGGGCTTCTTGTGTGGCAGGATGGCGAGTAACCTTTCAGAAGAATGGGGACCCTCGATGGCTTAACAATAACAGGATCAGTGCATACATGGTTACAGTAATTGGGATCTTACCAGGGAAATACTCCATACGTCTCTTCGCAGGCTTCTCCCATCGTGTAGACCTGTGAATGGATGAAACAGTAGATGGTGAAGCTCGCTTTTATTGCTTAACAGCTAAACGGTATGCTACACCGACACATGGAGGGATGGATTGTTAACATATAAGGGAAATAGCAAATGCGCCCAGATTCAATTGAGAAAATTCCCCATCCTGAGAAGAGGACTGGTCAAGTTCCCACTGGCTTCCTCCCAATGTTGACTTTGGGGAGAAAGTTGACTTTGGCTTCCCAAAGTCAAGCACATGCTGAAAATGTCCATGCATGGCCATCTGAACCATCATGAACAGGATGCCACTTATGCTCTTGCTGGTCAATGCATGAGTTCACTCCGGTTTTCTGCAGCTGTGTCGTGAGACTGCCTCTTCCAAGTATAATTGTGACATGTCAGGCCGTGACAATTGTGACAACTGCAATGTCCAAACCATACATGCTGCAATGCTGCAAATCCATATTCCAGTTGATTCTAAGAAGATCCTCACCTCTCCTGATTCCTCCCACCATGACATACAACTAGAGAGTTCATTTGGGTGCGAAAGTATCACTTCTAGCAACCGAGCAGATCCAAGTCTGACACCTCTTTGCATGCAGTTGCATCCCGCACTGCTGCCCAGCAAAGCACTCCTTGCAATACATTGACACCTTGCACAAATGGTACTATCAAACCCCATCCGGACAAAGGCCCTCAGCAGGCCATTGTTAGCCCTCTCCCACAGATTCAGGATGCCTTCCCCGCTAATGAGTTCCCTCCAGGATGACTGCCCTGACTTGCATGTCAGTCCAGCCAACACAACGAGATTGGCAAACATGGCGTCTCCCTGCTCCATTCACCTAAAATATCCTGCTGAATCACAGGCCATGCTATACTGCTCATGTCCTGTCTCTCATGTTCAAGCAGTCTTGAGTGCCCCAACAAACCCAGCCAGCGCTGTCCTTGCACCCCTCCTGCAAAAGCCTGTAACAGGTTGTCCCACCGACAAAGCAGCCCTGCTGCATTGGATGACACAACAGCTCAGGAAGCTCTAAGAGTCCCCCCCGCAGCCTGAGTAGGTCAGGGCCCGGGGGAGCGCGGAGGGGTGATGAGCCGTGCAGGCGCCGGCGCCACTTTAGGCGTCGTGACAGGAACGCCGTCCTCCGCAGGCGCCGCCGGCTGCTCCGCCAGCCGCAGCAGCTGGATCTCCTGATGGATTGACACATAGAAAAGTTGACTCTACAAAGTTGCAATCGTGATGATTAAAATCTAACAGCAACCGCACATCCATTCTGCCAGAAAGGCGTGCCGAAATGCATACCCGCTGCCACATGACTTATCTATTGTTGGCCAGATCCAAGCAAGCCGGTTCATTATGGCCATTTTCAATTTTTTGAAGCGCGGCATGCGAGCCCAAGGGTTTCTGAAGATTCTTCACATGACAGATCCTCCACCCCACAGGATCAAATCAGACCATTCCTTTCCCATGCACGACTGGTGTATCCGTGCATGATTGCTACATTGAAAACAACAAGGAAAGCATCAGAGGGCGGCACCTGCTGCTTGAAGTAGCGCCGGTCCTCCTCGTCGACAAGCACTAGGTTGAGGTAGTACTTGACGCTGAACTTGTTGTGCACCAGCTTGTACGTGGGCGTCAGGTCGTACGGCGACAGAAACAGCCTGCAGCCGCGCAGGCAACAGAACAGGATCATGAGGGGGTACTAGGATTCGACTCTGACATCCTGGATGCTAGGAATGCAGATCAGCCCTTGGTTCTGTAGCATGTCGTCACACCAGAAAGGCAAAGAGACAGGCTTTGATCATGCATTATGAGAGTGGCGCTGAGTGACGTCAGGAGGTACCGAAGATAAGATGTTATGAGATATCTGTAGTACCTTCTGGATTCGGGCAACGCAGTTCTCACGTGGAAAGTGGCCAGGGCACCCCGATATGGCTTCATGGTGGTCAGGTCAGTGGCTTTCAGCTGGTAATTCATTGCCAATCCTGTCTTTGGATTTGCGGATGCAGCAGCTTGAACCACCATGCAGCTGACCTCAAAAGCAACCAAGGCTGTTGTCTCAGACCTGCTGAGCAAGACAGAAGCATAGTGGGGCAGCACATGTGCATGACTCACCTGATGGGGATGTTCTCGCCGCGCACAGGTGCGCCGTCCATGATCTCATACTTGGCAAGCGTCTCGCTCTCGTTTCGCGCCGCAGACCCCGTTCCTGTAGTTTCCCGCCGCCGGATCTCGATCTCCATGTGCTTGAGCTTTATCCGCACCTGCATTGCAAAGCAGCGAAAATGCCCATGTCAAAGAAGGCAAGGACCTGTCAGGATGTCTGCATGCATGGTAGTTGCAGAAGGGAGGATTGACGTTTGACAGGAAAAGTGCCTGACAAGATCCAAGCCAGTCATACTTTGCGTATCACGTTGGCATGTCACAGGGTGCTTGGGAGTTCTTTTCATACGGAAAGTTGTTTGCTCTGCAACGGGTTGCATCTTCCCAGCATGCTTCAACAATGAAGAGGCCTAGGGAGAGTTGGTCACCTTGCCTCATCTGCATGCATGCAAAGAAACGACACAGTCAAGCAGACGGTGCAGGGAGGCATGCAGGCTGAGTGCTCACCAGCAGGAAGTAGATTTTGCCGACCACGGTGTCCTTCAAGTGGTACTTGTTCTTGTCGTACTCAAACTCGATGTGCAGGCAGTCCTCAATCCCAACCTCCATCTGCACGCAGACAATCATGCATGCTTCGCACAGGCCACTGATCTTTACTAACCAATCTCTGCCTGACAGGGCAATAAAAATCTTCGATGCTGAGAATGCTGTTCAAACATTTCTCTTAAAGGGCTCTTGGCCAAGCATCTGAGCGATCTGCTTGCTTTAGCTGGCATGCAGCGTAATTGGAGACGAGAAAGATCATGCTGAAGACCAACGAGTTCTAGAAAGATGGTCAACCCCCGACAGTGATCACCTTTATAGGAGGCAGGTTATTGGGCGGCGGTGGCAATGAGTAATTGCGGACCCAGAAGAAGAAGTCCTTGCTGATGCTGGCACCATATCCTCGGGTCACTGTCACTCGCAGCAGATACCTGCAGGGTGCAGACTTACAACCCTTACAGCTCTGTGTTGCTCATGTCCAGGACGATGTACGGAAGGCATGCATGCTGCATGCATGCATGTACCTTTATCTCCATCATCAAATGCAAACCACGTCCATGACTTGCAACACGTAGGCTGCACCAATACTTTTGAGATCATGTCATGTATGTGAAAAGGTATGGGAATGCAGACTGACCTCAGGCGCACTTGCAAACCCCTGAATGAGTCATACTGCATCTCGACGTTGGAAAATTCAAATGGCAATGTCTGCGGAGAAGTGACTTCCCCTGGTGGCGCCAGGTCCCTCACTGCAACAGCACTGAGGTCAATACACCTGCACGATTCTTGCACAATTGGCTTGTCCAAATTCCTGATCATTGTGGATGCCTCAGAGGCACCCAGCGGAATACCCAGTTTGGGTTGTCTCCAAGGCTCACACAAAGATCAGGTGACCAACCCGCTGCACTATTTGGATGAGCTCCAAATGAATGTCCTGATCATGGCATGCAAGGGTGGCAAACGCCGATGCATGCAGAATGGAAAAAAAATACAAATTGGCAAGGGGGAAAGCTTACCCAGTGACACAAAGTCGTGAGGGTGGCCTCGCTCTGTGGCTAGTTCTATTTGCCCTATGAGCTGCACTTTGATGCCCTGATGCTCCAGCTTCTTCCCAGGGATGTTGGCCACCTTGACCTGCACAGGTGGATGCAGTGGGGATATTGTGCGGGAGCCCAATGTTGCATCGTGCTGGCACCCAAATCAATGTCTTGAACTGTATTTCACACGAATTTCATGCATCCGAGGGCACTCTCCCTGCAAATCACAGCTGTTGGGACAGCTCACCTCTCCTGTGATGGTGTCTTTGTTAGTGAAGAGCGGTAAGGTCTCTGTCTCACCACCTCCAGCTTTGACGGTCGCTGTTTTGACGGGGGCTCCATCATCGTTCTTAAATTCCAGCTGCACTGTACCGCCCTGCCCCAATCCGAGGCCCCCAAAAATATTCTTCTGCCCAGGAAAATACGGTCTGAGAAATGCCCTGCTTCCGTATCGGCTTGATCCGGGACAACTTTGTTGTTAGGTTTATTAGAAGGCAACGTAGAATGCACACTAAGCTCTACAGCTGTCGTTGTTCAGGGAGTGATCTTACCATGTGAGCTAGGTATGAGGTGCAGACAGAAACTAAAAGCCGTAGCTAGACACTCTCACAGTAATCAGAGTCCCATTTGGACCATGAAGGTGTCCATCAAAGCATTTTTTCCCCAGGATCTGTAGTTCCTGCTTTTGTCGTTGGTGTTCTTGGCAGCTGCAAAGGTGCATGCACTGAAAACTCTCTAAATCTTTGAGCTGCCTTCCTCATGCACCAACACAGGAGTGTTTTGTGATGCTTTTGTTCCCACATGTAATGTTCGCAAGCTTGGGCAAGAGGAATGGGCAGGCTATAACGCCTAGGAACAACCTCGGACCGAAATGATGCGTCATACAATAAATTCTTCAGAACATCACATCGTGCACGTCCGAAAAGAGGTCAGAGGCGAACAGAAGGCGCAACAGTGCCCTTTAAATATTCCAAATAATAAGAAAAATTGTTGAGAACGCTGATGGAGACTGCATCTTCTTGATGGGCAGCAAACAAGACAGAGTAGTATGCTACAACACAGTGTGATTGGGTGATTACATCTGAAACCATCATATTACAGCCATTCATGGGCACAGTTGAGTCATATTGTCCTATTCAAGATTACACACTCGCCTTTCGGCCTTGCACCCACTGAAGAAGGCGCAGAAGGGTCTTCAAAGTGGGCTTCACTAGCCCTGCTTTGAATTAACTGGCGATTTAATGGGGAGTTCACGCAAGGATGACGTGTATGAAGATGGTCTGGGAGCTCTCAGCATCAGGGAACTTGTGGAGAGTGCCTTGGAGCAGGAAGACATCATGCCCGTGGTGGGATGCCAATCCAATTTCTGTAGCTACTGGATATGTTGAGAAGTTTACAGCGTCATTAGGGCAAAAGGGAACACAATTGTCCATCAGCCCTTGTACAAGATGAGTGTCCTGTCAAGCTGCAGTGGCTTCTTCCCACGCAATCTTCATACTCTTGGTAGATCTTCAATCCCTATCATCATTTACCTCTCTGCAGGACACGAGCTTTGTTTCCAAAGCTACACTTCCATGCTCAGTCCAGTGGCATGTGCGCAGGTACGGCTGGTATTCGACGCGCCGTCAGCCTCAGCGCTGCCGAACGGCAGGGACGAGTCGCGCAACGACCCCTCAGACGAGGAGGAGGACGAGGGTGACGAGGACGGCGAGGGAGGGTTGCCGCTGAACGGGCGCAGCCGGGGGCGCGACGCGAAGCAAGCCGGCGGCGGCAGCCGGGCGGCGGCGGTCATCGCTATGCTGCACCAGGTTTCCGAGGAGCAGGTGCAGGAGATCTCGCAGGTCTGCAGGTGCGTGTCGCTGCCGCGGCTCTCCTCCGGCGCCCCTTGCATGTTCTGAATGTGGGGGGCCTGATCCTGCTGGCGCCTCAGCTGTAAGTGTCGCTTACCAACAGCCCTTGTCTTGAAACGCCATATATCCCAACACATGCTGTTGCAATCAATGTTCCCAGCTGTATTGGGGCAAATCTGGGTGACATCCTGTGCGGGGTGGCCCCTGAGAGGTGTGGTCCTTAGAGGGGGTGTTGGTAAGATTTGAGAGTCAAACAGGGGCCTGGCATGCGCATGGGTGTGGCAGTTCACCGACAGTGAAACAGACAGACAGGCGAACACATGCATGGGAAGGACAACGGCATGCGCATGCCCACGGCAGGTCAAACCACTGTGAGTCAGACTTGCAAATAAGAACAGATGTGAACACTGGCATGTGTATAAGCGCGGCAGGCCATACACGGTGAGGCAGACATGCCAACAGAAGTGCCCATAATCCATTAAGACATGCAGACTGCAGTGCCCAGGGTTGACGGCGTGCTTGTGTGCTTGTGGCAGGTCGAACACGGACGAGATTGCGGGGAGCATGCAGGAGCTGGAGCGCATGCAGGCAAGCGTGGAGGAATTGCGCGAGCAGGTGGGGGAGGCGCAGACTGGACTGCAGGGCTTGGGAGAAGGACTGCTCAAGATCCTGGAAATGCTGCAAGAAGCCTCGCACGTCCTGGGCGCCATCAGGGAGTCCCGAAAGGTGCGCCCCTGCCCCTTTTGGAGGTGTTTGAGCAATGGGGAATGGAGGGAAGAAGCCGCGCTGTCCTGCCCCTTTGGAGGTATTCAGGTTTTTGGGGATGGAGGGAAGAGAAATGGCGCTGAGGAGTGCCCTTGCCCCACAACCCCTCTTCATCCCCCAAAACTAAAATCTTTGCTCCAAGCTTCTCATGTGGAGTGTGGATGAAGAAGCTTTCCTTTTGGAAGTGGACTTACTGCATGCACGCCTTGATTTCGTGCTTTCATCCAAGCTTTGACTCGTAGGGTCTTGTTTGAGATTTTATTGTTGGATTTATGCAGGCGGTGGAGGTGGCAATCCGTTTGCTGCAGATGACGGCGGCGGCGGGGCACTTCCTGCGGGAGAACCGCCTCTACAAGTCCTTCCGTCTGCTGCAGCGCATCCGTGAATCCCTGCCAACTTCCTCCTCAGCCGACGATGCCAAGCCCGGGTGAGGAACACTTCAGAGCTGCATATATTTCAGGACATCTGAGCGCACAATATCTTCTGTAATCAAGGCTTGTGAGATATTGCGCAGCAGCACATGTCAAGCAGCCTGCATGTTTGTACTACGCATCAATGGGTTGCCCAGGAAGCAGCACAAGAGTTAGGGCAAATGCACTTGCAGCACATACTTGAACAGAGAAATGCGAGACCATCTATAAATGGAAAGCATGCAGACATCATGGAGTTCCATCTCACACAAATATCAACACACCCCAGGACCTGTGGATGGTCATGGACGCCTGTGATGGCATGTAGAATATGCTATCAGCGCATTAACGTGGTTATATTCTTAATACATGGCGCACAAAGTGTAAAATATCACTGTGTGTCTGAACAGGCCGGCGCTGACATCAGCGCGGGGCAGCATGTCGCGGACGATGTCATCAAAGGGCGGCGCCCCGGATGCAGCTTCAATGGCGGCTGCGGGGGAGAGGAACTCGGGGCTGCAGCTGGGCAACCTGCAGAAGGTCCTGCTGGAGCGAGTTGACACACTGACTAGGGCGCTCGAGCAGAAGGCAGTCACAGACTTCAACGACTGGCTGGTGCGCATCGTTTCCTCATAACAAGCAAGATTGGTGCGCTGATTGAGTCAAGTGCCGAACTTGCTTGGGTGAAGACATGCAATTGGACCCAACCGTTGGCAGTATTTGAGGATGGCTCCGCTATTCTGAGGGTGCACCAATGGGTACAAGTGCACCCGGTTGTACGCTTTGCTGGTCCTGTAATTATGGTCAAACGTTCTCAGGAGAATATGCTTAGTGTGGCTTTATCTTCTGGCGCACGTTGGAATACACATCACTACTGGCAGCACTCAAGACAGCATGGACAGCATGCCGCCAAATAAAGTTGATTTTGCTCCTCTAGCCCTTACGAGGCAATTTTTTTCTAGGTGGAACACCCAATTCCAGCATGCATGGCAGGATGTGCAAGAGGGCACAAAAGGCTCTGGTGAAGGGGCAGAATAGAGACTTGCGTGTTGAGAGACAGAATATTGCTGCAGGTGAGCGTGCGAGCGGAGGCCCGGGTGGTGGGCATGCGCGTGCTGTGCCGCGCGGCTGCGGACCGCGCCCGGGAGGAAGCTGCCGCGCGGCAGCGGCGGCAGCTGCACGCGCAGCTGCCCGCCATTGCCGAGGCTGGCCGAACGCCAACCGGCGCTGCCGATGGTGCGTGATCTGTGCTCCTGTCATTCGCCGTGCCTTTTTCTCCCCCGGGGATGCTAGACGAAGTGTCCTCGAGTTTGGAGTCTCCTTTCGTCCCAGCTATGGGGAGTGACTCCTTCTTTGCCCCACTGCTGGAGATCTGGTGAAGCTGAGGGACGAGACCTTGATGGCTGTCCAGGTGGCAGTTCAGGAGAGGCACTCCGGCTCGATCCCAAGGCCAACCCAGCAGCAGCAGAAATTCTGGCTGACCCTCCGCCTGACAGCGGCAGCGAAGTCCTCGGCAACATCAATATGACGCTGCTGCTCAGGTGGTCCTTTCTGCTGAAAATGTAATCCACTCAACCCTGAGGGGCTGAAAAGGGGTGCATCAAAATACCCCTGCCACTCAGTACAAACAGTGATAGCCTGGCCAGAGCACCTGCACCAGAGCAGGACCAGAAGGAAATCTAGTGTTCCCATCAGCTTATGACTGAGCACGTGCAGAGTCAGGCATCGGATCAGCCCTGAGTTGGCGGGGAGCGATGTGTTCTCACTGACTGACTGACATGTGCCGGGTGTGCGCGCAGGTGCGTGCAGGTGCACGGCTGCCTGGGGCGGCTGGGGGCGTTCCAGGAATCCTACCAGCGCAACCGGCGGCTCCAGCTCAACAGCGATTTAGCGCCCCCGGCCAACTTCCTGGAGGGTTATAGACCCTTCATCGCGCAGCTGGCCGGCTTCTTTGTCATCGAGGACCGCGTGCAGCGTCGCTGCCACGCACTTTGCGCCGGCGCGCAGGTGACTCATCCCCTGACTTGTTCCTGATCCACCCCTGGCAATACAGTTGGCATAATGCAAGCTGCATGTGCAGAACTACTCAGTTCCATATCTTGCTTACGCCGCTGAGCTTAGCTGATTGGTAGAGTTCCAACAGAGCACTCTTCACAGCTCGTACTGTCCATACCTGCTGTCAGCTCAGGGGTACCTTGCTGGCAGATGTTCCAACTGTCATTAATTTAATTGACGGCTAGCCGTGCACCTATTTGACGAATGATTGAGAACTTCACGAAAAGGGAAACGGAAAATCGCCGTAGCACAAATAAGGTATACTGCATGCGATGCGCAGGCGGATGCTGGGTGGGAGACGGCGGTGGCAGTGTTGAAGACGGTGCTGAACATTGCATTTGACACCACCACTTCTGCGGCCGCCATGTTGCGCATGAAGGACTTTGTGCTGCTGGTCTGCTCAGCGCTGGGTGAGTCATCCGCTGTCATGCCAACCGCTGACGTCATCCACCATCACCTTCATGCTGAGAGCTTCTTCCTCAAGCAATTGCAGCGCATGTCCTGCCCATGCAGCCATTGGGAAGTCTGTCAAGGGCTCTTTCAATGAGAAATTAGGCAGTAGGTGGCGTCAAACCCAGATTGTAACACAGAGGGCCGAGTTGAGTGGACTCTGAAGCAAGAGCTTAATCTGTTGGATGGGCAGTATGCCATTCAGATTAGGGATGCAATGATTTGCACACATTGCGGGCAGCTAAAATGATGGTGCTTGCAGGAAACTGCGGGTACCATGTAGTGCCCGTGCAGGAGATCCTGATGAGCGGCCGCGCCAAATACCAGGAGCTGCTCTGCACCGCCCTGGCCGCCCAGCTGGCAGCTCAGGTGACTTGTAGAAATTGACTGTCTCCTGTATTGCCATTCAAAAGAAGGGCTAGCGCTTCAAATACAAGGTGCTAAACCATTTTACAATCACCTGGTTCGCACTTTGGAGATTTGTTGGCGTATGGAATGCTCAAGAGGTGCAGTCATGCGTTAGCCCAGTCACTTGGCCAGTCAATGCAATCCGTAGCTTGTGCCACAAGCACTGGTGCACACCCAGTTCTCCCAGCACACCCAGTACTCCTTTTTGAAAATTATTTTTAGAAGATTTTCACCAACCCTGGGTTGCCTGTTCAGGTGGCGCATCCGACCAGCCCGGCAGCGCTGGCACTGTGGGCGCAGGAGTCGCCGCTGTTGCCGGCTGAGGTACATTCAAAACCAAATCGAGACCTTGTCAAACTTGAAGTTCCGGTTGGTCTGGGTCACATTGCCACACTGCTGATGTGCAACTCTTCGCCAGATGAGACGTAGATTTAAAAATACCCCTGGACTTTCGTAGGTGCCGGACGAAGCCACTGCGGCTGCGCTGCGCGCTTTGGGCCTGCCGCTGTCGCTGGCCGCCGAAGATCTGCCGCTGCCGCCGTTCGCCGCGCCGTTCTCCGGCGTCGTTCCCTTCCTCCTGCGCCTCTTCCGCGGGTAGGGACCAAAGATCTCAAACCATCCGCAAGCCCCTTGGGACAATTCCCGAGCTTACTGGAGGATATCTCATGTGCACCTTTCAGATTATCTGCCATCAGCCTGGGGCATCGACATGCTTTGCTGGTGGCACCCTTTGCAGCGCTGCAATCAATGGATCTCCAATCCAATGGCAGTGCCGTGTGCTCATCTGCTGGGAGTGACAGCACAATATGCATGCATGCATGCGTGCAATGCAGAGCGGCTGAACCCGAGATTGCTAAGCTCTCAGGACAAAAATGTTGCATGCGCAGGTTCGTGGAGGACTGCGTGGCGTACCTAACAGGCCTGGTATCATCTGCCGAGGTGCTGCCGGTCGTGCGGCAGCAGCGCGACAAAATGCTCGCGCGCGTTGCTATCGGCGCGCTGCAGGTGCGTTCCCTCCCTTTGTTAGTTACACGGCCCTGTTGCCTCCCCAGCTTGCCTTGATGCATGACACTCTGCGATGCTGAAGAGCACTGGCTTGCCTGCAAGCGGAAAGGACGCAGGAGGAGCTCACGTTCTGAGCTTAGCCTGCATTTTTCTACCTTGCCGGCCCGTCAGCCTGCTAGGGTCCAGACCAATGTCCCAGTGCATGACCCTGCTGCTGCCAAGCCTTCACACTCACTGTATGACACCTGCAGTCCTCACAGTCATGCATGTGCCTGTCATGCATGCAGTGCTCGCTGTCCTGTCACAAGGCAGCCACCATGTGCTATGTGTCTAATAGTTCAGATTAAATTCAGAGTCAAATTCGCCGCAGGCGAGCCTTGAGGCGCTATCGATGCGCGACCTGGGCCGAGCAATGCAGGCGGTAACAGATGCATGGGCGCTGGGCGCGGCCATGCCGGCCCTCGACGAATTCACCTACCTCCGCGCCAGGTGCCGGGCCTGTCTTTCGTGCATTCTTGTTCTGCTTTCTGAAACATGGTGCTCTGTCTGGAACTGATCTGATTATTTGAAGGCCAGAGCAATGCGATTGTCTTCCCGACGCTCACACAAACCCCATGTGGGATCCCCCATTTCACAATTTGCAAGATTGATTGCAAGCCCCCCGGCTTTTGAAGTCTCGGATTTGTAACTCTGCTGAGATATGGAGACGGGGCTGGCAAGATATTACAATGTGATTGCACATGTGACGCGCAGGGGTGGGGAGATGAGGGAGCGGGTGGGCAGCAGGTCCCCTCGCAAGGAGCAGAGGGGGGCCTTCCAGATCAGCAGTGCCAGCACCTCCTCAGGTGCGCACATCATGCCAGCATGTTTGCTGATGGGACCCACATGACCACGAATGACTCGCTCTTGCGTCATCAGAGGCTTAGTCATTCTCAGCACGCCAGCATGACCTTGTGGCATGCCCCGCCACACAATATGGCACAGTATTTCGACATCTTGCAAAGAAGGAGATGTGTGTAGCTGCATGATAGGGTCGCAGCACCATTTACCTATTCTCCCACAGCGCTTTTGGTAAACGTGTCAATTTTACAGCATTGAATTTGAGCGAGAATGGTACGCAGGTGCGGCAAACCTGCAGGCGCACTGGGCTGGGCTGCAGGAGGCTGCGGAGCGAGTGGTTGTGCGCGTGCTGGTAGGCCAGAGCAGCAGCTTCCTCAGCCAGGCATGTTTCTTCATGCAGTCTCTTGACCACTGGGGCGCCACTTCATGTCAATTAGCCTTTTTTTTGGCTGAGCAAGCTCTACTGAGCCAGGAAATCTTTTGCATTTTTGTCCCACTTACAGGGGCGTGCAAGTCGTTCCCCACTGAGATGCCTCAGTGTGAAATCCTAGATTGTGCATGGAGAAAAATGCGCAATTGTCAAATTTCGACTCTAAATCTTGAGTGTGTACATGTGCAGGCACGAGCAGCGGCGTGGTTACCAGAGCTGCCACCAAAGGCCGCGGCCGGCTCTTCGCCCTACATCAACGAGATCCTAGACTTCCTTACGGTGTGCTATCTCACATTGTAGCACAGGAAAAGCCAGAGCTTTGCTTCAAAAGATGGACTTGCTTTATTTGTCATGCAAGATCATCCCTCTTCCATTTTGGCCTGATTGGAGGCCCCAGAACCACCATACATGGTTGGTGGCTGCTGGCAAGCGCTCCTGCTGATTTGTGCATTCTGGGTTCAGCTGAGATGAGGTAGGGCACAATACTTGCCTCGTCCTATCCTGTTGCCTGCTCGCCTAAAATGTGCGAAGAGCTAGGTTTTGCATGAAGGCAGCTGACTAATCCAAGCCAAGCCCCCCAGTCATGTCTCAGGTTCCCAAGGCAACTTGGTGCTGGCGTTGTGTTTCCAGGAATCACTGGACCCTTGCATCAAACACTGTTGACATCACCAGCTTTCAGGGGTTGTGTTGATTGTACAAACGAGTGACAACCTGGCTAGAGCAAGTGCACAAAAGCAGTATCAGCAGAAATCCTACCGTCAGTGCTGTCAAGCAGACATGCAAGCTACAATGCAGAACACGAATGAAAACGCCTGGCTCCCAGGAGTGTATCCACATACAAAGCAGGCTGGGACAAGAGACAGGCAACGAGCGAAAGACCAGTCTGAATTACAGCAGAAGATCCTTGGTCAGCTTTAGAGATATCAAAAATTTGTGCATGCATGCATGCATGCAGGATTCGTTGAATCTGGGAGCCCGTATGCTGCCGCGGGAGCCGTACTGCGCCGTGTCTCGCGCGGCGATGACATTCCTGGGGGACGCCGTAATGGACCTGCTCACCGAGGACGCCATCCCAGCCTACAACATGTGCGCACCCCTTTTTGGACCCTATACCTCGCTGGGCGCCCCCGTTGCCCCACCCTGCCCCGATGAAAGCCTGCCTCTGGCACTAGTCAGTGCATGCCCAGATCGTATCTACGCTAAGCACGCCTGCTTGCATTCGTGAGGCTCTTGCCATCGACAACAGCATGAGCTTGCCATAGCTTAATGTTCTTGTGGCAATCCCCTGTGTGCGTTGCTTAAAAATTTGAAGTGAAATTAGGCAGAGGGGCAGTTCGAAAGTGCTGGGGAGATGAGAGTGTGGAACATTCACTCATGATTCCATGCATGAAGCGATGGTGCGAGGATTGCGAATGCAAGCAGGTTCTTTGCTAAGCTTTCTCATCTTTCCTGTTGCCAATCAAGAAGGGTTTGGTAGCTGTCTGTCGCCAATGCACAGATGCCAACCATGCCCAAAAATGGTAAGGCCAAGTCATGACAGCGGTGCTTGCGCCAACGCAGGTACGCGCTGCAGCAGCTGAGCAAGGACGTGGCCAAACTCAAAGCCTTTGCCGAAGCCTCTGATGTCCCCGACATGGTGGTGGGTTTCCCAAAAGATGCCAGAAGAAATAAGATTAATGAATATGAATGCAGTTCATGGTGTGCGCAAGGGTGTGACGCCCTCTTCTCTTGCAAGCACAGCCCTTTGCAGTGTTCCAAGTGGAAGGTGCTGCAAGGGATGCCGCTGCGCTGCTGTGTGCAAATGCCATCCTGTGCAGAACAAACACAGCATGAGACTTGCTTCAAGCAGATTAATACATTGCTACTGTGTGCGAGAGGTGCAAACTTCCTCATACAGCTCCATTAATGCCTCAATTTGATAAAGGTTGGATTCTTTACGGCCGCCTTTTGGATCCACCCAGGAAGGTCTGGCGGAGCCGGAGCAGTTCTGCCGGCTGATGACGAGCAACACGCTGGAGGAGCTGCTGGACGCCAAAGCGCGCTCGGAGCACTACGCTGCAATGAATCTGCGCCGCCTCTGCACCGTCCTCAACAAGTACAGGTGAGTGCGCGCGATGGCGAGCGAGAGGACAGATTAAATTTAAACGCTCAGGTTGTTTTTAAATGAATCGAACTCCATGCAGCATGCTCCTTGCGCGAGAGCTCTGAGGCATGGCGTGCAGTTATTGTTATATATTTTATTTAAGCAATCTCTAATCTGTTACATGCAAAAAGGCGGCGTGCTGTGAAATTGAACGGGAGGCTTGGCCTGCAGGGAGATTGGAGACAAGGCATCTTACACTGGCAGTCACTCAGTCATCCGCAGCAAGCAACCAGAGGTGGGCACTTCTAGCAAGAATGCCTGTTTGACAATCTACTGCTAGATTTATGCTGCAATTGGAGTCTTTGCACCGAACTGGTGAACTGGATCTGCATCACAATTGCTGCTGCTTTGTGATGTTCATCTTAAAGTAATGTGACTGTCAAGTATCTGTTCTGTGATGGTGCCAATTTTGTCTGACAACAATTCTTCCTTCTTTGCAGAGCATTCTGAAACGCAAACAGGTGGACAAGGTCATCAAAGCGCTGAAGAACGTCCAGCCAGGCGACTGATTGTATTTTGTATTGTTTTCTCTTGGTCAGCAGTACTGTCTGGTTGTTGTATGACTGTCATCAGAAGTGCTGCGTGGAGCTCAAGTACATAGAAATGCATGGTGATGCTGCTTTACTGTGCAGTTCCAGAATTGATGACATATGAAGAAGAGGAAATTCAGTGGTGTATTTGAGGCAGCATGATCAATGATCCTTGTGGGATGCGGCATAAAAGGAACGTGCAAAAGCAGCGAGTTCAGGGAATCATATAGTACAGCTTTAATTATGAGGACTCGAAAGCAAGTGGTCCGGATTCATCATTCTTTACAAATTGTTTTACACCAAAGCGCAAAGCAGAAGGAACCCCAGGCCCATTTCAGTGCATGCAAAAGGCAGACAATTTTCACGAAAAGAACCTTGTGCAATCATCTTTGGGCAGGGCAAGGCACATCCTGGAAGCGGGGCCTCTCCCCATCAATTGATCTGTAATCACAATGTTTGAGTACTCTTTGCGCACGCATAAAAGGGCAGTGTTTATATTGTCAAACGGGCTGTTTTGGTTCCTTTCCTTGGGTTGGTGTAGGGTCCAGAGTATGGACTCCAGACGACCGTCAGTGGGTGTCATCAAGGCAAGGGAAGCTACAGAATGTGACACATGATTACGGGCACAAGACAGTACATGGAATACGGCAGTGACTGATACCAGCACTCAGAATGCAGCACCTGCCTCTCAGAGGCCATCCACCGGCTGCATTGCAGAAGTTTTCCACTCATACCTCCCAGAAGCTGACCTTAACCATTCACACGGCTTCTCTGGTCTGCTCTGACACATCTTCATACCAATGCGCGGTCCTGCGTCTTACAGTACATGCGTCTCCGGCCCAGAAGCCATACGTGATGTCCCTGCTGCCAGCTCATGTGATCTCTGACAGTCCAGGCCAACAATTACAGCCTAGATGAGACACAAGTCAGGATGAGATCAGAGAACCACCCTTTGTTCATCGGGCGGTCCAGCCGCCGTCGATGCTGAGGCATGCGCCGGTGATTGAGGCTGCGTCGTCACTGCACAGGTGGCGCACCAGCGCTGCAATTTCCTCCACCTTGACAAAGCGCTTGGTTGGCTGATCCGCTAACAGCACGTCTGTCACCACCTTCTCCTGCGGTTCAAAGCAGATCAACTTCTCAATTAGACGCCCCTCAGAAGGATCCCGCATGGGTGACTTGAAGTTGCACTGCCAGCTGTCTGCTTCCTGTAGCCTTCTGTATCTCGGGACATGGGCGACATCTGCCCATCTAACATGACCCCTGTTGTAGAAAAGATGGACATGACAATACCAAATGCCTCTGTTAGGGTGGTCCAGGACAATGAACGTGGAGGGAAGCAGTGGCCATTCCGTGAGGACTTCCTGATCAGGAGCACGGGCTGCAGTTGACCAATTCCTCCAAACAGGGAAATAGCCACTGGATTTATCACGCCCCACAAAGGAGCAGCGGCCAGAACTCAATTGTCCTGAATACTAACTTTGGCCTGCATCACAGCGTCCGACATTAGAGCTGACTGCCTGAATGGTCTCATGCGTGATGTGACGCCAGTCCATGCATCGTCATACACAAGGGAAAAGAAGATATGAAGGGAGAGAAAGTGTTACCTTGGGGATGCCGCGGGCTTTGGCGGTGTCCTCGAGCTGGTTGCGTATGAGGTCTGTCAGCACGTAGCCGGGGCAGATGGCGTTGCATGTCACGTTGCCGGCCTGCGCCGTTTCAAGCGCCACCGTCTTTGTGAACCCTGGACACACACTCACGTGCCGTCAGCCAACCAATAGGGGTAATAATGTGCCTAATCCCTCTCCTAGATCTAGCCTATCTCTCAGATACAAAACACCCCCACCGTCAACCAGGCAGGGGTACTAAAGACTACTAGCGGTCTTTAGTACCCTTTGAACCAGGCAAAGCTGATTGACCCTGCTGCCCTGTCCTGAGAAGATGCATTGCACATTCTCCACATGCACATTCAGGAAGATCTCAGTCGCCAAGTACAGGCAGTGTGGGCTAAAACTGCCAAAATCGCAAATTTGCATGCAAATTCTCGACTTGATAGGGACGACAGCAAAGCTGCATTGGCAGACAGGCTCAGGGAGCCTATATATATACGCGGGGAGCCTAGAAGGATCAGGCTGGGCAGGCCGAACGACTGTTGAAAGGGCGGGACGGCACTCACCGGCGATGCCGTGCTTTGCGGCGTTGTAGGCGCTTTTGTAAGGGGAGGCCACAAGCGCATGCATGGACCCGGTGTTGATGATGCGCCCCCACCTGCAAGATGCCAGAAAATAACCTTGGACATGCATGGCAGCTTCTCACTGATTCCGAACACAGCTGAAGGAAAGAAGCAGGAAATTTTATTTATAGTAGCCACAGCTGCATTTTGAGAGAAAAGTGCTGCTTGTGACTCATCCAGCCCTCAATGCCACACAGGGCTTTGCCAGTTGCTCATCATGCGCCCTGTAAATGTGGTTGAGATTACAATGAGCTCTCCGCCCTGCAGGTCTACACCACAGTGAAGGCTCCATGCGCACACCACCACCACTAGAGGTGGCATCTGGTCCTACTGTCCCAGGTTTGCGAGACGCTGTAACATTCACAGTGCATGCCAGCGCCACTGTGGCAGTATCTTTACACGCTGGACCTCTCATTTAGTGACTAACTGGCAGTGTACACTGACTATGGAGCCCTACTGGTGTAATTTTCAAGACCATCATAATCTGGACTGCAGCTTTCACTGCACCTTGTCTGCAGGACGCACCTTGCCTCTTGGCGGGAAAAGCGTATAATAATAAAAAATAATAATGGTGATGGTGATGGTGATGGTGATAATGATAATGATAAGAATAGAAACATGGCAGCCAATCACTCCACAGATGCGCAAGAATAGGGGCTCACTTGGCTTCCAGCATGGCTGGCAGCGCAGCTTTCGTGGAATGGAAGGCTGAGGAGAGGCAGACTGCAATGATGGCGTCCCACTTGTCCTCTGGGAATGTGTGCACAGGGGACACGTACTGGATGCCCACATTGTTCACCTGGCAGCCCCCATGCAACTCGGGTACCAGATGTAACAGAATAAAAATCAAAACTCCCTTGTCTTTGAGGCTTTAATACAGCTGCTCTATGTGCATGTACCTGCTGTCATGACCTGACAGCACACTTATGGAGTTCCAGCAGGCATTGGGCTTCCAGCATGCAAAGGGTAGATGCATGCATGGGTGGCTTGTGCTTCAACAAAGTGAGTTCTGTTGTGTTCACCAATGGGAGATGTCAGGCACTCACCAAGATGTCCAGGCGGCCAAAGTCCTGCTGCACACGTTGGATCATCTCCCTGCAAACGAAATGAGGAAGAGTGTCAGAAGTTCACCTGGAGGAAAGCCAGGCTACTGCGAAAATGATGATTGATAGCGACGTGCTGAGGCCTTGGCCCACAGGGAATGCTCAAAGGCAATCCAAAGAAATGCTGAGCCCCTTGACGCTAGGACAGGAAGGTCATTAGTACCTGATTTCAGCTGGTTTCATGACATTGGCTGCGCTGTGGCCGCACTTCACACCGTACTCCCCCTCAATTTCCGCCTGCTTCTGCCGGGCCTGCTCTGGGGTTACCAGCCCATGCATCACAACATCTGCCCCTGCCCTTGCCAAGCCCTGCAGCATACCAAGCCCGATGCCCTGTGTCGAACCTGCATCAGGCACACAATTTGGGCAAGGGGCCAAGCTGTTCTTGGTTTTGCAGGGCGAGCACTTCTTATGAAGTTGAGCAAAAGCTTGTTGGGGAATTAAGATGACGTATATCTCATGCATTCCAATGAGAGCAATGTGGCATGCTTCTGTGTAGGACCTCTCAGACAGATCGAAGCTTTATCGAAATCGCAACTAACACTTGAAGATAAAAGTTCACTGACTCACGTAGGCAGGATGTAATCAAAATGCGAAGAAGAAGGCTGATATTCCTTCCTCAATCAAGAAACATACCGGTGATCAAGGCGACACGGCCTTTCAAAGAAGCTGCCATGATTGGCAGACCGTAAGTATTGTTCTTTTTAAAGTCTTGATCGCGTCTGCATCATAAGCGAATTGCAACGTTTGCTTTCTTGTCGCAATCTTGCTTCCAAGTCGCATTCGTCATGTACAGTCATGTCCGAGTCAGACTATAGAGCAAGATGAGTGATGGCATGGCAATCTGGCTTCATCATGATGATCTTGGTGCTCCCACTGTGGTCCAATTTCCGTGCTCTGCATGCAGGAGCCGAGACCGCACACATCTTCATTTTCATATGGTCATTGTCATGAATTTGACGGTCAGTATCATGCATACAACATTCAGTCCTAAGCGGAGAATCCTAGGATATCGATATCCTCGGTCTGACACCAGAATCGATTCTGACACCAGACAGTGACAGCTCGGAGCTTTTTGAGTTTTATTACAGCCAGGCATAAGAGAATCTGTTTGCTCCAACGGGTGTGAAGTATTGAGCTAGCCTGCGCTGGTACACCCTCAGTATTGGTGACGCTGGCCTGCATGCGTGCAAACACCAGCAATATGTCCTTCGGCAGAAGCCCTTGTTACTAACCCAGTGGGCCGGTGGTACTGAGAATTCTGCCGCTGATAGGCGGGAGGACATTGCGTGCCTAGCTCTGAAGGGGCTTGGCAAACGCTGTTGCAACAGGACACCTAAAGAAGAAGATGGTGTATATTGCAGAAAGGCAGCAACAGGCATGATCATCATGATCGCATGATGCACACGCACTGTGTTGTCTCTTCTGCTTCTGAAGGACTCAAAAGGGACTCACTCGCAACAAAATTGCACTGATGATGTAGCTCTTGCGAAACCTCTATCCGACTCCTTTACTCAACCATTATAGAAAGCCTTGCACTCACAGGGCAAGGACTGTTCGCCTGGAGGAAATGGCAGACAGGTTGGGTTCATTCTGCAGTTGACTCACAAGACACCTCCAATAAACACCCCTGCATGCTCACCTCACTGGTGAGATCAAGCTGACATCAAAATGAAAGGGCGAGATTTGCCATCAAAAGGATTTTGCGCTTCAAACATCATCAAAATTTTTCTGCGACATCCACCACACTTCACCGGCCAACACAACATACAAAGCACCTCACCGCCACCAAGACTTTGGCGAAAATGCCAAAAGATGGAGTGGCATTGCACTATGGCCCAGAGAGAACCTTATACTTCAGCCTGCCTCGAAGGCACCCAGGGAGGCGATCAAATACAATGGTGGTAAACAATCTCCCCCTTGGCACCAGCACCCTGAACTTCCCCCTGAGGCACCAGCATTTGGGGGCTCTGAACTAAGGAGGGCTATTTTTCAGCCCATGGTCAGCACCCCTCAGATTGCATTGGCGCGGCGGACTGTATCGTTGGCTGTGGCGCCAGCATCAGGGAGCTTTGAACTAATAAGTTATTTAGAGCCCCCTGCCAGCATCCCTCCAGAGGGTACTAAAGACCCTGACCCCTCTCAGGCTGTTGATTAACCTCAGCCTCAGTGCAATGCGCTCTGCAGCTTTCAGCAGCAAGGTCCCTTTGCTGACAGCTACAGACATCATTTGGACCGTTACGAGAAGAGCTTTGAGCCATTGAGACTTGAGCAACCTCCATTTGTACGAGTGAGTATTTGTGAGGTTCGTCATTGTAGATTGCAGCCCCCTGCCAGCGCGCCTCACGCGGCGTTGGCGCGGGAGACTGCATCATTGGCTGTGGGGTCATGCATGCCTCTGCCGTTGGCCGCAGCATAGCCGACGTTTGGCGAGCCGTCGCCGGAAGGGCGGCCGGCATGGCCGGCGCGGATGCTGTCCGTGTCTCGGGGGGAGTCCTTGGAATCCACGTCCTCGATGGGGATGTGGCCTCCGGGGTAGGCCACATGGCGCCAGATCCAGTGGGAACGCACAAAGTTGGCCGACTGCACAACGCACACATAATAATTACAAAATTCAAATTGGAATTCGAAAATCTGGCATTTTTGTTGGTGCTGCGGAAGCGCAGCAAGGGGGAACGGGTTGCAGTTTGATGCCAGGGGTTCAGGTTGAACTAACCATCACTTCCATTGTTGATGCATGCAACACGTGTAGATTCTAATTTTGCAAGCAATTACTTGACTACCCCTTGATATTCTATTTTGAATTCTACTGAGATGGTTCCACAAACTCGGTTTCAGCTCTGACACCATAAGCTCTGCAATGTCTCCGTCACTGCATCCCAAAAACTATGGTTACTGCAACCACACCTCTCGACAGGAAATGCCGGTTTGCCAACATGCTCTGCTGAGGGGTGTGGTTGCAGGAACAGAGGAGCAAGCTTTCTAAGGTGCTTGCTCAAGGCATGAGGTCCCTGACCATCTGCTAATATCCCTCTCATCGGCAACACTTCCACGCTAAAATTTGGATGCACTGGCACATGGTTCCAGGGAAAAGTAGCGGAGCAGAGAGCGTGCCTTCTCAATTGGGACGCCACGAGTTTCTGGCACCAGCAGAACAGTGAACACAAGGGCAACAGTCTGCCAGAGGCCGAAGAAGACAAAGACTCCCCACTTCAGGTTGCACATCATCATCAGGAACACCTGCGTTGCAGATGCCAGGTCAAAAGTGAGAGCGGTCCAGCTGGTCTTTTCAGCATGAGAGTCTGCTGCTCCTTAGTGCCTTCTTTGCACCTCCGCCTCTTGACCTTCTTTCTGCCAGTGACTGCGCATTGGTGATATGTCATATAGTACATTGAAGTGGTGAATTAGATTAACAACAAACTCACTAGGGATGCAGACAAGACCCAATGGACATGCATGTGCACGCTCACAGACAGATGCAGGTTTTGATAGGAAGCGCCCTACCATACAAGAAAATTCCGCATGGGTAACAATCCTAACATTTCAGCAGCTAGATGAACACAGCATACCTGTGTCACGATGGCGCCAGAGAGCAGCTGGGTGAAGACGGTGATGGACTGCCCAGCAGAGCGGGTGTGCAGATCATGCACCTCACTGGGGATCAGCCAGCCTGCCATGCACAAAATTTCCTCATCCATGAACCTTTCACTTCCATCCTTATGTTGCAATTATTCCAGTGATAATATTTGGTGGTGTGAAACAGGAGCGCACCAATGGGGCCCCAGGAGAAACCGAAGGAGATGGAGTAGAGACTGATCTGCACACCACAGACACGCCTGTTAGACAAGGAATCTGCAATGACTGTGAACCTGCCTCAGCTTCTGCATAATTGACTGCCATGCGTTTGCCTGCCATGTGTAGACACTTCACACATTCTAGACATCATCTCAATTGCTTTCCTCCCCCTCCCACATTCTGGTCATCCTCCTTCATCTGCACAGACCTTGAAGGACACAGGGACAACAAAGCTTGCAAATTGTTGGGAGCAGCAGAATATGTGGAAGCTCACCAGCACAATGGCGGCGATGGAGGCACCGGTGGGCAGGTAGGGGCCCCCGCTGTAGGACAGTGCGAAGACGATGGCCACAGCAAAGTCAGCCGCCAGGCCCAACAGTGACCCGCTGATGAGTAGCGAACGCCGGCCCACCTGCACATGCACCCCAATTTGTGATCTTCACAGTCCTTTGTATGCTAGAGCCCACCCTGTTGGAGGCTGCATAATTTTTGTACTACCACTGGCAAGAAAACCCAAATGTGGAGACCAATTGGTGGTCTATTGTCACCAGCATGGCTGGAAAGGCCTTGTTATCTAGCTGCAAAGCCCTGCAGCCACCTGTACTGCATGAAAATAGCTGGCTACATTCATGAATGTTCGGCAAAGCTGCAATCATGACCTGCCAAGGAGACTATTGTGGATGCCTGCCCATGTGTATGCACAGCGCTACATACATGATCCACCCCACCTCTTCTTATGAGTGCCTGCTCAATCACCTTCTTTTGAAAGCCCGCCTTTTTAGACACCTCAAGGGGATGCCCGTCTTAGGGAAGTGATATGACAAGCACAGAGGCCGTCAGGGGGCGTGCCTTGTCCACACAGATGACCGTGACGATTGTGGCAATCCACTGGACTCCATTCACCAGCAGTGCTGCATACAGCGGCCCCTCGATCCCGCTCGTTTTGAACGCGCTCACACCTGCAAAGAAGTCCCCTCGTCGAGATCTTGTGCGCAGTGCAGTCATTACCAAGTGCTGATGGCATGCAAGTAGCACCAAGAAAGCTTTTAAGAGTAGGATAGAGAGAAGGCACACCTGCAAAGATCTGGGGTGCAAAGAAGCTGACAGCATTGACGCCACTCCATTGCTGCAGACACAGGCTGAGATTTACCAAATCTAGATCCACATGATTACATTTCGTTCATGTGAGCCAAAGTGCCAGGCGATTCCAAATGGGTAAAGGCTGTACTTAGTATCGTCAGCTGGCCACATGGTATACTTACGGATACATTCTGTTGCTACACAAATGCAATCTGCGCACAAACAGCTGACGTCTTATATGCAGCATGGACTTCAACTTGCATCCTGAATCCAGGGCATCGCTTCAGAAGCCCAGCAAAGCAGCAAGCTTTTTCACCTGAAGGAAAGGCATTGCAATTGCCAGCACCAGCTGTGGCCTATTCCGCCGCCTGTACATCAAGTCACACAACGTCAGATTCCTGATTCGCATGCATCCCTTCTGCCATTCCTCGACCCTGTGAAATCCCCAAAGCACTCAATTTAGCACCTGGTCAGGCTATATGTTAGGCTATATATCACCCTGTGGCCCTGGCTGGCAGGGGGCGGTATAAATACTGAGCACCGTGCCCACGGATGATTGGGACTCGCTTGCATCTGGCGAGTCCGACAAGGGCTAGGTTTGCGGCAGCCTTTGTCTGCAGCTTGTCTGCAGGACGTACCTTGCCTTTCGGCAGGAAAAGTGTGTAATTATAATGAAAATGATATCACCCTATCAAACTGGTGCATGCTTCAGTGCCCCACCATCCTGGATCAGACCAGGGATGCATTGTGTGGGGAAGCTCAGCTCCTGCAGGCAAATCAACAGAACGCAACAGCTGAATCAACCGCACGATGCAATACAAACCCGCCAGGCCAAACACAGGGAGTTGCACAGACAAGGTCTCCAATGCCCATCATTCTGATCCAGACCAGTGACACAACATGTGTCAGATCCAGGACCTGCAAGAACTGCGACACAGCATAATGCCTGCAGGAGCTGAACCCAGTCACACAATGTGACCCCAACCTGCCAGGCCGAACACCGGGAGTCGCACAGACAAGGCCTTCAATGCCCATCATCATGAACCAGACTAGGGATACACCACCTGACCGAGACAGATCCTGCTGGAAGTGCGAGAGAGCTGAACCCAGTCACACAATGTGACCCCAATCTGCCAGGCCTTACACAGGGAGTTTGCGCAGGAGAGGCCAAGCAACAGGTGCCCGAATCATAAGTGGTGATTGGCTACCCCGGAAACCAGCATTTACTGATTGTGGGGGGGCAGGCCCCCCAACCAACCACTTAGTAATCTGTTACACCCCACCTGCCAATGCTGCGCCACGGGTTCTCGGTGTGCTGCGTGGCTTTGTTGGCAATCAGGATGCTGGAGAATTCCACGTCGACGTCGCGAGTGCCGCGCACGCGGCGCAGTACGGCCCTGCCCCTCTCAATGTGGCCCCGCTCCACCAGCGAGTTGGGCGTGTCCGGCAGGAAGATGCCACCTGTCGCACCCACATTCCAGAAGGGTTCATTGCCTATATTTGACTCAGGTTTTGACACCCAATATGTATATCTAACAAATGAAGATGAGCTCGAACCCTATATCCACTGTTGCACTCAGGATGGCAAAATTGCCTGGTACGGTCCTCTCCCTCCAAAGCATCTACTCTAGAAATTCCTGTACTTAAAATTCTGAAAATACAGCGCGTGAAATTGAAATTTGCCGGCATCCACAGTGCATGCATCAGCATGAAGGCAGGAGCTTCCTCCCAGCCAGCAGTGTATTGACACACAGGGATCCTACCAGTCATGCAGGTGATTGATTGTTGAATCGTGTGTTTCAGATACCACAGCAACTCTAGGGCCCGCAGCTGATTGCTAGCAACACAGAGACCAACAATGAGCTGCACACTCGAGCGTTGCTGGAGCAGCTGCAGTGTGAACACCACGAGCACATGTGATACCACCGAGATACTTGTCAATCCATTTAGAACCAGTCCATCCAGAACCACACATCTAACGCTGCGCAGCGCAGCATCCCACCGCAAACAGCGCATTAAGGCACGGACGCCCACAAGCACCACCATCAAGCAAACAGCAGGCGTACTCCAGGAAAGCACACACAAATACGTCGTCCAGTTCAAATTCAAATTCGAATTGGGATTCGGAATCAGATTCAAGTTCAAATTGCATACCAAGGAGCAGGATGGAGCCGGGCACCGCGGCCAGACCAAGAGAGATGCGCCAACCCCAGACCACGCGGCTGGTGCCAATATTTATTGCCGAAGCAATGACAATGCCCGTGATTGTGCCGCACTGCACCAGCGTGTTGAGGCGTCCCCTCCACCTGGCAGGCCATAAGAAAAACTTCGTTCACATTTTGGCGTGGTGTTAGGGCGAATTAGGTGGTACAGAATGAAAGAGTAATAGTCTGCCTAGAGCGCGAGGATAAGCAAGGTGGGACTAGCATGACATCCACCGCCTGTGCCAGAGGGACCTGGCAGGCAGACATGCAAGTGACCAACCATTGAAGTCAGTGTTTGGGGTGAAGGTGATCAAGGATCAAAATTTCTATCCCAACCTCTGAGTATCCAGATGAGTATGACAGTCAGCACATGGCATGAAGACCACAGGCATGCAAACAGGAGCGTGGCTCTGGTCATGGGGCTACTCCCAACATTGACCTGATGCTAGATACAGAACAGGCACGTCGGGAGGGAGCCCATCTCCTGCGCCACAGACAGACAGCATTGTTCTTCATGGAGAAGCTGTAGTGGGAGTACTGTAGCTTCTGCTCACCTCGGGGGTGCCATCTCACTGGTGTAGATGAAGGCGCAGTGGTCGCCAAAGCCCACACCAATTCCCCACAGGATTCGGCCGATGAACAGCATCGCTATTGTGCGCGACGCCGCTGCCTGCACCATCCAAATAAACTAAGCTCTGCTAGAAAATGTTTTTTAATTGGGGGGGGGGGCACATGTGTAGCAGGCACCCTGCCGGTTATAAGGTAATCTCTGGGACCCTTCTTGTGCGAGGCTGATCAGAAGAATACTGTACAGACCACAGGTTCCTGCCAATTGATGAGAGAGGCTCCTCAGCGAAAACACATCCTGGCAAAGTTTGGCAGATGGCTTCCAAGATACTTGTCCTGGTGCTCACATTTCTTGAAAGTCTCTTCCACATGTTCCACCATTGATGCCCCGAGCTGATATGCTGGAAACTTTCGAGAAGCAAGAGCTCTGTGAATGCCAGTTCAAATAAGTCTTATTTCTTGAACGGACTGTACCTGAAGTATGCTGCCAAGGATGTAGGCTGTGCCAGCCACTTTCATGGACATAGTCCTCCCAAAGTGCTGAGTCACATAGCTCGCAGGGAGCGAGGCAATGGCACCAGTGAAGTGCATTACTGAGCTGTATGCCTGCAGTGGTTTGTCGTTGAATTTGCAGTAGAAGTCGGTGTCCTGAACATCAGCAGTAGATGGGAACCTGCAAGGGACAAGCCCGAAATTCCCTGAATGCTGTCTTGTTGCAATTGCGGCTGGCAGAAGTCAATAATGCTGTGAAATACCACGCAAATGGGGATGGCAAGATGCATACCACATCTGCGCAAACTGCTTCATGCTTTCCACTCCGCCCGTGCACCCACCGTCATAGCCTGCAAGAACAGAGAATTCTGTCACATGCACGTCCAGTTCACATTTTAGAATTATTCAGAGATTGATACTTAGGTTGAAGGTAAACTAACGTACTTCCCAACCACAGACAGGACACCTTCTGGACAGATCACTGCCCAATTGTATCGTGATCTCACCGAACAGCAGACCACCACTGGCAGCAATGAAGCATGCCAGAACCACATAAATGGTTGACTTGGCTTCCACATCGATCACTCCCATCGCCGCTCTCTCGACATTGATGTCGGTGCTTTTGCGAAGGACATCACCCGTCTGCATGGCGTCACCAGACATCTTGGTTTTTTTGCCCGCCATGCTACAGTCAGAGCATGACAGATCTATATTAAATTGGAAGTTTGTTTCTGTTGGGAGCTCAGGCTGACCCGCAGATTTAGTTGCTCATGGCCCGAAATAATTCATTCGTCACGAATCCGAGTCAGCGAGCGTATCATTGGACGACATGTCATGCATGTTCTTCTCCCCCAGAAGTTCAGTGGTCAAAAAGATAACAAAGGAGATTAAACACAACACAGGAACGACACAAATCAATAACACATCTCTTCTGCAAGTTCAGACTCCATTACGGCACGTACAGGGTCTCGCTATACAAATGGACGGGGCAGTGGCACTGGAACATGCAGCAATATGTAGCATTCGCAAGCAGCAAGCCGATTTAAGATTACCAGCAATATGTCGCAGACAGATCAGCTTGAATCGTGGCACGCTGAAGCGAAGGAAGCAGCAGTTGCACCACGTCTTACAAGCTACAAAGCAGAGCGAGCTAGTTTTGAGCGACGTAGACAGCACACTTCTTGAGAATTTCCAAACTCAGATCACCGGTAAGTGGGGATGCAACCAATGCAAAGGGGGCCTATGTTTCCGTGTTCAGATGTATTTAGTAATATTTTGGTGCTATGTTCAGTAAGTGATGCCGATGCCATACCCTCGTCACATAGCCTTCTTTTGGAAGCCGTGGCAAAACGAAACGTCCAGCCGGACAAAGTGTTGGGAGCGATGTTATACCTGGAGGACCAGAGCAGGAAGGCTCCAACCAGCACAGGTACTATCAGTGACCTTCCCACTTCTGGACAAACTTATGAATATGAATGCACGCGGACGTTATCAAAGATAATGTGCTTTAGCTGCTGTGGTGCAGATATGCTGTCAGAACTCCAAGGATCGTGGAGGCTGGTCTTCTCAGGGCCCAGCAAGCTCAAGTTTCTGAGCTACATCCCAGTTGACGAGGACTTTGTTGTCGACTCAGCTGATTCCAGTCTGAAGCTGGAGAGCGATCTGGGTCCCCTACGAGCCAAGTTTGGCGGAACCTTTAAATGGCGCGGCAGCAGCAATGACATGGACTTCTCTTTCACACAAGCAGAGGTCCGCGCTGCTTTCAACATTGTGGTGTTGGGCGTTGGTGACCCTGAAAGCAGGTTCCAAGTCAAAGAGCTTGCCAGGCGTGCAAGCCCAGAGTTCTTCCACTTCTCCTGCAATGCCATTGTCATCAGAAAGGGTCTGCCCGGACACCATCTTAGATCTCAGTTCATGTCAAATTGCACAAAAACATCCTGATGCAGGGATTGAGTCGCTCTTTACCTCTCAGACTTGTCTTCCCCTCCTTTCCACCTTGATAATGACTTGGGATAGCCCATCAATTAACATGGTCCACCAATAGGTGTCAGGTGTGTCACATGTGTTCTGCAGGTGGATCTCTTTGGCCGGTCCTTTTGGAAGAAGGACGTGGCATTTAAGCCCAAGACGTACAGCTACTTCTGGCTCCTGGATGACGTGGCATGCGCGCGCAGCAGCGGCGGCACATTGACCCTCATGCAGCGACTCCCAAGCACATGAGGTTTGAACAAATTTGATAATGCTTTGCATTTGAGTGTCATGAGTGTGCAGAGGGTTTGTCTAGGAATTTATCCTACTTGAATGCCACATTGTTCGTGATGTGGCAGAATTGTCCCTTTCCCAGCAAGGATTAGCAGTACTGCTATTTGCACAGCATGGAGACGAAGAAATGAACGCATGCTCATTTGATACCATGCTTCATATACGCATTGAGAGCTTGGTAGTGTACCAGTATACTTTTACAGACCTTCCCCAGAGCGTCACTGCAGCACTAATCTAAACCTCTGCCAATAAAGATAACAGCAGTCTTTGCAGCAATATTCCTCAATGCATTATGATCCAGAATTGTTATACATACGATATGCAGGACCAAGTTTGAAAGGAAAAATCAAGTGTGCTTGTATGCACTTCACACATGCAATCATGCAATAGCTTCAATCAGCTATCTCTCACTCTGCCACTCATAATGCCTCGTGTGCAAAAAACCAAGCGCTTCAAACGCGTTTGTGCGCTGCTAACTGCATTGCGCCTAACATTAGTGTCCGTCAACAGTATTCCTTCTCAACCCCAAAGACATCCCTTATTGCTGCCTTAATGCCTGTGCATCCCTGCCATGATAAATCGTAAAAAGAACTGCCAGAACAGCTTCAGACCTTACGTGTCACTTTTATCAGCACTTCCAATCACAGCAGAGCCTCAATTTCAAGGTACAATTTAGATATATCAGCCCCGGCTGATGAGCATTTCCGGCGGCGGCAGCTGCGGGAAGAGCGGCCCAGTGGGCGGAACAGCGGTTGGGGAGGTGTTGTAAAAGGGAGGCGCAGGATACACTTCATCGGCAGGCATGTGCGACTGCCTGGGCACCCTTCGCTGCTTCTGCACGCTTGCCACGCCGTCCGCAGCCTGCGCAGAACCAGGCCCATGCTACTGGAACCTTGACATAACACAACTGACTGCATCGAGCAGCTGCACTGTCCTGGCACCAACAAATTTTGGCTGTACCGGTCATTGGGCTGTGCTTCTAAACACGGCATGACTGCTCTTCGCCGCACGCAGGGCACACCATTCAACTGAGCTTCTTCAGAGCAGCCAGCAAGCTCATGCATTGATACAAATGGCGTTTCCAGTGCAGCTCAGCAAATTCCCAGAGTTGGTGCGCACCTTCACAAAGCCGGTGGCGACAGCAGCGACCACAGCGCCAGCGATGACAAAGCGGGGGGCCTCCTTCAGAAGCCAGAAAACGCTCTTATTTGCGCTGCGGCCGGATTTTGGATTTTCCCCTGCAGATCCCTGCTTGGCAGGGGTTGGCGCGTCGATGTAGCGGCTGCGCGGCGCCGGGGGGCCCGCGCACCAGGAGGCGGCCGACGCGCTGCTGGCCTCCGACTGCACATCGCTGATCGGCCTGCGCATAAGCTCAACTGCGTCAGAAGCTTCCAATTGGATGACTCTGAAAATGCATGCTTTCAGATCTGCACAGCCACGGTCTGTGCACTCTGGCCAGAGCATGTGGGTGCTTTGTCGGCAGTGCAGGAATGAAGAAGTAGGATGGCAGCATCAAATAAACTTGACACAAAGGAGAATGTCAGGATGTTGCATCGCTATATGCGCCCCACAGGGATCCTAAGCGGGCCAGCATATTATCATCACGAGTGATTGCATGCATGTGTGTGCGCCACTGATACAGGTACCAAGCATGATTCATGACGTCATGGCGAATTCGCTGTGATGCGCATTGACAGTGAGGCCTTCAGGGATGGCAAGCCTCAGGGATCAGCAGACCACACCCGGCAGCGGTTTCTGCGCCGGCGAGTTCGCGGACGCGCGGGTGGTCGGGGGGCATGGGCGGCGTCGGCTGCGGCGGCTGGGCCGCGCCGGACTTGGCCTCCTTCCAGCCGGACAGGCTGAGCTTGCCGCCGTATTCTGGATCGTGCTGGTAGCGGCTGCCGCCGTTGGTGCTGGTGTACAGATCGTCGTCCACGTGCACGCCCTCGCAGCCCAGACGGTCGTGCGGCCTGGAAGCAACAGCAATGCTCAGTTGAATCCTGACACATTTCAGAGTTGTCTTGAAAGGGCAATCGTGCTTCAGCAGCGCGGATGAGCCTGCACACAGATTAGGTTGGGCGAGTTTGCAGGCTTGAGGTGCTGCAACGGACACTGGTGGAGGGGATATGTGTCTAAATCTAAGGCTGGTCTCTGTGATCAAGAATTTTGTGGATGAAGCTTGCAAGATAGAATTTAAAGGGATGAAGGGTCTGCTCACTGGGGTGGAGGGGGCGCGAACAGGGGGTTGGACAGCAGGCGCGCAGCAGCGGTGCGCGGTTTGCCGGTGCCGCTGCGCGAGCCTGAGCGGCCGGCCGAGCCGCCCAGAATCCGCTCAGCCACGTCCTCCTCGTAGCGCGGCGGCTCTGGCGTAATGCTCCTGCGCCCGAAATGGTCCTCCTGCACAGAAGCATTCCAGCACTGGATTTTATTGTGACCAATCCTGAATGGGCCTTGCCATGTCTCCATTTGGCATGACGTGTGCCCTTCAGAGATGTCCTTCAGAGAGAGAAAACCTTCTCCTGTGAGGAAGCTCTGTTAAATTGTGGGTTCTATGCTTTTTATGGATGTGTGTTGTGAAGAGCCCTCCGCCTGTGTGACAAAGTGCCCTTGGGAGAGGTGTGGACCCTCCAAATGGCCCTGCGAAGGGGAGCCACCTCGCTGGTTGAACAGCGGCAAATTCACTAGCAAAACACACAGCCTGCCAACTCTGCAGTCTTGTGGCGCGCATGCATGCAACAGGGCTCCAGTCAAGTGCATGATCTGGAGCCTCTCAGAGGGAACATGGGGTGAGAAGGTGGCCTCACCTGCGCAGGGGAGTCGGCAGGCGGCGGCAGCGGCTCGTCAAAGTTGCTCAGGTAATCTGAGTGCAGCCGCAGGTCGCGCTTGGCTCTGGGCGGCGTGTCCCACTCCAGCGGCTTGCCCAAGCTGTGCACAGGCGATGCCTCCCTGCACTTATGCAAATTTGAAGCCGATGTGGGGACATTCTATTTGCATCGCCCAAAGAAAGTGTACCCTCGACTGATCAGCTTGTGTACTACAGCAGACAAGCTGACCAGGCAAGGATAGACTTTCTTTGATCTAGCTTGAGCTGACCGAAGCCTCTCTGCTGTGATACATACTGGCCTTCCACACCCTGCCTATATGTTGTCCCAGCCTGCTCTGGTTGTGGATGCACTCCTAGAGACCGAGCCAGGTGCTATTGTCGTCATCTGCATTCTTGCATGCATTTCTGCTTTACAGGTTTCTCTAGCACTGATGGCAAAGTTTCTGCTAATCCTGCTTTTGTGCACGAGCTCTAGCCGTGTGATCACCCGTTTGTACAGCCCAGAGCACTCCAAGACCTCCTGCAGTATAATATCCAGAGGCTGCCTTGTGTCCAAACACTGTTCTAAAGAGGATACCAGAAGCCAGAGCATGGTGGGGCAGAAGCTGGTCTGTGGTCTGGCAAGGGTAGCATTCGTGAGAAAATACTTTTGCAGAGGGAGGTGATGTCCACACCTGAGGGGGGTTGTGCTATTGTAGTGGCCCTGCAAGGATGCCTCAATTGGGCTCAGGGGCGCATCCCTCGGTGATGGATTCTCGCTGACCTCCGCAAACGCCAATACATCTTTGATGACATCCTGCAGCAGCGCCAGCAAGGATCAACTCCAGCCTGCCAAATACGCCCAGAGCAGCTGACACTGCTGGAACATCTCGGCTCAGGAGTAGTAAATGCTGATTGGGCAGACCTTGCCAAAGTCGACGAATTTGAGATTGTTTTTGGCAGTGCCTATGAGCTCGCGCCGCAGGCTATCCAGCTGGCTGAGGGTGACAGTTCTGTCGTCATATTCGCGAGGGTCAAGTGCAAGCAGCCTTAGCTCCCTCAACTTGTCCTCCAGCATCTCCAGCTGGCCCCTGTAAACAGCCAAGCCCTGGTTCAACATTGCTCTTCTATAAATATAATCCTCTCCAGGCCAACTCATAATGACTAAGAAGGCTAATGAAAGGCCACCAAGCCACTAAACACGTCTCAATGATTGTTGTTAACAAATTTACGCATTTACCACCTTCACGCAGTGTGTGCTGCAGAACAGATCCTGAAATAGGGAAAATGTGCAAGCTTGACACCTTTCGGTAACATCCAATATTGTTTTTGCAGAGGAAAAAGATTTCATGGTCAGTCTATTGGGAAAGATGTTCTTTGCGTACCCGACGGCGAGGAGAGCTTCTCTCTCCCTGTCCGCAGAAGCAGCATCTCTGTCAAAGCTGCTGCTCAAAGGATGGCTGTTCTGGATTGCCTGACGCAACCTCGACTCCAGAGATATGATCTTCTCTAGTGCTGCTGACACGCCTAAGTCATCAACCTCGGTGACAGGACTGTCCATGGCATCCGATGCAATATTCTTCCAGTAAAAGAATTTTTCAATGCGCAACAAGATGAAATTTTGCTGTCATTCGACGCGATATCTTGTGAAGGATTTGAAACTCCTTTGGCCAGCTGGCAGATTTGGCACGTGACAGCGTCATGCCGATCCGTGCGCTAATTGCAGTGATGGTGCCCACAAGTTTATCAAACAGAGCTTTTTGGAAATTGGGATATATTCGGGGTTGATGTAGCGAGTTGTGATGCCTGGTTTGGGGCAGCGCCTAGTGTCCAAGTCTGCTGGCCATCGGCTGCATGGAAAGCGCAGCGGACCTGCACAACCTCACTTCTCTTCGGCTAGGACTCAATGAGAAATTAACTCATATTCGTTGGGGCCTCACAAGGCTGATGGCCTAGTTAAGAAGTCAATGCCCTCCATGCTCCTTCATCATTTGCCAACCAAGGTTGACATCCGCAAGTTTTGCCCCGTTCTCATGTTGAATTAATGGCATCTCTGGTAACAGCTGTGTTCACTTTTTTTGATCGGGGTTACTGGTGTGTGAACAATTTGCCATACGTCGATTTGCCAAAACCTTTGAGATCCCTAGGGGCCACTGCCTTTCCCGATATAGACGACATATGGGATAAAATCGATGCAATGAGATATGTAATGTGCACAGGCCCTCTGCTTCACAAGGCGGTTGCCATTCCGCTGTTTGTTTGGAGGTGCTGCTAGGCATGTTTCTTTGGCACATGCCTCACACTCCTCAATCCAGCCATTCAAGGGCAGTGGTGCTGGATACAAATATCCCAAGTATGATAACCTTTCTTTGGTGGATACCGCCACTTCACAGGTTGGTCCCAGATCTGGTGAATAACGCTGTGCACAAACTTTTGCTGCGGATGCCAGTTTGCCTATGCAACTCCATTTCAGGATATGTGGAGATGACCAACAAAGCCAGCCATTGCGTATGAGCGGCTACTTTGCGGCAGCGCATCTCAGTGACCTGTTGAAGACCTAGCATTAACATCTTCTTATTGCGCATTGTGCAGAGCAGGCCCCAGCTGTCAAACTTCTGCAGGCAATGCGGAGGGAAGATAGCAATGAAGGTCCCTCCAGGGGAGAACGAGGAGCGCAATGTGTGCACTGATTGTGGCTATGTGGATTACTACAACCCAAAGCTGGTGAGCCCTTGAACAAGGATGGCCAATAGTACCACCGTTAGCTAGGCCACACCCAACCGCGTACCAGCAATAGCACATGGAAGTCAGCGGTGGAAGATAGCAATACGCAGCCAACATCATGCTGTGGGAATTCAAAGGATGTTCTGTTGTAATTCTGGCAGGTTGTGGGGTGCATAGTGGAGCATATGGGGAAACTGTTGCTATGCCGGCGAGGAATAGAGCCCTGCAAGGGCCTCTGGACAGTTCCAGCTGGTTTCCTGGAAATGGGAGAGAGCAGCGCAGCCGGAGCTGCCAGGGAAACCTGGGAGGAAGCCAGCGCTCGAGTGGAGGTACAACTTTCACACTCACTGAAGTGCATGCACTGCAATTTGCAAGGCAGCCCCTGATTCTCTTTGGTGCTCGCAATATCAAAAATGTCGAACATTCTCTCACCATTATCATGGACCGTGGGAGTGCATGTACAGTCTCACATTTGACCATCCGATGCCATCTATAAGGAATTGACACTGCCAAGTGCGCCACCCAAATGGAGAAAGGCCTGACATCTTGGGTGGGAGGCAAGCTCCGCATTTCATCAAACAGCTACCGTGCTGTGATGCAGATAGTGGCACCGTATGCGCATTGGGACATCCCGGTCATCGGGCAGGCCTACATTCTCTTCCGCGCGCGGCTGGCGCCACCGTATACATTCTGGCCGGGTACTGAGTCCCTGGAGACGCGCCTGTTTGCTCCTGAGGATATCCCATTTGACCAGGTGATCCGCTGCTCCTCAAGCTCAGGTCCTCTGGAGTATGGTTGCGCAAATTCTTTGGCCATGCCCCTCTTTGAAGGAATGGGAGAAGAGGCTGGCCTATGCCATCGGCCTTTGGTTCCTCAGTATGCCAGGCATAATGCATGCAGTGTGTAGTTTCTGGCAATTCTTCTTCTGCATGCAAGATTTCTGCATGTCTTTCTCAGTCCCCAGCAGTCTGCGTAATGCAATCTGATTCCCTACCGGGGCACACCGCTATTGCAGGGTATCAGGCGGGACGTGCATGTAAAGAGGCTGTTGTGTTGCGCAGATTGCCTTCTCCTCTGTGGCGACAGCGCTGCGATTCTATGTGTCTGACCTGAAGGCCGGACGGCGCTACCACATACACCACGGGGTGATCGAGAAAGCACAGGGGAGCGCGCCGAACGACCCCAGCACCTTTGTGCTCAGGGATCATTTTGCCATTGCCACAGAGGGCAAGTCCCTGAAAGAGCGAATGGAGGATCTTGCCAGGTGGTGCAGAGAGAACCTCGTCCTTGATGAGTCATCTGAGATCAAGCTGTCTGGCCCCGATTCCCTGCATGAAGCCTATACAAAACACTGCAGCTTGATGGGGGATCCCCCGACTACCAAGCAGGCTGTGGCTTGTGCTGCGGAGAGGTTCGTATGGGATCATACGAAAAGATACACATGCGCGAGACACACCGATGAAGGGAAAGTGCTGTCTGGGCTACGGCTGCAGGGCGCTCTCCCGACACGGGTGGCACTTGACACCGCTTCAGAGTCAAGGGAGGCCAGAAAGAAGAGCGTCTTCAAGTGGCTGAGAGAGTGCACTGTGGTCGATGAGTCAGCGGAAACCAAGCTGACTGGACCCAATTCCCTGCTCGAAGCTTACCAAGAACACTGCAAGGGTTCAGGGGACCCTCCGGCATCCCACCAGGCTTTTTCAGTTTGGCTGGAGGAACACCAGCGTCATGAGCTCAAGCGCTACCCACACAGGAGACACACAGACGCTGGAGTGATGGCGTTGTGTATCAAGTTAGGAAATGCTGCAACCCCACACAATTGAGGGATGGCAGCCCTGGATAGGCCTGGCATTCAGCCACCTGCGCGCACATGCCGGCACATGAACACCATTTGCAAGCCTGAAAATCTGCACAAGTGCAGCTATTTCTGCTCAGCTGTGGCATTGTCATCTTAGCGTGCAGTAGTCTAAGCATGCAGCAGTTTGGGCTGGGGACAGCTGAGGCAGTAAACAGCTGGAGGAAATGGGCCAGACCCTTTTGTACTTTGCACTGCACTGCTCAGAGGCAATAAGTACAAAACTGCCTGACACCTACCAAGGACCCATGGTTGTTTTTGCTTGTAATGCGAGGGGGAAAAGCACAAAGATACACAGCAGCAGGTGTATATACTGTATGCAAGTAGGACTAATGTATCTAGTTGGGGTTTGGATGAAGGCTTCTTGTAGCTGCTTTCTGGTTGAGGTGCCAAACAGGATTCACGGCATTTCTCAGAGACCTTCGGAATCTTTCTGCACACAAAATCAGAGGATTGCATGGCCATCATGATCATGGATAGGTATGGAATCCGTGGCATGCGCAAGGGCCATCTCAACGAGCTTAGATATTAAATTATTGCCATCATTTAAAGCCATCATGGGTTGACATGGTCGACTTGAAAGATATACGTAGGATCTTGAAGAATGACACATGACGTTTCATCTGCGGTTTTCTGCCTTGTCATGTGCCCACAGTCACGCGCACGGTGTGACCTTCTTCAAGTTATTTAATAGTTTATGTGATCTTCATGCGACTCAATTGTAATTGCAAGAACATCGATGCAGCAACAGCAGCAAATAATCAATCTGCACCAAGCCCAATCTCTCCTATGATACTCTTGACCAAAACATATCTTTGCAGCCGTGTCCTTTCACACTCAACTTGCCTCCTCTCGCTATTTGCAATCACTTATCTGGCCATGCAAACAATGCACCGTCTCTGGGGCATGCATACGTGACACACCCTCAACAGCTGTTTCAGAATGGCACAGCCACACTGGTCAGTGACCACCCCAACGTAGAGCAAATTGGTGATGCAGCGCCCCTTCTATTGTCTGTTTTGAGGCATGCGCCAATGTCCTTGTTCGCAGGCCATGGAGCCCTGAAGCTCCGCGCATCACCAACTTCCAAAAATGCACCGTTTGACTTCATCTCTTTGGCAACCCACACTTCCTGGAGAAGCTGTATCACATACGCACCTGGCTCGTGTCAGAACTTATAGTGAAGGAGCTCTGCAAAAAATAACGTTCCCTCAATCACCCGCCCTGCGCGATGAGCGCTTTTGCCTGCCCTACATGGCTGAACAGCATAGTCCCCCATGCTGGCGGCTCACTTGCCCTGCGCGATGAGCGCCTCGGCCTGCGCGACGTTGCTGAGTAGCACCGGGATCTTGTTCTTGGGGAAGGGCGCCATTCCGTTGGAGGCCAGATGCCCCTGCAGCGCACACAAACACCATTTATAGCCTGCCCAGAGCCCTTACAGCACAGCACTATCCGCAGGAACACTGCCATCGCTACAACGACCTGCCGGTCAGGCATGCATGCATTCAGGCACGCAAAACAGCAAGCTTGTCAAAAAAGGAGAACGTGCAATGGGGGCCTGACTGAATCTTAAAGATTCAACGCATGCAACTCTCAACCCGCAGCTGATCTACCACTGCAGTTTTCAAATCTGGAGATCATAATCTGTCACTAGCTGACTCAATGTAATCAAACGCATGCATGAGAATGAAGGGGCACATTGCATACACAGCCAGTTTTCTGAGTCGTTGTTGTTTGAAAATATAGAGAATGACATGATCGCCCATATATTACATGGCCCGCGGACAAAATAGATGGCCTGGCTTGCTTTTCTTCATACCTGCAGCGCGTCCACGGCTATGTAGAAGCGCCGCGCGCTGAGTTTGCGCGCGCTGCCGCCCCGCGCATACCTCGACACCCACGTGCTGCCGTCCTTGCGCAGCACCTGGAATCGCCAGGCACACCCATGACATTATGCAGACTCTTTATCGCATTTTATTATTCGCCAGTAATGCTGGCACTTTTTCGCAGTATATTTTGAGAATGATCGCATGCGGTGACCCTGATGCAGAGTGCGCAGCAGCAAGGTCTTAGCCGAGACCCGACTTTTCTGGTACACTGATGAAGTCTCGTAGGAGCTCCCCAGGTCGCTTTATCAAACTCAGTATCCCAAGGGGTTTGCAACTCGTTCAATAACCCCTTTTGACACATGGCATGTCAGAGAACATCATGTGCATTTTTTTTATTCCAAACCACTTGCTCAAAGTGCAGCCTGCCTCTCTGCTCATCCTTGTCCACACATCCTCCAGCAGACATCCTATAATATTTCTTTCTCTCTATTCTGATCTCTTCAGACGCTCGCACCTGCACAATTTTGGGCCGCTGGGCATTGTAGAGGTCCATCCCTGCATAAGTCTGGATCTGCTGCCCCAGTGCGAGAGTTTCCTTCGAGTACTCATCCTTCATCTCCGCCACAGGGATGCCCACTGTGTTCTCCTCTGCGCACATGATAAAATGCTTCAGTGCAACTGCCAACAAAGATTGCTCCTTGTTGGAGCTCAAGCAACACACGTTCAGTCTTCTGATCCTTCAGCAGCTTCACCAGGGCATGTTGCAACCCTCTGTTATAAGATGCATGTAGGTCTGGCACTAATGCATTGGGATGCTGTGGGAGGTCACTCACGGGGTCGCTGTTTTGTGACGTCTCCGTATGCCTGGAATCCTTTCTTTGCCTCACTCCTGCACGTGCAGAACCGATCTATAAAGCACCCTGGGAATCATATGGACCTTTCTTAGACAGCCTGAGCCGGTCAATGCCAAGCAGATGGGCGCAACAAAAGCACTGATGATCACAAAATACAGGAGAAGGGCTCACTGGAGAAATTGTGTTCTACACTCATCCCCCTCTTCGCCAAGAGCACATGACCCTATAGCAGATGATGACCCATCCCATCCAAATCCTGCCAATCACAAGAGTCAACACATCTGGGCAGAAACCACGATCTGCATTGGAGACAACCGTTCTGTGACAACGATGGAGCCCCCTTTGATTGGGTTAAAGAACGCATGAAAGGAATTAGGCATTGCAAAGCGTCTCGCCTGCTACAGCCTTCTGAGTGGGCACAAGCACGCAGCTGGCCAGTCCCAACAGAAGACCTCTCCTGACCTGCTGATTACTCTTCACACTGCGCGATGAGTGCAGTACACGTTTATTATCGGTATATGATGCACATTGTGCTGATACATCCATCTTTAATCATATTTATATATTCCTCGAAAATTGATCTGGAATCCAACATTCCTGCAACTCACCTCACGGATGAATCAGCTGAACAGCAAATCTGACGCCTATTTTGCGTCGCTCTTCTGACGCATTGTACATTTGTATTGAGAGGCGGGTGTACAGCTGGGAGCAGTGCAGCCATTTTTCCACTCCAATACAACGGCACTTAACTAAAAGCAGCCCTTTGTAGCTAGAAAGGATCGAGAACAATCCGTAAAGCTTAATTAGCACACCCGATGTACTTCTTCCGTTGCTGAACAACGTCCTGAGATATTCACCGATCTGAGGTCAAGGAGGAACCAACAGGACGCTGGTCACGTAACCGCCTGGGCGTGGAAGTCAGATGGAAGTTGACCTGTGAGAATGGATATTTTCAAGGAAGGCATATGCCTTTACAGCATCACAGGGTCACTACATGCATGCTCCTGAGAGTTGGCACACCTGCTACGCTCCTGACATGTCATAAATTGTTCTACAAAATTTTATTATAATTGTGATTGCAAAAACCGGTACCGTTGTCACAGTGAGAATTTGTTAAACACCGTTGTAACAACGTCAACCTCGGTGGCATTTGACTTTCTGCTGCATCGCCGTCCGATCCAGGCCCCGGGCCCAATGTGGGGGAGGCCAGTGTCATAAATAAACATTCAAGACCCATCTTATATAAAGAATTTGCATTGCCGTGCTGTTTGCTGCGTTCAATACAGGTTCTGCTAATTGAAATCTAAGTTTTCTGACGAATTTGTTCCTCTTAAGAAGCTTCTCAGGTCAGGCAGCTGCATAGTTGATGCCATCGGCACTCACTGCTGGCCGGGTGTTAGCCGAAACAGCAGCAATTTCCAGTTCTCGTCTCTGCATGAGCGCATTGGCGCTGGCCACAGCATAGCAGGAGTGCAGGTGCCACAAGGAGTGCACAAAGCTGTGCCCATGCGCGATTGCCACATCCTCCAGCATGAAGCAGCCGAGTCCAAAGCCACCAATGGCCGCATGCCGCCTGTACTGACTCCTCAATGATGGGTCCGCGAGGGCCTGCCTTGCAAATGCCACCTGCGCATGCGAGAACGTCCATCGTCCTCATGCTATGCAAACTTGAAAGTCTGTGTAGGGTAGCCCTCCGCTTTGAACAGTCTTCACGATCAGTTACTGTGTCACGTGACACCGCTCGACATCTCGAAGCTTTCCCTAGCTTCACTCATCCCGGGTCATTCATGCTACAGCAATAAAACAACCAATGGCAAGCCTGTCTGAGGCTGATTTTAAGCAAATGCCCGTCCCTGTGCCTCAAGAATCTCATGGAACCCCTTCCTTTTCAGGTGCGTCGTGAAACGTGACATAGAGTATGACCTGCCCGCAGTCTTTGGGAAGTTGCCTCTCAAGACTCCACTGGCAGTGCAGTGTGTGTGCGAACAGCAGGAATGTGACAGAAGCATGATCATCTTCAGTGGGTTTGAAACTCACCTCAGCAATGCCAAAGTTGAGTGTGGAGACGACGCTCGGCCGGAACGGAGTCAGCGCCCAGCTGGCGGCATTGAGGGCTCGTAAACGGGCCGAGGTGGGAGGGAACAGCGCACGGGCCATCTGCGTGGACGCCAGGGCGATGGTCCAGTAGTCCAGCTTCCGCAGCGCCGAGCGCAGCTTCCCGGAAGCCGCGTGGTACGCCGTCGCAGACGCACCCACCGCCACCAAGCAGCTGCCGAAGCGCCGGCCCTCCGGTGTGTTCCGCGCCCTGATCCCGGCAGGAAGCTTTCTGAGTCCTTTGCTTTTTAATCCGCTACATCATGAACTCTTGCACACACTGTGCTGCTCAGATGCATGCATGCCAAACTTCAAGCTTCCAGCACCGAGCCTTTCTCAAACCAACAAATGGAAAAATTACGTTGCATCTGACAGGCCAAAAAATGTCACTCCCTTGGTAATGAAACGTGCAGACTGGGATGACCCGGCAGTCTGCTGCTTGACAAAGGCATGCAGCCCTATTTCTGCAAGGATGTACTCTAATGTAGCAGCTGCATGCATGAGGTATGACACACCTCCTTGTGTGGAAACCCACTGCCAGGAAGGGCAGAGAAGTAGCCACGTTGATCACCCTTTCTCTCATACTCCTATCATTATTGCCCGGGCCCTGCATGCAGCGACACAAGGGTAAAGCAGGAGAAGAAAGATGTGGCCTTTCAAAGAGCATCTGCACAGGAAGTATTTGAAGCAGGACGACATCTTGATGCAGACGAAGACACAGCAAGGGCCTGTGTGAAGCACCGTAGGTTTGAGGCTCTGCTGCAAGCGCCTGGATCTTCTGAGGGGACCTGGGCGATGGGTGCATGGAGATGCATGGTCCTCAAGATTTTGCAATGTCATCCATTCGGGCAGAGTCTGCTGCAGCGGCCTCAAGAGGCCCTGCCTACTCCTGTGCTCAGAGCGTCTGCTCTGGAGGAACCGCCTCACTGGACGCACCAGTCTTCCATAATTCTCCGAAAGAATTGCCGTGGCTATATTTGCCATCATGTCTGACTCGCAGTGGGGGCTTGTGCTGACCTCTTGCTCTGCCTGAGCTGACATCTTGTTCACCAGTTCTGAAGGATGGCGGGACTCCGACATAATACTACAAGCGTCCGTTAAGCGATCACTTAAGCTAACAGTATGACTGTTATCAGGGGTGTGGGTGCGACCTGCTTCTGTACTTCGCTTGTCAGAACACGGTAGTCGAAACAGCGAATATACCCTTTTTCTTTCGGACCTGTCCGGTAATCACAGAAACAAGCTAAGCATTGTGGTACCTGCTACCGCATTGATTGAAGGGCACTCGTCTTTAGCAGGCTGTAGATAGAGTGGGGAACGCCTTCCTAGCTCTCCGAGAGCAATTTCAACCGGTCGTCTCCTCCAATGACTCACCGATGACAGACATTTAGGAGATGCATTTCTGCGAGCAAGATAGCGAGACAGGACAACATCAATCTATCATCCTCCATCTATAAGCGTGATCATTGACATCGGCAGGACACCACATTTGTAACCCGAGGAATCCGTCTTGTCTTACCAGATCAAGATGTACAGAGCATTGATCCACGAGTGCCACACGAGTCAGGCAACCTGCAGCGGTCGTGATTGCGGGCTTCCATCTGTATCCAACCATCATCCACGCGTCAACGGGCTGTTGCAAAGAAAGAGGGTCTCCAGGACCTCAACAACTGCAGCATGGAAATGTAAGCTTGGCTCCTCATTTCATGCACTCCTTTTTCCAAAATCCGTAGCACTAGTCATCAGGTATCTCATATCCTGATATGTGCAGGCTTCCATCCATCGCAAGAAGGCACAAGGCCTTCTGCGCACCGGTCCGCATGTGCAGCACTCCTAGCAGCGGCATCAGTATGCTTGCCAGCATCACCAGCGCTGGCAGCCATCCACGCAGAGCCGACTAATGCGCTCAGCTTGCCCACCTGGGCCATTCACATCTCCAGCACAGTGGAGTGGGCCACTGCAATGCTCCTGTTCTGGCAATATGCTGAAGTCACAGGTCAGCACCATCCCCTCCCTGTACTATTAGGCCCTTTTCTGCGCCCCATTGAGAATTTTGCAGCTGCTGGGACCTTCGAAGCGGGCTTTGCTTCTTCTGGACTGTTCACCAGAAAGGGGTGCAATGACATATGGCACCGTCAAGGCATCAACTGGGGGAGCTCATCAGAAAATGCTACTTGGCGCAAGCATTGTTGTGTGCAAGCAGGGAATCAGCGGTGGAAGGGGCTCACGTGGGGGATGCTGCCACTACTGGGAGGTGCCTTGGCAGCATGCACATACCACTTCTTTTACAACCCTCCAGAGCTGGACATATTGGTGGCACTGCAAGCCTTCCTGACCGTTGCAGGCAATTGCACCTGCGCTTGGGCAGCCTATCGCATCTATCAGGATGCAGAAGCCTCAGATGCTTGACCTTGATACAGCAACCATAAGATTGAATGGTTGGAGAGGCGTGATGTCTGCATTGCTTTTTTGTACAACAGCAGACATGCAAGGAGCGTAACATTCATTGCGGACATGGACAGCTGCAGAGAGACAGAGGGCAATTACACGTGGTGCTGTAAAGATACTATCTCTGTGCCACTGCTTGCGCACAATGAAGACGACATGCAGTTCAAAGTGTCTGACATTGTTTTGATGAACTGTCCATGGCATGTACTTGTGGGAAGGCAAGAACTTTGCAAATCTTTACAAGAATAGGTCGGCATGTAAACACCTCGACCTTACAGCCAGTAATGGGACACTCTTACAAGTGTCAGGTGCACCTGGTGTTGTCACATAGAACCCAGTCAATGCCTTTTTGCACAGAAATTATGTCAATGTTGTACACAAAAAAATTGGTTCTTTCTCAGCGTGTATACTGCAAAGCATTCTCCTCACAATATATATATTCAACAATCTCTGCACTCTAATTAATCCTCACAATGTGAATGGTATTATAAAACACTGTCTACTTTATACTATAGCATATATGGCACTCAGTGTCATGAAGCCTCAATGGGAGACTGTTCAAAATTATGACGGTCTATGCTTCGAAATCCCCCCCGGCATTCTGCTGCATGCGCTGCAAAGCACTTATAACAGCGCTGCCCTGTTGTTGACACTGTTGACATAAAGTTGATGTCAGCAAAACCTTTCAAGAAAACAGAGGCTCTCGCTCTCTCCCCAAAAACCAGTATATTAGTATGGTTCCTGAACATTCTAGGAGCCTGCGCGCCTGCATGCATGTCTTCTGCGTCATCTTGCAGTGCAGCTCATGCAAGTTGCCCCTGCCAGACCTAGGCAGAGGAGCCATCCCCTGCTTGTGTGGGGAGTGCAGGATCTCGCAATTTTATGCGGCGCACCCATGTTCCCACATAAGGAACATATCTGGAATGATTTATCTGCGACGCGAACTTGAATTCGTGCTTGAGTTCATCCTCGAGTTCATCCTCGATGTGTTTCTTCACCCAAATAGCAAACCCCTGATGGCGGGGAATCCCCATCTTGCAGTGGTGTTGACAGGCTTACATACAGGGAATTTGGGCCGGGTCAGCAAGGTCTCCGCTGACTCATCAACCTCGGTGTATTCCCTCAACCACCTGGAAGCATCCTTCTTTTGATCCTCCTTCAACTGGAGAGCAAGGCTCACTCCCCTTTGCACGGGGGAGAATCTCGCGGTCTCAGCCCAGTCAGCACCACACCTTTCTCGGTGTCTCTACCCCGGACTTTGTGAGGCCTCTTGTCCCTAAGGAAAATTGCTAACAGCAAGTCCTGTTTCGCGGGGGATTCCCCATGAAAGTGCAGTGCCTTTCATATGCTCCAAAGATTGAGATGGGGCCAGCCTCCCAGGTGCCAGCCATTCTGACTTCGGAGGAGACATCGAACTTGAGGTTGTCTCTGCACCACCTGGCAAGATCCTCCTTGAGTTCTTAAGTTGACTTGCCCACTGTGGCGATGGCAAAGTGATCCCTGAGCACAAAAAGTGCTGGGGTCGTTCGGCGCGCTCCCCTGTGCTTTCTCGATCACCCCGTGGTGTATGTGATAGCGCCGTCCGGCCCTCAGGTCAGACACGTATAAGCGCAGCGCTGTCGCCACGGATGAGAAGGCAATCTGCGCAACACAACACCCCCTTTTAGAATATTTCATGTGTTGGCCTGCAGAAGTGCCCTGCACTCGCTATGGAATCCGGTTGCATTACAGACTCTGGTGCGGATCCACAAGGCGAAGCAGAGCTCTTATTTTTGTAAGAAGCACTGCCCAGAAACTGCACACTGACTGCATCTTGCCTGGCACAGTCAGGAACCGCCGGCCTGCATAGGTGAGCCTCTTTGGTACTGCTTCCGGGGGGGGGTAACACCCAACCGACATCTGCAAGAGAAGCAGTGAAGCCGTTGCTAATATTGAAAACGACCCTGAAGAAAGCAGCAGGTCACCTGGTCAAAGGGGATATCCTCAGGAGCAAACAGGCGCGTCTCCAGAGACTCAGTACCCGGCGCAGATGTGAACGGCGGCGCCAGCCGCGCGCGGGAAGAGAATGTAGGCCTGCCCAATGACCGGGATATCCCAATGCGCGTACGGCGCCACTATCTGCATCGCAGCACGGCAGCTGTTGGATAAAAATGCGGAACTAGCCTCCCATGCAAGGGTAATGCACTGCAAAAGATGTCAACCACCCCTCTATTCGGGTGAACATGCACTCGGCAGTGTCAGACAGTGAGACTGTGCATGCACTGGCACAGTCCATCTAGATTTCTGGAGTATAAGAGAATGCTGACCAACAAGACATGACAAGCACCAAGTAAGAGCAAAGGGCTCCCTCGCAGCTTCTCGTATGACATCAAGTGAGTGTGAACTTTGTACCTCCACACGAGCACTGGCTTCCTCCCAGGTTTCTCGGGCAGCTCCGGCCGCAGTGCTCTCGCCCATTTCCAGGAACCAGCCGGAATTGTCCAAAGCCCCTTGCAGGGCTCTATCCCTCGCCGGCACAGCAGCAGCTGGTCCCCATGCTCCACTATGCACCCCACCACCTGCCGGGATTTCAAAACATCATCCTTCATACTCCCAACAGCATGCACATGGCAAGTCATTACTGTCTGTCGCGACCACTAAAATCATTGGCATGCTAAAGCTGATTTGTTCAATGGTGCAGCCCAGAGCTCACAAGCCGCTACTGCTGATGTATTCATGATGCGCTCCTGGAAGCTCACCAGTTTTGGATTGCAGTAATCCACGTAGCCGCAGTCACTGCACACATGGCGCTCCTCGTTCTCCCCTGGAGGGACCATCATCGCTATTCTGCCACCGCACTTTTTGCAGAAGTTCGACAGCTGCGGCATGCTTGGCGCAATAGCCTGCAACAGGATGCAGATCAGGTCTTTCATAGTTTGATGGGATACACTGTAGCAAACAGCCAAGCAGCTGTATGTAAAGGTCTGGAACTTGTTGCGTGTCTCTGTAGTTGCTGAAGGGGAAGTGGCAGACTGGTGCCAGCAGCAAAGTGGCACTGCAATGCAATGTCTGGGACCAACCTGTGTAGTGGCGGTCTCCCCTAATGATAGATCGCCATATTTGGGGTACTTGTAGCCAGCACCACTGCCATTGAATGGCTTATTTGCAATGTGTGATGCATGTGCCGTCGAGACATGCCTCGCAGCGCGTCCGATCAAACAACGAAATGGTGACCATCTGTGCACCAGCGCCTGAACACAGCCACTAGATGTTGTTCCATGCAAACAGCTTTATGAGCATATATAAAGAGAGGCACAGAGTTCTTTGGATCACGGTAGCTAAGACCGATCTGATACACGACACGATACAGACCAATAATCCAGCTGAAGGCAGCTGTGGTAAAGCATTTGATATCTGACATGAGAAGGGGTCAGGAATCCAGGTTGCCAACCTTGCTGGGCAGACGATGAGTAGCATGGAGGGCATTCCATTACTTCTACGCCATCAGCCTTGTGGGTAACGGGCCCAGGTCCTGTAACTTTTCCCTCATTAATTATTAAGTCCCTTATAAGTCCATGGACAAAAACGTCTGCCCCGTGGGTAGTGCTTGTTGATGGTCGCATGCACCCTGGTCAGCCCACTTCGACACCCTGAAAGATCCCAGATATCTCGAGATATTTCTGAGGTCACGACCACGTCATAAAAGCCTCGTCCTTTCTTTCGCCCAGCGAAACATATTTCGCCAGTTTTGACCGGACGACGTGTACTCGGCTATACTCGAAAAGAAGCCAGAGTGAAACTGCGGTGTCCATTTTAGGCGTGGCTTTATCTGTGGCATTGGGAGGCAGCTGCCAGAAGGAGGCCAAAAGTTGACGTTTGCATCACGGATCGATGGTTGCCATGCATCCCTTTCTTGCCAGCCTCAGGCTGATAGGCTACATAATCGACAAGAGTTAGCTCTGCGCTGCTGCACCGGCCCTCAAGACAATCAAGAAAGCAGCTAGAAGGTTCTAGGGGTAGGCCTTTTTTGAGGCCGGAATACTTCTCAATCAGTCTGGGCGCCCACAAGAGTTTTTTCAATAATAAACCAGCAGTATTCGTCTTGAACCGCGACAGTTGTGGGTTTGAAGGAGTGGTAGGACAGAGTTTGATGGCAGAACAACTATCGGAGCAGGCTGGCGAGGGCGAGCAAGTGCTCGATGCTGATCTTGCACAGCACTTGGGCCTCCTGGATTGGAGCCAGCTCGACCCCATTGTCGGCGGCCAAGTCATTCCCGGAGACGACAACGAGGCGAGTTTCTTCGACGAGCTTGGTGGCGAAATCGGGGACGAGGAAGGTGTGCTTCTGGTGCCCCGGTGAATTCTGTACATGGATGTCTACTATTCATGAGGAGTTGAACAGCGCGCCTGCATGCCAGCGGTGTCTTGTGTTATGTGTCGTGGAAGGCTTTCGTGATAGGCTTCACAAAACAAGGAACAGTGGTGCTGTGCGCGGTGGCTGAGGCTCTGACGCAGGCTATTTCATTGTCATGCTATTGGTGGGGCTATCAATATTGAGTGTCAAAAGCGCGAGGCAGCAGAGGGGCCTTCGTGTCAAATCTGAGATGAGACACCATTCCGACAGGTGGCTTGTGTGTTGCAGGTACCGACGAAGAATCCGAGTCAGAGGAGGACCGGGATGCCAGCGAGGTGGAAATGGCGGTCCACAGGCCGCGAGGGGGCAGGTCCGATGATCAGCCGGCGGCACCGGTCGTCACAACAGGGCACCGATCGCGGAGTCCATCTCAGGGCGGCCGTGGCCACCCCTCAGTGACCACTGGTCACCTGGCGTCGGGTCAGGGCAGAAATATCTCTGGCCGGACAAGGAGCCGTGGCCGAGCGTCTGGCAGCCTGTCAACGTGAGTCCTCTTTCTGCGTATTGCTTATTCCCTCGTGCTTTGAAGCTGTTTAACGCGCTCTGTGTGCTCCTTCTCCAAGCCAGCTTGTTGTTTGTTGATTACAGTACGGTTGCATGCAGTTTCACAGTCATGGCAAGTCTCGCAAGTGTTCGTCATTCAATGTTTAGATAAAAGCTGGGCTTTCTGAGAGTGTCTTGCTGGTGTCTTGCTGCAGGTCTTCAGTGTCTGGCGCTCAGGCGCAGGACCCCAGCACTGACCCAACAGATCCCACAGACCCCACAGAGCAGAGTGGGAGTGGGGAGAGCAAGGGCAAGAAGAGGAAGTCTGCTCCCAACCTGGATGATATCGAAGACCCTGCAGAGCGGCGGAAGCAGCGTCGGCTGGCCAAGAACCGCGCAACAGCTGCCGTGTCGCGGTGAGCAGTTTGCCTGGCTGTTGGCTGTTCTGTCAGGATGGCTCTTGACACCCTGCCTGTTTCTCGACCACAAGCCTTAGAATATACATAGAATGTCCCCGCAAATATTACTTGCTGGAAAGCACTGGCAGTGGTGTCCATGTGGGTTAAGAGATATCCACTGCAAATTCAATGATTGCATGTTATATTTCCCAGGTACACAATGTTTGATGCACAGAATATCTGTCATGTAAAAATAGCATTTTGCCTAATATTTAAGACTGAGCGAAGGCAGGCATATTCTGTTCATCCCCAACAAGCATCTGATATCAGTGACCTTGACTAGAGACTGATGTGGCACGCAGGGAGAGGAAGCGCGTGCAGATGGTGCAGCTGGCCGGCCGCACGCGTGCGTTGGAGCAGGAGAACGCCAACCTGCAGTTCATGCTAGGCCTGCGCGACCATGAGATCTCGCGGCTGCGCCAGGAGCTTGTTAGCCTCCCTAGAGGCGCAGGCAGCATGGAGAGCTCAGTCACTGTCGCAACGTCGCCCACCGAGCCTGCTGCGCTCACAGGTACTGCCCTGCCCATCGCCCTCCCTGCCTCCAACACTGTCTTGCCCCCGGTAGCAGTGTCAACCGCCGCCGCCGCCGCCGCTGCCGCCGCCACCGCCGCCGCCGAGCCGGCTGTTCTTTTGTCATCGGCGGGCGGCGGCAACGGCATTGTCTTGGGTGTAGGTCTAGTCGTAGGGGAGGGGTTAGGGGGTAGCCTCTCTGGGGAGCAGCAGTTGGGAGAGCAGGGGGGTAGCTGGGCTGGCAGTACTGAAAATTCTCGCAGCCTGCCTGATGCCAGGCCAGGAGTGGGTCTGGTACCCGGGCAGCCGGCTGAGCTCGCTGGCCGAGGCATGTCCGAGACTGTCCCAGGGATTGTTGTTGGTGTCGACGGCCAGTGGCTGCGCCTGCGGCAGCCCGGCCTCCCGCCTGCTCCCCAGGGGGGCCATGGGGATGCACCCGGCCGGTGGTCGTTGTAGTAATTTGGACCTTTCACCCGAAGGATACTACTATCGCGTTGTCTTTGGTAGAGCTTTTTGGGGGACATCTTTTGTCTGCTGCGACCAGGGTAGGATGGTATGATGTCAGCAATAGTGCTTCTCGTCAAATATTTGATGTCTTCTTTGTATGTCCATGCCATGAAAATTGGCTAACTTGTGGCAGTAGTAGAGCCTATGCGACAAGCTTGTATTGCTTTCTGTGACACATGGCCAGTCCTGCGCCTCACGCAGGCCTGTGAGGCGCAGGACTGTGAGAACTCACTCTGGAAATTAATAGACTGTACAGGAAGTTCTGTTCGACATTGCAGCAGCTCGCCTGATGTGTTAAAGTATTCAAATGGGGATATGTGTGCTGTCACTAAAAAATGATAATCATGTGAACCTGCCATAAGGCGCTCCCAGCCACCTGGCTGTAAGCAGGCCATGTCTGCACTGCAGATATCGTGCTTCGTGGATGCTGAATTTTCTCTCGGCAGTTGTCCCGGAACTTTGAAGAATTTTTTTTTGAATTTGGTGCATTATTAGCTCACAACTGTCTGCAGAGTCTTTGGATTTCTTTTGTGTGTGTAAGCTTACCTGGTCCTTCCCACTCTTGCCCCGGAGAGAATTTGAGGCTCCTGCAGCAGGTTGACTGAGCCATTCCTGGCGCAGCATGAAGGCTTCTGTGTAGTGACTACTAGGATCCAATGCGGAACCCCGGTTTTAATTGTGTTCCTCTCTTTGCGCTCACGCGTGGCACAGGTGCTCCAGGTGCGGAATAAGAGCAGCACAGCAGAAAGATGAGATCTGTGCCTCGCCCTGCAGAGGTGCAGGTGGATGTGCGCGGCCGGCTGAGCAGGTGCCGGGGTATTGCGCGCAGGTGTCGCCCTGCCGCTGGCGGCAACGTTGCAGCACCTGTGCCTCCAAGTGCCTCGGCGCAGTCGGGTCGGACTCTCGGTCCTGGCCTGCATCATGTACTTTCTGGCCCTCATATCCGTGGGCAACCCGCCCAGCCAACCGCACCCCTTCTGGGCGCCAGTGGCTCCCTCCCTGTCGTGGGACAGGTGAGATCTGCTCTCTGCTGCACCAACACGTCACCATGTCGACATATTTCGTGCGAGGAAGTGTCCTGCAATGTGTCTGGCATGCCGTTGGTGATCTTTCACGTTTAATGATCCCTGCGAGCCATCTCCACCCTGCAGATGCTTTGATGTGTTGCTTGCTACAAATCTGCATGCGTCCTGTTTCTCTGGCTGGGGTGTTAAGATCGGAAAGAGCGCCATCCTCATAGTCTACTGTGGTTGCTCGCGGATGTACTCCTCAAAATGACCGCGCTGGGGCGTGGTGCCTCATTGATTTTTTTCCGGGTATTTATTGGCCTCTTGAGGTTCCTTGATCATTTGTACTTCAATTTGATGCGTGCGATTGTGGCTGCAGCAACTCGGGGCAGTGCGAGCTGGACTGGGGGGCCCACATGGCGTGGGGCTGGCCCTTCCTTCTGCGCTTAGCCGAAGCGCGTCGGCGCCGGTCACGACAGGCAACATGCCCCAACGACACTGCCGGCAAC